TCTTCGAAAATTTTTTTGGTTTTTTCTCTCTCTACAATTCTTTTTTTTTTCTTCTTATATGGAACTATCATTTCTCTTGAAATTTGGTTTAGTTGCTTGTGGCTCTTATATTCATATCAATCTTGTATAAACATTTAAAAAAAAATGAGTGCTGTTTTTGAATTTGACGATCTCCCTTCTACTCAAGTTTCGAAGGAAAACCTCGAAAGTGGCTATTCTTCAGATACAGACGCTGCTGAACCAAAGACACTGCCCTTGGATGAAAAGCTATATGAAGTTGAATTAGGCGAAAACTTTATTTCCTCTTCACTCAAAACAACGCCAGCTGCAAATACACACCGAAAAGTCTGTTTAAGTGATTTTGAAATACTCAAACTACTCGGTCGAGGAGCGTAAGTGACCATACAATAAACATCAATCTAATGTTACATAATAGCTATGGTAAAGTTATGCTTTGTCGGCATAAAGATAGTGGTATTCTGTATGCCATGAAGATTTTGAAGAAAGCATCTTTATTTGTTCATACCAAGAATGCTGAACATACCAAGTCTGAAAGACAGATTCTAGAAGAAGTCAAGAGTCCATTTATTGTTCAATTGTTCTATGCATTCCAAACAGATGATAGACTCTATCTGATCTTAGAATATGCAACAGGTGGTGAATTGTTTACTCATATGGCTGCAGGTAATAAGACAACAAACAAGCAAACCAAAAAAAAAAGGATTAAACAAGTACTGTATAGAACATATGTTTACAGAAGATACAGCTCGATTTTACTTGGCTGAATTATTAGTGGCTTTAGAGCATTTGCATTCTCTTGGTATTGTGTATCGTGACCTGAAGCCAGAGAACTGCTTATTGGATGGAGAAGGCCACGTTCGTCTCACTGATTTTGGTTTATCTAAGGTGTCAATCGAAGGCAGCAGAACAAACACAGTTTGTGGAACCGCAGAATATATGGCGCCAGGTAATCATGATGACACACACAAAAGAGAAAGGGGGAATATATCCTAATTTATCTCTATCAGAAATCCTATTGGAATTAGATTATGATAAGAGTGTTGACTTTTGGACATTTGGCATATTGATGCATGAAATGTTGACAGGACATGTAGGTTATAAATTATTCTGTTGTTTCTCTAACACCTATGCTACTTAGACCCCATTTCGATGTAACAATAAGAAGAAAACCTTAGACGCTATCCTTAAGAAAAAGATCCAGATTCCTTACTACATTTCTGCGGATGCTAAAGATTTGATGATTAGAGTAAGTGAAAAAAAAAGGGAGAGAGAGTAAAATCTGTCAACTAAGTTTATATTTAGCTTTTGCGCAAAAATCCCAATGTTCGTATTGGACTTGACAAGATCAAATCACACAGATTCTTTCGTAAGGTTGATTGGAAAGAACTAAAGAATCGTCATGTTATTCCTCCCGTTATTCCTGTTGTTGTAAGTATTCATAGTTATATCTGATAAGACTAATTTTTTTTATCTAAAATAGACCGACCCTTCTTTAGCTGAGAATTTTGACCAACAATTTACAAATGAAGTCATCAAAGAAACACCTATTGAAAACACATTAGATGCCAAAATGAGAGATTATTTTCTCAACTTTAGTTATGTTGCTCAATCTCATCATTTGATGAAGGCTTTTGAAGATAAAAATTGACTAATAAATCGTCTTGTTTCATCTTGTTTGTTACAAGGAAAAATACATGTACGACCAAAAGAAAAAAAAAAAGACGCGAATCTCCACTGTAGATTATGTACGCGTCGAAGGTGAAGGAAGAATTACTAAATTTGAGCCAATAACTAAAACTTGCATGACGTTCTTAGATCATTGTCGTCAACTCCGATTTGTTCGAGTCTCATTTGCATATATAAACCACTATTCAAATCAACAGGACATCTATTTCTTTTTTTTTTCTTTTCATCAACTATATATATCAAAAAATGGTTAACATCGAAGAAAAGTCCATCAACACTATCCGTACACTCGCTGCCGATGTTGTAGCTAAGGCTGCTTCTGGTCACCCTGGTGCTCCTATGGGTTTGGCACCTATGGCACACGTCTTGTTCACTAAATATCTTCATGCTAACCCCAAGAATCCTTACTTTATCAACCGTGATCGTTTCGTTCTTTCTAATGGACATGCTTGTGCTCTTCAATACATCTTGCTCCACTTGTTGGGCTACAACCTCTCTATGGAAGACTTGAAGCAATTCCGCCAATTGAGCTCAAAGTAAGTATACATCTATCAATGGCACGTCTTATTCATGTCAATATAGGACTCCTGGTCATCCTGAACGTATTGATACTGAAGGTATTGAAGTGACCACTGGTCCTCTTGGTCAAGGTGTCTCTAATGCTGTTGGTATGGCTGCTGCTGAAGCTCACCTTGCTGCTACTTACAACAAGCCCGGTTTTGAAATCTTTAACAACTATACTTATGTCATCCTCGGTGATGGTTGTCTTCAAGAAGGTGTCTCCTCTGAAGCCAGTTCTCTTGCAGGTCACCTGAAGCTTGGTAAACTCATTGCTTTCTATGATGATAACCACATCACTATTGATGGTGACACTGCTGTTTCTTTCACTGAAGATGTCCTCAAGCGTTATGAAGCTTACGGTTGGCACGTCTTGACCGTTGATGACGGTGACAGTGATTGCGATTCTATCGCCAAAGCTATTGAACAAGCTCAAAAGGTAACTGATAAGCCTAGTATTATCAAGATTAGAACAACTATTGGTAAGTGTTTGTTTTTGCTTCTATTCTCGGACGAGAATTGGTGTAACTCATGCTTTTATGCAACTTACTAAACAATAATTTTTAGGTTACGGTTCTTTGAACCAAGGTGAAGAAAAGGTTCATGGCGCTCCTCTTAAAGGTAAGTCTTTTTCTATTCATTTTTTTTTAGTGAAGCATGTAACTTATCTTCCCTGTATTTTTTTTCTATAGATGATGATATTGTTCAAATTAAAAAGAAGTTTGGTTTCAACCCCGATAAGAAATTCGATGTACCCAGTGATGTAAGGATTACATAGAAAAGATAAAAAGGAGATTTAAATATGATATTAACCCATGTATATCTTAGGTTTATGATTTGTACCATAAGCGTGCTGAAGAAGGTGCTGAATACGAAGCTAAGTGGAATAAGCTCTTTGAAGAATACAAGGGCAAGTACCCCAAGGAACATGCTGAAATCGAACGTCGTTTCGCCAACAAGTTGCCTGATGGCTGGGAAAAGATCCTTCCTCGTTTCACTCCCAAAGATGGTGCTGTCGCTACCCGTAAATTGTCTGAAGGCGTTCTAACTGCCATTGAATCTCAACTTCCCGAACTCATTGGTGGTTCTGCTGATTTGACTGGTTCCAACTTGACTCGTTGGAAGAACGCTGTTGACTTCCAACCCTCTTCTAACGGTCTCGGTGACTACTCTGGTCGTTACTTCCGTTTTGGTGTCCGTGAACACGGTATGTTTGCCTTCTTGAACGGTTTGTCTGCCTATGGTGGTATCATTCCTTACGGTGGTACCTTCTTAAACTTCTTGACTTACGGTTGGGGTGCTGCTCGTCTCTCTGCTCTTGGTCGTATGCGCGTCATCTATGTCATGACTCACGATTCTATTGGTCTTGGTGAAGATGGTCCTACTCACCAACCTATTGAAACTCTTGCCTTGACTCGTTCTACTCCCAACATGCTTACTATCCGTCCTGCTGATGGTAATGAAGTCTCTGGTGCTTACTGGGTTGCCCTTACCAACTTGACCCGTCCTTCTGTCATTGCTCTTTCTCGTCAGGGTTTGCCTCAACTTGAAGGTAGTGCTCCTGAAAAGGTCTTGAAGGGTGCTTATGTTCTTAAGCCCGTCAAGGATCCTAAGGCTGTGCTTGTGGCTACCGGTTCTGAAGTCTCTCTTGCTGTTGAATCTGCTCAAAAGTTGGCTGATAAGGGCATCACTGTCCAAGTTGTCTCTATGCCTTGTTCTGAACTCTTTGATGAACAATCTCAAGAATACAAGTTGGAAGTCTTCCCTCTTAATGTGCCTGTCATTTCTATTGAATGTCTTGCTACATTTGGTTGGGAACGTTATGCTCATGCTTCTATTGGTATGCGTACCTTTGGATCTTCTGCCAAGGCTGAAGACTTGTTTAAGAAATTCAAGTTTGTCCCTGAACATGTTGTTGAAAAGACTGAATCTGTCATTGAACACTTCAAGAAGCTTGGTTATGTTCCTCAAACCAACGTTCAACTCTAAATCCACATTTCATTTATTTCTCTTTGCTAGCTCAAACCTCGTAAATTTGTATTATAATCACTAATGAATGTCAATAAAGTCATTTTTCATTGTTCAAATATAAACTTAATGTGTCATTACATCTGTTTATATGCATGAATAGAAGGATTAAATAAGTTTATTATGATCAAATCAATTGATTCAGGTTAAATTAAATTTAGTTCTTGACAACAACAGGGCCAGAAGTGAATGTTTCCCAGCTGGCTGATTTCTTGGGGTCAGCAAGCAACTTGAGAGCGCGCAAACGGAGCTTGTAAGTACCACTGGGAGCAGGAATAGGGAGAGGAGCCTTAGCAATAGAAGAAGGAACATAAGTACCATCCCAGACAAAAGTAGAGTATTGTTGATCGGCAGCAAGGAAGTTACGACCAAGGTAATCAAGACCAGTCAAGAATTGACCAATCACCTTGTTAGTCTTGGAGTCCAAAAGTTCAGCCTTGATGTGAGGAGCAGGAGTCAAGAGACGGACAACGACAACAGGAGCACTGCCAGACTTGGAGCGGTCGTAAGTGAAAGTATCACCCTTACCGTATTCCTTGTTGTCAGCATCGATGATAGTGGGGAAACCTTCGTCGAAGATGGGCAAAGTATTTTGCTTACCGTTCACACCAAAGTAGGGAACCTTGATATCGACATTGGTGGTCTTTTGCTTAGACTTGAAGTGAATGAAACCACCGTAGAAGACGTGGTTCTTAGGGTCAGTATTAGGAGGAGTGACAGTGACAGTGATCTTTTGAGACTTGCCAGGAGCAAGCTTGAATGTCTTCTTGGAGAACTTAATCTTAGCAGCAGCCTTGGAGTTCTTGGCAGGTTCAAGAGGCGTGTAGCCAGACTTCTTGACATCATAAGGAGAGATACCAGTAGCAACATCGTTAACAGCTTCGAATTGAACAGTCTTGGAACCGTGGTTGGTGATGGTGATGGTGTGCTTTCTATACTTGGTGGTAGCAGTATCGTTGAAACTGATTTGAGCAGGAGAAATGTGAACCTTTTGAGTGATAGCATCGTAGACTTGAACAAGACCAGCACCTTGACGAACAGGGGAGTCAATGGTGGAACTGTTGTAGACAGGAACGGAAGAGGCGTAGTTTTGGAATTGTTCGTTGATATACTTGATAGGCTTGTTTTCCTTGCCATGAGCATGAAGATACAAAGCCATGGAACCAGCAACGTAGGGAGCAGCCATGGAAGTACCAGACATAACACCCCAAGCACCAAGGTAACGAGGAACAGTAGAGTAAACAACACCACCAATACCAGCAATGTTAGGCTTGAAGTTGAGTTCAGAAGAAGCACCAAGAGAGGAGAAAGAAGAAACAGTACCAGCATCAGCGACAGGAGTAACAGCACCAGCCTTATCGAAGGTGAGGCTAACAGTACCAGCCTTGATAGCAGCTAAAAGTTCTTCACCATTGGCCTTATTGACAGAAACAACGGGAATACTGACACCAGGAGTAGAAGCACTGAAAGTACCATCAACATTGTTGTAGAGGACAACACCAACGGCGCCCTTAGCAGCAGCGTTGTTGACCTTTTCAACGAAGGTACAGCTGCCTCTTTGAATGAGAGCAATCTTACCGTTAACAGTAGCAGGAACTGCATCAGCAGTACAAGCTTCAGCACCGTTACCAGGAGTAGCATCACCAGCTACGACAGGTCCGTTTTCAATTGTATCATCTGTACTGGCAGTGTACAAGATGTTGTGGCTAATACCAGTGGCCTTGAAGTTCTTGGCAGTGTAGTAACCGTTTTGGATAGAGGCGACAGAGAAAGCACCGTCAGCAGTACTAGGTTGACCAACAGTGTAAATACCGCTAGCACCAGAGTTACCAGCAGAAATAATGACTATGAACGACATTAGACACTACCACAGAATACAATTCACTGCTTACCACTAACACCCTTAGCAACAATCTTGTCAACAACGGACAATTCAGCGTCATTAGCATTAGCCCAAGAGTTGGTTTCACCCAAGGACAAGTTGATAACATCAACGCCAGCATCATAAGCAGAGAGCAAACCTTGAATGACAACATCATTGGTAGTGCTACCCTTACAACCAAAGACACGCCACATACCGAGGTTAGCTTCAGGAGCGACACCAGTAAAGTTAGTAGCCTTGTCATAACCAGCAATGATACCAGAAACGTGAGTACCGTGACCTGAAGCACCAGAATCAGCACCACAGTTATCGAGAGGATCACTGTCAGGCTTGGGAGTGTTGGCACCAGTGTAGGCATCACCAACTAAATCGAAACCAACACTGACCTTGTAACCCTTACCAAAGCCACCACCCAAAGCAGGATGCAAGTAATCAATACCTTTGAATTCATGAGATTATGAAAGTATATATGTATTTTCTTACCTGTATCAAGGACACCGACCAAGACGCCTTTACCCTTGTTCTTGAGCTTAGTGTGAACAAGATCAACTTGAGTCATAGAGTGAGGCAAGATGGAGGGTACATCCTTTTTACCCTTCTTCAAAGTGACATTAGGACGAGCGATCTTTCTGACAGGATAAACGGCCTTGACATCAGAACGGTCAAGAATCGTCTTTAAGGCAGATTCATGAACATCTTTAGAAGTAGTGTCAATAGCAACAGTAACAGCATTGAAGAAGCTGTGATTGATCTTTCTCTTGATTTCAACTTCAACATCCTCAATGGTGTCTTTCAAAGATTGAGTAAAGACTGAGGCGGAGCTTGCTTGCTTGGTGTTGAAGCTAACAATGTATTGACCAGGAACGATGTTGCTTGAGCCTTGAGAGAGCTTGGGATGATGAATCTTTACAGCTTCGGCTGTCATGACAAAGACTGCCATGCAAACACCAGCCACCACAATAGGAAATATGGAGAATGAGTTCTTCTTCATTATAAAGGAAGGAACGTTTAAAATAAATAAGAAAGGAAAGAAATTGGGGGGATGAACGAAAGGAGTGTTCGGATGAAGTTCTCTATTTTGAAATAATCACTCTCTTTTTATATAGTGTATAAGAAATACGCGTGCAACACTTCAGTTTTTTGATGGCGTGGGATTAGTCGATAATGCTAAAACCAACAAAATCAAAAAGTATTTACTCCACATGTTAAACAATCTTGATTTAGGCAGCTTATACTTGTTTTAGGAAGAAAATCCATTAATGGTCAGGGTATTCTTTTTATGTTTGTGCAACATCAAAGGGACACAAGATTCTAATAATGGCGATAATCGATTGTGTTTGTTGGGTTTGTGGTCTACGAACTTTCTTTTTTGAAATTTTAAGTTTATCAATATAAAGGTTTTAGATTACCAGGTAATGGGTTCGTTGGTAATCTGGTATTGATGACTAGGTACTTGGAGCAAAAAGAAAAAAATAATTGAGATGAAAAAGATAAAAAAAAAGAAGAGGCTTAAGGGTAATTGGTGCTGAAAGAAATTTGAGATATCTACAATTACCATTGTGTAATACTTTAGAAACACATAATAAAATGGCGCATTGTAGATAGAGAAAATCCAATCTAGAATTAACCTTATGGCAGTATTTGGAAGCAAACACTTTGCACTTGTCTTCATATTGGTGTTAATACACGTTCTGTATAACGTTAAAAAGGAATTTGTTCTATTTAAGTATTCGTCTTACATATCAGGTTTATGCTTTCTGAGTCGCAGTTGTAAGCCTTCAGGGTCTTGTTTATGCGAATATCGAGATGTTGCTTATTACTAATACAGGGCAATTGCTATCAACAGACTCATATTTCAAAAATTCAGAAAACAGTTTTCAATCAAATGCTAGAAATGTATAGCGCTTTTATTGTAAAGCTTTGATTCTCTATGAGAACTTTAGTAAGAATAAATGTTTAGTAAATTCTGCACAGTGATACCTGATTCAAGTAACATAGTTTGTCGGACTCAAACTGTAGAACCAAACCCAAATATCTTTAAGTCTAGGCACGATTGTGTCAAGAATAAGAGAAAACCCGTGTGAATATAATTGAAAATGTCATTTGTAGTATCGAGTTATTAAGGACGGTTTGAGAATAATACATTAAAGATGAATAAAAAAAAAAGAGTGAATATATTTCAAGATATGGAGAAATGAATAAACCTCAATGGTCTTGATGGCTAAAGAAGAATGCTTAGTTGAAGAAATAGCCTAAAAAACAGATAACAACAAGAAATGTTTTGAACTAGGTTTGTAAAGATACTTTAATGGATTAGCTCTTTTCATCCGAATGGTGTGTAAGCCTTCTTAGTACATTGATTTGACCAATGATGCAATTGAATCCATCTAAACATAGACTGATACACAGGATTGCACAATCACACAAACAAAGCAAGATATACGGCCATGTATATCCAAGCTTTTCAAATAGCTACAAACCATGTTTACTAAAATACACAGAGTCTTTGGACCAAAAAAAGCGAGCTGCAAAAAAAAAAGGCCAAAAATCTTCCAAAACCAAAGGGTACTACTCAAGAAAATATTCTACCTGGCAACTCTTTGATTTTCTTTTTGACGCTATAGAACAGAAAAAAACAGAGTTATCGACAAGCTTATTTACTCAAAATGTGCGCAAAATGCTCTAGTTTTTGATGAATGTGTTTGCTTGCTAACTGTACTACAAAAGTGACGAAATATGAAACAAAAAACCTCTCAAACGTTTTTGCCTATTCTCTCAATGTTTAGGCGGCAAAGCTTCTAGAATTCTGACGTTTTGATAGACTCGAAAAGTAAAGATCTACAGCTTTTGTCACTGCACCAAAGCCCAATAGCTGCGTCTTTATGCAGTTCTCAGCAAACGCATGATTTCGGATGCGGCAGGAGAAGAGTCGAGTTGAATCGGTTTTCAATTGCCGCTGGTAGCCATCCTGTATGCCCTATGTCCATTTACTCCCATATTTACATTGTGAATCAACCATGTTTCTATTCTTTTATGTTCTTTAGCACTCTGAATAAAATATGATAGCTTTTGTAAGTTCATTAATAACAATTTCTATATGACATTTAGAGCAAAAATACTGAAAACACAGCTTAAACAACCCAATCTTTGATGTGCCATTGCTCGACAACCAGACTATCAAAACAGTGTTCTTTCATTTAAAACAAGTTCTTTTGAGCCCAGCAATTGAATAGTACCATTGGTTTTGCAGTTTTGTGAAATTTATGTTTTTGACCCTTGGAGAAATTTTTTTGGAATGACCCAGTGTATGTCTGATCCAACCGAAATCAGATAAGACCATTTCTAGGTGCTTATCGCAAAAAGAAAGCGAGTTTACTAAGACAAAAATGTCGACTCAAATTGAGCATTATCTTCAAATCTCCATTCAAAGTTTATTGCCCACTATGATTGGAAGAAAAGAAGCCCCTTTCAGGTACTCAACCAATAATAAAAATAGGCTAAAATGCTTGGCACTTTAAGAACTTGCTGATATGATAAACCGTAAAAGAGGCGTTCTATATAGCTTATACTTGTTCTGTGCATCTGATATTCAAGAAAAGTGATGACGTATGAAATCCGCACTATAAAAAGACTGCATCCTTTTTTTTTTCCTTCTTTTCTCTTCTCTTTATTCTTAAAATGGAAGCTGTAGACCATTTTCCCGAAGGATTCTTCTTTATTCGATGTAAAAGCCAGTCATTTGCAATGGACGTCAATGGTGGTAGTATGACAGTATGTGGTCCCTATATTATAAAACAATCAGTAACTGTTTCTGATAGAATGATGCCAATATCATTATTTGGCCACAAGTAAGAGAAATAGTTCAGTTGAATAACTCATTTATTTGTTTGTTAGAAAATGGTTGATAGTATTAACCAAGTAAGAGAGGCAAAGAGAAAAAAACCGACTTGATTGTAAATCTTGTTTTCTAGTTGTGGATGCATGAAGAAGGTTTTTTGATCAACAAGAAGTCTGGTCTTGGTAAGCACTTCATACAACAATGAACTATAATCTAATTATGCTCTAGTGATTGATATTCGAGGTGGAAGTACGTATAGTCTAAACAAGCGACCACAAATAACAATAGACAGGCATTGAACGCGATAAAAACATCATTCAGTATGCTCGTAAGCCAGGGCTGGCTCATAATCAACGATGGACATACCAAAACGGCTTTATTTATCCTACTTCTGCACCTCATTTAGTCCTGGATATTCGGGTAAGTGTGCAATCATGCTTGCAAATGAAATTAAAGCCAGAATAGAACTCAGAATTCAAGAATGGTAACACAGTTTTCTTGAATGCTAAGAATATTCACTCACAATCACAACAATGGATCATTCAACCTTTTGAAAATGAAAAGTCAAAGGCTGAACTGGCCTTGCTTCGACCTTCACCACGTAAGGAATGGATAGTGTCTCAAATCTAAGATGCTGATCATATTTCATAGTTCAACGTAATTCAGTGTTTCCTCGACAAGATGAATTGTATGATTGCTATAGAATGGTTTATTTAGAAGTGGGCAATAACATCACACCAGAGCAATTGGCCGGTGCTACTGCTTTTAAGGTAAATATAAAAAGATGATAATGATGATGGTGACTAACATTTGAAAAGGGCATGAAAGACTATGTGGATCAATCAAAAAATCAAACCCCTCAATCCATTATTGTTGCTGACGAACATTCAAGACAACAAGTGATGGAACTAGTAAAAAGAGAGGTATGTAAACACTATATACAAATATACAGCCATTGACTATCACATATATAGACTTTACAAGTACTAGCACAAAAACACATTGATAATGCACAAGACTTAGTTCAACAAGCCATGATGGTTGCAGAATCTTATTTTAGTCGAGAATATGGTGCCAATTAATAAACAACTAAATAGCGGCCTTTCTTAATTCAATCTCCCAATCTTCCATGCCTTCATAGTTGACTTCTTCTTTTTTGACAGATTCTTTTTTGACAGGTTCTTTTTTGACAGGTTCTTCTTTTCTGACAGGAGCTTCTTTTTCAACAGAGGCTTCCTTTTCCACAATCACAGGTTCTTCTTCAAGTGATTCCTCATCTTTAAAGTCAAACAGGACGCCTTGTTCTTGTTGTGTCGGAGGTTGACTCAATACAGCTTGTTTAGCAAGAGTCACTCGATAGAAATAGTTTCTCCAAAATGTAGGTTCACTTACTCTAGATAGCATTAGAAAGATGTCTATCGAAACTAGACTTACTGTTGAGGCACAAGCAAGAACCTTGATTGAGACAAGGCCTTGTCTTCTCTTAAAGCAGCTTGAGCACTTGCACTATAAGCATTTAAATCAAATTGGAAATTGGTATCTTCAGGTGGTGGAATCAAGAAATTACGCTCATCCTGTCAAGATAAGAAAAAAAAATACATTCATGCACCATCCCATTACCTTTGAAATGTCCATAATAGCTTTTTTCATTTCGTTCTCATAACCTTGATAGCCCATCCATGGAGTAACAGGTTCTACAGAACATGAGCAACTTGTTCAGAAGAAGCTATAAGTGTACCTGACCCTTTTGCTTGGTGAGGAACAGTGGTATCGAGTTTTTTATTTTCAAGAAACGAAGTACGTTCTGTTTCAAGATCACCTTGAAGGCTAGCAAGTTGATTAGGTAGGTTACGAGCACGCTCTTGTAGTTCATTGAAGCGTTTATTGATCTCGGGTAAGCCTTTTGTTTGTATTGTTTGAGAAAGAGCATTGACACTTGAACTCACGTTTGAAAAGAAACTAGTCTTAAAGAAACCGGTACTAAGTGAAGAGGGACTACCTAATAAAAGATGAATCGCTAGGACATGAGTTTGTGCCCTACCTTCTTTTGTGGTCATCTTATGTGAAAAAGAGAAAGAAAGAAAAAAGAAGGGAAAAAAAAGGGGGATACACTCGAGTCACAGCACGTATCTGCTTGACAAATTAAAAAGTGGTTCTTTCTTTATGTTTAAAACAGTACGTCGATCTATTCAAACAAAAACAAAGACTCATGCTATCCATAGGATTTCATTTTACCAGCAAAAAGAAAACATGTATCAGATCCTGATCTTATGCCAATAGAAGAATCACTTTGGGTAGACAAATATGAACCAAATGACGAGGTTAGACCCTAATGACGCTTGTTTTGTCATGCTGATCTGTTTGATTAGACAGATATTTGTATGCGAGCAGACAAGATCAAAGAAATAAAGTCTGCTATTCTACATTCGTCTGTGGGTGATCAACAACAAGAGACTAAACTATTGATATTATCAGGACCTTCTGGCTGCGGGAAGAGTACACTTATAAGACTGCTGAGTAAATCTATGCCTTTTGAACTGATAGAATGGAAATACCCTTCAACAGACTATGATCTAGACAACTATGGTAGGTTATATTCTGTTGAATTGCTTACATATTTGTATAGTAAATATAATGAATCAATTTCAACACTTTTTAAACCTGTCCATCAGAAGAGATACAATGCAACAATATCAAAAAAAGAGTAAAATGAAAGTTATCTTTGTAGATGATATACCTGATATTACTACACCTCAAGTCAAGCGAGATTTTCATTCTATCTTGTCCAACTGCTTAAACACACCTATACGATTCTTACTTGTGCTGGTCATTAGTGGTGCATGGATGGAATCATCACATAAGCGTACTTATGATACAAAACTCAATAATCTGATTGATATTACACCTCAGGAATTCGAATATGATAAACGGGTGAAGCATATCAAGTATGGTAAGGATTAAGTCGACTTATGCTTACATTTACATAGACTGAAGCCAGTCAACAAGACATGTATGACAAAAGCATTAAATAGAGTCATTCATGGACAAGATATCTACATGTCGAAAGATCAATTGAATGACTTGATTGAAACAAGCGATGGTGACCTAAGATCAGCCATTAACAACCTACAGTTCTATGCTAAGCGCAATCAACACTATACAAAAAGAAGAAAGACGTTTGATGAAAAGATAGGCCCATTGGATCTATTTCATGCTGTAGGCAAAGTGCTTTATGCAAAGAGACATGCTGATCATACCCTCCAATCTAAACCAGAGCATATTTTAAACAAACTGCCTATGGATCCTGATCTATTCAGTACTTATTTGCATCAAAACTGCTTAGTGTTTTTTGAAGATATTGACTCTGTGGCCAAATCATTTGACTACCTAAGTCTGGCAGACACAATTCGGTCTTCACTGGACTGGCAAGACGATCAAGCAAGTCTGTATCGAAGTCTAGTCACAATGCATGGTCTTATGGAAAGACCTACTCGAACCACTTCAAATCGATTTTATGCTATGCAAAAACCAGACATGTTTGATGCTCAATTAGCCATGCGACAAAAGAAGAGTCAAGACTATTACCGTGAATGGATGGCTTCTGTAGAATGTCGCTCAAAGCCATTTGAACAACAAGATCAACAGGTAGCATTAGATGACCCTGTGCAGGACTTTAGTGAAGACGAATTTGATGACATGTATGGTGATGGATCTGATTTGGCTTTATTAGACATGTATTAAAGCTTGTATTGAATCCCTGCTTCTTTCAAGATCTTTTCGAGTTTACCAGACTTATAGGCAGCTTTAAGGGCGTCTGAGCCTCCAATATGTTGTTGATTGATAAAGATATTGGGTACCGTCGTTTGTTTCGTGAGTTCAGCGAGTGTTGCCTGAATAGCTTCACCATCTTTGTGATCGTTGAGTTCGATAGCTTTGTAATCTACATGAATGTCATCGAACAAATCTTTTGCTCCAATGCAGAAAGGGCAATAAGATTTGCTAAAGATCTAGTAGGGTGTGAGATCAATATCATCAAAAGAGATGCTTACCATGACTTGATTGTCTGAAATAGCCTTCTTGACCAAGTCTCTGATACCTTGAGTGATAATTGACATGTTCAAACCAAAAACAAGAAAACTCGAAAAAAGGGGTTTTTATATGATGACATTTTACTCTCCTATGATTGGCTATTGTCTGTTTCCTGAACAGCCCTTCTTACTAATACAAAGAATCAAACAGACTAAAATGATGGTTAGTCCTAAAAGCTGTAGAGGCTGAAGTAAGCATGTCAAATCATACAAAGACAAACGTTTTTTTTAAAAAAAGGAGGACTAGTCATCTGAATTTTATTAAGTCTATTTCACTTTAGTATGCAATTGAAATTGCTGAATAAACAAAGTAGCAATGACACAGAAAACAGAAATAACAACACAGTAATAGAATGAATAACGAACAGCAATTTGGTAGGTATCTAATACAATAGCGAGAGCATCAGGAGGAAGAAGTTCACGTACTTGTGTCATGGATTTACGAGCAATATCAATGATTTCCTCTGCATCTGGACCAGTAATACGTTCAGATAACAGCTTTTTGACAACACCTTGGAAAATGGCAGATGTGACCGAGATACCAACGACACCACCTGTAGAGCGGAATAGATAAGAAATAGAAGTGATTGTAGCCATATCTATTTATATATGTATATATTTCATGTTAGTATACACATCGACCTGTATGCATATCGTACCTGTACTACCAACGCAGGAAAGCATAGATACAAGAGCAGTTGTAATTAGAGCACCTGAAGAATAACCATCCAAGACCAGACAAGCAATAATAAAAACAAAAGATGTCTCTTCTGTCCATAGACTCGTACCAATCATAGAAGCAAGTGCTAATAAAGCAGACACAATAATAAACTTACGGTATTCACCTGTTCTTGCCATCCAGAAGCCAGAAGAAAGAGAACCACAAGACATGGCTACAACTTTAGGTAAGAAAAACAAGCCAGCTTGTGAAGAATTGTAGCCCAAGACACCTTGGAAGAACAAAGGTGTAGTATAAGTCATGGCAAAAGAGCCCATCACGCCAAAGAAATTTGTCAAGGAAGAAGCAAAAGGTGTACGAGCAGAAATAATGTGCCAGGGCATCAATGGATTTTCTGCAACCTTGGCTTCCACAAAACAAAAAGCAGCACCCAAGACAACAGAAGCAATCAACATACCATAGACCAAAGGATCGCTCCAAGCACGAGAATTGCCACCTAATGAAGTAGAGGTCAAGAAACAAACAACAGAAGCGACAACAAAGAAGGCACCCAAAAAGTCAATCTTCTTAAATCTTTGATACAATGTAAGATCGTCATTTTGTTCTACCAGATTATAGTCATTCAACAAATACAGACAAACATAAAGTGAGATGAGCAAAAGTGGTAGGTTGATATAGAAACAATAACGCCATCCAACATTATCCGTAATCAAACCTCCCAGAGGTGCACCGATAACTGAACCCAACTAAGCCAAATATAAGCTCCGCATATTCGTATTATTCAACAAAACTTACGCCATAGGCAATATTGGCATAGCCTTGGTATTTGCCTCTCTCTCGAAGTGAGACTAAATCACTTGTAATGACAGCAGACATGGTATTCATACCACCACCACCAATACCAGCAACAGTTCTCGAAAATACAAGTGCCCAAAGTGTAGTCGAGGCACCACATAATCCAGATCCAACAAAGAACACAACAGTGGCAAATAAAATAGCTCTTCTTCTACCTATAGCATCCGAAAGTCGGCCATCTACAATTGAAATTAGTTTTTTTTTTTTGTTTATCTCATTTCGCATTACATAAGGGTTGAAGTGCAGTGTAACTCAACATATAAGCTGTAGCAATCCAAACAATTTCATTTGATCTAATATGCATGTGTAAGACAATGCTTTAAGATAATCTTTTTTTTTTTTTTTCTGCAATACCTTTTGAACTCAGTACCGATCTGAGGATAGATGGTAGCGACAATAGAAGCGTCTAAAGAAGATAAACCTACACCAACCCATAAACTATTACTTTGGTTAGCATGGCAATACATTGAACAAGTCATTTTTACCCAATTAAAACAACCATTAGAGGTGCACCTCTTAACCTCTTGGCTAAAATATCATTATCTTCATCTACTTTTGGAGTGGAAGAAACAACAGAGATAATGCCAGTATCATCATCTTCAATCTCTATCCTGTCTTGATAGGAAGGATTTTTGTGCTGTAATAAAGGTGAATTCTCTGTTGCCACAGGAGGCATAATTAGATTTATGTAAAAAAAAAAAAAAAGAAAGGAAAGAAAAAAGATCAAAAAAACATAAATCTCTAATTTATAGATGGTCACAAAACTCCGAGTAAAGTAATCTGTAAAGAGCTTTTCCTATACTACCTTACATAAAGGATGAATTGATAATGGTCTAAGGGGATAAGGATAAACATTATATTTATACGTATTCTTCATTTTTTCACTTGGTGAGGTTAAAAACAATTGCTATTAGAATTATTCGTAGAAAAACCTGTTGTACAACTTTAGTTTCATGCACTCCTAGGGGAGCTCTGCCTATTTCGAGTGTATTGCTTATTAGCATCAAGCTTCATTGATGAATTATGACCCGAAGACTCGGTCTATGTACAACCTGAGAATTTTTTTTGAAATAGTAAATTGTTTCTTGTTCTGTTTATTATAGGGGCTCAGTAATAACGAGTTTCATTAGATAGCATGTTGTGTATTACATTGTGTTCACTCAGAAAGGTTACGCTGATCTTTAGAAATGGCTGTGAAGAATTGGCTCTATTTGAATTGACAAGACAGGCCTTTTTTTTTTACTATTTTTAGTGTATTTTTTCTGCAAGCAATTGTTTGTTTATTTCATGGCTCCAAGTGTATAGCTTCTCCATTTCTGATAGCCAATGCGACCATAAAAATCAACCAGCTCAACCCAATCAACATAGGATTTATGTACTCCACGATTTCTCAAGACAGTATTAGCATATGCAACGAGTCCCAAGCCGATGCCTCGACCTCGCTCTTCACTAGCAACACCTACACAAGCCATACCACCACTCTTCATGCCAAACAAGCTATCGTCTGTCCAAACTAAATCTGTTCGAAATTTGCTCGATGTGCCCGTGGTAAACAACACCAAACTGCCTACTATTTTACCATGTTCATCATATTCTCGAGCCACGATCAAGTCCTGATAGTCACCCAGATCAGCATGGTGCTTGTATGTTGACAGCCAATATGGAAAGTAACTGGACTGGAACTCAAGTAGTTCATGGAGCTGTTCCTTTTTGATGCTGCCAAACCAAATACCTTTCATACGAGATTGAATGGCTTCTGGCATATCATAGTGAGCTACATCGCCCATCAAGTCCCAGACAGTGTTGCCCAAAGCATATCCGCGATGTTTGAAGAAGTTGTGTGCTTGTTGCCCTACATCATCATTTGGAACCCCACAAAAGAAACGAGGATAGCCTGAGCCAAGCATGACGGACGAACCATGTTGACGAAACCGTTCTAGGCAATGGTCGTTCAGTCGAGTGCCAAGGCCTTTTTGACGATAATCAGGATGTACCATCAAAAGAGCTAGTTGGCCAGCATTTTCCGCTTCAAGGGTTTGTGTAGCAGCAAAAGCAACAAGTTGATCCTTGTCATACATTGCAACATGATATGGCTGTTGTAACTGAGAAAGAATCATGCAGAATCTTTCAAATGCAAGTGGCCAGGTATTAGCATAAATTGTGTTCCAAAGCTCATAGGCCAAGCTTAGTTCTTGTGTTGAAAAATGAAAGGGTTGTATATCAAACTCATGCTTTGAGGTACTATTAGTGTTTGGAATAGTGACTGGTAACTTGCTATGTGTTTCAATTTCACCAAATACGAGGCGAACAAATGCTTCATGTGCTGGAGGTGTGTATTCATATGTAACTATAAATGTGTCCACCTGAGGAAACACCATTAAATCATAGGGATTAATGACAGCAACCACAATAAGCTTTTCAGCATGCTCAAGGGCTGATTGTACTAGTTTAGACTGAAACAGATGCAAGTTAGCATTGGCCGTGCCAACAATAACATAGTCAGCCGTAGTCATCTTTTCAGTCAAATCTTGGGGTGTATCTGCATGATAAATGATATATTCTGTATTGTTATGTCGACGCTGTAGTGACCTATACATTGAATCGAATGGCTCTTTTTCTGAATCAATGGCCAATGTAAGCGGTACGTGTGCTGCTAGGAAAAGAATTTTTTGATCTTCAGTAGGGCGAATCGGTAACACATGTGTGTTGTCGCGCACAATGGTAGGTATCTTATCGTAAAGACGGTAACTCAATTCTCTGTGCTCTTGACAGCCAATGATACTGAGATCATGTTCTTTCAAGGCGTCGTCCCAGCTCAGGTATTTGTTCTTTAAGGTGACTATGCGATCTAAAGAAGCCATCACAGCATCTTGGCTTATGTTCCCATCTTGTAATTCCCGTCTCAATAGATGAAAAGCTTCTTGTTGAAAGGCCAAGGTATGCGAAATCATGCTAATATCGTTTCCAGCTTGTAAAGCCATGACAGCACCTCGAGCTGATCCCACTGTATCCTTGATAGCATTCATTTCACAACAATCAGTGATAATAACGCCTTTGTATCCTAGGCGGTCTCGCAAAAGATCAGTGACAATGTCTGAGGAAATGCTAGCAGGCAAATCTTTTTGTTTCGTAAGTTGAGGCAAAGCAATATGAGCCACCATAACAGATGTGGGACAAGTTGCATCTTGAGCTTTGATAGCATGAACGAAAGGTACAAGTTCTGTTTTCTGTAGATCCTTGAATGACTTGTCAATCACAGGCAAACCAAGATGAGAATCAACGGATGTATCACCATGACCAGGAAAATGCTTTACGCTTGTGACCACGCCATGCTTCTGGTAGCCTTCTACTTGAGCCATACCTAACCGTGTCACCAGCTCAGGGTCTTCACCAAAGCTTCTGACACCAATTACAGGATTCAATGGGTTATTGTTGACATCGACGATAGGAGCTAAATTCCAGTTAATTCCTAACGCCAATAACTCTTTGGCTGTAGCTGTAGCGACTTGATAGGCGTTGCTGGTAGAGTTGAGTGCGCCCAAGGCCATATTGCCTGGCACATAAGTACCGCTTGATCCCAAGCGACGCACTACACCATTCTCTTGATCAACAGCAATCAAAAGAGGGTGCGTATGTCCAGCTTCTTTAGCTGCTTGTTGTAAAATGCGAGTCAAACGTTGCACTTGTTCAGGAGACTCTATATTACGCGAAAATAGAATGATGGAGCCAAGATGATGGTCACGTATTAAATCCAATATGCCCTTGGTAGGTTCAAGACCATCAAATCCACACATAAACAGTTGACCAATAGACTGGTTCAAGTCTTGATTTGTCATTTTTTAAGGATCGAAAGTGAAAAAAAAGGAACTGTTCCTGTAACTACAAAACAATGATTACTATGCTGTGACGTGGATTTAGAAAGTGGTACAACTGGCTGTTCTAACTTGTTAAGCCAAACATGTCATGCATATAAACTTCATTGTATGGGAAAAAATGAGTAATTACCGCTGCTGAAATTGTGCTGTTTTGAGTTGATTTTGGGATGTATCGTTCCTAAGTATACCTACAGAGGTAGTTACTACACCTATAAAAGTCAATTTTTCTTTCTTGGATCACAAAGCTTTCAAATGCTTATACATCAAAGGTGACACAAACCTTTAACTTTGTCCAACAAAAAGGAAAACGCTTCTCAAAAAGCTGCATACCTTTTTTTCTGATATGTCCTTCCATGCTAAGCCTCGTATATTTCATGTGAGTAGCTAATTGAAGATGATGATTGTTTGGACCTACAAGTAAAAATTCTGGCTTGGTTTGCTCAAAATGAGCTCTTTTGTATTAAAGCTTGACTGCTTTATATTTGATCAAGTTCAAAGATCTTGACAAGTAAAAATGCGGCACCTTTATATGCATGTGCTACCTGTGTAGCATATTAATTATATCAGTGAGGCATTTTATATGTTCAGGGAAACCTTCTGATATAAAACATAAATATCTGCTGACTAACTTTACTTTCTTTCTATGAAAAAAAGGGTTGTTTGTAAAGCCAAAAGATGAGTTTGTTTTTTGTCAAGCCTTGTTTTTCATTGAATAAGGATTGTGATAAAAACAAAGAGTCCACCGCGGTTAAACACTGCCTGACTTACATCATACTATATGCCCCCCTTTTTTTTAGCTAATAGACGCATTGCTTGGATGTAAGTATCATAGCTTGAAGGCAGGGCATATTTTGTCAAATAAGTTTTGTTAAAGAACTTTACTGCATGCATTTTATTATACACATCAGTTCAAAGAATGCAATAGAATAATACACTGAACACAACATCACTTTTGAATGACGCATATTTACATGACAAACTCTTCATTTTGCAAGTAGCGTAGGCTTTATACCTTGTCAAGAGGCTTAAATTTCATATTCAACAAATGATGTACAAGGGTTTTGGCAGATGATTATGAACCTAGAAAAAATGTAGGAACTTTCAACGTATCACTTTTTAAGCTGTTAACCGTATCACACTTCCCCTGATATTCTGTAGAGAGAAATGGAAGCCCATATGTATTAAATGAGTCTGTGTTTATCAAAAGAAAGATTGAAGGCTGTGCTCGTCTTTCGTGCCAACTTGAGCTTGGTAACGATACAATGAACAGTACAAGCTTCTTCATCATTGGACTCTCTTTAAAACTAAAATGGCCCTTATGCGAATATGCAACGCAAGTGAAATGACTTCCTAAAGAAGAATAAACACGCGACATCACTGATGTTCATGCTCTCCTTTGATACGAGCCGAGGAATTTGTGTATAAAAATAGAAAGGGATCTGTCTTTTAATACTTTTTCTTTTTATTTTTTTTCTTTTTTTTTAATTAAAAATGTCTACTGCAGCCATGCCCCCATTAGATAACACCACTATTCCAGAAGCCAATGCTTCACCTATCCCCACTGGATCTCCTGTTGAGGCAGACAAGAAATCCAAGAAGCAAATCCGCCAGGTAAAGAAAAAGAAAACATACCAAAAAACAAGGTCTCATTTTTTATGACAAGGCTGTTGGTGGTATTGTCATTGATTCTGCAAACAAAAAAGTCTTGATGCTTTCCAGCCGTAAGTCGGAAAATGCTCATCGTCTTCCTCGTGGCGATTGTGATGAAAATGAAACACCTGAACAAGCTGTTATTCGTGTTCTTCATGACGAAGCTGGTGTTGAAGTTGAAAAGGTAACACAACGAGTGGGCACATACACCGAAGCAAACAAGAAAGGAAAGATTGTGGGTCATCATTGGATTTTTGAAGTTACAGATCCTAAGCTTCTTGATTCTTGGCCTGCATTAGATCGTAAGCGAGTTTGGGTAAGTTATACATGCGTCCAGCCAAGCTCTAACTCTGTGTATATAGCTCACTTTGGAAGAAGCCATTGCTGCATCGGCTGATCGTAATATTGCTCGCTTAGCACTCAACAACTGTTCATTATCGTCTCATTAATTATTTGTATCTTATAAAGTTTTTATATCTTTCTTTCTATGTTTCCTGATATAATTTAAGTAGAAAGAAAAGGGATATTGTATGTCATAAACAGATGATTCCACGACATATATTAGTGAGATGCTTGACATATTCTTATGAATGATATATATTTCAAACCTCCAAATCTATTAAATGAAACATGCACTGTTCTGAACCATTTCTTCTTTGACACTTTCAAAGCCTAGCTTTTCATTTGTTAATTGATCATAAACTTTTTCTTGCTGCTCTAATGTTAACTAGAATTGAGTTAGAATCATGTTTGAAATATATTCATCCGTCTTACATATATATATGCAAACAATTCAAACAGCTTGATGCTTTCTTTTCTTCTTTCAAAGGTTAAAGGTACAACACACGATCTTGTTTCTACAGCATTCCATTTGCGGTTTTCGCCCGGAGAATATTTGATTATCGTCAACTTCTCTCCAATCACATGTCCAGTTAAGACGACAATGTTTTTGGCAGTCTTCATATTACAGTCCTTATACTCGCACAGGATGCTAGTCAATGAATCTGTACCATGCTTTAAGTTTTTAATTGTGTCTTCCAGAGTATGAGCAAGCACGTCTTGGCCAACACTAGATATGAATAAGCATTTTTCATTGAAATACAAAAGTGATTTACCCAGAGGATTCCAGCATAATAAAATTGGTATTCTTCTTCTTCATAATGCCAATTCCATCAAGCAATTTTAACTGTACATCTTTCTTAATATAATCTTTCTTTACGAGCCAACTATAGTCAGTGTTGTTCAGTTTTTTCTCAACCCATTTGAATTGTAGGAGCTTCGTCATTTTAGAAAACAATTTGAACTGTTGTATGAAAACTTCAGAAAAAAAAGTTCGTTCACCTCCTTGGCTATAGTCCTGGGGATCATTCCAACAGATACACAAGTCGTTGTAGGACTGCTTCAAGAAGTCAATGAACAAACCATCAGAAGCATAATCGAGAGTGAAGATCGCCTTAGAGAAGTTGGGTGTTTTTATGGCAAATAGCTGGTTCATGATCTTCAAATAATCTTCGCCTAAAACAGTTTTTAAAGAGACATTCATTTTCATATTTTGCATATGCATTTTGTATTCGATCTCCAGCTGTTCACTACAACTATTGGATACATCAGTGCTAAGCCTTAAATCAAAGAATTTTGAACAAGCAGCTCGGTCTTCCTCCTGAATAATGGGTTCTTGAGGCGAGACGAAATACTTCTTGCTAGGCTTGTGAATTTCATAATAAAGAGCATTCTTTTTCATTGTAAATGATGATTCAGTAATCTACCATCGTTTGTTAGTGAATGCCACTGTTAGGTAAAATAACCTGACATACATCTTGTTCAATCTGATCTTCTTCGTCCACTCCTTGCTCAGGATCTTTCTCGGTATCATAAAAATCATCAAGCAACTACAAAGAGTCGTTAGCATGTATAGTTGATTAAACAAAACGCGTAATATAAACTACCTCATCAATTGCTCTTTTATGCAGTTTTTTTGCACCGATATTGCTCAAAGCGGCACCTGTTGCTTCACCTTGTAAACTGGCCAGTACTTCTTGTCTCTAAGCTTCTGCTTCAGTAGCTTTAAGCTTGTAATAGAAATTACTTTTCTTGATGATATGCTCCTCCTTTAAGAATTCCGATACTTCCTTGGCATAGTTTCTCACTTTATGCGTTTCAGCAGTACTTTGGCTGAATGAGTAAAGAGCATCCGATAGAACACTATGGTGGAAAAGTTAGTGGCATCAATTTTTCGACATACAAAGTTGTTCGAAATGCTACCAAATTATTTGTACGCTTTTTGAACAACTTTAGTAACAAAACAACCAAATTTTCGCATGGTTCTTTCACATAAAAAAACTGATCCATATTATGGCCCCTTCTGACACCGGGCGTCGTCAACCTGAAAACAATACAAAGACCTGGTCGCAAGTTGCTGCTCGAAACATTGTGTCCTGGCGTAGCCCTTCGCCTAGCACGAGCACTCCATCAGCCACTAACCACGCAACCTCCTCATCTAACTCTCGATGAGCATCAGCCTTAGATGTCACTTTTACCGGTACCATTATGCCTTTCATTGTTGGACTCGAACAAAATAGCATCCTGATTGACATTACCAATATCCGAGATGTTAACCGTTGGAAACAGTTTTTGGGCTCTCAAAACGATGCAAACACCTATCATTTTTTCGGTACTCTGCTTGTAGAGCGAAAGTATTTGCAACGAAAATTTATCGAAACTTGAAGAACTTCGTCTGATCGGACAAGGTATCGCCAAGCATGTTTACGAATTGTTAACTGTTTCCATGAAGAAATCATATAATAAGGCTGTTGCATTGAAATATACGCCAACCAATGAAGAACTTCTTGAAAGTAAAATAGACTCTGTTGCTGACTGGCCATATACGTTTGATATCCCCAGCGAAAAATTGGTTGAAATTAGCAAGCTTATTGAGTTATCCCGAACAACTGTCCCTACAACTTTTTCTTCGAAATGGGAAAATCCAATAGTGCAGAGTGGTGGTAATCGAGGTGTTGACTGGATTGATTTTTTGTTGTACATGGTTCCAACAACATTTGTTCCGGCATTGACAATTACAGAAGCCAAAAAGCCTTTGCTTCTTCTTACCAAGGCCTGCGCACATGCTTTGAAATGGAGAATAACCCAAACTGACCTCCTTATGATGAAAAAGTATGTTAGAATATAATATACAAGAGCAAAAAGATTGCCTATGAATGTCTTACCATTATTACTAACTGTCTTTTTTTCTATAAAGCGCAATTGAGGTGTGGAATAAGTTCTTGTTGGGAGAAATAAAGCAAAAAAGGATACAGCCTGGTGTATTAAAGCCGGTTCAGCATTACCTAACGCATATCCCGTACATGATCGAAAAGCAAGGAGTACTGAAAGCTTATTCTGGCCGATCAATGGAGAGAACGATAGGTAGATATAAAAAGCTGATAAAGTCAAAAGTTGATGCTGGTGCCAATGCTGGAAATGTTCTTGAGCGGTTTACTCTATACAACTACGTTAATGGCCAAAACATTAATTTAAGAGAGGCCCTTAATCTGATTGAGCCAAAGCCATACTCGAGCAACACTTTTTTGCAACTAGGCTTTCAAGATCAAACCACCTCTCAGCTCTGGCCTCCAGTATATTATCACTGTCTTATCTCGGCTCTTCCCTGTGGTGTTTCTTCTGTTCAATTTGCAACTGCTCTTCAAAAATCGTACCAAAGAATCTATTCAAATCAACAGGAATACTCACCATCCCAGGATTCCGTGTTTAACATTGCTGGTCGCGCTTGGTTTAATAACGTCATCTTTACCTCTGCACTATATAAAGATCATATTAATGAGAGAAGAAGAGGTAACAATTATGTTATGTTTACCGCATCTCACCTAAAGTAAGTTATATAACTACAATCTCTTGTCCAACTTTATCTAATACTTTCATATACATTCATTCGTAGCAATCTGAATAAACCTGTCAACCAACACTATGTGGGCTCTATTGTTTTCTTTTTTGAGACAGTATTGCGAGACGAAAAAACTTTTCTGGTGTTGATTGATGTTGCAGAAAGTTATGGCGTTGTTAATTATGACAATGACAAAAACTGATAAAAATCCGAAGAAAAAGTCTTCTTTGTGCTCTGTTAGAGGGGACTATACAATTCCTGATACAGTCAAGAAAACGTTTGGACTTGCAAAACTATTAAAAACTAATGCTAGCGCTTGGACAGACCCTCAGGCACTTATGGATGTTTATTTCGTCAATTGTCTTATATGGGAGGAATCTGGTGAAAAAATACTTGAAGCTTCCACTATGGCGCATTAGTTGTTTGACTTTACTAATATTGTTCGCAAAACAAACAAGAAAAAGTAACTTTTTTGCCAATGTTGTTCGAAATGTCAACAACTTTAATTTTATTTTTCTAAAAAGCAAGTCATATTGATTTTCTTGTTTGTGGGGAACAAACTTGTTCGTTTTGTCAACAATAAAAGTTAGGAGGCGACAAGTACTGCGACAATAATAGTAGCCTTATGAGTAAGAAGAATCCTTTATTTTTATTTTTTATTTTTTACAAGCACAATAATACTAATAATGGTTCTTATTAAAAACAAAAACAAAAAAAAGGTTTGCACAATGCAATACGTTGATGCACTCCTAAGAGTTTGACATGAAACTCATCTAAAAGAGTATATTGAGTTACGTAGAATGTTTAATAATTGTTTAGGTTTTTATAACAAAAATAACTCTTTTTTTTTTTATTGGGGTTGTTTAACTTTAAAGGTTTCGTGTTTGCCCCATTTTGGAATCTAGTGGCTCTTTAGAGATATGTTGTAATATAACTTTGTAATGATTCAGTGCTTGATTATAACGAACCACCTACATTACAAACAATATCTTCAAATCAACAGACAACATATTTATGCTGACCCGGACGACGTAAAACAACCTTAGGCATATATTTGTATTAAAAACAGACGCCTCATTGATATGTCACTCTTTTGATTTTTAATCTCATTGGTCACAAAAGTGATTATATCTTGTACGTATCAGTTATTGAATCTCTTTGATCATTAAAGATCTGCTTCAAAAAGATTCAATCTGATCTTTTTTGTCCATGCATACCATTCATATGTAATGCAAAATACTGATTACAAAGGACAAATTTATCTAGCTTCTTTCTTTTCTTTTGGGATTTGATTTTTCAGGTTCGTCAAACGCATCAAGAAATAAATCTACCTTATCTGTCTTTGAAGTGACAAGAGTTGAATCATCTCTTTTTCTTTTTTGGCTATTGTTGCTTAAGTGCGGAGATATTCTTCTATAGCGACTTTCAGTTCGTCTTCATATTTTCCATCTTCGTCATTCTTCTTAAAGGAATACAAATACTACTTCAATGTTTATTATCATTTCGTTTATCGTTTTTTAATACTTGTGTTACAATCACTGGTAAATAAGACAAAGAATAAAAGACTAAAAGTAGCCAAAACCAAAGATGGCCAAAAGAAATATACTTCATTATCATGTCTCCTATCTATACTGAAATAATAGAGGATAAGTGCATACAACATTGATTTACCTACATGATAATGACGAGAACCCTGTAAAGAGAAAGTACTAATTTAGATAAATGTTTTTCGTTCGTTACTCCTTAAAGTAAGTATCTCTTGTCTTTTTTTCAGCGCAAAAGATGGTAATACCATTGCCACAAGCAAAACTCACCGTTTTAAAATGTCTTCAATTACTTGAAATTTGACAGAACTATTGGCAACTGAGAGATACAGTATTCTACAATCGATTATAGCACCACCAACAAAGATCAGACTGACATATTAAAAACTTCTTTATAACATTGCGAATATAGCTGAGTAGAGACTTTTGATACTGGATTTTCAAACGGTCCAAGAGTACAGCTACTTGTGTTCGAAAAAAAAACATATATTAGGATTCTCAGATCATTAGAGTTATTTTGAATTAAAAGGTGCAAGCCAAGACTATTATCACAGCATCAAAGATGTTGATAGTTCGTTCAATAGTATGGTTATAAAGCAAGTTTATTGGGCTTAAGCCAGAAAGATCGATAACCAATAGATGACTAAACCTTTCAATTGCTTTCTTGTTCATAATGATTCTGACAAAGCTCTTTCCTCTCCTTTTTTAGCGTCATCTTTCTATCAATTGTTTACATAATGAGTTTTTTTTTTTTTTTTTGTATACAGTTCAGCTAAAGAACTGCCAAAATCTTAGCAAGTTTAAAGTCACCCTTTCACATGATTTTCGGAGTTTTTCCCAGAGCTGAGATTATATTTTACTTGCAAGCCTCAAATATTACAGTGGAGTGAAGTAGAAACACTTCTTTTGATAGTAGCCCATACAAACCGAACATTAGTCTTGCGGAAATGCTTTAAGCTAGCCCACGGCCACTAGGCTTGACTTATTGATGGAAACAAGCTGCGGTCTTTACATCAACGCGAGGCGGTAATATCACTTGATGTAGTATGTGTTACTTGCTGTTAATTCTGGTTCGTTTGAAAGGCAAGTTCAACTGATTATCGACCTATATTGCTGTTTACTAACTATTCTGTTTTCAACGCGACTCTTTTTTTTCTTTTCTTTTTTTTAGCTCAACAGAAGCCGCTGAAGAAGTCTTGATGCCCATCTTGATAAGTCTTGTGAAAATGCCTTTAGATCGTCCCGTAATTACCGAACTGACGAGGCTTCTGGATGGAAGCAAGCTATAGATGTATTTCGCACTAGTTGCAGCAACTACTTTTAGCTGTTGTGTTATGGAGATGGCAATCCGTGCAGATAATGCATCAGCCTTCTTCTGGTAGTAGTCCATACAAACTGGAAATTCACTTTTCTATGAATTTATTGTATGATTTCAGAGTCTTGTAATAATTGCTTACAATGTAACTAAAAGCAATTGACATTATTATTGAAACCACTACTTTAAATCATTAAGTTAATGAATCCAGCATCCTAATGTTTTACTTTATATTTCTACATGACTCCTTTGGTTGCTTGTTTGGAGCATTGACTGACTACTAAACACTCTGATATGTTTCTTTCATTATTTGAATAAATGAAATAACTTGTTTTTAAAACGTGCAAATTAATGCCCTTTTTTAGACTACATAGGATAGCCCTATTGTGATTTGGGCTATATTCAGGGATTGATTATTATTAAGTTTTGTAAAACCAGCATCATATAGTGTAACTCGGTCAAAATAGTAAAAAAGTAATACGAGAAGTACACATGATAGCATCAACTTCTAAATGAAGTATTGCCTTCAAGTCCTCTCCTTGTCTATAGGGTAACACATGTGGTAGACAATGCAATTTAATTGACATACAAAACGCATAAATGAATTACCTGCCCTCCCTTTATTTGATTTACATGCGTGAATACTGTGTTGCATATGTTTATTAATATTAGATAGTAGTAACAGGTATAATTTTTAAATAGATTAGAGTTGGTCTATGTTATAGCAAGTATTTTGGATTAAAGCAATCTTGTTCTTGCTTGCATATGGCACTTTTATTAGGAGGAACAAGTAAGTCCAATCCCGTGATGAGACTATCATTTTGGCTTAGTGATTCTTGCTGGGGGAGATCATCAATATCATCTGCATAATCACCAATATATGCTATCATTGTGCTTTCAAAAGAATCTGTAAACTCAAGTTGGATTTTCTGTTCTGATAAAGAATGCAAAGATGGTGGAGGTGTGATTAGTTTGGTTGGTGTTTCGTCTTTTGATGTTAAAGTAGTAAACGAGTGGCATGTCAGTATCATGTTTTGAAGTTCAGATAGTGTAATTCTTTTAGAGGGATCAAGGCAAAAGGTTCGTATTAAGATTCGATCTAGGCCTCTTGAGATGGTTGGAAACAAAGTACGAAAGAAGTGACATGGGTGCTTGACATAAGAAGCAAACGCGCTATCTTTTAAGGTAGCTTGCTTCCAAGGATTTCGTCCAAAGACCAAATTGATCAATATAACTCCCAAGCTCCACACATCATTTGCAAATGTATCATAATCATCAACAGGCTCTTCTCTGTTTGAATCAACAATGCGTTTACCCTGACATTCTAAACAAAGATCAGTAAACATACCATCATTCATGATAATACGTTACCTGGAGAAAAGTAAAACAAGGAGCCACAATTGAATTGTTTAGAAACAAGTTGACAAGTACTTAGACCAAAATCAGCTAATTTGATACGATTGTTTGAGACAAGCAAAATATTTTCAGGCTTTAGGTCACGGTGGGCTATCAAGTTGCGATGACAATGCTGCACTGCATCTAAAATTTGCAGGAAAAGGTGGCGAATCACTTTTGTTTTGTCAATGATATGTTCGAATGAATTTGGCTGTGTGATACTGGAGAACAAGTCTCCATAAGCTGCATATTCCATGATGATAAAAACATGTTGGTTTTCTTTAACCGCTTTTTCCAGAGATAAAATATTTGTATGACCAGAAAGGACAGAGTGAACTTTTATTTCGTTTTGAGTAATGTTGTTGTCCCTTACACATTTGACAGCATAATAACGACTGGTGTAAACATAGCGTCCCAAATATACTATGCCATAAGAACCAGACCCTATAATGGACACAAGTTCAATTGATTGATTGTCGATAAAAGTATGAAGAAGTTTTTTAGGATCCATCATTTCTCAGAGCAGAATAAGAAGAAAAAGAGAGAAAACAAATAGTTAAGCATTTAAATGGTCTGTGTACACTTTTTTTATATATTTCTTTCTATCTGTCTCCTTGCTTGAACAAATAAAATTACTTCTCCTTGTGTCCATCACGAATTTGCAGTACCTTCCAAACATACTCCTAAGATGCCTACACAATAAAGATATTTCACACATATTTTCTCCTTCTATACACTCCAATTGGCGATATTCTGTACGACAGGTTCGCCACTATGTATAGTCTGTTTCATGATACTTGTTTGTTTTTTCCTTTTTCTTATACAAACTCCTTGTTTGTGTACCCACTCTCTATTTTCTTTATATATACATCAGTTTTATTTTAGTCTATAGTAGATGGGGTGTACAATTGATAAGGGAGGACATAAATAATAAGAATATACTAGAATTACAACACTTGACGGGAATTATTTTCCACTGCCAAGACCATATTTGTCAACAATCTTGTTCACATCACGTAAACCTTGCAGGTTACCCTGAACAACAACAGTAGCTTTACCACTGCCACCACTGGTTACACTGACGGCACCACGGACAACACGGCTTGCAACTCGTCTTAATTCGGTAACATCCACCTTGTCAATATTGGCCAACATTTCGTCAATACCTGTCTTTTTACCATGGACTTGGATCTGTCTACCAAGATCTTCTAACTGGACCATACGACTTTCGAGGTTCATCAACAAAGAACTCTTGAGTTGATTCTTGGCACGGTTAAGTTCAATATCAGTAACAGAAAGACGACCAACATCACCTCTAGCAACAATATCTAATTCACGGCAGATGACCTCTACCAATGCATTGGCATATTCGGGTTGGCAAGAACCAGCAATACCAAAGAGACCAGAATCAGTGTAACAATGGTTAAATGCTTGACAAGATTCGACCCAATAATGTTGATTCAAAACATTGGTAAAGAGACGAGAATACATGCCCTTGCCAGGACCACCAGCAGAGAAGGAGCCACCACCTCCAAGCAAGATTTGAAGCGTGGTAAGCGCATAAATATCAGGATCATCAATGGAAAGGCCCTCAAATGCAACATAGACATGTGTCAATGGTGACTCAGGGCCGGTCTCCAAAAAGCTGTTACCACCTGTGTAATGTGCAGGTTGCGTGGCAATCTCCAAAGGTGTCAAACCTTCTTGTTGATGTTTTTTGGTATGGAAAAGTGACTTGACAAATGACTTGTTGCTTGCTTGTTGAGTTTTTTCTGCTTGTTGGCTTTGTTTCTTCAAGGCTTCTCTATGTGTCATGACAGAATCTAAACTATCTATCGATGGGGGAACATTACCAAAGTACTTGAGTGCTAAATCAACAACTTGGTCATGCTCAGCACCGCAAGCAGCAATCACCATACGTTCAGGTCTGTACCAGGTCTTCATGTAGTTCCGAATTAATTCAGGTGTCATCTCTTCAAGGCTTTCAGGAGGACAGAGCAAAGGGTTACCTAGTGTATTGCCTTCATAGGCAACGGTGTGTAGAATTTCAGGCAAAATCATTTCTGGCTTTGACCAAATTTCATCAATTTCATACAATGCTGTCTGACGCTGTTCATCTACTTCCGCGTCATTGATAGTAGGATGGCAAACAACATCCGAGAAAAGCGATAAAACTCTGCTTAAATCTTGAGAGAAAATAGCTGATTGATACATGATAGATTCACGAGAAGAAGAACACATAATGTTGCCGCCCAAAGACTCTAATTCTGCAACAACCTGGTCGGCTGAACGATTGGCAGTGCTCTAGTTTAAGCAATTGAGTATACACTAGACGAATGGAATGCAACGGCTTACCTTGAAAGCCAATCTATCTAAAATATGGCTCACACCTCGTGTAGCAGCAGTTTCGTAACGACTACCAGCGTCGACGTAAACACCGACTGCGCTAAAATGGCCGGGTGTGTTTTCTGAGGCAACGCGAATACCGTTAGGCAGTGTTGTTACTTTACAAAGTCCAGTGGATGCTTTTGAGTATTCTTGGACAAGAGTAGGAAGGCCCTTGACCATATCCTAAAATCCATGTCAGTTTTGATATTGTTTTTGATGTGCGTTGCTTACGTTGGTATGATAGGGAACGGTAGACTCTGCACGTCTCAAGATACCATTTCTGTAAGCAGTGATAGGCTTAGAAATGGCTCTTGAAGCAGAACCAAGTAGACGAGAGGCCATTTTTATATAAAACGCAGGGTTAATTTAACAAGTTACAAGCTGAAAAAAAAAGAATATGTTTGTCTCTCAGCGTTCATTTTTTCAATGGCGTCGGACTAGGCTTAACGTCATCAAAAGGAGCTCTTATTGATTGGCAGGAATCGCAAAAGCACTCATTCTTATTTGCAGAGATATGTTTTTACTGAATCTGGGTTTATATTGTCAGTCGGCCTTATATTCTCTACCAATGTTTTGAAGAATAGACGTGCTTATTCATACATTCGAGCACTATTTTTTTCGGTTTGAATAATCGTCATGATTAGTTCGATTGATTTTCGAAATGTCATTGCGTCTATTCAAAGTATCTAAACACGCTCATGCTCGTTTTTTATCATTATGATGATCCTGAATGACTAACAAGGAGTTTTGTTTTTCATTTTTTTTTTTTACATCCTAATGAAATTTTTTCTCACCTTTCTTTCGTCTAAAGAATTCTTTAGTACGATGGTCTGGTCACTCTTGGTGGTGCTCTGAATTTTGCTATAATTTTTTATCAATGACTATATCTCTTGGGTATCAACAATTGTGTCAAGTGCCAAGTAATTGAAGACATTTTGGAATGGTGTCCTTTACTTGTAGTATTGTTATTGCCATCTGTATTGAATGAAATTTTATTTGTAAAAATAAAAACATTGAAGGATGGTCAAGTGTACATAGAGTGAAGTGACTTTTCATATAATTATCATTTTGTATCAACTATTTTACTGTTTTCTTCTTCATTTTTGAAATCTTTAGTGTTTCTTTGGTGATTCTTCGGAAATTTTTTCAGGGTCAAAAGGCACTCCATGGAAATGACGTTGGAAGTGGCTATACCAAATTGATCGAATTATGTCGCAAAGAAGTCATACATGTTGATATTTACATCTAAGTTGTAGATGAGATATCTCGAAAGTCTAAGATTTTTAAGGTCTTGGAATATTCTATCTGTATTAATTTCGGTTGGGTAGCCAAGGAACTTGTTGAATACATCTTGCCAAATCATTGTCTTATTTCCACAAGAGATTAGCAGATGTTTGGCATCTTTTGTTTGGTTGCAACTGACACATCGACCGTCTTTGATGCCTTTTATTCATCTTCTGTGTAGGAATTGCTTGCTAGGGATTCTGTTGTGTAGAATTTTGAGTCAAATGTTTCTTGCAGAATAATGCATTGGTGCTGTGTAGAATTGCTTCCATTGGCATGGCTTGATGTTATTATTAAAGTCGTTTGGCCTTTTTTAAAGGAATGTTTTCCAGCAGTATTCTTCAGAGGCCTTGGTTATTTAGGTGGAGAATCGCTTCGTTGTCGTGTTGTAATTCCTTCAGATATTTCTCAAAACCTAGGGATTGTTGAGACTTTCTTTCATTGTTTTGTTCAATATGTTGTAGAAAATACTGATTTAATTGTAATGCGTTGCTAGAAGTGTGTTTCTTTAATTTGGATAGTATTGCTGGTCTACTCCATTCATTTCAGCTTTTGATTGGTTGCTAAGTCGAGATTAAAAAAGTGTTGAACTAGGCTTTTCTGCGGTTGGACTGCCAATGAATGTTAGCTCAGCGTTGTCTTTCCAATTGTTACATACAGTTGAATGGGGCAGAGTCATACAATCGATTGCTGGTAATGATATTGGGGCTTCATCTTTTGGGCTACAAAGCATTGTCAATACATCCATTGTTTCAAAATCAATCCAAATGCACCGTCTTTGTTCAGGGATGTTTTATATCTAGAGTCAGAGAAGAGCATAATAGATTCGAGGCTTGGGTTATTCGTTTCGATTTGAAGGGCGTATATCATTATATCATACAGGCACTTTGGGATTCGTTTGTATTGCTTATAGTTGAGCAGAGTTTCGATATATCTCATCTGTAAAGATCCCTGTTGGGCAAGCAAGTTTAGTAGCCCCAGACCTCCTTTAGCCTTAAAGTCGTAGCAACTTGTTTCGCTTTTCATTCAGTTCTTTCAATTTCTTTTCTCTCCACTGGTTATGGTGACGGCAGAAGTTGACTGTTACTTTTTTAACTATATTTTTGATTGAGTCCCATTTGTCTTGTGCTGATATTGCCGGGCCTAACTTGTGTTGTATATATTTGTCAAGTTCACTTTTCAATTTATTAGTGTATCTTTCATTTTTGGCAAGATAGGGATTGCCTCTCCATATGCCTTTCCCATTGTTCTGTAGCTCAATAGTCAGAGTTTTCTTTAGTATTGCATGATCTGTGTATTTGTCACTCAGGAATTCCACCTCACCATCTGACATTTGTTTGAAAGTATTGAGTCCGGCAAATATGTAGTCTATGGCTGATAAAGACATCTTATCGCTTTGTTTCTGGATGCAGGTATAGTCGTATCGCTCGCCTTGTTGATTTATGCAGTCTTTCATATGACCCTTGATGAATTCAATCAGTTGTTGAGGCTTAGCTTTTGTTCTTGTAGAGTGTTTGCTTGCGCTATCAAAACTAAAATTAAAATCACCAGCCATGATTAGGTCAGGAATCATCTCTGGTGTCTTGAGTAGTAGATTGACTGTTGTTTTAAAAAAAATTGTTTCTCTCGGTCACCTGTTCAGTTTTTAAACCTGATTGTGCATATAGGTTCATGATGTATACAGACGGGATAGAGTTGTCAACAGTTGTTAGCTTAGCTAGGATCATTCTTCCATCTTTAGATACTTTGATTTCTTCTAGATTTAAAGCATTGTTGAAGTTAACTATTGAGTAATATTTTGTCCAAATTGCTTGATGATAATTGAACTTGAGAGTTGGTATGTTAGTCTCTTGACATAGTAGCACATTCAGTTTCTTGCTCTTCAGTAAAGCAATAAAATGAAGGAAATCATCGAGGTATCATAAGCACTTTTTTGCAAAAATAGGCTCATCTCAAAAGTTGGAATTTTTTTTCATGAACGTGTTCTCATATGTATATCTGTATGGACATAACAAGGGAGCAAGCAATATGCATTTTTTTTCGAGAATACACTCAATTGAATGTGGCGAAACTTTTAAAAAGAATGAACAGTTTTGAAAATATTGACGTTTACTTCGACGAAAATCCATACAAGCCTTTTTTACTTACTAATGTACAAATTGATTCTGAACATTTGAGATATAAGAGATACAGCACCTCAAACCCCCCAAAAACAACTTTTACAGATTAATGAACACCAACTTGGAAAGCCCTTACCATTATTTCAAGTCTTCTTGACTCTGGATGCTTATTTATTTCAAAGAGTACGAAGAACACATACAGAAATAAACTGATACCTATAACAAATCAATTCTAGAAAATAGTACCATTATTTTGACCTTTGTTCGCATGGTTTTCGACAATCAAATAACTTCATAACTTTATTATCATTCAATATCTGGTCTCTTTTGAATTTCTTGAAGTCGTTTTCATAAAAAAAACGATCAGTGATTATTTTTTTATACTCTTGTGGTTCCTAAATTGTTAGATTTGTTAGCCATTGTTATTTTACTTTTGTTTTATTTTTTGTTACCTGACAAACTCCTTTAAATCAGAAACGTTGGTTGAGGGTCCAGCAAAGTCGAAAGAAACAATACAGATATCATCGTTGTTTGCAATATAGTTCAGCATGTCTATCGAATATAAATAAACGAGATTACACAATAGCTATTATTAGCTTACCCTTTGTACTACCATAAACGCTTTTTAACTGATCAAACACTTCATACTGATCTGACAAGTCCCTTTCAGAGAAAAGAGAACTTGCATTACTACATGGGGACACAAACACCTTATCAACAAGCGAGCGCTGGTAGTGATTGTCGACCATGCGCTGTAACAAATTTATGACGTTGCCTTGTTTGCCCAAGTCTGACTTACAACAATAACCAACGATGCTCATACCATCTTTTAAGTTTCTGATTTGTGCTCTGTGATGTGGTAAAATGTTTTAAATATTGCTTGCAACATTATCTAAGTACAAATCTCTTACTTGCATATCACTTTATCATTACCATGGTACTTTGTATCAAGCACGCTCAATAAATATAATCTTATTTTTTGCTTCTCCCCTTTTACAGCTTTTCGTTTAGGTTTGACAGACAATAAGTCAATGTTATTCTTGTTGGACCATTTGATGAAAAAAGTTTACATTCTTTTATCAAATGGTCCAACAAACGAGATTCAAAGAAATGACCAATTGAAGTTCAAAAGGGTGGCCAACTGAGTCCAAAAATGTGACCAATTGAAGTTCTTTTTTTATTTTTTAAAGTGACCAAATTCTCAAGAAAGTGACCAATTGAGACTGGAACCACTGTACTTTGATATAAGAAACTAAAAAAAAGTAAATTGGTGTCATTTTTGAGATAAAAAAAACCTGGTCCAATTTACGTGTAACAACAGAGTTGTTGGCTACCAACAGCTAGCTGTAAGTAGTAGCTATTCTTTAAGCTCAAACTGAACAAGCTGTCGAGGAAGACTTTTTGAAAAAAAAAAAATTAAGCAAATATAGACGAGATATAATTTGCTGTCATCTATGAGAAGAAAATCAACTAAAAGACGGATCCCAACTACAATTTTATGCAGTAAGAGATAATTTGCAGTTCTTTTCATTGTTCATCTACGTGACCGTATTTTGGGTATTGTCATTCAAAGGTATTCGTGCGCATCCACCAATGATCTTACGTAAAAGGTATTTCATTGGCTAGGATGCTTTCATGTGCCTGGAGTCGATTAAATGGCAAAACAACACAACAAATCCATTTTGAATGAAAATACAAGTGATGAACATGGTTTTGTAGGAGGAACAAGCCGGCAGTCCATGAGGAGCACAAGACAAGTAAGAAGAATAACCTTATACGTGACTGTGAATGCAGTTCCAATTTGTACATCTCTTTCTTTCATCTGCTTGGATTTTGCAAAGAAAATCTTTTTTTTCTCTGTAATATCATGTCTGAAGACTCTTCGTGGCACGAAGCCCCTACACAAGGACAACCTGTTGAACCACAGAGTCGTAAAGTAGTTGTTGTTCTTGAGAACGCCTCTTTAGAAGCAGCTCGTGTAAACCCTTTTCGTAGCGAAAGTAAGATGCAGTTGCTGAACTGTGACGAACACCAGTCTGTTCTAAAGAGGCTTGGTAGAGATATTGCTGATGCTAGACCTGATATTGTTCATCAAGTAAGCTAAATAATGATAAGCATTTGATATCTTAGACGTTTTATAGTGTCTTTTGACTTTATTAGACAGCCCTTTAAACAAGTCCGGTCACTTGGAAGTAAGCAATATGATTGTATGTTGCTGACACTTATATGCGCAATAGGTATATATTCATACAGCAAAAGGCGTGGTGATTCGTATTAATCCTGCATGTCGTATACCAAGAACTATCAAACGTTTTTCAGGATTGATGGGTAATTTTTGATCTGTCTATCAAACAGAGTATATTGACTCTATTTTCCTAGTTCAATTATTAGAAAGAGGCAGCATTTCAAGTGATATCGAAGGACACACTAAATTATTAGAAATTATTCCACCCCCAGTAGATCAATACTTGCCTTCAAATGCTAGAAAAATTGGTAAGAATGAAAATTAGAAAACGTATGTATTTAGACATTTTGTAGCACTTTCTTGGAATGCATCCAAGGTACGCTTGTACAACTTTTTCAAAGAAATGCCTGAAGGACAACCTGTTGTTGTTGCTGTGGGCGCTATGGCTAAGGGTCCTGATACTTTTGCTGATGAATATGCAACTGAAAAGATTGGTATTTCAAGCTATGCTCTATCAGCCTCAGTTGCTTGTGGCAAAGTGTGTTGTGCATTTGAAGATTTATGGGATATTATGTAGTTTACTCTCTCTTTTTTTATCATTAAATTATTGTACAGTCATTTTAAGAAGTCGCTTCCAGATTGGACGAATCTTATTTATTTTTATATGTCCAGTAATTACTGCTTTTACTGGCAATTGTGTTCAGTTCATTCACTCCAGATTGCCCAGCCAGATTGATCTATAAGAACAGTTTACTTTCTCACGGTGTTTTACCATGTTACACCAATGAAAACATTTTAATTCAAATATGTTTAATCAAAAAAAAAAAAAATCATTTATGGGTATTTCAATGGTTACAATCCCAATCCTCGTCTCCTGGGTGTACGCATATCTCTTGCACCTGGAGTGGCAATGCGTCCAGCACGAGCAGTATTTAATCTTGATTGTACTTGTTTAGCTTCTTCCTCTTCTTCTCTTTCACGGGCTACATATCAAATTAGAATGATCATATAAACAAAATGGTATATTTACCCATCTTCATTTCCATTTCCATATTCAAACGAGATTCTGTAGCAAGATTAGCCAAACGTTTTTCTTTTTGACCATAGTTTCTATCACGATCACGAATAGAAAAGAACATAGGACCTAGTTCAGCCAACCAGAAGGGATCTACAGCAGTAACACACTGCATGTATTCCTTGGATGTCAAGACCAGTTCATGGTAGACAACATAGTCTGGTGTAAAACCTGCACCGAACAAAGCACTTGTAGGATGAAGGTGACATTTCATACCACTTCTACAGTTAATATATTCACCAATACCCTTCAATCTTGCTGCTTGATGGAAATAGGCTGAACAAATACATTTACTATGGTATGTCAGCAACTTTATACGATGAGCCGTGTTTACTTACCGAACCACATCCCAGTCTGTACCACAAGAAACATAAGGCATCTTAATTGTCTTCATAATATCCATCAATTGTGATCGAACTTCTCTTGCTTTACGCATGGCTTTAGCATGTACAAAGTGTTTAGTACACCAATCATCACGGTAATGGTTAATCTTCCATTGTGTATATACATGAAGTAGTGTTAAATGATCACTTTCAGGCACAAAGAACTTTTCACGAGCAGCATCTGATTCTTCCATACGCTCTTTAGGTCGATAGAACACAGAGGGTACAGACAACATGGACACAATAGTCAATACTTCAGCAGTACAGCCTTGTTCTTGAGCAGAGATAAGCATCTTAGCCAAAGATGGATCCAAAGGGAATTCGTTCATTTTTCGGCCCGCATCTGTCAAATCACCTGTGTTGTCAAAAGCATTGATAATCCACAGTTGATACATGGAATTCAAGATGTTTTCCTGAGGAGGAGGATCCATAAAGTCAAATTCTAATAGATTCTTCACACCTAATGATTTCAATTGCAAGACAACACTGGCGAGGTTTGTACGTTGAATTTCAGGAATGGTATTAACAAACATTTCATTTCTGTAAGCATCTTCGGTATAAAGACGGTAAGCCACACTATATACAATCATTAATACATCGTGTCTACCAATTAAATAACTTACCCTGGACCTGTTCTACCAGCACGACCACTACGTTGGTTGGCATTGGCTTGACTAATAGGTGTCACTTGCAGAGCATCCATACCAATACGAGGATTATATACCTTGAGTTTACAATAACCTGTATCAACCACATACATAATACCATCCACGGTAAGTGATGTTTCTGCAATATTTGTAGCTACAATCACTTTGCGTGCATTATTTTCAGCTCTTTGGAAAATCTTTGCCTGAAGATCTGCTGGTAATTGTGAATAAATAGGAAGAATAGCCAAGGGAGGCGGATTGTCGAGTTGATCCAGACGTTCTTGTAATGTTGAACAAGTGGCCTCAATATCTTCTTGACCTGTCATGAAAATCAAAATATCACCAGCAGGTTGTGATAAATGAATCGCCAAGGTTTGCTTGACTGCACTATCCACATAATCTTCACAAGAAGTCTTGCTAAACATCACATCAACAGGGAAAGTACGACCAGGAATAAAGAAACAAGGTGCATTACCGAAAAATTGAGAAAATCGGTCAGCATTCATCGTAGCCGATGTCACAATCAACTTGAGATCCCTTCTACGGGCAAGAATCTTTTTCAGCAAACCCATCAAGACATCTGTATTTAATGCACGCTCATGGGCTTCATCCATCACAATAGCACTGTATTGGTCTAAATCAGGTGTGTTCATGGATTCTCTTAGCAGAATACCGTCTGTCATGTATCGAATCAGCGTATTTTCTGAGGTTTGGTCTTCAAAACGAATGGTATAGCCTACAGTATCGCCCAATTCACAGCCCATTTCTTCAGCGACACGTTTAGCAACTGACATAGCTGCCACACGACGAGGTTGAGTACAGCTTACTTTACCATACTTTGTATAACCATCTTCATGTAGATACTGAGTCAATTGCGTCGTTTTACCAGAACCAGTTTCACCTACAATAATGACCACTTGGTTATCACGAATCACCTTGAGTAAATCTTCTCGAACAGCAAACACAGGCAGGAATTCACGTTGTTCTCGCATCGTTCTTGTTCGAGCAAAATCACTCGCAGCCTCAGAGGTCTTTAGATGAGAAGCAAACTTGGATTCACCATTGGGGTCACTGACTCCTGTGTCTTCTTCCTTCTTTTCTTTGATACCCATCACATTACCCAATGTTGTACCGGCAACATCAAATTTAGTGGCCTTGGCTCGTTCGGCTTGTTCTCTCTTTTCACGAACAAGTCGGCTGCCTTTACGAGAAATGATGGCCATGTCTGAAGTAGGGTCTCTTACATGTTGAACAGCTTCTAGTTGCTTTGTAAATACCATTCTACCATCCAAAAAGGGTGGCTTGATGTCATGCACCAAGACATGAACACGGTTCTTTGTAGAGTTAGACATGCATCTTAACTTTTTTTTTCATTCTTACCTCATTTTCCTCATCAAAATCAGTGTCTACTTCAATACGTTGAGCAACACCTGAACTCAACATACGACTGGCTTCCCACATATCAGTATCTCTGTTGTATTGTGCTTGTCGAGCAGAGAGTTTCTTGAGTTGCTTCTGAGTTAATTCTTCTTCCTTATGCTTATCATGCGTTTCGTATTGAGCAAATGCATTATGGGTATCGTCAGCAGCACCATAGTCTTCCATTTGATACCATTCTCTGTCCAACTGGGCTTGTTCTTCCTCCCATTTTCTTCTGTCTTCTTCGTCACCTTGGAATTCTTCTGGATATTCAAGCGCTACTTCGTCGTAGGCTGTAGATTGAACAGCAGGTGTCATATGGTCCCAAGTACGTCTGACAGCAGCTGTGGCTGCACCTGTAGACATACGATAACCACTATCATGTCTTCCTGGTGTCATATTGCCTATAGACGTACGAGGCGTAAACGCACCTTGGTTACTAGGTGTCATACTCGACCATTGACTACGCTTGATAAGTCCACCACGTCTAGGCGTCTCTGGTTTTTGTTGAATAGAAGGCTTTGGTTCCTCTTTACGGCTTTTATCATCATGATGGGTTCTTCCTCTATGTCTATCACGTCGTTTCATATCCTCTAATCGTTTTAATGCTACGTCAGAGACACCACCTGGATTAGACGGTGTTTCCATTCTTTGTGAGCGATAGCTAGGCCTGTGTCGTGTAATTCTCTCATGACTATCAGATTTGGACTGATATTGTTGTTGTTCCTCCTCCTCTTCTTCATCCCAACTCAAACGAACTTTCTTTTCTGTTGAAGAGGTCGATGTTGCTGCTGTTGCTGCATCTGCTTGACGTTTTTTACGTGCTAGTTCGTCTAGACCAAGCAATGATTTATTAGGTAGAGCTGGTACTTTGAAAATAGGTCGCTCTTGATCCGGCTTGGATGACTTGTTTTTGTTGGGTGTGATGAGGCCACCGGGCAAGTTATTGCCCAGCATGAGGACTTCATTCTTTACAGCATCCGATCGAACTGGTTTTGCATTTGGATTACTGGGTGCAGGCTTACTTTCTTGTTTATGATTGTTAATTTTAGTGTATGTCTCTGCCAAGAATTCACGACTGAATCGACCAAATGTGCTACAAACTAATACATGTATGAGTCCATCGCATACGCGATCGTTTTGTCTCATTACCTTTACTAAACTTTTCAAAATCCTTGTTTGTCTCTGCAAACTGAATAACCTTCTTTGCAATAAGATCGTTAGGGTTAGTAAGATTTAAAGCTCTAGAAATATCGATAGCGATATCATGAACAAAGGAATCTTCAGACATGATGGTAGAAGTAGAAGAAACCAACATTGCACATAACCAAATTTATAACGTCACTCAAAAAGCCACCAATGCAGACTGATTGGTTGGTGGGTTGCCTTTTTGGTACTTGCTTTACCAGAAAAAAATCCCTTTTTTCTATCCTTTTTTTTTCTTCTTTCTTTTTCTCTCTTTATTACTATCTATTATTGACATTATGTCGAATGCAACGAGGACTGTTCGTCTAACAGTCATTGCTGCAGATGGACTTGTTAAAAGAGACCTCTTTTTCAAGATGCCAGACCCTTTTGGTAACTATAAGCAACTTATAAAAAAATAGGGTCTAACCATGATTGAAAGCTGTCGTTACTGTCGATAACGAACAAACACATACAACCACTGTGATGAAAAAGACACTGAACCCTTATTGGAATGAAAGTTTTGACTTGCAAGTATTATCTTATGAATAAACAATGACTAATAAGAGAGGGTATACCAGAAATGTGACAAACCAAAGTGTGATTGCTGTCCAAGTCTTTGATCAGAAAAAGTTTAAAAAGAAGGACCAAGGCTTCTTGGGTGTTGTCAAGGTCCAGGTTGGCAACGTGTTTGACATTGCTGTTGGCGGAGATGGTAACCATGACAAACTTTTGCTAAGCAACCTAGCTCATTGTTTACAAAAATAGAAATGCTAACTTTAGACTTGAAAAAGTCTAATAATAACGAAACTGTTCAAGGCAAGCTTATCTTGAACATATCTACCAATGTAAATGCTCCTATTCGTAATGGAGTCAATACACTTGCGTCTAGTTCTCGCCAACCTGCTGAAAGTACGCTACCACAACAACAACAACAACAACAACAACAACAACAACAGCAACAACAACAACAGCAACAACAACAACCAGTACAACAACAACAAACAACTCAGCCAGAAGCCAGTGCTTCAAGAACAGATGATGAAAGTAGAAATAGTGACTTACCTGAAGGGTAACTAGACTTTACTTGATTAGGACCATGGCTTATTTTCTTTTTGTCTAGTTGGGAGCGTAGAGTGGATCATTTAGGAAGACCTTATTACGTCGACCATAATAATAGAACAACCACTTGGAAGCGTCCTTCGTAAGCGAGATGCTGTCATTTGTTTGCAAGGCTAATTTTTATTTGTGACTAGTGCCCAAACAACAGAAGATCATCAAAGCCAAACTGAGTTACATAGACGTAGACATAATGCTCGAGGATTACCTGAAGAACGTTCAAGTGCTAACAGTAGCACGACTTCACTTGAGTCCACTGCACATCGTCAATCTACACCTGCCGCTGGTGTTACGGGTGTTCAGACCAACATGACCACTGCAGGTTCGGGACCATTGCCACCTGGTTGGGAAATGCGTACAAATCCCGAGGGTCGTCCTTATTTTGTAGACCATAATACCCGTACTACCACATGGGTTGATCCTCGTCGTCAACAATACATCAATACCATTGGTCCAGGATCTAATCTTCAAGTCCAAGTCCAGCCTGTGTCTCAATTGGGTGCTTTACCTTCCGGCTGGGAAATGCGTCTGACAAGCACAGGTCGTGTTTACTTTGTAGACCATAATACCAAGACAACCACTTGGGATGATCCTCGTTTACCCAGTAGTTTGGATCAAAATGTACCTCAATACAAGCGTGATTTCCGTCGCAAGTTGATCTATTTCCGTTCTCAGCCTGCTCTGCGCCCTGTGCCTGGTCAATGCCATATTAAGGTGCGCCGTGACCATATTTTCGAAGATGCTTATGCTGAAATTATGCGACAAGCACCCGCTGATCTCAAGAAGCGTTTGATGATCAAATTTGATGGTGAAGATGGTCTTGATTATGGTGGTGTATCAAGAGAGTTCTTCTTTTTATTGTCACATGAAATGTTCAACCCATTCTACTGTTTGTTTGAATACTCTGCTCATGACAATTACACATTGCAGATCAACCCTCATTCAGGCATTAATCCTGAACATTTGAATTACTTCAAGTTTATTGGTCGTGTGGTGGGTCTTGCCATCTTCCATCGTCGCTTCTTGGATGCTTTCTTCATTGCATCTTTCTACAAGATGATTTTGAACAAGAAGGTTTTGGTGGCTGATATGGAAAGTGTCGATGCTGATTTCCATCGTAGTTTAATGTGGATTCTGTAAGTAACTCTTTTTCTTTATCCTATTCATACTGACCTGTACATATAGTAATAATGACATTACGGATATTCTTGAATTAACCTTTTCAGTTGACGATGATCGTTTTGGTGAAATGGTGACTGTAGATTTAATCGAAGGAGGAAGAGACATTGAAGTAACAGAAGAAAACAAGAAAGAATATGTTGAGTAAGTGTAGAATACATAGATTTCATATAACTCACGTTTTGTTTAGCTTGGTTACTGAATGGCGTATTTCAAAGCGAGTTGAGGAACAATTCAAGGCATTCAAAGAAGGCTTTAATCAATTGATACCGCAAGACTTGATCAATGTGTTTGATGAGCGTGAATTGGAATTGTTAATTGGTGGTATTGCGGAGATTGATGTTGATGATTGGAAAAAACACACAGACTATAGAGGCTACACAGAACAAGATGATGTGATTCAATGGTTCTGGAAATGTATTCGTACCTGGGATAGTGAAAAGAAGTCAAGGTTATTGCAGTTCACCACAGGCACATCTCGTATTCCTGTCAATGGTTTCAAGGACCTTCAAGGCAGTGATGGCCCAAGACGATTTACGATTGAAAAAGCAGGTGAAGTGACTCAACTGCCTAAAGCCCATACATGGTAGGTGATATTTTAACCACAACGTTTATATTAATAACCTCTATTATTTAGCTTTAATCGTATCGAAATGCCACCTTATGAGAGCTATGAATCACTTGTGTCTAAATTAACTTTTGCCGTAGAAGAAACATTGGGTTTCGGTCAAGAATAAGCATTTATTTTCATACTATTTTCCATTACTTTCTCAATTCATTTATTTGCACTAACACATTTCATTCCATGTAATCCCACTCATATTCATACAATTTACATTAAAAAAAAATAAATCTGATAAGAAAAAAAAGAAAATATTTTATTTATTTTTTTTGTACAAAAACATGCTTAGTTAGATGGAGAAAGGTGAATATATAAAAAACACATCAACCAAGCAATTAGAAAGAAAACATAGGAGAATTAAATCTAAGCAGACAACATAATACCAACACCAAACTTGCTCTGACCCTAACATAAAAGTATTAGTTATACAAATTCATAACTGTCAAATTGTTTACCTTCATGTGATCCAAGTCACCACTGATAAGGAAAGAGAAACCTGGTGCCATCTTTTCTTCTAAAACAGCAGAGACTCTGCCAGTAGTATCAATTTGACCTCTGAAAGTAGCTTGTCTAAAGTCAAATTTACCACCAACAGTGGCAACAGCTTCTCTACGACCACCTTGAACCATCAAATTAAGTTCGACGCCAAAGTCAACCTTTTCATTAATGCGTTGATAGTAACTAGCTTGTATCGCGCCAACACCTTGGAATTGTGCAGTAGCAATGTAATCCTTGCCAGTGTATTTACCAACAAGAGACATGGCGGTTTCTTCCATATCAGGAGTAGGGCGTTGCAAGACAATTTCAGAGCCAACAACCAATTGCTGGGTGACAGATTGAAGGTAAGAAGCCATGTAAAGACCTGTCAATTCTAAAGGATTGGGGTTCATGGTCTTGAAGTTCATGGAATAATCTGATCCATTGACTTCTTGTTCAATTTGGATCATAGAGTGACCAGGCATATTGGTAAGCTACGCAGACAGTTGTTATGATGGACGTCTTTTTAAATCCCCTCTTCCTCCCTTCTCTTTCTGAATGTACTTACTTGTGCGACCACCTTTGTAACAGAGCTTGGTGACCAAGCGTGTCTCAAGACACCATTGAGGTTAGTGTCATTATCCATGGTACCCTGCAACATGGTCTAATAAAATGAATTAATATGAAAATTCTCGGGAATAATGTCCTTACTCTTTCAGTCATATAGCCAGACATGAAGTTATACATGGGAGGCATAACTTGAGAACCCAAAGAGAACTGATGTTGGACGTGGAAGTTGGCGGAGAGTTCTTTAACAATGTTAGCTTGAGCACCATCGAAAAGATAGTTGGCAGTGAAAGTTTCTAAACAAAAAGACACGTTAGATAATGAAAACAGTAAAAATGGGTTACCTTTGGTAACTTCACCGTGAAGTCTTTCGAACTTTCCAGGGCTAGGCAAGTTGAGAAGTCCCTTTTGGTAAGTGAACCAAGCAGGCCATTGGAGAGGGTTCCAAGGAGATCCCGAAGGCTTTTGGTTTTTGTTGAGACCGAAGGGACCTGAAAGAGGAGAAAAGTATCTAGGTGCTGCTGGGGTAGCTTCAGGTGTGGCCATTATTCACGTTTGTATGAAATAGAAAGAAAGAAATTTATAGCACTCATTTCTGTCAGACTAATTTCATCACTGCCCCCCAGATGACAAGGAAAAAAAAACTAAAACTGTGACTAGCTTTCTTGGGATTTGCCCATTCGACCCATAGATAGGGGCTTAAAAAAGAAGTATGACACTTTGTCTGACAGTTCCCCCTTTTCTTTCTTTTATTATAAACCTTATCCTCGAAAGATATGCCCTAACTAAAGTAGTCATTTTAGAATACAAAAACTACATCAGAATGAAAATTTACGGCATCAAGTGGGCTTTAAAATTTTCTAGAATCAATTATGCAAAAAACAATAACTTTTGGGTTAATAACGGGAGCAAACGTATTTAAAATTCATGCAAAGATATTGGCTATATTGTCATCTTAATTGTTAATTATATTATAGATAAGCCTAAAAAGTTAACAAAAGGGTATGAAGGCAATGATTACTATACTCCCTATAGTCTTGAGATATCATTCTTTATGAGCCTCAAGCAAAAAGCAAATCGAAAACTTTATGAGGGATGTAAAAGAAAAGACATTCATTGAACTTCAAAAAAAAAGCGTATACCATGAGAGATTGAATACGATCTCTACATGCATAAGATCATTGAAATCATTTCACACTTTAATGTTTATGAGTCTGACAAGCTTTGGCTTTAAGAGTTCAATGAAAACAAATCATGTAAAATACACACCTCTCCTTGAACTGTTTAACTTGCTCCTTTTGAGCATACATGTCAAGAGAGTGACGCTTTTGATTCATGAATTATAAGTACTCTCAAGTTAGTTATTCATTACCTATTCATTACCTTCATTCCGTAGGATGTTAACAAAGTATTGAGCATCATGTTACCCTCAAGATCTTTTTTGCAGGAAGGCAGAGTGAACGATCTAATTTGGGTAGCAATGAAGATATCTTTGTACTGAACCTAATCGAGCGTTTTATTCCAAGGCGCAGCGCGATGTGTCTGTGAAATGTAATTAGAGTTTAGTATTATTTACATATTCAAAATATACTTACAAAAACTGCAACTTGGTTTTTTATGATGATGAATGATTTCTCACCATTTTTGACTTTGAGATCAGGCCCTTCTTTTCTTTTATCTCTTAATAAAGAAGCTTGACAGATATCCCAGTATGATATGGCAGTTATCGCCATACATCCTTGAATTTGGACAACATTTCTTTAATTATCTGTAAAGCTATTTCGGATGAAAGTCAGCCTTTACTTTCAATCATTTACATCTTTAGCGCTTCTACAAAAATAGGGAGAAAAAGGCGATGAAGAAACTGAAGTAGACGAAAATGAAATGGCAATGACAATCAAGTTTTTGGCCTGTCAAATTGCCAAAAACCAGATAAACAGGCTCGAAAATACTGAAACGTCTTTATGAATAAATATTTGAAGCCAATTTGGTCTAAAATACTCATGTCTGATCTGGATAATTCTTGTGTTTACACAAGAATTATCCAGGTGTACTTACGCATTGCTCTTTGCTTGCATTGATGACATTATTATTAAATCTTTTTTCTTTTCTTTTATGAAATAAGGAAGAGAAATTATACAGAATATATGTACAAAACTAATCACCAAAGTATGAAATAAACTGTAAAAATGCAAGCGTATTATGCTTCTATATTTTCTACTATAGAATGTTTATAAATAGAGCAGATATACCTAAAATACAGATTATTAGAGTTAGAAATCACTTAAAGCTAACTCTTCTGAGAAGTAGAGTGTATTAGATAAAAGAAGTGGCTGATACACATCTAAGTAATGGTGGTGAATCATATTCCCAAAAACTAATTGCACTTAACAGTTGATAAAATGATTCAGCTCCAGAGCTGTATTGTAAAAGTCCTTTGATCAAAGGTATCAATCACTAGCCAAATGAGCTCATAAAAAAATGAAAACTGAAATAATCCTATTTTACTAGTAAAAACAAACTTTCATGCTCATTTTTGAATGAATCGAGCTAGCCCCAGTGATTTAGAGACAGGTTGAGCTATTAAAAAATGAAAGTGATTTTTGGCTTACCATGCCTTTTGATACTCTGCAGTTTTTGCATCAAAAATAAAAAATAGCCTGCATCTCATCACATAAGTAACTTTTATTACAATTGCCAACAGTGAAAATTAATCACCTAGGATATTTTGGATTCTTATTCTAAAAATTTATATAGAAAATGTACATGACTTGTGTAAGTACGATATATATTATTTTTACAAAATCGAGCATCAAACACTTCTAGCAAAAAGTGTGTATTTTTTGATAGTTCATGACAAAGCCATAGATGGACCATATAAACCTGTGAATAAGTAAGGAATGAGTCCATAAAACATATTTTGTCTGTGATATATCAACTGATTCTTACATGAAATGAAATAGCAAGGAATAGCGTGAATGAGCATGGGTGAATAGAATAATTAAAAAAAATGTGTACGTTTTGGATTTCGAAATCAAAACAAATACTTTTGTTTTTTCTGATTTTTTATCATTTTTCTTTCGTGATTTAGCTTTTTTTCTTAACTTAATCTAATTTTTTAGAATTGAAAATACTACAGCGTAATCGATGGAAAAAATCTTCTATTGAATATAGAGACCTTTTATCAAAAATGGAGAAATTATACATCCAGATATATAAAATTTTGATCCAATTTTGACTCATGAAAAATTTCTTCTATCAATCGAAGAAAAACTCAATTGCTTACGCTGTGGTGAGAATGTATTTCCTTAACCTAAAAATAATTGTCTTCCAGAAAAAATTTTCTGTTGACCCGAATAGTATACTTGCACATTGACATTAATTTTGTCAAATTGATATCCAATATTTTGTTAGTTTTATAGAAAACGTCCGTTGGACACATGGCCCAATGGGACCCTTGACTGCTCGGACTTGATCAATTCATGAGAATAGTTATACTAAGCCAAAAATACCTTAAGAGAACAAGAGCAAAGAAGGGAAAAAGTGGAAAGTTTTGATTCGATGGTGTGCCTGGGCGTGAGTTCGCAATCAGAGAAGAAATGGAAACATTTGGTTGAATATTAGAAGGGGTAGATTGTTTGTGATAGCATTTTACATAGAAATGACTTGGAATAAAACCAAATATATAGAGGCTCGTTTGTTACTCCAATAAAGCACAAAGCAATCAGTCTTGAGTATTTTGTGAGAAAACAATTTACTAATCTTTGAGAGACAAAGAGCTTGGTCAAGTGCACTTTTGCCATCTTGAGCATTGTTTAAGGACGATACTTGGCTATGAAGAGGTTCCTTAATGCATGTTCCAAGTGATTTTCTGGAAGTAGTAGTCAGGCTAATTATGCAGTAATTGACTGGATCAGTCGGGTTGCATTTCTCATGAATTGGGACTACTTGTGCGACTCGTCAACAGTGAGACGTGTATGGCCAACACCAACACAAATCAAAAATCTGACCATTAAATTTTGTGATATCTATACAAAAATTAAAACTAAAGGCATAAAACGATCATAGTAATAGCCGTAGATGTAAGGAACTTATGAATGTAATGGATTTACAGAAAAATATACCCATATTTTCAAACCCTGTCGACATTTATGTCGATTTACAAGTATGCCACTTGTGTACTCAAAAAAATATTTCTCAAAAAAAAACACTGCTATTTCAAAATAAAGCAGTAGTGAAAAATAAAAAAAAAATAGAGAATTTTAATTTTCTGATTTAAATTAATAAAAAAAAGCCAACTTCACAATTTTTTTTTTAGTTTCAAATAAATAAATGAGTCGACTGGATGATAATTTTACTGTTTTAGTTTGGACAAAGGATCACTAGTTGGTAGATTTGTTTTTTATTTTAAAATAGAAAAAGTGAAAAACAAGCTTTTTTCTTAATTTTAAGCAGAAAATCAGAATTTTCTTACTTTTTTTATTTTTTGTCATCGCAGAAAATATTCTTGATTTATTCTAGAACAGTGGTTTCTATTTTGAAATAGTAGCTTTTATTATTTCTCAAAAAACATTTTTTTGAGTACGCAAATGGCATATTTGTAATTTCGGCATACCTGTAATATTTTTACTATTTTTGAAATTTTTTTTTTTTTTTTTTTTTTTTTTTTTTTTTTTTTTTTTTTTTTTTTTTTTTGTAAGTCCACCACACTGATCATCAAGACCAGAGATATACGATTCCTTCTTTATTTTTCTCCATCGCTTTGACTACCTTTTTTGTAGGGTTATCACTACAACGTAAGCAATCGAAGAAAAAGACAATCTCTGACGTTGTGGTGTATGGCTGCTATGGTTACTATGGTTGCTACGGCTCTTCATGGTTGCTACGGCTCTTCATGGTTGCTACGGCTCTTCATGGTTGCTACGGCTCTTCATGGTTGCTATGTCTTTCTATTGCTGTCGTAATCACTCTGCCGCAACAGGGAACCTGGCTAAAAAAACTGATGATCAAGAGCATTTAATAAAGAGTTCGAATTATTGGAGTTGTCATTTGTTAAGTGAAGACATCACAATAGCTAAAGAATTTTTAAATTATAATCAGCTTATGAATCAGAAAATATTATATGAAACGAAGTGAATATTTTATAATATTATATAGAATTTTTAAATTTAGAAACATTATCTGATATTATAAAAGCTATATAAATCTATGTAAGTTTTATTCAAATATAACTGATATATAAATCTATAAAACCCAATTTATAGATTTATATAATGCACAGTGGCCAAAAAACATTGATGCTGCGGAGAATCTTGCTAACTTAACTTATTTTTGTATATTACCTTAGAAACCTTGCTACATAGACTAAGAGATTCAATTAGTTAGGAATAGAGTAATAAGCGCATTTCAATACCTTGAGACACCAAAATAAGTTGTTTTATTTTAGCATTATTATCCAAGAAAGTCTGCTAGAAAGAGTTTAATCTAGAGTTAAAGACAATAGCTTGATTACCTTATCTAGTCTATTTTCTTTGCTGACTTAGATTGTTTTGAATAAGGTAAAGAGTATCCCTCAGAAATAAAGTCTGCAATGGGATATTCTGTGCTCTAACAGAGGAAAGAAAGACAAACTCTAGTTGATAAACACTCTCACCAAAGTAAATGACGACTCTAACCGGTATCGCTAGAAAGTTGAATTGATGAGTAAGAAAAAAAGAAAAAGAGCCAGGCGAGGGAGAAATTGCAAACACATAGTTGTGTGGTAATGAGTGCATATGTTTCAAAGCAGTGAGTAGTCAAATGCAAAGTAGATTATAGCCAAGTAAGTGAACTGTCGATACTCTAAGCTCGCCAATAAAATTTTAGACTCTTCAACACAATAGAAATTCAATAGCTCTATTTGATCAGGTTAAAAACTCTGACGTGATTTAAAAATAAAATCTTACGTTTTGTAACCATGCAATTAATTTCATGGAAAAAAAAAGACAACGATAAGGATAAATAGAAAATAGACAAAGTGATGAAAAAAGAAAGAAAAAAAAGAAATTAGCGAAAGACATTCGGCTTTATAAAAGCAGCAATACGAAACAATTTGTAAATAAATGCAACAAATAAAACAAAGGCTTTATTATTTGGGCGAGAGCTTCTTTTCAGGAATAGCCAATCATACTCTCAAATTGACTTTTGTTAACGATTTAAGGAACGTTGACCAGCCAATCAAAATTATAGACTATCTTGAATCATTGATAAAAGTCAATAACAAACCCCTAAGATAATAACCAAAATACGAAACAACACTCTACACTTTTTACAAGATAGGGATAAGATGGAATGATGCATAGAAACTACCATGGTTGTGAGCAATTTGGTTTATTCTACCAATTTTCTACATGCCTATTCATATCTACAATAAAGCATTCGCCTTTTTCCTTGATGCGTTGACATAAAAATCATAAAAGAAAGCTTTATTCTACATCTATATAGAATATCTACTCCCAATATGTTTGTCTAAACATCCATATAGTTTATTTAAATTTATACAAGTTTTTTATATGTATTATAGATGATATATGCTTTTAGATAGCCATTTATAGAATAACATATTTTATCTAAGATAATGTGCATGTTTTTGATATTATAGCCATTATATAAATCTATAAATTGGGTTTTATAGATTTATATATCAGTTATATTTGAATAAAACTTACATAGATTTATATAGCTTTTATAATATCAGATAATGTTTCTAAATTTAAAAATTCTATATAATATTATAAAATATTCACTTCGTTTCATATAATATTTTCTGATTCATAAGCTGATTATAATTTAAAAATTCTTTAGCTATTGTGATGTCTTCACTTAACAAATGACAACTCCAATAATTCGAACTCTTTATTAAATGCTCTTGATCATCAGTTTTTTTAGCCAGGTTCCCTGTTGCGGCAGAGTGATTACGACAGCAATAGAAAGACATAGCAACCATGAAGAGCCGTAGCAACCATGAAGAGCCGTAGCAACCATGAAGAGCCGTAGCAACCATGAAGAGCCGTAGCAACCATGAAGAGCCGTAGCAACCATGAAGAGCCGTAGCAACCATGAAGAGCCGTAGCAACCATGAAGAGCCGTAGCAACCATAGTAACCATAGCAGCCATACACCACAACGTCAGAGATTGTCTTTTTCTTCGATTGCTTACGTTGTAGTGATAACCCTACAAAAAAGGTAGTCAAAGCGATGGAGAAAAATAAAGAAGGAATCGTATATCTCTGGTCTTGATGATCAGTGTGGTGGACTTACAAAAAAAAAAAAAAAAAAAAAAAAAAAAAAAAAAAAAAAAAAAAAAAAAAAAATTTCAAAAATAGTAAAAATATTACAGGTATGCCGAAATTACAAATATGCCATTTGCGTACTCAAAAAAATGTTTTTTGAGAAATAATAAAAGCTACTATTTCAAAATAGAAACCACTGTTCTAGAATAAATCAAGAATATTTTCTGCGATGACAAAAAATAAAAAAAGTAAGAAAATTCTGATTTTCTGCTTAAAATTAAGAAAAAAGCTTGTTTTTCACTTTTTCTATTTTAAAATAAAAAACAAATCTACCAACTAGTGATCCTTTGTCCAAACTAAAACAGTAAAATTATCATCCAGTCGACTCATTTATTTATTTGAAACTAAAAAAAAAATTGTGAAGTTGGCTTTTTTTTATTAATTTAAATCAGAAAATTAAAATTCTCTATTTTTTTTTTATTTTTCACTACTGCTTTATTTTGAAATAGCAGTGTTTTTTTTTGAGAAATATTTTTTTGAGTACACAAGTGGCATACTTGTAAATCGACATAAATGTCGACAGGGTTTGAAAATATGGGTATATTCTGAAGTTAATACTGTTCACATCATTATTTAACACTATTTTTTGTTGATGTTTTATTAAGTTTTTGCTAGATCTCTACTAAATTTCTGTTAATAATTAACTTTTAATTTACAGCCAGCATTTGTCATTGAATAGGTTTCGTGCTTGTTCCTTGTCTATTCATCGTTGGTAGTTAACACAAACAATCTTGAATAAAGGCTATGGGATCAGTACATTTTTATGGTGGTTTTATCTACACAAAATTGTTGTTTAGTTGTTGTTTTTCATTTTCGATATGAGTTTATCAGAGCACAATTCACTTGCTAAACTATAATGATGCTGCTATTAAACATCTATCTTTTTCTTACTTCTTTTTACTCGATTAAAATTGATTGCAGTTTGTAAGTGTTGGTAAAGAGAAAAATAATAATAATTGTTAAAGCAGAGAGTATATCTAAAAAGAATGTCGAACTTTGAAATGTCGAACCCTCTTCTTGCCTAACATTTATCATTTGTTATATCCAAAACTGCTCTTTTTGACCCAGAAAACGCCAAGTGTTGTAATAGAACTTGCTCGCAGATAATATGCGTATCAAAAGGTATATAAATAAGTGCCTGCCTAGTAAGCAATATCTACTGAAAAAGGCTTCTTTTGTACTGATTATAGTGTGCAATGAGTTTAATTGCAGTTTTGAAGGCAATGCTTAAATGGAGTCGCCTTTTTCATCCTAGCAAACTCCTTTTCTTTTTATCAGAAGTACTTAGAAATAATCTGGCCTCACATTGGTTGAATTAGACCTACATTGGGATTAACCTGATATTCAGAAATTTTTTGATAAACTTTTTTCATCTTCAACAGCTCTCATAACCCCCCTCCCCATAGGTCAAAAAATGATATTCACCTAGCACTCAAACCAATGATTTTACTCAATTTCTAAGCTTGAGATAATATGCTTTAAACAAAAAAAAAAGAGCTCTGTTGAGAATCTAGTTGTCGAGCAATGGCGCATCAAAGATTGGCCTACTTAGGCTGTGTATTGAGTGTTTTTGTCCTAGATGACATGTAGAAACTTTTAGCTATAAACTTATAGGAGATATAATGCATTATTCTGAGTGATAAAGAACATAAAAAACAAAACGAAAATAGAGACGTTTTGTAAGGCGGACATACAGCCAGCCAGTATATCGGAGATTGAAAACAGAAAGCAACTCTACTTCTTACCGCCGCATCAAAATTAAGCTTTGCCCAGCAAGAAGTTTCTTCTGCGGCTTGGAAGTACTTTTGGATCACGCCAATTACAACCGTACAGAGAAACGTGATGTACCGATTTCTAACCCAAAAGATTCCCACTCGCTTACTTCTATCCAAGGTTTTTCCTGCATTTTGTGTGATGATTAGGAGACTGTGTAGCATTTCTTCTTTTGCTGCCCCCAAAAATTTCCGTTCTGAGATGCCTTGATCAAGGAGTTTTTGTGGCCAGGCACCTCTCTGGATATAGTCTCTGATGCACTTGCATCTTTCAATTTTTCTCGGACTCGGGCTCAAACAAACTGTCCTCTTTCAGTAGCCATGGTAACCTTGGTCGGTCTCTCTGAGATCTGGAAGGCCCATTGGTCCCATACCATACAGAACCAACCATTCTATTACCTCTCTGTTCTTCACAGCACTCGCTATCGAATTAAGCGTATAGCTGCTGAAAATGACCTTTCATCTTGAGAGGTCTTTTCTCGCAATAGCTGCTCTTCTTTCCTTTATATCTTTCTACTTTCGTACTATCGTACCAATTTGGTTTTTCTTTATATTTTCTTAAAGTAAATAATTGTCGAGCACCTCTTTTAGTGGGTCCCTCCCAAGACCACTAATACGTGCGGCAAATAAAATCATCAAAAAAAATTAAGCTTTTGCTGAGAACTGCATAAAGACGCAGCCATTGGGCTTTGGTTCAGTGACAAAAGTTATAGGTTCTTACTTTCTGAGCCTATTAATGTAGATAAAATAGCACTATTACTGATGGAGTACTGCGTCGACGTAAATAAAAATGTTTGGGAGGTTTTTTGTTCATATCATACCATTTTTATAGTACAATTGACAAAAAGATATTTTGGTCAGAAACTAGAGTCCCTGGTGAACATTCTGAGTATTTGAGCTCGTCGATAGCTTCATTTTTTGTCTTATATAGTAAAAAAAAAAAAAAAAAAAAAAAAAAAAAAGCTTAAAAAGCTGTCAAATTGAATATTTCCATGAGTAGCACCTTTTGGTTCAGAGGCCATTTTGGCCAGATTTTACAAGTCGCTTTTTTCCCCTAAATCAACTCCAATGGTACTTTAGGTGATAGTAAACGCTGTTTTTATGTATATAAAGGATTTATGTGTATATAAACAGGCTTAATGCTGCCTTCATTTGTCTTAGAAATCCTCGATCATCAATGCACACTTATGCACAAAACACAAACCATTTTTTTCTTGTTATTGTGTGTCTCGAACTTTCGATTAGTTATTGAATCTATTAAGATGTATATGTCTTTAAACGATTGACACTCAAAGCATAAGTTAAACCATAAAAAATTGAGTACGACATGATGTTCCATTTTTAAACTATATAATACTTGGAATCAGAGTAAATTAGCCACAAATACAAAATTTTAAGTTTAGGAAACACCCAGAGCTTGTTATGTATCATTAGGTTACCATTTATAAGCTAATTGTGCTTATAAGTATCATAAAATAGATAAAATACATATCATAGCACACGATGTTGCATGCAAAACCCTATGTTTAAAGTTGGTACAGTATCATGACAAATCTTGCGTCAAAAATACCAATTACTAACCAGAAATAGCTAGAAAAGATATTAAAAAAAGTAAAGACCACACATTCTGATAGTTGATGCAGTCTTTCACGTTCATTTCTTTAACAAAATAAGCTAGTATTAATTCGTGAAATATACTTTTTGGTATCAATAGCCATAAAGAATTACCCTGGAAATATTGCGCCATATGTTGGTTTGCAGTTCTTGTGTAGAAGGCGAAAATTGCTCAATTGTACATCATATATGCAGCTTCTACTATGCAATCCACGATAAAAAAATCCTTTTACACCAGTGCACATCTTCGAAAGGTTAAACCAGGAAAAAGTTCTGTAAAAAAGTGTACATGACATATGCAGGTGCTATACGAACATTGGTATTGAAATTGATAACGTGTGTAACATGTCTTCGAAAGATGAGTATTGGAGTTATTCTAGTAATTTTAAGGTTGGTCTATCTTATCATCACCAACTTGAGAATTCTTTTTTATCATTGTTTATATTGGCTCATTCATATGTTTTTCTTTGAATATTGTGTTTTGCTTATTGCGTCTTTCGTTTTTCTTTCAATGTTAAAAACACAAAAGAAATATGTACTTGTGTAGCAATGTCAGAGATTGACGGTCACTGCAATTGATCGCTTTTTGATTTTGAATCTCGTTTCTTATTCGAGAATGTTTTCTCACGCAAGTCGAGATTTTATTTCCTAAATCGTAATATCAAGGAAAAGTGCTTACTGCGCTTTTCTACCATTCGTGCACGAAATGTCTTCTGAGTTTATTCTTTCATAAAGTGAGCAGACAAAATGTGAACAAATATATGAAAAACTATTTGTTTATATGAAGCGGTACACAGGAAATAAGATTAATCTTATAAAGTGAGTAATCTTGGATCATATGCTATCGTAGATCGTCGCCACTTGTAAACTTTTCTGGGTTCAATGATTTTTTTCTGTTTGGCAGAGAATGACTCAGAGGAGATTGTTTCACACAATCACGTGAATTAGGGCCAATGAGGGACCTCTGATTACTCACTTTTAAGGTTTTGGAGGTATTTAAACATGATTGCAGGCCTTGCTTTTAAACTTTTTTTTCTTCACTCTCTTTCTCCTTTCTAAAGAATCAAGCATGTCATACACTACTCCTGCTAACCTCCACTCCAACAAGACTGAAGAAAACGGTGCTGAATCCTTCAGCATCAAGGCTGGTCTTGCTCAAATGTTGAAGGTTTGTATATGCTTGTCATGGTTTGTATCTAAACTTTATTAGGGTGGTGTTATTATGGATGTCATCAATGCCGAACAAGCCAGAATTGCTGAAGAAGCTGGTGCTTGTGCTGTCATGGCTTTGGAGCGTGTTCCCGCTGATATCCGTAAGAATGGTAAGTTTGACATACGCGCCGTACGTAGCAAGTTTATTGATATTCTTTCTTTTTAGGCGGTGTTGCCCGTATGTCTGATCCCAAGATGATCAAGGAAATCATTGAAGCTGTCACCATTCCTGTCATGGCCAAGGTCCGTATTGGTCACTTTGTTGAAGCTCAAATCATTGAATCTATCGGTGTTGATTACATCGATGAATCCGAAGTCTTGACCCCTGCTGATGAAGCCAACCACATCAACAAGCACAACTTCAAGGTGCCTTATGTTTGTGGTGCTAAGAACCTCGGTGAAGCTCTTCGTCGTATCAACGAAGGTGCTGCCATGATCCGTACCAAGGGTGAAGCTGGTACTGGTAATGTTGTTGAAGCCGTCCGTCATATTCGTACTGTCAACGCCGAAATCCGTCGTGCCTCTGCCATGACTGATGAAGAACTCTATGCTTATGCAAAGGATCTTCAAGCTCCTTATGCTTTGCTCAAGGAAACTGCCAAGCTTGGTCGTCTTCCTGTTGTTAACTTTGCTGCTGGTGGTGTTGCTACCCCTGCCGATGCTGCTCTTATGATGGTAAGATAGTTTTCTGAGTGTAACATACCGATGGGGGATGTGATTGGCCCCATTGGGTTTAATTTTATAATTTTTTTACTGATCCATCTACATCTATAGCAATTGGGTTGTGATGGTGTCTTTGTTGGTTCTGGTATCTTCAAGTCTGGTGACCCCGCTAAGCGTGCTAGAGCTATTGTTCAAGCCGTCACTCACTACACTGATGCCAAGGTTTTAGCTGAAGTTTCTGAAGACCTTGGTGAAGCCATGGTTGGTATCAACTTGGATGAATTACCTGAAAATGAAAAGTACGCTAAGCGTGGATGGTAATTCTTTCTCTCTTTTTATTTCTCCCTTCTTCACTTGTACAACTTGTATAGAAACTCTCATTTTCTCATATATATATTAAAATAAAGAGTATTTTGTATTTTTATTCAGTATTTTAATATCGAGACAATGTTCAAAAGAAAAAAAAAGCGAGGTTTGCATGGGTTCCGAGACAAATAAACTGTACGACTTCAATGAATGAATGTTTTTCCTAACAAGAAGGTGTGATGGAAGTTTGCGTATAATTAAACAACTTGATAATACGATTTGTGGCCTGATAATTGTGTCTTTTCAGAGCATATATGGCCTCCGTTTTGTGATGCATAGACTTGATTCGTTGATTGACGAATGTGTAAAACCCCAAATTTGTTAATAGTTTTTTCAAACCTTATTGTTCATAGGTCTGATCTTGCTAGTCAGATCCGTGTGATACACGGTCAAGTGTGAGTTTTTGCTCTAGTTACTCTTTGAAAAGTTTATTGAAATCAAGCCAATGAATCCTAGCCATTCGACTTTGTTTTTATGCAAGGGATTGTATTTATGACAGGTCTCGAATCAAAAACCTGCATACGTATACATGTTTGCTCTTATCGTTTTATGCATCCAAAATGGGTCTTTGTTATTGAACGTAGATCGGATGTTTGCTTTTCCATTGTTGTATTGTTAAATAGCAGTGTGGCTGTGACGCAATTTCTTATTCCTTTTTAGACACTGTTTGCGGGGTGGATTAAGTTTAAACAAAAAAATCCCTTTTTTTTATTTTCTCTTCTTTATTCCTTTTTTAAAACAAAATTGTACGTTTTCAACAAATAATGGCCTTCAAGTTTAACTGGCCAGAATTCGATGCTGTATTTTATACAGAGGCCAAGGCACAGTTAGAAACTGCCTTAAATAAGGGAAATAAACCTAAAAACATTGTTGATCATATCTCAGTAACAGAATTAAATATGGGCACCACTGTATGTCTATTTATCTCTGTGTAATATTAATTCTCTATAGGCCCCAGACTTGGAAATATTAGAGATTGGCGAACTTTCCACCGATACATTTCGTGGTATTTTTAAACTGACTTATTGTGGAGATGCTTATATTGTTATTCAGACAAGAGTACAGGTAAATGTGCATAGGGTTATATTTAGTATGCTAACAAATGTACAGGCTAATCCAATGCATGCAAAAGAATCCGATTTGCCCCGGCATACTCGACCCAATATCTTGGCTGCTGATCAGCCACTCATTGTGCCAATGCTTTTGAGAATCAGTGACCTCAAGTTACGAGGTATTGTGGTACTTGTAGTGTCGAAAACAAAAGGCATCACACTTGTGTTTAAAAATGACCCTTTAGAGAGCATCTTGGTTAGTTCCACATTTGATGATGTAACAAGTGTCCGAACGTTTCTACAACGTGAAATTGAAAACCAGTTACGTAACTTGTTTCAAGAAGATTTGCCAGCCATGATACATAACCTCAGTTTACGATACATTCAAGCTGAACAAGAAAAGAAGCAAAAGTTTTCAACCACTCGCTCCGTATTTTCTGATCCCGGCATGAGAATAACAACCCCTAAAAGCAAACAAAACGATTTTGATGCGTTTTCTATGCCAGACCTTACGCCTCAACCTATGTATTCAACAAGAAGCGATATTTTTTATGATATACCAGCCTATAGTAGTTTCAGCGATCTCTATTACGATAAAAGCGCTCCAGTCACTGCAGCCAACTTGTCTACACTCAATGCACTATATAGTAGTCGATTTGCAGCACTCAAAACACCACCATTTTCCGAACAAGAAAAGACATTGGATGAGGATGAATATTCATCCTGTCCGTTTGAAGAAAACGCTTCTTCTGTGAATTCCATGGTAGCAGCCGAACTCTATGCTGACGATATTGATGCACCATGGTATATCACAGAAGGGCCTTCTATTGATATCGACAATCAAAAGACTTTGACATTGGACCAGGACATTGTCCTGAATCCTCAAGAAAATACAGTGGCAGCCAAGCTGGCTAAGCTCGCTACTGTACATCATACCATTTCCCCCTTTTCACACACATTTGAACACTTTACATTTCGCTCCTTACCGCATACTGTCAAGATTGACAAGAAATTGAAAAAGAAACCCAGGAGACGTATCATTCGATGGAACACCACCCAATAATGCTGATTATTTATTCCCCCTCTCCCCCTCTCCTCCTCTCCTCTCCTCTCCTCTCCTCTCCTATTTTTTTTAAATGTATTTGTAATTCTATTTTATTCATAAAGATATTCCAAACAAGCAGATCTATAAAGAGGTATCCATTGTATCTTCTTTGGTAGTCAAGCTTGGTTTGTTTATACCGTAACCAAGAAACCACCACCAAATGGCTTCATAGCAAAAAACAAATTGTCTTAGTGTCTGAACCATACTTAAACGTTGTTCTCTAAATCGAGAGATTGTCTCGAGTAATATATCCTTCTTGCAAGCACTATCTGTATGCGACAAACGGTACAAAACAGTATCAATAGCACAAAAAGCACCTGATCTTCCACACCCAGCTGAACAATGGACAATCATAGGCCCAACTTGATCCATGGACGCCTGAGCTTCATCTGCCATCTGGATGATCTGTAAAGTACCCAATGGGTTATCCGGCACACCGAAATCCATCCAGCCTGTGTATTGAAGATGCTTTATCTGTCGTTGCATGGTACCCTTTGTGATGAGTAAATCACGAATAATGACCACATCATCTTCATTATCATAGTCAGGGTTCATTTGAGTCACTTTGTGTGTAGTTTCATTAGTAAGTACAACAGTTACATCACCATATTTAGTAGGTGCATTGACGACAGAGGGCCAGTATCGATGGCACTTGATCTTGTTCATTTCTTCTTCTTTGGTCAACATGACTAACACACGCGAGTTTTGCTCCCAAACCACTTGCCAGAAGTCATTAAATGTAGTAGGCAATGGGCCTTGTGTGGAAATATAACGACGGTAAGGTTGATCGTTCTTTGTTGCACATTCTTTCATGATCTTGACACATTTCGTATTTACCTGATCAGGTCGAGCATCACTAGCACCTTCATCACTATCAATGTACTGAACATAACTTGCATTGATATAGTCTGAAGATTTTTCCCGTATCTTGACTCGAGTGTATTCTAACTAGGGTGTCAGCACTGAAGGCATACAGGTGCGAAGCTTACCAAATGGCCAGATGTTTGTGTATCGATTCAAGGCACCCATTTCGATACCAGCAACGATACTAAAAGGGAATTCAGCAGGATTGTCTGTATGTTTTGAATGAAAATGCATGATGTTCTGCAATCTTCTTTGTTCTGTTCTTTCCAGTTTCTTGATACAAATCAGATGGTGAATACAAAAAAGAGAAAGAGAGAGAGAGACAATAACTTACTTCATACATTTCAGCCAACACTTGAGCACCATTTTCACCAAGTGTGAGTTGTAGCCATTCCGGACCTTTAAAGAGATTGTTTTCTTTGTGACAACCCTCCATATTACGCGGAATGACGGTATCGCTGAGTTGAATAGCATCTCCTACCTGACTACAGTGGGGTGGTAATCTGATAGGAAACCGTTCACGGATAGGGCCGTGTGATAACTCCATATTTTGACGGATATTGGAGAAGAAGGGGTTAAATGCTTGGTTTTCAAACTGAGGCATGGGAGCTGTGAATGGCCCAAGCACAGGAGCGGCAGTGGGCATATTACTAAGCCGTAATTTAGGTCGACCCTTGGCGGAAGGCAAGTTTAATGAGAAGCTATCGCCACCTATTGTAGGTGGACCAAAATTATTATTGGTAGGCTGTGGTGAGGTAGCATTGGATTCACAACTTTCTTTAAAGGTCTCTGAAAACGCATCAAAGCCACCTATAGTAAACTTTCTTAGCGTCGTCTTTCTTTAGATCTTGTACCACCTTACCCTTTAAATAATACAACTGGCCTTTATAGCCTGCTCGGACCAGTTTAGCACCTAAAAATGCAGAAGCGCTGTTTTCTTGTAGTATTTGTGATTGCTGATCATAAAATACGATATGTTTAGCCGACTCCCAGCGTCTTAGTTTTTCGCGTGCTTGGTCTAGCACAATGGCTTCATAGACTTTGTCTAGTGTGAATGTAGGTCTCTTGAGAATTGTGTTTGGTATAGACACATTGATAGAACCACGGATTCTTGAATGTGAATATTGAACAAAGGAGCGGACATCCAGAACCAACAATGAGTCATTATTTTGGGTAAGCAGCGCATTTAATTTGGATGGTTCAATAGATGCAAGCGTGTTTGTTTTTGCAGCCGGCTGTCTTCGTGCAGCCAAAGATCCCATATTCAAATTAAAACCGCTATTGCTTGTAGCAGGTGAAGTTGGACTTGTGAGTACAGTAGGTTGACTGGCATGACGAGCTTGAATAGCATTTAAAAAATCTTGATGAATAGAAGGATTGATAGGAGCAGTGTAGTATGGTGTATTTGTTGTTGTAGTCTGCTGCTGCTGTTGTTGTTGTTGTTCTTCTGTTTGGTTAAGCATGGATGGCATATTTAAAGGAGTAAAATAAGCTTCACTACCGTTTCCTCGTGTTGGCGACTCAAAAGCTAGACTCATGGCGATAAAGAAAAAAAAAGAGAAAGAGAAAAAAAAGAGAGAGAGAAGAGAAAGGGGGAGAGTAGGAGAAGAAGAAGAGGAGGAGGAGAGAATAACACTATTGATGTGACGGTAAATTAAAAAAAAATCAAAATTGAATCCAGACTCTTTGTTTTGTGTGACAAACCATGTCGTCATAGCATCGTGCTCAAACACCAGCAAAGGCAAATATCGTTTTTGTTTACTGACAGCATTTCAGTAGTACAATTAAATACAAACGTCAAAGCATTTTTTTTATTTGTTTTGTTACAAAAAAGACAATAAGCTGCTTTTTTTTAGTTCTTTTTTTTATAGCTTATTTGAAGCGCTTGAATTGATCACGGTTGACTTCAAAGTAATGCTTCATAGAATGAGGCTTGCGTTCCAAGACTTTTTCAAGGTCATCATGATAGTCCTCCAAACATCGCTTATTGGCCAATCGCATGTATTCAATCATAGTTTCAATCTTTTTTTCATTGATGAATTTGCCAATAGGGAAAGACCAATAGCCATCCTTGCCCTTCTTAAAATCATTGTCATTGCTTGGACGCTCTTGGAACATCTTATCATCCTTCATCTTTTTGAGGAACTGCTTGATTTCGTCTTCAGAGACTTCCTTAAAGTGCAGTTCCTTAACTTGCAAACCTTCAGAAATTTCACGGGCCATATGTTCAGCAGGCATAGGATGCATCACAAAGTTGTAAGTACGCTTATGATAAATTTCTCCTTGTTCTTGTTGACTTCCTCTAAGTTTTTGATGTTGCTTCTTGGCCAACATAAAGACACCTTCACAGATATCATTCAAATCTACTGTAGACCATTTGACATCTTTCTTGACAGGAAGGGCAAGGACTCTTTCAGACTCAATACGAGGAGCAAGATAGTAAAAGAATTGGTTGTACAACGCATGACGAACAATGCAGTGTTTATCACCACTAAAGTATTCCTGGACCATCTTTTCAATTTGACAAAACTCCTTAAAATTATGGAATTCAGAGCCAGCACTTTCTTCTTCTTTATGATGCAGCTTGTCAACACCAATACTAATCATTGATTAACAAAAGGCCATTTTATCAGTATTTTACTTACAAAGACATCATGGCCATATGCTCAACACCTTCTTTCTTGGCACACTTCATAACACATTCAGCTTCCTTGAGTCGCTTATCAGAGTTTTCAGGGATAAATAACAAGCTGCTACAGTCCTTTAAGGCCTGACAGACTTTATCATGGTCCATATAGTCAACTTGTACGATTTCACATCCCATTTGTTCAAGCTTGGTCATACCATAGCCAGAGCGATGACGGCAAAGAAGACGGAGCTTTCCTTGTTCACCTTCTTGACGAATGGCTTGCATAAAGCGGTAAGCCAAAGCAAAACCAGTAAGGGAATCACCATTGGTAATACAGCAGACTTTCTTGGTAGTGTTTGTTTGAGACATGTTTCGATGGTAAGGTTGATTTCATGGTATCTCTTTGCCCTTTTTATATCTTTTCCTCTCTTTTATCACTGATCTAGTTGGAAACAAGTTTTAAGAAAAGTTCTCACACAAAAAAAGAAAGTATCAGCTCACACGCAAGTTTAAACAAGTTTAATAATAGTTCTAAGCTTTATTTTTTCCCTCTTTCATCTTTTTTTTATATATACACACACACACACATCATATTTTAGTATTTTTACAACTCAAGAAGCACGACAGATAACTTCACCACCAACATTCTTTTCAATGGCTTCTTGTAATTCCAATACACCACGGTTTGTGTTGACAATAGCAATTTCTCCAGGTTGAAGAGGCTTGATGAATTGAGCTCTCTTTCCATTGGCAATATGCTTGAGTTCATTCACAGTAAAATGTACCTTTTTAGAAGGTTTGCTAACAAGGTTTAAACGGGATAAAGCAGGCAAGTTTTCCTTGTATTTCAAATTGAGCCAAAGACGTCGAGTGGCTACATTTTCATTGGTAGTGGGGGTATAGCTGTTGTCAGGTCCAACATGATTGCCTCGAATGACAGATGTCAAAAAACCCTCTCGGTAAAGAATGTTGGAAATAGCCAAATTCATCTTAGTTTCGGGTATCGCAACTGTCTGAAGTCGAGCACGAAAACCGTTTTGGATTCTAGCACAAAGATCGTGTACACGAGGCATTTTAAAGGGTGAAAGGAAAGAAAGAATCTTTTTTTAATACTAGGGGGTCTCTTAATTCTTACCAGTCCATTTAGCCAATCAGTGAACGCAATGACGCAGTCATAAGCCACTTTTCTGAGCACTTCACCTAGAGTTTTGTTCACGCTATTTCTTTTCGTGTTTCTTTCTTGTCTTCTTTCTTTCTTGACGTCGTATCAATCTAGAGTGGAAAACAATATAAACTAGTACAAAATGGTAAATAATCTTCTTTAAAGATGTGTCTTACTCATCATGTTGTTAGACGTCCAGAAGCTCAAAAATGTCGAATATAGTCAACTATCGACTTCGAATCACTTTGTCAGATTCACGTATTTTAACTGGTCAAATGTTGGCTTTCGATAAACACATGAATCTTGTATTAGCTGACTGTGAAGAGTTCCGCAAAATCAACAAAAACGCCAAAGATGCATCAGCAGCTAATCTTGAGCAAAAGAGAACCTTGGGTCTTGTTATTCTCAGAGGTGAAACCATTGTCAGTATGAGTATTGATGGCCCTCCTCCTCCATCTACTGATGATATTAGATCAAGAGCTCCTGGATTGATGGCTGGTACTGGTATGGGAAGAGTAAGTATCCTATTTCATTGCAAGCGTGATATGCTGACGTTTTATAGCCTATGGGTCGTGGTTTGCCTGCAGCTCCCCCACCAATGGGTGCTCCTATGGCTGGTCTTTCTGGTCCTGTTCGTGGTGTTGGTGGTCCTGCTCCTGGTGTAAGTATAATGAGAAAAAAAGACAACACGTCTCATTCGTTCTCTAGATGATGCAACCTAGACCTGGATACCAAGGTGCGCCTGTTGCTTATGGTCGTCCTCCTATGCCTGGTCAAGGTATGCCCCCACAAGGCTTCCGTCCTCCAGGCATGCCTCCTATGGGCTTCCGTCCTCCTCCTGGTATGCCTCCTCCAGGTTTCCGTCCTCCCAACATGGTAAGGCATTGATCCTGTAAACATATTTTATTCTAACGTTATCTCTATAGCCTCCTCAAGGCTTCTCTGGCGCTGGCAGAGGCGCACCACCACCAGGAATGTATCAACGACCTCCTCCCCCACCTCCTTCTCAATAAATTCAGCAAACATCACTTTTTTCCTCTCTTTCTATTTAACATGCTCAGCAATAAATCTCACATATCCCTCTCTTTTATAGTGTACAACAACCTCTCTATGTTTTATTAGATGGGCAATGACAATTTGAATGAAAGGTGTGGACCAAGCATGGCGGGTGCCACTAAAAGGCCTATAAATGCAATAAATAAAATAACAAGTGAAATACCATAACACACTGCGATTCTTCTGCGCCTGGATCTTTGAGCAACAGAATAGATGGGTTCCTGAATTTGTTCACTTGGTTTCAACCAGAACAGCATCAGTGAATGCCATTTATCAATGCCTGGAATGAGGCATATCAAAAACAAGGGAAACAAAATAAAATGTCCCATAATAAAATCAGTAGCAAACAAGCTCATCTCTATTGTCTTGCAAACGAATTCACGCATGGGTTGGGTTAATGCATACCATCCAAACTAGTCATGAAAAGTGAATATACATGTCGTTATATATATATAAGATTGTCTACTTACACCACGACCATACCATCGACCCGTCCACCACCCTTGGTTACTTTGTCCATCATAAAACTCGCGTGTCAATAACAAGACTGTCATTAGCTTAAACACAAAACGCTGTACAGAACCAACAGCAATCATGCCTAATATAACTCGCTTCAGTTCCCAATTCTCCAGCAAGTAAAAGGCTTCAAAGAACAAAATGAAGTTAAAGACAGACCAACCATGCGCAATAGCAGCAATTGTCGCTCCAAACTTGACACCACAACATACACCAGCTACACAACCACCTAGCAAAGAGACCATAAATAACACCATAAGAATGCCAGCATTCAATAAAATAGGACCAAGAGCAAAAGCACCCACACGAAGCAAAGCACTGGGTCTTTTAGATGCATCAAAGCTCTCAATAAATACATAGGCCACAATACTCAAGACAGCAAGCAAAAAGGGCAACAAGATTTCAGAAAACAAGACGACACTAAAGCGTGCACGGGATTGTTGTTGTGTGGGCTGCTTGGGATCCAATTGCTTCTTTTTGACACCTGTGGTACGCATACGAACAAAACGACAGTACTCAATCCAAGACTGATGGTGTGTACTGCCATTACCTCGAGATAGCCAGCGAATGTATTCACGATAATCCATCAAGAAATCAGTCAATGCAAATTGATGTGGGTTAAACAAAAAGGGAGACAAGATCAGGGCCATCACGGTAAACCAGAAATAGGCAAGGTGAGGAATCCAGAGTACAAGAGACCCAAAGAACAAGATCAAGAACAGACGAGCACCAACATACATGCTTGTATCAGCAAATCGGGAATAAAGCAAAGAAAACGGCAAACGAGCTGTTGCAAAACCACGGCCTGTACCAATGTATCTAGCACCACCAAACGTCAAGTTGTTTAAGATCGAATTAGCATAGGTCTGTGTTACAAAGATTTCAAATAAAGGTGAAAGAGAAAGCATATGCTTACAAAGCCTACTACATGCTCTAAAGAAGCCTCTTTCTGTTAGTTCTTGTAAGAATAAGGGCAAGAAAGAAACAAAGATAATGGCAAAGATAGAGATCACAACACGGCCTAACCATTCAAAAATAGGCACCAGATTATAGCATCCTTCAGATCGCAATGCAATTCCAGCTGCATCCACTTCGCACACAGTTAATGGCATACTCGTTGCAGCCACAAACAGCAAGACAAGCATAAACATATGAACGGACATCATGATAAAGATGTTATTGACATGAAAACCAGGATGAGCATAGAAGAAGGTCAAGAAACGATCTAAAGGTAATTGGGTGCCCAAATAATAGTATTCTCGAGAGAGCATTTGTTCACCCATACCACTGCCAATCTTGGTAACAAAATTAAGTACAGATCCAAAGCCAAGATCACGACCTTTACCACATTGGAAATACTCTACATGTTTGATGCGTCCACCACGTCCAAAAGCATTCATACCAGCATAGATATCTTCATTTAAATGGAGTCCCTTTTGTGCCTTAGAGACACCACCCCGTGTTGTCATGTATATGGCATTCAGAAAATCAGGATGACCATAGTGAAGTCTTCCTCCAATAGTAGCCATAATACGCTGGGTCAAAGTACCAAACGTCTGTTCTTTACCAGCAGCCACATCACCCAATACACCCACATTTTCGGAAAAGATGTATTCTCGTGCGCCTACAATAGCAACAGGTGTCTTTCCAGTCTTGTAGTCTGCATAAGGCGAATCATTTGTCGGATGTATCTCTTCAAATTCGCTCAAGACATTACGGATCTTGATACATTCTTCTAGATAATTATCTTGATTGGCGTCAATTAATTGCAGATATTCACCACGATAATAAATCAATGCTGTGTTTTGATTGTCAGCTTTACCATCACCGAGAATAGGATTACCGGGCAAACGGATACGATACTTGGGTGATCTTGTTCCATCTGACCTAATAGTGCAATGACCATCAATCAATACAGTGTAAAACACAGGCACGTCTTCTTCGGTCTCTTGTTCAAGATAAGCAATTTGTAGATCAGGGTAGGCCTTTAGAATATAGTTTACGTTTTCTTTTTCTTCAAGATTAAACTGAGAATAGCGTTGCATAGCAACCAGAAACCTAAATTTACGACTTGCCATCTGTTCAAGTTCTGGTTCTGTAATACTGTCTACCAACGAAGCAGTATCTCCAGATTCATCGATACCATTGAGAGAAGATCTTAATTCAGGTGTTTCTACTCGATACAATAGCTTGATGGCCTTGTGGTAGTTCATAAATCCAGAAATGGTACGGAAAAGTGTTTGCGTGCGCAAGGAGGCCCATATACGTGTTCTCAGCGTGTATTCAGGACTAGAAGACTTGAATCCGACACAGTAAAAAGGTAAATCATCAATCTTGTGTTGCTCTTCTGTCTTTTCATCGATAGGTGTTGCGGACTCAAATAATTTTTTACGGGTGGACGTTGATCTATCCTCTTCCGCCAACATGTCGCTTGTTTCATCAGCAAATATTTTAGTATCCTTGACAAAGTTCTCCCATTCAAATGGATGCAGTTGCTTCAAATATTCCAATAAGGTAATTCGGGCATTCTTTTCTTCTTCTCGAATGATTTCACGCAAGGACAAGATGATCTTTTCACCATAATGAGGTGTCATAACAGTAAACGTGGGCATGTTCGGCACAGGAAGCGATTCAGGCATAGGTGTAGTCAAACTTTGAGCAAAGAACTGCATTCGACGTTCTGCTTCACTTTTTTGTGGATAATATTCAGTTTCAAAGGCAACATCTTCTTGGGAAACAAAGAACGTAGGTGGTTTGAGTGTAGGCTTGGTGGTTTCGGTACCAGCAATCTAATCAACGAGTTAATCACTTATTACATGAATCATTGCCTTACCTGTCTATACAATAACTTGGATACGTGATCAGCGGACAGTAAATGTTCTCGATACATGGACACAACCACTGCATTCCAAATTTGAGAACACAACATCTTGGGTTCTATATGAAAATCAAATTCAGAAGCTGCCAAGATCTTGACATAAATTCGCTTAGGAAGTCTTAGAAACACATTACGCCATGGGCTCCAGATGGATATACCAAGATAGAAAGAGCGTGCGACAGAGAACACAGTATTCCAAATAACATACCATAAATAGGTATCCAAGAAAAACAAGACAAGCTCCATAACTAGCATCAGTGCAAGCATGATGGAAGGCATGTAGCTACATAAAAAGGAGCCCAAGATAGCATCATGACAATTAGATACTTCCATACTAGCAATCGCTTTGAGAGGATCCTTAAAAGAAAGCGCCAAGAAAAAATAAGACTCAAGAAGCTTGCAACCAAACACACATGCCCATAAACCTATAGAGATAAGACGATCTTCTTTCTTGAGATGAGGAAAGCTGGCGGTAAATGTCTGGCTTGCAGGTGTCTTCTTTTGGTCACTGATTGTCCTGCTCTTTTTGATAAATAACCGAGATTGAGGCATTAAAGCAAAAAACACACTAGTGATTAAACTAATCAGGAGTTGAACTAAGGATACAACCATAGAAATAGTGCCTGTTCGTTTGATCACCAGGCAATAAACAGAAGGCCCAATATTAAGAATCAAGACCAAAAAAAGCAAAGCAAGACGCCGAGAAAGGATACCTGCTCTTTGGAAATTCATGGGTACATAAACATATTCAACAAAGCTACCAAGCATCACTAATAATGTAGCTACTGCACCACCAAGAGCAGCCATAGAGATTTTTACAGATGTTTCGTTTTCTGCTGTTTCCTTGTCACTGCTCAAGTAAAGGATATCAGCATTTGCAGCAATATAATACCAAAATGACACAATATGAATAATCCAAATTCTTGAAAAGTTGACAGCCAAGTGCATCCAAGATCGCTTTTCTTTAAATGTCTTTTGAAACGCTTTCTCCCAATGAACATCTTTGAGTGAATTAAATCGTAAGGGTGGATCGATACTCATCAGCTTTGTTTTATCTTGGAGCTGCAATCGATCAATCGTCTCTGGATACCAAAAAAGCTGATTCACATCATCATATCCAATCACATTAGCATGGTCTCGGTCTCTTCGAACAAAATCCTGCTGCTTGTCCTTGCGATAAACTTGACATTTGACAAAGTCATATAACGGCGATATCACTTTATCTAGAAAATCGCCTTCAGCAGCCATAAAATCAGAAGATTGAGAGACTGCGGCTGTCTCTAGTTTAGTCTCGGCAGCGTCATTTGCAAGCTTAAAGATAAAACAAAGTGCCTCAGGACAGAAACGAATTACCGATGCTTCTCCCCAAATCATCAACCATAATGCTAGTTGTCGCACTCGTTCGATATCTGACATGTGTTCCATGCTCTTTTGCCACGTTTGTTCTGCTTCTGTCAAAGTGATCTGCTGCTGTGTCTTGCTGTCTGAGCTGTCGCTGTCTGCCACATTCTTTGCCGCATGTTTGTCACCGACTGCATTATCTAAATCAAGCTGAGCTGCAAAATACCATTTTCGATAGTTTGCGTTGGGTCCACCAATGTAATCTGCATGCAGGGATAACAGCGCCATTGTTGGTGCCATACGCGAGGCACGAGAATCAAGCATAACCATAAAATGATCAAGCATATTGAGCATGCTGTCATACTGAAACCCAAAAACATTCTTTAAGCTGACAAATGTTTCTTGAATTTCTTGATATGAAGGCAAATGAAGCGATTGAGATGTAGTTGTCCATGCTGGATAGGGTACATATCTACCATTGACAAGTGTTTCTGAAGATAGATCTTGTTCTGGCAAATTGGGCTGAGGCGTTTGTAGGCCGCTATGAGTCGATGCTGCTGAAGTAGTTGCTGTGACACCACGAGGTGTCTTGGTTCGTTTTAATTCTAGTAATGCTAATAACGATTCGCTTGAAGGAGCACAGCGAAGATATCGATCAGAATTGTCAATATCGTCTCTCAAGTTGTTAAACATGGGCACATCTGCTGAAGGCAATGGTCGCTGCGAACGTTCGTATAATGAATGAGATGTAGAGGATCTAAATGAAGAAGCCGATTCGTTCCATTCAGAATTAGGTGTAATTCGATGATGCTTTATTGGTGGAGGTGTTTCAATAGATGAGGGTGGCAATGGAAATTGGTACAAATGCTCTTGGAAAATCCCTATTTTGTGTCTGTTTATTGTTTTTGCTATATATCCATTCTCTTACCTGATGTTGATGCTTTTTGCGGTGGATGACTAGAGAAAAAAATGGAGACATGGTAAATAAACATATGCAACAACAAGAATCTCTACATACGTCTTAAAAGATAAACTGTGTGACAGAAATGAATGCTCTTGTTCTTTTTGGTTAAAAATACTGTCAAAGTACTGATGCTGCTGTGGCTGAGGAGAAGAAAGATCGACTTGTTGACGCTGCAGATACCCATTTTCTTGGCTATATGAATGCTCATCATTATTTTTTCCTTTAAGATTTGCTGTCATCAAAGTACAACACTTTTTTTTTGCAGTAGCCAAGGGAAAAAAGTTGCAAAGCAAAAAGTAAACCTTCTCTTTTTATATATGAGTTTGTTGGAATGGCTATATATCTATAAAAGCAAAATACGAACATCCCTGTTGTAAGAAATCTCTAATATTGTTATTATTATTAGATTTAAGCTTCCTTTAATATATCCATGATTATAAAAGCAGTAGTAAGGTAGAAATTCAATCAATAATGCTCCCCATGTATGCATAAAATTAAAGAACACCATGTACATTCCGTGTCCCTGAGTTCATTATCCCCTTGCATGTACAATTTCACCCTTATGTAGGCTCCTTTTATAAACAGCAGCAGTACGTTTTTTATTTAGTTATTTGCCAACAATCACTCTCCACATATAGTAATAGAAGAGTTTTCCTAGATTAGACATTTGCTCTCGTTCAGCTCCTTCAAATACTGTCTTGTCTGTTCGTTTTTCACGACTCACTAACCAACCTTCAATGCGATTTTCAGAATTAATACGTAAATGAATCATAAAGTCCATATATCTAGCGCCATATAGTAACAAGTGTCGATGCCCACCTTTATAAAAGTCCTTTGAAGTGCTTCTTGTAGCTGACTTAACCGTGTCTAAAGCGGCATGCCAGTCGAGATTCATGTTGAATACAGTTGCCATATTCTTATCTGCCTCAGTGATGTCAACACGATCAAACTCGCTCATAAGTTGGACTAGTTCAGGATGCTCGGGGAGTGCTTTTAAGTTTCTCTTTGGGCCTAGGTCTGCTGTATAAAGCTTACTCCAGTCATGAACTCGTTTACTTCTAATAATAACCTACCAAAAACAAATTAAAGTTTAATCAAACTTTGAATGTGCTTCTAATTGTGCTTCTTAAAAAACTTACTTCAGAAACAATACTATCCAGTTTTGTTCTTGCACTTGATACAATATCCAATAAAGTGAGTCCTTGTTCTGGAAGGGAAATATCACATAGGTCCTTATAATGAGAATTACCGCTGCCTTTAGACCAGCTAGGCTTTGACAGCGTTTCTGGTAAAATAGGACCATGATACACTACAAGAACAAAGTATTCAATAACAATGCTTGTGGCATTATCTAAGTCTTGTGTTGGACAAATAATCAAAGTGTATTTCCAATTGGAGCTTGTTGAACACCTGGTATTAAACGACAGGTCTGAGCTAGAGATACCTACACCAGCATATCGATTACTTGAAGGGATGTTGGATAGACCATGACGAGGAGCGTTTTTAAACAAACTGCCAAAAAAAGATTTAGATTGAATGTTGTCAGCTTCAAACCTGTAAAAGCCATGAACAAGACGATTCTTTGAGTATGGAGGAGGCTGTTGATTTCCTGTTGCAAAATGGCGTACAAAAGATAAAATATCCAATTCAGGTGGTGTTTTATCTGGAGAATTGAGCATGTCTTGAATATAACGTAATTGAAAGTCGTACACAAAAGAGTTGATATGGATCATTTGTTTAAAGTGTCCAGAGTTTTCTTCAAACTTCTTAAAATTACTACGTTTCTTAGATCTGGATTCAGGGCGGAAACGGTTGTAATCCAAGCGGCCATATTGTCGATGTAAGCTGTACAAAGTGACACAAACAAATACACCGGTCAATCGGATTTCGCAAATGATTGAGCCGCCTTCAAACACACGAAGTAGATAAGTAGATGGGCATTCTGTCGTTGAGTGTTTTCCAATATTAAACTTTGAGACTCTCAATACACTTTGATTGTTATCCACTATGGTATCACCCTTGGCAAAGTCAATGAGCTGCATATCAGCACCTTCTAGATATTTTGCATATTCAGACATAAGTGCACGAGCCATATTTTGAAACCACTTTACAATAAGAGCCCTTCCATTAGAATCTTCTGGTAAACTAGACCAATCCCTTTCAGGATCGCAGAAAATAATAGGTGTTCTACAAAAATGCAATATGCGGGAGGAGCGCATAATCGTTGATACCTCAGGTCGAGACAATCTCTCCGTGTTCTTTGCTACATCCACTTGAGGATCACCATATCGCTTTCTCCATTTGAGATAAACCTTGAGCGCCTTACGATGAGCAGATTGTATTTTAGCCCTGCGTAAAAATGTCTCGAGGAAAGGTTGGCCATGGCGCCTAAGGATATCCATGTCTTTGCTTCTAACAGTATCTGCAACAGAGTCAGTAATAGAGTTCATCAATGCACAATCTAATTCAGCGTTGCGAATGAGTGAATTCTGAAGAATGCGATCAATGTGCTTTTCTTGTTCTGTTTGTCGAGATATTGAGCTGTGATTGTCTCCTAGCTTTGTGTCCAGTTCTTCGTGAGAGGGTGCAACGGTAGGAAAAGCAATCATATCCTTAAAATCAAGCATACTAGCAGAAATAGGACTAGGGCTACTGCCCATCATCATATTAGCATTACGTCTCATGGGATTGGGTGTACGAGGATTTGATGTTGTATCTGATTTGATACTAGTATCGTGTTGTTTAGTGGTCTTCTTAGTTGACTTTGGTGAGGTGAGGTGTATATGTGGTGTTGATGCTGGATGAGCCGAACCTGTAGAAAAAAGAGTGGTTGATAAGAATTTCGTAGGACTTGCTGATCCTGTTGTTTCCAGTGTTTCAATGACTGTCTTGATAGGTGTTGTATGATGGAATAATCCCATCTTTTGATGCAGTATATTAGTCATAATATCATTGCGGGCTTCTTGGCGATTTGCAACACGGAAAATACCATCAAAGAGTTCTTCAGAAATAGATTCTGACCAATTGTATGTATAGATAGATAATCTATGAACATCAAGAGTCATGATCAAAAAGCAATGTTTCCCAGGGTTAACATTAGGACGATGTCTAGCAATAAGGCCAGAATTAGACAAGGCGCTAGAGGCTCTAGATTGATCTTGTAAATCTGATTTGCCTCTTCGATTGTTTCCGCCTTCAGTCATTGCAGATTCGCCTGAGCTTCTTCTTGATCTTGCTTTTAGACTGTCAGTATCGCTAGTTGCACTTGGTCTTCTATCTGTGCCAAATGAGGTTGATACGCTTCCTAGTTTTTCTACAAATTCATCTAGGCCACTTATAGCTACAAGTCGAATATTGTGCTGTAGTTTCTGATGTTGACGGTATTGAAATCCACGATACAGCTCCCATTTACTATTGGGACTAGGCTTGTCAGTATCGTCTCCCCAAACATCATTGCCTATCGATGTCCAGGCCACAGTAGGTGCTAATGATGGGTGAATCTTGCGAAGTTCGATATCAAGGAATCTCACAAGATCATCCATACACCACAAAGTTGTTTGTATTGCTCGATCCATGCAGCAAACTGTAGGGCTCTTGAGTTCAGAGGACTTTTTCAAGATAAACAGGACAGATTCAATAAACTTCTTTCGAACAATTGTTCCCAGTCGACCTTCTTTCTTGTTTGAAACTGCCTTCTGAAGCGCACCATCCAAAGATAAGGCAACACCAAGATCAATCGTTACTGTCTTTTCAATAAAGTAATCACAAAGACTTTGTTTATAGCATTCATAGACATGTTGCATTAGTGCATCGCCATCTGCTGAACCAGTGACCCAGATATCGACCCATATATGATAAAAAGTAGCCCCTGTTGTTGCTTCCCTAAAGTCTTCTTCAAGACAATCATAGATGACCTCTGGATCAAAATTGGCTCCAGACTTGCTATTGTCTTTTAGACTCGTAACGGGTGTACCTGTCTCATCTAACAGAGTCAAACAAATACCGGCAATGCCTTGACCTGCTGATAACTCAAGTGGGGTAGATGAGCTTGGTATACGTTTTGTGCAATTGTAATAAAAACAGTAGGCACCAGGAGGAATTTCTTTTATCATCTCTCCATGTCTAATGAAATAAATTAAATTCATGCATCTTGTTTTTCTCCTCTTACCTTTTTGGTCTATGAGCGGATGATTCTTGAATTGCAAATGATTTTTCTGAAAAGAAGATATGATCGTAATAACTCTTGACAACTTGTTGAACATAAGGTCCCGTTAGATAGCGAATATTGTCTGCCGTCAGAGATTGGCCAAAATATTGCATCAATATGTATGGGCTGTTGACCAGACGAGGAATTCGTAGAACCTCTCTTCTTGTTGGTGTTTTTGAGGTTGGAATAATAAATTCTACATCCTAATATATTTTTTAAGAAAAAAGGCATGCACTAAATGGCTTACTTACTGCTATTGTAGGCTTGGAAGTTGTGTTTCTAGCAAAGAAGTGCTGTACTTCGTTTAGAGTGATTTGGGAAATTAATCTGTTTTCAATCATGTTGACAAACTCTTTTTCAACCCAAGGGGGCAAATCAATACCAAAAACTTCTAGTACAAGCTGTCTCTTGTCATTGCTTGGTACTCTGTTGCTACTCATTCCACGTGAACGAGGAGATGTAGAAGAGTTTTTTATGATATCATGTTTGGATGTAGAATCCGTTGTAGAATTAAAACCGACTAACGTTTGTGCATCATCTTCTGTAGGTTTTCCGCTTATTGTTTGTGCTGGTGATCCATATACAGTGTTGGGTGAGCCTTCTGTCTCTTCATCAAGTAACTCTTCATATATTTTACAATAGACAATCGATCCATCACGCTCAACGACAAACATGTTGGATCTGTTCATGACAGTAAAAAGTCGAAGAACATCTGTTGTAAGGAACTTGAGCGCAACATTGGGTTGTAGGCGCCAGTGCAATGGGAAACGTTTAGTATAAATAAGGGGGCATGAGAATTCGCCAGGCAGAAACTTGATTGTATTCAAAGGTTCGTCTTTGTTAAATGTGTCTTTGCCTTTTTGGTTTGTGTTTTCTTCTTCTGATTCTTCTTCATCGGAAAGCATTGCCTGGGTTTGTTCTGGACTAGGCGCCTCTAAATACTTGCTGCACATGCGAGTATCTTGTAGGTAATTTAACAGGGTCAATCGATTCGTTTTTTCTTGGACTGATTTGATCTTTTCTCTGATAGGATTCAACACTTCTAACCCAGGACCGAGTATCTGCATTTTTGAATAAAAGTAAATTTGAATATATCTTTCTTGAGGGATTAATATCAACCAATAAAGAGGACGTTTTTCTAGCGGTATGCTTGGTCCTTCTCTATCACTCATGCACTCTTCTTCTTCGGCTCTTCTTCCTTGGGATAGACTAATGCCTAATCCATCACAAAATTCATCTTCTCCAGCTGATAAGTGAGTCTCAAAATGTTCGGCTTCATTAACTATAGGAGATACATCGGTAAACACTGGAGAAGCACTGTTTGAATAAGAAGACTCTTCGCCCATATTGAAAATCGAGTCTTGACAAACATAAAAATAATCATCCAAGCGTCTTAATTGATATTTTCGGTTGCTTTTGCGACAACAGTCTTTTTCAAGTTCAAGCATAAACACATCCCGACTTTGGGCATAATTCTTGACAAAATGAAATGGAATCTTGAAAGAGGTTTGATACTCTGCATAAGGATTGACCATGCTGAGTTGGTATTCAACATACTTCAATGTATAGAGCGTAATGACAGGTGTCTTCAATAAGCCATGGATAGTCTCTTCTTTTAGCAACCAATTTAATCTCGAATCTGTTTCTGCTAAAGCCAATTTTTGGTCTTGTGTAAGTGATGAAAAGCATTCGGGTTGTGATTGCATGAGTTGAATCAATATATTGTCGTTATTAATTGAGAACAGGTTTTCGGACATTGTGTAGTCGTTCGCATCAGAACGAGGTAAATTGAGACAAATAAGTTGAAGATAGGCCTTTGTGCTTCCATCTGCTAAAGGAAACATATCACTTATAGTGTTTTCTTGATTCTCGAAATTAAAACTAGTTCCGTCTGTTGTTTTTCCAGTGTAAGAAGTCGGCAAAGATATAATAGGAACGGTGATTTCCTCTTGTTCTTGACCTCCTATAGAGCTTGATTTATAAACTACAAAGAGTTTAATCAACAAAGGTGATTGTGAATGCACTACAAGATCTACAACATGGGAGATCTTCTCATCCATGGTCATATTCTCTTGCTGTGAGCTATTGTCATATCTCTTAAAAGGGGGCTTGTAGTAATACAAGTTTGAGATAGATCCATTTTTGGTCCTTACAGGTTCAAAATATTGATTGAGAATAGCATTGAATTTAGCTTGTATTTCCACTTCCTGTATTTCGCTAAGACCTTAATGTGAGTATGAGGTACATGCAATGGTACAGCTTACCTATGTACAGATGTATGCCTTTGCATTGTCATTGTATTGACAAATTCAGTCATATCAAGTTCCATCAAAGACTCGTTGCATACTTCAAGTGCCTTGCTTAGGCCGTCATCGTCCACCACAAAGCCTCTCATTAAACATGTGTAGAAGGACTTCAAAAAGCTGATAGAGTAATGTTTAACTATGTCTTGAGCAACACGAAGCACTCGATCTGTTAGCTGAGCTTGTGGTTGACAAGAACTATATTCTCCTTCATATAGTTCTGGTCGCAACATAACACCAAGCCCATCTGATTTGTGGATAAGGTATTTGACTGGCCTGATAGTAATTTTATCTGCATCATCAACCACCTTTTCAATACGGCTTCGATTAGCTTCTTCTAGAGGACTTGCAAAAAGTAATTCGTTTTTTGTAGGCCTCATTGGCTTTTGTCGTATACATTCAAACATGTACACATCTAAAAAATGGCAGTTTTCCAACGTCGACTTTGAGTTTGCCTTTTCGTCTTCTTGCAATTTAAGTAAACCATTTGAGATAGACTCCAAGTTAGGTAAAAGAATGACAACAAAGGATCTAGGATCAAATGTCTTTACAAAGCAACGAGTTTTACGAAGATCCGCAATGGATCCTACGCTAGAAGCCCTTCCCTCTTTAATGACTGATTGCAAAGCCTTTCTCAGGTCTTGCCAGAAAGAAGTCCCTATATCATGATGTGAAATGAGGATTTCCCCACTAGAAACATAATCTAGCGAACGCTCAACAAAGTAATGCAATAAGGCATAGCTTTGTAGCATGGCGTTGAGCTTAGCAATAGTCTCTTTGTTTTGGTTAAGCAGTGAATCAGGCTTGAAACTAAACAGCTTTTGAGGACTATTTGTTTCAGTAGTAGTACCCACAGGAAGAGCGTTATGTGTATGACGACGAAGATATCGTTGCGTCTTGGCCTGCGGTGCATTTTTTCCCTTTAAAACAGGAGTAGCGCATCCTGACTGATCGTTTCCTTCAAGGTTGCTTTCGTCAAAATGAGATGCGAGTGATTTTAGCTTAATTTGTTGATACTGTGGTTGTTTCTGTTGATTTGGTAGTGAAAGTACCATCTTGTATTGTGGTGACTGAAAAGATGCTACAACAAACTTGTTTGACTTCAAAACAGAAGCAATATCAAACAGTTTTGGAAGTGTCATGACAAGTGTATTATCTTCCATTGAAATTGCTGCATGTGTCCCTCTACGTTTACTCTTAAAATCGCCAATCTTCTTTGACCGGCCAACATCATGTATTTGATCAAAAGTGACGAGTTGAGAAATAGTTTTCTTGTCAGGTTCAAAAGTCCATCGCTTGACTAATTCGTACTGATCAAAGTCGAAATTGCCACTAGGTTCCATCCACCATTCAGTCGTAATGTTTCCGCTGGCTGGATCTTTCCATACAAAATATTGTATAGCACAAACAGATGCTTCTTTACCATTACGTCCAGGCAAAGTTATTTCCTGATAGAATTGAGTACTGTCAGGTCGAGGCGAAACAAGTTGATAACCCTAGTTTTTTTTTAGTCGTTTGCTTCATACATGTGTCTATTACTACCTGGTCCAATCGTGCTTGACACAAAAATTGAAATGCTAAATCATGTACTGGCATCATTTTGTTTTCTCTGTGATATGCATCTTGACTATTGTCTGTTTGCCAACACCATGTCATATGTTTAAGGTAATCACGCACAATATATTCACTAGTTAACCACATTGCTACAGGCAAATACCATGCCTTTGCTCTACTCTGATTCTTAGTCAAGTTACCAAGTATTTTTTCGGCAGTTCCATCACTTTCAGTTGTAGTGGAAGGATCGGCAAAATGCTTCGGATCACGCATCAATAGACGAGAAAATGGACGTCTGCACACCATATTACAAGGCATCTTGGTCTTTTCGCTTGTTTCGATCAAATATCTCATGTATTCTACAGTTCTTCTTCGAGTGGCTACTTCGACGTTAAAGAAGAGTAATCGTAATGTAATAAGACGACCATATTCATGTCTCACTCGTAATTCACAGAAAGCAGGAGGGTATGCTAATGAAGCCGAAAAGTAATCTTTGACTTGCTCATCAGCATTGGCTAAAGGACTTGAACTTAATTTGTGCATCAATTTAACAAATGTACCGTCTTCTGCCTCAAAATCTGCCCATTCTTTGATGACTTGTCTGACATTATTGAGCATGAGCAAGATATCTTGTTCAATATTAGACACAAACTCTTGATTATAAGCTGAAGTAAGCTTTGGTGTCATGTAAGGCGAAACATCGCCTACTAAAAGGTCCACACATCCAGGGTCATACCAACACCTTGTCCTTGCCCTTGCTTCTGAACTATTGAAACGCTCCCAAAAGTTCTTAAAAGCATCCACAAAAGTAGATCTTCTTTGAGCAACAACAATACGACTCAACATTGTATTTGGATTTTTTGATTCTGAATGAAAAGATGTTGATAACAGTGAGGAAGCGTTGGAGTCATTGTTTGATCCTAGGCCCACCCAAAACTTGTTAGGAAACCCAATGACTGTCTTCAATACTTCGTCGCCTTCGTAAATATCAGTCAGGTATGTCTTGAGTCTTTCAATTTTTGAATAGATAGGGGCTGTATGTGTGTCTCCAACATGAATTGAGCCTGTCACCACACCCATCATTTGAGCTCGCCGTCTAAAAACATCCCAATTCTGTAACATATGTGCAAAACTAGCGTCTGTTCTGACAAATATTTCTGCTCGAGGTGCTTTTGCTCGAGAAAAAATGCCGCTAGACATCAAGATATCTTCGTTTTTGTACGAGCTGGGTGCATTGCCAATAATGGTTGGAAGCCAAGTTGCTCGGATTCGAAATTCTATCGTTACATTGGGCTGCCATCGCATTGTCATTAGGATCTGGATTCGTTCCTTACGTAGAGTAGCTAAATCAGATACTTCTAGGTCGTGAAGACCAGACTCTACATGCCTGAATCCAGTGCCATCGTCAAAAAACACTGACTGAAGTGTGAATCCTTCACGTGCTCTGGCTGCAATAACATGCGAAAACTCTGCTGGTAGTGTGTATTCTCTATATTTGAGTAATCTCCATTCGTCTTCAGGTGCTTTTGCATATGGATCCCAAGGAAAATTGTATCTCATGGATGAGATACTATTGTTTGCATCCCTCATACTATTTCCAGATATTTCCCGGCGATTGAGTTGTGATTGCGAATCTTTCTCTGCTTGTAACCTTAATTCTGAGTGATGATAACGAGTTAATACTGTCTCTCGAAATAGAAATTGTCGATGGAATATATTAGGTGTTTGAATATGTTTTGCTTTGTTGATATCAATAAACTGTACAATAGGATACTTTTCTGGGTTGGTGGTATTTTGGGACTCTTCATTACTCTGATCAAACACAAAAGTATTTGAGTCAGGATTCGTCAAACACTCTTTGGAATACATGAATGTTCCATTGGTCGCACGAGCCAGAAACTGCAGGATTTCTGTATCAGGTACAAACCCAAAATTGCGTCCTGGTATAAAGCTGCTAGCGAACCCAATTTGTATAACATGACAAGTAATATCTTCTTCTGCAAACTGTCGTACAAATGTATTGTCATGTACGTTTGATTTCATTGCACCGTCTGTAATCAATATAAGCTGTGCACGACCTTGTCTTGGTAATAGCTTTAATGCGAAATGACCCGCATGCAAAATACGAGACAGATTTGCACCTGATTTACCAATACCCCATACTTCTTTTTTGAGTTAGAAGAGTAAAAAGAAGTATTTGTTGGTGTCTTTTGTTCGTTTTCTAGTGATTCTTTGTGGATTTTGCTTTTGGTAAATGATTTGGGTGTATTGATAACGCCAACATCTGTAGGAGGCGTTACTTCATTTCCCACATCTAAGTTATATCCCATTTTTTGTCTATTTCGTCTCATGAACTTTCTAAATTGAGTTGTGTCTTCTTGAAAAGCCAGGAACTCTGCTTTTAGTTTTCGAATGATTGCACGAATGTTCGATACTGAGATCACTTCGTTCTGCATAAATACTCTCATAGTTGGATGCTCGGCAAGCATGGGAATGATGTTGATATTGGACGCAAATTGAGAGCAATCTGCCATTACAGTTAAGCGTAACGATGGTTGAACCTAGACCAAATTTAGTTTGAATGAATCGACAGGAGAGAATAATTACCACCACTTTTTCTGTAGGCGATACTTGCATTGAAAATGGCTGCACCACACCCTCTAATGAGTTCCTTAACCTAATCAATTGTTGTTAATTTTCGTATAACAAACAAATCAAAATCATACGCTTGAAATACTTCTGATAACAATATATCAGATCGAGTGTTACCAACAGTTGCCAAACTTGAACTCAAATCAACAATATAGACTAGTCTGTTTTCTTGGTTCATTGTCATGATGCTTGTTTTTGGTGTAATTACATAGAGCTGATCTTTATTTTTCTTAACATCCGATCTTGCAGGATCTACATAGGTCTTTAGTATTTATCCGAATTAGTCGAGAAAAATAAACCTTGATTTATGGAGAAATCCGTCGCCCAAATCTTTCTTCTACTTCTCGATAAATACAAGACATTTTTGCCCTAAAAAAACAGATATGAATTGAAAATTGATTGACGTGATCATTACATACTTCCGTTTCTCTTCTTGAGCATGGCTGGTACAAGATTTTTAAGAGCCATTGTGTGTATTCGTTTTTAGTACATAACCGAGAATTCTTTAAAAGAATGACAGCTGTTTTTGCTTCAATAGGCTTTTGAAGTAAAATGAGTTATTGCTTTTCAAGAAAAGTGGTTACCTTTTGACCTTCATTTAATGCAACGGGTTTTTTATATTCTTTGCAGCCACTAGAAATGTTATCTTCCGAAATGGTGGTGTTCAGCTTGGATCCCGTCTTTGCTGACATGTCAAGAAGTATTTTATTGTTTGTGCATGTAGATATGAAAAAAAGCAAGGTGGTACAGCATCTAAAAATTGAAAGCTAATTACAACTGATCGTGAAAGCAGTCACTTTCATCTTAAGCAGCTCAACATTTCGTTAATGCAAAGCTATCAGTTTTAATGCACGACAATGGCCATAAGATGTACGAAATAGGTGCTGAATTGATTTTCAAGAGGCTTTTCGGTTGAATATTGAATAAAATATCAAAGAAATATGCTTATTTGAATTGTAGTTCAATTGTGCAAAGGCTCAAACCAACCTTTGCTATCTTGTTAGCGGATCATTTTCACAAGTGCAATATCAGTTACATTAGGAATAAAAAACAACTAGTGAATTAGAATTCGTACAAATGAGCTGGATTATCGATGCCAATTGTCACAAAAACCTAGCCAGGAAACATCATTCAAGTTTCTTGCATAAAAGCATATGATTCAGCACATTTCATGTAGAAAGAATAGTAATTTTAAAGATGGAGTTTTGTTACATGAACAAAGGAAAAACTGCATACAACCAAAATTATGTATTGTATTCAAGAAAAGCTTCTGTTTAATTGTAATTTAGAGATAAAAATGATCCTTTTCTGCTTTTATAGATGGTATTTGACTATGTTTTTCTTTAGCCAAAAGTTCAGTGATTTCTAACTCTGCCCTTTGAATACTGAGTCTTGTTTCCAATTTAGACGCCATGGCGTTTGCTTGTCTTAGCTGTTCTTCCAGAGCTAAGATACGCTGGTCTTTTTCTTTAGATTCTTGCGTCACTTTATGTAACTGTCTTCTCAAGTCTTGGATGATGGCTTTATTATTGTGTTGTAGAAGTGTGCTGCTCTGTTCACTCACAGGGGGGAAGGAGGCAAAGAAATGCCAACATCTTCCGGAGAAGTCAATAGGGCAGCTGTGGTATCGTTCATAGCCACAGAAGACGAGGTCAGGATCAATCTTGTCAGATGATCAATACGCTCTTTCATAACGTTTCGAATAGTTTGCATACGTTGCATTTGCTGCTCGTGATCCATTCGTTCTGCTAGAATAGCAGATTCTGTCTTTTCTTTTTCCTGCTGTAAAACTTCTGCAGTAGATTGTAATTTAGACTTGAGCTCAACAATTTCAGACTGGTATTTCTGTAAGAGTGCTTTATCATTCATGACAGCATCATTTTTAGCATGAATAGTAATGCGCTTGACACGAGAAGCGAACTTAAGCGTATTAATTGATTCTTCAACTGAATTCAAGGATGGACTGATGGCACAGATCACTGCGACTTTGGCTTGGCCTGTAAGTGCTGTCTGCAAAATACGTGTAAGTTTGGAGTCACGGAATGGGATATGAGCCGGTGGTTTGCCGTTACTAGTTTCAGTCAGTTTAGAAATGACAGTACCGAGTGTCAATAAACTCTTGTTAATGTAAGAGCCTTCTTTTCTTCGCTCTTCATTAGAGGCTGCCTTCTCTGAGCCAGCTAAATCGATCAAGTTCTATCAGGGTATTACGTGAGTGCCTTACATACGCATACATGTATATCATATACCAATTGAGAAATCTTCACAAGTTCTTTGGGCTTCATTCCATTGACACCATATCCAACTGAAGTCAATGTTCTTCTATGACTCGAGAGTTGAGTGCTTGTACTACTTCTTTCTCTGCTTTCAATAATCATTTGAAACATGGTATGACTTCGACTACTGTGCAAATTGTAATCTGTAGAACTGATATGTCTATTGGCTAATTGTAAAGTATGAACAGGATGTTACTTGTACATGCATGCTTACCTTCTCCTCGTTCAATGATCCTCATCACGTCTTCTGGAGTAGTAACGACCTCTTCTGTAAGTGGGCTAACATAGATACCGCGTATTTTGTCTTGATGAACCTTTAAGTTGTCATTGGATGGGTTCAACAAGTCTTTAATGGTTTCATTATATATTTCAAGGTACGAGACACGTAAAAGGAACTCTCTTGTTACAGCCTTTATTGAGGTTCTTTATTACTTTTTTTGCATAAATCGTTTGATATCCTAAATTGTAACAAACCTTCTTGATAAAATCAAACACATTATGAACTGACCTTGGAATCACACCCGGTTCTGTTTCATTGCCTAAAATGAGAAAAAAAAAGCATGAGCTTCTGTGTATCATTCTGTGTGCTCTTGTTTACCCATCTAAATTGTTAAAAAAAATCATGCAAGACAAGATTAGAATGACAAATGTCTGTCACATATTTACCATTGTCTATATTTGTGTATAACCAGTGAGTCATTTTAGATATAAAGAAGCACTTACAAAAGTTTTGCCACTTGCAGTTTGACCATATGCAAATACAGTGCCTATCCAAATACATAAATCATTTGTTTATTATGACTTAATTATACCATTATATCCTTCCATAACTTGGCTATATGAAGATTAGCCTTGGCTTTACTTTGACACTCCTTACTTTATCAAATTATGCACTGTAGTTGAATACAGCAATTCATTATCACTTCCATAAAGAACATTATCAAACATAAATTCTTGTTGTTTCTTTAGACGCATGTCCTCCTTCAGTATGACTTTGTATGGCTGAATGTCCCAACAATTGTCTTGTTCATGTCTTCCTGGTGGTCTACAGCGAACAGTCACTTGGACATTCTCTGCTTTCGATGCTGATGATATTGTCCTCTTTCTGACTGGAGTACTGCTTGTAAACATGTTTATTTTCCCGAAGTTTTTTGTTTTATAATGAAGAAAAAGGGAAAGAAAAAAAAACAACAGGTAGGCCACAATTTAAATAAAGTTCAGATTTTAAATCTATTGTTCGATACAAATAAAGGAAATTTCCTTTTGATGTCTTTTTGTGTTCATGACTGATCCAGTTTTGTAATGTATAGTCAACGATACAACTTGCTTCAAAGTAAGTTTTGGAAGCATTGGTTGCAGTAATCCAAGTCAAAACTGGCATTTTCTCGAGACAGAAGGCTTGCTACAATCATATACATACTTCATGACCATATGCATGTAATCTATGTTACTGCTTACCATTAGGCGAGTCACAAACTAGAATTTTCAAAGCAAGACAGAAAAAAAAATACTCATATTTTCATTCCATTGTACATATATACATATCAGACATGTCAAAGAAAGTAGAGGCAGTGACACCAGGACAGCGCCTTGGTTATGCAGCGGACTATATACAAGGTCCCGGTACATATGAACGCGATGGCTTATTGTATGCTAGTGTTGTTGGGCAACGATATATTGACCATTCAAAAGAAGATGGACAAGTAAAGCTGATCAAAAAAATATGCATATGTTAACATGTTTTTGTGTATAGTTGCCTACTATGAGGGTGTCTCGGGAAAAAGAACAATCTGCAGTACCTGAAGTTGGCAGTGTGGTAAGTCAAAAGAAAAGGATCATCGACACCTAATTCAAGTATAGATTACAGGCAAAGTAATTCGTGTATCACCTACTCAAGCAGTAATTGCAATTATGGTCGTAGGTGACATGACATGTAAAGAAGATTTTATGGGTATTATTCGGTAAGTGTCTATGTTTAGGTATCTAAATGTATTAACAAAAAAAAACTATGCAGTACTCAAGATGTAAGAGCAGCAGAAAAGGACAAGGTCAAGATTTATAATTCATTTCGACCAGGCGATATTATTAAGGCAGAAGTAATTTCGCTAGGTGATGCCAGATCATACATTTTATCCACAGCCAAAAATGAACTAGGTGTTATTTTTGCCACTAGTGTTGCTGGTGCTACTATGATTCCCATCTCTTGGCAAGAAATGCAATGCCCCAAAACAAAAACAATTGAATTACGTAAATGCGCTAAACCTTCCGCATAAATAAAGAATTTATTGTAAAGGTGTACTTGGTCTTTTTATATTTACAGGCACTTCATCTGGGGCGTATTTCCATTCAGGATGATTGTACAATGCTATTGTATCTACACGCTCCCATTTGGGTGAATCTATAGAGACATTAGGTTTATGTGTTGTTTGTTTGTTGCTTACCTATAGCTGAAGGATGATGTAATTTGCCTTGTAAGTCCAATTCCATTAAGCTTGTATGACAGGCAACATCACGATGAGTTAACAACTCAAAGAATTGCTTTGGATGCACTACACATTGGTGTCCATTCAAATAAGCTAAATAGGTCAACACAGCTTGGTCTTGTCTATGATTCAATCGACTAGATCCAGGAGGAGCAATACAGTTCTTTTGAAGTGCACATTCAAACCAAGGTGCAATCAAAGTATTGACTATTGTAGAATTATCTGTGTCAAACCCGATCGCAGCGCCATTACAATTCGACTTGTATCGGTATTCCTTTTCGTTTGCACCGAAAAACTTAAACATGCCGCGGTGAGTCCATCGACCCATGCCATGATCGCTCTTGGGAGACCAAAAGCCATGGTATTCTTCTGACTGAATGACACTTTTGATGTTGAGGATAAAATCTTTGGTCACTTGATTGCCTGCATCGAGCCAGACAAGTACACCACCGTATCGTACACGGGCATCATTTACGATCCCTGTCTTCCAGCCATATTGACCGGCGTCAATCGCTACATCCCAAAAGCGGGGATAGCGCTCATGATCAAATGTGATGACTTGATTGATAAGGCCCTTGTTTTGGAGTTGATCTAAAATCGGTAATTGAGTTCTATTCATTCCAATATTGTAGACAGCGACTCGAGGGAACTGGCCTGGAGGAATGTCTGCACGCAATTCATGCAAAGAGTATAAAAAGTTTTCTAATGAGCATAAATGATTGGCACTTGATCCTGTTACGATGGTATAAGGATACTGTTGCTTTTCCTTAAGTGTAGCTACTTGAGTTTCTGAGTTGAGTTGATCTTTTTTTAAATTAGGTGGCACAAGACGTTTAGTATTTTGATTTTTTTTTTCTTTTTAGTTACCATTTGATACGATTCCTAGCTGTAAGTATGTGCTTGAAAAAGAGAATATCAGAAACCCTATAAACCCTGCAATTACAAAGAGAAATAGGACCATTCTTTTTGAACGTGATATCGAAGAAGATAGTGCCATTTAAGTATTCATAAGGAGAGGAGAGAAAGAAGATAAAGAGAGAGAAAGAAAAATAAATTTAAAAACTCCTTATTGGGGGTTTTTTATTTTTTTGTGCTGTGACCATATTTTTTTTTTGTCTTAATCAATTCCTAAAGTATGGTTAGTTCATTCCTTTCTTTTTTTTTACGAGACATAAGCCTCACTTTTTGTTATGTCTCTGCTTGGGCTACTTTTTAAAAAGAGAAAAAAAGAATTGCAATAGATCATCATTTGAATAAGGCAGTAAAACTAAAAATGTAAACATATGTTTAGTATAATTGACTCCATTCAAACAAACGCCTGCTTGAAAACAGAAACAGACCTTAAGGCAATTTTTAAAGTTGCCGAAAGCATTGTACTGAACGAAATGAAGTACGAAGGAAAACAAACATTCTTTAGTGACAACTAAGGCAATTGGAGCAACAAAACGCAACCGCAACATCTGATATCTTGATAATGAAATCGGTAGGGCATCTGGAGGTACTTTCTTGTCAAGCGATGATCCCAATTTCAACGGAAGTGTGAACATATATATCCCTTGTTCCATAGAATTATTATTACTATCTTTACGCTGCATCGTCGTCTAAAATACAGTCAGACCCCGATTTTGTCATATGCTCGGTTGGGCTCATTCGCATGCCAAAGTCGAGGTTATGATAAAATCGAATCAATGGCTGCCTTAATAAAAACAGTCCCTATATATAAATTGGTACCTGAATTAATAAAAATGTTAGCATCCATTTACTGTTTATTATACTCAAAAATGACAGTTCAAAGAAATACTCTAGAAAACAGAACACTCCCTGGAAACAGAAATACTCCTACTACAATCTCATCTGTCATTGGAAACCAAATGGCTAAACGCTTAGCTCGAGTTACTTTTATTCAGAGACAACGTTTACAAATCTGCATTGAGTACTTCAATGAACCCAAAAAAAACCAAGAGTACATGCGCCATTGGGCAAAGAGAGAGTTCAGTCTCTCTCAATTGTCTTTGCAATCAACAATTAGCAAGATTGTGAGCAAACATGAAAAGCTGGCTCAAATGCCTGATAAAGACCTTGACTCAAGCAGCAGTAAAGAGGCTAAATATCCATGTCTCGAAGAAAAATCATAGAGCTTGTTGATACCATGGAAGCAGAAAACATTGCCATCAACAAGCATACAATCCGTGCCTCTATTATTCATGCCATGTCCACCAACCCTGACTTAGTTGGCAATGGACAAGCATTATGCCTCTCGAACGGTTGGTTAAACAGGTTCATGAAGAGACATGACCTTTGTTCGAGACAAATGAACGGTGAGGCAGGATCAGTGCAGATCAATACCGCTGCAGTACAAGATCAAACAGGTGGGCTGAAAGAGTTGATGAAGCAGTACCAGTTAAAGGATATTTTTAACTTTGATCGTGCTGCTCCTACCAAGACAATATCTAGCCAAGGAGTCTCAGATATTAAATTTGACAAGACTCGACTTACTATTGGTCTTCTTTGCAATGCAGATGGGTAATCCTCCATGAGTCAAAAACATAAATTTCACACAACAGCTAGACCAATAATACCATTCGATTCCTTGGCTTGAAAAAAAAACATACTTTTAATGAAAAAGAAGCCTTTTTAGCAGTCTGGTTGTCGAGCAATGGTCCATCAAAGATTGGTGCATTTAAGCTGTGATTTTAGCATTTTTGCTCTAAATGTCATATAAAACGTGCTAGTAATGGAGCTATAAAACATACTATATAGTCTTTGGCGTGACAAAGAACATAGAAAGGCAGAAATGGAGGCATTTTGTAATGTAAATATGGGAGTAAATGGACATAGGACATATAGGCTGGCTTTGTCGGAAACTGAAATGGAAGACAATTCCAGTTTTTCTTGCCGCATTCAAAAAATCGAGCTTTTGCTGAGAACTGCAGAAAGACGCAGTCTTATGGCTCTAGTGTAGTGACAAAAGTTGTGGATCTGTGCCTTCTAAGTCTATTGATATAAAGAACACACAATTTTTTGGCTAAAATATTGAGCAAATAGGCAAAAGGGTGCGAGAGGTTTTTTGTCCATATCATACCATTCTCATTAGTACAATTGACAAAGAAATATTTTGATTACAAACTAGAGCCTCTGACGCACATTTTGAGTATATAAGCTTGTCAGTAGCTCTTTTTTTCGTTCTGTAGCGTTGAAAGGAAGCTCAAAGAGTTATCCGGTAGAATATCTTCATGAGTAGTACCCTTTAGTTTTGGAAGATTTTTGGCCATTTTTTACAAGTCGTTTTTTTTTTGTCCAAATTAGCTCCAAAGACACTGTGGATGATAGTAAACATGGTTTGTAAGTGTCTAGCGCATTTGTGCGTGTATAAACAGGCTTTGAAGCGCTTTCATATGTCCAAGAAAAAAAACAAGGGTTGTATGGGCTGTTTTCCTTTTCGCACTTGATGCATCTAGTTGTCTGGTATCTCTGCTCTGAACAAAGGAATGAAAAAGTCAAGGGGTTGGAGGACTCGCTTTGATTTTATGATACATTATATATGAAAGGTAGTCTTTAGAACCTACATTTAAATATGGTACAAACTATCCTATTGAAAATTCTAAACTTCCTCGCTCATCGACGCAAAATAAAAAAAAAACACTATAGCTTATACTATTACATTTTTATTGTTCGTTTTTGATGAAAAAGAAAATGTGAGAAAGAACAGAAAGTCTCAATTTACAATTTTTTGGTGGTTTTTACATGTATAAGTTTAACTCTTAGCTTCTGTAATAAATGACTTTAAAAATGATATGAGTGACAATTAGATATGATACAAATGACATACCTGGAAGTATTTTTTGAACTGTCTACCTTCGTATTGTTGAATTGCCTGACAATATCTTTCAGCTGTTTCTGGAGGACATTGGATTGAGGGGAAAAACACAGTCTTCATATATTCTATAAAATCATTGCCTTGCTTTGTACACATGCCTTTTTGAATACTCGTCATTTCACCAAATACCTAATAGAATAAGTACATAAACGCAAAAACATGATATCAAAATTACCAAGATAGATTGGCCGTCAGCCAAGTTGAAAGCCGAGCTCATAGGTACGGAAAAGGTAATAGGCAAAAGTTCGCTATATACAAACTGATCGAACCCTGTTACACTTGTATTGGTATCTGACCCGCTAGCCCAAGAATTTACCATCTTTAAGAACACACCGAATGACATCTTTTGTGTTGTAGGGTCTGAATTGTCCTTTGCAAAATGCAAAAGTGTTTGTAAAATCGTATTGAGGTATTCCAGATTACGCTCACTAACAAACACCTTTTCTAGATTGGCATTGAACAAGCTCAAAAGGAAGTTCAAATAAGCTTTACGTAATTCCAGCAGTAAGAGTGCTTCATCAGTACCAGAAGGTGTTGTATTCAAGAAGTCAAAGGCGCGTCTCACCAAGGGTAATAACAGTTCATCGATGATAGACTCAATCATAGGCTTGTATTTGTGCGCAACTAGGCCAATGAAAGGTAAAAAGTCAACCAGTTCTGTCACTTGACATTCTGTCAAAAGACCATTGATAAGGCTGGGTAGGTAAGCTACAATCTCTGTGCCCAAGCAAGTGATGAGACGTGCAAAGGTATATCGTACAGCATCGCGAATAACGGACATTTGCTTGTATGTCTGTAGAGCACTTAAAATGATCTCAGTTGCTTGAACAAATACAATAGCTTGTGGCTGTTGTGTGCCGTCTGCAGGCTTTTCCAAAGTAGGGAAACCTATATATATATATGTGTGTGTGTGTCAGCACAAGAAAGAAATCATGTATTTTTTTTCTCCTTACCTTTAGCAACACTACCAATAGCCATAATATAATGATGAACTTGAAGCAAAAACAATTCATCTTCAGGATTGAATGGTTGAGACATAGATTTTTGAATACCGTCAACCAAAGGCTCCAACACAATTTTGAGATACTCAGTTTGCTTCAAAGGATCGATAGTGTCCATTGAAATCAACAGACCAACTGTTTCAAACAAATACAATTGACTGTCAAATGTAGAAGCAGCAGGAATAGGCATGCCTTCCATCGTGTTTTGCTCAACAACAGGTTCAGCTTGAATAGCTAATAAGTCACCAATAGAAGTTAAAATGTTTTCAACATAGGGTCCCATTTTAGGCTTCAAGTTCTTGACAAATCGTTGGAAAAGGTACCAGCAACGAGTACGGATTTGCTTCACTGTATGGTGCAAACCACGGGTGTCTACAAATGCTGCTAACGCTTGGAGCAAGTGATCAGGACGATGGTCAAAGAATTGATAGTAGCGGTTAAGATTTTCAAAGTATTGCATGGCACATGAAGGATGAGGATAAGCAGAAATGTCTATAATTATAATAAGTCAATGTCTATACAAACATGTTTTCTCGACTTACTGGAAGAAACCATTTCAGAAACCAATTCACCCAAGGGAGACAATTCATTATTGGGAGTGACAAAGATCATAGAAGCCTTTGAAAGTGCTTCACCGTAACAATAAAGCACATAAAGACACAACTCAATGTCACGCCAATTCAGCTGTGTTCCTGCCTTATATTTATTGATTATGTCCATGACAAATGAATGAATGTAGCCGACATATAGTTCTTCATTGATCATGGCAATATGCTCAGCAAAAATACGCAAGTTCTAACAAGAAGTCAATAAACATCCTCTATTGTTTTGTGTGCTTACCTTTCTCATTTCAAAGAAAAGAGCTTCTTCTTCTGGTTCATCTTCGTCAGCATCCCATTCAGTTTCATCATCATATCTCAGTTTTACAATCACAACGTTCAACAAAGAACCCAAGAATTCATGTTGACCTTGAGAAAAGGGTTGCATTTGCTTCTTTTGTCTTTTGTACTACAAAAAAAAATAAGCTTTTCATTTTCATCTTTTTTATCATACTTACAAGATACAACATGTCATTAACAAAGGGAAATACAGCAGAAGAAGTATCATCGTATTCATTGGCTAAGAACTTGAGTAAATAAGGTGTAACTTGTTCAATCATAGACCAAGCTTGAGCCTTTCCTTCAGCTGGGAGAGAGGTCTCTGCATAAATCTTGCAGAGTTCAGTACCTAAAGCATTGATCAAACGAGCAACATATTCCGCAAATTCGGGTTCAGACTAAGAAAAATAAGTCAACATCATGTAAAATAAGTATTTTTTTTTTTTACCAAGTCAAGTCTGCCCAACATATCGGTTATATTCAACATTTGAAGCATATTCAATTTGTCCAAAGGCAACATGCCTTTACTAATAACATCAGCTAAACATTCACAAGCAGAAATACGCAAGTTTGAATCTGCTAACAGTTCATATAAGACATTCATGACTTGATCATTTACAACTAATCCAATATCCATCCATGCAATATATGATCCAATGTTTTTTAAGGCTAATTGTGCAATGCTGGGATTGGCTGATCTGAATTCCTGCAAAAGATCAAACCAGAATGCGGCAAGTAATTGAATATCACCTAGACGCATGGTATCCTTGATATGAGTGTTACGAATAACTTCCTCGCGAGTACGAGGAATGTCCAAACGAGCAATTTCTTCGTCAATGCTGATACAGAGTCTCAAAAAGAAATCAGCAGCTTTCTCATGACTAGGCGTACCAGAGGGTGTTTTGGCGACTGCGATCATGTCCTTGAAGAAATTGGACCAAACATTAGGGTATACATGAATGAATAAAAGGGTGAGTAATTGAGCCGCTTTGTTTCGAATGACTATTGTGTGTTAATCCTAAGTTTTTTTTATACTAGTTTTTACTTACAAGCTTCTTCGGATCCAGCAGTGGTATTGTCAACAAATTCTCGGCGAAGATATTCCATCATTGTTTGTTGAATATATTCTACTGCGGCACTGTCCAATGTCTCAAATCTAGAATAATAGAATTAGATACATGCACGCATATTTATGAATTCGAAACATTTACCTTGTTCTTAATGTATTTTCTACCACTTGAAGTGCAAAGAATCGTGCTTCAGGAAGTCTAATGATGCATGTAAGTACTTTAACTTGCTTTCATTTTTTTTTTCTTACGCTTTAGGTTCTTTCATAAACAATTGGACACATAATTGCCAACCTTCATTTGAGTTTTTAACTTGTTCACAGTATGCGTTTGCCTATATAACGAAAAGAGAAAACAAACGCGTACACAATAATAAGTTAAAGCTTGTGCTTTTTATTCAATTTCTCTAGTCTTTTTTTTACCTGAGCCTTCAAGTTGGGATCTACTTGAGGACCAAGTGCATACATAACAGCTTGTTCTATCTGATCCATTTTTATTATATTTCTATCAAGGTATGTATTGAATGTATTAAAGATCGAGATGACTCGTTTCTATAATTGATTTTTTCTTTACGCTGCTAAACAGAAAGTGTGGTACTCGTTTCTTTTTTCTATCAAGTATAACAAAAAAAAAGGAAAAGTGCTAGGTTTTTTCTAGATGCTGTTCGAATAAGAAAAGTATCTAAACACAAGCAAATTGTTAAAAGAAGGAAGAAGAAGGAAAAAAAAAATGAAGAAACAAGCCTTCATTTGAATTGTAGTCGAAAAATATTTTCAATAACCGAATTCTGACTTTTGGCAAGCTAAACAGGATTGGATCCTTCTTTTTTTTTTAGCATTTGCCCTTAACAAAAGTCCTGATTGCTTGAGATAATAAAAGGAAATTTCTCCATTTAAAAAAAGAAAGATTCTTGAGGAAGCATGCATATTTTTGGCTGAATTTACAGTGACTTCTTGGTAGAAATACAATGGGCTTTGAGATGCGTAACTCATCTGAGACTTAATTTATTAATAACACTCTCGCTCTTTTTTTTTCTTTTTTACTTGTTGTTCCTCATCTCTTAAATAAAACCAACTCAACATGTCGAATCAAATCAGTATGATTGGGATTGACGATATCTTAAAGAAACGTAACTATATCGCCTAGCAATCGTACCTGGAAATTTACTTGGCATAATTTATTTAGGCTTCTTGGAACTTATCAAGACCGTTAATCCCACAGGCAGATGGAAACTAGTTGTTGTTGACAGTCTTTCTTCAAAAATTCTTAATTCGGCCTGTAAAATGTACGATATTCTTGAAGAAAATGTAAAGTGCTATTGGTTTTTATGTATTTAATGATTTACCTTCTTTTTTTTTTTTTTGCATAGGTTACTTGTACGTGAAAAAAAAAAAAAAAAAAAAAAGACTCGCCATGATTTATTAACAACTTGTCTTTAAAGTGGTAGAAAACATTGAGAAGCCTAGACAACCTTATCCAAGCTATGAGGCAATTTACATTTTGACGCCTTGTATTGAGTCTTGTTCTCGTTTAGTCGATGATTTTTCGCGTCCAGGTGGAAAAATGTATGCAGCTGCCCACGTTCATTTTATCAATGGTAAGAAAAAAAAACCTGAAGTGATAGTTGATACTGATCTTCTTTTAAGCTTTGGAAAACAACACATTTAATGAGTTTACTCGACTTTTGAATGCAGCTAACGCTGCTAATGATATCAAGAGCTTGAAGGAAATGTATGTCGACTTTTTAGGTAAATGACTGAATATTAGCTCGTTTGATCAGCTTACTAAAATGCACGAAAAGTTCGAGAAAATTGCGTCTACAGCTTGGATGATGAAAAAAAGTTTCTTCGTCTGTTTGCTAATGACGAAACAGTACAAACGCAGGCTGAACTTGAGGATATCGCCAAGGAGGTAAGGATAAAAAAAAGCGCTTCAGCCTCATTTCTCCAATAGCTCTTGTGTGTTTGTGTTACACTAGGCGAAAATCCATTGATCCGTTATCATCGTCCTTTGGACATCAAGGAGACTATCAACCGAAGAATCCCTGAACAACTGGCTAAAGCAGTTCAGTCTGAATTGGATAACTTTTGTGCGACAAATCCCGAATATCCAGTAGGTTAAAAGGCGTCCAAATGTTTTGTTTTTGACACTTGTCTCTTAGCCTCCTAGAGATCCTCCACTTCCTAGTGGTACCTTGATTATTTTGGATCGTACAATTGATCCCATCTCGCCCTTTTTGCATGAATTTACCTATCAAGCAATGGTTGCTGATCTCTTGGAAGTAGAAGAAATCCCTACTGGTCTCAAGTACGAATACAAGTACACTCAAGAAGATGGCACAACACAAGACCAAGAAGTAACTCTTGTTGAAACTGATCCAGTCTATTGTACTATTCGCCACATGCATATTGCCAACACAACAGAAAAACTTATTAGTGATTTCAATGCCTTCCTCGACGAAAATCAAATTTCCTCCTCAAGTGGTCCTACTACTGCTGCTAGTTTGAGTGATATGAAGAACATGATTTCCAATTTGCCCCAATACCAAGAAATGAAGAGTCGATTTTCTGCTCATATGAACATTGCTAGTGAATGTATGAGTGAATTCAAATCGCAAAACTTGGAAGAAATTGGCTTGTTGGAGCAAGACATGGCATGTGGTGAAACTCCTGAAGGAGAAAAGCCAAAGAATTTGGTCGAAGCCTTGACTCCCATCTTGGATGATCCATTGACAAGCCAAATGGTCAAGACACGATTGATTTTATTATGGATTGCCACTTCAGATGCTGTTGATCCCGAAGATCTTGAGACGTTATTAGCTGTTGCTCGTCTAGAACAGGAATACAAAGACGCTATTGAAAACATCAAATTACTGGGTGTTCAACTGTCCAAGTCAGCAAATAAGTTGGGTAAGAAGATGAAGAAGGGCTTAAAGAAAAAAACCAATCCTCAACAAGAAGTACCTTTTGATTTGTCACGTTACGTGCCTGTAGTGAAGCGTATCGTTGAAGGTCACATTGATGGTACAATTGACCAAAGTTTGTTTCCTAACAACATTCGTAATGTCAAACAACGCAACACACGCAAAAATACAGAGGAAGCAGTCAAGGAAGTTCCTAAATTGAGAGTGTACAAAACTCAATGGCATAAGAAATCTAGCAAGGGTACTAATGTAAGTTGTTTCTCCCATGCTCTGGTTTCTTAATTATTCGAGTATAGGCTGCACCCAAACCTCCTTCTGGTCCACCTGTCATTATATTCATTGTTGGTGGTATGACATATTCCGAAATTCGATCTGCTTATGAGATTGCAGAGACCTTTGATCGTGAAGTTTATATTGGTATGTAACTATCCCCTAGACTTGAATAACCACTCAACCCATATATAGGTTCCACTCATATCATTACACCTGATAAATTTGTGACGGATCTGGGTAAACTAGACAAAAAGATACCACCTCCCAAAGGCTTGATTCCTCCATACACAGGTTCTATTCATAAATCTAATTCAGTTCCAGGCGGTGGACAACAAGCCTTACCGCCTCGAACCACATCTTCTGTACCTAATAGTAACTCAAAAGGACATCATCACAAGTTACTAGGAAAATGGTAAAATAAAGAATGCCTTAATAGGCATAATATAAGGATAAGTTAGTGTTTCCTACGGGAAAATATTATATGTTTAATTGCGGGGTTGATTGTTGTGACATTTCTTTTTCTACTCCTTCGAAAAAGTGTGCGGGCGAGTGCGGGCTTTTGGGCTGGTTGTTGGGTTCTTATCAAAAGAGTTTATTTGTCGAGCTTTCTTTTCTTTTTTTCTGTTTTTTTTTTGTGTTGCTCTTACCCAGCTAAAAGAAAAAATGACCTTCCTTGCAACTCTCAACCGTATGGCTCCTACCGCTGTTAAGCGTGCTGCCACCGCTTCTATCAAGCCCTCTGCTGTTGCTCTTTCACAAAAGCGTTTCAACTCTACTTCTGGCACTGAGGTTAGATATTCATTTTTTTCGACACTCGCAGCTAAAAAAAATTTTTCGAATGATTTAGATGACTGTCCGTGAAGCCTTGAACCAAGCTTTGGAAGAAGAAATGAACAAGGACGAAACTGTTTACATTATGGGTGAAGAAGTTGCTCAATACAACGGTGCCTACAAGGTAATAAAAAAAAAATTTTTTTTTACTAGCAACGCGCGTGTAGGGGTGGTAGAGAAAACCTAGAGTGGGACAATCCGGGAAAAACAAAAAAAGATTGGGGTAGATTCGGGTTCCAAGGGGGAGGGGTGTGTGGAAGGGAGTTTGAAAAAAAATTATCGAAAGCATCATCCCCGCACAAACACATACTCAAACATACTATGATAGGTTACCAAGGGTTTATTAGACAAGTTTGGTCCTAAGCGTGTCATTGATACCCCTATTACAGAAATGGGTTTTGCTGGTATTGCTGTTGGTTCCGCTTTCAGTGGTTTGAAGCCTGTCTGTGAATTCATGACCTTCAACTTTGCCATGCAAGTAAGTTGAAAAAATAAGAAAGAGAGAAACCTGTATACTTATTGTTGGTTCTTTGTAGGCTATTGATCAAATTGTTAACTCTGCTGCTAAGACTCACTACATGTCTGGTGGTATTGTCAAGTGTCCCATTGTTTTCCGTGGTCCCAACGGTGCCGCTGCTGGTGTCGGTGCTCAACACTCTCAAGATTTCTCTGCCTGGTACGGTTCCGTTCCCGGTCTTAAGGTTGTCTCTCCCTGGAACTCTGAAGATGCCAAGGGTTTGTTGAAGGCTGCTATTCGTGATCCTAACCCTGTTGTCGTTCTCGAAAACGAACTCGAATACGGTACTTCTTACCCCATGTCTGCTGAAGCCTTGTCTGACGATTTTGTCATTCCTATCGGTAAGGCTAAGATTGAACGCGAGGGTAAGGACATCACCATCGTTTCTCACTCCAGAACTGTCGGTTTCGCCTTGAAGGCTGCTGATGATTTGGCCAAGAACGGTATCTCTGCTGAAGTTATCAACTTGAGATCTATCAAGCCTTTGGATACTGAAACTATTTTCAAGTCTGTCAAGAAGACCAACCACATCATCACTGTCGAAAACGCCTGGGCTGCTTTCGGTGTTGGTTCTGAAATCTCTGCTCAAATCATGGAAAGTAAGTATTAAATCATATGATTGACATTGGAAAGAATACTCAACTGTATGCGTATTTGTATTTTTATAGGCGATGCTTTCTGGCACTTGGATGCTCCTATGACTCGTGTCACTGGTGCTGATGTTCCCACTCCTTACGCTGCTAACCTCGAAGCCCTTGCTTTCCCTGACGAAAAGGTCATTGCCAAGGCTGCCAGAGACAACTTGGATAAGAAGATTGGTTTCTAAATATCTTTAGTGTAAAGAAAATATATATAATAATCATCTACAAGTATATTCTCCCTACATTTTTATTCTCTTTTTTTTTTCATCATCAAACACTGCTCTATAGATTAAAAAAAAAATTTTTTTTCTTATGTATTTTCTTAATTTATGTCAAGAAATATATATATTACACATAACTATCACAAAATCAGGTTGAAAATACTACATAACTGTTCATAAAAGTCAGTTTCTTACGTTTGAGCAATGTTGAACAAACAAAATGAAAATCAAGCATAGTGTCGTAAGAAGGCTTTCCCCAAGTTGGGTAGTAGCTTATTCAAGAAGCTTATTTTGAACAAGATGATCTGAATCCTTACTATACTACGATTGGAAACACGATGAAATAATGCTTTAATTTTAACAAAATATGTGTTTTAAAATTAAACTTTTCAATTAGTTTACGTAGTTGGCATAATGATTTACAGCATTAAAAAAAAAGTGTTCATTCGTCATGTATGTTATTCAAGAAATTGGGCTAAATTTCTGTAATGATGATAATGATGATACAATCTTTTGAAATAACTTGTCTATTTCTTCTTCTCTCTTTCTTGACCCTTTCTTTCCTTTTTTTTTTTATTTTCTCGATCTACATTTTGTTGAACAAGTTTTATAAGGTAAACAATGTTTTCTCATATCAAAGATGTTTTACGACAAAAAAAAGATCGTCAACAAAAGAAACTCAATCATTATTTCAACAGACCACAGCAAAAAAAATCTCCAATGGCTGCCAACAACCCCGTCGTAATTGATATGCCCATGAGCACCAACTTCTCTTCTGCAGATACAATGACTGAATACAACCTAATGCCAACAGACCATGTAGTTATTGAGAAGCCCCAGAGAACACCTAATGATATAGCCAGAAGTTTGGTGAATGAAGACAAGAAGAGACGAAATCAATTGCCTCTGTATCCAGGACTTGAAAGATTCGAATTGATTCGTAAACTTGGAGAGTAAATACACATGGTTTCCATTCGATTTCATTTTCTAATCATATTATAGCGGTGCTTTCTCGAACGTTTTTGAAGCCCGTGATTTGAAAACAGGCAAGAAGGTAGCGCTAAAGGTTGCTCAAAAGTCAAATAGTGCTGATAAGGTAACATAGAAGACCATGAAATTTTGACACTGACATTTATATAGGATAATGGCCAACGCCATTTACATTCAAATGTAATTAAAAAACCAAGGGCAACAGAAGTAAGACAGTATAATACAATGATATCATAGTGAGGTCGATTTACTAAAAGAAAAAAAATTCTTTACATTCTGTAGCGTGCCAACATCATCAAAGAAGTTCAGATCATGCGCAACATTCGCCACCCAAACATCGTACAACTTCTCCATTTCAGTGAATCTCAAGATAATTATTTCCTGGCGCTTGATCTCTGCGAAGGAGGCGAATTATTTCATCGAATTGTTAAATTAACTTATTTTAGCGAAGATCTTTCTCGTCATGTCATTACTCAATTAGCCTCTGCTGTTCGCTACCTTCATGAAGAATGTGGCGTAGTCCATAGAGACATTAAGCCTGAAAACATTTTATTTGATCCCATTCCTATCATTCCCTCTAAACGTCGAGTTTATCGTCCCACTGACAATATTGAGACTAAAGAAGATGAAGGTGAATTTATCCCTGGCATTGGTGGAGGTGGTATTGGCCGAATCAAGCTAGCTGATTTTGGTCTGTCCAAGGTCATTTGGAACAGTCAAACGTTCACTCCCTGCGGTACTGTTGGATATACTGCACCTGAAATCGTTTGTGACAAGACATACTCCAAATCAGTTGATATGTGGGCTATAGGATGTGTTCTCTATACTATTCTCTGTGGTTTCCCTCCCTTTTATGACGAATCTATTCCAGTATTAACAGAAAAGGTAGCAAAAGGCCAATATACTTTCTTGTCTCCTTGGTGGGATACGATGTCTGATTCTGTTAAGGACTTGATCTCTCATTTACTTTGCGTTGATGTCAGAAAACGGTATACGATAGATCAATTCTTTAATCATCCTTGGATCACTCAAGAGTCCCTTGTGCGTCATAATTCGGCTGAAGATGCATCTATTCTAACAGAGCAAGATATTCAAAACAGATTTGCAACTCTTAATCCTAAGAACCAACAAAAGCAATATGCTTATAATAATCGTTTCGAACAACAAGAACAGCAAGAATTAGAAAACATTGCAAACAAAGCTGTCAAATCCAAGGAATTGACTCCACCTCTTATCGAGCAAGATGACGAGCTAATGGCAGATGATGACAATAACATGGCTTATACTACACCTGACACAAATACGCTACGAGGCATTTTTGATGTGACATACGCTGTCCAGCGAATGGGAGAGGAGCAACCACTCATTGATACCCAAAGACAACAAAACAGAAAGCTAGCAAGAGTAAGAGAAGCAGATCCAAAGCAACAATTAAAACAGCAATTTCAAAATCATCATTTTGCTCAAGTACCATTAGCACAACAAACACATAATTTACCAATTGCTCAAAAATTAGCTAAACATAGTCGAGGTGTTGCTGAACCTGTCAATTATCGCCATCGCATCCAACCTCAACAGAGATCTGTTGTAGCACCAACCAACACATTTGGAACAAAAGGCGAATTTAATCTTGATATGGATAATGCTACCTTACTTAAGAATCGTCAAGCAAACATCAACAGAAATCAAGCAATGAAAATTAAAGCATAAACATTAGGAGTTTCAATATATTCATGCATTACAGCATAATTATTCAGTTTTGTGTTATTTTTTTTTTCGTTAATTTCTTTTCTCTTTTGTTCTTGAATAAATCAGTATGTACAATACAGATATTGTTGCACCTGGAGAGAAAGTAGATATTCACGACGAATCGACATACAACTATATTCCTTATAAGTAAATTTGAATAAATATACGTAAAGTTGAACTTATATCGATTTGCAATAGTGACATCAAGGATTCCTCTCCAAATACTAGCTCAGACAGTTCTCCTTTTGAAAGGAAAAGACGTGTATCGACTGCTCACATTATGCCCAACGATTTTCCCGACAACCAAGTAGAGGAATTTGCTTATGACGAACTAGTATCGAAATGTGCTAGTTTCCTTGGTAGCCCTATAGTAAACGAGATAGTTACTCAGTTTGCATCTAACGTGTTGACAATCATTGGTTCCCCTAATGTATTGGAATCTAAAGAAGTGAAGCGTCGATTGGAACAAGTATTACCAACAAGCCATGAATATAAATATCATCGAGGCATGGAAATTCCTGATAATGATTGTGTGAGCTTGTGTAGTCTAGCTGATCGCGCTATCAATGTGCCTGTAGGATCTCCTACAAATGTTGATATTGTTGATGATGACAATGACGAGGAAGAAGTAGAAGAACAGAACCTCCACGATGTCTATTATGTTCGACAGCTCAATAAAAACACTCAAGAACATGATAGATTACCCAGACAGTTGCCTAGTTTTGTTGAAGTCAATGAAGACTTGGATAAGGCCATTATTGAGTATGATCTTGACGTTACACCCTATGACAGTGAGCTGGAAGAACCACCCATTCGAATGCAATTGGTTTAACATGTGGCTTATGTAGTCAATGCAAAATAAAATTCTTTTTTTTTCTCTTTTTTGATTTTTCATCTTTTTGTACAAAAATGAGCTGTCAATCTTGTAGTGGTTGTTTTACTGGCTCAAGCTGCTCTACTCCAAAACCTTTAAAGAAAAATGCACTAGTTCAAGAATTAAGATTCCAATCCTTACTGGATCTAGCAGCAACCACACCTGATAATAACGATAGCCAACAACAGCATGACCATGTAATACCTACTATCATGGCAGAATTATCGAAGAATGTCTATTCCTCGCAAACCGTACTCTTCAAAGCAAATGATGAGTTACCATTAAATCAATTCCTCTCATTAGCAAAAGCGCTTTATTCAGCTAACATTGTTGGTGTTCATATAGCTTGGGCAGCAGAGTTTTGCCAAGACAATGTTCAGCAATTGCTTGACATTTTAACAAAAGGAGATCCAACAGCCTTGCTACAACATTGTGATGATCAAGCCGAGGTTTACGAATTATTTGGCCAATTACCTCCCGGCTCCGTAGGTAGAATTGCGTCTGTCAAAGAATAAATATACCCTCTTCCTTTCTCTTACCATATATATATATATATATATATATCTTGCAAGCTAAAGAAGAGTGCTTCATGTTATGGATTGATATAAACCCAATACCAACAGACTGTCAAAAATTGAGATAAACGGTCTGCTTTGTATTTTTAACCAACTTGGACCAAACAAACGCAAATCCATTACGACGAGTATACGAAACAATTTATCTACAACTATTGAACCTCAGAGTTTTCCAGAAAGTAATAGATATTTTGAGCTAAAACGTATGAACGAAAGTAATAAATATCAAAAATATATACTTAAAAGTACAAGGAAAACAATCAGCTTAATGTCAAGGGGATTCACAGTAGTACTTTTACAAAACGAATATATCAAGCATATTTCATAATGATATATGAGTAGATCCTGCAAAACTGCATTATGGTGAGTCTTCTGTATGAAACTTAAAAGATGTAGTACGGCCAGATCTCAAGTAAACGGTGATTTTGCATTTTTTGATGTTGCTGCATCTTTTTTGAAATGTAAACAAAAACTAGTGAAACCAAAGTTGCTTTGCAAACAAAAACTTGTGCTTTTCTCACTAGGCTTAACCGAAACAAATATTTATCAAACAAAGATATTGCTTTTAATTTTCAGTCAAAGGCCTTGCAATGATTATATAAATAAACCCTCTTTTATCTCGTAGACCCTGTGCCTGATGAAAATGTATAAAACCTCTCACTCTGCATAGTTAAACATTTACAAAACTCAAGATGCTACGAATGCAAATCATGCATTTTTTGCATCAAATCTGACGTATTCAGCAAGTTGTGTCTAACTCAAAGTTATATTGTTGTCTAGAATCCTAAAGGAAGAAACATCTTATTCTTCTCATGAAAAGAATAGGATTGTCTTAGTTGCAACAAATAGAATGCATCTCTGATGGCTTTAAAGCAACCAACAGCCTTGCCATTGTTCTTTATCAATGTATTGCAAGACTTACTCCTATTCTGTTTTCATAATGATCACCTTGAATTGTTTTGAGCAATAAAATTTCACACGATGATAAACTGGTGTATCTTGTAGACAGTAACACGCGTGCATGAGGCACTTCATGAATTACTGTATACTTTCATATGATATTGTGTCAACTATATAAAAAGGAATTGTTTTTCAAATAATGTATTTCACATGATAGAAGACCGCACACAATTACCAAAAGATGTTGGTTTTTGCAAGCAGTTTAAACTTTTCTCTCTAGCCATTACGTAGCGTGTAACAATCGCGGATTAATCCGTTTTTGCAAAAAAAAAAAAAAAAAAAAAAAAAAAAAAAAGTAATTCAGCACATATTTATAATAGCATTGCTGCCTCAAAAAAGGAAAAGAAGGAGTAATTTAAATAGGAACATTACGAACTTAGTCGTAATAGTCTACTGATATGATCAGCCCAGTATTGTACACTCTTTTCTTTCATTAAAAGCATCTTGTTATTGCACTATTGAATAGATAAAAATGGTCCAGAAAAGCCTTTACACATAGTGTAACATTGCAAAACATTTCCCTGTCATCTCTCTTTTTTTTTCAAACCGCACGTGGTTACTATATATAAAGGTTGCTCAAAGGTCAAATCAATAGTGACTATGAGTGCTTTTCAAGGGTCGAACTAAAAATAAGCAAAGAGAATGCTTGGATTTTCCAAGTACCCCCAGACTTGAAAACCCCTTATTAATTTGATACCAATTGAAAGGAAATAGAAATAATTCGTGCCTTACCATTAAATTGTAGTGGCTTTCTAATAACTATACGATATTCCTTCAGGACTAATTTATTGTACTAGATTAAATTCGAATGCAACAAATAACAGACACAAAAATGCGATAATAAATGTCATCATAGTTTCCTAATGCTTCAAAAAGAATGATAAAATCCAGTTCCTTCTTACTCTCTTTTCAAAATAATCAAGATGCGATCTTTCTTGATTTCTGTCTTGTAAATTTTCTCAAGCTCTACTTTATGAAGACTTTAGTATGCATGACAATAACACTATGTATATGTTACTTCCGATAGTGCATTGTGTTAGCTATCAGAAGCAGTATAAGCATAAATGGTGGTACCAGATTTCAAACTCAATAAAATACAATTTGTTTAGAGTCAAGGTATACTTTTCTCTCTTTCGGTAGTTGCTGTTGGGGATCTCTTTCTTTTTTGCAATATGCATAAAAAGAAAGGAGAGGTAAGGAACCTAAGTGACTGAATATATCTTGAATAATTCTGCTGTTTACAGTGTAATTCCGAATGCAGTTTTGACCGAACACTGAGATTTTGAAATATCTTTTATCTACAGCGTATCGATGAATTACAAAGATCAATTTATCCTTTACCTGATTAGCCGATATAAATATGATAAAAGCTTTACAAACATAAACTTTACAAGTAATTGTATTATAGGCATTATATAAGAATTACTTGAGTGATTCAAGATTAACCTGGTCTCGTATCAAACTCTGTCTAGAACAGGATGATAAAGATACATATGTCTTTGCATATATACACATTTAAACAGGATATTTGTTGCTTTGGTGTAATGTTCTTGTATCAGGAAGCATAAAAAAATTAACCTAGGAAAAGATACCTTTGAGGCTTCTTTGATTTTCAAAATAATTAAAGTTGTTGGTATTTGAAGTGCATGAATGGAACTTTTTTTTTACTCTAAAGCACATTTACGTCTTTTGAATAGCTGTAAAAATGAGGTTTAAGGCTACTGATGCGATATGAGCCTTGAATTAAAAGGAAATTAACTTTTTCCCTATCGCTCCTGCCAATTGCCGCTAAAGCATTCAAATTGTAATGAACCTGAGCTATATTCTTCTGGCCACAGTTACCTTTTTAATGAAAAGCAGTCCTTTTTCTTTTTTGGAAAACGATTGAGCCAGAACCTTACCTGTGTTCCTTTTTTTTTGTGAAACCGCTTTTGTTTGTGTGCCTCTTTTTAATGACACTCCTTCTCTTTTGTTCTCTGCCTTTTTGGCTTACAGAATAGGATCGGGTACTGTAAGTGTAAGGGGAATTGAAAAAATCCTTGATTTTTAATTCTCTCAAATCAAAAGCCTTAAAGCACATGTCCCTTACTTTTACAGAAAGACAAAATAGCATTCGTTTATATAAGCTCCATTTTCTCTCTTTTCTCTCTTATTCTTTCATTTTTCTCTTTCTTTCATTTTTTCTTACTTTCTTTTCTTTCTCTTTAATACTTTCTTGATACTGCTACGGAAATGGCCGGTCCAACACGAAAGCAACAAAATAGCAATAGTACTGCAAGGCCTACATTCATGAAACAACTCTTGTTTCTCGTATTGCCTAATTCAAAGCAAAATCAACAAGAGAAGCAAGAGCAACAAAATCGAATAGACAATGCAAGCAGCAATGGTAACTCAACTAACAAACCAACAAGTCCATTTGAAAAAATGTATGTTTCATTTCCCGCATTGGAAGATGATAATACTAGCACTTGTGGTCAACAACATCATCATAGTCACCATCAACACGATAGAGATAATGTTGTTAAGACAACACAGAATGGAATCCTTTGTTAAGAGACTATATACCCTCTCTTTATCATAACTCGATACTATTGATCACTCTTTGTACAGCATACTTTAATACCAACATATACAACAGCATCATCTCATTTTATCATTCTATCATTCTATCTATCCATTTCCTTCTTTTTTTTCCTATTCCTTTTCACTCTCACTTCCATTTTACTCTTTTTTTATATACATATTAATAATAGCAATAATAAACCTTATCATATATACTTCCAAACAGATAAATCCACTTTAAAAAATTGTGACACTTAGATAGATTAAAAATCGCGCAAAAGATTAGTTTCAATCCCTTTTTCTTTTTTGTTGTAAACTTCACTATGTCAAAACAGGTTGTTCTTGTCACTGGTTGCTCTACAGGCGGCATTGGTACATTATGTCTCGATTGACTTGAGTCTGACTTGTACTTATCAACAGGTTATTCACTTGCAAAGAAATTCGCAGAGAAGGGATGTCTCGTAGTAGCAACTGCTCGTCGCGTTGAAGCTTTAGAAGGCCTAGAAGGTATAGCTACTATTGACATACTTTCCTTTTCGACTCCTTAACCTAACAAAAAAAAGCGTTTGACTGTGAAAAAGAAACATTGGATGTTACAGATAAGAAATCAATTGATGCAGTAATCAAAGTAAGCAAACAAATACATATGTTTATGATGACTCATTCTCATTTACTCGTAGAAAATAATTGATAGTCATGGTCACATTGGTAAGCTATTATGTACCAGTGTTACTCAAGAGTATTACATCTAAAAGAAATTTTGCAGACATCTTGGTCAATAATGCAGGCTCGCCGTAAGGATATATCACTAGTAGCTAAAACCATTAACATATCTGAATTTAGTGCTGTTGGTGCCTTGCTAGATATTGATATGTCAGTTGTTGAACAGTGTGTTAACACTAATGTTTATGGTGTGTTAGCTATGTGTCAGGCTGTAGGAAGACATATGGCAGAGAGAGGTCAAGGAAAGATTGTCAACATTGGCTCTGTAGTAGGCTATGGAGGCACACCTTGGGCAGGTAACCAGTAATATATCTTTTTTTTTGTAGACACTAATTTTGGACTAATAGGTATTTACTCCATGTCTAAGGCTGCTGTTCATTCCATGTCAGATGTTCTTCGTATGGAATTGAAGCCTTTTGGCATTCAAGTTGTTGTTGTTGCACCTGGTATAAACATTTGGAATAAAAGAAATGTACAAATAATCACAAACTATTTTAGGTGCTATTGTTTCTAATATTGGCAATGCTGGTTCCAAAACAGTGCATGTTCCTGAAGGTAATGCTTTCTCTTCCTATTCTTGCTCCTTTATACACCAATATAGTTATGATTGGCAAACTGTACTGATCGTTATTATTCCAATGCATTAGATTCCCTTTATACCTCGGTTTCCAAATATATTATTGGTCGAGCCAATTTATCCCAAGGTAAGAATCCTATCTCCTTATCTCCTTGCCCTTTCTCTCCTCTTTCTTGATATTTATGAGGTCATTGACTATTTCCTTTTTTTAGGTCCTGGCTCAACTCCAACAGATGTATTTGCCGAGCACGTTGTCAAGAAGGTTACTCAGCCAGTTGCTCCTCGTTATGTGACTTTTGGTGCTACCTCTTGGGTCTTTTTGCTGCTTTTTTACCTTCCCTTATTTATCAGAGAACTGATCTTTTCCAAACGCTTTGGTGTAAACACAATTAAACGAACAAAACAAGAATAATGTTTAAGAAATGAATGTATTTTCTAAATAAATTGCTTTGCATATGATTGCATTCTTCAAGAATAAAGCAAGAGAAATATTTTTCTTTTTGTTGCTCAATCAACTTGTGAAAGGCTTAAAACCTAATGGACATACTAAGTTTATTGCTTTTGTTTTAAATACTTTTACAATCAAGAATTTTTTATCTATGTATATTTTTGTTGAGGATAAAAGTCCCTTTTGGATAAATGCAAGTCGCAGGAATTGAACTGAGTCAGATTTAGCAATTGATTGATAAGACAAATGGTACATTCGAGCTTTATGCTTTTGAAGAGAGGATTAACTAAACAACTGAATACAGTCAATATATTTTGGTGCAGGTAACTTTGACATACACTTTTTCTCATAGAGATCATTTGCTAGTATAAAACACAAGCTCATGTCTAGTGCTGATTCTTTAGATGTAAAACGTACTAAAATATCCAGACAATGGTTTAATGAATTAGTAACATAATTTTAACGTCACACTAAAGGAAGGACGTATAATGGATGAAAGGGCTCCGGCACCTTCCTGCATCTTGCTTCCACTCTGTTATTTTTGTGTATAATCGTTTTTCAATGAGAACACAACAGTCAAAATTTCAGACAAGCTTAGTTCAAGAAACCATGCGTATACAATTTAAAACATTGGACTGACACTTGTATGCGGAATCACAAAAAACCACGCGAGCAATTCAGCATGACTTATGTTTTACTAAAATATAGAATATTTGAAGTGTCTTAATGAAAATGTGTACCATACATTTCATGGTCATAGAAGCCTGTTGTCATACTTAACTGAGGGTACAGATGTAACCCACGCAGCAACTATAGTTTTGATTCCGACAATGGTGTATTTTTGTTTTACTGATTTTGGACTTGTTTTTTTTTCTTTGGTTCTTCTATTTTAACGATAGCATCTTGCCACAAGGAACTGAATCATATTTAGAGAGTTACACGTCTGTTTTGATGGGACGAAATAATCATTTCATTAAAATAGGGAACACCATCACAAATAACATGGGAAAAAACAAAAGTAACTTTATAGGTACAAACATCTCAATGCGACAAACAAACCTTTATGTAGTATGATCAAGTATCATCCTCAAATGCCTGTCGATCCATATTACAAACAAGCAAAAAGAATGAATGTCACATTTTTTTTGAATGATTTTTAGAAGTCATTTTTATTGTCATTCAATCATGTCTACATGAACTCTAAAGGTTCTTTTGTCTAAAATGTGCTTGTTTGTATTTGCTATCAAAGGTGGAGTAGTACATATAAATAGTTTTGTGTACAATTTAACTACAATAAATATATGAAAAAGAAAGTCAATAGACTTTCATTATTTCACAAATTCAAGAACCATGATAATAAAAAAAATGCCCTGAAAATAGCCTCACCCCCGTTTTCTGTTAACAATAAGAGACACTTGCAAAGAACAGAAAAAGTCGGAAGGGTTTAGCCCGAGATGTGGTACAACTCGTTTTGCGGATGATAGACCGAGTCAATAAGGAGAGCTATGACCATCTTTATCCACACATTATTGGGATTATGATATGTACTGTTTGCGTAATGCTGGTATCATACACAGATGTTTATTCTATGTATATATGTAAAGAAAACAATACAAATCAGGGAGAACACGAAATACGAGTTTTTTTTTTTACTTCGTGTATTCAAGAGGCGTTTTCTTGTTTAAGTCAATGTTTTCATGTACTTTTATGGATATTAATGTGGTACAAGCTTCAAGAAAGAAATCCTTTATAAAGCTCAAGTTGTCTTTCCTATCTTATTCTTTAAACCCTCTTAATAACTCATAATCTTAATTGTCTTTTTTATTTTAAATTAATTATTATACCCCCGTTACAACTCTCTCCCTTTCTCTTTAGTTCATCTCTCTTCCCTTGACACATAATCAAAAATGGGAAATAATGTTAGTACCAGCAAAAGTGATACATTGTCGAAGATATCTCAACAAAGCAAACATATTCGGGGTCAAAAAGCACCTTCAATTGCATCAATACGACTTCCATCGCCACAATTATCACCATCAAATCCAATTGACCAAGCAAGTAATACTGCAGAAATTCATGCAGCACAGCCAGTCACGCTTTCCAGTACAGCAGAAAAACGGCCCATAAGCACATTTGAGGCTGTACCATTACCCTCTATTTCAGAAAAACGACGAGAAAACACCTCTGATGCCCTCAGTCATCTTGACAGATTACCATCGTCGCCAGAGAGACACAGTGGTGTATTTTACAAGCGAATGAAGTCCCAAAGAAACAGTCGATCAAGAGACAGATACAGTTCTACTTTTTCCGTCAGTGGTTTTAGTAGCTCAATAGGCGATTCTCTTCATTTCTCTATGGTGGCAGATTCTACCATCACAGACATCACTAATGTCTCGAGTTTTTCTGTAAACTCCTTTTTAGATAAAATGGGTGATGATAATAATTACATTATGGCTATTCCTGACCCTGACTTTACCAATGATCTACTCTCCTTGCGCAGTAATCGCAATAAAAACAACAATACGCCCTGCATTGACCATGTCTCTAATACACAAGACATTTTGGACTTATTGACAAATCATCCTGAATCTACCTATGATATTCTCACAAGCATTTTTGGCTCTGAAAAGATAAGAACAGATAGCGAACTTCAAAAAGAAGCCTTCCAAGCGGCTGAAACGTGGAGCTTGCGTCCTACAGACGTCATTGCCAAAGTCATTGTTGCTTGCTGCAAACTTTGTGGTTGGGGAACTGGTAAAAACTCTAAAAAAGGATTCGATGAACTCCAAGCACTGGCCCAAAAGGATGTCTGGGAAGCTTACTATTATCTCGGACAATGCTATCATTATGGTATCGAACAAGCAAGCGAAGGCTATAATCTATCAGGTCGTCCTCTTTCTACAACTGTGGTTCAATCGGTTGATCGTGAGCAAGCTATCTTTTGGTATCGTAGAGTCATTGACCATCACGAAAATGTTCCAAGTGAACGTGTTCAATACTATGTCGCTGAAGCTCAATTCCGTATTGCTGCTATCAATTTTGCTTCTGGAAACATTAATGCTGATAATGTGGATGAAAACACAGCTTATCTTCGATCAAGTGTTGCTGCTGGAAATAGGTAAGAAAAGTAATCTATGTTTGTTTGTATACTCATATTCCTTAGAAAATCTGAGTTTTCTCTCGGTCTCTTGATTGAAATTGGCTTGATTGAAGATTCACTTATTGCCAAGGAATATTATCTCAAGAGTGCTAAAAAAGGTTACTTACCTGCTCAAGTTCAACTCGCATTGATTCTGAGAAGTGAAGATTCCCCAGAGAGTATATCCTGGCTTAGTAGTGCCGCTAGACTGGTAAGACAATAACAAAAACTTTAATCTTATTTGCAGAGCACGAACTCATCATCTGACCCTTATTTTTTTTAGGGAGATCCCAGAGCCTTCTATTACTTGGGTGAAAGCTACGAATTCGGGAAATGTGTCAAAGCAGATTCAATGATTGCAGTTCACAACTATCAAACATCGGCTGAGAGATACAATCACCACATGTCAGAATTTCGACTTGGTATGCATTATCTTCATGGTGGTCTCGAACTTGAACAAGACAATGCCAAAGCTTTTTACTACCTTCAGCGTGCTGCTATAGGTGGTTACCCTGATGCTCAGTATCTTCTCGGTATGATGTATCGTGATGGAAAAGTACCCTCTTCAGGAACCAAAAACTCGCGCCAGTCATCGGCTGAAACTTCTCGGAATAACAAGGAGGCTTTCCGGTGGATACGTAAAGCAGCTTCTCAACGCATGCATACCGCTATTACACAAATTGCAAATTGTTATGAAGAAGGCGTTGGAACTGCTGTCAACTATGCACTTGCTACTGAATATTATGATATTGCTATTAGTATACCTGGTAAGCACCTTCCAAGTGCACAACAGACCTATGCTCGTTTCTTGCATAAGAATGGAAAATATGAAAAAGCCTTAGAGATGTATCTTTATGCTTCTGGCCTCAAAAAATCTCCTCTAAATACTCATCCTTCAAGTCCTACTATTGCTAGAGCGGCCAAACGCATGGTTGCCTTACTCTATCTAGACGAAAAAGATACCACAACACCCTTTAGACCTAAAGAAGCGTTTGACATTTTGACTTCATTAGCCAAATCAAACGATGCTGATGCTCATTATTGGATCGCTGTCTGCTACGAAGAAGGAGTTCCTGGTGTTGTCAGTATTGATCTCACTAAGTCATTCGAACACTATGTGATATCTGCTAACCTTGGCTTCAGTGATTCCCAATTCCAGGTAATAACAACAAAAATATTAATTTGCCATTATAATTAATTTTTTATTAGGTCGGACATATGCTCTGTAAAGGTATTGGTGTTAAAGAAGATCGCCAAGCTGCCTTTAAGTGGTTCAAGAAATCTGCAGAAAAGAACAATGCCAAGGCACTCTATTACATTGGTATCTACCATTACAACGGCAGTGGTTCTATTGTCCGTGATCACGAGCAAGCACGTCTTTACTTCAAACGCTCTGCAGAACTAGGTCATGTTGAAGCTATGGTTTCTTATGCACAAACTTGTCAAGAAAGATTAAAAACCACTGGTTTAAACCCCTCAGAAATCGAAAAACTACAAGCAGAAACATTCAAGTGGTATGCTAAATCCGCTAAACAAAACCATACCACTGCATTACGTGAACTAGGCCGTCTCTATGGTGCGAAGGGAGATTTCAAAACATCCCATGAATGCTATCTTAAGGCCTCTCAGCTTGAAGATGCTCTTTCAGCTTTATTTTTAGGTGGTTACTATGAAAATGGACAAGGTGTCGGACCAGACCCACAAAAAGCGCTTCAATACTATACAAAAGCCATGGAACTAGGGCAGCCGACGTAGGTGTTTTTAATTCTCTTTGCATTTCCTAACATTCTTGATAGTGCTCTCTTTGCTATTGCAGAACTCTGTGAAAAGCAACAAGACTATGAAAAAGCATACAGTTACTATAAGCGTGTTTCACAAGATTCCAGGATTTCAAAGAATTTCAAATCAAGTAAAATATCAAGACTTAAAATGGCGCTGTATAGCTTAAACTATGACCCAAATACCCTCCTTTATGAAAAATCAACAAGGCCTAAACAACTGTTTGACTCCATTCCTTCTTTACTCTCCACAACTGAAGCATTTGATACTCTATTAAAACTTGCTAATGAAGAAAAGTTCTCTGATGCCTTTAATTGGATAGGTATGTAAAAATAGATTTATATGTATGCATATTAACCAAGTCCTTACAGCGGAATGTTACCAAGATGGCAAAGGCGTCGATCAAAATACAACTGAATCGATTCATTGGAGGATCAGAGCTTCTCAAGAAGCAAACGATATCAATGCCACATTAAAACTTGCTTCCATGTATGAACACGGTACAGGCGGCGTACAAAGGAATACAGTTTATTCACACCAGCTCTATCAAATGTGTGCAGAGAAAAACAATGTCCTCAGTCAACATAAACTAGGTGCGTATCATTAATTTTCCATGTATATTTATCTTGCTTTATTATTTGCATCCCCCTATCCCCTTTTTATATATATACATATCTATTTTAATCTATTTTAATCTTAACTATATCATTTACCCTATGTATTTAACCTATTCATATAATCTCATGTACTAAACAATCTTTTTTATATATATTGTGCTTATGCTACCCAAAATAAATTATCTTAAACCATTAAACTTGTATTGTTAAAATGAAGGTATGGCATTTTGGCGCGGACACGAAATCATTCCCATTAATCTCGGTATGGCTGTCATTTGGTTTACAAGATCTGCTCGTCAAGGTTACGCTCCTAGTCACTGGGCTCTTGGTCAAATTGCACTGGAGAATGGCGATCTGCATATTGCTATTGCTTGGTGGGAAACAGCCATGCAGCTCAACCCCAATGTGACACACAAAAAGACAGATCCTATCAACGTGGATCATCTTCTTACTACTACAGGTGACTCTGAGGCGCTGGTCATTTTAGGCAAAATAATTCAAAATCAGCAAAAATCAGTTTTAACTACAGATACTTCCTTTGATCAACTCTCGAGAGCTCAACAAGAAAACCGTGGAATAGCGCTTCGGTGTTTTGGACAAGCGGCATTGATGGGGAATGTCGAAGGCATGTATTTGACTGCACAAGCATGGCATAAGGATAAGGACTATCCAGTTGCATTAGAACATTATGAAAAAGCTGCTTCCAAGGGTCATGTGCCTTCTCGAATTATGTGTGCTACATACCAAATTTATGGTTTGGGTGGCAAACAAGTAAATCCTGAAGCTGGTTACAAAGTAAGAAAAAAAATGATTGAAAATAACTTATTACTTACTGTTCATCATTGCTAGGAATTACTTGAATGCGCCGATTATGATGTTGAAGCCTACGTTCATCTTGCACGATGTTATGAACGCGGCTTAGGCACCGCGATAGATACACAAAAAGCGGTTGATTTATATCGCCTTTCGGTTGACAAGACTGATAGCTCCGAGTCTATGTTTCGTCTTGGCCAGCTTTATGCTCACATAATGGATGAATCTATAAACGGTGAAATGGAAGCTTTCTATTGGTACAAGCGTGCAATTAGTAAAGACGATCATCCACGCGCAAACTTTCGCATTGCATTCTATTATGTGCAGGGTATCAAGAATGACCTCCTTAGTCCAGATTTATCAACCGCGGCTCATCATTTCCGTACAGCTGCCAAGCAAGATGATTTAGATGCCATGGTTGAGCTTGGTCATTTGCTGCTTGGTACGCATGGGAAGTCTGCTTTGTTCCCTACCGAGCTTCAGCAAGAAGGTCTCCGATGGTTTGAGATTGCTGCCGATAAAGGTTCACGAGATGCTCAACGAGAACTCGGTAACCTGTATCATACTGGTCGCGACGGTTCTGATGAAGATCACCCAATCTATCCTATTGAGCAAAACTTTGAAAAGGCGTATGACTATTTTAGCTTTGCAGCTCATCTAGGAGACAAAACATCTGCTTTGTTTTTGGGCACGTATTATGAACATGGTATTTGTGTCCCACCTAATCTAGAACTCGCTCAAACCTGGTATACTGTCGCAGTAGAATTGAGCATAGAAGATGCATTATCACTTCACCACCCTTCAGGATGGTGGCCAGCACAGTTTTGTCTTGCTCGTGTTTTACATCAAAATGAGGCAACTCAGAATGAGGCGTATGCATTATTCAAAACGGTCTACTCTCACGAACCAGAGCAACATCTTGCTTATCTAGAGATGATCTTGGCTCAGTATGAGCTTTATGGTTTAGGAGGTGTCCCAGTGCAACCTGAGGAAGCGGCTGAAAAGTTACTGAAACTTGCCAAGGCAGGCTATCTAAAAGCGTTCTTTCCCATTGCCCAATGTTACGAAAATGGAATTGGTGTCCAAAAAGATCTTTCCAAGGCTCTTCAATGGTATGTGATGCTTGTCCATCATCCTATTGATCAAGATGTATTGGATGAAGACGATCTTGAAGATCTATCGCACGCCTATTTCAGTTTGGCAGAATTTTATCGCAAGGGAGTTGTGGTTGCTGTAGATCTAGAAAAGTCTGACATGTTGTACAGAATTGCTGCTGAGCGAGGTAAGTTTATTGAGTACATCATTATGTCATTCAATAATAATTCATTTTCTGCAAATTGTTTTATAGGCTCGAGAGAAGCTAAAATGTACTTATCCTTATGAAGTACTATTTATGAATTATGAATTATGTATTATTAATAAAAATTTTTATGTCTTATTCAAGGAGAAAAGGTGAATAGGGGAAAATACACGTTTTGAGGCTGTGTCTGACAAGCATTTCTATTTTGACATCATTTTAAAAAAGAAACAAAAAAAAAATTTTATTATTATTATTATTTTTTACTCAGAAATAAGTTTGAGCCAAGGGTACATCAAGGGGCCAGTTGTACAAGAAAAAAAAATAAAAAAAAAACATTTGTGCCGAGACAAGAAAAGAAAGAATTATATAAAGAAAATACAAGTGTTTGTTTATATATATATATTGACCTACATGATGCATTTTTCTACATGTAATATTGGGCTCAAGTTCAAACAATAAGTGTTGTATCTAAATATATATTTGGTTCTGTACTCCGTTGCTAAAAAAAAATTATAAATAAAAAGGGAACTAAAATCTGTCATTTCTTCTCCTTTCTTCTTTATACAACACTATTATGAACACCATTCGTAGCATGTTCGGCTTAAAGAAGTCAAAGAAAAATACCAAAAAGGATCAAACCTATTCACATAGCTCTTCTGTATCTTCATTCTCTTCTGATTCTTCAACAAATGACTCAATGCCTCAAACACCTACTGGCATGTCAATGCAAGAATCTCTTGGCATCTTCCGCACACTTGAACCTGTCTGGTACTTTCAATCTAGTCTTTTGGCTCATCCTACATTACAATCAAATGAATGGGTTCCATTTGATGAAAACAGCCAATATGCTCTGGAGCAATCATTAGAAAATAAGCCTGACTGTGTCCTGCGTCAATCTGTGCTTGGTCCTTGCACTATCTTGTTTAGACCTGCAACTACTAAAACAAAGAAACAACGCCAAAGCATGATGACACTATCTACATCACAGCATTCTTCCATGCCTTCTCTTCGCCCCAATGGTCATATTGGACGCACATTAGAGCTCAACAAGCATGTACGCCGCACTATTTCCCCTGTTTGGTGGTTTGAACAAGACCATCCTGATGGCTCTAAGGGCATGTGTAGATTTGACTACAAAAACCAGGTCCGTCTTGAGGCTTTATCAGAAGATCGTACACGCTTAGTATTGACGGATGATGCTTTCAATGTTCCTTTTACTGTTGTCCTTGAAGCTCCTAAAGAACGCGAATCAAAGGAGGAAATACGTGGTTTCTTGTTCTTTGAGCCCGTGTCTACTGCTTTCCAGCGCGCGTTTGATGCAACTTACCCTGAAAAATTCTCAATTGAAGATCCTTTATATGATGACGAACAGTGGGGCGCTTCTCTTACTCGTCGTTTCTCTGTATAACCCTCTTCCCTTTTTTCATTATATATTATTCATTTTTATTTAGAGTATTCCTATCTAACTTGTATATAACTCATATCTTATTGTAACGACTAAATAAACATTCCCCCTCCCCTTATTTAATATGAAATCATTCAAAGAATTAGTATGTAGATTAGTACCTGATACCTGTTTGAAACAAGCGTGAAATGATGCCATCATAATTCGACAGTAAAAAAAAAAAAAAGCTTACTCCGGCTTAAATTAAATTGCCCTAATTTGGTCTCATCAAGGTACAACCTCATTCACAGACCACATCATTTTCGGGAAGAGATTACACAGAAAAAGAAAAATCTTGTACACATGAAAGACCGTATTGTATAAATGAAATTTTAAGACAAACCGAACTCGCTTTGCAAGCTTTTACGAAGGCATTTTATTAAAATGGGCCTGTAGTCTTGAATTTGAACAACGACAGACATTGTTAAGAGGATCAATTGTTGTTTCGCTTTTATCATAGCCGGCCAATTCTTTTTGTGTCTGTTCAATTGACAAGATTCTTTTTTTTTTGGCATGACTCTAGGCTTCGTTTTATCTTGTACTACTTTCTTTACTGTCGTTTTCTTTACGTATTTTGTGAGTTTCTTTTAGCTTGTTTTGATTGTTAAGAGATGTTTGATGAAAGGCACTTCCGTTGCCTTTGTTGCAAAGAAAGATAGTAGTATATTAGCTGAATCTAATCCATGATGCTGGCATATGTGGCGTAGCCTGTGGCGAGGTTAGAAAGTACATTATGATAACCCTAGGCTCTAGATTCGTCTGATAAAAATGGTCTAAACCGACATCCGCGGTTAACAATTCACATAGTTGGGCCAAACTTTATAAATTGATTTAAACAAAAATCTAGTTTTGCTAGTGTCCAGTTTTCTTTGGGACACAACGCTTGAAAACAATTTGATTCTACAAAGAACAACGGATGTTTACAATTAGTGATACATAAATGATGTCTGATTCGCTAACGTTAATTCATTCAGACTGAGCCACACTACAGCTATTGGGAAGCATAGTTGTAAGTGCATAAACAATAAAACAGTATATCGAACAACGAGGTCTATGACCTTTGGATCATTTCATAAGAATTTAAAAATAGCATTTACACTTGTACTTCCAAGATAAAATAAAACCTTATGTATTTTTTTAATGATAACTAAACGAGTTTTTCAATGGAATTTAAAGTTCTTTAGTTTGCCACATCATCGTTATGTAACCTCTCTTTGTTTTCTGTTACCCGGGACAGTTTTGTGCCTTATGACGGTGCTTTAAACTATACTGGCAGTTTTGTGATACATCTACTTGCGGCTTTATTTCTGTCGCTTGACATCGGCGGTACACTATCTACCCGAATCAAAGCACGATGATGTGTAACATTTGGTTCTGCTCCTTCTTCAAATTCTTTTCTATAAAAAGAAAAGTCAAAGTCCATTCGAAAGATTCTCGCATCATTTCTTTTCAAGGTAATACCAATGTTGATTTTAAAGAACTGTGTGTTCTTTGCAAAATAAGTTGAAAAGACATGTGTAATGAAAAGCCCAAAAGAAGTAAGTCTTTGCCAAGGTTTTCATTTATCTTGTGGAAATCAATGCCAAGGCAATATAAGCAGCAGGATAAGCTTCGCCATTAAGTAAAAACAGACTTTCTTGATGAGAGATATAGTTCAGCGTATCAATAAGTTTAGCCATGTGTGTCTGGTTCCAAAACAAATCGCATGAAGTATGTGTGAGATTAAAAAAGTTTTATTTGAGTTGTTATTCTCTTTCTATTTAAATCAATTCCCATAGAATAAATATACCATTTCATGACTTGTTAGAAAGTCTATGTATTCTTTTGTAAGAAACGGCTTGCGCAAAAAAAAAGAAAAAAGGACTGCATTTTTGAATTATTGACAAAAAAAAACAACTTCATTTTTTCTAATGCATTCATAGAATGTCACATTTTTGACATTAGGTACAATGTCATTAAGTATATTCAAGTGTGAAAGAACAGATCCTTCAAACAGTTCATGATATTTAAGGCGTATTCTTTTTTCTTTAATTTCAGAAGCTGAAAAAAATGTTTAAAAAAAAGAGGGTCCTGACAACTCTAAATGGATGGTTGCGAAAAAAGAAAAGTCTGGGTTAAAAGTAACGGAAATGCAAAGTAGACGTCTCTTAGAAATCTATTGATAAATCCACCAAACTTAAGGTCTATCAATTGCATGGGGGAGTTTGGTCTCTCGCCTGATTAGAGAACTGTAAACATTAATCTTTGAGCTAAATATTACAAGCATCATGGTTCAGGTTATCTTCATTAAGCACAATCATGGTAATAACAGCAGTAATGCCAAAAGACATGCAAGAAGGTTGACTATAATGCCATCTCGAATGTTATTTGTACCATGAATCAGTCTTAAAAAATAATAATAAGATATTAAGATAGCCTTATTATCTGGAGACATCATTCTCTGTCAGTTTCAATCAAAAAAGAAATCGAAAACTAGCTTTGTAAGGAGCTCAACAGAAAAGCATCAAAGGTATCCTAATTCAAGAGCCCTTTAACGTGCCGAAATGATACTTAAACGCGCTTAGTTTTTTGTTCATGATTTTTTGAGATGCTTAAGATAATATAAACAGAAGAAATCAGTACTTGGCGGCACCGTCTTTGGCATCAATCATAGCTTAGTATTGCTTAGTCATATTGTGTGTTAGTATGAATGTAAGAGTTGAAGCAACTATGCAATTGGCAAGATTATTCAAATGCCTCTTCGTATCCGTGTAAGTATTTCAAATGTAATGGTTAATGTCTGTCTCCCTTCTATTCTCTGCTCTTTCTCATAACCTAATGTAAGTAACAACATAAATATTACTTTTGTATCTCATGCTCTGCTTACAATTTTTTTTAAGCTACGTAAAGCTGATCGCTGAATATTTAATACTATACCCTCGCCGCCCTTATGTTCATGCAGTTATATACAAATAACAATTTCGTCCAAGATGGCATTTCTTTCTTTATTTCAAAATGATTTCCAGGAACTAGTGTTCGTTATTTATTAAAACTAAATCTCTAAACAAGATTGCTCATAGTCATTAACATATCATTGTATTTTTATTGCCTGGTCCACTTTCTTTTCTTCTAAACTCTATCACTACTATGTGCGAATTTATTCTTCACTCCCGGTTTAATCATCTTCATATGGTAGTAATGCACTAAATTGATTGCATTGAAAAGCAACCATTATGTAGTGATCCAACTTGATCTCAATGGATTTGATGAATTGTATCTCTGAATTTGGTATTTTTTATCATACTTCTTACTACATCTATATCATGCATGATAAATTTCAAGTTAATCTCTGACATTGATAAAAAAAAAATAAGATTAGGCCCGTACCATCTACATATTTGATTAAACACTCTTACTTGAACAAATTGAGAAGCAATAAACGCGCTTCTCAAATATCTTTTACTTTATACTTTTTATCTTCTTTTGCTGTTGGTGTCATAAACAACTCCATTTATTATTGCATGCATATAAAGTAAGCAGCCAATAAGAACAACTCAACAGCCTTCTTTTGACTTCCAAAGCGCGTAAAGGAGAAAAAGCCACCAGCAATCACCGCTCGCTGAACGTCAATTTCCTATTAGAGGGTTCAAGAACGACATTTAGAAAAAAAATTTAAGATCACTTTATATTAACTCTTTCTTTCTTTTCATCATCTTACAGAATGTATCAAAGAGAACAAAGTAACTCTCTCTTTTTAGGAGGTGAACGTACAACAGGCCAAGATGTGCGTTCCAGTAATGGTAACATGAATAGACGCGTAAAGATGATGACTTACATCCAATAGTTCTTGCTGCTGCTTCTATTGCTAATATCGTCAAGAGCTCTTTGGGTCCTGTTGGTTTAGATAAAATGTTGGTCGATGAAATTGGTGTAAGTAGTATGTTAGTGGAGGGATGTGTTTCTCATCATCTTGATAGGATGTCACTATTACTAATGATGGTGCTACTATTCTTCAATTACTCGAAGTAGAACATCCTGCTGGTAAAGTGTTAGTTGAACTCGCTCAACAACAAGACCGCGAAGTAGGTGATGGTACTACTTCTGTTGTCATTATTGCTGCTGAACTCTTGAAGCGCGCTAATGAGCTTGTCAAGAACAAGATTCACCCTACCACCATCATCACGGGTTATCGTTTGGCTTCTAAGGAAGCTTGTCGTTTCATTGCTAACGAAATGTCTATCAAGGTCGATGCTCTTGGTAAAGAATGTCTTATCAATGCTGCAAAGACTTCTATGAGTTCCAAGATTATTGGATCGTAAGCAAAATGGACATTCATCATCATGGCATTGACTTTTTTTTTGTAGTGATTCCAAGTTCTTTGCCAATCTCGCTGTTGAAGCCATGCTCGCAGTCAAATCCACCAACATTCGTGGTGAGACCAAATACCCTGTCAAGGCTGTCAATATTTTAAAGGCACACGGTAAATCTGGTCTTGAATCTCAATTTGTACGTGGTTATGCCCTTAACTGTACTGTTGCTTCTCAAGCCATGAAGAAGCAAATCAAGAATGCCAAGATTGCTTGTTTAGACATGAACTTGCAAAAGGCTCGTATGCACCTTGGTGTCAACATTGTAGTCGATGATCCCGACAAATTAGAAGACATTCGTAAGCGAGAAATTGAGATCACAACAGAACGTATTCAAAAGATTTTGGATGCTGGTGCCAATGTGATTCTGACAACAAAGGGTATTGACGATTTGTGTTTGAAGTTGTTTGTTGAAGCTGGTGCTATGGCTGTTCGTCGTTGTAAGAAGGAAGACTTGAAGCGCATTGCCAAGGCAACAGGTGCTACTTTAGTTTCTTCTTTGGCCAACTTGGAAGGCGAAGAAACCTTTGAAGCTGCTTACCTTGGTCAAGCCGAAGAAGTTGTTCAAGAACGTATTTCTGATGATGAATGTATTTTAGTCAAGGGCACCAAGATCCAAAACTCTGCTTCTGTTATCTTGCGTGGTGCTAATGATTACATGTTGGATGAAATGGAAAGATCACTTCATGATTCCCTTTGCGTTGTCAAGAGAACTTTGGAAAGCAACAGTGTTGTACCTGGTGGTGGTGCTGTTGAATCTGCTTTGAGTATATACCTTGAAAACTTTGCTACCAGCTTAGGTTCTCGTGAACAACTCGCTATTGCTGAATTTGCTAATGCTTTGCTTGTGATTCCCAAGACACTTGCTGTTAATGCCGCCAAGGATTCTACAGAATTAGTGGCCAAGCTTCGTGCTTATCATAACACTGCTCTTAATGCTGATGCTGATGATCGTAAGCGTGCTCTTAAATGGTATGGTCTCGAATTGATTGATGGCACTGTCCGCGACAACCTCAAGTCTGGTATTTTGGAACCTACCATGTCCAAGATTAAATCACTAAAGAGTGCTACTGAAGCTGCTATTGCTATCTTGAGAATTGATGACTTTATCAAGGTTGCACCAGAACCTAAAGGAAACCCTGAACATGATGGTCATGGACATTAAACACCTTGTAAAGAAAATAAAATAATAAAATAAAAAGAGTTTATTTAAGAGAAATATTGTACTTCTAAACCAATGGTACGAATAGGATTTGTGGTACGCAGATCTGCTGTTAAGCCTAAACTAAACAGTGCGTTCTTGAATCTTCCTTCCCACATCAGTGCAAGTCCCTTTGTGAATTCCCATTTCGCCTTAATCAGGCCTTCTAGTTTCTCTGTACGATCTGCTGTTAATGTCACAACGCCCTTTTCTGGCTCTGTTTCAACAAGCGTAGGTTTTTTACTCTTTGTACGATATTCAAATCCTAATGCTAAATCACTCTCATAAGAGTAAATGCTAAAGTCAAATCGTGAGCACATTACGAGTTGATCAGAGACTTGTGCCACGTAGCTGGTTGACATGCGGCCCACAATGGGGCTAAGGGTATATGTGACACTGATAGGTGCAGTATTGGAAGTGGGTAATGTACGGTATCGAATGCCTGTAGATACTATCGTGTATCGTGTTAATTCAGCAGTAATCTAATAAACAACTTACATCCTCCACTTTTATCAAGCACACCATAATATATTTCAGTACCTATTGACCATTGTCCTGAAGAAACAGGTTGTCCAAAATTATATAATGCACGCACACCAAACAATCCATCATCTGAAGTATAAGAACAATCTGAACTCCATTTACCTACATCGTATTGTAGTTGCATAGCCACCTTGTCTGTGTTAAATGCCATGTATCTAAAATGTGGTGTTTTACCTGAGGTGAGGTATAGATGCGTGGATTATTGACAGCAGTAATGGAGCCTTGAAGGTGTTCTGATAAACGACGTACAAACATGGCTTCCAGTCTTGCTCCTGGAAAAAACATTCTACCATACAACAAATAATCTGGATGAGCTACAAAGATGTAAGTTTATACAAAACAATCAGAAGGACACACTTTCCTCGGTAATCGTTGGGTTTGCCATCAAATTTATCTGGACTATGAGCAACAACACGGAATCGATCGATCAAATCTTGAAAATCAACGGTGGCACTGGTCTTCACATCCAATGGCCTCGATGTATAGATATAACCAAGACTGCCATTGAGTATAGGTAAAGCATTTAGTGTATAAGAAGGTTTGAATTGAGGTGTTGGCAGTTTAGAGACGACAAGTGAAAGGCCTCTTGGTGTTTGAAAGTCGAGAATGGCATGGGACCAAGAACAGAGGTTAGCATATTGATTTTCTTCATTCCATCTTGAGGATCGATAGTACCATTTTAAGCAGTACTCCATAAAGTCATTCATAATGATGTTTTTTTTTAAAAAAAAAAAAAGAGAGAGAGCAACTATCGCTGTGACGTGTGGAAGAACATTATTTTATTGATTAGAGCTCATTAGGAACATGTCTAGAATGACTATGAGATATAGGATGATCTATTTCATTAGGGACATTTCTTTCATGAGAGCCACCTGTATAGACTGTAGAAGCAGGTGCATTGGAACCATGATAAGAATCAGATAAGTAATAATCTCCAGGATAAGGTCGATAATAGGGCTGTCCATCCGAAGTAGAAGGGAGTATTTCTTCATATCTTGTCTGCCTTGGGTAGACTGCTGTAGGATCATAAGCTGGTACAAAGGGTCTTGGGGATAGAGGGTCATTGTTGTCTAGACCAGGCTGATGTGTGCTTTGAGACTGCGTTGGCGGTGGTGCTGTAGAATAGGCATTATAGTCTTCATTGTAACCATAAGAAGGATTAACATCTTTACCCACTGAGTCCATATCATTTGTAGTTTTAAAGTCTTGATTGGTTTGACGAGCACGATTACGACGACGGCGACGACAACAGATGAATAAAAAGACAAGCAAACCTTTTTATGACATGAGATGTATGTTGGAAGCAAGGATAATAAACTTACCTATAAGAGCAAGACCACCTACAATGCCAACAACACATCCAATGATGACCGAGGTATTTGAATTGGTTTTTTGACTTGCTGAACTGAGTGAAGTAGGAGCAGTAGAAGAGGTGGATGCACTGGCAGTACTAGAAAATGAACTCGTTGGATTCAATGTACTTGAAGTAGGATAGTAGTATGTAGTCTCTGGTGATGGCTCATAAGATGTAGTAGGAACAACAGAACTACTAGGAGGAGCATCCTGATATATATATAAAAGTCAACGTCTTGGAGGTCATATAAAACAACTTACACTTGTAACTGGATTAGAGACTGAGCTTGGTGGATAGGTAATGCTAGGTGTATCGGGAGCTGTTGTTGTAGGTGGAGGAGGTGTAGTGTAAGCCATGATTTTATGTGAAAGAAAAAGAGTTTTCTTATATGCATTTCCCCCCAACAATAACTTATTTCTCTAGCCTCCCAATCAGAAATACAGTAACGAAGCCCTCATGAGATTTTTTGATCTTTCTTTTGTATGCTAGACGCAATGTTTCAATACAATTTATATTAAATTTGATTTGCCTTGTTTGATATTCAAGCCAACATTTTGAAGTTTATACTCAAGCATTGATGTTAATCCTTCGTTACGCTTAGTTAATAGTATCCTCGAGCCCATTACACGTTAGACCATTCAAAATATATACATTGATTCAGCATTTTATTATGGTTTTGACAGCATGGGGCAGCCTTTAGAGCAATAACTATTGTGAATCAAACCAAGCTTCATTTGACAGGTTTCTTATTCGATTTTGTACCACACTGACATGTTTCAAAATCTACTTTATTTAAACACATCTTGCTTGGTTGACCAAACGCCATGACGATAATGTTGTTTGCGGCACTTTCCTTTGTATCTGATGTACAAATTAAAGCGAGTTCTCCATATATTTGCCTAGTATCTCTGCTCAGAACAAAGGGATAGAGAACTCGCTTTAGTTTTATTATACATTATATGATGAAAGGTAGCCTTTAGAACCTACATTACATATGGTACAAGCTACCCTATACTCATAGCTTCAATTTCGTTGCTCAGCTTTTTTTTTTCTATCTAATGAAATCAATGACACTGAGGCTCTATGTTTTATAAGTGGTAAAGGTTTGACATGCTTGTCACACAAGAGGGTGTTTATAGTGTTGGTTAGAGAGACTCAGCCATTCTTTTTTTTTAGAAAGGTGTTGTCTGTAGCAGATGTAAGAGACTATTCAATCGAAACAAGAGTTACAAACAGACACCAAACAAACCGGACAACACCCAAATGACATATGTGCTCTTAAATATGCCGCTTTTACACCTCTTTGGTTTCTTTACTCTCAATCTATCGAAAAGCAATGATTCGGCCCTATATCAATTGCCGCATATCGTGACTGGGTTACAATAAGGATATCAATCCAAAACACGTCTATTGACCCCTTTTTCTTTTCTTTTCTTTTTCAATCGATTATCTCGAAAATGCCTGTTGCTAAAGTATCTCCTTCAATGCTCTCTTCTGACTTTGCTCATTTGGCAGTCGAAGCTAAGCGCATGTATAAAAATGGTGCTGAATGGCTTCACTTGGGTAAGTAGTTTGTGCTTATGTAAAACGTGTTTTACTCATAGATTATTATAGATGTGATGGATGGGTAAGAAAATAGATTGTGTTTAACGTAAGCTGATTAAGGTAGTCATTTTGTTCCCAACCTTACCTGGGGTGCTCCTATTATCTCTGCTATTCGCCCTCATACTGAAGCCTATTTTGGTAAAGAACATAGTTTTTAAAATATCGAATAACACTTTCTAGATTGCCATATGATGGTCTCTAACCCTTCTCAATGGGTGGATGATATCGCTAAAGCAGGTGGTCAAATGTATACTTTCCATATTGAAGCTACAACTGAACCTTTGAAGTTGATTCAACAAATTCATGCAGCTGGCATGCAAGCTGGTGTTGCTATTAAGCCAGGTACTTCTGTAGACGCTGTAATGGGCGAAATTGCTGAACAGTGCGATATGATCCTTGTCATGACTGTTGAACCTGGTTTTGGTGGACAACGCTTTATGGCACAATGTATGCCCAAGGTAGAAGCATTGCGTCGTGCATACCCTGATTTAGATATTGAAGTGGATGGTGGTTTAAGTTTAGAGACCATTGATGCTTCTGCTGATGCTGGTGCTAATGTGATTGTAGCTGGTACTGGTATCTTTAAGGCTGAGAAGCCTGATGAAGTCATTGCCACATTTAAAGAAAAGGTCAACAAGGCACAAGAAAAGTTTGCTCAATAAACGTTTATTAGATCTTTTCTTTGGCCATCACTGGTCTGTAATACATGGTAGTAACATACTATTTTGTCATGTTAGTTCTAGTCATTTTGTTCGTCTCTTTAGTTTACCTTCTTTCTGTATCTTGAGGTAGTTGCTAATGCCATGACATTGTCCTTAATTGAACAAGCATACAAGTGATTTAAAGTGACATGATTGGGTTCATGCAAGACAGAGTTGTCTTCTTCACTCACTGTGTTTGAATTCAATAATACTTTTTCAAGATGAGGAGGCAATCCAGGTGGTTGAGGCTGCTTTTTCTCCCATTCCATCAATAGCGATCTACGCTTCTGTTCGTCTTCTGTGTGCTCATTACTTATAGAAGCCAATTGTAATAATTCAGCTGGAATGACATTTGTGTATTTCTTTACGTCGGATTCAGAAGAAGATAGACCAAATTCATCCCCATCCTCATCCTCATCTTCTTCGTCATCAATAACTTGTAGATAGTTGACGAGATTGCCATCTGGATCCGTAGCTGTTTCCATCTCGTTTGAACATCGCCATTCATCGTCTACAATAAATTTGAGTTTATGAGTGCCAGGAGGCAATTCAAGTACTGCACTGAAATCGTGTGTACTAGTGACATGTTAACCCCATGGCATGTGTAGACATGGACATACCTTTTCACTAGTTTGATCTTGTGCTTCCAGCCATTGAAAGTACCTGTAACATAGACATTATTTCCACCTTGAGACCAAGTAATGATGGTTGGTACACCTTGAGTAGCGGGCGGAGATGTTGGTTTCTGTGTAGTAGGTTCTTGTTGAGGGATATGAGAGAGATCTTCATCATTTTCATTGTCACGTGTGACACTCATGCCACGCGTACGATAATAAGGACCACTGATAGATGCACGGTGATGTGAAGAAGAAGCAGAAGAAGATAAGGATCCATACCAAGGACTGGCTCCTCCTGTGCTTGACACCCAGCCTGATTTCTTGCCTGTAGAGACTGGCACTGCTTTTGTGGGTTCAATAATTTGTGGAGGTGTTTGTGCGTCTTCTTTTATTGAAGGTAGAGCAGGAATGACGGTTGTGGGCGATACAAGCACTTCCATGTCTGTCTTTTGATCTGATGTTGGGTGAGTTGCTGTTATTGTCGTTGTTGTCGTTGTTGTTGTTGTAGGTGCTATCATAGTTGACTTTTGAATAGAAATAGTACTACTACTATTACTTTGTTGTTCTTGTTCTTGTGATATACTGGCACGTCTGCCTGTTTCTGTAGAGTTTGTATTGCCCATTTGACAGAAAAAGAAAGAAAAAGAAGAGAGAAAGAAAAAAGAAGAGATAAGCCCGCTGCTTTAAAGTCATATATTGCTTAATTATTATTTTTTTTTTTTTTTATTGTTCATTCAAATCCTCTTCCTTTTGCTGTTGTAATTGTTTTCTTTTAGCTTCAAACTGTTCGCGTGCTTGATCCTGCCATCTATGCTGGTTAGCAATTTCATGAATTTTGAAGCCAAAGATACGAGGCACATATCGCTCCGTTGTTTTGGTGGGCAAGTAATTAGAGTGGACTTGGAATAGCATATGAGGAAAAGAAGTGCCAAAATAAGCACCATCAATAGCACTATGACGTGATGATTTAGGATTGTAGATATCCTCACAACGAGGACAATACAATTTGACTGTCTTTGTCATTGGGATATCAGACAAACCAACTGGAAGCAATGGTTGCATATTACATAGCACTCGAGGACAACGACCGAATTCTGCTCTTTTGTATTTATCAAGCTAGAGTTCATGTTAGACACAAAAGAAAAGAGTCATCCTACTTACCATCTTCATAAGGCCGCGGCTAGTGATAACAAAACGGGCATGTATCAAACCAAAGAGATGACGTGCTGATTTCTCAATCTGTTCTCTTACTTTTTCATCGAGTCCTTCTTCGTCTAATTGTCTTGTGAGTTTTCTCTTTTTCTAATGTATACGCGCGTATGCTTCATTACCTAAGTTATCCGTAATCATATCGAGTGCTTCTAGATAGTAATGAGGTACTTCAGCACTTAGGCCAGTCAAATTAAATCTGTCTAATATATAGTCTTCATCGACTTCACAAAAGTATTCATTGCCTTTAGTGTCTAGAAACCATTCGATCCAATATCTAGCATATTCACTTTCTGATCCACTGCTCATGGCTGGTATAGTTTAGAAAAGTATTTGTACAGGTCTAGTCATTTACCTTGAACAATAAATGGGTGTTTTCAAAATAAAAGAGAAAATAAAAAGGTAAGTTTTGATTTGTAGAGAAGGGCGGGGACCTCTTTATGCTGCAACAAAAAAAAAAAAAAAAAAAAAAAAAGGAGACACTCCGGTATATTCACGTGACCAAAAAAGGCACTTGGTAACCTTACTACAAAATTTCATTTGTCACATCATCTTACTGCTTCCTTCATTATCAGCCTAACTTGATCATTCATACTTTTGTTCATCATACATTAGACTGGTTATATGCATCCAAAGTGTCTAGTATTAGCCAATCACAAGTCTACGAGAAATATGACCAAGGCTTGCTTGTCAAAAAGACCTTGAACTTAAAGTACTTGACAAAAAACTAACCCATATGACTTTACTAGCTTTTAATAAGTAGTCGTATGCTTTTTTAGTCTATCACTCCTGCTGATCACTACTAACTAGTCTATCGAATGATAAGCGATTAAATTAGATTAATAATGAAGGAAGCAGTAAGATAAAGCGACAAGTGGAATTTTACCATGTTCACTTAAAATAGCTAAGAATAGGACTGTCGCATGAACAAAAGACACACGCACTTGATGATAAACAACAAGATCCAAGTCCAAAAAAAGAGAATTGTGTAATTTTGTCCTTTTTTTTATAGACCGCTAAAATGAGTATAAAAGACAAGCTCAAGTTGGATCATATACACCTCTCTTTTTCTTCTTTTCTTCTTAAAAATGGCCTCAGAAAGAATCTCTCAGATTTTGCCTACTGTCAAATGTTCAGACTGTGGAAAAGACGTCGAGATTCGTCGTCTTGGTGATCATCTTTGTTCAACTCCACCTGTGCCTTCTATTCCCATAATTCCAACGCTCAAAGGTAAAATTGGGGGGGATTGAATTGAATGGTATTGACTCTCTGTAGACAAGAGTAAATTGTATAATAATATCAACAACAATAATAATAATAATAATAATAATAATAATAATAATAATACGACTACTACTACTACTACTACTACTACATTTGCCAACCCAATTTCACCTTTGCAAAGTCCAAGTAGCAATACTATGACCAAAAAGAATGACTTCTTCAATACCAATAATAACTCGCCAGCAGCAGGATCAGTGACACCACCTTATTATAGTGGTATGGCAAGAGACTTACAACGTCCTTTAAACAGCAACAATAATGGATATTCTGACGATCCATATACTGACGATTTCTATAAACAACCGTATTATCAAAAGAGTTCATCCAATACAAGTTTACCGAGAAAGAATAGCAATTCTCCTGCTCCTACGAGTCCGACCTCATATCGGTAATTCAATCTCACCTTATTTAATTTTGGATGATTTTAATGTATTTTATTTAGCAACTACAATAACGACTCAAATCCAGATTTTAGATATGGCAAGTTATGCAATGATGAAAGCAAATAGACTTATAAATTCTATAGAAAGAAACCAATCATTAGGAAACATATATCAACAACAACAACAATCATGGTCTACACCAACAAAGAACTCAAGTAGTGGTGCATTGGATAACTTAATGGCTGATCTTATGACATCCATGAACGATGATATTCATTTGGCATCACCTAGTCCATCTAGAAATGACACAACATGTTCTTTATGCCATGAAGAATTTGACTACCGTGATGAAGTGAAACATGCTGGTAATAAGGTAATTCAAATACGTTTCAATAATAATAATTGTACTAAAAAAAAAATGATATTCAGTGCTACCATAAGGCATGCTTTATTTGCCGCTTGTGTAGCACATCTCTTGATCAACGTCGCACACCATTAGAACATGAAGGGAAACTGTATTGTGAAAGAGATTTTCATGTAGTAAAGAATCGAACAATGTGTGCTTCATGGTAAGTTTTAAGAGAGGAAGAGGCGTATCTGATAGTCCATAGTGACCGAGTGATTCTACCTTCAGTACAGCCTATTAAAGCACTAGGCAAATACTATCATCCTGGACATATCAAATGTTACCATTGTTATGATCCCATTGATGAAAGAACAGGATGGAAAGAACACCAAGGCCGACTCTATTGTCGATCTGATTTTAAAATGCTTTTCTTGCCTAAATGTAGAAGTTGCCATAAGTCTGTGGAAACACAAGCTGTGTCTGCTATGGATGGTAAACTTAAAGGAAAATGGCATTTAGAATGCTTTGGTTGTCATGTAAGTCAACAAGTTAAAAAAAAAAATAACAAGCGCTAATAAACGCATAGACATGCCATAGACCATTTCCTGACAATACATTTTATGTATATGATGATGCGCCTTATTGTAAAAGACACTATCATGAATTAAATGGCTCTCTATGTCGAAACTGTAATTCAGAAATTGAAGGTCAATGTTTGATTACAAGTGAAAATTGGAAATTCCACCCTCATTGTTTTGGTTGTAGTGTAAGTTGGTATACAAACAATGCGCGTTGATCTAATGATTGTATTTTAGGTATGCAATTGTCCTATCATTGACACTTATTATGTGTTTGAACGAAGAGTCTATTGTGAATCTCACATTCGACAACTCCAGAGACAACGCAATGTTCGAGCTGAAAAACGAAAGACGCAGTTTGGCCATATTTAATTTAAAAATAATAAACATGAGTTGATTGGTCTTAAGCCTAGTCATAATATAGAAAAAGAAAACGTTCTTTTACATGTGAACGTTTATTTGAGTGTATTACAAGTACTACATTTAAGAAGTGTTGATGCCAGCATGGTTGAAGCCAAACCACCAAATCAAAATACCAGCAATAACCAGAAGAATGATAAAAATAATAAAACAGATCCATTTTTTCTAATTTTAAGCATGAGTCTCTATATAAAGGAAAAAGCTTGTTCTATTTAAACTTACAGCACGTGTGCTTTTGGAAATGACAATTGCCCTGTCAATATCCTTGTTACCTTGCTCCAAATCAACCACAGTAGCTTCTGCATGTTGCTCAATTTGATTTAATGTCTCAGCTTGTTGTTCTACCATCATTTGCATGTCCACAAATAATTGATGTAGTTCCTAACATGTATATAAGTATATATATATATATATATATAGTTATGTCTTTACTTACTAAAATTGTCTTTTCAATCTTTTTGATATCATCATGGCGGGACTGCACTTCAGACAAAACAGCCTTGGCTTGCCCGGATCGATTGGATTGCATTAAAGACTGGGCAAAAATCTGAGGTGGTTCATCTGAATCCAAAACTCGCTCAATTTCGTCGGGTGTAGCATCAGGCTGGACAATTTTGATTTGTCTTTCCACCCGCTGTCTGTATTTCTGTTGGAACGTTCTCTCGATATCCTGATATCTTTGAATAGTCTCAATAAACTTCTTTTTTAATGCAGCATGCTGTGTTTTACGCATAGGCAAATCGCCTGAGCTAGCAGGCATACGAGCATTACTGAGCTCAATAGCCTTGATCTTGTTCTTACACTCATTATTTAGCTTTGTAGTCTGCTTCACTACTTTTTCTAGTCGGTATGCATTTTCTTCTGTTTGTTCGTCATTGATGTTTGTCAGCGCTGTCCCATGAAGTTCTTCAATAAGTAAGATATTGTCAAGAATTCTTTTGTTCAGCTCTTTTACTTCTTCTACTTCTTGGAAGAATTGATCTGTTGAAATGACACCGTCTGGTTGAGTACGTGGACTCATTTCATATTGTTCTTTGCTTTCAGCATATCTGTCTCCTCGAGCAGTATTGTTGTATGCGGGTGATGGCGGTGTAGGTGGATGGTAACCAGTATCATTTCTACCTGTTGGCATGGGAGGCACGGGTTCATCATCATCACTATAAAATGTGTGTGAGTTACAATCATTATATTTATAGGAGATTTTTTTTTTCTTTTCTCGTACCTGAGACGACTATTTATAAATAAAAATAAATAGATAGATTAGAGGCTACATTTATTATAAATATACTTTTCTTTTTTGCACATACTCGTAACGTTTTTCATTGCTGTTGGCACCCTACGAAAAGATTAGATATCATCCTCTAGTTGCTGTATTCATTTCTTACTCGAAGCTCGGCTAAACGATCTCGACTCATTGTGAATCTTGAACCTGACATTGTATAAAGGAGAGGAAGATAAAAAAGAAAGATATGATAAAGGAAAGGGAATATGTATAAAAGAAAAGAAAGAGGAAAAGTTTTGTCAACAAGAGAGATAAATAATTAAAACGACGTTGCACAATACAAATTAAAAAATGAGGAATAAAAACAGCTTTTTTTTTTTGTTGGTTTATTTTAAGCAAATCAAGGCTGATTCTCCCCCTTTTTCTTTTTCTTTTCTTCGACTCTGTCAATGTTGTCTTTGGGAACCAAATCGGGCCAGTTTGTCAAAATTAATTCATGAATGTCATCACTGAAATCACCCTGGACGACAATTTCATCTTGACCTTGATTGTTCTTTGCAACAGAAGAACCACAGGCGAATCGGTTTGCAAACATCTTTGCTGCCTTCTTAATATCAACACCAAAAACATCCAAACCGTAAATGGTTGTGACACTCTTTCTCTTTGTTCTTTCAATACGTTTGATAATGACACGAGAAGCCTATAATAATTAAGTTGGTTTGATCCCAAAAATATAAATATTCTGTACCATCTTTTTCTTGATTTCACGTTCCAATTTAGCTTCAAGTTTGGCTGACTTGTCCTTCACGACTGTTCTATCTTTCTTGTCAACACCTTCTTCATCAATGTTTGTCTTTTCTACTCCTTCTGTAATAGCTATTTGATGCGTGTAAATAAAACATGCAGGACTGATATCTTACAAACCATTGACGCCGTATAATTCTGTGTATTTATCTTCATCATGTTCTCTTAACCATAATTTACATTTTTCCTGTGTACCACTGAACTCGCAGTACTAGTTTTGAAATGTTAGTTATTTTGATATATATTTCGGTTGTCTTCTCCTTACTTCCAAAGGCATAGTACAAACTAGTAAACGTTTAGTAAAAACCATGTGTTTCTATCGTATTCTAACTTACTGCCACACAAATAAACCTTACGAGGCTCCATTGGTATTGATATGCAGACTAAAGAAAAAAAAGAAAGAAAGAAAGAAAAAAAAGGTCTTTTGTATAATTTTTTTCAAGAGTCAAATTGAGTCAAATTGAGTCGAAATGCAGGCATGTTCCGGTAAAAGCTGCGTATGCTGAGCTTCAACCAGTGCTCCAAGCCACTATTCTTTATGCATGCTTGAATCTTTAGCGAGATCCTTCATTTCTGGATATCAGAATACCTTGAATTATGTCAAGCAGTTTATATAAAGAAATATATAGTTTGAACTTACTAACTCGCAATACCTAAAGATAGGATCTGTAGGAACCTGCGTGATTGTCTGTGTGCTCTTTTGTAAGGAGTTGTGATATTGCAAATGAAAGATGTGTCTTGTTAACATTTTTGTATTAGAATATCATAGCTTGTTGTGAATTTACACTAGCTAGGACAGTAAGAAAAGAAAAGATAAAAAAATCACATATTCGTGTTATTTGCAAATGCTCAAAGCTAAAAAGCGGTTGAGAATTAAATTTGGTTAAAAGGGATTATGTGCATATCAGTCTATAGAGTTCCATCCAATTTACTTTAGGTTGAAAGATAATGTTAATCCTATTGCAGAATATCGTTTGGATAGATAGGGTACAACGAAACAAGAAAATAAAATTTTTGTATCTCGTTCACCTAGCCAATAACGAGTGCTGCTATTTATTACCGTTCAACCTATTCTTAGCCTCTTGTTGTTGTCTACTTCTGAAATAAAGTTTAGATTTCCAATTAGGGTCTCCAATACAGTGCAACATGCTACTAAGCTCTATTTTGTAAATTGACAGAATGTAATGAACTCTTTATAGGGCTGTGTAAGACGATCTGGAAACGTATTTAATGTTACACTCTGGATCTACCTAAACAATAATGCAGTGTTACTAAATATTGATGCGATACTAACCCAAGAAAACGAAAAAAATAGAGTACAACATCAAAACAAACATGCAGTTTTGTTTGTATACCCCAGAAGGTCTTACGAAAATTAAAGTTTCGGCAAAAAGATTAGCCCAACGTGGGGGTCGAACCCACAACCTTGAGATTAAGAGTCTCACGCTCTACCGATTGAGCTAGCTAGGCAATTGCTTAAAAATTGAGTAAACTTTTATAATAAATATCTTAAAAACAGTTTATACCACGTGATTCTCCGAGCCGGATTTCTGTATTTAATCTTTTTTGGGGGCCTTCATGTTGTGTCACTTGTTATAAATGGTAGCCTAATGTCTATATCAGAAAATAGGGTCACACGAACCTGATGCATATAAATATAGAGTTGTTTGCATAAAATTCTTGCGTTTATTATATACGATGCAAAGAACAAGAAGGCGATCTATACATGTGATACATTTCAATCAATATACATAGCTGCATACATCCTAACATAACAAGTTATTCCCAATTGCGATTTTCTGCACATTCTCAAATCTTTTTTTAGTTCTGATGCGTATGTGAATGTACTTTTCTTTATTTGAAAAGTATCGCTAACAGGAAGAAGAATATAAACAAAACACGCTTCTACGTCTAATTGCTATATATAGAGAAAAGATATGAGACAAAGAAACTGTGCTCTCTTTTTGAAATAATAATACAGTAAAAACCAATCGAGTTTTTTTTTCCTTTTCCTTTTCGTCTTGTAACCAGCACTTGAAGAAAAAGAGAAGAAACCTGGATTAGAATGACTCAGACAAAGTCCCAACTAATATCGCAAACGCCCATAGATGGGTCTCCACAGACCTTCTTAAACACTGCCATGAGATATATTAGATATACGTATTACTTTTTTTTATAATGAATACTTACATGCAATAGACATGTCCAAACAACCTTCAGAGCATCCAGGACAAGTATCTACAACTGTTGCCATAATTGTTTTTCCAGTTTCTCCAATGATCTTGACCTTTTTACCGCAATGAGGATTATTGTTAGGATTGGCACCTATTTAATAACATGAGACATTGGTTCACAAGATATTAATTGTTACTTACCATTATTCATTTGACCATGATTAACAGCAACTACCATTTCACTATCACTGCTCTGATGACCACAAGAACCGAGACCAACACTAACATCATAGTATGTGCCTGTACCAATAACAGATAGTAAGCTCTTGGTAGTTTTAGCAAGGTTTAATGGAAGAGATTCTACTTGAAAGAGTAAAGAAGAAAACATGAGACAGAAAAAAAAGATGATTTTGTTCATTTTATAATGTGTTGTCAATGGATAGAGAAAAAGCAAAGAAAGAGAGAAAAGACTACTCGAACAGAGGTTTTTATATGCTCCTGCTTCTCACCATCCCAATTAATAAGTCAAATCTTACTAAACTAGTTGATTACGTGCATATAAATAAGCTTACCTTTAGTATGAGTCTCTCCCCCTTATCATTTCTTCGCGAACCCCTTTTCCTAAAGAAGAATAGACCTACCTCCTACTTTCCAAGAGACCCGTAATGAGCAATAATTATTGCCATTTATTCGCCAATCGCCCGAGAAAGTGGCGCATGAACAAGATTTATTGAATAACTAACTGCTCATGAAGAAAAAAAAAAGAACAAGAATTTAAGAATTGTACTCATTATGTTGTTGTATTGATTTGCATTAGTGTACATTTCTTTTTTCTTTATTTTCTTTTTTGGATTTATTATTCAACAATAACGACAACAGAGTTTTTTTTTCTTTTACTTTTAATTAAAAGGAGCGTAACACCATTGGTCTCCCTGTCCAAAGCACTTCTCCTTTATCACTGGGCTTAGCACAGATACTACTGAAAAATAAGACAAAACCCAGAAATCAGTCCATCTTTTTTCTGACATGATGGCTATATTTATCAATATGATTGACAGATCAAATTAAAATTTGATCATATACAACAAAAATGTAAACACTATAATGCGCGCAAATGAATTCAAGGAGAAGAAAGCATGTATAGTATTTTATTGTACTATTCATTATATTACATGACTTGCTCTTCTTTGGTCACGAAAATGGACTTTTCTTGCTCACATTCATTATCATTCCAATAAAAACCTGTCATGATTTCATTCAAACGGGGTACACCTGTCTCCATACCAACTTCATACCATCGATCCATCACATCCTTTTCAGAAAGATTTTTCTCATCATCATCTTCACTCTCCATATTAAGCGTATAAGGCTCAAATAACAAAGCAGTTCGAGATCCTTCTTCTCTAATGACTTGCATTGGACGCTCAGGTTCTTTGGGTTGATCGGCTATAGCCAGAATAGCAGCCACGTCTTTCAAGACATCATTTACGTACATCATAGTGTTAGCTACCTTATCATCAGGTCCCATGCCTGGACGTAATGTAGTCATTGTAGTCGTACGACGAGGAGAAGACTGCTGAACTTGTTGAATGTGAACAGGTTGTTGTTGTTGTTGTTGTTGCTGTTGCTGCTGCTGCTGTTGTTGTAATTGAAGTTGTAATAATTGAGCCTGCTGCTGCTGCTGTGGTTGTGGTTGCTGTGGTTGCTGTGGTTGCTGTGGTTGTTGTGGCTGCTGTGGTTGCTGCTGTGATTGTGGTACTGCCATGGACTGGATGTGTTGTTGCTGTTGTTGCTGCTGTAATTGCATTTGTTGCATTTGCTGCATTTGCTGCTGCTGCTGTTGCTGTTGTTGTAACAATTGCATCATCTGAGCAGCTTGTTGTGAAGCATTATTGGCAGGCTTTTCATTCATTTCTGTCTTGATTTGAGAATGTATAGCATCAGAATGTTGTGGTTGCTCCTGTCTGGCTAATTGTTGTTTTGCAGCTTCTACACGTTCATTCAACATGGCCCGGATTTGTTGCTGTTGTTGTGGCGTCAAAGTAATACGATTATGTGCAGCCTGCTGCAACAACCAACTGCACTGCAAAGCACGTGGAGGCAATAAATTGACAATGGCAGGTGACAAACCACTTGCGATAGCAGCCTGATAAATCATTTGAGATTGCGCTTGACGTTGATTAAGAGACATGCCTGCTTGTGCGGTTGCTGTCATGGCTGCTGCATTGGCCATGGGCTCTGGATGGGCCTGTTCTTCAGGAACGATGGCCTGAGGAGATGCTGAGCCATGTGTTAAATCAACCATGTTGGCAGGACTTGGTATATTGTTGGGTGAAGCTCTATTTTGTACAGGCGATGATTTTTGAGGCGTACTTGCTGCAACAGGAGAAGCTGCTGCCATTGCAGGCGATTGATTCGCTGCTCTCTGTTTTTTACTCGGCGGTAATTTAAGATCAATGCTAGGTCGCTTCATATTCGGTTGCGTGTTCTGCAATGTAGGTGTGTTGTTGGAAGAATTGGGATGAGTCAAAGTGATATCCATATGTTGAGGTACCTGGTTACGATTAGGTTGCTGTGGTTGCTGTTGTGAGGTATTTTGACGCAATTGTTGTTGTGCTTGAGTAATAGCCTGTGCTTGTTGTTGAGCAAGTTGCTGTGCCTTTTGTTGAGCGAGCTGTTGCTGCTGTACTTGAGCAGACAATGGCTGTAGAGGTTGTTGTTGTTGCTGAGTAGGCTGCTGTTGCGGATGTAATTGTTGCTGTTGCTGCTGTTGTAAATTTTGAGGCTGTTGAGACATATCGGATGCACTGGCTTGTTGCTGCTGCTGCTGTTGTTGTTGATCTTGTGAAGAAGCACCTTGTTGCTGCTGCTGAGGGGCTCCAACAGCATTTCTCACCCATGAGAAATAGCCACTAAACTGTTCTTTCAGCTTTGTCAGATGCTCTAAAGTAATCACATATTTGTTCTGTCCCAACATCGATAATTGATCTTCAAACATATACTTCATTAAAATCAAGCGTCGAGTAGCTTCCATATTGGATGTAAGGGCCAAGAAAACAGGCAGTAAATTGTCAATCTTATCATACATTGGTTTCATCAAAGCAGTGTGTTCTCTAATAGCTGCCTTTTCTTGTTCAGATAAGCCTTCAATAGGATTGGCATGGACTATAAACAAGTTAGACGTATTCTAATTACAAGTGATAAATTACCTCTTGATGAGCGAATGCTCTCATCTATTTGTCGAACAATCTCTGCAGCAGCAGCTCGTTGTTGAAAACTAATGGCACGTCCTGAGCCTGCAACCGGTTGAGCTCCATTTTGTGGTGTTTGGGATTGTGGAGGTTGTTGCTGTTGTTGTTGTTGCTGTGGTGGTGCTTGTTGTTGTTGCTGCTGCTGTTGTGGAGGAGCTTGTTGTTGTTGTTGTTGCTGTTGAGCAGCTAATTGTTGAGCCTGTTGAGCAGCTAATTGCTGTTGAGCTTGTTGTTGTTGTTGTTGAGCCAATTGTTGTTGAGCAGCCAACTGCTGAGCTTGTGCTTGAGCTTGTTGTTGAGCTTCCTGTTGCGCTTGTGCAGCAACTTGAGCTTGAGCCTGTTGTTGCTGTTGATTTTGCTGATTTTGTGATTGGGCTTGTGATTGTGCTTGTTGTTGAGGTTGTTGCTGAGCCATTTGTTGCTGTTGCTGCTGTTGCTGATGTGCACGAGCCTGTTGAGCTTGTAAATGTTGCATAAGCAATTCAGGATTCAATTGCTGTTGTTGTTGCTGACCACCTGGAAAGTTATTTACTTGCATAGGAGAACTTGTAGCATTGACGCCAGAAACAGGAGGACGGTATGCTTGATTGTTCATGAGGACAGAGGGATCTTGACTTTGCTGAGGATTATTTTGATGCATGGCAATCTGACGAGCAAGATACATTTGAAACTGACGAGGAGACATAGTCATGGCAGCTTGATTCACATTGCCCATGTTCAAGTTTTGCAAGACGTTTAATGGAATTTGTTGCTGCTGAAGTACATTGACATTCGCAGCCATTTGAGCAGCTGTGTTTCCATTCGTATTGTTGTTTCCTGCAGCAGCAGCAGCGGCCATAGCTTGAGCAGCTGTTCTTTGCAATAACTGGAGTTGAGCTTGTTGTTGGTTTTGTGCTTGTGGTTGTTGAGGTGTCATGCCTTGATTAACTTGTTGCTGAGGTTGTTGTGGAGGCCTTGCTTGCATCATGTTTTGCTGAAACATGTTGGGACGTATCTGGTTTTGATTGTTTTGTGATTGTTGTTGCTGTTGTTGAGGTTGAGGTTGAGTCAGATTGAGTGGGGAAGATGAAAGATTTTGCAACTGTTGAATTGGTTGCACTTGAGGAGAAGCCGTCTGTTGTTGCTGTTGCTGCTGCTGTTGCTGCTGTTGTTGTTGTTGTTGCTGCTGTTGCTGTTGTTGTTGTTGTTGCAATAATGGTGACATTTGCTGTCCACTGTTCAACGTATTCAAATTAAGTTGCAACTGACTATCGTTCAGCATAGGTGTTCCACCATTTTGACTCTGAAGTTGGAATTTGATCTGATGAAACTTTCTCGCATACGCCAATATGTATTGATTCTATTCAATCATCAAATTTACGTTACAATTCAGTTCTCGTTACCTTGCTTGTACTTCTTGTATAAAGAGTCAATTCGAAATTTTTGGCAGCAGCAAATATATCAGCGTCCGAAGTTGCAGGTGATAAATGTTTAAGTGCATTACCTCTATATCAATCATAAATAACAAGATAAAAAAACAGGGTAATTGCTTACAGTTGAGATACAAAACGAGCTCTGTCTTGTACACTCAGTTCTTCTCTCCAGTTAGCGTTAGGTACTTCGTTTTGAAGGTTCAAATTAAGTGGGTTTTGTTGCTGGTTTGGTTGTCCGAGCTGATTCGGCTGACCAGTTGGTATATTTGGGTTTTGTTGGTTCATAAAGAAGAAAGAAGGAGAGCAAACACGCGCACGTAAAGAAAACGAGAAAAAAAATATTTATATAAAACGGAGTTTATTCAGTTTGTGACATCAAATTTATTTTAATTTAGAAGTAATAAGAGAATGCATGTCTTCAAGTGTATCTAAAGGAACTCTGTTCTTCTTCTTGAGTATATGGATCTTGTCTAGTACGGTCATACCCCAAGCGTCTTCTAATGTCAAGTCAATGTTGGGTTGGTTGAGCAATAATTTAAGTACAGACAATCGACCTGTGCAGAGTGCAACATCAATGGCTCGGCGGTCTTCGACAGGATCAGACCAATTCACATCAAAACCTGCTTCTAAGGCAACTTGGATCCATTTGATATTATTATTCTTGACGGCCTTAAACCAGTAGGGTCCCATGTCACCAATTTCGCTTTCTGCCAAATGTGCACCTGCATTTCGTAATATCTTGACTACTTCAGCACGCTTTTCAACCACAGCATCAAATAAGGGCGTATGGCCAGTACGATCACGTACATGAATGGATGCTCCGTGAAGCAGTAAGTATTCAACAATCTTCAGATTGCCTTCACGACAAGCAACATGCAAAGGTACTCGACCATCATAATCAACACAATTCAAGTTGATCAATTCACCCATACTTTCTACCAGCAGAGTCAAACCATCCAAATCGTTTGAGCCAGCAGCAGAACAGAGTAATACAGGGCCTAGCGCCTTTTGTGCTAGCATTTCTTCCTCTACTGACATGGTCAAGTCAGCTTCAAATCCATTACGTTCAAGTTCTTGACGCACTGCAAGTTTTCCTCGAGCAGAAAACTTCATGAGGATATTGACGAGCATACTGGTACGATTGTTGGACGCACTAAAACGTTGATAAGGAGCACGTACAGTCAATTCACCACGCAAGTTACGGGTCATCATCTTGCGCACATGATCTGGGTCATCAGGCGTCTTCCCTAACAAATAGGCTAATTTGGATAAGGCACATTCAGGTGTCATATCAGCACCAGGAACCACACCAATGGCAGATAATTGCTTGCCAGTAGCGTAGGCATCAGTGACAAGACCCTTTCTACATTGTGTACAATTCACAATGACCACACCACGATCTGTTGCTTCCTTCAGGGCAGCCAACAAAGTAGGTCGACAAGGAGCATTACCTGCACCAAATGTCTCAAGCACAACCCCTTGTAATGGAGGAGCCAAAAAGGCACGGATAGTGGAGTCATTGATACCAGGAAACAATCTTAAAGAGCCCACATTAGGATTAAGCTTAGTCCACACATCAAACTTTGCAATATGAGTTGGACGCAATACCAATGGCCATTTAACATCTAATCGCAAGATAAGCATCTAGATGCCATAACCTATGTTTTGCTTACCAATGTTGATCCCAATATCCACCAAAGCAGGAATATTAGGTGAGTCAAATGCCTCGAAATCAACAGCACTAATCTTGCTTGTTCTGTTACCACGATATAGTTTCTTTCCAAAGTAAAGCGTCACTTCAGGAATCACGAAATGACCAGCCACAGTAAGGGCACCCAACAAGTTGTCCACAGCATCATTTCTTACTTCAGTCAAAGGTACCTGTGAACCCGTAATAATCACAGTTTTTCCCAATTCTTCCAACATAAAACTCAGCGCACTGGCAGTATAAGCCATCGTGTCTGTACCATGTAATACAATGAATGCATCGTACAATTGGTAGTTTTCTTTAATATCCCCCGCAATACGAACCCAATCTAATGAATGTATGAGATAATCTAATCTGCCATGAGAAAAAAAAACCTTACCTGACATTGTAATGTCGCACGAATCTAAGAGAGGAACATACTCTAAAATGGAATATCTACCGGTAATTCGTGAGAATTTCATCTTGAGATTTTTCTTTCAATTACCTAATGCGCTTGCCAAACAAACTAACGGGTGTAATTAAACTGGGCAATTGAAATGTCTTGGATTTGCCTTTGTCAGGGCCATCTTGTTGAATTGCTTTAACTGTGTTGGTAGTTCTGCCGAAATCATGGTGTGTTTTATCAGAAATGTTTAAGCTGTCAAGGCTATCATGAGAGGAAGAGCGGCTGAGAGTAGGTCTATCTGTGTCATTTCCAGGGTCATGAAAACGGCGTACTTTAGAAAGAGATTCTGCAAAATAATTTGGAAGCTGATTTTGATTAGATCAATTTAAACAAATCAAACTTACTGGAATATAACCATGTTCTGGTGTGTGCTTCATACCAATAGTACCACCTGTATAAATAACGAGAACTCTTGATATATCTGTCTCAAATCAGTATAAAGAACAAAAAAAATTTTTTTTTTTTATGTACCAGGTGCTAACATATCATTACGGTCAACACCAAGTTGATGACCAACAGCAGCATTGTCGTAAACAACATTATCGCTGCGTACAGGCGTTGATAAAGGCGGTGGTGTTGTGCCTGTGCTATTCTGCATATTTTTAATAAGAAGAAAAGAGATTTTATTCAAAATTAAAAAAAACAACCGGACTTTAATAAATGCGCTTGACTCACACTGGACCATTGGTTGTATGCGTTTCATTTTTTTGTTCAGTTTCTTTTTCAGAAAAGATGGCACTCAATAGATCCAAGGCATATTTTCTTTGCTCTTCTTGTGCTGCATCAAGAAAAGAATTAAAGTCCGCACAGAATGCTTCCAAGCTGTCATATCCTCCTTTTAACAGTAGTTTTTTGTATATATCGTACAATGAGTCTATGTCTGTTATAAGTGTAGACAGATAGACTCTTAATGTGTTTTTGAATAAGGTGAATTCGAGTGCTATATAGCACAATAAGAAATTATGGATAAAAGGAGTATTACTTACCTTCAGATAGGTGCTCGCCTTTGAATTGAACATGGTTGTCTTGTAATTCAACTGAAATAGGATGTTCTAATAACTCAATCCAACCTTTCATTTTCTCTAACAGTAATTGTTCTGTTGTAGTAGAATAGATAGGTGCTCGAAGTTTTCTCAGCTTTAGTACTTGATCTTCTTCAGCATTTGAAATCAATCCTGTCAAATAAGCATGTAAATCATTCTTGAGTCTAGCTTCTTCTACTCGCAACTCTCGTTCTTCTTGTTGGGCTGTTAACTTTTCTTGCTTTATCTTATTTTTGCGCTCTATTTCCTCTAATGCTGATCTCTGTTTTTCTTCTTCTATTATCTTTTGCCTTTTGGCTTCTTGGTCAAACTATACAGTATTAACGAGAATGTTGACTAAATTTAGACTACCTTCACTTCTAATCGTGAACTTCTTTTTCTAGGCACTGATTCTAATTCTTTTGCTCTCTTTGATTTTGCTTCATTCTTGAGACGTGCTGCTTCCTGTGCTTCCAATTTTCTAATGATCTCTAGTCCCAAGTCACATATCTTTGCAGCCAATTCTTTGTTGGTTTCTTTTTGAAATACACTGATCGTATTGTGCCATGATTCAAGTGAATAACAGATCAATTGAAAAGTAAACTCAGTTTGGTTTAGCATATCAATACCCTTTTTGCCTTGAGGAATAGGAATCTCTCTATATAAACGACTGTCCCCAAAATACCAATATGTCCAACCTTGCTTGTCTGTTCCTATAGGACTCAATCGCTAATAAAAGTAAGCATATAAACATACATCAGCGAATCATACCATCATATCTGGTATAAGATCTTCGCTCTTGAGCACCTGGAGTTTTTCATCACTTAATTCCATGTAAGCTTGTTCGATGGCTTTTAGTAGATCAATCTTTTGAACCACGTTGAGTGTAAAGAATGAATTGTATGCAGGAAACAAATGATGAATGGACTCATCATAGTTGTGAACATGGATGGATTGATATCTGCGTTGAGTTAACAGTGGCTTTATAAAGCAAATCATATATGTTGCTAAATTCTTTGATGGTTGTTCGTTACTTATGCTTGATTCGCTTGATATGCTCGATTCACGTAAAGAAGGGTCTATACGGCAGCCATGTAATAATGCATTTTCTAGTCGCTCGAGTGAAAATGTTAAAGGGAGCTTGAGATATGTTCTAAAGGTGTGAAAGAACTGATATGCACTTAAAAATCGCCAAGAGGCATGTAAAATATCCTCTATTTTAGTGTTAAGACTATATAGTTGTATCTCGTATGTTTACCTGGAGAAGACTCGCTAGTAACAAAAATCTGAGGCTTTGGTTTAGCAGGTTTAGAAGCGTTGGTGGATGCTTTCTTCTTCGTGGTTGTGCTGGTATTTCGTGCAGGCATATAAAGAAAAAGAAATTTGTCGCGGTTGCTCAAAAAACGCGAAAAAAACTTTATATGTACACCCCAATCTATACTAAGGTTGTATATGCAAGAAAAAAAAGTTTACTTTATTTATAAAGAAGGTTGTGTGAGCGTGTATACAATATGAGAAAATGGTTGTCAAATTAGGAGGTTAATTGGATGAATTTACGTTTCTTTTCATCGTCTGCTGGCTTATTGTCTATATTTTCGTCAAGGAAATCAGACGTGTTCCTTGCTTTATAGTCGCGTTGAATGTATGATAACGCTGCTCTGTTATAGCCCATGATGTCCTTTTGTCGTTGTAATTGAGTACGAAGATGATGTCTAATGGAATCAAGCATAGGACGCATCATTCTATTGGCTACAATTTGGTTATGGTGTGTCTTGACAAGTGAAAAGAGGACACGGGAAATCAATACGATACTCCAGTTCTATAGAGTAGATTTAGTAAACAAGAAAACGTATCTATATACTTTACCTTTTTAGCCCAACTTTCAATATAAGCAAACAAAGACATCACCTTGGAGAATGGTAATACCATGAGTGCTTCTTCAAGGTCGTTTGCTTTGATCTTCTTGAGTGTATCTAACACATATCTGTCAGGTTCAATGTCTCCCATGGCCATCAAGATAGCATGGCGCTGAGGTGGTTGACCAGGTAAACCCTTTGCTTTGGCATTTTCATAAGCTAGCCAGCCATTCTTTTCTTCATCGCCAATATCAATAGCTTCAATCAAACGCTCACCAGCCTTTAATGTTTCCATGGTTTGTTTACCAGCAGAATCTATTTCCATATCACCAGCATTGACATCTGTCTTCTCCATTTGACTGACAAGTGTATTTTCGTACAGCTCTTCTAGTTCCTTTTCTCTTTCTTCTTCTAAAAACAATTGTTCGTCTGTCTTTTCCCAAATACGCATGGATCGATCATGTGAGCCTGTCACAACAAAGGAGCCATGCTTGGAAATAGCCAATGCCCAGACTTCACCATGATGGCCTTCTAACTTCATGATGTTTTCAAACTTATCGCCATCCCAATACTTGACTGTCTTGTCTTTTGAGACTGTAAAGAAGTAGTGAGTTCCCCATACGAATTGGACAGACATCACACTGTCTTGATGAGCAAACAAAGACTTGTGACAATCACCGAAATCAAGTCCCCATAATTTGACGTTCTTATCAGCAGAACAAGTAGCAATCAACGTATTGTCTGAGGAGATGTCCATGGATAAGACAGGCAATTTGTGGCCATACAACGACAAAAAGAACTTGAGGGTATCATGATAAAACACCTTGACAGTAGAGTCAAGTAAAGAAACAGCCAGTAAGTTTTGATCGGGACTGTAGCGAACACAGAGAACTTCATCAGACATTTTTAGGGTACGCATATGAACAAATGTCAATCTTTTGGCAGCACTGTTCTTGTCTTGAACCATATCAAAGTCCCAGAATTTAACATCCTTGTCAGCACTGCCTGTGACAAAACCTCGCTTATCAGGACGTACTTGCAAAGAGTAGACAGGTCCATCGTGAGCCTTGACAGATTCAACAAGGGAAGAAGAACCGATATCGTATAATTCCAATTCACCCGTCTTTGTACCCACAAGAATGTGCTTGTTGCCAGGCAAAAATGCACTACAGATAGCAAATCCACATTCAATGGATCGAATACATGCTCTTGTTTTCATGTTCCAAACCTTGAGCAAATTACTAGAGGCAGAGGCTAATAATTCATCATCGTTGCTTAATGCTAATGTACGGATATCGGAACGATGGCCAGGTCCATCAATAGAATAAAGGCGAGATGGTTCTTGTGACTCTTCCACTTTCTTTTCATGTGAGATAGGGACTGTATAGGCTTCAATAGTATTGTTGCTTAAAGAGGCTACTAATTGAATTTCACCCGCTTTTTCAACATCTGCTACAGGAGCGAAATCAAAGCTACGGACCTTGGCCGGTGTACGAACAAGACTTTCAAGTGTGAATTCATCTTGTGCTTCAATTTCTTCACTAATTTCTGCTTCATTCTTTCCCTTCTCTCTTGCTCTCTTCTTTCTACGTTGAATCTTTTTACGAATTTGTTCATGATCGCGCACTCGAAGAATTTCTACTGATCTATCACTGGCTTGAACACCCACAAATTTGCCAGAAGGATGGAAGTGAATAGTAACAATACGATCACGGGACTGACGTGGGATTTGACCATAAAGATTGATGGCCTTCTGCAACGTAGCAGGTGTAGTTGAGTCCACTTGCATAGCATCCTTTTGTTGTTCTCCAAGTGCTTCTAAAGATAAACCGAGAATCTTCCAATCAATCTTCCAGGCTTTTAATTGTTGTTCAGCACCACCTGAAATAATCACTTTCTGATCGTTTGAGACAGCAAATGACCATACTTCGCTACGGTGTCCAACCAGTGTTTCACGACAATACTGAGCTGACAAATCCCATAATTTAATCAATGTATCTTTAGAAGAAGACAACACATAGCCTTCACTTGACATGCCAACTTCTGTATCTTCTTCAGCCTTTTTGGGGTCAAGGAAAGTCAAACAAGTAATTTGATCCTTATGACCCTTGAGACGATAAAGACCTGATTCAGAAACAATATCCCAAACAATAAGGTCTGTATCTTTTGATCCAGAGGCAAGTCGAGTACCATCTGCATCAAAGGCTAAAGCAGTAACAGCTGCTCTATGACCGCTAAGTGTGACAGTGGAAGTTGAAGATTGGATGTTCCAAAGTCGAATAGTACCATCACCATAACTGAAGAAAATACAAGAACATTAGTCAATTTATAGATAGAATCAATTCTTTACCCCACAGCAAAGTCTTTGTTGTTTGGACTCTTGGCAATACTGGTTACTTCAGACTTGTTTCCATATTCTCTCCATTTTCCAATCTATAGACACGGCATAAGCATATTTGTTTTTTCTTTTCTGTTCCGAAAAAAACTCTTACTTGGATACCCTTCTTGAGATCCCAAAGGATGACTTCTTCAAGTGCAGATGCAATAGCTATTTTGCCAGTATGGTCGTATAATATGTTGGCAAGTGTGGAAGCAATAACGCCGAAAGACGCTAGAGGCTCATAACGAAGATATGCTTTCACCATACTTTTGTGAAAAAAAGAAAGCGTCAAACAAGAAAAGTGACCTAGTATAACTTTTTTTTCCAAGTTATAGAAATAAACTGTGGCTTGACAATAGGGTAGAACCAGTCACAAGTTAATGTTGACATTCAAGTTTGTTCTTGATCTAATGCATGGTTTTTGATTGAAGCTTAATGATGTTTATAACACTTAGATGTATTATATAAGTAATGTGAGTTATTCCTAGAGTATTAGAATAACAACAATACAGTCATGGCACAAAAGAGACAAATCCTCGATTAAAACCCCGTACTCGAATTGATGAATACAATGCATGAATTTCTTTATTAAAAGTAGGTGATAGTTGATACTTTCGGCGTGAAAGTTACTCGATTAGTTATTTCTTTTGAATTCTGCTATCCTTAGCGCAAATACAACCACTGCGAATGATCTTTTGTGCAATTTTTATTGATATTCATCATTGAATTCAATATAAACTTTACTCTCGTTTAGTTTTCATCGAGAGACTAGATCCTTCTCTACTTATTTGATTACGAATGAATAGAAATCACCCATCCTTTTTTTTTTTTTTTTTTTTTTTTTTTTATACTTTGAAATGCTTTTCCCATTCCATCTTTTCTCCGCCAATCAACATGGTCGGGCTACACTACTATTTTTGTTTTGTTTTGTTTTTTTTACTTTGCATCCATGAAATAAGGTTTTTTTTTTCTTTTTTCACTCCTAGTACAAATTTTATATGCCTCTTAACAAACCACCACCACCACCACCTAAACCCGAATTTGGTCCTCCCTCAACACCCAAAGACTTTAATGAGAAGTTTCAAGCAAAAGAAACCACAAAATACATGAACCCTTGTGCTATGGAAGAAAAAGCCAGTATGAAATGTTTGGATAAAAACAATTACGATAAATCACAATGCAGTTATTATTTTATGCAATACAAAGAGTGTAAAAAGAAATGGGTAAGGATATATCTAACGTGTTTACTTTCGACTTATTGAACTCTCTAGATGGAAGAAAGACGTGCACTTCGAAGAGCTGGTCAGCTTTAATCCTATTCAGGAACACACATTCCGAATAATAATAAAGAAGAAACAATGCAGAATTGTATGTAAAGAGCTGGTTTTATTTTTACATTTTTCGACAGAAAAATATGAGTGATTAAGCAGTTTAATCGAAGAGACCTATAGAGAAAGCATAAATACACATACTCCCTTTCCCTAGAAATTTTATAGCTTACCGAAACCCATATCATCATCAGATTCTTCCTTTTCTTCAGCCTTTTCTTCTTCGGCAGGAGCATCAGCAGCAGCACCGGCAGCGGCACCACCAGCAGCAACAGCGGGACCAGCACCAGGAGCACCGACGTTCAAGAGAAGAGCCTTGAGGTCTTGACCGGCGAGAGCCTTAGCGTAGAGAGAGAACCAGATAGGTTCAACTTCAATACCGGCAGCGGCAACAAGGGTTTGGAGCTTGTCAGCCTATCTCTAGTTGCTCAATAAAACATGTCTTTTTATATCCTAAAAGAGAAAAAAACTTACAGTGATTTCAATGTTGTCATCCTCGAGGATGAGAGCAGCGTAGACGACAGCAAGTTCAGCAGACATACTATAGAATGTGTTATTTCATATTTGGTGATGGATGGGTGGATGGATGGATGGATACGTACGCGAATAAATGTATGTGATAAGAGGAGGATTGAATAGGCCACAAAGGCAAGTTGTGTATTTGTTCAATCGAAGGCCTAACCCAAGTCACATTGATGGTCCGACATTGAATGAAAAACGTTCCTGGACAGCCTATTTTTTTTCTCTTTTTCGAGCACATATATTTTTTTCCTTATGTTTTCTTTAGTTGGTACATATGTGTGTGCATATATGATCGGATGAAGTACTGTTTATGATCCGAAGAAGATGAGTACATTGAACTTTTCTTATACCTCTTCATGCTTTGTAAATATAAATTGAAGATTCCGGACTGACTTTAAAATGCCTTTGTAACTTGCACAATAACAATATTTTGTATCTTTATGCAACCACTATGCTCAAAAGAATGGGGCCTGTCTATGTTTCGTGATACAGCATATCTTGCTTTAGCATCGTTCAAAAACAAACAATAAATAATTGCAAACAAAGAAAGCAATTGATTTTCACTAACCACAAGATCGACGCAAATGAAAGAATAACAATTCAATTGGTTTGTGCACTCTATGAATAGTGTGAAAGGGTAAACGTTTTTTTTCAAGACCAGATAAATACTTTAAATAGTAAAAGAAGGAATGGGAAAGGGATTAGAGAGGAGCACCACTGACCTGGGTGTCACTCAAAAGTAAATTAGCTTGCTTGTCAGACCTAATAAATGTGTTGATCACAAAGTTACGATTTTTTGAAACAAGTATATATTATAGATAAAATGTGTGTGTATATATATATTACAGTTAAGATATATAGAGATATTTAATGGTTGGATACAGGTGTGTTTTCGTGTGTCTTGTAAGCTGGTGGCGGACTGATAGGGCCTTCAGGAATCACACGATCGTTTCCAATAGCATCGTTTGTATGGGTTTGTTGCATCATGTACAATTGATCTTGATTCTCTCGCTCTAGTCGTTTACGCATGCCCTTAATGCTACGATAGATATACCAAACCAACAGACCAAGTACCAGCAGACCAATAAAGATAATAAACACAAATCGATTGTGTTCTTTGAGCCAGCTCTGCTGTTCGTCTGCTGGCTGATTCCCGTTCTGAGTAAAGCCTGTGCTCTGCACAGTAGGCATTGCATAAGAGGAGGTAGCATCTATAGTTTCAGTAGACGATGGAATGGTGGAAGAGGGGATAAACGTAGGCTCTGCAGTCAATGATGATGACATGGTTGATATGATGGAGTCTGTAGTACTAGTGCTGTTGACGGTTTCAATTGAGGTAACATTTTGTGCCAATACAAAAGAAAACAATAGACATGACAATAAGAACCAATGCTTTAGTAATGCCATCATAAAAATTTGCTGTATGTATTCTGTACTATGCAAGTACAACAAAAAGACAAAAGTGCAAAAAGAAAAGAAAGTTGTCGCTCTACAAATAAAAAGAAAAGAGAAAAAAAGAGAAGAGAATAGGGAGAATGATACTTTTTCAGTCTTCTTATTCTCTATTGATTCCCCGCGAATATTAAGGATCAAGAGAGTTAAGTAGCGGGCCTGGGATCAAATATATACAAAAATAAAAGGTCTCGATCAATCTCTTCTTTAGTTCAAAAAAGGAGAATAAAATAAAAAAAGAGAGAAAAAAAAATAGAGTGCCTTTTTATATATAATTTCAGGGCCAAAATTTATATGTATAGTTGCATATTTTTATTATCTTTATTGCTGTATATTTATCTGCTTCAGATACTAAAATAAACATGGCTAGCTTTATACAGTCGAACCTATGGAATTTGGCGTTTTCTCAAAAATAAATGTCGGAACTACAAAGATAAATGTCAGGAGTTTGAACTGTTTTGTGTCGGAACTAGCTAACTAAAATTGGCGGGAAGATTGCGCCTTATTGTCGCATATCTTCTGTACCTGTTTTTGTCCCTCTCTCTCTCACTTTCTTTTATAATATGCACGCATTTCTTTTTATTTTTCAAGTCAAAACAGCTTGCGACATTGTTTACACTTTGGATGATGGTGAGATAGTTGCAGAAGCCACGAAAGTGGCACAACAGGAAAGTCACATCAAGACCATTAAAAAACAAAGTCTAGCAACATCGCAAATCTTTATAAAATGTCCATTTTGAAGCTTTAACATCAACTGGTTTGTCCATATATTCAGCTCTAAAAGAGAGAGAGAGAGAGAGACAGAGAGAAAAGAATTAGTTGATAGGAGGGGATTTTAATCTGATTACTTACACTATATTCAGAACCTTGAGTATCTTGTAGCTAGCTGATTTGCGCTTATGATTAACTAGCAATCCACTCATTGTTATTGAGATCCTAATAAGCAATGTATGTAAATCATGACATTTATCAACTATTCTATCAAGGCAATATCATCAAAAATCGCATTTTCAAAGTCATTTCATTGTCGTATCAGCAACATGTGTCTCATCTCTGCGTAAACTAAGTAATCCACAAAGTTTATGGCGCTTGATAATAATAATACAGTTTTCTTAAGGACCGTCCCTTACTGGACATGCTCGCGGAGTACTGGATAGAGAGGGGGTGGCTAGAGAGCACTCCATCCACTCCAAAAAGCAACCACTTTTGTATAAATAGACAGTTTCTTAAAGAAGAGAAAGTAATTGTAGTCATTTCACCAAAAAGAAAAGAGAAAGAAAAAAGAAAATTATTTATAACAGATCATTTCATAAAAATAAACAGGGCTCAACTGTTTATTACACATAAAGAAGCCAATGATTTATTTGTATGAAAAGAGAGCATTACTTAATAAAAACAATAGAGAGACTATAAAGCTAATAGCAGCTATATTCTCAAAATGCTTCTTTTTAGAGTGGACAGAGTATTCGCCATTAAAGAAATAGAGATACATTTATGCATTTTATATTTTTTAGGACCGTCCCTTCTCTAGCCACAGCTATATGAACCATCCCCTCTCTATCCAGTACTCTGTGAACATGTTTGATAGGGAATGGTCCCTAAAAAAAAGGGGGATGGTGCATAAGAAAACCTTAGAAAAAACATGTCTCCAAATGCTCTATTTTAATATATTTGAATAAACTTTGTTGTGATTGATTTTATTGGTATGGTATGGTAGAGGAACAGCGTGAAAGCGATGTTCAAGCTAAACAAGACTTGAAGCCTCTGTCTATCAAGATGAAAGCAGAATTTCTCATCTAAATGCCAATCTGAAGCTTTGTCCTGTTGACCATCTAGCTGCACTTGCTAAAGCCATAGAGCTTTTAGAATTCTCAAATGATGAAGCTAATTTCGGTACTCTCAAAATAAGCTTTCATCTTTGTGTCTAAAAAAATGAGAATTGTTTGTTGGACGCTTCTCACTCCATATGCATCCACATAAGAACTTGAACTGTTTGACTGTCAAGACCATCAGTGTAATTACTCATAACAATAGCCAAATTCCATAGGTTTGACTGTATTCATTTTTTAAAATAGTACAATGACAAAGCCTCGAATATTGGTCCTACTTGTAAAGACCAATCAGCGTATAAGAAAGAGGCCAAGGAAAGCAGTAATTTATATTTGTGTTAAAGTGCTCGAGTCGGGTTGTATACAAAAAGGTTTCCGTCGTGCCGTCTATCTGGTGATGATAGCAGTCGATCGTTTGATTTTTTTTAGTAGCATTCTTCAATTTCCTTATCCTGCGGGCCGGAATTGACAATCATTGTAAAAGAGGAAAGTACTTTAACTAAAAGGGTGATAAAAGAAATAGGAGCTATCTCTTTCATTTGAGGGGAACAAGAAGGATAGTATTCGCTACGCAAGACAGACATGTTGCAGACATTGCCAGTGATATTAGATTCTTATCTAACGAGAAAAAAAAAAGTCAATTCGTGACGTCACAAAATCACTGGTATTGGTGTGTGTGCAACCCATTTTTTTTTTTTTTGCAGTGGCCATACAAAGCAGGGCCAGAAAATTGTGTGTGTATGTGTGTGTGTTTAAAAAAGTTCCTTCTCCCCCCACTCTTTTTGATTATATTAACAACATGAGTTTGATCGGTAGTGTTTCTGGTTTTGCTGCCTTTGGTGTTCTCGTCCGTACATACGCTCTTGGTCTTCAAAAGCGTCCCATTTTCTCTAGTGAGTGCTTTGTTGTTCATTCGTTGAGTTTATTAACTTGTCTCTAGATCCTAGTAGTCATATTTTAGCTGCAGGTGTTTTCGGTGCAGTTGGTTACTATGTTCACGACTTGCAAGAAAGACAAAATGCTCAAATGGCTGCCAAGAAGGAAGTCATGATCAAGAACAGAGCACGTGCAGAAGAACTCGCTTCTCAATAAGTGTTAGTCTAGAAGAAATGACCAAAATAAACTGTACATGAAAGATTATACAAGTGAGGATCAGATGAACAAAGCAATTACGTTTTTTTTTATATATATATACACAAAGAAGAAGAGGCTAGTGATCAACAAGCTCCTTGGCTTGTTCTTCTTCAGCTCTGATACGCTCTACTTCTTTACGCAGAACAGAAGTGAGTTTAAGGATGTTCTTTTCGTATCTTGCAGAAACAGGAACAATAGGGATTGTCTGACCAACTTGTTTTTGAAGTAGTGTTAGGTTTTCCTTTGCTGTACCGACCTTATCTGCCTTATTGGCCACAATAAGTGATTGTCGTTTTGTTAACCCAGGTCTGTAAGCTTCTAATTCATATTGTAATGTCTTCAAATCGTCAAATGGATCAGAACCACTCACATCAATCACATAAACCAGGATTTTAGCACGCTCTACATGACGCAGGAAAGTATGTCCTAATCCAATATTACGATGGGCACCTTTGATCAGACCTGGAATGTCAGCCACTGTCAGTTGGTATTGATCTGCATAATCCACTGTGCCAACAAAGGGGTGAAGTGTCGTGAATGCATAATCAGCTTGTTTGGGATGTGCGTTTGAGATAGAACTCAAAAGAGTCGATTTACCAGCATTAGGCAAACCTACCAAGCCAATATCAGCAATAGTCTTGAGCTCTAATTCAATCTCTCGAGTCTCGCCTTTGCGACCCCGAGTAGCCCATTTAGGTGATCGATTTTCAGTGGTGAGGAAATGTGGGTTGCCATAGCCACCAGGACCACCTCGACAGACCAAGACCTCTTGATCATGTTCTGTCAAATCCACTTGAATGCGCTCTCGTTTCTCTGTACGAAGACGCCATTCATAATACCGATCTTCTTCATCCATCAATCGTTCTGCTTGTCGAAAAAAATTGACTTTGCCTTCAGGAACAGCATCTTGTTCCGCACGTGGATAAAGTACCCACCGTGCTTCTCGTTTTGCTTGTTCGTCCTCTTCTTCTTCTTCGAGTGGTTCTTGTCGAGTTACTTCTCGAACAATGGTACCTACAGGCACTTGTATAACTAAATGGTCTCCCATAGTGCCATGTCTTCCACCACCTAACCCATTTTGTCCTCGCTTGGCAGTATATGTACGTCCCAAACGCTTTAATGTGGTTTCATTGGTAGTAGCTCGAATGATCACGTTACCACCTCGACCACCGTTGCCACCATTAGGAGGGCCCTTGGCTAAATACTTTTCTCTATGGAATGAGACACATCCATCGCCACCATCACCACCTTTTGCTTTGAACCGAATAAAATCAACAAATTGACTGCCCTAGATTCAATGATAAGTGTGCGCACTGTAAGACACGCATGCTATTTACCTTGCCACGCAGTTTGTATTGCACAGATCCTCTTTTAAGATCATCGTCCGATGCTTGAAAAGCAGCAGCGATCGTATGAAAGTGTATGGTTGTGGGCATGATATATCTTGATAGGCCATGATGTTGAAAGCACTGAAGACGTGCTGTTGTGTTTATGGTACGTAACATAAAGGCCATATTTCCTGCAAAATAAAATAAAATAAAAAAACTAAAAAGTCTGCGCCTGGACTGCTTATATCAAGTGAGTGCAAAACATCGTTTTTTTTTTTTTTTTATTTACAAGTGCTTTTGATGAGGTTTTTCACCTGCCCAAATAGAGGCATTGTTCTTGGCCACTTTGTTCATGAATTGAACTTGATCTGCAACAGATTTCAATGTACCAAGAACAACACCATTACCAGTAGAGAAGTTATACATGTAATAATGCAGACCCACTTCATCACAAAATTGTCTTATAAAAGGAACACATTGACGCAGATTGTGTCTTGGAATTCGAGGAAACAAGTGATGTACAGCTTGGTATTGTAAGCCACCATGGAACCAATCAAGCCATTCAGGGCAATCCACATCCATGGTCGTACGCAACATTTTACTTGGGAAAGGTTCATTGGCACCTTTGTCTTCTGTAGACATACCAAAATGAGAGAGAGTGATTTGTACATGTAAAGGGAATGTCAGCATATAAGACACAAAGATATAGGCCATGCGGATCTTCCAATTAGGCAGCGTAGATATCAAACTACCAAACCAAACAAAGAAACAGGTAATCCCGACCAACTCGAGTTTTCGTGTGCGTACATCTTTAGCAGTGAACAAATAGACAAAGGACAAGCGATGCAAGTTAAATCTGCCAAAAGATAAGATCAGGTAGTACAAATAGTGCTGATATTTGATAAAGAAGCGAGCCACTGAGTCAAAATACAAGACTTTCTTGTAATAAGTAGAGTAGAGGTGATTGAAAAACTTGGTACTGATGGCAAGAAATGGTAAATGCTGAATGTCTGGGTCATGCTCCGGGTGATTGGTAACAATATGGTGCACATTGTGGTTATCTTTCCACCAGCCTAAGCTAAGTCCGCCAATAAAATCAGCAATAAAGACACCAATAAAATGGTCGATGTCTGTCTTTCCGGTAATTTCATTATGTCCTGCATCATGAGCCGTAAAAACCAGTTGATGCCAAAACATGGCCATGAAAAGGGCACCCGTCAAATAATGCCATGTCGCTGTCCCCTTAAGTGTAAACCATAGTGAGAGACTGAACAACATGGTGCATCGACAGCATTCTCTAGCATAGTTCCAATAATTACATTTAAATAATCCACGGGCCTTTAAGTCTGTCTCCAATCGGCGATAAGCTTTTCTTATGTTTTCATTGTCCAAGTGTTCCTGGATCTTGGCATCCTGATCGAGATCGGCTGAGTGGTGTTTATGTATACTGTCAAGTGTGTCATCGTATGCTTTAACAGAAAGGCCGCCTTGCCAAGTGGCTGAATAAGGTTTGTCTTGTTTTTTCGGTACCTGGATTTGTTCTGTTTTAAGCATAGCGTTTGGCGTGATTTCAGGAAGGTAGTCGCCAATATAGTACAAATGAATCAGTTTCTCATATACCTTGGGTGGATGCATGGTGCGTATTTCATCTGTCACGTCTCTTCCAAGTGCGCTCCTTAAGGCAGCTATACCTCCAGGATGCTTATGGATGAAATTGTTTACTTTATAAACTTTGGATTCATAAATAAATACAGAGTCACCGCGTTTTATATGGTCCTGAAAATCTTTCTCTGTAATAATAGGTGCTGACAATAAGCCATCAGAAGAAACTGTATTGGGTGGCATATTACAAAAAAAAAAAAAAAGTAAAAGAAGAACAAGAAACAAGTGTAGTACAACCCTTTTTTTTTTAAAAAAAAAAGAAAGGCGGATTATTCTTGATAAAGGAACAATTAATAAAGTCAAGAATGTAGAGAGGTCTTTTAAATAGAAATTTGACTAAAAAAAAAAAAGCCTTATACTTAAATAACACGTTATGTTTTCATACAAGAAATCATATCATTTTTTTTGTTTATATCTACACAAAGCCACTCTATCACTTACTTTCTCGGAGCTTCAACAAGTTATGATAGTGATGAGTCTTGTTTAAAACCAATTTGTTACTTAACAAACACTTGTTTATTTGAGTTTCTCTATTTAAATACCAGAATCCATGGCTCGAGAACAATGAATTTGCATTAACCTAAGATAGATGTCCCTTCTCTTTCCCTTATTTTTCCCGAAAAAAAAAAAAGACAGATTCGCGTCACACGCGTTTTAATTTTTTTTTCTTTCTTTCTTGATGGATAACTTTAAGCTTGTTTATAAGGACAAATTTGAAAAGACTAAATACGGTCTAGTAGAACTTGGCTCTCATGAACTCGTAGAAGCATTTGAGTCAGGCAGCAAGTAAGAATAGATTTTGATAGAGAATGGTTGATATTCATCTGTTTAGCATTGTTCTTAAAGGGTTGCCAGAAGACGATGCTGTATTATGTACAGATACAAAGACATATCTTGTTCGCCAAGTCAATACATCAAACTCTATGCTGCTAGTCACTCGAAGCTATCTGAATGAACAATATGTAGTTCATGACGACTTATCAAGCACCATTGAATTATTACCTTGTCTTGCAAGAACAAACCGCATAGATGACTTGTTGACCGAGTCTAGTTATTCTGGATCAAAAAACGAAACTGACATTCGAAAGACCAAGGTAAGTCCAGATTATTTCTGTATACAATCAACTAAGGACAATAAAGACACTCTATACCTATCAAGATCTTTTATCTATCGTACAAGCAAGTGAACATGAATTACGAGCAGCCTTAAAGGAAAGAGGCGCTTTTGAACACGAAGGATATTATCGATTGTTTGATAAAGGGTTTCTGTTTCGATTGTTTGATTCCTTAGTGACAAGTGCTGTTCTACTTGGGATTGATTTCAACAACATGACACTTGAGCAAGCCAAGCAATGTATTTTAGAAGAAATGAGTGCTGTAGATGAAGAAGAAGTGATACCAGACAATGTCTTGTTGGCAAGTATAAAATCGTTGATTGCAAATGATGTAGATCAAAATGATGCCATTTTACAGTTTGATGAGCACAAGATCTGCCGATTTTTAGGGGAATGGTTACTGACAAATCCAAGGGTAAAGAAACCTCTACTGATGTCAATGTAGTTAAGTTCAACTAATATAATAATATATAGAACAAACGTTGGGAAATGAATGAGTTTATGGAAGTCTGGAAGAAATTGACTCAAGACGTATTTTCACCTAAACTAGAATACATTCAAGGACTGTATATTGCCCATACAAGTACCAAATTGAACCAAACAGAGAGTTATGTTCAATATTTCCCAATTCATGAATTATCAACTGATCCAGCACAACGATTTGCAGCATTGTTTGCAGAAAAACCCTTATGGTCACTAGAAGAAATCTCACCATTCTTAATGGATTTAGCACCCTTAAAGAAGGAAAGAGAACATTTGCTACTCAAGTTTGCACGCCCACATCGAACTCAATCAACAACATTATATGGTAGTAGAATCAAATAAGATTTTAATATAAAGATGATTTAAAATAACGTTCGGCTATGATAAGTACATCTTGATATTCTTTACGGTACTCCCAAGTAATGTCATACCGAGACAGTTTAGAACAGACTTGTTCTAAACAAGACAACCAACTTTCAGTTTGGTTTAGAGAAGACCAATAATGTTGATGATTGACTTTCATAGATGATTTGAAATCCTTGAGTAAACTCGACATTTCAAGAATAAGAGTTCTACCCAATTTGGCATGATAAAAGATATGTTGGCGAACTTCAGTAGGTGCCAACAGACTCTCTTGAGCCAGAATAATCAAGCCAAACAGACTGATAAAAGAAGAATGGTCATGAACAGGCAAAGAGCGAACCAAAGCCTGGAGTTGAGTAGCTACTTCATGTGCTCTTCCAAACTGTTCGCTTGGTCTCAAATTATCCAACTGATGAGCAATAGACCTTGCTTTCTGTTGAACCATGACCAGCGTGTCTTCTTCCTTTGGCTTGTTCTTTGCATAATAAATTTTTTCATAATGCCTACTGTAAATTCCATCGATCACCTGAGGATAGTCATTCATGGTAGAAGTCAATATTTGGCATAATGTTATCTTTGATAACCGACTTAACCAGGCTTGTATCTCATGAGAGTCTTGCTTCTTTTCATCAAACTCTTGTTCATCATCTTCATGGACCACCAAAGAAGATACAATGAATTCAGAGCTCTTCAAGTATTGACATTCTTCTTGATGTTGCTTTCTTCTTGGATAAACTTGCTCGGTTATTGGTATAAAACCAATAAGGGATAATAGATAGGTTAAAAAGTTGTTTTTCATGTATTTTTATTCGTTTTTTTTTCTTTATGTTTATTTTTTTCTTGTTCTTTTTTTTTGGTTATTTGAAAAGTTCTTGAAGCAAATAGACATAATCAGAATAGTTTTTCTCTCCTTTTTTTTTTTTTTTCCCCTCTTGACACAATCTTTTTAAGTGTAAAAAAAAAAGAGAGAGAAAGAGAAAAAGAATAGAAAAAAGAGTATTCTTTTTACAGATAGTTTAATAATAATAAAAAAAAAAAAAAGTGAAAAAGAAAAGGAAAAAAAAAAGAGGGTGGGAAATGCATTTAAATAGTAGTACAGAGTCATTTGATTCATCATAAGACATGTTTACTCCTTTATTCTTATTTAACCCGGTTTTTTCCGTTAGGATATTTACCCGCCAAAAAAATAAATTAGTGGTAAAAATAATGCACCCATTCAACCATTTTAGTCCAATAATGATTGAAATAATTACCAATGATTAACATGGTTGTAATCGATTGTTGCGAATCATCCATTTTTCGCTCCAATAGACCCATTTTACCATAAAAAGTGCCTACATTATCTTCAATGTCTTTCAGTTTATCATTCATCACCTTGAGTTCATAATGAAGTTTAGCACTGTTGTCTTCTACATCTTTCAATCGACTTTCTGTCTGGTTTTGGTCTTCCATCACACTGCTTGCCTGCTTTTGAATAGACTCAAATTGGCTGGCACGATGATCATACATTTGCTTAAGACAAGTGGCTGTTTTCTCATACACATCAGCCATGGATTTGATTTCCTGATAGGCTTGTTGTAACAGACGTTGTTGTTGACACAGTCGCTCATAAGCCATATAGGTCTGTATACGAATGGTTGAGACAGGCTGGACAGGCATATCTTTTGATGATACTGAACAAGAACGTGGACGAGGATAGTTGTCACATCGTATAGGCTCCGTCTTGTTTTGATCTAACAAGGCTTTGGTCAACACACTGTTTAATAAGGCACTGTCTGATATAGAGCGTGCGTGGCGAACAGAGGGACGCCGAGGAGGATGGTAAGGCACAAAATCACCTTCTGGGTGTTTCGTGCTTGTGACAGAAGGAGCGACAGATGTGTCTGCTGTAGTCGCTGTGTCGGATGATTTGGAGATACGTAACTGAGGCGTGGTGGATTGAACATAGGAAGGTATGTCTTGGTGACTTAATTGATCAGGAGACATAACAAAGGGTATATTGTCTTTTAGTTGACTGTAGAGTGGTGATGGCTTACGAGAAGCAGGTAAGCGAGTATGGGGTTCTTCCTCTTGTGGAGAAGAAACACTGCTGTCCACCCGAGAAGAACCAGGGGATCGATGGGTGTCTCGTTTACTGTTGTCCGTTGTATTGATCCAAGGAATCGAACCTGCTACTCGACTCAACATATCCACAGCTGCTCCACCTGTGCGAGAAACACCTTTGATCATATGCAATAACTCATTGGACTGTGGATCAGAATGACCTGTGGATCCTCCCTTCAGTCTGGGTCTCCAAATGGTCCTGAGGCTTTCAATGGTTGCATGGTACCGAAATGTTTCTGGATCGGATGTTTCGCTAAACAAAGGTGAGTTGGTGATGCCTGAGATATCATCTAGTTTTGATTTAATCACTTTTTTGACTTTGAGCTGACTGAATGTATATTCGTTCAGTTTAGCTAGTGTCTCTAGATCAATGAATCGAGAGACACGCATGTTCTTGTGGCGTTGGTAGTCTCCAATATCGAAACGAAAGGAATCATAGTCGAGAAAAGGGTCTTTAATGGTTGTGAAATTGTAGTCTTGGAGCTTGTTTCTGCACATCAGTAATTTAGAAATAATGGCTGCCAGTAAATGAGGTTCCATCCAAGGTTCTTTTAGACTAAACTAAAATAGAGACAATGAGCATCTCATTTTTTTTTTTTTTTTTTTTTTTTTTTTTTTTGTATGGCTTGCCTCAGTGGACTTGATGGGATCATATTTTGTATAAAACATCCAAAGAGCAGCTGTTGTTTCATCACATATAAGTCCATCAATGTAATCTTTGTCGAGTAATTTGAACAGATAGAGAGCAATCTGAACAAGCGATACCAGATTGATCACGGCATCTTCAAATTTCACTGTGTCTGCAATCTTGTACAATGATCTGAATTTCTCTTCTGAGGCAGGATTGGGTGGACGTAAATTAAGCGAACTTCTTCCTGTACAGTTTGTTCTTCTCAAGTTGATATTGACATATGCTCGTTTCATCCATTTGTCATAGTCTCCATCAGGCACAAGAATCATGTCCATCTCAAAGGGTAATTCACCTGGACTAGTGAGCAAGATTTCACCCAGTGGCGTTGGTTTGGATTTGAAATGAGTGCCTACGTTCAAAAAGGTCTGTATCTGAGGACGAGGATGTTGTAGTTCAGCAGCAGAGATAGCAATCACGGCCACTTGAATCTAACAATGCAAGGTCAGTCAAGCATCCACATTCCCGCCAGATGTTTATTACAATATGGTTCTCGTCTCCTGTAAACACTTTGACAACATTGGAATCTACTTTACGATCACACACCCTGTTCTGATTTAATACATCACACATGAGTGTGTTCCACTTGCCATTGCTCTACAATATAGATTTGATAGCCTCTTAATTCTTGTTGTTCTTCAATCACACTTAGACCGCATGTAGCGGCCATCTGAAGTGCTCTTTTTCTCTCTGCAAACACAAAACGTTTCTTCTCGGTCATAAAAAGAGTGGGGAGGAAAAAGACATGTATGTTTTATTTTTATTCAAGTCACGTATTAACGCATATTGACTACATGATGTGAGGTAACACGCACAATGGATCTACTAAATCCAGCTGCAATAAAAGCCATCAGACCACCAAACAACATCACAGGAGTTACACTGGACATTGTTTGATGGTTTCTTTCCTTGATAGCATCAGCAGCAGCAAAGATAAACGAAGAAATGATGGCCACTGCAAATTGAGGAAACACAATATACATGTTGTGAACACCCAAGATCATACCAGCATCAAATTCATCTTGTTGTTGACGTTCTTCTTCATTGGTGCTGTTGGAAGTAGTAGTAGCAGCAGTGATCATCTTTTGTCGTTTTTCATCTTCAAAACTGACATATTCGCCTACAAGAGAGAAAGGCACCCAGAGAACAATGGCCCAAGGAACACCCATGATGGCCAACACAACCGTGGCAGCCAAGACGCTCTTGACAAACATGGTCGACAGCAAAGCAAAGGCAACCGTCAAGTGGGATAATGTGTAGATATTCAAGAGATCAAATAGCTTGACGCGAGAAAACTTGGAGGCTATGGCAGGAATCACAATACCAGCTACCACAGACACAACAGAGTAACATAACAACGCAAAGGAACCCGCTCTTGTGCCTTCAGCCCAATCCACCGATTCTTCAGGTGTTCTGGGTGGGTGAGTAGCAAAATAAATATCAGATACCCATTGTGTACTATAGAACAAGAAAGGAAACCAACCCATCCAAGCAAAGAATTGGGTATTACATAAGGTTTGGATAGGTCTAGGTAAAAAACGGAAAGCTCTCCAGATATAATAAAAGGTACTGTACCAAGGTCTATTTTTTTTTATAAGATTAGATCTTTGTCTAATGACTTACTGATTCATATCATCATCGTCTTTTCTTTCAACTACTTTTTCTTTGGTGGTCAGACAAGTGATGGTCAAGGTAGCCACAAAGACAAAGATAGCCACAATACAAAAGACCTTTACTTGAGAATCACCCAACCAAGGGAAATATTTAACCAAATCAACATAACCCACAAAGTAACCAATCACCATAGCCGTGTTACTCATACGTGCACTCCAAGCATTGGCAATGTCTTGTTGCCAAAGAGGTGGGATATCCAAAATCAAAGCTCGACAGATGGCCTGAACAGCATTCAATGTGAAATCTAAGAAATAAAATGAAGCCACAGCAACCATAATGGCATTGGTATGTGCCTATGTCAATTAGCCATATGCATCTCGCTTGTCTGATCTCTTACTGCTCGTTTGATTGCTTCAGTATCGTTGTCTGTTGAAAGTAAAGTTGCAGCCCAATAACCAAGTTCTCTTGCGTAAGCAACACCAATCATGGATAGACAAGTCAAAAGTCCAGCAACAATAATAAACGGTCTTCTTTTACCTAATCGAGAAGTACATTTATCACTAAAAGCACCAATTAACTTGGGCGCCATGATCAGTATTCTATATATATGTATACAATCATGTCAACTTACGGGTTGAACCAATAGACCAGATAAAGGACCAGCCAACCAAACCAAAGCAGTTAATTCTTTTGATAAATCAAGCGACAAGAGATAAGGTGTACCATACCTAAATACACATAAAAAGAAGGTTGTTAGGTCCTATATACACACACACGCCTTGTTTACTTACGATAGTTCGACAGTCCCTAAAACGTATCAAGGAGTAAAAAAAAAATGAGATCATCATGATGTCAACCATGTACAACAAGCTGAAAGAAGTTTATATATGACTTACAGGTAAACTGAACACCCGCCATACAGACAGTTAAGGTTAAGATCTGCAAGAGATTTAGGCCAGGCACATTGGTATCATCCACATCCGTTAATTTGTTATAGCTTAATGATCTTCCAGCACTGTTATACGTAGAGGCTTCAAAGCTGGATCGTCTACGGTGAGCCTTTGGTCTACTGACAGGTGGTTTTTTATGACCATTGCTATTTAACAATGGCGTTTTAGCATTAGGCTCAGGCATATTATTATTTTTTTTTTTGGTACAAATAAAAAGAAAAAAAAAGAAAATGAAAGAAAAAAAAGAGAGAGAAAAGACTTATATACATAACGGTGATGTGTGAATGTGTAACTTGATTATCCAATCAAAATAACACATAAACAGAATCGCATAAAAATGATAATATTATTAAATTAGTATTAAATAGATTTAGGATTAAAGGTAATAGGAGAGTATTGTTTTTTAGACTGTGGTTGTTCTGAGATGGGCTTTTGTACAGTATAGAAATAATAATTGGAAAAGCTTTTGTAGTGTTCTACTTCTCTTGTGGCTGCTTGAATATCTTGTTCAAATGTATCTTCATGGCTTGGTCTGCCATAATAGTTTTTGATAGCAGGTTGGAATTTAGTAAAGATGTTGACAATATCATCTCTACAGAGTACACCAATACGCCCACCCCAGATACCAATGGGTATTGATCTGTATTTGATTTGTTGATTGATTTCGTCTTCTGACGATGATGTCGTTTTTGCGGGGACAAGATGTTTCAGGTCATTAATAAGCTCTCCTGGGTTAATACCTCGACTTATGGCTACATCTAGCACTAGATATATATATATAAAATGAGTACATAGTCAATGTGTGGCATACATTACGCTCTTGGTTGAGTTTCTTAGTAACAGGGCCTGCTGAATAGACAGTTAAATCTGTCTCTAGAATTTCTAGGTAACCTCCTGGTTTCAACAATCGCCAGCAGTCTTTGACTACTTGATAATATTGTCTTGTTGTAAACGCAAGCACCATAAACCGGATATGAATAATATCAAAACTAGCGTCAGGGAACTCTCTTAGTCCATGCAATACATTACAGACAAGTAATTGACAATTGCTTGGAAGACTGAGTTGAGAAGGAAACATGTCGTCACTATCGACACCAATCACTTGAAGCTGAGGATATTTCGTAGAGAGATCAATGCACCAAGAACCTGGTCCACAACCCACATCAAGAATCCTTCCACTCTTTAGATCACTATAATCAAATGGTAAAGAAAATTCCCTAAATGAAAAAAAAAAAAAGGATAAGCATGAATTCAGTCTGTACAACATATACATCACAAGTATACTTTACCCTTCAAAAGCAAGTTTGACAAGGTCATTTTTTAACTCTATACGGTCTGCTTCTTCTTCATCGGATCGAAGTAATTGATGCTCCGATGAGGGTGGTATTTTAAGTTGATTTCTATGATGAGGAAGATAGGAATCCATGTCAGATACCATGGTGGCATCACTCTTATTACTGCTTCTTCGGTTAGAAGAACAAGAAGATTCGTCATAAATGGACGAATGAGAATCAGGCTGTGTCAATGTGGTATTGGTAGACTCTTTACGAGCATGGCGTTTTTTTCTTTTACTAGATGCTTTTGATAAAATGCTTGAAAAAGTCGATTTGTTTGTCTTGAGAGGTGTGGGTCGAGTAGGTGTGTCTACAAGTGAGTTCGATCGGTACTGTATGGACTCAGTGGACGATCGACGTTCTGGTGAAGGGGGAGCAGAAGTAAACATATTAAACAAGGGATTGTTATTGAACCATGACCGTCGATAGTTTGTCTTTTTAGCGTCGAGTCCTGTTTTAGACCGCCTCATAATATAAATGAATGAATAAAAAAAAAAAGAAGAAAAAAGGGAATTTCCTGTAAAAAAAAAAAAATTGTTGAAAACCAACAGGGTAGTAAAGATTGCTTTATTTAGTAAATTTAAAGATACAAACTTATCATGCTTGTGTATTCTTTTTTTTTTTTTCTTTCTTAATGCAAAGCAAAGTGCCTTGTATAGATTGCATTATTTTCAAGCTCAAATAAACAGTGTCTCTTTTCAGTTACTAAATACGATGCTATATATCTTAACAAGAGAGTCATACGGAGTTGTTTAATAAACAAGCACGTAATTGGATCATTTCGTAATACTTTTACATATTGTCTTTATTGATCCTATTGCTATTTTTTTTTTTTTTTTTTTTTTTTTATGGTGGGAGTTTATACATTTGGGCAAGTCAACTAAATTTATTGGGCGCTTTGACATAATCTTTAACTCATGCAGTTTTTGTGGTCCAAATAATACTATTTCTTCATATGATAAAATATCTTGATTTGTCATCATACATTTTGAGAAAAAAAAAATTTATCAAAATATTTCTAAAATAGATTGGCAGCATAAAAAACAGTCAAGATAAGAATAGGACGAGCAACGGTTCACAATTTATTGCGAACGACAGTATGACTCTATGTGATGCAAAAGTGAGCAATAAAAATTGTCCCTTTTTTAGACTTATAAAAATAGCATAAGCCCTGTTTATACACGGATAAACACTCTAAATATCTATAAACAGTGTTTACTGACCAAAAAAAGCAATTTGCAAAAAATGGGCAAAATGACCTTTCGACCAAAGGGTACTACTCATGGAAAAAGCTCATTTCGAAAACATTCAATCTTCTATTCAACGCTACAGGACGAAAAATGGAGATATATACACGCTTAAATACTCAAAATGTGCTTCAGAAGCTCTAGTTGTTGATCAAACTATTTGCTTACTGAAAATGATTTGATACGAGCAAGAAACCTCATATACAATATGGCACATTTGCACAGTATTTTACCTGTAAGGTTGACACAACTTTTACATCAATAGACTCAAAAAGCCAATATATACAGCTTTTGTCACTACAACAAAGCCCAATAGCTTCGTTTTTATGCAGTTCTAAGCAAAAGCTCAATTCTAATGCATCGGCATGAAGAATTAGAGTTAGGTCTATTTTAATCTTCGCCACGCAACCTCTTTGTATGTCCTACGTCCGTTTACCCCACATTTACATCATAAAATGCCTATGTTTCTATGTCTTCATGTTTTAAGGGACTCAGATAACATAAGTTATTTTTCAGAAATTCATAGCTAACAAGTTTTATAGAATGTCTAAAGCAAAAACGCTTAAAGATGCTCAAAACACAACTTAAACAAGCCAATCTTTGATGCGCCATTGCTCAACAACCAGACTATCAAAACAGTTTGTTTTTTTTTTCGTTTAAAACATGTTCTTTTGAGTCTAGGAATCGAATAGCACCATTGATTTGGCTGTTTCGTGAAATTTATTTTTTTTTTGACCCATGGAGGATCATGAGAGCTCGTGAAGATGAAAAAAATAAAACTCGATCAAAAAATTTTGGAATGACCCCATGTAGATCTGATCCAACCATGGTTCTTCCCGCTAACCAACACTTTTCATCGAGAGTGGAGTTGGAAGCAACTTCGCCTCCCAAAGCCACCAAAACTAAACCATCCTATGCATAGATCGTAGCAGCTAAAAAGAGGATCTCACTGATTCATAAAGACATTCAACAACCTCATGTCGAAGCAGAGGACCAGCCTTCGACTCTTCAGCCCCGCATCTATAGATCTGCCGAATCACCCGGAGCTCTTTTACTTGATCTCACCGAAATTCGTAGCGAGTATACAGATTTTCAAAGTCTTCAGATCGTACTCGAACAACACTCTAAAATATATGGGTGTCAATTTCCCAGGGACGGCCCACGCCGCTATTTGGAGCTCTACATTCGTCCAAAGGACGATGAAAATGATATTATTAACACAGGTGTGATTTTGACAACAAAAGAAAATTCGAGCTCTTCCTTGTCGCTTGGTAGATAGCGATTATACGATCACGACCATCAGTTTGACCCACCTTCCCTTCGTTTACCCCGAATAAATTGGGAAGGGTTTAGAGCAGAGCTTGGCCCCATTTGGAAAGATCATGAATGTGGATATAACAACTGAACCTAAATTAGGTATTTTTATGGGATCTGGTTATGCAGTAATTGGTAGAAACAAGAACGACACATAATATCAAGATTTGTATCACACTATTAGCTGGTGCGGATCTTCAGACCAAATCTTTCATTGTATATGGAATAATATGCCTACCTAGTGTAGATATTACCGCCAAACGAGTCATAATAAGTTTGAGTGTGAATAATCTAGAGCACGAATCATCTACTACAACTGTCAACAACTCGAACACCGATCATTTGAGTGTCCTCGCAAAGCACCCCTGAATCCATCGAAGAAGCGTAGAACACCAGCATCCAAGAAGCAGAATATTGAGGGCGTATTACCTCATGCTACTAAGGAGTATCAGCCGGCCCCTTCTACTAAAGCCTTAAGATCGCAACATGCGCCAAAGGACCAACGTGTCGTCCTTCCTCGAACAAAGAAGAATTTAAAATCGACAATCGCGGAAAACTACATCAGCGCTTTTGATATTTCGGAAACTGACGGAAGCAATGGTGAAGGCTCTGATTATATGCCAAGTGAATTCTATGATAGTGATAGTGACAGTGCCAGAGAGGAGCTCGAAGCTGAAAGTGGCATATCCGCTATGGAGTTAGATGCAGTGAAGGAGGATGCAATGACAGCCTTGGCTGATTTATTGCCTGTCCAAATGGAACTCAAAATGTCTTTGATGCAACAAATACATCAATTGCAAAAAAGAGTCGCCGAAGGATCATTAAGTGAAACTGAACGTAACAATTTGATTGGTCTTTATCGTCAATTAACTCAACTGGAAGAAACAATATAGAAGAGTTTTTTGCAGAGTAGTGGAAACAATAGGCCATAAACATCATATCTGACATTATCAGTCAGATATATACCTCTCTTAGGAAGCATACTCTACTCCTAGATGATTTTAATTCATCCAAATATTTTCTCTTTCTCTGCTTTCCTAATTTACAGCTTATCCACGCTATACCCCTCCGCGATGTGTAGCTAAAACACATATTTTTGCATAATAAAATACTATACAAAAAAAACCCCCGATGTAGGTCTAGTCCAACCGAGATCAGGTAAGACCATTCCTAGGTACTTCTCGCAAAAAGAAAGCGAGTTTATTAGGACGAAAAAGGTGACTTAATATGAGCATTACTCTCAAATCTACAATTAAAGGCCATTACGCACTGTAGTTAGTGCAAAAAAGACCTCTTTGAAGACATTCAATAGCAAATATATACATATTTCTTACAAAAGCCGCCAAATTGAAGTGTATATAAAAATACTTGATACTTTGAATGCAATAAGAGAAGCTTTGGACACGATGAACAAGGAACGCTTTAGAATAAGGGAAGTGAGCTCTTTTTTTTTGTGCAATACCGCATTTGAAAGTGTTCTATCAATTGTTTTTATATAGAATTTATACCATGCATATTCATTATTACCACTAGTAATGACAGACTAAAAGAGATATCCTGAAAATAAATTTTTGTAGCATGCGCTTCGAAGTTAAATGTACTTTTTTTTTGTAGCATAGTCCTCTTCCACTTTACAATGCATTAACGCGGAGTTATTGTGACATTGCTTTCTTAAGTCACATTGATATCGTGGTACTCGATAGAAAAAAAGTATAAATAGTAGGGCTCGCTTAGCCTTTTTCTTTTATCTTCTTTTACTGTAACATTTTCTTTTGTTTTTTTTTGTTTCGCATTGATATGACGACTTTAGAACAAGGTATGCCAAGAAGCAACTTAATGCTTATACGAGACATGAATCCAATGGCAAGAAACTTTGATTGTGAGGTCATTGTTTTGCAGAAAGGTAAAAAAGAAAAACAAATCACTTTATTGAATCGATATATTGATATATAATAGATGGCGAACCGATCCGAACACGCGAAAATGATCTTATATCAAGATTCCTAGTAGCAGATAGAACAGGATCCATTCTTTTGAGTGTTTGGGGTGAAATAGGTATAGATATTAAAATTGGAGATATTTTGCGCATCACAGGAGTGTAAGTTGGAATCATGCTATAAAGTATATTGATTGACGTAAATGGATAGGGAGAATAAACTGAGAAGAGGACAATTAGTTCTTTCTACACCAAAAAGTGCGTTTAAACTAAAACGAGTGGGTCAGGATACACTTATATACACAGAAAAACCAAACATGTCAGAGATGGAGTTTCCTGCACCTAATAATCAACAAAACAACCGACAGCCCAGAAATATCCCACAACAACAACAACAACAACAACAACAACAACAACAATCACGTATACCCAATAACAATAGCAATACTAGACAAAGAGGATACAATAATGCTCACCCATACAACAATAGAAATCGTCCTCACCAAAATTATCCAAGAAACAATAGGGGAGGAAGAGGTGGCGGTATGGGGGTAGATATCATCAAGATTTAGACAATCCTGTTTGAGATTGAGAACAATGAAATAATGAGTTGTAATTACATACGTGGCTTATGCAGTTATACATGTATCTAATGTGTTATTTATTATTTGTTCTTTTCTTTTTATTTAATACAAAAAAAATGCAATTTGATCATATAGACCCTGATTCGATTTGGTGTACTCAAACTATTCAAGACATACTTGATCGTAAGCATCGTGATAGCAAATCCGCTGAAAATAGTCTATTGCAGTTAAGAAATGTCTTGTTAACCAATCCCTGTCCGCCAGAGGTGAATTTATAACAAAAAGACGTTATGTTAATGCTGTATAACATTAGCTGAGAGATAAAGTATGGAAGCTCTTATTACGAATGACACATATATCAGCTTCAAGCTATATTCATCTTGTTGAGTTGGGCCCAAGTCCTCTTGATGAAAAGATAAGACACGATACGTTCCGTACAATGACAACAGATGCAACTTTCCTTGAACATGTATCAGAAGATATGTTGATTCGATTATTAAATGCGTTCGTGTGGACATGCGATGGTATTTATAGCATAAAAAATGATCTACTAAAGCTCCATAAAGAAAAAGAATCTCAAGTAATGACTTTTCGTTCTCATCATGGAGACTCTCTAACCTATGTTCAAGGCATGAATGTACTTGCTGCCCCTTTCCTGATGGTCATGCCAGAAATGGAAGCCTTCTTTTCCTTCTCTACATTTATCTGGAAATGGTGTCCACTTTATGTTCAACCATCCATGAAAGGTGTTCACTGTGGTTTAAGGGTAATATGCAAATAGATATTCATTGTCTTGCTGAAATTTCATGTAGCTTTTAGATCTATGTTTGCGCTATTTGGATCCTACACTCTATGGTTATTTGAGAGGAAAGAACTTATCTGCAAGCACATATGCCTTTGCATGTAAATGAAACATCTACAAGACAAAAAAAAAAGAGACTCATTATCTTTACATAGCTGTTATGACCTTTTCAGCATGCACGCCTCCAGTGAAAGAATTATTGCAATTATGGGATTATATGTTTGCCTATGGTCTTCATTTGAACATTTTGTTTATTATAGCGCAACTTGCTTTGATCAGAACAGAGATCCTGAAAAGTCCAAGTCCTGTCAATTTGTTGCGCGTACTTCCTCCACTTCGAGCCAAAGATATTATCCATCTGACGATTTCGTTATGCAAAAATCTGTCGGCTAATTTATACGATAAATTAGTACGCCATGCCTATGATGAGTCTGTAGCTAATGAGTTGGGAATCCGTCCCACTTCTAATTGGCCAGAACAACAGGATGATACGATTGACTTACCTGCTTACATGATTGATGCTATGAATATGAGAAAGTGACTTGCTTCCAAATAAATTGCTCTTTCTTCCTTTAAACAATGTTGAATAGAACTAAACAAGCTGACAACACAATAGGTGGACTATTGGCTGGTATGACTCGAGAACTGAATTGTTCTTCTTGGTAATACAATGCACAATGGGTTATAAGTATCAACTCTTCTCTTTTTTGTTTAGTTTTTCTTTATTCAATACGCCAACAATAACCTATTGTGGGCACACTTTTTGTTCAGCGTGTATAAAAAATGCTATTACAACAAACAGTTGTTGTCCTTTATGCCAAGAGCCCCTTACTTTAGACCAGTTAAGCAACTCAGTGCGATTACAGTCCATAGTAACAGAACTAAGTAAACTGAGAGACCAGTTCCAACGTGAGTTTGAGGTCGATCTATCGCAAGTCCAAATACAATATATTACAGATCATGACCGTGAACAGACAATGCAAGGTATGAGAGTAAACAACCCAACGACATTGATTAAAATATCATTGTAGCCAACTCTCTTTTAAAGGAAAAATGTAAGAAAGAAAAGAAAGAAACAATAGAGTAACATCAATCTAGCATTGCAAAAAATACCTGTTCAAAAGCCTGCCTATCAATATAGAGTCTGCCAGGCTAATAGAAACCCTATTCATGTATGAGCTATATCATTATCTCATCTTATTGATCTGGCTTTAGGAAATGAAGATACCTAATGTTGTACTTGAGTCTAAAATAAGCTCTAGCATTACACATTTGGTTATTGATGCAGGTAGGAAAATACGAGTACTTTGTGTTCTTCTGACAACAATGACTAGATAAACACGGCCTTGTAAAAGCAAATCAACTTTATAGAATTGGAGTCATGTTTGGATGCTATATTGTGAATGAGAATTGTAAATTGTACGAGAACGCATTATTCAACATTGACTGGTTATTATAGGGCTCAGAATATGCATAGAGAGAAACGAAATGGTGCCTGAAGAAAGGTTTGAAATACAGGGTGACACAATTCATGGAAGAACAGGTGCCGCGAATAAGGCTAGGATCAACAGAAGTCTCAAGGCAAGCTGAATCAATACTATATGATCATACTCATATATAGCTTATAGAAACCAAACTTGTTCAAAGGTATTCAGGTTGGCCTAATTGATGATGCAGAGAACAAGTATCGTCGATTGCTTACTGTTGGTCGTGCAACTATCGGAGATGAATTCGAAGACATGATTGTATGCAGTGACAAGCCAGTGAATACAGAAGAATTAAGACAAAAGTATCCCAACAAAACTCTCGTTTCAATAGACTGGATCAATGATTGTATCGACAATTATGAAATTCTGAAAAAAGACAGTTACATCTTGTAAAAAAAAACAATGCTTCATGTATTTTATAAACTAAAGAAAATAAAATTATTATTTCTTGCCAAATAATCCACCACTCTTAGAAGAGATAGAGATACTATCGGTATCAACAAAGGCAACTTTGACATGGATTTCACCTGTTCCTTCAGGAGTCAAAGCTAGCCATCCGTCGAATGCTTGTCCAGGCTTGACAGCATTACCCAGATTGAGTTGACAATCACCGATGTCAACATCAGTCAATGTATTGTGATCCTTGACCTTAAAGTCTAAAGTACCAAGAGAGCTCACCTTAGCAGTAAAGGATTCGTTCCAATCAGGAGACAAAGTCTTCTTGAGATGACGAGTCTTGTACAATACCTTGTTGCCAACACGAACACGACAGTAAGGATCACTGGTACCTCCACGATCCATGGCTTTCAAGTTTCTGGCTTCAACCAGGTTGACTTGAATGGTAGCGTTTTCATCGCCTATAGAACGGCTTTGTTGCATGATAGAGCTGCTAGGAGAGATATTTGCGTTTTCCTCATTTGTAGCAGGTGCAGCAGAAGATGTGGTCGAAGAAGATGTAGAGACTTCACGCTCAAGAGGAGCAACATCATTTTCTTCAGAGATGGTAGGAGATTTCTTGCCTATTTTACCAATACCGCGAATACCACTACCTAAAGCAGAGACACCACTGCCGAATGCTTTACCGCCAGCACCCAAGACCTTACCACCGGCACCAATACCAGCACCAACAACATCTCTACCAGCGCCGATGGCGTTACCAGGAACGGAAGTGAAGACACGAGTGGTAGCATAGAAAAAGGAAGTGTTGGTTCTCTTGCGGCTAACTAACTCAGGTCTCCAGGTCAAACGCAAGGTAAGACTTCCACCTTGATCAAGTTTGTATTCTTTGGTGCTAGTGACAAATGTCTCTACATCGTCAGCAGTAAAAGTGATCTTACATTCACCAATCAAGGTATCTTTACCAATTTGATCCCAATCAAAGATCTTTGCAATAAGAGGTGTATTGATACGGTTAATGATAGGAACAGTGAATGTTTCATCCTTGTTGAAGACAGGGTTAAGCGTCTTCTTGTAAGTCTGGGTCTTGAAGACACGCTCATCATTAACGTAGAAGCGAATAAAAGGATCACTACTGCCACTACGGTCAGCAGCAACCAAGTTATTGGCCTTGACTACAACAACAGTCAAGTTACCTTGGTTTTCAAGGCTTTCAGCGGGATCCAACTTGAATTGAACAACAGGAATAAACTTGAAGCTGAGACCAATCTTGCCTCCGTTGGATTCCAAAAGAGAGATTTCTTCAATAACAGGTTCTGTGTCTGATTCGTCTTCAGTTGTCTGGAGCAAACGTTCAACAATTTTTCTGACTTCAAGTGAGCATCGGCCAACAGACTTATCATCCTTATCAGCGTCACGAAGATTTCTAACACGAACAATCAACTTGGAGAAGTCCATTTCCTTGACAAAGGCAGTACCCGTTTCATTGATTTCTAGACAAGAGCCTTTTTGTTCAATAGAACTATATTGAGGATCATTAGAGTCTAACATGAGATCAACAACAACACGGTGTGATTCAGGAAGAGTAAGGGTGTGCATAGTAACAGCTAATACACCAGATTCATAAGCCAACAGATCAATTTGCTTCTTATCGTTAGAAACAGTCTTGTATTTGATCACTTCATTATGAAGGTCCTTTTCAGGCCATTCTTTGGGCTTTTCAATCAATTCAGGTTCTTCAGAAGCTTGACTACCTGAAGTCTCCTCCTCAACTTGTTGTTGCTCATTTTTCTTCTTTTCATCTTCTTTGGCCAAAGCTAAAGTAGGGAAAAAAGAAGCAGAGTACTTGAGTGTACCACGACCCTTCTTGCGATCCAAACTGGTCAAATCAACTTGACGTTCAACAGTCTCAGTAGCTTCATATACAACTTGACCATCTTCATTCTTCACTTCACGCATGACATCCTTCAAGAAGAAGTCAGTGATACCCAAGCTCTTGTCTTTACTGCTTTCGTTGTAGTCCATGACTTCAAAGATCAAGTCTTCACGCTTAGAATGAACAGGAACATAAATCACTTCGTTCCAGACAGGATCCAGGTTATCGTCAATACGTTCTGTTTGACCACGGCATTGAACACCAGACATGACACGAACATAAGGATCTGATTTACCACCCGTCATAGCCTCCACATTTTTCAAGTCATTAGCACTCACAAAGTTGACACGAACAACACCAATGGGAGGACGGTAACCACCGCGAGAGAGGCTTTCAGTGAAACCAGTCATCGTAATAGGCTTCCATTGCATGCTTAAATGAAGCTTACCAGAGCCATCCTTAAGGTTCCACCAATCCTGGCCGTTGATGAACAGATCTTCTTCAAATTCTTCCAACTTGGAGCCCCAACGACCCAAGAGCTTGTCATCAAAGGCAGAGTCCATGATATCGACACGCAAATTGAGTTCTGTCTTGTCAGTGACAAAGAGTTCAACGCTCTTATCCCAGCGAGGATTGATACTGCGCTTGAATGGGTTGGTGCGAAGACGTTCCATATCATTGACCTTGACAACAGCATAAGGACTAATATCGTGCTTGCCACCAATAACAGGGAGACTGATACCACCACTCTTTTGTTGACCGCCCAACTCCTTACATTCATGGACAGTGAAACGCAAGACACCACTGTCTAATATCAATGCATCAATACATGCCTACTTATAGAACTATCACTTACTTGATTCTGTAGCAGGAACAATAGTGCCATCTTCTTGCTTTTCAGGGGCATTGACAGGGAAGTAATGAAGATCGCACTTGACTTCACCAGAAGGTTTTCCTTTCTTAAGAACAGGAAGAGACAAACCTTCAATTAAGTTATCAGATTCAGCAAGAGACTTGAGGTCAAAAGTACAGGTGCCAATGGAACTATCGGTTCTGCCAACATTGTGGTCCATGACTTCAAGAACTAAAGTGTCATTGACAGTATTGAGCAAGACAAACATCACTTCATCGAATCTGGGGTTGCGAGTATCTTCGATATGCTTGGTACGACCAAGCTCAGCATTGTTAGCATTGCCAACGTGAACAGTAATATAAGGATCAATGGTACCAAAGAGATCAACGTCCTTGAGACCACTGGCTGAGTGAATCTTGAGCACCAAAACACCGTTAGCAGAGTCTAGGCATATGCATAATCAGTACCCAGTGTTTGCTACACAAAATAAACTTACTGAGGTCGGTAGCACCTGACATCATGCCAGCAACATCTAAGGTAAACACATTAGGAGCATACATCATAGGTCCAAGTGTAGCATGAACTTGCTCTTGAACAAATGATTCTAAACCAGGTATCTATAGATCGGGTTGGTATGTTGTTTTTTTTTTCTCTCTTGCTCTATTCCTGACTTACATTATTAATATCAAAACCAAAGGTTTCACCACCAACAGGCTTAAGAGAGTAGTCAAAGTGAGGTCTTTCCAAGAAAGATGCTTCTACAGTCTTGATATGAGGGAATTCATTAAACATTCTAAACTTGAGACGAAGATGTCCAGAAAAGGCAAGATCTTCCACCAAGACAGGCATACCGGCACCAATCATGCCCTTACCAACGCGGATAGTCAAGACAATCTTGGGATTAACTTTAGATTGAAGATCACGTTCAGAAAGATCAAAGGTATCGTTAGGTATAAAAGAAAATTTCCAATCCATACACTATAAAAAGCATTAACTATAATTTCTAATATAAAAAACTTACCACAACATTAGGTTCAGTTTTGGTGAGTGTCTTGATGCTTTCAATACGAGGAGCCTTAGTACCCAAAGTGAAAGTAGTCAAGCGGATAGAATCCAAGAAAGCAGGTGTATTGTCTACCAAGATGGAATCAGCAATACCAATGATTTGAGCAGACAAGACAGGCTCATAGATCAACCAAAATCTGGACATAAAATGGTTAATCCAATCGGCAGATTCAGCTTCTGTCTCTAAACGGTTAATGGCCAACTCGCGTTGAATATCGTCTCGGATGTTTCTTCTTAAGCGACGAATAGAAGTTTGGTAGTAAGTAGCCAAAAAAGCACCAACGACCAAGCAAGCAAAAAAGCCTCCTCCAAATCGAGTGAGTAACCAAGTGAAAACAACAGCAAATAACATGACTGCAGCATTATGGTACCATTCCCCATAGTATGCTTCATTCAAAAACTTAGATACTAAATCTTGTTCATTCAAAGCACTCGTACGAGCGCCCTTGTACATATCAATTACAGACTCCAAACCAAGTTGGGTAGTGAGTTCTGAAAGCGCTACTTCATTACCTGGATTAGGCAACTTTGAAAACGCGTCCCATCCTACATTTGCCTGTTTCTTTTCAAAGGAACCTGGTGCCTTTTCTTGTGTTTGAGGTAGTTTTTTTGTTGGCTTAGTTGCAGCAGAAGCAATAGCAGAAGTAACAACTCCAGTATCATTGGTGCCTTGATCGTTTTGCATGTGTGCCTCGGCCTTCAACTTGGGTGCATTTTCAAGAACCACACCGGCCTTCTTTTCTGCTTCAGCTTTTTTATCAGCAGGTGAAAGTGATTCTGTAAAATCGTTCACTTTATCAGCAATAGCCGTCATATTGACCTCATTTAAGAGACTATTGGTATCTTCCTTGTTATCCATAATAAGTTTAAAGAGGAGAAGAAGAAAAAAAAAGAAAATTTTATAAAACCAAAAAAAAAGTTATTTCTTTGTGTAGCTAAACATCACTCCAAAAGGGATCTACCTTAACTGTCGTCATAGAAATCATTATTCTATCATAACTTGGTGAACTAGACTAGTTTTATAAGGCCATGGTGACATATACAGTGCAAATATTTATTCGTCTTTTTCAAGTCATTTGGATAACAGAAACAAGAATCACTATTCGCTTGTTACTAAAACATTTCTTCGAAATAAGAGTCTTTTGCATGCCAAATATTTCGTACACCTTGCATTATTTATATATAGAAAAGGGGAAGTTTATTTTATCGATTTCAACGGCGATTCAATTTAAACTCTCTTCACTTGCCTTTTTCGACAAGTCTCCTTTCGCGTTTTACTGCTTTACAATAAACAAATCATCGATGTGTTGTACAAGCAAGAATTTTTATTAAGACCAATGTGTAGCCATCGGGGCTAGCGAACCGAATGGAAGTTTATGCTCACTGTCAAGTCAGTCGATGGTAATTTTTTTTTGTGTACGACTTTGATCTTTAAGTCACATTGATAATAAAACAGATACACACAGTCTTTTCTTTTATGGTCAGGTTATGATTCAATTGCATGATTTCAACTATTTCATATTTTACAAGAGTGTGCCAAGAAGAAGTGATGCCTAAGTTTTGATACGTTTCTTTCATTTATTATGTATAAATCATGCAGTACGAAAAATGATATAGTGGGAAACGCCCTTTTATTTGTTTGCCTATCGATATTGACTATTTTCGTGCTCAAAGTGTTGATACAGTAACTTGGCTCCAGGCTGAGTCGATTTTAAACCAATTGCTTAAATACTTGAAAACTTTATAAAACAGAGCTTCAAAATACATTTGATTTTCAAGTTACATAACCCGATAAATCAAATCTAATTCATCCAAACTTACTTGAGATGCTGCCAGAAACATTATTTTTTCAAGAAGAGAACATAGGCCTTTCTGGCAAGCACCATAAGGCTGCTCTTGATGCTTTTCACTGTTCTTGATTTCTTTTCTTCTTCCCAATTTAATTCAGCTGAAAAGGATCATGAGTTTGTTTTGGTAGTGCTACTACCTTTTGATACAAAGAAACTTTCTCTGTAATTGATCCTCAATATTGCTGGTTTTGCTAGAAATGTCATATGATCTTACTATACAGCATGTATCACTAGCTCACTAGCTTCAGAGTTCCAAGTAACTATCATCTTTATAAAATCAATCAGTTACTAACATATTATTGTAATCAAACAACTACTTTAATCAATTTATTAAAAACATACATACTTTGTGGCAATTAAATAACTTCTGATTCCATTTGGCACATTACACACTTAGTATGCTTTCGATCCTCAATGTATGCTTTTTTTTTTTTTTTTTTTTTTTAGTATTAAGCTTATTATGAGATCTTATTTTATAATAGCACCAAAAGTGTATTGGCAGCCCACTGCAGGCACGAGTATTTATCAGAATAAACCATTATTTCTGCCTTCTAATTCCTCGTTTTTGGGTTTTCTATGTTTGAGCATACATAAAAGAACATATTTATACAGAAATATAGCAAAGTTTGAAAAAGTCAAAAAATTGTCATTTTGGCCTTATGGTCCCTTTTAAAAAACTTCAATTTTCACTATTCTGCGATTGGTGATCGATAGAGACATTGCAGACATAACATGTCTTAGTACGAACTGCTTGTCTAGGTCCATAAGACATATTCAAAGTGTTACATTTGCAAAAGTACTATAAAAAGTGTATGCTACGGCTCAAAAACAGAGAATACGTCTCTGAAAGATATCTCATTATTTTCATATTCAACATGTTGCATTATTTACACTATTCGATGCGACGTATTTTCATCTATCAGCTTTATTGATACATCTTTTTGATAGCTCTTCGTTTTTAGACACTTTGGATCAATTTTCATTTTTTTATTCTGGGATTCAGTTTGCTATTAAACAGAATCTTGTTTAAGAAACAGATATACTTTAAAGATGTTAATGCATTATTTTTTATCTTTTTTTGTCCATTTTTGGTTCTAATTGATCTGTTGATTTTAGTTTTCGACATGCGAATACTAATTTAAACTCAGATTTCCTTAGGGGAGATTTGAAGCTTGTCAACTTTTTTTTTATCTCGTGCCTACTTTAGAAAGCGATCATTTTTGCGTAAATACATCACAATTGAAGGAGTAATGGTAGGAAGCATCTCTTAAAGAGAGAAAAACAGCATTTATATACTAAAAAAACATTCTCTCAGCTGACCACATTTACAACAATAAACATGCTTTTCATTGAAGACAACAATTAATGTCTGATGTTACATGAACATTTTAGTAAAGACAGGTTTATTTAGAAGCTTCTAAGGAATAGATGACAAAGCTTTTTTAGTGCATTCTTCATAAGCCAAGGCCACTTCATCCATGCGCTGTTTAAGACTAGGTCTAGCCAGTCTATTCTCCCAATCTTGCCATGTTTCTTTTGTCAACTGTTTCAACAGTTCAGTCTTCGTATCAGATACATGACCAGCGGGAGAAATACGTTTGACAGTCAAGGAATCATCTATCAAGTAGCTTGTAGGATTATTTCCTCTTTTGTATTCAAAAGGCACAGGTGAATTTGTAACATCACGTACAAAAGCACCCAAGTTTTTAAGTGCTTGAGTAGTACTTTTGTTCGAGAACAAAAGTTGAAATACATGGGGCTGATCGGTAAACATTTCTAATGTCACTTGGGTATTATCGTGTTCATTTTTTGTGTTTGTTGAGCCAGGAAATGTGTTGGATGCCTGGAGAGCAGAATAAATAGATTCATCTCGTAATCTTTCTGCAGTGCCACATTGCTTTTTGCTTGTTATTAGTTTAGATCCATAAGACAAAGAAGATACATACCACCAATAGCCTTGGTAATCCTCGAAGTTGTTTTCTATCAAAAATAGGGCTGACCATAGGTACTTTCAGTGCTTCATTGCTTGCATAGAATTGTACACGATGTATATCTGAGCCATTGAGAGGAACACATTCACCAAAAGGACCAATGGACTGTCTTTGTGCTTCTTCTTTGTTGTCAGATGTCTCGGCCTCTTTTGCTAATTTCTCAAGAAGTTCGACATCTTTCTCTCGAGCAGGCAGTTGAGCATAATCTAAAGCAACAGAGGGAGCATGTTTGAAACCAATTGGTGGCAAGTAATCTGTCATGATATTGGATAAAATGGAAGGTAAAGAATGTGTTAAATCCATCCTATTTAAAGTTGTAAGCTTCTTAGATATCTATGTCTACATACCAAGGTGAAAGTGTCATAGCACCTGCTGGAGCAGGCAATCCAGCATCTCGAATGGCCATCAACAATGCAAATGTAAGTCCTCCACCCGCTGAGTCACCAGCAACCACAATCTTCTTGGGATCGACGGGTTGTTCTACTTCACTGTCTTTAGGAGGATCTATCAGATATAAATAGGTAGCTAATGCATCTTCTACTGCAGCAGGAAATGGGTGCTGAGGAGCTAATCTGTAATCAATGGCACATGTTCTTCCTTTAGAATACTACGCATAGGGTCAGATCAAGCCACAAAAGACATACAATTTACCTTGATGATCTTTGAAAGAAATTGTCTGTAAATACCGTAACATGCTAAATAATAAGCACCACCATGCAAATACAATATAGTGCTTTCTTTGGACGGTTCTAAAGGGTTCCCTTTTGCCTGCAGCCATTCTCCTTTAAGAGGTGGTGCTGTATCTTTATCTTTTTCCCAATTCCAAGCAATATAGTGTTGATCCATTTTCGAAAGTTGTTTGGTCATCATTTCGCCTGCCCTTTGACGGTATGAGTTCGGCACGGTGAATTTGATTCTCTTCAAATGCTGTGGTACAGGTAGTTTTTTCGTCGTGCTTATTTTTTGAAGATCTTCTACTGTTAATCTACTCGATCTCTGCAGAAAGTCTCGAATGATAGCTATGGTTACATCAGTCGCAAGGGTCCAAGATTTGGCAGGTGGTCCTGTTTGTTGTCAAGGTAAATATGACTTTAAAAAAGTTTGTGTTACCTTTGGCATAATGACGGTACATTGTTGATGCAATGATTGGCATAGGAGGGATTAAATTTGTCCATAAAAGTGCATTGGCCATAGCAGAACTGTCTTTGCTTGGATGAGGAATGGTTTCTTCTTTCGAACTAGAGACAGAAACAAGACTTCGACTGCTCATAGAAAAGAGATAACTTGTCGTATCAGACATATATTCTATTTGCTTTCCTGCTACTCTTGTTATCTTTTTAAAGCCTTTTGGAACCATACTAAAAGAAAATAAAATAAAAAAAAAGAAAAGAGAAAGAGAAAGAAAAAGCGTGTAAAATAATGCTACAGAAACCGGTAAAATCTGTCCCCGAGAACTAACATGTTAAGAGACCGCTGAAAATCATGTAAGTTTCAGAGAAACACATCCAAGTACGGAGTTAAATACTCCTTTTGCTTTAATTCATACGTATTCTCTCCTTGTACATGAAAACAGAACAAAGGTATTATACTATTGATTGTTGTTAATAGATTTAATACAAATATGGATAGTTTTCTCTCACTCACTCACTTTTTTGTCTCAAAATAATCATTGCTCAAAATCAATATATTTAAGAAAAAAAAGTTTTAAAAAGTAATTCCCTCGTAATGCGGGACTTGTATATATACTTTTTTTTCACTTTTTTTTTTCTCAAGATGACAGAACGTACAAACGCTGGTATTATTCAGGTTGGTGAAGAGCGTTGGATTCCTGGATCTCAACGTGCGGACGGCTCTTATCGTAAAGAACGTAAAGTAAGACCTGGTTTTGTGCCTCAAGAAGACGTCCAACGCTATTCAAACTCTCGTCTCGAAGCAGCAAAGCAACCCAGTCACCCACCTGGTTATAAGGCACCTGTTCCAGGTTCTGTTAAGAAAGAAGTATCTGCTGTTCAAAAGAAACCAGTTCAACAAACACCACCTGCAGCAGACCAACCCAAAGAAAAGAAAATCAAGGCTTTGAATAAGAAGCTTCGACAAATTGTCGAATTAGAGCAAAAGCTGATCAAGGGAGAGACATTAAATGAAGAACAGCATGAAAAGATCAAGAAAGGAAAGGCGATAAGAAAGGAATTGGCTGAATTAGAAGCATAACGTTTTTTCATACTAAATAAAAATAGAATCAATTTAAACATGCTATTTATATATCAAAGAAAGGCACGATTGAATATTCGAAATACGGAAGAAAGCGAGTTATGGCTTCTTGGAGTTCAAATAAAGACTAATTTTAAAGAAAAAATTCAGGAACATGATTTTAACAATAACATTGTTGGTCATATCAAAGTAGTCAATATGGCTTTCATTTCTTTTGTAGTTTTGCAAGTTCAACTGACGTAAAGAATTGTTTTTACACCAAAAAGACTCTGGATTTATAGGGGCTTCCTTCTTGATTAAAGACTTCTTTAACCAATCAAAATATGTGTATCGGAGTCTATCGATAATTACCGTTTATTTTCCCCGTATACCATTTTCACTCTTTCTTTTTTCCTCCTTTTTGCAAAACAATTTCTTTTTGTGATATGTCCTTAAACGTTTCCGACCCTGCTATTCTTGAAGCTTATGAAGATGTCCGAGATGACAAGACCCAAACCAACTGGGCCTTCTTTGATTTTGCAGATGGTAAACCAGACCGTCTTCAAGTTGCAGGTACAGGTTCTGGAGGACTTGAAGAGTTTGTTGGTCAATTAAAAGCCGAAGTTGCTGGTTGGGGATACATTCGCATGAATATGAGCAACGACGAGTAAGTCCAAACAACACAGAATCAAGAGAGGTAGGGACTAATACAAGTGACAGATATTCTCAACGTGTCAAGTTTGTTTTGGTGCCTTGGTGTGGTGATAGCGTTGGCATTATGCGTAAGGCCAAGCTATCAATCCAAATTGCGGATGTAAAGAATGTGGTCCGTAATTATCATATTGAAGTGCCTGCTTCTCATAAGCAAGATTTGACCGAGACAGAAATCATGACCAGACTTAGACGTGCTGGTGGTGCCAATTATGATAGACAATCCAGTAATTATTAGACGCGTACTTTTTTTTTTCTGTTTTTATTAAATATTACATGAGAGAATTGATTCTTTATCTTGAGCCTCCTGTTGGTTTTAAGCAACATGTTAATTCATTTCTTGATATGAGTAAAGACAAGTTTGGATTTACAACAGCAAACAGATACAATTGTCATGTTTCTATGTCTGGTTTTTTTACTGTTACTGACAGAGAACAAGAGGTGGTTCAAAAGGCTATTGAAAAAGTGATGGATAAACTGCCAATGGTACAAGTTCAGTTGACGCCATTGCTGGTATACACTAATGATAAACCATCTCATTTACTTTTGCCAGTGGTTGCTCCCTCTTTTGTTCATACTATGATGGCAAGTATTGCTCAAGAGTGTCAAGATATTGTCAAGCTAAGGTTGAAGAAGATCAACCATATAAGTTTGGCCTATTGGAATGAACAGCAAAAAGAATGGAATCCAATCGTATTAAAAGATATTAAAAAAGAAGCAGATGCTTGGTTTAAGCAAACAAAAGAACCAAAAGATACATGGGATATTGTACTCTATAGACGTACTAAAAAGAGTGAGGAGATAGGGCAACCTCATGTGTTTGAAGAACTGAAAAGATGGCATGGTTAATGATGATAATAGTCTTTCAAAAATAAAGATGCCATTGTGCTTGTTTGTTTGTCCTTTTGAGATTGAATACGCTTTAGGTATTGCTCTAATTCTGCTGTAAGCAATGCTGTATAATTGTCTTGTGTTATTAGCTGCATTAATGTCGTCATGGCGTTCAGTTGTGTATTGACAGTACAAGAAGTATCAAGGCATTGAACAATAGCATGTCTAAAAGAAGGTTGAGACAAGATGTATTCGTGATGACGAGGTTCTGCTAGTTGTTGAGAGGTTATTTGATTAAGAATCAAAGCTTACCAAGACAAATGTTGGCTAATCCTCCCATGCCGAACTCTTGGAGATTAGAATCATTCAATGCATCTATGACTTTTGAGTGAGTTATTTGTTATCAGCCCAACAACTTGTTTACCTAAAAACAGATCAACTGCGTATAGATCCCAAAGGGTATTGTAATTGATGGGATCATAAGCAAAGTTAGCCAAATGAGCAAGTATTTGTTGCCTCGCTTCTATTGAGTATTGAGTGTCTATTTTGGTTGTTCTCTCGCTTGGTTTTACCTTGACTTGTAGTCACTTGATACTCTTGTACAAGTTGTGTCAAATAGTCTGTTCTATTTGCCTTGTCTTTCCCGTGTCTTTTCTCAATATAACTTTTGCTTTGGAACATGTCAAAGACTGCTTTTTAAAAAAAGGGGTTATAAAACTTTTATATTTTTTTCTTCCTCTTTCATGTTGCGTCAAAGTCTGTTTTCTATAGTAAGCGCAAAGAATCTCGGTAGAATAACTCAGCCTTGTCGACACTATACAAGCGAGAATGCTATCTTAACAGACATCAACAAACAAATGTTTCGTGTGCTTGATAAAGCAGCATCAGCCAACCTTGGCAGTCGAGCGACCCTCACACGTATTCTACGTCTAGCCAAAGAACTCAAGGAAAATAATGTCAAGTTTGATGCAGATACATATGAACATATTTTATCTGCCTATGCGAAAGCCAATGAACCAAGCCAAGCCCTTATTCTTTATAAGCAAATGTCAGCACAAGGTATCAAACCCACTAGGAATTTTTACCACAAAGCGTTGCTTGTAAGTACCACTCTATCACGCATACACATAGGTGCTCATGCATGATTAGTTTGCTGCTAGAAATGGTGATTCTGCTTTACAAGCCAAAATGTTGCATTATATGGAACAATCCAACTATCCAAAGACGACCAAAACATATTATTGTATGTTTCTTTGTATGCGAGAAACACTTGAACTAGAGCACGCTCTTGATACAATCGACATCATGAAGCGTGATAATATTAAGATGAACCTTCATAGTTATGCTACTGTGATTGATATGGCAGTTCATTTAAACGAAGTTGAAATTGCACATCAATTGCTTAAAGAAGCCGAGAAGCTAAATGAATTTGGTCAGCAAGCAGGAATACTGTATACAAGTGTATTGCAATTAGCTGCTTTCAATGGCCATGTAAGAAACCAAGAGCATTGTTGGAATGTGTCGACTGACACTTTATCTAGTATACTATTGTCAAAGACATATGGAAAAAGGCGTCCAAATACAAAACAGATGAAGGGAATTTATTGTATATTCTAGATTTAGCAGGTAAACATGGAGACACCAAAATAGCCACTGAGGTCATTCGCATCATTGGGGAACGAGGCTACACTTATCGAGAATGTCATTTTGCGCCCTTGATTGATACATTCGCAGCCACAGGCGATATCACTAATACGTTTCAGCTGTTTCATGTGATGCGAAAAGTAGGCATTACACCTAACAAAAAAACAGCATTACCTTTGGCGTATCGTTTAGGACAAGACAAGAATGCGATCTTTAAAGCTAAGCATATACTTGAGAAACAAAGCCCTGTGGATGTCACTGCATTCAATTTAGTGATTCATGCATTGGCTTACAATAAGGAGATTGATGCAGCATTATCACTCTATCAAAAATCAAAAGAGTTGCAAGTGACACCGAATAGTGAGACATTAGATGCTGTGTTGGATGCATGTATTCATTGCAAAGATGCAGGATTAGGCAAGGATGTGTATGAAGAGCTACTGGCTAAAGGCGTCCAACCTACATCAACTTCACTTAGCAAAATGGTGACCTTAATGTGTACACAAGAAGATTATGAAGAAGCGTTTATGTACTTGGAGGAAATGAAGAAACGAGACATGGTGCCCTTACGTGGTTGTTATTATAAGCTTGTGAAAGTACTGGCAAGTGCAAGAGATGCAAGATTAGAAATGGCATTGGATGATATGAAGGCATATGGCTATTCTATTTCAACACATATCAGCCAGTTTATTGAAAACGAAAAAACAACTGCTACTTTAAATTAATACCCCCTCCCCATTATTAGCGTCAAAAATTTGTGAAACTTAATGGCAAAACGGATGGAGCCCTGAGGCTTGGTTAAAAACCGTACCTGAACAAGGTATTCTTGGCAAAATTATTTTATGTCTTAAATTAATAGCTATACAATTAAAATAATAAAAAACAAGTGTATTAACATATTTCATCTAATGCGCAACAGATACACATAGCAACCAAGCTAAAGATTCAATTAGAAAAAAGAAACAGATACAATAAGATTACTTACCATCCCCAACAACAAGAATGATCATTCTCTGGTGGTCTTTCTTGTTGGACTACAATTGTCTGTGGTGGTGGTCTAATCAAGGATTATTACTTTAGTTTTTGTATTTATAGACTTACGCTGGTTGATAGTAGCCTCCTTGTTGCGGTGGAGGATAATAACCCCCTTGTTGTTGCTGAGGGTCTCCGTAGTATTGGCCTGGTTGTTGGTTATAGTAAGGCGAAGACATGTTGAGTATAGAAAGAAAGGTAGAAAGACAGAAAATGATTTTGTTTGATCATTTTATACTTGGATGCTGTGTGACCCCAGTGCCATAAATTATCCATAATTGTCAGCTTCAGTGTCAGCCACCTGATTGCCTAAATAAAGAGGTGCCGAGTCAACTCATCCCGAGAAAACGGCTGTTTCTCATGGCAAAGAATGATGTCTAAAGAGTTCCCGGACCAAACATAAAGAAGGGTATTTTTTAGGTAATGCAAGTACGGGACGGAAGACAATGACGAACTTCTAAAAAAAACTATTTTTCTCTTCTTTTCTTTATCTCCTTTTTTTTTTGTTTTCCCTCCTTTTTAAAACTAATGGGTCTCCTTGACAAATTAAAAACGCAGTACGATTTACATCAAGTGACTCAATACACTAAACGTCGAGAAGCCTACTCTGACTTTGAGTTTAAAAACAAAGACTATTATAAAGCTGCTTATCAAGATGGTGTTTATGCAGACATCCAAAAAAGGCCTTCAATCACTCGCAGATCTTCATCGATGCTTTTGGTAGTTTCTGATCTTATCAAGAGAAAAACAAACAAAAAGAGACGATCGCTGGCCACTGAATTAAACAGGACATCTGAATCATATACCATGAGTGCGTAAGTTGTACTCTTTAAATACTGTTAACACTATAATAAAAAACGCCCCAAACTAAAAAAAAAAAAAAGGTTACACTTTGGGAAATATCAATAATAATAAGGGTAACTCAGATTCTTTTCAACTTGAGAGTACTTCGTTTTTTAGCGTTTAGAAAATAAGCAATGATATTCTCTCTACCAAGACATCCTGCTTTGATACTGTAATGCGTATATCTGAAGGAACATATTATTTGCATGACCAATGTTAGTTACACAAACGGAAGAAGAAAGCACATAAAATCAAAAACAATTACGCCTCTCATAACCATGCCATTTTGTTTTTGTTGAATGAAAGAAAGGGAATTACGATATGAAGATTTACGCACCTATAAATAGACATGGCAGTATTATTTGACGTACTTTGTGAGTAACAACATACCTATGATCAATCAATAGACTCTTTTCATTTCTTATAACAGATTGAGATGATATTAGCATTTTTTAAGAAACTCCGTTCCCATTTACAGCCAAATTGAGTGTTTAATATGAGAAGTTGTACAATTCTTGTACGTTTTATGGCAACCGAGTATTGAACCATGCATTTAGAATGCAGTAGCTACCTAAGACTGCTTTTTTCTAACTATCAACGATACAAGCGTGTGTCTTAGCAATAAAATGACATTTCAGAAGAGGGCATGGACCGAATAACACCACACAGTATTCTTTAATTCTATGTTTATTTGAAGTATTCAATGTATATTTGATTTGATTTTATGATATGCATACAAAATAATTACAATGTAAATCCTTGCACAATGCTTCGCCTGAACTAACGAAATTATGAGCAAAATGAAGCATTCTTCTTAAAGACGTAATCCCTTTACTGCCAATGATACACCATGATACAAGCAAACAGCTATAAATATAACAGGGTTTACCATCTACTAAATAGTTGACTTTTCTTTTAACGATTTTGAAAATGAGCAAATTGAATTTAAAGAAGGAAAAAAAAATTAAAATGATATACATACAAACTTCAATCGACATCATTTTACTTTTCTTTTTTCTAGTTTGAGTTTTTCCTATGATATTTGCATGAAGGCAATTGTCCTACATTTACTTTATCAATCGCTATTGTATCAATTTATGCGGTTAGTCTGTTAGAATATGTTGTATACCATATACAACGAAATGTAAGTGTATGTTCTACCTGTCTTTAGCCCGGACATGTGTTTTAGCAGCGAAAACGACGATTTAAAACGATAGAGGACATTTAGTTTAGTGGCTTATATGAAATGAGTGCCTCAAAGAGTTAAAGGGTTCTCTTGCAGTCTCTGATGATTCTTATTGCACATCTTTAGGACTTTAAATAAAACAGGAACATAGTTCCCCTACAGAAAGAAAAAAGTCCCTGATGATATTCTGTATTCTACAAGGGTCTATTTGTCATGGCATAAAGTATAGACTTTATAATTTGTATCGAGATTATTTATTTCCAAGCACTTTTTATTTTATTTCTGGCGCTCTTTTGAATCTATACAAAAAAAAAAAAACTCTTTTGAATCAAATCAGATCGGCTCCCTGGATTTACTGAAAAACACGCTTGACGCGTCTTGAAAACAAGTCACCTACGCGTTCCTTTTTTTTTTTTCTTCTTCTTCTTAAGCTTATCACTCATGTCTACCACTACCACTACCACTACTTCTAAACTCCTTGTGAAGCGTCTATCAGAATTTGCACAACTTCCTACCAGAGGTTCAGCTCTTGCTGCTGGTTACGATCTCTACTGGTAAGTAAGAATTAAGCCTAAAAATCATATTTATTCTTCTTAGTGCTCATGATACTACCATTCCTGCTCAAGGAAAAGTAATTGTGCCTACTGATATCTCAATTGCTGTTCCTGAAGGTCATTATGGTCGTGTTGCTCCTCGTTCTGGTCTAGCTGCCAAACATCATTTAGATACAGGTGCAGGTGTGATCGATGCTGATTATCGTGGCCCTGTTGGTGTTGTTATGTTTAATTTCAGCAAAGATAATTATGATGGTAAATGGATCTAGTTATTGATCTTGTATGCTGATACCAAATAGTCAAACGTGGTGACAGAATTGCTCAATTGGTCATTGAAAAGATTTCTACACCTGAAGTCATGGAAGTCGATGTAAGTTACTTTTACCATTAGCTTAAACTTATTTTACTTGGTAGTCTTTAGATATTTCTGACCGTGGTGCTGGTGGATTTGGTAGCACAGGTTACAAATAAACTTTATTATTTTAGACTAGAAAATACATAAATGCATAACATAATCTTTTTCTATAATATCTCAAAAAAAACAAGCCGGTCATTACACTTGATCTTTACATCGTGTGACTTTTTCCTTCTTTTTTCGCACGGCCAAGTCATTCAGTCGCCGGCTGATAACCGGGTTTATCTTTTCCAGATGATAAACGCCATATTGGAATATAAAATGCACATAAAAAAAAAAGTTTTTCTTCTTTTTCCTTTCTTTTTTTTTCTTTTAAAAATCTCAATACAAAAATGGAACAATTTCTAGAATACGTGAACAAGCATCAAAACGATTTCGTTGAAAGACTTCGTAAGGCTGTTGCCATTCCTAGGTAAAACAGAGCATTCATCAAGGTGTATCTGACGCGTTTCCTTTTAGTGTCAGTGGCGATCCTGCTCACCGCCCTGATGTCTTTCGTATGTCTGAATTCTTAGTGGATGAATTAAAGGCTCTCGGCGCTCAGGTCGAAACCCGTGACCTTGGTAAGCAAGATTGGCATGGACAAGAGTTGGATTTGCCTCCTATTGTCCTTGCTTCCATTGGTAGCAATCCTGAAAAGAAGACTATCTTGGTCTATGGTCATTATGATGTTCAACCTGTAAATACACTATATGTGTTGTTTTTTTTCTTATTCATTTTTTATGTTAGGCTCTTTTGGAAGATGGTTGGAACACTAATCCTTTTGAATTGGTAGAAGATGAAAAGAACCGCTTGATTGGTCGTGGTGCTACTGATGATAAGGGTCCTGTCTTGGGTTGGATCAATGTGGTTGAAGCCCACAAAGCATTAGGTCTTGAATTGCCCGTGAACCTTAAGTTCTGTCTTGAAGGTATGGAAGAATCTGGTTCTGAAGGCTTAGATCCTCTTATTTTCCAAGAGGCCGATAAGTATTTCAAGGATGTGGATGCTGTCTGTATCTCTGATAACTATTGGTTGGGTACCACCAAGCCTTGTTTGACCTATGGTCTTCGTGGTGTCTCTTACTTCCACATGAAGGTGAAGGGGCCTGTAAGTGATCGTATGTGAAAGGAACCGCTTTCTAATCATTCATTAGGCTGCTGATCTCCATTCCGGTGTCTTTGGTGGTACTATCCATGAGCCCATGGTTGACCTTGTCAAGGTCATGAGTAAGCTTGTGGATCATCATGGTAAGATTCTTGTTCCTGGTATTTATGAGCAAGTCCGTACTTTGTCTGGTAAGTCATTAAGAGTATAAGCCAATTGGCTGATATTCGTATTAGATGAAGAACAAAAGACCTATGATAACTTGGCTTTCAAGATGGAAGAACTTCATGATGCTGTAGGTAACAAAATTAACATTCACGAAAATATCCGTGACACACTTCAATGCCGTTGGAGAAATCCTTCTTTATCTCTTCACGGTATCGAAGGTGCCTTTTACAATCCTGGTGACAAGACTGTCATTCCTGCTGCTGTCACTGGTAAATTCTCTATTCGTACTGTCCCTGATATGGAACCTGAAAAGGTGACTGAACTTGTTGTCAAGTACTGTCAAGAAGAATTCGCTAAATTGGGCTCTAAGAACCAATTTGAAGTCTTCTGCACTCACGGTGGTAACCACTGGCTCTCTAGTCCCGAACATCCCAACTATGGTAAGTCGTGCCACATTAGGCAATAACAAAACTCACTCCCATAACTTGCTAGTTGCTGCTGCTAAGGCTGTAGAAACTGTCTATAAGGTCAAGCCTGATTTAACTCGTGAAGGTGGTTCTATTCCCGTCACTTTATCATTCCAAGAAGCCCTTAAGAAGAATGTCTTGTTATTGCCTATGGGCCGTGGTGATGATGTAAGTCGAATGATGATCATGATTTGAAACTCATTTTCTTTAGGGTGCTCATTCTACAAATGAAAAGTTAGATAGATCCAACTATGTTCAAGGTACACAACTATTAGGTGCCTATTTGTATGAAGTTGCTCAAGTTGAACTCTAAGTTCATTTTAAATAAAATGACTATTATGTATATATGTGTGTGTGTGTGTGTTTAGACAAATTAAATATGTGTAAAGAAAGAATATATATATATATATATATTTTATATTTTTTTATTCTTTTCTCTTTTCTCTTTTTTTTTCTGACTAAAATGGCAACAGCACCACAACGTCATAGTAGCAATGGAAAACCAATATCAAGTAATAGTACAAACGTTGTTGGAGTTCACTATAAAGTGGGTCGAAAACTAGGAGAAGGAAGTTTTGGTATTCTTTATGAAGGTATGACTCCCTACACACAAAAAAAAAGGGGAGGGATCGTATAAACCTAACTCACCATCTTCTTTATAGGTACCAACTTGTTAAATAACCAACAAGTGGCTATAAAGTTTGAACCTCGAAAGTCAGACGCACCTCAGTTACGAGACGAATACAGAACCTATAAAATCCTTTCTGGCACTCGTAATGCTGTAAACCAAATGAATTCTAAAACTCATATCCCCCCTTTTTTTTTATCTCCTTGATTAGATGGCATTCCCTCTGCTTATTATTTTGGTCAAGAAGGTCTTCATAATATACTTGTAATTGATCTTTTAGGTCCAAGCCTAGAAGATTTATTTGATTCATGTTCAAGAAAGTTTAGTATCAAGACAGTCGCTACACTGGCTCGTCATATGGTACAGTAAGAGATTATATCGCAAACACACACACTCATTTTCCTAGATTACTCGTATTCAAAGTGTCCATGAAAACAACCTGATTTACCGTGATATCAAACCTGACAACTTCTTGATTGGAAGACAAGGCACAAGTGAAGCAAACACGGTTTATCTGATTGATTTTGGTATGGCCAAACAATATAGAGATCCTAAAACAAAGCAACATATTCCCTACCGTGAACGAAAGAGTTTATCAGGTACAGCTCGTTATATGAGTATCAATACCCATTTAGGAAGAGAACAATCAAGAAGAGATGACTTAGAATCCTTGGGCCATGTATTTATGTACTTCTTAAGAGGTTCTTTACCTTGGCAAGGATTGAAGGCTGCTACCAATAAACAGAAATATGAAAAGATAGGTGAAAAGAAACAAACGACTGCCATTAAAGATTTATGCGCTGGATTCCCAGGTAAGAAAGACAAAAAAGAGGGAGAGAGACAAGATACTTATAGAGTAGAGGAATTTGGTATCTATCTTCAATATGTACGTAAATTAGGCTTTGAAGAAACACCAGATTATGATTTCCTTCGAGATTTGTTTACCAAAGTACTCAAGAATCATGGTGATATAGATGATGAAGTCTATGATTGGATGCTGTTAAATAACGGTCGAGGACTGGTTGAAAAGCGATCTTCTCGACACCATCATCAACAACAACAGCAACAGCAACAACAACAACAGCAGCCACGCCATATTCAAGATAATCCTTATGGGCGCACTCAGCCACCTAACACTCAACTTGTTAATCGACCTGAAGCTGCTGATTATGATGATGGATCACGGAAAAAAGGCTTTTGGCAACAATTTATTTCGTTTGTTACTTGTGGGCTGTTTACTTGTGCGTAATATTATTTTTCTTTTCTTTCTTTTCTGCATTTCCATTGTGTTACCTGTCAAGAGTCTTGGCTTTTTTTTGAATAAATTTTTTCAGAAGGAAAAAAAAAAAAAAAAGATAACATTCCTTTTCTCTTTTAGTATGGTTAAACCAAGGTGGACAGTGCATGTCTTGTGCTTCTTATGGATAAGTCTTTTATTGTTGAATGAATACTTTATTTTTTGGTACTCAGCTAAGCAATGCGCTTTATCAACTACAAACCATGTAAGCCTATTGTTCAGCCCACACAAAGCATTTATAGTCTTGTTTTAGCATTCCAAGGTCATGTTGATTGCTGATCCACAAATGACCGATGACAAGTCTTATGAACGCCATTGGCTCATCATGGCACTCACTAAATTTTACAGTGCGCTTTATATGAAGCGAAATTATAGGCATTTGAACTATCAATTGAAACCAACAGATACCATTATTCTAGGTGATCTCATGGACAATGGACGAGAATGGCAAGATGATGGCTTGTAAGTGAACACAATGGCAAGCATAAGTCAATGACATCGATAGCTTTGATAAGGAAGTGCAACGATTCCATACTATTTTTCCACCCAACAATCATCTTCATTATATGGCAGGCAACCATGACATTGGGTTTGGTCAGCGTATCAATGCTACTCGAGTAGACCGATTTGAACACTATTTTGGCCCTACTTTTTACACATTTGAAAAACACGGCTTTCTATTTGTCGTACTGGACACTGTGTCACTCTGCTCGAATGAGTCAGCCATTCCTCTCTTGGACAACATTCCACAGCACCCTCGTACTTTGCTTTTTACGCATATACCTCTTTATCGAGCAGCTTCACAGACATGCGGGCCTTATCGACGCCAGAGCAGATCGAACTGGATTCTGAATGAAGCTGGCTACCAATACCAAAACTTAGTGCCTGAACATCTGTCCAACTTGATTTTGGATAAAGTGAAACCATTGCTTGTGTTCTCGGGGGATGATCATGATTATTGTAAAGTCATTCATCGAGACAATGTGCCAGAAATGACATTGCCTACATTTAGTATGGCGCAAGGTGTCCGATTTCCTGGGCTGATGGTGTTGGATCTAGCCCAAGAGGGATTATCGACCCATTTATGTTGGCTACCAGACCAAGTCGAGCTTTTTATTCAGTATGGATACCTGTTGATTTTTACTTTGGTTTGCTTGTTTCCTTGGAGATCTGGGACAAATCAACCTAGTTTATCAAAAGAAGAATTAGGCATTACTCAGCCAACAACATCAGTTGGCTTAAAAAAGCATGTCTTGTCCTCCCTACGCTATGTGGCGTGTGTTGCTATAACTACTTATATCTTTTGTCTTTGTATGCTTTGAAAAAAAAAAAAGTTTATTTCGTCAAGGTATATCAGCAATTGTTATTCACAAATGGATCAGAAGGAAGGAGTGTGTTTAATGTACGTGGCGTATGATTCATGGGCAACAACATGGAGTTGGAAGGAGATAATGGTTGCGCATTTATCAATAAAGAAGGTTGCAATGAAGATTGAGGTTGTATTGTCTTACAGAAAGGATCCATAAAAGACGAGAGTTCATGCTTTAATGCAGCTGCACGGTATTTCTGTCGAGTACCACGTCCTAAAGCATGGTCATTTTGAATAGCATAGATTTGCATCTCACGAGCATATCGCTCCTTATCCACTTGCGCCTTTGTCTTCCATGGCAAACGATCTTCTTCTGTCATATTGTTCCAACGATCAGCACATAATTTGCTAATCTGTCCCACATTCGAACCGGGATAATTACGCATCGTTTCTGGTCTTACTTCTGTTAAATACCACATATAAGCACTCAAGGGGTGTTTGGGCGTGCTTGAGTTCTTGTCACGCTTAGGGCGTTTACGCTTGGGTTGATCTTTGGAAGAGCCTTTCGTGACATGACCTGCCTTGACAAGTTCGGCTCTTGATCGACGCATATACATGGCATTCGGGTGAAGTGCTTTTTGTTCCTCTTTAAGCTTATTGGCTTGAATCACATATTGATCTTTTTGTTCCTGTACAAGCATTGAATATCGTCTTATTGCATACTTGGGTTACCTTGGGCATGGTTTTCCATCGAAAACCAACTTCTTTACTGATATCAGCTACTTTCATGGTAGGATCTTGATCTTTGAGTATCTTTCGCATTTCTTTGTTAAAGAGTAAATAAGCATTGGGTGGTCGAGTCACACGAACAGGTGCTTTTGACTTATCATGAGCATCCTCGTCAGTCTTATTGACAGGTGATTGAGTTAATTCTTTTGTTGCCAGTGTGGGTTGATGTAATTGAGGAGGAGCCATACGAATCAGAGGAAAAGATGAATAGGCTAGATGGAATGCCGTTGGATCCTCCATAGATATGTCTTGAGAGGGTGCAACAGTTCTGGGTTGCCTTAAAGGCGTCGTATTCAGTAGTTGTGCTTGAGTTATAGCCGCATATTGCTGTAGGCTATATTCAATATTGCCTGATAAATTGTCTATAAAATTAAGGATGAGTTCATTTCTTTCTGCTATTTTCTTATAGCATCGAATATTACAACTAACTCATTTAATATATATATATATACAGAAAAGAAAAAGAAAGAAAGAGGGGTTAGCCTATGAATGGGCTCGCGTGAGACAGTTTAATGCTTTTTTTTTTCTATTGACTTTACTCCGATCAAGGACTGCTTATTGCCAATTAAGGCAATGTCTATGCAAATGATTCAACAAACAGAATGAATCATACTCTATCTACAAGCATCTTGATGTGATTCATTCTATTACAATATAGCATAAGAGAAAAAAGGACATAAAAAGAGAGAAAGAAAAGAAAGAGATACAAAGTATCTTATTATATATAGAAAAGAGATGGTAATAACCTTTTTTAAGTTTGTGCGCATGTGTATTCGAATAGATTGAGCCTTCTCTCCTTTCTTTCTTTTTTTTCCCCCCTTCTTTTCTCTCTCTCTCTCTCTCTCTCTCTCTCTCTCTCTCTCTCTCTCTTTTTTTTTTTTTTTTTTTTTTTTTCTCTTTGTATTGCCTTTCATGACGTCTTTGCCTAATGAGTTACTACAAAATATTATTGATTTGACTGACCAATCTGACCTGTTACCTTGGCTCTTTGTCTCTAAATACACCTTTCAACTTGTCCGACAACGTGTGTATAAAAAAGTCATTTTTCCAGACAGCCATGTGAGCACGGAAGCCATTCTAACATTTTGTGAGTTGTATGGACTGTCTCTAGAGACCATCAAACTCCCTCGTCACCACTATGTACCCGACACTGTCTATCATCAAATCCTCCAATGGTGTCCTCGCCTAGACTATCTCCAATCCAACCTATACCCTAAACAGCTACACGGCTGTTTACAACGTATGCGCCATTCAACATGTATCATGTCCACCGATATTCCCGACGATGCACTGGACGAAGTGACAGCTTTCCATTCAAAGAATCAGACCATCACGTATTTTGCTTGTTGTCCTTCCTTTTTTGTGTTTCCCAGTGAATTAGTGCCTGAAAAGAATCCCACACTCACCCAAATATCGCACTATTTTCATCATCCAGGTGCTCTCAGTAATGCTATTTTACCTACGTTTGGATCGGATTTGTTATCGTTGACGTTGAATGCGTATGATGTGTTGACGTCTTCTGTTGCTCGGCTGATTGTGACTAAATGTCCTCGATTAAGGTACCTTGCTGTGCCTTGTGTAAAAGCAGAAGGCTTATGGATGTTGTTAAGATGGTGTCATACACTAGTAGCTATTGTAGTGGGTCATGATGATTCTTTGATCCCTTTTGAAGAAGAAGAAGAAGAGGAGGAAGAGGAAGACCATCTCTCAAGAAGTATGCTGACAGATATTGAGAACGAAAGAGCAGTGGAAACAGTTAGACAACATAAAAGAGTCTGGTGTGTGCATTCAAATGTGCACGAAGACGATAACCAAAAAAGAATGTCGTGGCATATCGGCATCATCCCTAAAATCTGAGTTTATTTTTTTTTCTTTTATATAATTTTATTTCATGTGTACATATCCATTTTCATTGTTCTTTCGCATTTCTTTCATATCTTTAATAATAAAATGGCAACTCTCTTGTTATTAGGCTTTATGATTTCAAAAAGGTAATTGGGTAGTTGAAATGTTCATACTGATGGTTACACGCATAAAAGTATACCACAAAAAAAGAAATCATGTCAAACATTCAGTGACATCTACGATGTGGCCGAATGCTTGTTTCAACAAGGAAACTATACAGAAGCCTATCGTGTCTTTTATGAGTTGGGAGAGACATTTCATTATCAACAAGCCAGTTGTGCCTGGTATCAAATCCAATGTCTTTTGGCTCTCGGTCATTGGCGGCAAGTGATTATGAGTTGCCATCGACAGCTAGAACGACACCCCTATCAACAAAAATGGCGTTATATTGCCTGTGAAACCTATCTCGAACGAAAAGACTATACACTCGCATGGGAAGAAATCAAACATACAGACAACGCTGCACGAAAACGTATTGTGTATGAGGGTTTGTTGTCTCAACACAACCAGAGAAACGACATTCTGGATTACCTTACTTTTGACCTTGCCTCTGAAGTGTTTAAATATCTTGACTTGGCTTCGTTGGCTCGTTGTACATGCGTATCTAAACGATGGCGATATTTTTTGATATCCAATGCGTATCTTTGGAACGATTTAGAATTAACCAATAGAAAATTAGGACATATTTGGATCCACACCTTACATACATATCTGAATCGACTCCATACAGTACCACTCACACGACTCGTAATTGAACATCAAAAGATCCATGGCGAACAGTTATTGACAGCACTTGTGAATCATCAATGTCAAAAACTAAAGACACTCAGTAAGATATATATATATATATATATACAAAGAAATATACGTATGTATTGATATGCATTTTAGTTCTCACCGATGTGATTTGCACACCTACTTTGTTTTTTCATGCATTGGAATACATTGGGTCTGTGTTGCATAAACTCGAATGGACTGGATCCTCAGTGCAATTGAATGATTTGATCAAAATTTTGCCTAAAACAAGTCAACAACTCAAGCATTTAGCTATCAAAAACTGCTTTACTGCTTATTGTGAAAGTGGTCCTTCGTTTGAAGATCTTGAAGCATATGGAGAGACATTACCTTCTTCTTTTGTTTCTGGTGGTAATTCATTCCATGCATTAGACTCACTTGAGTTGTCAAGTATTCATGGGTTAAAGACAACCCATTTAGCTCATATTCTTTCACAATGCTCTCATATCAGTCGGCTTGTATTGGACCATTGTTTAGTGGATATTGTGCCTGTTATCAACATGATCCGAACCACTTGCCCTTGCTTGACTCAGTTTTGTTATGCGCGTAATCAACTCTGTCAACAATATGATGCCATGTATAGACCAAGAAGGCAACAACGCCAACAAAGACAGTTTCATGATCATTTACCATGGACTGAGCTACGCATTCATTTCACAAGTGCATTTACTAACCCTATGCTTCAAGATATTTTGTTTGATTCTGCAGCTACCTTGAACGTATTGGATCTTTATGGCAGTGCATTTATCTCAGACAATGCTTTTGGCGACCAAAGACTGACAGGCTTAAAAGAGCTCAGTCTGGGTGAATGCTACAGTCTATCGACACGATGCATTGTTCAGTTAATCGACCAAAACCCTTTATTAGAAAAAGTCAATTTGAGTGGATTGACAGCTATTCATGACATTGTGCTTGTGTCTCTGTCGTGTTGTGAATATCTGCACACACTCAACCTATCCAACTGTCATTTGAATGTGACTCATGAAGCCTATAAGCAGTTCATTGATAGACGACGCCATTCCCTGCGACAAATAGACTTACAAGACTCTATATTATCCAAAGATTTATTACTTTATACCATGATTAAACTCAAGACACATATCATTTAACTAGGTATGTGTGTAACCTACGTCACGCGTGACTTTGAGATCTGTTATCCCCAATCCATGGTGAATATCATGTAATCTAATATCCATCTCCCATCTTTCCCCCTGCAAATTTATTTTCTCTCTTTCTTTTTTATTATTATTGTTTAACATGTCCGACCATTCAGCTGTTTTAGAAGAAATTAGAAAGAATATTCAAAGCCTTCATGAAAAGTTTGAAGCTCTTGAAAAGAAGGTAGTTGCCGGTCCTCCTAAGCAAAACCTTCGTATGGTTATTATGGGTCCTCCTGGTGCTGGTAAGGGCACTCAAGCTCCTGCTATCAAGGAAAAATTCTGTGCCTGTCACTTGGCTACCGGCGATATGCTCAGAGCTGCTGTTGCTTCCAAGTCTCCTCTTGGTTTAGCCGCCAAAAAGATCATGGATGAAGGTGGTCTTGTTTCTGATGAAATTGTGGTTGGTATGATCAAGGAAAACTTGGACAACAACCCTGAATGTAAGAATGGGTAAGCAATGCATAATAATACGCGATGATTGTGATTGACATTGGTATCTAGTTTCATTCTTGATGGTTTCCCTCGTACCGTTGTTCAAGCTGAAAAGTTGGATGAAATGCTTGATGAAAAGAAACAACCTTTAAACTCTGTTGTTGAATTGGTGATTGATGACAATCTTCTTGTCTCTCGTATCACCGGTCGTTTGATTCACCCTGCTTCTGGTAGAACTTATCACAAAGAATTCAAGTAAGTAAGCTATACTCATATAATTGCTGATTGTCGTATAGCCCTCCTAAGGTCTCAATGAAGGATGATGTTACTGGTGAACCTCTTATTCAACGTTCTGATGATAATGTCGAATCTTTAAAGAAGCGTTTGGATGCTTTCCATAAGCAAACTGTTCCCGTTGTCGACTACTACAAGAAGAAGAACATTTGGTACGGTGTTGATGCTTCTCAATCCCCCAAGGCTGTCTGGGCTTCTCTTGGTGCTATCTTTGATAAGACTCTTTAGATTTTTTTCTCTTTCTTTCTCTCTGTTGTGTATTTAATTAAAAAGGATGTCTTGTTATCTTTAAAGACATGAAAAATAGCTCATTAAAGGCTGGAACAATCCTCTCTTTTCTTTTTGTTTCTATACGAGCTATTTTTTTTTATTTCAAAAAGGCTCAATGCAAAACATAAGATCTTGCACAGGTAAGAACAAACAAAGAAAAAAAAAAGAGTTTATATAGGGCTATACATACCTCCCCCTTTTTTCTTTAAATTTTACGAAAATTACATGAAATTTCTGACGAAAAAGTGCTTCAAACTGCATAGAAACAAAGAGCTGCCTAACAAATGTATTAACAAAAGCTGTAGATATCGATAAGCCGAATTGAATGGTCTACATAAAAGTGTACGTTTGCTATTTGGTGTTTTAGCTGTTCTCTAAAAACATATCCTAAGTCTTCTAACCATAGCGTGTATCTTTTTTTTTTTTTTTTTTTTTTTTTTTTTTTTTTTTTTTTTTTCAAATCTAACACTTCTCGAGTATACTATAGCATCAAACAAAACATACACATTTCTATCACAGAAAAAAAAGTTGCTGTATTATTTACCAGTATTGATTTTCTTGAAGGCCAAAAACAAGCTTCTTTTTTGATATATTGTATTTTTTTTTTTTGCATGAATATGACCTATCATAATTAAGGTCATGACCTTTTTATTTGACTTGACAATGCGATCCCCCCAACTTGGATCGTAGGTTAGCGGTCCTTTTTTCGATAAAAAAAATTGTCACGATTACGTCCATTCTATCTACTACTGCGGATTTTCTTTTTCTTTTTTCTTCTTCTTCTTTATGAGTAATACGTCTTCACCTCTATCCACCATGTCCGATAGCGAGTTTAATGCTATGGACAATATTAGCAACGAACTAAGTCATTTAGGCGTTGACTTGGTCGACCAAACCGAATTTGAAAAAACGCTGTTTGAAAAGGTATATCTATCAATCCCAATCTTGTTGAATTCAATTTGTGCGTATAGGCAGATAAAGCCCTAGCCGAACGAGACGATGCATTGGACCAAAAACGTCTCCAGAAAGCCAATCAAGAGATCCACGCAGCACAAAAACAGTTGGATCAATTGAAATTAAAACTCAAAGATGCTGTGGATAAAGAACCATGGATGGCCAAGATCACAACCCAAGCCAATAAACTCAGACAGGCAATGCAAGACAAACGCGATATTGAGGCACGTATGCAGGAGCGCCAACAAGCAAGTGTGTCACTGAGTCAAGATCAAAAACAAGCCAATGAAACACAGCGTGATTATCTGGTGAGGACGGGTAAAATCACACCATTTGATACAAATGTGTCGGATCATTCTGTTGTGTTTCCTGGGTCAGGGCATGTAATGTCGCATCAGGATTTACATGTGCCAAGTCACAAAGCGACCTTGAAGCCTAAGCGTAAATTATCTCGAGCTGAGGACGATGATTATCAAATAGAGGAAGAAGAAGAAGAGGAAGAAGAGGAAACGATACGTACAAAAGCATTAGACGAAACCTACGAAGATGACGGATCTGAAGAGCATTATCAAAAGCGACTTGATGATTGGATCTATCAAAGGAAAACTATGCGTTATCGTGTTACACACGTAAATAAGACACAGCTTAAACATCGTATTGATCTATCTATTCTAGCCAGATATATCATTGGAAGAAATAAAAGAAAAACTAAACCAGACACCTATGGATGATGAAGAGCAGTTTAAACCTCATCCTCATTTTGAAGATGTTACATTTGATGATTTTAAAGTGCCTGGTGAACTCTGGGATTGTTTATTTGACTATCAAAAGACATGTAAGTCTCTCTTAGTCTACTCAAGCTGATGAGGATGATTAGGCGTACAATGGTTATGGGAACTGCATCGTCAACAAGTAGGCGGTATCTTGGGTGATGAAATGGGGCTAGGAAAAACCATTCAAATCATTGCGTTTCTATCAGGCTTGTATTATTCCAAACTATTAGGGCCTGGCCAGCCCACCATGATTGTATGTCCAGCTACTGTGATGAAGCAATGGGTGCAAGAGTTTCATAAATGGTGGCCGCCCTTAAGAGTGGCTATTTTGCATGCAAGTGGTACAGGTGTCAAATATGCTTACCACGATCAAGAAGACATTGAACTTTATGACAGTGCAGACGAAGAAGAAGCTTATGAACCTGATCGTCGAGGAAAACAAGCCAAACGGCCCAAGAAATCTTCTACGAGAAGTATCTTGTCTACCAAAACAGGTCGGAATGCAGCTGCCTTGGTTGATTACTATATTCAACAAGGTGGCATTTTGATTACAACTTACAGTGGCGTTCAAAGCTATCGAGAGATTCTTTTAAAACATAAATGGGGCTATGTTGTCCTTGACGAAGGACACAAGATTAGAAACCCTGATTCAATCACTACATTAGCGATCAAACAGTTCAAGACACCTCATCGTATCATTTTATCAGGCACACCTATCCAAAACAACCTCAAAGAGCTCTGGTCTCTATTTGATTTCATCTTTCCAGGCAGATTAGGTACACTCCCTGTCTTTCAGACACAGTTTTCAGTACCGATTGGCATTGGGGGTTATGCGAATGCCACCAATGTTCAAGTACAGACAGCCTATAAATGTGCTTGTATGCTGCGAGACTTAATTAACCCTTATCTCCTGCGTCGCATCAAAGTCGATGTAGCTGCTGATCTACCCAAAAAGAACGAACAAGTCTTGTTCTGCAAACTCACACCACCTCAACGAAAAGCCTACTTGAAGTTCATTCACTCAAAGGACATGGACGCCATTCTTGAACGTCGTCGTCAAGTCTTGTTCGGGATTGACATTGTGCGTAAAATATGCAATCATCCTGACCTTGTAGACTTGACCTTACCCCTCTCCGATCCTGATTATGGCAACCCTGAAAGGAGTGGTAAGATGGTGGTTGTAAGAGCCTTGATGAAGATGTGGAAACAACAACACCACCGTGTGCTTTTGTTTTGTCAGACAAGGCAAATGCTGGATATTCTACAGATCATGGTGCGTAACATAGGCTACAAGTTCTTGAGAATGGACGGAAGTACGCCTGTCCATCAGCGCATGATGCTTGTCAATGAGTTTAATGCATCGCCTCATATTTTTGTCTTTTTGTTGACGACAAAAGTAGGTGGACTTGGCTTGAATTTGACAGGTGCAGATCGAGTGATTCTGTTTGACCCAGATTGGGTAAGCACAATATATATAGATCATGTGTCTTACCCACAAAATAGAATCCTTCAACAGATATGCAAGCAAGAGAGAGAGCATGGCGATTAGGACAAAAGAAAGATGTTACTGTCTATCGACTGATGACAAGTGGCACTATTGAAGAAAAGATCTATCATCGTCAAATCTACAAACAATTCTTGACCAACAAAATCCTAAAAGATCCTAAACAGAGACGGTTCTTTGATGCCAGTAACTTACAGTCCTTGTTTACGTTGGGATTAGAAGATGCCACAACAACAGAGACAGGCGAATTGTTTAAAGGCACAGAAATCAAACATAATCAAAAAAAGAAGAAAAAGAAGCGAAATAATGATGATGATCAACAAGATTTAATTGAATTAGAAGGTGTACATGGTTTAGAACAATATGCTGAACAAGAAGAAGAAGAGCAGCATGAAGATCATGTGCTTCAGAGTCTGTTTGAAATGACAGGTATTCAAAGCGCTTTACAACATGATCAGATTATGGACTCTGCTTCTCATGACACTGTGTTTGTTGAACAAGAAGGTAAATAAGGATTCACCTGAATTATAGACTCATTTTGATTATTAGCTACACAAATCGCCCAAAGAGCAGTGGCTGCATTGAAAGAATCGCGCCGCCAAAGACGTCAAATGGACATTGGCACACCTACCTGGACCGGTCGTTCGGGTACAGCAGGTGCACCCCGCTATTTTCTTGAACGATCCGCAACACCTCCTGCTCCTCGATTTGGCAAGCAATTCAATGCACCTATAGGTTCCCACAGTGCACCAGGATCGCCTCAACCGGGTTTTGGCTCAGGTGCTGTCTCTGGTTTTAAGTCGATCCAAGGAGGATCCAAAGCATCTTCTAGTAGTTTATTAGCAAGAATGAGAGAAAGAAAAGCCATGGCATCTCATGAACCACCTGAACCAAACATCCTTGACAATACAGAAAGAGAAGGTATGATTGTCAAGATTCAAGACTATCTTACTCAACACCATGGCCGTGGTACTTCTAAAGACATAATGGATAATTTGGGCATTCATATCAGTCAAGAACAAGTCCTTATTTTTCGAAAAATGCTGCAAGCCATAGCTAAATTTCAAAAGGATCAAGGTGTTTGGGTACTTAAAGAAGAATTTCGATAATGCAACTTTAAGTTCCGATTATGCTAATCTTGAATAAACTATCGTGACTGAAGAAAAGCAGCTCTCTCTTTCTCTCTTTTCCTCTCTTTTTCTCTCTTAAGTTTATCTTGTTCCCCCCTTTTTTTCCCTTGTTTTTTCTTCACTTAAAAGCGCGTTCCATAGTAACTTGCCAAGTTACAATTCTCCTTTACTCTATTCAATAAAAAACCATGACGATCGACGTGTTTGAACCTGCTTCAGCAGAAGACGATATTCTTTTAGAGATCAGCCGTAAACTCTCTAACGTGTCTATCCATAAACTACCTACACCTGGTGGCACTGTAGAAAAAGACACTGTAAGTACGGAGTAAATATGCTGTTGAAGAACCGACTGGTCCTAATTATGCTTCTCTAGTTACCCACTGTTAAATATCTCTTGTATTCAGCAGACCCAGATCAGATCAGACAAAGCATTCGATTGTTGCGTAGATACTTGACTCAAGGTAAAACCAACATATTTTATTCTATTTTCTCACTCTTTCTCATAGGTCATAGTGACGAAACAAGTGTCAATGATATCTTGGGATTGGATATTTTACCACGCATTAAAGAGCTTTTAGAAGCAGATCTAGGCAATACTATCAAGGTAAAATATTTATCATTCTCTATGTAGACTCATTTTGTACATTAGTTTGAATGTGCTTGGATTGTCACCAACATTGCAGTAAGTCAATGTCTATGTCCCCAAGCATATTTATTTATTTATTTATTGTTGATGATAGGCTGGTATGACAGAACAAACCAATGCAGTGATTCAAGCTGGATTTGTCGATGTATTGCTGAAAAGTATGTCTGATACTAAATCAAAATTGGATTTAAAGGCACAGGCTGCTTGGGCCTTAGGCAATATTGCAGGAGAGTCTCCTCAGTATCGAGAAGAATTAATGAAAAAGGGATTCACACATTCCATTGTTACTGTCCTGAATTCGATTTATGATGAAGCTTATGATGAAGCCACTTATTCTCAATATGAACATGGCAAAATGCGATTTGCTGAAGAAGAAGATTATGCGAATGTAGAAGCCTTGTTATGGGCCTTGTCAAACATGTCTCGCGGTGGTTTCTGTGTTGCTGAATACTTTCGCCATGTAAGCTTCTGTAGGCATGAGTCTGTACTGATCTTCTTAGTATCTTCCCATGTTTGAAACCTTCTCTAAATACATTGTGTTTGACTACCCTAAACTAGAAATTGAAGTTTGGTAAGTTGATCTCTGTTAAATTGAACTCATCTGTTTATTAGTTGGGGACTTTCTCGTATTCTTTACAACATGCATGATGTTCATGAATTCCATAAACGCAATCATATCTCTGATGAACTTTGTGAAAGACTCTCTGGTCTGTTAAAGTAAGTTATTGTCCCTTAGGTATCCAAACTCATGATATACTCTAGTCATGGTATTCCCAAAGTGGTTGTGCCTGCTATTCGAACTGTCGTCAATATCACTTCAGGACCCAACGAGAATGTTCTTGGTCTATTGCGCACACCCATCTTGTCCAGCATCACTCGATTGCTTGAACCCCAAGCACCCAATGAAATTCGCAAAGATGCTTATCTTGTCATTTCCAACTTGGCTGCTGGTAACAATGACATGATTGACCATGTCCTTAGTCATAAAGTGGTCATGTTAAATGTCGTTGCCCATATCACAGTTCCTGGCCATATTTATGATGCTCATTCAAAACAATGGAATGCTACTGTCTCTCATGCTTATTACTACAGAAATGATGAATGGAAAGTGACAAAAGAAGCCTTATGGATTATATTCAATATCATTTCCCTTGGTAGTGATAATTCAGTATGGTAATGCATAGATTTAAATGTAGGATTTGTATTCATACTTTTTACAGGAACCTCTTACAAGAACATACCACTCTTCCTCAAGCCTTGGCTCTTGTCTTTCGTTATATTTATTTGCCTCTTGATGTATGCGAAAAAGTGATTGAATGCATGATCAGTTTAATTCAACGCTCCAACAAATGGATTGACCAACGATTTCCTCATGGTAAAAACCCTTATGTACGACATCTAATTGATTATGGTGTGCCTGCTTCCCTTGCATTTGTCACGAAAGAAGTTGCTGAATCTTCCACTGTAGTTGATCTATGTCAAAAACTCGAAAAACTCTTACTAGCCTCAGAAGAAAATGTGGTTCAAACAGCCTCTATTTCAGATATGGCCGGTATGGCAAGTGCCTTTGGACTTCCTACGATTATTGAAATTAAAGCAAAGAGTAATAAGCGAAGGGTCATTCGTGGTCTTGAAGACGGCGATGTCAGACTCATTGAAAATGCAGTTGGCAACCTTTGTATTTAAACAAAAAAAAAAAATAATAATAATAATAATAAAAATACCAGTCCGTAGTTATTCTCTCTCTTTACTGTTTTGTCATGTCAAAACCCACTTCATCTTTTCTTCAAAAAATATCACTTGCTTACAAAATAAATCGCTTTCCTTGGAAGAAACATGCTTTAATAGGTTATGATTTGGATGGAAATGAGTATTGGGATTGTCCTAATCCTTTAGGTAAGATCGTCATCGTGTCAAGCGTCTGCTCATTATTTCAAAAGGGGGTCGCATGAAGCGTTGGGTCCAAATGGGAGGTATTCAAAATGCAGATCATACTGTCTTTCATCAAAACAAATTGCCTGGTAAGCGAATGGTACAAACAAGCTGAATAGACTTATTTTTATATATATTTAGTACAATGGCAAGCATGGTTAAGACACACTCGTAACACAGTACCTACAATCGAGGAACTTGTCATGGATGAAAAAAGAAAAGCTATGATCCAAGGAAGAGCCAAAGCATTAGATAAAGAATGGGAAGAGGTACATGAATCCTATGCAATGACATGCTATTGACCTTGGTAAAATAGAAAAAATTGTTATTAGCACAAGCAAAAGAACAAGAACGATTGGAATTGGAACGTCAAGCAATTGCTCTAGAAACTGGTAATTTATATCAAAAGAATACACTCATGGCTCATACTCTCCTATAGGAAAACGACAGAAAGAACAGCAACAGGCCAAATCAACACAACCCAGTGGCCAAGGAGATACATTTTCTCCTGGTGAATGGAATCCTACTATTTCAAGACGATAAAATTAAAAAATATATAATTCCCCCTCCCCCTCCCCTTGACTTTTTTTCTTTTTTATTATTATGTCTAACCCTTTTGTTGAACCTATTCTCGATAACGGTCAAGGTGTTATTGATCCTGATGTGTATTTCCAGATCAATAAACCACCTACTGATCTACCTGAATTTGAGTCTAAACTAAGCGCGTTTGTAGACTATCATAAAGAAAAAGGAAATAATGTGGTGTTTATCACTGTAAGTTGAAGTTTGATGTCTTCATGGATTGATCCTTCTATATCTAGAGTGGAGGTACTACCGTGCCTCTAGAAAACCAAACAGTTCGTTTTATTGATAACTTCAGTAACGGTACACGCGGTGCTAGTTCTGCTGAATACTTTTTAAAAGCAGGTTATGCTGTTGTCTTTATGCATCGTCAAAACAGTATTCAACCTTTTCATCGTCACTTTGGACACATGTTGGATTACGTTGAACCTAAACAAGACGGCACAGTTCAAGGTATGTCATCTTCTTTTTTCTTATCTGATGCATGTCTAGTTCGACCTGAATATGTTGACGCTATCCATACTGTCCTGACCAAATATCACCAAGTCAAAGAAAAGAACTTGATGTTGATGCTCGATTTTGTTACGTTACCCGAATATCTGTTTAAGCTTCAAGCAGGCACAAAGATTCTAGCACGCTTACAGAATAAGGCCATGTATTATCTTGCTGCTGCTGTCAGTGATTTCTTTATTCGGTCGGAAAAGATGGCAGAACATAAAATTCAGTCACGTGATGGTGGATTGACATTGACATTAGATCAAGTGCCCAAGTTCTTGAAACCTTTAGTGAGTCATTGGGCGTCTAAAGGACTGATTGTTTCTTTCAAGGTAACGAAACATAAAGTAAATGAGAAGACTAACCTAGACTGATAGCTCGAAACAGACAATACATTACTTGTACCCAAGGCTCGTCAAGCATTAAATCGCTATGGCCATCAAGTTGTAATTGGTAATATGCTCAAGACACGTAAACAAACAGTGACATTAATTACACAACATTCCGAGCGTGTCTTGTCGCTCACACAAGAAGAATTAGACAATGAAGTTGAGATTGAAAGTAGAATTATTTCTGAATTAGTGGCTATTCATCAACACTGGATGGCATCAGGTCATACTGAACAATAAATGAATGTCACGTGATGCCGAGAATTATCCTCGGTTAATAAAACAGAGAATTTTCCCATGACATCGATGGGCGAGTGTGACGACAGTGTACCATCATTTGCAAATCCTTTGAAACATTGATTAATGACGTGAGAAGGTATATTCCATTTTTAGCAATGACGTCAATGCACTTTGTAAAAAGTATAAATACTGACAGATTGGTGATATGTGTTGCTTTATTCAATCAATTAATTATTATCTCATAAAAAACAAAAATGGAACCCTCAAGAACTGATGCTAAGAAAGACCAATTCATTGGCTCTGTCAAGGACAATGTTGGTGGTGCTGTTGGTAACGAATCCATGCAATCCAAGGGCAAGACTCAAAATGCTGCTGGTCATGGTCAAGAAACTGCTGCCAATGTGACTGACTACGTGAAGGGCGCTATGGATCAAGCTGCCGGTGCTGTCAAGGGTGCCTACAACTCTCTTACTGGTAACACTACTGGTGAAGCTCAAAACAAGATGCAACAACACAAGGGTGAAGCTCAAAAAGAATTCAGCTCTTCGTAAAACTTTGTAAATAGTACTTTTATTCTAAACAGTATGTAATTCACCCAAGACAGTCAGAATATATTTGGCTACTTTGGGTCTTTGAATAGCTAATAAACCTAATTCGCTTTGATAAGGCAAATAAAATGTATGATGTTGCTTATGTCTCGCTAAATTCCTTAATAAGAGTGCTGATGTCAATGGAATACCAGACACTTCTGAGTCGTCAATGGGAATCTTGGATATCGCAAATGTCTTTTTCTGTGTGTGTTTCTTTACTTTGGCTGCAAAATGAGTACGCATGTGTTGAATGGCTTGTGTTTTCGTGTGGATAGGGCGAGTGCATTTCATCCAATGACATTGATCAGGCGATTCTAAATGTTGCTTCACAATATGCTTATGTAATTCAACGGGTGTATCAAAGCTTTCTTTACAATCATACCAATGACACACAGGACCTACAGTAGTGGATGAATAAGATACATGCCTATCCCTAGTGTTACTTTACCATCTCTTCTTCGGGTAGGCGAGTATTTAACATGACGCAAGACAGTATCTAATGGACTTGCACTGGTCGTAAATGATTCTTCTACACCTACAGGCTGAGGAAAAGCAATTTTCAACACAGTATAGAATTCCTTCATGCCTAAGGGCTTTTCTGATCCAAATAACTTTTGATAAGCTTCGAATATCTCTCGCAACACAATCTCATCTTCCACTGCTCCACTTAACAATTGGTCTTTCAGCCTATATATACATATATATATATATATGTATCTTTCAGATCATTCCCATGTAGCATCATTACTTACCATCCAAGACATCGATAAGGTTCATCTAAATACGCATAATTTGTCAAGTCAGGAATCGAAGGTTGTTGTGTCACATTGGTTTCTGGCACAGGAATCATTTGAGCAGCAGGAATACCATGAATTGTCTCCATAGGTGTTGTGGCAGCAGGAGCTAACGAGGACTTGTAGGATAAAAATCCTGTCAGTAAGCCAATCAAATTACCTGGGTAACACTTGAGTAATTGAGTGGAGAAATTACCCTTTAGACTAGAGTATTGATACAGATATTCAAGTGTGGCTGCTTCTAGTTCTTCATCATCCACCATCAAGAATTGTGCCATACGTTCAATCACTTGTGTGTCTGCATAACCCAAAATACGTTCATTGGATTCTGTCACAGCCACACGGGTCAGTGAACGAATACCACCTAAAATAAAAGCACGGTCATGACTGAACAAGACACGAATCATGGTGGTCAAATAAGCATCCTCACGACTGGTCAATTGGACTTGAGGTGCAATATTCTCCAGAATATCAAGACAATGTCTGCTTAATTCGCCATAGTCGGAATGAGGTGGTAATGCAACACAGGCCATTAATAAAGATCGAAGTCGCTCATCCAGTGCTAAACGACGAATGTTCATTTCGAGAAAAGAAAAGTTGCGTAGGATGTGAAATACTTGTAAGACGCGTTCGTAAGTCTCTTGTTGTGCTTTGGAACAAAACATGTCATCCGTGTTGAGTGGTGTCTTGAAGAAATCGTCTGTGAAATCAAGCAGTAAATCAATCAAAGTAGGTATGAAATCCAAGCAAAAATTTTCAGATGCATAAGAAAATTTAATGAGTGTGTTAAAGGCCCAGTCAATCTCGTTGGGTAAGCCAGATTGAAGTGCTAGCAGAATACGAGCACGAAATTCTTGATCCATAAACATAGCTAATAGACATATGAGAGTGTCATCTTTGTTATTGGTTTAGTTACCTGAAGAGACGCCTGATCCAAAGGCATTCGTTTGAGATGACTGTTTGGGTTGAGTAAAGGCTGTGCCTATATGTCGAGTCGTTGAAGAGGTCATGTTGTCTCTAAAGGGCGAGGAAGACTTTTGTTGATTGGCAAGCAAATCGGCCGGTGGATTCCAAGGACGTTTCCAATAATTCTCCTCTTCCCAACCAAGCTAACAAGATTGAGTGACATGGTCATGATACTAGTCTACTTACCAAGTATTTTGTATAGACTGCTTTTAATATATAGGCACTATTGGTACATGTAGCTGGAAAGTTGAAAGGATCGCCTACTTGTTTCCAACCACGATTCAATGTCACCTATGTATGTGTTAAGTTTTCTCTCTCTCTTTTTTCATTTATTTCAACCGTGTTTACTTTTTCATAGCCTCCAGCATCTAATACAGTTCTGTAGATGGTCAATAGATTCAACTTTTTTCCACCTAAAACAGGTTCGACTTGCAACACAGTGCTATCATAAAGACAATCAGCTGCTTGTCAAATAAGGGATGGATGATTACCCTTTTCTATCATGAAAGGCTTTCAATTCGTCAATAAATTTATCGTATTCAGCTGTTCGTTCTATCGATGCCATTGTATATAACGCGTTGATGGGAGGGGGAAAAAAACGCGTGAATACGATTCTATCAAGGTTGCTTCTGTAAGGTGTGTATGTGTGTGTGACTGAATCGGATATTGAAATGAATGACCTGAAGAGAGGATCTTGTTCCTGACCAAATCCATTTTGACGAGCAAATAAGCTTCGTCTTGACGTATGACTAAAAGTTGTAGGCCTTGAAGTTTTACTTTGAACGATATAAGAAAAAAAAAATATCTAAAAAATCTAGTGTCCATCTCAATTAAAACTGTCAAAACTATCGTAGACATGACTCTTTCCTACATTTATTGATGCTTAAAAAAACAGATAAACTAAAGCAACATATTGCTATACTAAATATCTCTGAGCTTCCAAGAACCTGGCGATATAGATCCAGACGCCGTCTCTTCAATGATAGTCCATTCTTGATCCTCTTCTGCCATATTAGCAGGCATAACATCGTCCTGTGTCTGAGTTGCTGTCTTTTGAATAGACGACAAGGTTCTGGCTTTAGCAAGCTCCATGTCTCGATAAATACACTGGATGGCTGTCTCCACACCTGTTTCAGACCGAATCTTTTCACCTACACGATTTGCTATCTTGAGCATATGTTCATCTGTTGAAACCACACGTAAAGCAGCCGACAAAGACTCGACCGTCAATTGCTTTATACATCGCCCAATACCCATTTCTTGGACACGCTCACCCCAAAAGAACTGGTCTGCAAAAAACGGCTTAATGATCGTAGGTCGACCTGCGCGAAGACCAGCGGCCGTGGTGCCTGCGCCTCCATGATGAATGACAGCGCGTATCTTGGGAAACAACCAGTCGTGAGGTACCGAGTGGACGCTGAGGATAGTGTCTGCGTGGTGTGTCAACATGTCATCTTCGACTTTGATTCCTTTTTGTAGTCGAGAAGACCATCCTCGAGATACAATGGCTCTTACGTTCGATAACAAGACAGATTCAACAATGATACGTGTCATTTCTACAGGGTCTGAGACGATAATTGAGCCAAAACCTATATAGACAATGGGGCGACTGTCCTGTGCCTCAATGAACGATTTCAACGGGGGATCAGGCGTCCAACCAGTTTGTGGGTTATCGAGAAACCAATAACCAGTACAATGGATCCAATCAAGCCAGTCTAACGGACTGGGTACAATGCTTGGGCTAAAAGAATACAAGTAAGGAATCTTCCATACCTGCAGCTTCTCGTAACTCGTAGGAGGGATACCGAGGACATTTTGTCGGAACGAATTGGTTCTTCCTGCAATGGCTCTCCAGATCGCATGGTCAAATAAGACATACGTCATGTCGTTGTATAATCGGCCTTTTGGATGATTGGGGGTTGCAAATGGGTGAGGAAATGATCTTGTGCGTGTCATGGGCATAGGAAATGACCTGAAGTAAGGAACAGCCAATGCTTCTGCCATATGGACGCCAATCATAGCACTAGGACTCTCAATAATCACATCCGAACCTTGTACTGCTTTCCATGAAAGTGTAAGCAATTCGTCAATCCAGTCTTTAAACTAAATGCAAGTGTTGGGTTTATATATACTATTGGCTGCTTTTTCACTTACTAATCTTAGCCCTTCTACCACAAAATTCACACTGAAAAAATTGTTTTCAACACAGATTCTCTAATAAGCACACATTCAGTATTATACACAAGAAGGGAGTTGGATTACCATTAATTCACTTGGGTCTCCACCAATTGTCCTAAACTCAATATCATGTTCTTCTATCCAGTCTTTAAATTCATCATGAGTAGCAATCCTACAACGATGACCTTCTTTCATCAATCCTTTACATAAAGCAATGTATGGCTGTACATCCCCTCGAGTACCAATAGTAATACAAGTAAAGAAAAGTGATTTATCAGGCTTTTTGTACACAATTGTCTCACTGGAAGATCGAGAAAGTACAGGCAAATTTGCGTCTTTCGGGACAGCTACACGGCCTACTGCCTCTTTATGTTCATCTTCCATCAGACGAGCTTCCCAGTCTTTGATTTTCTGCTCAGCAATATCAGGTTCCGTGTGTGATTCAAGCGCTCGTTTTTGCTGTAGAAACAGTTTTGCAAAACAACTGTTGCGTCGTCTGATAGAAGAGAATTCTAAATAAATCTCTTTCTTTGTCTGTGTCAAGATACTGAGTGAGTGGAACAAGTAGCCTCGACTTCTTAGTTTCTGTACTCTTATCACATCTTGAAAAGGAACAATCATCTATGATAGCTGAGTATATTATTACAAGAGAGAGTGCTTGTCTTTACCTTAGCTCTCGTTGCGAATCCTTTTGAATTAAACGAGATGTGATTTGAAGATATGTATAGTTTTCCATAACAAGGCAATGTCTTGACAAGTGAGCAACGATAGACTATGTTTATCTGATTAACTTTACTCTTTTCTTCAAGTTGTCATTACCAGCCATTAGCTTCTCCGATTCAGGCAAGACAAAGTATTTTTTGAAATTAGTCATGGTTCGATCATCCAATACTTCTGCCTCCTCACTCATCTTATCCAGTGGTGATTCTTCGTCTTCATCGTTTTCCTCAAGAGCAGTAAACGGACTTCCCATGACTGCGTTTCCTCCTAATAGCCCATACACAAGCTTCATGCCTGATTTACGTTTACCATCCAACCATCCAGCTGAAGCTTCTTCTTCATCCTCTGAACTCGAAGTATCCTCTTCTACAGTCTTGGTTGAAGTAGAGGGGTAGATAAAGTCTTTAATAGCATTGGCTATCATCGAATTGGATCTCTTTTCCAAAAAAGAAGGAGGCTTGCTGGATATGGCGGGTATGGTAATGGGTTGAGCATCAGCATCGTATAGGTCAGAGATAGAGAGCGAGGGTGAATTACTGTTGGATTCTTGGTCTGAGGACCGAGTATACAATCTGTCTCGAGCACACACACCTTCCCACGTTGATCTTAGGCTTTTGAATGTTTGTTCAATATCTGCAAAATAAGCAAAGTAATACTAGAGATACATAGTAAATACAGCCATCTCTTGTAGAAGAGCCTTACTTCGTCCATCACAAAACTATCGTCAATACCAACGGCTTTGATCTCTAGAAATCTTTGGAACTCAAAAGCTTCTGTTTGTTCAATACCCAACACATTCTCAAAAGGCAATGTGATCTTCAAGCTGTTGCCATTGTTTTTAGCCCTAAAGATTGCCTTTTGTAGTGCGTTTGTCCTACCATGCGTTAGTAGTTTTTTTTTTTTTTATATCTATATATACCATTCCATTAGAGCAGCCTGAGTATCTGCCTGTAAATGCCATGTCTTGTTCATAGTGACCATTCTAAATCCATGCTTTCTTTTACTCGAGTGTCGTATGGCGATGGCATTCTTCAAGTCAATTTTGCCGAGCGGGGAATAGGCATCGGATGCATTTTCGTACCAAGACAAGACATCCTCATGAATATCAAAATAAAACCGCTCATAGTTGCTTTTTTTCTTGCCAGACTTTTTGAGCAGTAAATAACCTGACTTATGAAATGCAATCTAGTATGTTATTATTATATATATGTGTGTCAATAGAACCATAGCTTACTTGGTTTTTAGGTAGTGAAGCATAAAAGCAGATATGATTTTCAGTTAAATACATAAATCCAGGCACAATAGCCGATTGAACAATATAACAAGGCCATTCTATACTATAGGGTTAGTAAAAAAAAATAGGACGGGCATCCATCTAGACGTACCTCCTTTTAATGCTTCTTTTTTAGGAAGATGGAATACAGCCTTTAGTTTATCTTCTATCGTGGGATCATGTGCTGATAAAAGGGTCGTAGCTGCAGTAGGATAGATAGGTTCTTCTTCTATTTTTGCACCTGTTGCTTCAGCAAGTAATTGGCGTATTTGATCTGGTTTATCAGATATCAAGTTGGTATCTTGTTCTACTATGCCATCTTGGTCATCTGGAAGATCCCAAGCACTTAACAAGGCTTCTGTTGAATGGCGTAGATCTAGTCAAGTAAGTATAACATACACAAAATACCAAATTTTTCTAGCGTTATTTCTCTTTACTATTTATTTACCACTTGTGGAGCCTATATATATATATAACAAGTGAATACATGTAATAGATAATGAAGTGTGTACCTTTCATATCTTCTACTTCTTGTGTCTCAAACTATATAATTTATTTTAAATAACACTTTACAAAAGACAAACTGACTTACAACTTGAGCAGCAGCAGACACAAACTGTAATACGTTATGGTTTGCTGTATCCATGATATAAGAAAAAAGGGAAAAAGAAACGTTTATGCATTTGGGTTCTAAATTTGATTTCTCATGATCAGCATCAAGTCAGTCACACCACACTCTCATGCGATCTTTATCATAGTATATCTATACAGCACCATAAGATGATGATACTAATACTGGCTATAGAACATGATAAGTGAAAAAAAGGAGTATATACGACTTACTTTATCAGCTTCATTTGAATTGATTCTCGATAATGTCCTTGAAGCATAACTACTCAAGAAATAAAAAGGAATTGTAATGCCATGAACAACAACAGAAGATAATATCATAAAATAAGTAACAGGCTCTATCACTTTGCCAGCATAACTTGTGATGTCTTGTGAGTTGATATACTGAATAGCAATCGTATAATAAAACAAGGCTCCTACACCCATAGGTCCAAACCAACCTACAAACATGGCTTGACGCCAATCATGAATGGCTGGAATGTATTTGAAAGTAGCTAGAATAACAGGCAATCTTCTGAAGAGTAAGACAGTAGTAGCTAATCCTATAAAAGACCATAGCGACAATTGAATCTCTTGATGATAATCAAATAAAGACCAAGGCTAAATAGAGGCATGAGTGCAAATGATAAAAACCGTAATGGCTTACCATTGTCATGCCAATATAAACAAAAACACTCAAGTTGAGTAACATATCAATGACTTCTATCAAATGAGAGTCTTCTGTTTGTTCTGTAAACCAACTGTCCCAAGTGAAAGCATTGCCTGCAATAAAACAGGCAAGTAAATCATCACTGCCTAATAAACCAACGGATCCCATCAAAAAAAGCTAGTTATGTTTAGAAAGAGAGAGAGAGTCTTCATGAGAATATATATACTTACAGCAAGTGCAATCGCATAGACTAGAAAAGATTCTTTATCTATCCATTTTCTATGTGAGAGTTAGTAGCATAATAATAAACATACTCTACCTTTTCTCTGAAAATTTAAGCAACTTTCTAGCAGCCATGCCTACAGCTAATCCAATCACCATAGAAAATCCAATCTCATATCCCATCACATACCATGACCATTGAAATAAAGCTTCTTTGATACTTGACATTTGAATAAGATACATAGCCAAGAATAAGAAAGGATAACCTAATCCATCGTTTGCTCCACTATCAATAATAAATAACTCGTTTTTGCTCTGCTGGAATATACCTTTCAGCGATAATCAAGTGCCGAATATTAGGTGGTACATATTGTTCAGCAAAATGACCTTGTACGATAGAGTTGGCCAAGACCTATATCTTTTTATAAGTCAGACATACACATCGAAAGACTTACAGGATCAGTGGGTGTAAAGCAAGAAGCAATCATAAGCGACTCAAGCTAGAACGGACATGAGTTATTTAACTTATAAACTGCATGACTTACAAAAGAGAGCCGAGGAACAAAATACCACACGCATACACCACTGATAATCCACATGCTGATCATGACAGGGCCCAACAAGGCCAATAACGAACGGCCTTCTTTCTTCAAGTAGGCTTTTGGAAGAGATATGCCAGCTGCCATGACCTACCATGTTATTCAGTTAAGCAAATATGTATAAAATAATTTACCTGAATGGCAATGACAATTCGAGTAAATTGGCGTGTGACATCTTCCTTGTAAATCCAGCCGTCAATGTTTATCAAGTTAAAACCAACAGGACCACATAAAATACCACATAATATGGCAACCGCTATACAACATAAGAAAACAATACAGAAAAAAATTAACATACAAGCTTCTGAAATGTATAGTTTTTGTTTAATGACAAGAGAGCAAACACCATATAATAAAATGAATCCACCAAATATAGCAGTGATTGTAGATATAGTAGTATCAATGTCCATTGAGAATATGTCAAAGAGTAGTATAAAAAAAGAGGATAAATTGAAAGGAGAGAAAATAAAAAGGGCAGTAGCTTTTTATATCTTTATCATTTGATTCTTGATTGTCATTCTTTTTGATGCTGATAGAAAAAATGAGCTATTTTCGCGAAAGGTTGAAAAGGGGAAGATTTTCATTTTCATTACATGATGTCCTTATTTAGCAAAACTATTCCAAATTGTAAAAAAAAAAAAAAAAAAAAAAAAAAAAAAAAAAAAATCAAGGTTGAACAAATAGATCAAGTTTAGTTTTCTATACAACATAAAGATAGACAACTAAACTTTGAACAGGACAACGCACAGTATCTCTCTCTCTTTGCGTTTATTTGTTGATTGGATAAGCAAAATCTGATTGAATCAAGTGCTTCTTTCAATTTTCAGTGCCTGAAAATACTACTATTATGGTTAGAGTGAAGAGCAACGAAAATTATGGAAATGCATAGTTGAAGAATGCCAATATTTAGAAATCAGAAATTAATGGAACAATCTTATCCAACATAAACGGCATAATGTTTTCACAAACCTGAAGAGATTTTTTTTTTTTTTTACATTTGCTCGATTAACTTAGTTTGAGATTGTTCCTCAAATATGGGTTATCAAAGATCAAAATGAAAACAGACTCTAAATTCTGCACTGAAGCTCATTTTCTTTTACCTACTAAGCAAAAAATAAAGGCAGTTTTGATCTGAAAAAACAGAGAAATAGTTGTTGTCCATTAACATCAATAGATACTTTTTCATATTTGTTTGTTCTCATAAATCTATGATGGAAAATGATGTAAATCTCTACCAAGGAATGAAAGGTTCAAATCTTAATCAATTAGAAGACTAAGATATCCTTGTAAAAGTTGTGTCAGTTTAGTCTATATGCACAGTTGTATGCCTCTTTTTCATTCAAGATGCTTTTGTTAGTCTACCTTTATTTGTTCTTGTCATTAAACTTTTTATCGTACACCTTTTTTTTTCTTATGTTGAGCAACCTATTGTTTTCAACAAAAGCAGCAGTGTATGACCTTTCAAGACATTTAGTATAGAATTATCAGATTAGAACGATAAATTTACTTTATTTCTAATATTTCATTTCTAACAAAAACAATAGTATTTGACCTAAAGAAGACTTCTTCGTGAGCTGGCATTTCTCAAAGCCGTTTTCGTACGACTACTATATTTAGTCAATGTCCAAAACTTAATTAAGCGGGGTGCTTTTTTTTTTCAATTGCGCCACTTTCTTCTGCCTAATATACAACACTTTTCTTTCTTTTCTTTATCATTATGGTCTCGTTCCTGACCTCTATTCTCGACGTATTTTCTTCATTCGTGGGCTGTTGTATACCCAGCTCAAACCTTAGTATTAATGGAAGAGCTTATCGCATCGTCAAGCTTTTAGGAGAAGGGTATATGTCAATATAGACATATAGATGATATTAATAAACGATAGTGGTTTTTCATTTGTCTATTTAGCCCAAGATGGTTCAGGCAATTTATATGCCATGAAAAAAATTCGATGTACATTAGGTACAGAAGAAGCAGAATTAGCACAAAAAGAAGTCGATATCTATCAATTATTTTCACATAACAATATCATTAAAATGCTGGCAAGTACAAAAAAAAAACGAATCGCTTGATGAACCTAACCAAAAAAGGGGGGAACATAGGATGCTGCCACTATCACTGAATCAGACGGTAGTAAAACCATATATATCTTTCTACCTTATTATAAAGTAAGTTTATCATTGTGCCAACAAAGAAACTGAATTATGTTTTTTTTAGAAAGGCAATTTACAAGATGCGATCAATAAGAATAATTTAAACAAGACACAATTTCCTGAGGTAGATATACTTCGTATGTTTAGACAAGTGTGTATTGCTGTTCGATACCTACACACATACAAAGCACAAGGTGGAGCCAAAACCATGTATGAGCCAGGACAAGCCATGTCACCCGAAGAAGAAAACAGACAGGATGAAGCACTATTACATGGTCAACAGCACCAACCGTCTGGAGAACAACTAGAGATGGGCAAACGAGGTGAAACAGTGCCTTGGGCACATCGAGACATTAAGCCCGGGTTAGTTACGCTACAGGTATAGATTGGCCTCTGATATTAACAGTGTATATTAGTAATGTGTTGATTTCAGATGATGGAGAAACACCTATTTTAATGGACTTTGGTTCCGCTTGTCCTGCCCGTGTTCATATTGATACAAGACAAGAAGCATTACAACAACAAGATTTAGCAGCTGAACAATCCACTATGCCCTACAGAGCGCCTGAATTATTTGATGTCAAGACAGGCGTCACTCTGGATGAAAAAGTGGATATTTGGTCTTTGGGTTGTACATTGTATGCTATGGCTTATGGACAATCGCCCTTTGAAGTGAATTTAGATCAAGGTGGATCTGTTGCATTGGCTGTATTAAACAACCAGTATAAAATCCCACACGACAGCACTTATTCTGATGAATTGAACCAAACTATTCAATGGATATTAACCACAAATCCTGCTGAGCGTCCTAATATTCATCAAGTTATTTCAAGGCTAGATGAACTATTGAATAAAATGGGTTCATAAAAACCATTTTTTTTTATTTGAGAGATAAGTAGGTTGCTTATCATTTTATCCAAATATAGGAGTTTAGTTTAAAGAAGTGGATGTGGCTTTGAGTTGATATTTAGATAAATAAGAAGCAGAGGGAGAAGGTGGTGACATGCTTGAAGAAGAAGATGTATTGTAAAGAGAGGGTATAGCTTCAAACAGGGAAGGAATCGTCTTGTTATTGTCAGTCTTACTATTATTATTAGCAGCTAATCCTAGTACCATTAACGAAGTCAGCAGGTTTTTCTCTTGGGTTTCTGTATTTATATTGGGTTTCTGAAGGTTCATGATAGCCATGACGGATTCGACTGTCTTAAATATTTCTTTTGTTTGTGATAACAGTATATTAATATGATCAAGCTCTTTTTGTAGCTTGTCTCTTCTTGCTTCTAGGCTTTGTTTTATTGTGTTTGGTTCTGATAGCATGTTGGAAAGTGTATTGTTTTCATGACTTGAACTTAGACCAATGAGCGATTGAATAGTAGATAAGAGTAAGTTTTCATTGTTTGCATTGACAGAAGCATGTCGTTTGGGAGGACTATCTAAATCATTGACATTGCTCATCATCATAGAAGTAAGCGAGGGCATGGCTGTGCTCTGTTTTTCTATAGTAGAAAGGCTGCTTCTTTTTCTTTTCATGCCCTGTTGTTGTTGTTGTTGTTGTTGTTCTGTCTGATGGTCAGTATCTGGTAAGGCAGGTGAAAGAGGTGGCAAATTCTCAATCACTACTAATTGTTGAGGTAAACTATTGAATCGTTTACGTCGCTTGATAAAATTTCTTTTCATCGTAATGGGTCTTTGTACATTATGCAGCTTGTAATAAAGACCACAGGCATTACAAATGGTGTTGCCTGTTTCATCTCTACGCCATAAAGGGGTCGTCGTTGTCTCGCAATTGAAGCATTTAATGGCAGGTGGGTTCCAACGAATACTGGATCTTTGCCAACAATGACGGCATCCTTGGCAATCATGGTCTACTGCATGATGTTCTTCCATTGAGATAGGTGTATCAGGTTCTGAAGGTGAAAGCATAGTGAATAATAATAATAATAATAATAATAATAATAATAATAATAATAATAATAATAAAGAAAAAGAAAAAAAAGGGATGCACTTTTATATATGCAAAAAGATACGGAGGAGTAAACTTGGTTTCATGATAAGCTGAAGAAAAAAAAAAAAAGAAAACAATGATGATAAGATATTGGCAGAAATTGTTCAAACACAAAGGACTATCATAAGTTGAGTCTATCGGAACCACAAAAAAGACCCCCACATTTAACTGTCTGATAAAGAATTGTGTAACTTTTTATATTAAGAAGCGTGCGACTTTTTTTTTTTTTTTTACCTTATCTTTCTTTTTTGCATAAGACTCCATAAATTCGCCTATTTTTTTTTTTTTTTTTTGTTATGGTTAAGCTTCTTCACGAAACATCAACAAACATTATTTTCGTAATGTCATACGAATAATTTAGTGTCGACAATCCAATCCAATCGAAAGACACAAATCGCAATTATCTTGTTTTTTTGCTAATACGAAGAATACCGACATAGCCTGTGTACAGGTTGAATGATTCTATAAACTTGTTGAATTGCTAAATTAGGCTATTTTTGTTCGGTTTGGTTACTGGTAAAAGATAAGAAACAACACTTGTCATTCATTCATTAGAGGGCTTCATGATAACGATAAATAGAAATACACATTCAATGTTTTTTTTTTTAAAAAAAAAGACCTCGTTTATTATTAAGTAAGACTAAACAAGACAAAGCTTGTCAATAAGATAGCCAATGTCAATGGCATAGCTTCCATAAGTGTTCTTGCATCACTAGGTGCTTGATGAGGATACCGACCATTGTCGATTTGATCTCTGAATGTATCTGGTGTCTTCGAATCAGGAGGAACTATCATATACTATAAATGAAATGTTCATATAAAGTCTATTTTTACCTGAAGAAGCTGCTAAAATACGAAGATTACCAGACTGACAATGATAAGGAGCCACACCCAATGTCATGTAGTCTATTCTATTATCAATGATCATTCTTGCTATTGCTTTCTAGATAGACTTACATGCATTGGAAGGAATCAAGTTACTTGGGAGATCAACCACTACTTGTCCCGAAGACGTAGGGACATCTTCAGCAATCACAATAGGCTGTGTAAGTCCATCCGACTGAACCAAATAGATACTGGCAAATCTGTCTACATGCGAATTTGTCCTAGATATAATTCTGTTATCAATCATTATTATTATCTTATCTCTCATTATCTTACCACGAAATTTTCATTTTGTCTCCGGCCATAACAATCGTATTACCGATAGGGTTGATGACTATCCTAAAGCTTATTAAAGGCTCTCATTATTTATTTATACCTATACAGTCTTCATTAATATCGTTCACAAGTGCATACGTGCCTACTAACAGAGGCAATACAACAACAATGGATTTCATATATAGATATATAAAAGATAATTACAATCATAGAGAAAAATAAAAAATAAAGCATCTTTATATACGAACAAGGAATAAACATGGAAATTTAGAAGGAATAAATCTTAACCAAGGTTTAAGGCTTTCATCATATCAGCCATATTAGGCATACCACCACCTCTACCACCACCCATTTGTCGTAATAATTGTGGCATTTTTTGCATAATTTCAGGTGGCACCATATTGGCCATTTGTTGCTGCATTTTACCCATTTGAGCCATTTGAGCAGGGCTCATCTTGCGAGGATCTGTAGGCATATTTTGCATTAAACCATTCTTGCCGCCCATGGTCTTGACCATTTCAGCGAATTTAGTGTATTGACTCAGGATTTCTTGCACTTCATGAACACTTGTGCCTGATCCACGAGCCACACGAACAACACGGTGAATATCATCAAAAGGTTTATGGTCTCCATCCAATTCTATAAAGAGAAGTATGAATCGACACCTCTCTTTATCGTCTCATGCACACTTACCTGCGTCAGTCATACTGTCCATGATACTCATCATACGCTTCATACGCTGAGTACCTTCTTGTTCTGTACCAGCCAACATTTCAGCAGGCATGCCAGGTATACTCCCCATCAACTTGGAAAGTGGACCCATTTTAGCGACCTGTTGAAATTGCTCATACATGTCACGTAATGAATATTGGCCCTTTTCAATATTCTTCATCAACTTCTTTTGATCACTTAGTTGGATACTGTCTTGAACTTGCTCAATCATGTCACGCATATCATGCATACCAAGTACTTTACGGATAAAAGAACGAGGCTCAAAGCGTTCCATGTCTTGAAGATGTTCACCTGTACCAATAAAGATAATAGGACTATGGGTGGCTGCCACACTATTGGATGTCAATCATCTTATGCTTAACTATCTCAAACACACTTACGCAGAAATGGCACCACCACCTTTAGCATGACCGTCCATCTTGGTCATGATAATAGCACCAAAATCAGCGGCCTCTTTAAATGCCTTGGCTTGTGCTTCAGCTGCTTGACCAATAGTACCATCCATCACAAAAATAGTGGTATCAGGTTTCTACTGATATCAGTACAACAAGACCAATAAAATAGGCTCATCACTTACCACAGCATTCGAGATTTGTTTCATTTCTTCAAATAGCTCAACTTCTTGTTTATGACGACCTGAAGTATCGACAATAATGATCTCGAATTTCTCAGCTTTAAACTTCTCAACACCTTCCAAAGCAATAGCTACAGGATCTGTTTCTGAATAACTACCATAGTAAGGTATTTTGGCCTTGGTTGCGTTTTGTTTAAGTTGATCAAAAGCACCAGCACGGAACGTATCAGCACAGACAAGAGCTACTTTCCAGCCTTTACGCTGATAGAACGAAGCAATCTTGGTACAGGTAGTTGTCTTACCAGCACCTTGAAGACCTACCATCATAAATACGTTGGCACGGCGTTTGACTGGTTTGTATGCTTCTACTTCAGGATCCACCAGTTTATAAAGTTCATCAACCACAGCCTGATAATAATAATAATAATAAAAAAAGTCAATCTCGCATAGACGAAACAAACAATACCTTTTCAATCATACGTTTCTTGTTGGTATTTTGTGCAAGCTCTTCTAGATTAACATTCTTTTTGATGTTCATACGAAGTCTTTGAACAAGCATCACATTGACATCGGAAGCAAGTAACGCAGCACAGATCTCTTTTACAAGTGAATCCAGGACCTGTTGTTATCAATAACAGTATACATAGTGTATTTGGATGCATTTACCTTTTCGTCAATCACAGGGGCCTTGGTTAATTCATTAAAAGCAGAGTTGATTTTACGTCCTAAATCAGCCAACACCATCTTGAGTTTGTGAAAAAAGAAAAAGAGAAAAAGAGTTCGCGTATTTAAAAGTCAGTGCTTTATTTTTATTTATTTTATTTAATGACAATGAGCTTCAACATAAAACTCAATATCCAATGTATGGTCTTGGAAAGGAATAGAAGAAAAGTCATGATCAGATACAGTATCAGATTCAGGATCAAGGTCACTAGAATCATAATCAAATTCGATATCAGCAATAGGTTGAACAGAGAGTTGATTCAAGATGTCTTCATCATCAGGATACACAATAAATGTATCGTCGTCTTTGTTGAATGTACGGGCTAATTCATAAGCATTGATATCTGCAAATCCATCAAAGGCTGATACTTTGACAATACAACTTGAGTCAGGTACATAAGGTAATTCTATGCGAGAAGGGTTAATGACTCAACAAACAAGCATCACTTGCCTTTTTCTTTAGGTGGACAGTATTCAATAGTAGACATGTCTTGTTCAGGAAGTTCTTGTTCTTGTTCAACTTCAGGTTCTTGTTCAACATGAAAGCGTCTTTCAATGGCTGTGTCATTTTCTGGTAATTCAAGATTGGAAAGAACAGGTTCATAAGTTTCAACGGTACTATCAAACCCACTGAAATCAAGATCGAATCCAGCAGGAGCCCATTCGATTTCTATATAGACAATAAGTCTAGCGTCAATCATGCACTGCATTACCTTCTTCACGGTGACGTTGGGTGCGTTCAATAGGTTCGGTGTGTTGTTTCTTGGTCTGTGCTTCTTCATTAAGGTCTGTTTTTATTGTTATCCTATATATACTTGTTTATGATATTATTACCGATAGATCTCTTTTGTGGAATAGAGTTGTTGACATCTTTAAAGACTTGCAATTCTAACAAATAGAGTCAAAATGTTATCATTGACATGTCTTTATGTTTACTTTGTTTGTCATGTGTGATTTTGTGCTGATCTCTTTGGTTTGTCTTGAGTGACAAGGCTGGCGTAGCATTTCTTAAGAAAGACTTGTTGGATCCAATGCTTTTATTAACTGCTCTACTTTGATCTTCTACATCATTCTCGTTCGCTTTAGGCCTTTTTTTCTCAAAGTTTCTGAGCATCATAATTGATAACAAGAGAAAGAAAAAAAAAAGATACTTTTTTTTTGAACTCACCCACACGCAGAGCATTAAAACGTCACATATTTATTCCTAAATGAAGCGTAGAATGCTTTAGGATACACTGTTACCTTATCTATGTTTTTTATTTGCATTGAAGCAGAGCAATGTTATACATGACTTGTTGATGTCATGAATCGTGTCCATGATAACATTATGAGGGATGTGATTGAAACCATTATTATTTGATTCCTATATTCTCTCTCTCCCCCCCCCATTCTTTTAAAGCGCCGTTTTCCACTGCTCAAATGCCATTGATACACTACTTGGGCACTGACAAAAAGAGTCATGAGCCGCACATAATAAAGAGATACTGTCTTTGTGCTTTTGCCTTAGAAATTGAGACCTACTGTATCGGAAGGCAAAGGTAAAAGACATTGCTTGTTTATATTACAAAATTATTAGATAGATAGATGTTTCAGGAGTAAGAAATGAGAACACTTCATACAGATGTTTGTCTTTTCCTTAGGTGCGTGTAAAAGTAGCATAAAGCCTCTGTATACATGAATAAAGGCTCCAAGTACCTAAAAATAGTGTTTACTATCATAAATGGTACCTCTGGCGTTGATTTGGACAAAAAAAGCGACTTGTAAAAATAGCCAAAATCGCCTCTGATCCAAGGGGACTGCTCATGAAAATTATCAGCTTGACAACTCTTTAACCTTCTTTTCAGTGCTAAAGAATGAAAACCCTCATAAACATTTTTGTCTATTTACTCAATTTTTTATCAGAATATCTGTTGTGTTCTCTGCATCGATAGAATCAGAAAGCAAAGATCTACAACTTTTGTCACTGCACCAAGGCCAAATAACCGCATCTTTATGCAGTTCTCAGCAAAAGCTCGATTTTTTTTAATGATTTTATTTGCCCCACGTATTAGTGGTCTTGAGAGGGGCCCACTGAAACAGGTCCTCGACAATTATTTGTTACAAGAGGGTTGAAAGAAATAAAAAAGGTACTACAATTTCAAAAGTACAAAGAAATCAAGAAAAAAAAAGAGTAGCTGTTACGAGGAGAAACCTCTCAAGATGAAAGGTCATTCTCAGCGGTTATTCGCTTAATTTGATATCGAGTGCTGTAAAGGACAGAGAGGTAGTGGAACTGATGATTCTGCATGGTATGAGCCCAGTGGGCCTTCTAGATCTCAGAGAGACCGATAAAGGTTATCATGGCTACTGAAAGAGGACAGTTGGTTTGAGCCCGAATCCGAGAAAAATTGAAGGATGCAAGTGCATCTGAAACTAGATCCAGAGAGGTGCCTGGCCACAAAAACTCCCTGATCAAGGCATCCCAGAACGAAAATTTTTTGGGGGCAAAAGAAATGATACACCGTTTCCTAATCACCACACAAGATGAAAAAAAAAAAACTCGATCAGAAATTTTTTTTGGAATGACCCAATGTAGGTCTGATCCAAGCATTATACTTCATTATTCTCATTTGAAAGTAATATGCTATCACCATTGTTCCTGTGAATATTATAAGCAAGCTCATAAAGATCTTAACATGAGGAGAGGAGATGGTTGGTCCCTGCTTTGTCAGAGGGAAAGAATTGAAACTTAAGGCGGAAAGAGGAAATGCCTAATTTTAAGACAATTTCTGCAGTTCATATCTAAATCTGTTATTCTACAACTGTATCATACTTCAGCCACATAAGAATGAAAATTTCTCTTTTTATTCATGATGGATAAATTAATTACAAAAAAAACTCGAATGTATAGTTGTGTATGTATAAATGTATAAAGAAGGGGGATTGTCTAGTCCTCTTCAAAAGAAGTAATGACTTGTCCTTGTTGAATCAATTTAGCAGCTTCAAGACCGTTCAATACAGCAGGACCAGGACACTTGTCAGGGGCGAAATGAACGATAAAGTCACCGGGAACATAACGCTTGGGTAATGTGTTGAAAGTATGATCGTCATTTTCGAGCAAGAGAACATGTTCTTTGTAACCGGGCAATTGAATCAAATCCCACATAGCGCCTTGTTCATAAGAAGGACCTTGGTTGAACCAGTTCTTGGATTCTTGAACGGCATTCAAAAACTCTTGAGCCCAAGGTGTGTTACGCATGAAAAAGACACCAGCATTGATCATCTTATCTCTTGTGGGCTTAGCAATCACTAAATCAATTTTTTCTTCAAAGGCACGGGGGCCATCGGGATAGTTTCTACGCAAGTCATCCAAGATGCCTTGGACTGTGATATGAGGGTTCATGATGACAGCATCCATGTCCATCCAGAAAAGCCAGTCGTATTTAGGTAGAACCTTTTGAACAGCATCAATCTTGCCCCATACTGTTCTACGTTTCACGGAGCGGACTTCTTGTTGAGCAAACTCGTTGGAGCGAGCAACAAAAGCATACTTATGAGCATTGGCATATGCACGCTTGTTGTCAGCAGCAAGCGCGGCAGAAGGTTCCATACAACTATCAGCGTAAATGAATGATGAGGTGACTACAGCAATGCTGGCCTTTTCAAGTGGTTTACAGAGGGAAGTAACACCAATCTTGATTGTCTTTGCCACAGATTCAAAATCACTATCTTGATAGACACTTGTAACAGCAATTGGCATATCAGGAATAGATTCAATAGTGTTAGTCCAAGTAACAAAACGATCTTTTTGATCAATAAAGACAGGAGCTTCTTTCATCAAGTTGGTAAGACGATCAACTTCTTTTCTAGCAGTAACAAAGTTGAGCTGAACCTTGACAGAGCGATAGAATTCATAGTAGTTGCTCATCAAAGTAGCACCATCAGCAACAACATCTTTGAACTGAGTTTCGTGTTCCAAAAGTTTTTTAATAGCATCTGAGCCAGCCACAAGCACGTTTTCATGTTCAGGAGAGACCCAAACAATATCGTTTGCAGTCTTTTGGATCTCCCACATTTTACCTACTTCATTCTGGATTTGTTGTTGGATATAGTTGAGTTGAAAAAGTGAATAGCCATCTTGAATCACCAAATAATCAAAAGTAACACCTCTTGCATTTAAATTGGCATCGACCTTTTAAGGAAATGAGTATTTTTAGTAAACAAGCAAAAAAAAAGCCCAAAATAATAATTACCCATTTTAAGATAGCATCTTGGCTATATGCGCTTGCATCAACCTTTTCTAAATCGTTCCACTCCATCTTTTCGGTTTCATATAAACGACGCTCAGCAGTCTTAGGCGTAGGTTCATCACCATAGACCCAAAACATATAATTCACGCCTTTATCTCTCTTCATGCAAGGTTCGATATTATCATTTTGCCCAAAGTAAGTGTTACGAATCAATTGACGACGACTCATGTTGGTGGCTCTTGAGGCGATCACAATAAAGTACTTAAAGTGCTGAGGCTTCATGTTGATCGTTGTGATAGGCTTTAATTTGGAACCAGAGGGCTTCTTGGGGGCAGAGGGTTTCTTAGGTGCAGACGGCTTTTTAGTAACAACAGGTTTTGTGATAACAGGAGTATCTTCTAAGGCTTCTTCCTCTTCTTGAACGAGTTGTTCATCTTCTTTCAAAATATCCTTACTACTCGAAGTCTTCTGTTCATCAGGACTAATACCTGTGGCATCATCAGGAACATAGTTGCCAACAGAAGATGCATTTGCGTTCTCTAAATCAGAGTTAAACCACAAGACAAAGAAGACAACAACTAGCAGTAATATGAAAATGGTTCTCTTCTTTCTACCAAAGCGTGCTCCCCCAAACAGAGATGTGTTGTCTGTTCTTGCATTGTTTGGAAAGGGTAACTCTGATCCTCCTGCCATGATAATTAATATACACAAGAAGAAAGAAAGAAAAGAAAGAAAGAAAAAAAAGAAAAAAAAAGATGTACCTTTCCGTGTCTTGTCTCGGGCTGGATGATTTTTAAGACGGAGTCACTTTTACTTATTTATAGACGGAGGTTGTGGCTTTTTTTAAGAGCATTACTACAAACACCCAGAGTGAATTATGCTTTAAAAGGCTATTTTATTTCCCCAACCGGACATTAGGGATATTTCTCTCGCGATTTAATGCAATTGAGATGGAGAATTTCGAATGTGAAAAGTGAGTTTTTGACCTGATATAAAAAAGAAGCTTTTGTTTTCTCTTTTTTTTTATTTCTAACTTACTTCTATTATGACTATGACTTCTCTTGGACGTGGCGTTTTTGTTCCTGTGCCTACTTTCTTCAAAGAAAATGAAGACCTCGACTTGGAGGCATTTGATCAACATATCAAATTCCTCTCAAATTCTGGTATTGCTGGTGTTGTTGTGTTAGGATCAATGGGTGAGGCTGTTACTTTATCAGAAGCTGAAAGAGCTGAAGTCATCAAGCAATGTACTGCTTCTGTAAAGAAATACAACCCCAACTTGAAGGTCATTGCTGGTACTTCAGCTCAAAGTGCAAAGACAACCATTGCTTATATCGAACAAGCTGCTTCATGCGGTGCTGGCTATGCTTTGATCTTACCTCCTTCTTTCTACCGTGGTGCTATCAACGATGATGCTTTAATTTACTTTTATACTAAGGTTGCTGATCATTCCCCTTTACCTATCATCATCTACAACTATCCTGGTGTCTGTCAAGGTGTGGATATTAGTGTTGATGTATTGGCCAGATTATCCAAGCACAAGAACATCATTGGTGTCAAGGGCACAGAAGGAAATGTTGGTAAAATGGCCAACTTGGCCAATAAGACAAATCCCAATGGTAAGCCGGGAAACTGTCGATAGGCTACAGACATTAACTATTTATGTAGAGGTCACTTTGTTAGCTGGTTCTACAGACTTCTTTTTGCCCGAGTTATTGATTGGTGCTGTTGGTTTAATCCCAGGCTCAGGTAATGTGTTCCCTAGTCTTTGTGTTGAGGTACAAAAGTTGTATGAATCTGGCAAGCTGGAAGAAGCTATTCAATTGCAACGCAAGTTGGTGGAAGCAGATGATGCACTCTGTAGATGGCATGGTATTCCCGGTACAAAGAGCTTTCTTCAATCAAGATTGGGTTATGGCCAAGGCATCGTTAGAAACCCTCTTCAAAAAGCATCAGAAACTAATGCTCAAAGTATTGAAAAAGCAGTAGATGAAGCTTGGGCACTTGAAAAGAAATACCACCAATTTGAATATGTGAAATAATAAAGTCCTCAATTTGCTTACATAATAAACCTAAAGAAAAGGGTGTCTGTAGAAAAAGCGGCGTGAACACAGTGACGTGGCTGCCCGCGAGAATGAGGAAAACGAGAAAATTTTTTTACAATTTCCACTCTTTTTTTTATTATTATTTCTCATCATCCATACTTTCCGGACTGGAACTCGAACAACATTTTTTCTGCATAAAAAAATGGATACAGGAACTACTTCACAAGAAGCTGGTTATGTCCAGTCACCCAACCAGCAAACACAGCAACAACAACAACAACCTACTCAAACCACTCAGGAAGATTGCGGTATTCTCACTCCTACCTTGGCTGACATTCTAAGCGATGATCGTATTCTGCGTTTTTACCAGTGTGTCAAGGACATCAAAACACAAGGCCTTCCTAGCCAAACAGGCTCCATGTTCTTTGCTCTCTGCCATGCATTGGGTGATACTGTCTCTTTTCTTAAGGTACCTAATATGTCTAAAATCATGTTTCGTCAAGAACAACAAATTTTCGCAGTCAACGTTGCTGGTACTCAACACGATACATTTCAACAAAACCCTCCCCCACCACCACCACAAGCCATGGCACCAATGTCAGACAATAACTCAGCAGATATGCCCTTAATGGCCGGTGGTACTGCCGATTTGATGCATGATGTTGGTTCTACACACACTTCGCATCTTTTCTCTGCTGCTGGTGCCGATGGTTCTCCTCAACATTTGTTGCAAGCGGCTTTAGCTTCGGTTACACCTCATGCTGTATCTGGTCCTGTTGTTCATCAAGTGCCTGCTCCTACTACTTCTAAAAGAAAAAACAATGAAAACAAGGATGGTACAAAGCGAGCCAAGAAATCATCTCCAAGAGATAAGGAGTATGCTGTTCGACGTAAGTTAGTCGTTGTTGTCTGTTTACATTCTTAACATTTGTGTAGGAAATGAAGTGATCAATGATCTATTAAAAGTGCCAGAGGCCGATTTATTGCATCAAGCCAATACAGTGGATGATGAAGTGAAGCTCATCATTCAAGGCCATGAACGCTCTACAAAACATGGTTCATTAGATCCTTTACCTCGTTTTGCTCACTTTGCAAACTTGGCTGCTCATTATGATTGTGATTTTGCACCCAAGAATGCAGGCGTATATTTCAATTATGAATACTTTCAACTCTACCTGGCATACCGAGACATGGAAATGGAAAAGCAACGCCAGCAACAAATGGAGGGCAGTGATCCTCGTACCATCATGGCCCAATGCCGTGCTGATATTGAGAAAGTGCTTGCCAATAGCAATTGGGAAGCCATTCGTCGTCGTTTGACTATTGGTGAACGTATCTGCTCTGTCTGTGGTGTCGTGGGCCGCGGTTTCCTTTTGCTGAGTAGACAAGTCTCTGGTCGTAAATTGTTGCACAATTTCAATACAACTGAATGGACCGAGTTTATGCGTGAATTCGAAAGACCTGAAAGCCAACAAATCTTACAAACCCTTCAAACCAAATATTCCCCTGAACGATTCTATGGTCCTCGTCAAGAACTGATGATGGTGAGCCATCCTCCTTCTTCTCAAGCCCCCTCAAATACTTCAAATAATGATAACGCTAGTATTGTTGAAGGTATGGTGAAACCTAATTCAATGCCTCCTATTGATTTGTCTGCTCCTGCTGATGTTGCTGCTGTTGATCCTGTGCCTGACACAACAAATGAAAATCATGATGATGATGCAGTTGCTGCAGTTGCCGCTGCCGTTGCTGCTGCTGTTGGAAACACATCTTCTGCGGCTTCTACTCCTGTAGTTACTGAGGCTACTGCTGCAGAAGTCAATAATGAATAATTCATACAATGCATTTCTTTTTAGTAAACATTTATATATATATATATCAGTTTTAAATTAGGAGATAAAGAGAGTGGGGAAGGAGGGGAATAATACAGTAAATGAAGTCTAACTCCAAACATCTTCTTGATAACGACCTGTTGTTCTTAAACCCTTAACATAGTCTTGTGCTTGAGCTAATGTTAAACCACCAATCTGAGTAGCACAGGCAACAAACGTCTGATTCACATCACGAGCCATATTCTTTGCATCACCACAGACATAGATATAGCCGCCTTTTTGTAATAAGGACCAAATGTGAGCAGCTTGTTCCTGGAGACGATGTTGAACATAAATCTTTTGTGGTTGATCACGAGAAAAGGCAGTGACAATACGAGAATCACCACCCAATTCTTCGAAAAGTTGAGGCCATTCATCAGCATATAAAAAGTCTTGAGATGCATGACGACTACCATAAAACAATAAAGTGGTGCCAACAGGTTTTCCGTTACGTTTGTCAACCACTCGCTCACGAACAAAACCTCGGAAAGGAGCAACACCTGTGCCTGGACCGATCATGATAACAGGTACAGTAGGGTTACGAGGTAATTTAAATTGAGAATGGCGGACATGAACAGGAATTCGACAACAATGACCATCAGGACCTAAATAAGCTTGACGAGGGCCAGCCAAGTCATAAGTAGGACCTTCACTGGCGATACCATGATGGCTAGCCTGGATGTTGTAAAGAAAATTAGAATTGACACCATAGACTGTGCGTTCAGGTGTTGGTTCATAGGATAATGTGACAATAGTAGCAGTAATGCGTTTGGGGCTCTCTTTAGAGGAACTAGAAATGGAATAAAAGCGAGGCTGCATACGAGCAATCGTTTCAACAATCAAGTCAAAAGGAACCTGGCTAAACAAACCTGGTTTTGTGTCATGACCAGTAACTAATTGAAGTACTTCTCCCAAATTTCTGCAGGCATCGCCCACATAAATACGGTATTTTTCTTTATCCGTTGCTAGTTGAGTCAAGAAACCCTTGGATTCTTCTGAAGGAGCATACTCCACAAAAGAATTGAGCACTTGACGAGAGACAGGGGCGCAGATTTCCATATAATGTCTAAACATGGAACGATAGGTAGTGGGTACAGGGAAAGGATGCTTTTTGGGTGCAGTAGGATCAATTGCCTTGACCATGACTACCGTGTCTAACTTATCGGTCAACCCTAATACAGCAGCTAGACGGTTGACTTCTGATTCGTTGTTTGTTGGCCAGATAGCAAGATGATCACCCGTAGTGTAGCTCAAATTTGTATTACTGACATCCACTTCAACATGTAAACAATGACGGTCTGTACCATGGAATAATTCACGTGTGGTAATGGGTGCAATATAAGGGCGTTTAGCGTCATAAGCAATCTTACTAGATAAGAAGCACATCAATACATGCCAATCTCATGATAAATAACAACTTACGCGCCTGACTTGGTTCTTTCAGCTAATTCGCCAAAATAAACATCGCCCTTTTCATAATGAGCTAATTCCTCAACAGCATAAATGGGTTCTCTAGGCCCCGACCGAGCAGAACTTTCATCTACACCCAATGCGTTACAAAAAGCAGGCCACATTGTTTCCTTCCAAGCCAAAAAATCCTCTTCCAAAGATCCATCATCATCTCCTTCGCCTGCTTCACCAATACGCTTCGCACCGAGCTTCAAGAGCTGTTGATCAATGCGGCGAGAGACTGCATTGTACTGCTCATATGTCTTGTTTCCCAAACCAAACATGACATATTTCAAATTGGATAGACGTTCATTACCTTCAGAAAACATAGGTTCTTCTTCAGTCAATAAATCCCAAAACTCTACAGCATTGTCTGTAGGATCACCTTCGCCGTAAGTAGCCAAGAGGAAAATGACTAGCTTGTCTTCAGGTACCTGATCCAAATAGGTCAAGTCATACAATTCCAAATCTGCTGTCATACAGCTCACACCAAAACGCTGAGAGCATTCCTTGGCCAAACGGGCAGCATAGCCTTCTGCTGTACCTGTTTGTGACCCATAGAATACAATCACTCTTCGACCCTGTTGATAGATAAGTAAGCTATCAGCCGAAAATCAGCTAATTTACCTGTTGTTCCATCACTTTGACAAAATTTTTTTCTCTTTTGGGTGTAGTAGGAGCGTTGGTCAAAGAAGCTTGTTGTTTCTTACCAAATAGCAAGTCTGCAATCTGGTGTCTAGTAAACCAAGCCAAGGTGCCAAGACCAATAGCGCTTAGTAGAATAATATCAGTGGTATCAAAAAGAGCGGCAGGAGGGTTCTCAGGGCTGGTTTCCATAATAAAAGACGAATTAAAGAAAGAAAAAAAAGACATGACTGGTCGAGACAAAGAAAATAAGAATTGTACATCGGACGTCAAAAAACAACAAAACAAGGAGGCAGACACATAAAAAAAAAAAAAAAAAAAAAAAAAAAAAAAAAAAAAAAAAAAAAAAGGTTTTTTTATGCGCTACTCTCTTTTTTTCTTAGGAACCACCCCCTACTGGGCATTTTCAAGTCAAAATTCACAGAGTACCGGATAGAGAGAAGGTAGCTAGAGAGTACTACATCCACTCACTTTTGTATGAATATATAATTTTTTAGTCATTTTATGAAAAAAAAACAATTGCTATAAGTTTTGAAGTGTGTTCATTCTTTTCATTTATTTTGCAATGTTCTCTTTTTTACCCATAGATGCACTTGATAAAGTGCTGGTTTCTTTTTGTGATAGGCATAAAAAAGAAAGATGTTTATTGTTATAAAGTAGTCAATTGAAAATGATCCTCTCTTTCTCTTAAGAGTATATTTACGCATAAACTTTTTTTTCTTTGCAGTGGACGGAGTGTTTCCCAATCAAAAAGGCAAAAAGCCTGACCTCATCATTAGCACGAAGGTCAAGTTGCGATAACTTTTTTTATTCATTTATTTATGACTTGAGGCCAATTATTTTTAAGAAAGCGCCAAATCTCATGAGCCTGACTGTATGACAATTGTACATAAAAACGTACAGATTTGTTTTGATGACGATGATACTAATGATGATATTAAGGAGTATAAAAGGAATGCGAAAGTAGTACAAAATGATGAATTAATATGTGGAGACACAGCTAGAAGTAGACTCTACAAACTCCCTTTTTTTTAAAAAAAAATTGAATAGTCAATGTACGTTACATAAAATCTTGCTTACCATTCACCATCAATCATATCATTAGTCATTTCGTACTTGTTTAAGGCTTGGTTAAGATCATCAAGTGCTGCTTGAACAGAAGAAATACCATCATTATCGACTTCGGACCAAAGTTGCTCAGAGAGATATTCCTTTAATTGCATGCATTCATTGTAAGCATCCTAAGACGACAATGAGTTATACTAGATTCGCACTTGAACTTACCTTTGCAATTTCATTTGTCTTGATTTGATGAGGCTCAATCATGACAAGCATATGTAAGAGGAACGAGCTTGATTTTCTTGAACTAGAGATAGCTTCATCCACAGTGATAGTTAAAGGTGTGGTCTATGCTTTCTTTAGCTTGCTTGATAGTTACGAATCGCAACCTACCTTGGAAACAGTATAGCCAGCAACTTGAGCAGAAGACATTTAATGAAATAATGAAGAAGAAAAGAAAAGAGGAAGAGAATGAAAGCCTTTTTATTTTAAACCAGTACTGAAACTTTCACATGTTAATTGGATTCAGCGTACTTTTAATCCGCATTTTTTTTGTCAAACGACAATACCAAAACACGTTTTGAATGGTCTGTAAATGCAAATTAAAATTAAACATTTGATTTTTTTACATGTAAGCCCTGGGAAAAATAACTTTTGGAATATGTTCCGAGGAAAAATTTCCTTTATTTCTTCATGCATTGAGAATGCTTTATACAAAAAAAAAAAAGAAGTCATACTACAAAAAATGAATTGTTTACTTCTTCATTGATACTCCTGCCAACATTTCAAACATTCTAAATACAAAAAGTAGTTTATTATTGGTCAACTCTAATTGTAGTACAAATTTTTTTTTTAGGTATTTAAAACTGAAAAAAAAAATTTGCCATCTCTCTCTCTCTATTTATTTATTTATTTTGTCTTTATTATGTCATACGACAATGGCTGGCAAGACGAGCAACAGCAACCCCCACCATTACCAAACATATTTAATCGACTAGGCCGATCTGCTGCTCATATGTCTCCAGCCTTAAACGACCAGCACCCATCCCCACCTGTTAATACAGGCTTCAAAATTGCACGCCATTACAATAATTCTCACTATGTTAATAACAGCAATAATAAAAACGCTTATTCTAATAGCAACAATACGAATAATTACTATTATTACAATGGCAAATCGCATCCTATTGAAGACGGCTATCATCCTTCACAAGCACCACCATTATCACGGCAACCAATTCAGAGTTCTGGCCAACCTGACTATATCAAAATTATTCAGCAGCAAGATATGAGCGCCAATGGTTTTTATAGATCAGAAAACACTAATTCTAGTACAAGTTTTACTCCTACGCCTTCAGCTAGTCCTACTCATCCTGTCTATTTTAACGGGGCCAAGAATAACGATAATATCAGAAATTTTAATAATAATAATAGCAGCAATAATGGCAACAGCCTTCCTGCTTCTCCTGCTACTTCTGTCTCTTCTTCACCGGGCTTTAGTTTTGTTAAAAACAATGATTTACCTAAAGAGCCTCAACAAGTGAATCAGCGTTCTTCTTTTAGTTTTGTTCGAAGTAATGCGCCTGCTTCTTATCCTTATTATATGGACCAACAAGCCCATGTCATAAATCACACGCCGCCTCCTACTGCCCCCGCGTCTTTGCCGCCCGTGCCTAGCAATGTTTCTGATGCCAATATGCCTGCCCAAAAAACGCATCAAGCTACTCAAAAGCCAGCATCACCTCAAAAACCAAAGCAGGCTCAAAAGCAAAAGCAAGTTCAAAAACCAATGCAGGCTCAACAACATGAGTTTCCCACCAATCATTCCGAAAACAAAGAGCGTGATAAAATTGCTAAAAACATTCAGATCACCGCCTCACGCCTCTTGACCGATAAGACAGATCAGCATGGAACGCCGTCTAATGACGGGCATGTATCAGCTGGTAGAGATGGAAGTGACACTCAACCTGTCAGCAGAAAGGTTGTTTTGACGAGTACCAAGCGTGAATCAAGCCGTGAAAGATCTCCTTCTCAAGCCAAGAGAGTCAAACGTTCACCTTCACCTGTGTACAGAAAGCACCCTTCTCCTTCCCCTAGTTTTAATAGTGATCGCAGTGATGAGTATCGTGTTCGATACAATGGTGATATGAAGAGGTACAATCGGTCACCCTCTCCGTCTCCTTATCGTCGTTCTCGTCAAAGGCGTACAAGTATCTCACCTTTTAGAAGAGCGCTTTCTCCTGGATCAAGTAGTGATGAAGAAAAGGCACCTTTCCTTCGAAATCAGCCTGATCATTATACCCCTGATTACAATCGAAGACCTTTACCTCGCCAATACAGAATCGAAAGAAATAATAGACCTCCTGTACCAAAAAGACCTGTTGAACCAAACAAACCATCCAATGTTGTACCAGCATCTAAAAACACTGTATCAGTGTCTAAAACGATCAAGAAAGGATCTGAACCATCTGCTCAAGAAAAGCCTAGTGCTCAGAATAATTCTAATAACAATAAGCAACAACAGCCCAAGTTGAAGGATTTCAGAAATCATCCACCTTTGACTCCTGTCAGGTCTCACAACTGTGTTTTGATAAACCCAAAGACTACTGCGGTACAACCACCTGTTGCTAAAAAAGACAATGTCAATAAAGTATCTACTGCTACTACTGCTACTACTGCTAAGCCAGCCTCTACTGCCAAGACTGCATCCACAACTAAGGCTACACCTGCTAGTAAGCCCTATACTGATACACCTGCTAGTACACCTTCTACTGGCGCTGCATCTGTTAGTAAGCCTACTTCTGATGTGCCTACCAGTAAGCCCGCTAAGGCTGCACCCGCTAACAAGCCCGCTACTGCTGTTTACAAGCCTGATTCTGTCGCTCATAAAATGATTACTGCTCAAAATGCCATTATCAAGCCTTCCAATACCACTCCTATTGACGTTGATACCATTTTGAAACCTAGTACAAATGGCGTATCTACTGAAAAGGAGTTGCCGGCAAAGGCTGAGTCTGTTCCCTTGAATGAAATTTTACCTCGATCAGCAAGAGCCAAACCTGCTCCTTTGTCTACGTCTTCAAAGAAGAATAAGGCGATGGAAATTCGCGGTTCTAGCGATTTAGGTAATCTATCTAAGGAACATTCTATCGCACAAGCAGACACTCCTTCTGTTCTGGAGAATGGTGCTGTTACTAGTAATCATGTTATGCAGCAAATTTCAAACCATACTACTGTGAAAAAACCACAAGTTCCTCGTACCTTTTCAGATAAATCATCTTTTCAACCCACTACACATCAACTTGATGCAAATAGCAATACGCATCAAGAACAACAACAGCAGCAGCAGCAGCAGCAGCAGCAGCATGAAGGACAAGGTCAACAAGGTAAAGAACGACAAGATCAAGTCCAGCATGAACAAGGTCAGCAAAAACAATCACAAATTCAACCCAAGGCCCAACAAGCTCAAGAAGGCGATTTATCAAATGACAAGCAACAGCAAGAAAAACAAGCACAAAAGCCTACACCAGAACAACTGAAGGCTGCAAAAAAAGCTGCTTTGGAGAAACGAAAAGAGGAAGAACGACTTTATCAATTACGTTTGCGTCAATTGGCTATCGATGATCGAGATGATATTGTTATGGATGTGATGCCTCCTAATACATTTGATGCGTCGGTACAGGAAGACGTTGAAGTAAATAACACGGACAAAATGGAAAAGATAAATGAAGATGCAAACATGACTGAAGCTCTTCCAATCGTACAGGCTGAGCAAGTTGACCATCAACAAGAACAAGTAGTCGAGAGCCAAGACCAAAAAGAAGCCAAGAAGCGAGAGTCAGAAAAGGCTGTACAAGAAATCAATGACCAATTACAACAAGATCAATCAGATAGACTCACAAGCATTATCGTTAGCACGACCAATTTGTTTAGTGAATCACTAGCTGAATTCCAGAAAGATCAAGAATCAATTTTGAGTAGTTTTGCTTCTTCCATTTCAGCTTCAAAATATAAGAATACTTTTAAAACTCAAGATACCATAATGACTGAAGCACCTAGCCAACAGCAAAGCAAAACAAATGCCAACACTCTTTCAGTTACCAAAGACAATATCACTAGTTTAAACAATAATAGCCAGCTATATGCTCCTGATGCTCTTCCAGTTCCCACTGTTCCTATTGTCTCTTCTGTTACTTCTCTTCCTGTTGTTCCTCCCAGCACTCCTGTTCCTACTCCCGCTAAGAAAAGAAGAGGAAGATTGCCTCGTCCTTGGAAAGTTGTTTTGTCTGATGACGGTGACATGTTTTATTATAACCCTGTGACAGGTGAACAATCGTCTGTTAGACCTGAATAATTTGTTTTTACCCATCAATTCGATTTACACTGTACGTATAATAAATTTTATTCTGTAGTTTTTTCTTTTCTTTCTTTGCTCGAATGTAAATATCAAACAAAAACGGGCCCTGTCATCTCGCGATAGGAAACCTTTGTCTTTTGGATATGTTCTTGCGAAAAAAAAGCTATACCAAATATGTATATGCATTGGTTTAATCAATCCTCTCTGCGTTTTAATTACAAGCCCAGTAGGCTTTGAAATTCTGGAGCCGTTCTTTTTCTCTCTTTTTTCTTCTTTATGTCAAGTAGCACTCACAACTCGCGACATAGTACAACCATCATTAATATTCATTCACCTGAAGATGAACAACTACCAATAGAAGAGAATGATACCAGTCGTCGAGCTTCTAGCGCTTCTCGGCAGCCACCAAAACCTTCACCCAAAGTCGATGAGTACAGAAAAATGATTCGGCATATAGTAAGCAAGATAGTGAAACGAAAAAGACCCCCAACGGCACTTTTTCGTTTAAGCGAGCTTTGTAGAACTACAGAAGTCTCTGACCTTTTCGAGAATGATGACACGATTGATCTTTTAATACAACTGAGATCAGCTCTTATGGTCTGTCATCAAGTTGGTCTCAGTACACAAGTATTGCTACAAGGGTAAACGGGAATTGTCAACATATAAAATACTTATTTATTATAGTGAACGTTCGCCATCTAACTCGCCTGTATCTTCAAGATCAAATTCGCCTACACCATCGCCTCGCACGGGAAGTCCTTCCAAATCGCCCGAGAATTTATATTCAGGCATCTCGCATTCAAAGAACGATAAACGATCCGAATTTGACACTATACTCTATGTCTTGAGCGATTTGATTTTGAACGATAGTCGATACAAGACAGCAAATCCAAAACCTTCTCGACCTCCATATACTATGCAAGCCATTTTGATTGATCTTGCTATATTGCTTGTCCAGATTCGTGATGATTCTTCTGGTCTGTATCATATAGGAACAGTGTTTATGCCTGCTTTTGAGTCTTTTTCGGAGGGAACTATGCTTAGAAGATTGTTATCTTTTTACTTGGATAATTTGTTACCCAAACTGATCAAATGTAAAGATGAACCAAAATCCAAATCAAATGAATCAAGAAAGTCTTTAAAGGCTGAATCTAGCAGTAAGTGATCATTACATGAATTCATGAGCCTCATATTAGGCAGAGCCCATACGCAGCAAAAAATCCAACAATCCAAACACACCTACTATCAATATCCATAGTCCAGAGCCAGACAGATCTGATACACCAGTAAAAACATCACATCTTACAATTGATACTCGTCCATTAACTGTTGAGGCAGCTAGCCATTCTTCGCCTGTCTCACCTGCTGCATATAGTACGAATAACAACACGCTTGATGCATATCATGCTTATGCATTATTCACACCTCTTTTGTTCTTTATGATTCAATATCTTGACCCTTATTTAGCAGCACAACCAACAAAAGCACAACAAGAAAACTTCACTTATACCCTTACTCGTCAAGCTAGTTTGATTCACAACTTTCACAAGGCTTTAACTTACATGATGAGTTGTAAACCAGACCTTTATCTTGACCTATTAGACATCATATCACGCAGTACACCTGAAGTCAAGTTTAGGGCATGTCAGATTCTGTTCAATTACTACTTTGTCAGTGTAGGGCATATTGTTGTTGCTGATCCTTTACCTGTTTTGGGTACTAAAGAAGAGCTTGAAGTTTTGGATCAGCATCGCTTACAACAAGAGCTTGAAGAAGAGCATCAAAAAAATCATCAGCATGGTAATCGCACACAACAACATCGACCCATACGAAAAACAACGCACATTGTCTCCGAGAATTCAGTAGAAGACCATCATATTTGGTATCCTCATATGTTTGCTGAGCACGATAAAGTTTCTAAAATACTTGCCAACAATCCGTTTTCCTTTGGAATTCACCGAGACACCACAGAATCCTATTGTAAAGAATGCTTCAAATCTATTCAAGGTTGCGGCCTGCGATGCTTTCAATGTAAAAGCAATGTGCATTACAATTGCTTTAATTCGAAATCGCATTTCGATGGTCAAAACATGCTGTTCTATTTAAAAGCAGGAGGCATTCAGAAGGTTCTTACTCCACAATATTGTGTTGTCCCACCCCAGCCTCGATTTCGTGACATGGTAGATTGTGGCATTTTAGGATGGAATGCGAAGTCGAGCTCTGCTCAAGTAGGGCTACTTGGACATATGTTTCGGTTAGTAAATATCTATACCATTGTTGTCTGTGCTTGTTGTGGATTGCCCCTGTGGGGTGTATCATTACAAGGCTATCAATGCAGTCAATGCAACCGGTTTGTACACCCTCAATGTCTTGTCGATGCGGAAGAGAAAAACAGTTTTTTGAAGATAAAGTCTTCCAAAGCGTCTACACCACACTCATTCCAAACATGCGTACCCCAATCACCTTTGCTCGAAACAGACATAAAGATCTCTCAAGCTGATCTAAACAAGAGTCTGTCTGACTTCTATGGTGATGCACTGCCATTAAATAAAGAGTCCTTGGAAGGAAGAAGCTTTGAAGAAGCAAGCTTGATGCTTGATGTTTTTTTGATGCAGGAAGCTATTTTGCATTGCGGTGTAGCCTCAGGTTGTATCATCATCACAAACGAGTCAGATCATCCTTTGCTCTTTACACCCTCGCCTTCTGTTGAAGCGTCCAATTTACCTGAGAATTTCTCAAATCATTCATCAAGCTTATCTCAAGCCATCAATGTCTACACGAGCTACCTTGATTCCGAGGACTATCAAAGTTCAGCATTTTTCAAAGACTTTTTTGGTCATTCTGATGCCTCAACTATCAAGCATTTGCTGAGCAAGGAAGAATTTTTGTGCCATTTAGCTGCCATGATGAAGTCTCTTACTACATCATTTGGAAGTACCATGACAGGTACGCCAACAGCTGATAAAAGACGCTCAGCCGGCGATTCTCGTGGTTTCTTGCAAGTGTCTCCTAATCCCTTCACAAGCGCTGGATGGGAAGAAGACGAAGAAAGCGAATTTGATGAAGGCCACACACCTAATGAAAATCTAGACAGATCTATGTTACTGTCTTGGGTCATGACGAACCTTAACTTCAGAAATCGCAAAGCAGCTGAAATTCTATTACAGCATATGCACAATCTAGGCTTGTTTGAGCGCTTCGATGCTTCACCATTCCTGTTCTTGAGCAGCACGATTGAACAAGAACCAGCAGTACAATGTGTATTCCCTGTACCTTTTGCTATTGATTTTTCTGCCAATGTGGAAATATTGATCAATTCGATTGAAGCGTGTATGCGTGATATTGATCTGTCCATCAATGAATGTGGTTTATTGTTACTTGTGCGGCGATGCTGGCCTGATCCTTTCATGTCAGGCTATTCTCGAGAGCGTTTGATCCATGCAATTATTGCTTGGACGTTTGATGAAGATGAAAGGTTATTGGCCCTCCATGCAGAGATTACATCTGTTAATAGGCATTCAAGTTTACATCATGCTAAACAACAGAAAAAATGGGCACAAGCAGCTTTACTTGCGCGTATGAAGGGCCAGAATATTTCAGAACGCAACCGACAGAGTACTTTTCAATTGAATACTGCAGCTGGCGTTAGCAGTGGAGCCAGTAATATGTATGTGACCACACGTACTGGTTTAAAGGATCGATATGTTCTGCGTTGGATGTCTGCTGTTCACAAAATGGATCCTGAAGCATACACAGATATTTTATTTAATGCTGTAGAAGAGATCATCGATAGTAAGAAAGAAAAATGTGCTATACCTAACTGGGAAGAATCCAGTGATGTAAAGGTTTGTGATGCTATAACTCTGTGCGTGTGTTTACAGCCTTGTTAGAACCATGTCTTGCAAAAGTATGAGCTGTTCATCAATTATATTACAAAGCTCAAGAATAATGGCTTGATGTTTAGCTCAATGGATGCTATTCTTGAAAAATGGTTTGAAAAAACTTACACAGAATTTGAAATATTAGGCATTCTTAAAGTAAGTCGTTAATACAAATACTAAAGATTAATATGTTGTTTATCTAGGATAAAGAGCCAGTAGAATTGCGTAATTTGGTCAAGTTGTGTTCTTCAAAGACTTTAAATGCCAAGCAACCAGGCACTTTGTCCACTAATTCAGTACATCCTATTGACTTGATTGTGTCTCAATTCCAAGGAAAACAAGGTAGTGATCGTGGCATACGTTGGTTAACACTTGCAGCACATTCAGGGTAATACACATTTTCTTGACTTACTTTGTTCATACCTTTTCCTTTCAATAGAGTTACTATACCTGTAGCTTTTTGTCCCATCTGTCCAAAGTACTAGTATCAGTTCAACTACCACTCGATATTATGGTATCATTTGTTGAGATTGTTTGGTATCAAGTTGTCCATATTCCTTTGTTTGCTACACAGCGTGCTGCTATTGCTGAGATTGTAGGCTACCTAAATCAAAGCAATGCAGACATACTTGCCTCCATGAACGATAACTCATCTTTGCCGGATGAAAGCTTAATCCATGTCCAAGACTTTGTCAAATATTCAGCTGCATTGGCTTGTTTTGCTTATGGCTGTTCTCCAAATGAAGTTATAGAAGCAGGCATTGTTCCCTATGTAGGTGATCATGCTTCTAAAGCCTCGTAAGTCAATCTCGCTACTCGACTATATTGTTACTTATTCTATTATAGTCAAAACAAAAGAACATCAACACCTGTTGACTTTAGCATGATAGAAATTGATGAGAATACACATATTATCGAGAGCATGCTTTCCTATTTGCAATACGACCGACTGAATTTGCGTGAAGATGTCATTCGAATGTTTTATTGCTTGACACAATGGGGCCACTGCATAGGCAATAAAGAAGAATTCATCACAGGCTGTATACCCAAATTAATACCAGCGTAAGTATCAAAGCCTTACTTCTGATTAGTTGAATATACAGCTCATGTAAACGATGATAGTGTCTGGGAATTGCTTGTACCTGCTTATGATCATATAAGTAACATCAACTTGAACCTCTTGATGCAATTGATCAGTGTAGATGTCAGATACTTTCAAGCATGTGTGTTTAAGATATTTGAAGATAACAATTGGGAAGTGAGGTAAAAATTCAAAATGACATTGATTGAATTCATTTTTTAACTCGTATTGCACACAGATATCAAGGATTGGATCACTTATTTGGTCTGTTCACCAAAATGGATGCTGCATTTCAAACAGAATGGCTCAAGTTGCTTTCCAAGCTTGGACCTGTCTTTAGCTATTTTGTTAGTTGTTTGTGGGATAAAGAAGAATACGTTCGTTCTAAAGCATTTGCTTTAATTCGCTCCTTTGGTACATTGCATCTTCGATCTGCTTTCCGTTGTTGGGAGGCCTATTTTTTGACTGCTACTGATCGGCAAAAGATGTCGCTTGTGAGTCTGATGACACAGCTGAATGCCTTGTTCCCAGACTGGCCGGTTTTACAATGGGAATCCTTATTGGAAGCATTAGAACTCAAAACACCCGTTGATGTATTGGACGAATATACCCGTTCATCTTTAGATGATGAATTTATGATTAAGAACAGCACAAATAGTTCAGAGCAACATTCTGCAGAATCAGAAAATGTTCAGGTGCTCATGCTCACACTTGCTCTTCAAATGCTAAGCAACCATCTCAATATTGAACCAACACAACTATATCGACTCAAATTCGTTTTGGTTCAACAAATGAACTTTCAAGATTGTCATTATTTTAATGAGGGCGGTGACATTACTATCACTTTTGGTCCTTTAAAATACGAACCAAGTGATCCTTCTCGTGTGGCTGCCATGATTTCCTGTACTCGTGGACTTAAAAAGATTATGGACAGTTTTGCACCTTTACCTGCAGAAACAGTCGCTAGTATTGCATCTGATTCTATTGAACAAAACAAAATCAACTTGGCTGAAAATAGTAGTCCTGGTGTCCATTTCATTGATGTTGTGCTGAAAATGATGAATTCTGGAATAGACTTGACAAAGCTTGGACATATGATGCTAAAAGCATGGTTAGAAATTGTTCTAATTGTAATATACAAGGTAAGATATAGATACAAAAATCTCAAAAGGTGTCTAATGTATTGTTATAGCACAATATTCTTGAGAGAGAATACGAACAAAGCGTTGTTACTTGTATGAAGCAAATCATTGAAATCCTGACAGAAGAAATCAGTGACGAAAACAAGCTCATTATTCTAGAGGTTCTAAAGTGTTTACTGCGCCGTTCTGATCACTTAACTGCCATGGTTCTCTCCAAACAAATCTTGACCTTAGGTAAATTAATGACAAAGCTTGGTAATCGTAATTTAGAGCCTGTCTATCTCAAGGCAAAGCAATTCCTTAAAAGCGCCTTTCTCAGATTTGCTGTGGCAGGTCTTTTTGTACTCATGTTTAAAAATCAAGCTGTTTCTGATGCAAACAGTGGCGATGTCGACTTGTTCTTTGTATTGCGCACAGTCATTGATCCTGATGATGTGATCCCTGACGAGGACTTTCGTGGAGAAATTGTCTATTTGCGAGACCAACCCGTTCGGGACGTCCTGGAAAAGCTTATGAAGCAGCAAATGGAACGTAAAGCCTTCTCAACTGTCTTGTATAACGTCAGTCGCTATGTAGAGACAGTACATACACACCCTTATTCTGAAAATATCTTGCATGATTATGCTGGCTTTCTGAATGCATTAATCAAGCACACATCTGAATGGAGAAGATCAGATTGGAATATCAATCCAATCTTTACTATGTCCGCCATTTTACTCAAGAAACATCCTTATCATCATCTGGTTCTATTACCTCCTACTCAAGCTATCTTGAAGTATGGCTTGTCAAATTGCACTATTCAAGCTGATTCTGTTGTCAAGCTGATTGCTGCCTACTCTACTACTACTATGTCTAATATTCAGCCAGGCTACAGTAATGCCTTTGCTGGCATTATTGTTGAAGAAATCAAGAACACCTTGTCTTCAATCACAAGGCCCAACAAAGACACCTTACTTGTTCTTTTACAGATCGTCTTGTGGGATACCAAACCTGCTGGTCAAGAATGGTATTCTAAAATAGAAGCATCTATTCTTGGGCAACAAGCAAAGCACTCTTCTTATTTTGAGGACAAACTGTTGGATCTTCTACCACTCTTTGTTAATTATTTAAAAAGAGCATGCACAAGTCAACAATTTACTCGCAAGGACTTTAAAGTGTATAGCTCGATTGCTCAGTTGATTGTATCTATTGTCTCAAAAGACCCTAAGCTTACAGTAATCATTTTTGGTTATTTAAAGGTAAGCTCTAAAATGCAAAAACAGACCTTATGTTGAACTCTTTATAGCTTGAAGAAGGCATAGAATGCCTTCGTTTCCTCAATTGGTTTATATTGACTCTGTTGAAAGAGCAAGCAGATGTTTTGTTGGCAGAAATGATTGGCTATGAAACTGTATTGACAGAGCTCTTTGTCAGAACTTTCAACACAGCTGAGGTTGACTTCCATGTACCTGACCTCAACTTTTCATTTAGTCCCTCAAGCGAAAAACTATTACTTTGCTTTCTTCTTCTCAAGGCATATGTTCTTTTAAAGCTTAGAAATCGAGTTGTAAGCACAGACAAGCCTCATTCAATAGATTCTCCCACTTTTTGGATGGCCGTCTGGCCAGCATTGCGTCGACTATTAGACATGATTGAAACCTCTTCTTTGTTTATGGTAATGACAATTGGTGTATATCATCCAAATTAATTCATTTGTAGGCTGGTAATGTTGGTTTATCTATCTGGAATATGTTTTTGTCGTTGCTACAATTCTTGCTTGCTTCCCGCAATGAAATAGCTATGATTAATGCATATGAATGGCATGATTTATTAAGTGATTTGTTGCAAAAAGTAATATACATAACACTATATCAGTAAACTGACTGATTTTCTTCTAGGTTCGAAATGAAAGCCAGCAAATGCATCAAGATACTGCAGGCATGGAACATCTTGTTGCTTTAGACGAGTTTCAAAAAAGAGTGCAAAAGTTCAAAGATATGTTTGATATTCCACCTGTTCAAGTACCATTTACGACTATGATTGATCAATTGTTCTTGGAATTAAGAGATGTTATGCGATTACAAGCCGAGAGCATTACTGTTCAGAGCAACAATCGTGCTTTAATGCAAACAATGGGCTCTAACTTTTAAATAAATCTTATTTTTTTTTCGAGGACTGTCGTTTTCTATTCTCTTTTTTAAAAAGCTATCACCAAGAAGACCTGTGCCAACAAATATGGTACTTTATTTATTTTATAGTTGATCTCGTCTGACGGTTTCTGTATATATCTAGAGTTCTTGGAGCACTTTAAATAAAGGAGTAACTACTCTAAAAGAAGATGCTGTTGAGTTACAAGTAAATCTAACTTTAGTACGATCGCTCAACACTCACTTGCTCGTTTTAGGTAGAAAAACTTCTTGGAAAATATCAAGATACATTAAAGCTTCACCAAAAAGGACAAATTGAAGAAGCAAAGCTGAAATACGAAGAACTTGTTGGACATGAATTGCTCAAGAAGGAAATGAAGCCTGTAAAGTCTATTTGTTTATCTTGTATCACGCTAACTTACTAACGCGTCTCCAGACCAAGAAAATGACGGGCAATACAGACCGCGTTGAGGAAACACCGCTCTCAACACTTCGATTTTTAGTTTTTAAAAATTATGCCTCGATCCTTAAAGATGAATTCTTAGCAAAAAATGACACAAGAACAGCCGAAAAGGCTTTAAAAAACTACCTTCAAGCAGCTAAAATTGATCCAACAGAACGTTCTCTTTGGTATCATATTGGATCACTTGCACAAGTATTGAAAAAATATCGATTTGCTCGATTAGCTTATGAAATTGGATTTTATGTGGATCAGAATGAACGTATTTTGAAACTGCCTTTAGTACAACTCACACATGCTCAGAAAACGATTTCAAGTAGCCAATTTACGCCAATGCAATGGAAATGTTTTGAAGGCCTTTGTCAAGTGTTATATGAGATTGGAGATTATCAATTATGTACATTTTATGTGGATTTCGTATTGGAAAAGCATAAAAATTGGTCAACAGGCATTCATCTCAAATCAAAAATGAATGGAGAGATTGAAAGAGGCAATAATACAGAAAAATCGATGGAGATTGACTCCAATCATCAGGTTTCAATTGTGCTCGAGAAATATGATTGGACGCTGCTTATTCGTGCATTATTGAAAGAATACAAGCATCTTATTTGCGAGCAGAACAATACACGTATTGAAGATAGTGCATTGAACAGACTTACAGGCACAAAATATGCCAATCATCAGATTCAAATCACCGTTGAAAAAGAAGAAGAAGAGCAAGCAACTTTAGATGTGCAAATGGAAGAAAACCAGATAGTAGCAACACTGCCTTCTCAATCAGGACCTGCTGAATCTTTAGAAATCATACCCACTACTGTACCAAATGATTCAGCGACGACAGAAGCCAATTTAGAGAATGCGACTAACGACGAAAGTTCGAACAAGCGAAAAAGAGAAGAGGATGAGGACGATACCAACATAAAACACCCTAGTGGAGACGAGCAGTCTGAAAATGATAATGAAGAAGATGAGGCAGAAGAAAAAAGACTTTCCTTAAGGTAAACTTGACTGAAATCTTGCTTGAGCTCATTTTTTTGGGAAGAACATTCAAGCGCCAACGTGATAAGATTGCTAACGAAGAAACCTCACGTCTTAAGATGCTTGAAGAAGAAAAGATATTTGATAACAAGGTTCAAACGTTTTATGATCAAATGAAGATTGTGCCTGATTTGTCTTATCAAAATGCATGGCAAAATACTACAGCAAGCAAACAGTTCTGGGATTGGTTTGATCTCAAAGTGACAGAACTTGACTCTAGTTATTGCTGGGACATTGATAATGCCTTTTCAACCATGTAAGTTATGCACATTTCCAATCAAACAAAGCTTATCCATCCATTACAGCGGCTTGGAATCAAGTAAAAATACAAAGCGAGCAAAAAGCCTTGCGCTCTATATCCCATCGTGTGCTGCAACAGAAGAAAATCCTGATTCGAAACTAACTGTCAAACACTATATTGCTCAACTCAATCAAAACAATTCGGGCATTGTTGATAGTTTGTGCAAAGCCATGTACACTCTTATTTACAATGACTTGCATGTCAATGCTAAGGAAGATCAACCACGTACTAAACTCAGCCATGATACATTGAATCTAGTGACAGATACTATTGCATTACTTGATCTGAACTTCGTAGAATGTATTTTATCTAATACAATGCTATCTAAAAATGACAAGATAGGGGTAAAAACATGTTTGAATGACATATATGTTAATCTTACTTTGACATAGATGATTATGAGAGTAGGTGAATACTTTATGGACCGTTTAATTCGTAAAGAAATGTCAGCTATGGAGGAAAATGTTTTGCAATCACCGTATAATAACAACAAAAGAAAAGTGTCTACATCATTATCAAAGCAATCCAAGATCAAAACGCTAGAAGCTATAACTGACAATACTGAATTTTGGATCGAATTATTTGAGCAACAGTCGTTTTCTCTCTCACTTGAATTTTTTCAGCACGAATTAGGCAGTATTTTGTCAAATGATGAAAGAACAGCACAAGAAACGATTAATAGCCAATTAACAGGACTACAATTGCGATACTGGTCTCTAAAGGGCAAAATGGCACAATGTAGAAATGATATTGAAAACGCTTATGCTTGCTTTTCTAAATGCAAATTACTTGTTGAGAGCTCTTCAAAACCTTTGAAGCTTGATTTAGGAAGGTAAAAAAAGAAAAAAAGAAAAAAAGAGAATTGTGTTGAGACTATGCTTAATGTTTTTTATAGCATGTATGATTCTATCATTGATGTGGAAAGCATTGAGAGAAAACTTGAGCTGCTGCAGGTTGGCAAATTATTTGCAACTGCGAAACAAAAAATGAATTCGGATGATTATGTGGGTGTGATTCATGATATTGAAGATATTGTTAAAGCCAAAATAGGCGTCTCATTCGACGCGCTTCAATTATCAGATGAAGATGTTCAAATGGCTATCATGTTGGCTAAAGCCTACTTCAAAAGTGACAAATTTGCGGACGCTTGGAATTGCTATGTCTCTATCTTTTGCTGTCTTTTGAAGCAATTGATTAGCTATGGTTGCCATCAATTACAGAACAATAACCGTCCTTGTAAAAATGATGATACTGAATTCCTCAAAATGCTTGGACAAATTAATCACACCTTGGACGCATTGGTTTTGTTAGTCTCAAATGTTACTTTTCAAGGTAAAAAATTAGAAGAGACAACATGTATCCTTATTTTTTGTTCTAGACTGGTTACCAGCAAGACATTACCAAGAATTCTTGGAAAACCTGAACAATTTGCTGAAAATGTCAATTTACTACATGTTTAGACATCCAGACTTTGTACCATTTGTTAACAACTTTTCTTCACCTGATGTTCCACCACATACACCTTCTAAAATCACTAAATCAAATAGCTTTAACGAAATTATAATCAAAGGATGGGTTCTTCAGTCGCATTTGTTTCAACAAGCATTCAAGAAGACAACAAATGAATCTATCCGAGAAGTTAAACATGCATGGGCTGAACTGCTCCATTCGTTGCATGATGAATTAGGTGAACGAGAAGTGTGTGGTGTGGCCAAGAGCATCTTTTTACAGCATGTTATGGATACACTTGTGCAAGTAGACGATGTCACTTTTAGAAGAGAAATCTATCAATGCTATCACTGTCTTTACGGCGTGCATCTTGCTGTAAGTTTTGATGTCAAATAGTCCTGTATATTCATGCGTGGTCATCTAGGCTGAATCTGATATGATTGAAGAGCATTACTGTGCTCACAGCGAGTTAGATAAGAAAGCTTCGGAGCCTCTTTTTGCGCTTGTTGCTGATGCATCTATTGAAAAGCTCAAGAACGGCATTTTGCTCAAGAACGATCTAAAAGACGTTGTGGAGACTGTTTCTACGCTATTTTCTGATCTCCCTACGAGACACCCTCTCATCAAGAACAATCAAAGGGTTATCGATGATTATCTGAACAGTAGTATTGAGTTTCGCTCATCACTGGATGTGATGTTGCGCGACGCAATTATCCCTGCTAACCCGATAGATCCATCCAAGACAAATACATCAGGTAAAAATAGTCAATACAGGTTTTACATGACGCTTAATTTATATATTTAGCTGTTTATTACAAGATATTTTGGATAAGAGGTAAAACATTCCGTATTCAGCTTAAGAGTAGATCAAAGGCAACAAACGAAAAACTCGAGAATGCCATTGAAGAATACATGGTAAAGCATTCAGCATGCTAATTAATAGATACTTAACCCATCAAAATAGTCACATCTTGTATTGAACCCTAATGATGCTGAGGCTTGGCGTGATGTAGCTTTATGCTACCAATACTTGGCTGAGATTGAGCTTAATTGGAGTGCCGCGAACATCACAACTCAAAAGGAACTATTGAATGAATATCAACGGGTAAGACTTGAAAAGATTATGTTCGTTTAGCTTAATATCCAATTAGAAATCATTCCATGCGTATATGCGTGCTCTATACTTAGGCAACTTTCCACGTAAAGACGAGGCCAAGAACGAATTCTTTTCCGATTTTGGCAGTCTTTTATGTTCAATCGCATCCCCTCCTATGAATATGGAGCCATTTAAAGGTGATCCATTGCAAACATTGGGAAAGGACGGAAAACTAGTCGGGAAACAAAGCCCACTTCCGCCTGTTACATCAGTATATAAGTTATCACTAGTGTTCTTCAACCGGGCATTACGATATAAGGCTCCGGATCACTTAAGATGGAGGTAAGTATGGCTACGATTCTTCAATGTAACTTATCTTCTTGAATAGATGCTATTATATGACAGGCAAATGTCTTGCTAAAATCAGTAGACCACCAAAGGTAAAGAAAATGATCGTTCGATTTTATTTGGATATTTATTCCTATATAGGAAGTGTTGAGTTGGTACCTTAAATCGGTTAGCTGTACGAAATTCAAGAACGAACGCAAAGAACAAGAGTCAGTCTATGTTTTTTATTCTGCTCTTGTCAAATACCTGTATCAGGGGAAAATAGATGCTCAGACTGTAGAGTCATACATATCTGCTGAACATTCTCTGAAGAAAGCGAACACGACTAACGTAGATCAAGGAATAGACCAAAATATATTTGAACCCACTTACCATGAAGGAAGTCTAAATAATAATCAGTTGATGATCCCAACAACTAACCTTGCAATACATTTACCTTCAGATGTCGCTCATGCATATGACCTAATCCTTCAGCGTCTCATGAGCATCCGATCAATTGATTCCAAGACTTGGTTCCACAACGCCATTTATAGAGTAAGTTGAATTTACAGAAAAACAATTAACTTAAAATGTCATCAGATTGCTTGGATGTATTTTTATGTTTACCGCCATCCTGAAAAAGCAAAAAATGAACTAACCAAACTATTCACACTTAACAAGACAGTTAAGAATCATATTGTTGTTTGGGAACAAGGATCTTTAGAACTGTAAGTACTCTACTAAAATATGACGATAATAATTTAGCGAATGTAGACCTGGAAAAAGATACACACATGTAGATAAATATACACACTTTTTCATAAAAATCTCAAAAGAAGTCAACGACCAACAGACGCTAAAGAATCTGTACCGCAAACTCCGTCGTGGACAAGGATTCATCATTAATGCTAAAAAGATATTCCGAGAAGCTTACTCTTCTTACCTACAGGTAATACTAAATATATAAATCCAAAAAAAAAACTGAAATGTTGTATTTTTAGATGATTCAATTTCAACTCAACAACACATACAATGCTCAGCATACAATAAGAGCAATTCAGTCTTCTCGAATACAAGCTGTTAGATTTGAAGCAATGTGCAGTACATTCGTAAAGGCATTCAATGAAAATAAATCTCAAACAAATGCAGAGCTTCATGGTTTTCTACAAGATCTATCGGAGTTAAAGCGTTTGACACACGGATACATTGCAAATATTGATGTTACTCAAGATGGTCTTGATGATACTATTCAGCTTTGTTTTGCTGTAGTTGCATTTGGTGATATTTACAAATTACAGGAAATCCAAGATGCTGTTGCTGTTGAGGGTGAAAGTATGGAAAACCATCATGAAAAGCTCATGAACATATTATCCACGCAAGCAAAAGTTCTGATGCAAAATACAGTTGTTGCCACACGTTAAACTCTCTCTTTTGAAAGAATAAATTTCTTTTCTAACGTCAGGAGTCGTCTCTAAAAGCGCAATGATTACATTAAACAAAACATAACCACCTTAAGGAGCCTCTGATGATTTTTCAAGTATTCTATGCTGAAGTATGTGTCAAAGTATTTAACTGAATTTACAACTGCGTCTTTCACTTCCGTCCATTTACTCTAAAGTTTCCAGTGCTTTCTTTTTTAGGCTTTATGGGACTCTTTTTTGTCTATGCTGACAGTTGATCATCATCTGCTAATGGCTTGATTCTATTTTCCATTCAGAAATTTAGGATATTCTCTGTTTATTTTCACATAGTAAGATGGCCTCTTCCTATTATATTTGTTAGACAAGAATTATTCCGCTTGACATATTTATAGTGGCTCACAGATATCTGTCTATAGTCAAGTTATCATTCCTAATAGATTTATTTTGTCTAAACTGTGGCATGTGCTCCGGCTAATCTCAGTATCACAATTGACTGAGTGATTTCAGTATGTGTTTCGTCGTATATTTCCTCATTTCAGTCTTGATTCCATGTGCCAACCTCGCTCTCGAAGAGGATTAGGGTTGCTCAAACCTCGAATACAGCAAGATTTACTAAAACTTACAAGTATAAAAACTGAACTAGTACAAAAACAAGAATTGAACTTTGCTTTTAAGCTCGAAAACATTGGGAATGGAGACGCTGTAAATAGCTTCATTTTAAATTAGTAGACTGTTGTACAACTTAGCGTCCCTTACAGAATTACAAACAATATCAATTGCAATTACATGCAATGGTGTAGATCAGATTTATTGATGTCAATGTCTGTAAGAATTCAATAGAATGACTCGTACACTTTATTCTTATTTTTATTTTTCGCTCGCTTAAACGCATGAACGGAAGCTGAAAAACAAAACATATTCTTTATTACCCTATAGAGTTAATAGTTATATATAGCAGGCTTATAAGAAACTTTAACTTAAAGTACAGCGTATTCCAGGGTTACTACTACTATTATTACTACTGCTACTACTAACAACAAATATTACAGATACATTCTAGAACAATGAACTCCTTATTGACCACCTTTTAAACGCATCAATGAAATACTGGAATTACTTAGCATTACATGTCAGGAGGTTTATACAACTTCAGCCAAGTTTTGTCCTACCTTGAAACAATTTTTCTGGCAAACATTTAGTACACAAATCAGAAATTTAAATTGCATTTCCGTGTATCATGTCGTCTTTCACTAAAGTAGCTGGAAAGGCAAAAAAAAACTACGAGTGCATGAGTGAATCTATATATACATATGTATAAATATATCTTTGCATATATGCATGCAGTTTAAGCAAAGGAGACAAAGCTGATTGAAAACGATTCAATTTTGCTTGTGCATGATATTCTTTATAGATGCTTTAATTGCACCAATTCACAAATGGTTTAAGTTTCTATCGTTTTTTGGTGGTAATTCCCAACTTTTGAATTCTAAATTGAAAACTGGTTTGCACTACTTTATTGTCTGTTAACTTTTTGAATGCTTTTTAGTTCTATTTTTGGAACGGTGATTTGGTTACTAAAAGTTTTGTATAAAAGGAGCTGTTAAACTGCTCTTTCTTTTGCATCCTCATCTTTTTTCTTTTTCAATGAAATTTTCTCTTTTTGCGGTTTCTGCCGGTTTACTTTCTTTAGCTCAAGCCGCTACTGTTGAATTCAAGATTGTTGCACCCGGCGCAAAGTCCGTTCAAGTTAGCGTCAATGGTCAACTCACTCAATTAAATGCACCCTATGCCAATGTTCCCTTCTATAATGGTACTGCTGAAATTGGTGCCTCTACTTCATACAACTATGTCGTTGATGGCAATGCTGAAACGTTCACTCGTGCTCTCTCCTCAAACATCACAGCCACCTTCAATGACTTCTTTGATCGTCCTATCACTGTAGCCAATATCCCTGCATTTCCTCGCCCCTTAGACAACGGCAAGCAATGGAACAGAGCTGATCAAAACCCTGATCTTTTTGACTCTAACTACATGCCCACCATCTTTGCTCATGGTGACCAATCCAGTTTGGATAACCTTGTTGAAAACGTTCCTAAAGAAAAGGTTACTGTTGATTTGACTTTTGTTGGTAGAGACTATGTTCAACAATTTACTAATGTCTCATTGGGCATTTCTGGTGCTGGTAAAAAGCACAATCCTGCCAAGCAATCTTGGAGAATGTATCTTTCCGAAGGTGATTATATCAACAACCGTAATATCTTCAAGATTCGTCATATGGAAGAAGATCCTACTCAAATGCGTGAGAAGCTTTATGCTGATGTCCTTCGTGCCATGGGTACCTATGCTAATCAAGCCAATATGGTCCGTTTCTTTATTAATGGTGAAGGTTTTGGTACTTTCAACATGCTTGAAGATGTCGATAGATACTCTTACATTCGTGCCAACTTTTATGCTGGTAACCCTCCCGCACAGATGGGTCCTGTCTACGATGGTGGTACTGGTGCTAGCTTCAAATACTCTGAAAACATGGATGACTATGCTGCTTTTGAAGCAACAAAGGGTTCTCCTGAAACCTATGAAGCCATTGCTCCTCTGGCCAAGGCTTTCCATGACACTGATGTCAAGGACAACAATGCTATTCAAGAATTCGAAAAGATGTTTGATATTGATCAATTCTTGCGCTTCATGGTTATGGAATACCTTACTGGTAGTTGGGATGCTTACTGGATGATGCAATCTAACGATGGCGCCTACAAGGACTATGCTAACAACAACACTTGGTATTACTTGGGTCAGGTAAGGAACAAGCGCATTATTTCAAATTGCAATGTACTTATTAATAATACAGGATTACGATGCCACCTTTGGTGTTAACCTTGCTGAGGATGTCATGAACCTCTCATACAAAGACTACCCTGCAAAATACCCTGATGCTGTCTTGATCAACGGCTTCCTCCAAAACGATGATCTTCGTACAAGATTTGAAACTTACCTTGTTGACACAGTCAAGAGTTTGTTCAATAACAATACTCTTGGCAACCACATCATGGCTTACCGTGAATACATTGCTCCTGACCTCAAATGGGATCGTTCTATTAAACAAAGATCACCCGGTATGGTCTTTGGCTGGAGCTATGAACAGACCTACGATGGTCTCTTTACTGAAGTTGTTGCACCTGGCGCAGAGAGTGGTGCTGCCTATGGTCTTACTCAATGGATTGCCATGAAAGCTGCTGTTGTTGCTAAAGAATTCAACTTCTCCTTGTAAAAAAACTGAATAATCATATCCCTTTATATCATAAGAAACAACAGATTAATACCTCTTGTAAAAATAAACGTAATTCTGTAATAAACTATTTACTATCAAAAAGGCTATTGACAACTTTTTCTTGTTTCGGATCATGTTCCGTTCCGAAAAACCCGATTTTTCTTTACTAACTTTTTGTAGATCTCAACCAAAATGGTCTGGATTACAACCAGTATTTCTTCTTTTGAATAGAAAGGCTATTCATAGAATGTACATTTTCAATAAAGGAATGCAAGGAAGCTTATTTTTTTTCTGAAAATACTTGCAAAATAAAGAATGGTAAAGGGGTGAAATTATTTTAACTAGCATGTGATGTTCATTTCAGTAGGACAGCTAAGCAAGAGCCACCAATACTTATATATGGTTTCTTGTCTACTTTCTTTTCCAAAAAGTTTCTTAGACAGCTTGACTTGAATGTGAGGAAATAAGGACCTATTCAAGTGCATTTGGTGTTCCTATAGGACCAAATCTTGAGACTTAAGATGTAATGTCCAAGTTCATATTTGAGAGGGACACAAAGAATGATTCTTCAGGAAAGTAAAGAAGAAAAACCAAAATTGATATTAACTTCTGTTTTGGCTTAGCAGTTATACAGACAGATTGTTCTATTTTTATTATAGTCTTCCTTAAACAACAAGCATATTTGTTTGAATAGAATTTCGAGTTTTATTGCTTTTTAAAAAAAAATGGACAACAATTGGTATTAAGGACTCATAAGAAAGGAATGCGTGCCAATCACAACAGATTGCTGTCATGCTTTAAAAAATAAATGACCAGATCAATAGTTACACACACTTCTAAGACTATACTAAACTTTCTTGTGTAATGATTTATACAAGGACCATCTGGCTTTTGCGCTACTTCCTTTCATTCTTCGTCTTTTTCTCTCTTTACTTTTTGTTTTTGATAAGACAACTAAAACCAACAGCCTTCTTTTTACTTTATTTATAGACCTATACTCATCTCGCTGGAATGACTTCAACAGCTGTGAGGTAGCCTTCATCTCTATGACCCTATAAATTTCGTTGCTTACCCATTAAAATAGAGTAGGCCTTCGTGTAAGACCTTTGACGCAAAAAGAACAGCTGGAGAATTGTACAGAATGTATTAGTTTTATACCAAATGAACCACAAATTTTAGTAGGCACCGATAAATCATTCACATATGATTATGTGTTTAGCAATGAATCTCACCAACAACAAGTCTACGAAAAAGCAGCCAAACCTTTATTGGAAAAACTTCTTAAAGGGTAAACTTGATTAAAAAAATATTTTTTTCTTTTTTTACTTACATTTCATATAAGATTTAATGCCACCATTCTTGCTTATGGGTAATATAAGCGCTCATTTAATTCTGATCTTTACTGATTATTTTTCCTTATAGTCAAACAGGTTCAGGAAAGACGTATAGTATGGGTACAGGCCTCGAGAATGCATCTAACCCTGAGCATGAAGGTAAGGAAAAGCAATATACTTTATATGCACGTTGCCGTTCATCGATTCACTCCTTTTTTTTCTTTTTGTATAATTTCTCATCCTATTTGTACAACTTGACAGGCATTGTACCACGTTGTATAGTTGACCTATTCCGAAACTTGGAGGAACAATCCGAGTCCAATCCAGACTTCAAATACGAAGTATACGTCTCCTTCTTGGAACTGTATAATGAAGAATTAATTGATTTATTAAGTCCACAACAACAGCAACTACCTGCTGCTTCAAAACGAAGGAGTGGCATGCCTCCACCTGCAGCTGCACCGGTTGAAGTAACAATTCGTGAAGATATAGCAGGCAATATCTACTGGAGTGGTGTCCGTGAAGAGCCTTGTAGTAACCCCGAGGAACTCCTGTCATTCTTGGCAAAGGGGTCGCTTTGTCGTACTGTTGGTTCAACTGACATGAACACTGTTTCTTCTCGTTCACATGCTGTGTTTTCAGTCATTTTAAAGCAACAAAAATCACCCTCTGAACCTTCATTAACAAGTAAATTTCATTTTGTCGATTTAGCTGGTTCCGAAAGAGTAAGCCTTTTTTCTTTCTTGCATTTTCTCAAACTAACGCTGTATAGTTAAAACGTACACATGCTCAAGGCGACAGAGCAAGAGAAGGTATCTCTATCAATTCGGGTCTGTTAGCATTGGGCAACGTCATTTCTGCACTGGGAGATGACGCTCGCCGTACCAGTCATGTTCCTTACCGTGACAGTAAATTGACACGTTTGTTACAAGATTCACTCGGTGGAAACAGCCAAACGTTGATGCTTGCGTGTGTATCACCGGCCGACTCTAATTTTATGGAAACCTTAAACACATTAAAGTATGCCAACCGTGCACGTAACATCAAAAACAAGGTCACTATCAACCAAGATTTCGCAGGATCTTCGATTGAAGTCAATCAACTTCGTGCTCAACTAGCAAGACTCAGGATGGAACTTGCTTCCGTAAGACAAGAGTCAAATGGCAATGACAAGACACGCTCTAATCATGCTGATGACGAAGTCCGTGCTTTGCGCTCCGAAGTAGCACGACTGCGGGACCGTATCCAAGACCTTTCGACAAATTTGATTCAAGTCACAAGCGAACGTGATACAATGGTTATGGAGCGCGAACTAGGCGAGTTTATGAACCAAACAGCTGACGAATCTCTGTCATCAAATGGTGATACTCCTGTTGTACAAAACTCGGTTAAGACACACCCGCTCATTGCTCAGTACCAGAAGACAATTGCTGATTTAACCAATGAACTCACTGATACACGCGACCGACTTGGGTTTTTAGAAAACACAAAATCTGCTGGTATGCATGCAATGGCTATGGGCAGTAGTACACCTATGAATTTTTCAGGCACAACTTCTTTTTATAGACCAGAAATCAGTATGTCTACCGCTCGCCGTCACAGTAATAAGCCTAGTCGCCGTGGAAAACGATCTGCCAATTCAAGCACAACAACCACTACACCAGCAAGGCGCCGAGTGGCAAGACGAGGTCCTTCTTTATCTCAGAGCTCAAGTCTAAAGACATCTCGAAAGAGACGTACCAAAAAACGTTACCAAAACGATGCCGATAGCGAAGATGATGATAAATATATTAAAGATAGCTTGAATGAAGATGAAATTAAACAAAGCATTGCTAAAGCCAAGGCAGAAATCCAAAAGGGCATGGAAGTGCTTGACTTGATCAAGCCTATGGAAGACGCAACTCAATCTTGGGAAGACGAATTGGAAGCATTCGAAAAGGCTGAAAAAGAAATGTATGAAAAAGCTAATCAAATTGAGCCTGTTGAATCAGACGAAGGCAACTACTCCGCAAGTTCTTCACCTATTGATGACAGTCAACGACAAGAAAACGATCTTGATTTAATGATGGAAATTGAAGCCTTGTCAGTACCTTCTTGGAATCACAAGTCAACCACAACGTCTGCTAGAAAGCCTCCTCGTCTTGAAGATGATACCGAATCGTCTACTGTATCCTACTCTTCCACAAGCTCCAATTTCATCAAACAACAAGAGTCTGTGATTTCTCAGACAGAAAAGCAAAATCCTCAACTTGTTCGTATGCTTCATCAAATCCAATCAGACATTCGTGTTAAAGAAGAACTTGTATCTCATCTCGAAAAGTCAGAAACCAAGTATGCTTTTATGCGTCGCAAGTTTGATGAAAAAGTATCTGAACTACACACTCAACTTGCAGAACTCCAAAAGGATAGAGATAGAGCCCTTGCCAAAACAAAATCTAGCTTCTCTTCCGTGCCCAACCGCAATGATATTTCTGTCCAGATTAAAGAAAAGCAGCAATTGATTGAAACACGCCAATTGTATGAAAACAAAATGAAGCAATTGGTACTAGAAATTCATGACTTGAAACGCAACTACACACGTACTATTAACAACTTACAATCTACGCGTAATCAGCATGAATCTTTGCTTAAATCACTTCGTGTGAATGTGGAAACTCTCAAGGTAGAAAAGAAGCGCATGATTAAGCGCATGAAGCAGGAGACTGAACGTGTACGTGAACAAATGGCCAAGCAAGAGCGCAAGATTTCCAAACTCCAAAGACAGCATACTGAAATTAGTCATGCTCGATTAAAATTGGAGAAAGAACATGAGGCTCAAAAATTAACTTTGAAGCGCCGTGATAAAGAAATTCTGATCAATAACAGTCAGTTGAAACAACTGATTGACGTCTTGAAGAAGGCGGTACGTGAAGGTGGATTGCTCGATGATCAATTGCTGGGCAAAGTGTCACATATTATTGGTGGTAACTTTGCTGCTGTCGCTCGCCGTGGTGGTATGCGTAACTTGCCAGGCTATCGTCAACCTCGTAAAAAGAAGAATCCCATTCCAGTTCAAGTACGAGTTGCTCGTAAAAAGGAGTTATTGGACAAAATGCTGTATCAGTTTATTCAAGGTAAACAAGCCATTGTTGAAATGGAGCAACTGTTGTTTAGAAGAGAAAGACTTGCCTCAGAAAAGATGGAGTTGTTGGAAGAACGTAAAAATATCTTTATGGCCGAAAAAGAAGCAGCTGATATGACAGGAGAACCTATGGACATGCTTGCTATTGACCTTGCTGATGAGCGTATTGATCTGTTGGAAGCAGAAATTTCATACTTATCTGCTCGCATTAGAGCATTGCAGTCTGAGGCTGCTGGTGAATCAGATGATATGGCCACTGTAGATGAACGTCTTCAAGAAAAGCGCAAGGTAACATTTGCTGATGATATTGTAAGTGATCCTCTACCAAGCGAAGAATGGGCTGACATGGATGCTCTTGAAGAGCAATTCAACGTGCCCTCTAATGCTGCTCCTGAGCTTGTTTATGATGCTACATTGAAACTCTTGAAGACTTTGGAGGCTGACGAATGTCGCAGTATCACAGAAGCACTTGTGGATGATATCTCAAATGCTCGTATGAGCGAATGTAATCGTCAAATGACCATGCAGAACTTGGAAAAGACCGTACAAGACTTGAGAAGAACTTTGATCGTCATGAAGCGTGCAGCTATTGCCACAACAGTTGAAAACGAACGTCGTATTCGTAAACTGGAAGAAAAGAACAGCGGTTTTAGCAAGAGTGGCAATCGTCTTGATGATAAGATTGAAGATTACATTATGAACAGTGGCAACACTATCTTCGATAAGATCTATGAAGATGGCCTTCGAGGCATGATCGGCACTCCTGAACCAGACTTTATACTCAATGATTCTCCCGATGAAGCCTCTTCTTCGACTTCTAGTTACGATAGAAGAAGTAGTACTCATTCTGATGGCTTAATACCTCCCCCTTCACCATTGACTCTCCCAGCATACACAAACAGCCCTTCTATGCTGACAACCAATCTGATGCTTTCTCCTACACGTCCTCCTACAAGTAATGGCATTCGTGCCCCTGCATCTTTGACTGAAAAAGGAAGTATGATGCGTGTCAGTAGCAGCAACTACCCCACAAGAGATTCTACTCCTTCTCCAGACCGATTCTACAATATGATCCAAAAACGTTTGTCATGGCAGCAACGTGTAGGTGGATCTGAATCACCTATTCCCATGACAATGGCTAATCCTGCTGAATTTGCACGCTATGCCATGGATCGCGAGTCTTCTACTTCTTCCATTCACAGTGGTCATTTGCGTCGTGCTTCTCTCCAGTCCGATTATTCTTCCTCACAAAATTCATACAATAATCATACAGGCCCTCCTACTGTATCTTCTTCCCAAAGCTCGTCTCGAAAGCGTGCATTTTCTGTTCAACAACCACCTGTTCAACCTCAATTGCTTCAACAAACATTAGCCAGAAGACGTGCCTCTTTACGTGAACTCTCCATGAAAGGAAGTAGCAATGTATCGCCCATGATTCATAATAGTACAACCAGTTATATGTCTGAGCATGACCTTGAGGTGAGTATGTCAATACAAAGAGGAGCTCCAAAACGTGCACCTGCGATTAGTATGTCAAATCTTGAACGGGTGGGCACACCTACAGGAGGCAATGTATTCCGTCGCTTATCTCAAACACCAACACGTGCATCTCAAGCAAAGATATCGCATCGTCATAGTAGCAGTAGCATGGATGAGCTCAGATTGCATTGGGAGCAACAAGAGCAAAGATCCTCAAGTGCCATGAGTGGCTCTTATTGTGGTGATTAATTCTTTTTATTGTAATACTACATTGTGTACTATTTTGTAATCTCTTAATTCTTTTTATATATATCATGTTAAATATTTTTTGAATAAACACTTCTTTATTCGCCCTCTTCTTCTTCATCCATTGAGAGCACTTTTGAATACCCATTTGATGCTATTACACAAAAGATTCGTCGCCTTTCTCGTCCATTACAACCTATCTTGACATCCAACATACTGCGTAAAGTCTGAACACGAACAGGCTCAAAGAACAAAATTAATGCATTATATAGACAAAACGAGTGTGCTTACCTCTAGACTATCTGATACTAACTCATCTCCTGTTAAGTTTTTAAATTCAAGTCTGTCCAAAAAAACTGTCTGCAGATATGTTTCTATTATAAAGGATGAGCAATAACACTGTTTCCTCTGCATAACTTACCATCTTGTCCTTCCACTAAAATGCTTAACTCTTTATCATCAAAGAACTCAAAATCAGTTATTGGACCTGTAGTAATTAAAGATGTATATTGCATAATCGAGTGCTTGATCTCTTTTCTCAAAACAATCACTAATGAATGATTAGTGCATGTAATAAGTATTTCACTTACGACTTGGTTTTGGACTGAGTTGGACGAGGGCATAGAAGATAGTTTGCTTAGTAGGCTAATTCAAACTCATTAACGCATAATTTCATTAAAAGAAAAAGCGCTTACTGAAGTGATTGAAACAATCTTTTGCTTCGGTTGGTTTTGTAACAAGATACCATCAAGCGTGAATGAACTAATAGAAGCAACACAGATCTTAGTAGAAAATATTTTCGAAGGTTTCTTGAGCATCTTTTCACAGCAAATGGATAGGTCGCTTAATCGTTCAATGAGGCTTTTTTGTTGTTCTGATGTTTGTGAGTTGAAAGGATATCTTCTCTTCTTCTTTTTTTTGTTTTACCTGTCGAAATGAAATAAGGTGCCATATAATCCTTGACAAAGTTTGTATCTAAATACGTGAGAACTAATTCTGGTTCTTCACAAAGACTTGATTGATTCTCGAACTCAACAGAATCAGCAGCAGATATTTTTTGAGAAACTTGGTTTGGTAAATTAGCTGGAATCACTTGTTGAATTTAACATACCGGCTGATATCCATTGAATAAATGCTTCAAAAGACTTTGTTAAGATATTGAGTGATTTGGTATAATCAAGCATTTGTCTGACAAATTGTTGTATGCATTCAATACACGTCTCTACTGAACTTGTCTCTAGAAAATCACCATAACGCTGTGTCCTAAAGTTTAATTTTTAGCATACTGTTTATATAGAAAAGAAAGATTCACCATAAGCTATAGCCTAATAATTTGCTCAACTCAAGCTGTATTCTATCGCATGCTGGCAGGACATACTGGCAAGCTGTCACAAGCGAATTTTGGTATCCATGTGTCATGGTGCTTTCCCATTCTTTGATTTTCTAGAAAAATACTATCAATTCTATTGATTTTTTGGTTGTATTGTACCTGAGGTGTGAGAAAGTCTGTAAAAAACTCTTGCAGTGATTCAGTTACATTTCCAGTGGCCAAAGTACCGATAAGATCCACTTCAGGCATAGCATTTGCTTCCTCTAAAACAACAATAAGATAAGTATAACGTATTTAATCAGGCTTACCATTGTGATTAGTGATGTTCTCTGCAGCCATTGCGGCAATTCTTCGAGAAAATGCTGTATAAGAATCGTAATGCCTTTTTAGTACCTGGGTTGAGAATTCTGTATATTGAAGTAAATAGTTTAATTGAGCTTGTCTTTCTGATATGCTAAAGATTTCTTCTTTTCGTTGATCCAAGAATTCAGTATTAATTGTATAAAATCTGAATTCATTTGCTGCTGATTTAGTTAAGATCTGCAAGCTTGACGTGCTTTGAGCAATAGAGATGTCAATGATGGACGAGTCTTTATCATACTCTTTGAGACTGATATGACAGATAGGGTATATGCCACTTAGTCTATGAAATAAAGAAGTTCAGTTTTTATAATTGTTTCTCTGTATAGGCTTACAAGGTATGTACACGACCATTTTGATCACCAATAAACAGCAATGTTTGTGTGTCAGAATGTTTGACAGGTTTATTAGGTAGATTTGGTCTTTTATTTTTTGGCAATAGAAAGCGAGATCTAATAACGGTTAAATGATGGTTCTTTTTTTTTTGGCCATACACTTACAATGGTTCTAATGGCCGCTCATTGCTTAATAATGGTAATGCAGACTCCAAATCAAATGCATTACTATCAAATCCCTCCTAATAACATTGAAGTTCATAAAAAAATATACAGCCAAAACTTACTATTTTCATCTGGCTCTTATTGTAGTTATAGTTTGTCCATACAAGAGAAGTAATTGGCACATTCTTTTCTGGATTTGTTTCATGCCAACAAGGAGAAATACTAGGCGAATGATATCGAATATCAACTTTGTATACTGTTCCGTCCTCACACCCAAGAACAAATTCCTTTCCTATAATGTGTTAGTATAGAATAAATAGGTATAGACATGTTACCGTTGGGATTCCAAGTGGTAACTCTGATGTCGGAATCAATCTGATCTTCAACAGACCAAACTAAATCAACGCCATTTCGATAAAGAAAAAGATGGTTTAAAGGGGATACAAATAGAACAAGATCAGTTGTAGGACACCAAGATATAAACTTGATATCTTCATATAGTATCTTTTCGCCAAAGAGTGGAAAAGACATGAAGAAACAAAGAATATGTTTTTTTTACTGTCATATTTTGTAATCGTGACTGCAGTTCCAAAACCAGGTACGCATGAATTATCGAAGTAAAACGCTCTATATTTCAAGGCATAATTGTTGTAAGCATTACTACAAGATTTAAAGCGTTTCAAATCTTAATAGATATTCTTTCTTGATATAAATAAATGGTTTTTATGCGTTCAATAAATAGCTGGTTTCTTTATGAATATAATGAATAAACTTTTTTCTCTTTTCAAAAACAATGAAAGTGATATAGAGTAAGACATATACAGTTATGAGAAGGCCATCTTAGCCCAAACCTTGAGAGTGATTGCTCCAGTCCAATTAGTCGGCTTTTTCTATAGTAAGCGACACATTCAGCTTAAGAAGGCGTAATGTCATTTGCATAATTTAATGAAGTTAATGATTCATTGTATAGAGAAAGGCTCAAATAAGCAATGCATATTTATGTACATAACCCGAAAATTTTCTTTATGTTGCAACATATCTTTTGAACTATTTCTTTAGTTTATATATAATATAATAGTTGAGTTATACAAGAACGAAACTTCAAATTGAAAGGGAGTTTCATGTATAAAAGAATATTACAACCTTTTTTCTAACATTCACAGTATATAATGAACTTTAAATGTAGATTTGAAGCCAATGCTCAGGTTGATTCGACTTTTTCATCTTGGAAAACTCGCTTTCTTTTCATTAGAAGTATTTGGACATGGTCTTTCTTCACTTCAGCTGGATCAGACCTACATTGGATCATTCTAAAAATTTCTAATAGTTTTGTTTTTTTTTTTCATCTCGGACCTCCGTGAATCCTCCATGGGTCAAAAAATGAATTTCACCCAACAGCCAAACCAATGGCACCATTCAAAAGGACATTTTCTAAATGAAAAAAACGGGCTGTTCTGATAGTCTGATTGTCGAGTAATGGTCCATCAAAGAATGATGCATTTAGGCAGTGTTTTGAGCATTTTTGCCCTAAGCACCATATAAAACATGTTAGCTACAGATATTTTTATAGCACAATAGGTCATTTTGGGTACGAAATAAAATAGGAATATAAAAATATAGGCACCTTATAATGTAAATGTGGGAGCAAATGAACATAGAATATGCAAGATGACTATGTACGGAGATTGAGATGGAAGTCAACTTCGATTCTTCATCCTACCACAATAAGAATTGAGCGTTTGCTGAGAACTGCATGAATACGCAGCTATTGGGCTTTGGTGTAGTGACAAAAGTTGTGGATTTTTACTTTCTGAGTCTAGTAAAGTAAAGAACGCTTCAACTTTGCTGCCAAAATCTTAAGAAAATGGACAAAAATGTTTCTAAGTTTTTTCATTCATATCTCATCATTGCTATACCACAATTGACAATTAAACGTATTCACTAAAATCTAGAGCCTCTGGTGCTCATTTTGAGTATTTAAGCTTGTTGACAACTCTATTTTTTATCGTATAACATCAAAAAGAAGCTCAGAGAGTTGTCAGGTTGGATATTGCCATGACTAACACTCTTTGGTTTTGAGAGATTTTTGGCCATTTCTTACATGTCACTTTTTTTGTCCAAATCAACTCCAAAGGTATCATATAAGATAGTAAGCATTGTTTTTATGCACCTAAATTATTCATGCGTATATAAACAGGCTTTACAATGTCTTCATATTTCTAGGAAAAAGAAGAAGACCTACCTTTTTTTTTTACTGTCAAATCATTCATCTGCCTGGATCCTTTGCTACATGGGTTAGGTATGTGCCATCAAGTAGCTTATCCAAATAGAATATCTTGATAAAAAGACGATTGATCTATTTAGATAAAAAGAAAGCGAAGATTTGCTTGTAAAAGTGTCAAAGCGTGGATGAAAATTCACATCAACTTTATGAGGCATTAAATCCGGTATAAATTATCAATAGCATCATATATTTACAACTATAACTTAACTACTTTCTTCATATGTATTAAAGGCGCATCTAGCTTAAAGGTACAATCTTATTTGCATGATTTGATCCTATATCTTCAACGAATAAATGTCTTGAAATAAATAATTTGCAACTAATTATGCAGTCGTTGCCTTTTTGATAGTGTCAAATTAATAAAAAAAATTTGAATATCAACCCGTTAATCACACTGAGCTGGTATTAGATTGACTGGTTCATCTAATGTGGGTCCTTGTACAGCAGTAATCAGTAAGTTATCTGGATTAATCTTTTACTACTTAAATTTCTGTATGGAGTAAAGTCCTTCACAGGTCATGCTGAACCCTGATACAAGCAATCATCTAAAGATTTAGACCTATTCTTGACTCAATAAACCGCATTATTTGTTCGATCTTGATTTTTCTGTTGTTATTTGACATTGATAAGTTAGCAAGAAATGGTATGTATGAGCATAGATGAGGAAAAGCAAAATAAGGCAAGAAATAACAAGAAATAGCACAAACAAACAAATACAAGCATGAATGAGCAAGGAATAGCAGAACTAGCATAAAATAGTAAAAAAAAAAAAAAAAAAAAAAAAAAAAGCAAAAAAGGCATGAATGAGCAGTGACCAGTAAATTTAAATTTCTCGAACTTGTTCAGTCCCTCTTAAGGGAACAAGGATAAAAATGCATATAGGAAAAGGTTTTTTTTTTGTATTGAATGAAATTTTATTAGTAAAAATAAAAACATTGAAGGATGGTCAAGTGTACACAGAGTGAAGTGACTTACCATATAATTATCTTTTCTATTGTCTATTAAGCAGTTTTGTTCTTCATTTTTGATATCTTGAGTATTTCTTTGGTGATTCTTTTGGTGATTCTTTCAGGGTCAAAGGGCACTCCATGGAAATGTTGTTGGAAATGACCGCCCCAGATTGATCTGATAAGTGTCGCAAAGAAGTCAAATATATTGATCTTGACATCTAAGTTGTAAATGAGGTATCTTGATAGTGTGAGATTTTTAAGATCTTGGAATATTTTATCTGAATCAATTTCGATTGGGTAGCCAAGGAACTTGTTGAATATATATTGCCAAATCATTGCCTTATTGCCACAAGAGATCAGTAGGTGTTTGGCATCTTCTATTTCATTGCAACTGACACATCGATCATTTTCGATGTCTTTTATTTTTCTTTGGAATAGGAATTCTCTGCTTGGGATTCTGCTGTGTATCATTTTGAACCAGATGTTCCTCACGGATTGATGCATTGGTGCCTTATAGAATTGTTTCCATTGACGGGACTTGATGTTGGCATTGAAGTCGCTTGGCATTTGCAATGGAATGTTCTCCAGCATTATTCTTCTGACGCCTTGGTTGTTCAGGGACAAAATTTCACTGTTTTCATATTGTAGCTCCTTCAGATACTTCTTAAAGCCCACGCAGTGCTGAGTCTCTCCTATGGTATTTTGTTCGATATGTCGCAGAAAGAATTGCTTGAACTGTAATGTATTGCAGGAAGTGTATCTCTTCAATTTTGCTAGTATTACTGGTCTATTACAATGGAGTTTGCTTTTGAAGACAATACGGTTGGTTGTTAAGTCAAGGTTAAAAAAATGTTGAACTAGGCTTTTCTTTGCGGTTGGACTGCCAATGAATGTCAGCTCAGCGTTGTCTTCCCAGTCTTTGAAAACAGCTGAAAGTGGTAGGGTTATACAATCGATAGCTGATAATGATATTTGGGCTTCGTCTTTTGGTCTACAGAATTTTGTCAAAACATCCATTGTTTCAAAGATCGGTCTAAGCGCACCCTCTTTGTTCACAGATCTTTTGTATCTAGAGTCGGGGAAGAGCACAATGGATTCAAGGCTTGGGTTATTTGTTTCAACTTGAAGAATGTATACCATCATATTATACAGGTACTTTGGGATTCGTTTGAATTGCTCATAGTTGAGCAGAGCTTCAATATATCTCATCTGTAGAGATCCTTGTTGGGCAAACAAGTTTAACAGTCCCAGACCTCCTTTAGCCTTAGGTAGGTAAAAGACATCCTTCTTGATTTGCAATTTCTTCTCATCGACTGTATACTGGTAAATGATTGAGTTCAAGGTCGAAAGTACAGCTTTGAGTAGTAGTGTCAATCTGAGCACATGCCATAGTTTGGAGAGTATTATTGTGTTGGCTATATTTGCCCTACCGTACATAGAGATATTTCTTGTTTTGAAAAAGGCCACTTGAGCTCTGATTCTTCCAGTCATTTCGGCCACAAACACATTTCTCTGTTGTTTTGTTACGTAAATTGGGTATCCAAGGTATTTGATATAATCAGCACTGTTGTAGTCGTACTATTTCATACGTTGTTGGATGTACGTTTTCAATCTTACCCCAAAATATCCATTCATTTTACCTCCATGTAGTGGAAAGGCTTGGGACTTTTCGTAGTTAATCTTGGAGTTTGGCGCTTGACTATATGTCTTGAGACATTCTTCCATTTGCATATACTCCGATCTAGATTTGACAAATATGATAATATCATCTGCATAGGCTAAGACCTTGACAGGTGGTGGAGGAGTGAGTTGAACTGTTCTTTGATCTGCTGGTTTGGTAGCTTGAATTAAATATCCTGAGATACTGTCATTGTTAATAATTGTTAGCAGGAATGGCTCAATGGCAAAGTTGAAAAGTATTGGTGATATAGAGTCTCCTTGTCTTAGTCCTCTTCGCTGTTTCACTGGATTTGATAGAAGCCCATTCATGTTGATGAAAATTTCATTGTCAAAGAAAAGGTTCTGTATGCATCTAACAAATTCGTTAGGAAAGCCAAACTTCAATAGTACTTGTGTAAGATAGTATGGATGAACCCTGTCATAAGCTTTGTTATTATCAAGCATCACTCCAACGTATTCTTCAAATTCTTGGTTGTTTCCTGCTCTGGTCATTTTGGCATTGTCGATCATCATTCTAAGAGCTAAACCTTGGTCTCCAATAAAGCGCCTTGGCATAAATCCAGTTTGGAATTTGGTGATAAGCCGATTGGCGATTTCCATTATTCTTGCATTCATTAGCCTAGTGAAAACTTTACAGTCTGTATTTATCAGCGTGATTGGCCTCCAGTTTCCTAAGTCTGATAAGTCCCCTTTTTTTGGTAGCAATACAGCACACGCTTGCTGCCATGATCTTGGAAATTTTCCTAGCTTGATAGCATCATTGTAGACTTGTGTTATGATATCTCGACAGCTTGGTTGGTTAACGATGATATTGAGTATCTCATATGGGATGCCATCTAGCCCTGGGCTACTTTTACGTGGACTTCGTTGTGTACCTAGTATGATGTCTTCATAGTAAATCTCTTCAATCAATCTGTCGCTCTCTTCTTTAGACACGACTTTGTTAATTTGGTTCGTCATAGATTCTAAACTGTTTATGTCAATTCTCTCTTCTGTATACAACTTGGAGTAGAACGATTGGACAGCTTCTAGCTTGGCGTTAGTGTCTGTACATTCATTACCAGTGGCTGGATGTTTCAAAATGCCCATTGTCTTTTTCTCTTGTCGCCGCTTGATAGTGCTTTTGATGTAGGATGGAGACTTTTCGTTGTTTTCCATCCATCTCTGACCGGCTCTGAGTCTATCTGTATTGCTTTTCTCTTCCTGTAGTTTGGTGATTTGATTCTGGACTGGAGGTAGTAGTGCATTTAAACATACAGGGTCTTGACCATAGAGTCGTAGCAACTTGTTTCGTTCTCCATTCAGTTCTTTCAACCTCTTTTCTCTCCACTGGTTATGGTGACGGCAGAAGTTGACTGTTACTTTCTTAACCATATTCTTAATTGAATCCCACTTGTCTTGTGCTGACATTGCCGGGTCTAACTTATGTTGTATATATTTGTCAAGTTCACTTTTCAATTTGTTAGTGTATCTTTCATTTTTGGCAAGATATGGATTGCCTCTCCATATGCCTTTCCCATTGTTCTGTAGCTCAATAGTCAGAGTTTTCTTTAGTAGTGCATGATCTGTGTATTTGTCACTCAGGAATTCTACTTCGCCATCGGACATTTGCTTGAAAGTGTTGAGTCCTGCAAATATGTAGTCAATGGTTGATAAAGATGCCTTGTCGCTTCGCTTTTGGATGCAAGTATAGTCGTTGTTGTGAACATATATGAATTCATATGCATAGATCAATAAATGATGATCATGGCAAAAAACCAGATCACATCTATGGCAATTGCAATGGATCTATAGTCACTGACATTCACTCATTCTACTAGAAGTACTACATCATCCTCATAGACAGAGATTATGAACCTAGTGACTCTGTTATTATTAATGGCACTCATAAAGTGACAGTTAGAGCTGACAAATACATTGGCATTGGCATTTGACAAATATGTAATAGTTTATTCAAGTTCAGGTCAGATCATCTACTATTGGCTGAGCTGACAACTTCCTCTAAAGGCATTTCTCTTAATTGCTCCTGATCTAACAAATCAATCCGTAGTCAAGAAGCTAACCCAAAACAATACTTTGACCGAGAAGAAAAAGTATAAATACCTTGACATTTTATAGCAATTGAAAGATAACATTTTTTGGAGAAATAAAAACCTATACAAGTTCTAACGGACTTTCTCTGTGTTCTTACCTTTTCTCTTATTGAATATCTACTCTCTCTTCATCTCACAACAGTCGTATCGCTCGCCTTGTTGATTTATGCAGTCTTTCATATGACCCTTGATGAATTCGATCAGTTGTTGAGGTTTAGCTTTTGTTCTTGTAGAGTGTTTGCTTGCGCTATCAAAACTAAAGTTAAAATCACCAGCCATGATTAGGTCGGGAATCATCTCGGGCGTCTTGAGTAGTAGATTGCTTATTGCTTTAAAAAAATTGTTTCTCTCAGTCACCTGTTTAGTTTTTAGACCTTATTGTGCATATAGATTCATGATGTATGCAGGCGGAGTAGAGTTGTCAACCGTTGTTAGCTTAGCTAGTATCATTCTTCCATCTTTAGATACTTTGATTTCCACTAGATTTAGAGCATTGTTGAAGTTGATTATTGAGCAATGTTTTGTCCAAATTGCTTGATGATAGTTGAACTTGAATCTCATATTGTTTATGGTTTCTTCAAAGGTGAGAGTTGGTATATTGGTTTCTTGACATAGAAGCACATTCAATTTCTTGCTCTTCAGTAAAGCAATAAAATCGTCTGTGGTTTGTTGATTAGTGTTCATATGTAAGTTTCTGCAGTTGACAGAACCTATTTTAATGTGTAATTGTTTGTATGTATTCATTTTTTTTGTATAAATATATTTTTTTAACTCTTTTTTTTTACTTCTTTTTTTTTTTTTAAAGAACCAATTATTAGTCCAGCTCATTCATTTTCTCCCCACCATTTTCAGGAGAAGGAAAAGACGTTTGAGTGACAGTTTCACTTTCTATGTTTTTGCTGAGTCTTTTAGTATTTGGAGTCAAAGATTCTCTTGTTTTAGGAGAGAGAGCGTCTTCCAAGTTACGCTTGATTGTCCTGTCTAGTTTACTTTTCTCTTTACTAGTCAAACTGACTGAGTGTCTGAGAGTGATGATATCGTCTAGCTTTTTGGTTTGTTGACTTCTGGAACTTCTTGGTGTAGAGACTGACTTGGTGGGAACGGCTTCCTTCATAGGCTGGCTTGGTTCGCTAGTACATCTACTCATCATTACATTTCTGTTCTCCAAGTCTACTGCTTCTTCCATAATAGTCGTTTCACTTTCTACTGCCTGTGGCTTTGTATCATTCTTGAGTAAATCGAGCAAGTTGATTTCCCGTCTAGTTCCTGCAGCGTTGGTGGTTATAAAGTCAGATGTCATACTTGACTCCTCTTCAGGTACAGACTTTCCAATTTTGGATATTCCTGCTTGTTTGTTTGCTTTAGGTTCACGATTCCAAGGTGCCGTAGGGCATTTAGCTTGCAGATGGTTAGGACTCTTGCAGCGGAAGCATAGCTTTCTCATTCTCTTGGGGCAGTCAAACTTGATGTGCTCGTCTGTATGGCAGTCAGTGCAAATAGGTTTCATTTGAGACCAAACGATGTTCAGTAATACTCCTGGGAAACCTACAAGTTCCACTTGGGGAGTGAGCTCAGCTGCATACGTTGCTTCTTTTAATTTATCCCTATTGAGTGTAGCAAAACCGCGACCGGTGAACCAATCGGAGTCAGCGCACTTGGAGATACCAATGTTCAAAATGTCGCCAAAGCGTTCAAAGGTATTGATCAATGCTGTCTTCAATACTTCTTCTTCCATGAGGGGAATTTCAGATATACCAATGTTGATTACCATTGCAGAATGGTCAAGGGTCTTGTTCAGTTCAATTTTCTTTCCATTCACTACAAATTCTTTAAGGAGAGCGTCTCTACATGCGTTTTCAGTCGAGAAACCAAGCTCTATAGCCTTTCTTTTGTTCTTGCCAATTACTCTAGGTTTGAGGCCAAGGCATTTGGGAAATTGTTCGCGCAATATTTTGAGTAAAGGCTTGTCTTTAAATTCCATGCCCAAAAATTGGGCGCAGTCGATTACAATTGAGTTTCGTTCTTTAGCTTCCACAAAGGTTGAATAGGCGTTGAGAGGTTTAAAACTACCATTCTCAACATTTGGTGACACTTCAAAGATGTGTCGTTTTTGAGCTTTAAATGCGCCTTTAAAAGATTGATAAGAGAATAGTTGACTGCTTGGATTATGGCTAGAATCCAACGTTGAACCGCCTTGTGGGGAGGTCCTACGTTTATCACTCTGATAATTAAGCGAAAGAGCCATCAAAGTTGGAAAAGGTATTAGTCTAATAATGTCTGCGGACGTATGTCTGTAGCCAAAGAAGGAAGAGAGAGAGCTGATTGGTTGTTGGTGTGGTGCTCTGAGCACTTTCAATACAAAATACAATAAATAGTCTCTCATGTTATAAATGAATAATCACTTATAGCACTATACATCATAAATATAAAGTAAGCATTGTATAATGACAGTAAATAACGGCAACTGGGATAATATGGATATTTACAAATAAGGAAACCATAATTGTACCTTTTAGGTAACCAGGAGAATTAAAGGAGAATTTACATAGTCAATTCCCGGGCACAAGCTGTCAAAGTGTTAAGTAATCAATAATCATTTTTTTGTAATAAAGAAGTACTGAACAGTCTCACTGTATTTCTTTGTTTTCCTTTCCATTCAATTCTATTTCATTTCACAACCCAAACACCACAGTTGGAAAGAGCAAAATATTCATGACAGCATGCTTCATAGAGGCAATTTATAATTGGAGGAAGTTTACAGGCGTCTATTCGACACGCTGCGAGTTAGTTAAATCTGATACGTGAATGAGAGAAGCCTGCGCCACAAGAACACGACTTGAGGCTACCTCCAGGTGGCCAAACTATTTGCTAACAAATTAGACGAATGCGCTCGAGATTGGTTCTAAGAAACTAAAGAAACAAGTGCTTTTGACACCAATAGAGAATAATATGGTCTTGATTGAGCTAACTCCACTAGAACCTACTTGTACTAAGTTTCTAGGGCTAGAGAAACCTCTGGTTTTAAAGAATTAGAGGTAGGAGAAGGTGCCTTACAGTGGAGTGACTGTACCAAAGAGAATATATTCAGTGGCGTCTTTCTCGAGTAAGACGATAATGCAATCAGTAGAGCCGCATATATAGCTTAGTGCTAGGCTATGTTTAGCAAATTGGTTGATGATACTTTGCAGAACTTTGCAGAACTTTGCAGAAAAAATATTGCAAAATTTGTAAGCATCAGAATTTTTCGATAAGCGTAATGGATCTCCAAAAAAAAAAACAAAAAAAAAAAAAAAAAAAAAAAAAAAGATATGTATTTTAAAAGGCTAACATTTATGCCGACATGGCAAGTATGCCAATTGTGTACTCAAAAATATTTTTTGAGAAAAAATAGAAACCACTACTTTAAAATAAATCAAAATTATTTTCTGCAATGACAAAAAAAAAAGTAAAAAATTCTTAATTTTCTGTTTTAAATTAATAAAAAAAAAGCTTGTTTTTCAATTTTTCTGTTCTAAATTAATGAACGAGTCTACCAAGTAGTAATATCAGTTTAAATTAAAAAAGCAAAATCAACATTTGGTAGACTCGTTCATTAATTTAGAACAGAAAAATTGAAAAACAAGCTTTTTTTTATTAATTTAAAACAGAAAATTAAGAATTTTTTACTTTTTTTTTTGTCATTGCAGAAAATAATTTTGATTTATTTTAAAGTAGTGGTTTCTATTTTTTCTCAAAAAAATATTTTTGAGTACACAATTGGCATACTTGCCATGTCGGCATAAATGTTAGCCTTTTAAAATACATATCTTTTTTTTTTTTTTTTTTTTTTTTTTTGTTTTTTTTTTTGGAGATCCATTACGCTTATCGAAAAATTCTGATGCTTACAAATTTTGCAATATTTTTTCTGCAAAGTTCTGCAAAGTTCTGCAAAGTATCATCAACCAATTTGCTAAACATAGCCTAGCACTAAGCTATATATGCGGCTCTACTGATTGCATTATCGTCTTACTCGAGAAAGACGCCACTGAATATATTCTCTTTGGTACAGTCACTCCACTGTAAGGCACCTTCTCCTACCTCTAATTCTTTAAAACCAGAGGTTTCTCTAGCCCTAGAAACTTAGTACAAGTAGGTTCTAGTGGAGTTAGCTCAATCAAGACCATATTATTCTCTATTGGTGTCAAAAGCACTTGTTTCTTTAGTTTCTTAGAACCAATCTCGAGCGCATTCGTCTAATTTGTTAGCAAATAGTTTGGCCACCTGGAGGTAGCCTCAAGTCGTGTTCTTGTGGCGCAGGCTTCTCTCATTCACGTATCAGATTTGTTGTGAACATATAGAATCTATATGCATATGATGATCTGACACTAAATAAGTCTTCATTTACATACTAAAATATATCATAATCAATTTACATCAGAAATAGACATAAAAGAACCTCTTGTACTGAATAAGACAAAGTATCTTTTAATAGATCAAGACGTATAACCGAAGTCCATAATTTACATTATTTAATTAATTTAAAGTAGTCTATGATAATAGAGACTCAGTCATTTGCATGAACTCTACTACTACTTACTCCGACATCTCTTCATATATAAATACCTAGAGAATGAAGAGCTAGATATAGAGATATATATTTTTGGATAATAAACCTATACAAGTTCTAATCGACTTCTTTGTTTTTATCTTCTCTCTTACATCACAACATTTTTTTCGATTAATTGCTTGGTTGTTTATCATGGTCAATACTCCTATAAACTCAAATAACTCAACTGGCTCTTCTCTGTCTTCGTCTACTAGTGGCTCAAGGGATAGTGAAAGAAAAAGTCGTCTTCAGAAGAAGAAGCAAATAGAAAGAAGCACACCGTATAGCAAGATTAATAAGACCTATTTTGCAAGATGCACGGCTCCAATCCCACCCATGGCACTGAGAATTGTTATACCATTAACAAAAACAAGAACAAGGGAAAAGAGAAGGCACAAGAAATCTTCGGTGAACAATGGAACCGGGTCACCGTTGCACAAGAAATCATGTACTTGCCCTGGCGTCGAGTTCCACGAACGAACGCACAGAGGACAAGCAAAAAGAAAAGACGGATGATGACATCGAAGAGATGATCACAGACGATTGCTTTGACTGCAAATACACAAACGAGATCAAAGCGAAAGATGCTTTACATAAAGACACTTTTGACTTATTGACACCTATCATTATAGAAAACCACAAGATGATGGCAAAGGTTGATACCGGAAGCACACATACTTTTATAAAGTTAGACTCGCTTAGAGCTAAATTAAATATAAACAAAATAAACAAAAATATTAGTGGTTTCTTTAATTGCTTGTCTAAAGACAATAAAATTTCTCGTATTGGTACTACAGATCCTTTGACTATAAAATATACAAATGGAATTTCATTCAGACACCAATTGGAAGTCATAGATTTTAATGATAGCTTTGACTTTGACATTCTTCTTGGTACGGACATTATGGGTAAATTGGGTATTGCACTTACAGGTGTTGCATACAATTTAGAAAATGATAGTGCTGATCCAAATGATAAAGACTCTATCTTCTCTAATGCAAACATCGTAACAACTGATACACCTGAACCTGATAATTCACCTGTGGATCTACTGAGGAGGTTGCACAGTTTATGGCTTCCATCCAAGATGCTATTGATGAAAATCAAAAGATACCAGTAGAGTCATTTTGTCCTATTCCAGAATCCATTATCAAGTTGCCCACACCTGAAGGAGCAACCGCTTATCGTCGTCAGTACAGCATCCCGCATACATTGAGGCCTGTCCTAGATGAACAGATAAATGAATGGCTTAGAACAAAAACAATAGAGAAGTGTGGTGTCAATACTTCTTTTAATAGCCCGGTGTTACTTGTACCTAAAAAGAACAAACAGGGTGAAATTGTCAGCCATCGAGCTTGTTTGGATGTTAGACTTTTAAATAAGATCTTACCACCAACATATAACTTTGAAGTGCCACTGGTGAGAAACATTTTTGAAAACTTAAGAGGCAAGAAGATTTTCTCAACTCTTGATCTCTCTAATGCATATCATCGCTTTAAAATCCATCCTCCAGATGCGCATAAATTAACATTTTCTCATAAAGGACAGCAATACTGCTTCATCAAGGGATGCTTTGGACTAAAGAGCCTAACTTCTCAATTCTGTAAGGTTATGGCCATTTTGTTTGAGGGTATGGATTGCGTTCAATCTTTTGTTGATGATTGTATCGTGGCCAGTGAAACACCCGAGCAACATGCCAAAGATGTCAAAATGGTGATAGACAGATTGATACAAGCCAAATTGATTTTGAATCCAAAGAAATGTGTTTGGTTTCAGCAGTCAGTTAGGATGCTTGGATTTGTGGTCAATGCAGATGGGATTATGGTTGATAAAGCCAAACTCACTAACGTTGAATCATGGCCAGTACCAAAGACAGCGAAACACATTCAACAGTTCATGGGGTTAATCAATTATTTTAGAGAATTTGTACCGATGATCTCTACTGTTGCTGAGCCTTTGACTAGATTAAGCCATGCAAAGAACGTAGAAGAGCTGTGGTCTGATGAGCAAACTAAGAGCTTTAATGCCTTGAAAGCCATCTTGCACTCAAATATGCTTTTGCATTATCCTGATTTCACCAAAGAATTCTTTGTTGCCTCTGATGCTTCTCAGTATGGTATATCCGCTGTATTATTTCAGAGAGATGATAAGGGTAGAGACAAATATATTAGTTTTGTGTCCAATGCTCTATCACCCTCACAACGCAGATGGAGTGCTACTCGTCGTGAGTTATATGGTGTTCTGATGGCTTTTCGTCGCTTCCATCAATATATTTGGGGACGCAGATTTACATTGCACACAGATCACAAAGCATTGATTTATATGCATACTCAACGAGATTGCAACAATATGATGTTGAATTGGTATGAAGAAATTCTGACTTATGACTTTGACGCTGTGCATATTCCTGGTATCCTTCTTAAACTGCCAGATTTGTTGAGTCGTTTGTATTCCCCTCTCGATAATTTCGATGGTAATCACAAACTGGTGGAGGGTAGCACTGACAGTCAAAAACGAAATGAACAAGCTGCCAGAATAAAACGAGTGACTATTCGTAGGAAGAAATATAGCAGAGACAGAAACCTGCATGTTCTTACCACACAACTTGTTGAGCAGACTAAGAAATCATTAGATTACTTTACACCGCCTGAGACTGAAAGAGAAAAGCTCTTGCGTGATGTGCACACTTTTGGACACTTTGGCAGTCATGCTATTGTTCGTGAACTGCACTCTCAAGGACTTCATTGGACAAATATGTATCAAGAAGCCAAGGAATTAGTAAGCTCATGTACTGAGTGCCAAAAGCATAACATTTCTAAAAGAGGTTACCATCCTTTGACAAGCATTGTTGCATTGCGACCATTTGATCATGTATCTGTTGACTCGTTAGGTCCTCTACCTGTCACTGGAACTGGAAATACTGAAATCTTGGTCTTGACTGACATCTGTTCGAAATACATCGTCGTCAGAGCGCTCAAGAATCAACAATCAGATACCATTGCCAATACACTTATGCAGATCTTTGGAGACTATGGATTTCCTCGTATTCTACAATCCGACAATGGCAGAGCATACCATAACTTGTTACTTGAAACTATTTCAAAAAAGCTCGGCATTGATCGCAGATACTCCACTCCCTATCATCCTAGAGGAAATGGAAGTGCTGAAGCTAGTGTAAAAATTGTTGAAAACACGCTGAGAAAGATGTGTCAATCGAATAGCAAAGACTGGGATTATTACTTACCAGTAGTCCAGCTTTCTATCAACAACGCTATCAAGAATAAGACGTTGAGTTCACCCTTCTCATTGATGTTCGCACGCAAAGTCGGCTTACCTAAAAACTATGAAGAAAAGAACAAATATCCACTTCCTAGAGATATGATGACGCGCGATGATCTTGAGCAGCGCATTGATCACATGGAGAAGATTGTCTTTCCCGCTATCTTTGAAAGAACTCAAAAGATAAATGAGGAGCACACAAAGAGGTTTGATACGAAGAATATGCTTGTCGATATTGAACCCGGAACATATGTTATGGTAAGACTGCAAAAGAGACCGAGTAAACTGTCTCCATTATATGAAGGCCCCTATACTGTTGTAAGAAGAAACAAAGGTGGCTCATATGAATTAAAAGACGAGCAAAATGAATTATTGCATCGCAACTACGCACCTTCGGAGTTGAAAATCGTGACAATCGATGAATCAGCTATTGAGGACGAATACTTTGTAGTAGAAGATATTCGTGATCACAGAGGTCCACCAGGTAACAGACAGTTCTTTGTTAAATGGGCTGGATTTGGAGAGAAGGCCAACACTTGGGAACCTGCCTCCAGTTTCACTGACCCAACCATTATTGATCGTTACTGGACTAAAATTGAAAAGATCAAACAACTAGAGCAAGAAAGAACAAATGCCAAAATTAAGGACATATCTGCATCTAGAAAAAATAATAAGAGTGTAAATAAGAAGACAGAAATAAGCAAGAGGGCTCTTCCTACCAGACAAAGTAGAGAAGAAGCAGCTGTTGTAACAAGAGCTAGTAAAAGACTAAGAAAATAACTTGTGAAATGATAAGAGAAGAAAGATAAAATTTCCTTACGATTAGAAAACATATCACGCTAGACTCTGTACACAATTGCATTACATATGTTACAGTCAACTTGTAAATGCTGACATAAATGATAATTATGCGCATGAATTGATATGTTCACCTTTTAAAAGCCGATTACAACTATCAAAGATAGATTGACTCTGGTGGAGGGTAATGTTGTGAACATATAGAATCTATATGCATATGATGATCTGACACTAAATAAGTCTTCATTTACATACTAAAATATATCATAATCAATTTACATCAGAAATAGACATAAAAGAACCTCTTGTACTGAATAAGACAAAGTATCTTTTAATAGATCAAGACGTATAACCGAAGTCCATAATTTACATTATTTAATTAATTTAAAGTAGTCTATGATAATAGAGACTCAGTCATTTGCATGAACTCTACTACTACTTACTCCGACATCTCTTCATATATAAATACCTAGAGAATGAAGAGCTAGATATAGAGATATATATTTTTGGATAATAAACCTATACAAGTTCTAATCGACTTCTTTGTTTTTATCTTCTCTCTTACATCACAACAAGATTTAACTAACTCGCAGCGTGTCGAATAGACGCCTGTAAACTTCCTCCAATTATAAATTGCCTCTATGAAGCATGCTGTCATGAATATTTTGCTCTTTCCAACTGTGGTGTTTGGGTTGTGAAATGAAATAGAATTGAATGGAAAGGAAAACAAAGAAATACAGTGAGACTGTTCAGTACTTCTTTATTACAAAAAAATGATTATTGATTACTTAACACTTTGACAGCTTGTGCCCGGGAATTGACTATGTAAATTCTCCTTTAATTCTCCTGGTTACCTAAAAGGTACAATTATGGTTTCCTTATTTGTAAATATCCATATTATCCCAGTTGCCGTTATTTACTGTCATTATACAATGCTTACTTTATATTTATGATGTATAGTGCTATAAGTGATTATTCATTTATAACATGAGAGACTATTTATTGTATTTTGTATTGAAAGTGCTCAGAGCACCACACCATTTGACGCCAATTCTAAATTACTGTACCCTCTTTCTCTATTAGTATTACTACTTGATATGCTCAATGATATCTCAAATGAAGTTCTTCTGTTTGATATCGATTTAAGAAGTCAATGACATCTCCCCACTAAAAAGAACTAACCCTAATGTAGTAGAATAAAGTGATTGGAAACATATTCCTCAGAAATGACTGATAAAAAGCGTTTCACAGACTATATATTCATTCACAATTTATGTGTGATTATATAATATATATTGGTCCCCTTACCATATATGGGGATGTAGGCAAAAGATTTTATTTTTATTAGATGACTTGTAAGACTGATCCCTATGGGGCAAATGTCTAGTCATAAGAGCAGTGAAAGCAAGGAAAACTAACATTGGAACAAAGAATACAACAAAAAAAACAATCATAAAGATTGAAAAAAGAGAAAGAAACTCCAACAGGAAGAAATATAAAATAAGGAAAAAAAATAAAAAGTGACTCAAACTACACCCAGATAGGTGTAGAGAGTGGAGGTTACAGGAGGAGCAACCGGCTTGTAAAAGACAGGGAGCAACCATTCCAGAAGGGTAAGACCGTCAGTGACCTGAGAACAGGGACTGAACTCAGCGTCAGGAAGACAGATCATGTCCATTCCAGCATGATCTCACAGAGAGTTGGCCACCAGGAGGACCAGCGCACGAGAGAGTAGAATGACGTTGGTCATTTGGAGATGGGGAGAGCCGAGCCGAGGTAGCTGATTCAGCACAAATCCAGAGGATTTGGCTGAGCATCAGCAGCAACACCAAGACGAGAGGCAACAGAGAGGCAAGAGAGCAAGTGGCTACGCGAGGCGTGTGGATGACCACAACGACAAGGCACAGGACGAGCAGGGAGCCAACCCATCTTCCACCGAAGTAGACGACTACGTTCCCATATAGTCATCGGAGCAGGAGGATGGGGTCAATGCCCAAGAGGGACGACAAGCACGCAAGAGAACAAGACCATCAGGTTAGCCAGAAGACCAGCAGTAGGCACGACGATAGCCTGATGGCAGGCTTGGGATCACCACCAGAGGTAGCAATCCACTGCTGCAAAGAGGCAAAGCGAGGACAGAAGGAGAGACAGAAGAGTGGCAGACCAGCTTCCAGATGAGGTTGTTCTTCAACAACTTGGGCCACCGGAAGCGAGGACAGCAGGAGCAGAAGCGATATGCTGTAGCATAGCTGAATAGAGTATCAGGTGGCAGCTGTTGCATGCGCACCAACATCTTGAAGCCAAGGATGGCAACACGCTCCTTCATAGAAGGCAAGTTGCCAGATGCTTAACACCACTGTAGACGCCTTCGATGACCGCCAAAAGCAAGTCGGAGACACTGGTCTTGAGCACGCTCAACACCTTGAGGTCACGGACCAAGAGAGAAGAATAGCAAGGCCATACTCCAACTTAGGCCGAATGAAGGTGGCATACAACCTAGCAGAGGTCAGGCGAGAGAAACCAGTCGAGTGTACACCCAACGGTTGTAGACCAGAACGCATAGCCACCATGGCAGAGCGAGCATTACGCTGTACCAATAGAGTAGCATCTAACTGTGCCTTGCTATTGAAGGGCAAGCCCAAATAGTCAAAAGACTCGGCAACAGGAAGAGCAGCGCCATACAGCCGGAGGGAGGAACGCGACCAGAGGGGGGTGGATTGACCACAACGCATTTGGAAGGGTTCCACCTGAACCCAAGAGACAAGGAGTATTCTTCGGCCTTCTTCAGCAGGCGAGGCATCGTCTCAGCAGTACCAATCAAGACCACATCGTCAGCATAGAGCAGTGAGTTGATCCAGAGGCCATCATATTTGCGTTGAGGCATGGATCCAAACACACGCGAGCGAGGCAGAGAGACAGAGCGCAGAGCAGCAGGGAACGAGTTGATGTACACAGAGTACAGTACGGAGACAAGATCGACCCTTGCAAGACCCCCGTACCAGGCCAGAAGGAAGGAGAGCGAGCACCAGACACCAAGACCTCCACCTGCACATTGTCAAAAAGACAACGAAGCAGACCAAGCAGAGGATCAGAGACATAGGTCTCAAGAGCACGCCAGACAACGTTGCGATCCACGCTATCGTATGCTTGCTTGATGTCCAAGAAGCATAGGACAGGAGGTTCACCAAAGTGATCATCCGCATGTTGCCGACAGATTTCATGGAGAGCCAAGGCTTGGTCCAATGTACCACGATGAGCACGGAAGCCACCTTGTACGATGTCCAGAGGAGGACCAGAATCCAAGAGCTCAGGGTACACACACAACTCCAGCAACTTGCGCATGACCGAAGTCAAGCTAATGGGCCGATAGTTGGCAGCATCAAGAGGGTCACCTTTCTTGAAGATGGGCACCACCTGGGCAGTACACCAATCAGTAGGCACTTGAGACCAGAACCAGCAAAGAGAAAAGAGCAAGACCAAGAGAGGAGACAAGTCGTCCACAATCGGCAACAGCATCTCAGTCCGAAGATGGTCAACACCTGGGGCCTTACGGCGAGAGAGCTTCCTCTTGATAGTGTCAGACACTAGCTCGACCGTAAAGGGACACCCATCATCAACATCAGCATTAACGCCAGCGCCACCAGAGGGAAGAGAAAAAGACAGAGCAAGACCAAACTGCGACTGCAGATACCGAGCGGTATGCAAGGAGACACATGGACCAGATGGCAGAGGAGGAGCAGACGGACGAACAGAAGGCAAGTGATCACCAGCAAACACCGAGCGAAGATGACTGGACATCACCGTAGCAGCCACAGCAGGACCTTCTGGGTGAGAGAATCCAGGAGAAGTAGTCCGACTACGACGCAACCGCTTGATGGTGGCCGTGGTGTCAGAGAAAGAACCAGAAGAAAGCTTGTCACAGAACTGCTTCCATGTCTCACGACGACGACGCTTGAGCTCAGCATTGAACTGGTTACAGCAGAAGAGATATCGTTTCCATAGTACAGCCTTACCAACACCGTCAGAAGCTCGTTTCCAAGTTCTTCGGGCGTCCTCACGAGCATCCACCAAATGTTGCAGAGTGGCAGTCCAGAACCAGCTGTTACCAGGAGGCCGTGGTAGTTTGCGACCAACCGACTCATCGAGGCAACGGTGGATGGTATCAGTGAGTCTACTAGCAATAGAATGAACGTCAGGGATAGCCCCTTCGGTTGGAGAAGATGCGTGAGTAGAGGTACGACTGCTATGTTGCCCGTAGGCCGTTTCAATCGAATACTTAACTTCTGCCAAGAGTGTATTTTTGATCGGCGCGCTATGCAACCGGAAAAGAGACTGATACAGCTCTACACTCTTGTGATCATCCAGACAAGACAGTTTCCATAAAAGACGCGGATGAGCGACAGGAGCAGGCGGCAGAGAGCCAGGCAGAGAGCAAGAGAGAGAGACAGGAACATGGTCAGAGCCAAGACCAACATCACGCACAACCAAAGAGGGATGGACCAGATCATCAAAGCTGATGAAAAGGTCAATCACACTACTCCAGCTAGTGTGCCCAGGTTGAGCATTGGCCATCCGAGCAGCAGAGAACAAGGTAGGAACACCCTTTGCCAGCAGAGAATTCCAGCAGAAGAGACCAGCTTCTTCAACCCATTCAGCCAATCGAGTACCACGAGTGTTGCTTCGAGAGTCACCAAGAAGAGGAACACTACGTGCATTCAGATCGCCACAAATGAACGCATTGGTCTGAGAGGCATGGGTACGAGCAGGGAGAGACATAAGGAGAGACATAAACTCATCATCGGTCAAGGAAGGAGGGGCATAGACACAATGAATGAGAAATGTAGAAACCTGGCAGGAAAAGACATAAGGAGAGGAGGACGGAAGAGGAGTGACAGGATAGGGACAAGAGGGATTGACCAAAAGAGAGATACCCATCTTGCCACGGAAAGAGTCAGCAACAGGTTGACCATAGGTGTGGTACTGTTGCCAAGAGGTAGGGAAGCGGAGAGGAGGAAGAAGCCAGGTTTCGGTGATGAAAATGAGTGAGGAATCATACAGGTAATCGGTTACAGTGCTAATGGCTTGACGAGCAATACCATTAGCATTCCATATAGTCATGGTGAAGCCATAGGAAGAAGGAGAGGAAGGGGGCATAGAAGCATAAGGAGCCATAGGTACCTCGCTCATTAAGAGGAGGAGACCGGTTCACCATCACCGGCCAAGGTAAAATCCATACTAGAAGGAGGGACAGAAGGAGCGTCAGCACTAGCACAAGCACCAGCACTAGCCACAGCGGAGAGAGAACCAACCACGGAGCCAGCTTGCTCCTTGGCCAACCAGCCTTGACGAACAAAGTCGTAGGCAACCTGTCTACGTACTTGTTCGCGGATATAGCCAAGAGCACGGACAAGACGAGCTTGCTGCAACTCGCGTGCTTTGGCAGAGAGAGCATCAGCATCCAAAGACGCAAAGGCAGGATCCTTGACGTTGGCCGCAGAGAAAGGATCAAAGTCAGTCAAGACCGGAAGCGAGTACTTGGCCATGACCTTAAGGAGATCCTCCTTATAGGCCGAATGGATCAACAAGGCTACGACGTTACGAGCCGGATAGTGCACATCAAGTACACGGCTGTTATCCAGCCCGATCAGTCGCAGCTTGCGGCGAAAGGCGGAGAGACGGTCACGGTACTTGTTTGGCAAGTAGACATACTCATAAAGAGGCCTGTCTACACAAGTACCAGCAGCAGCAGGAGAAGAGACGAGAAAGATACGGGCAGCGGCCTTGCGTTGCTTAGGCGTAATCCTAGCCTTGGGTTTGGCCTTGGCAACCGAGGGAGAGTCGGACTTTTTGGACTTACCAAAGGCCTCCGCAGGCGTAGGGTTCCTCTTGGCAACTTGAGCCCACTTGGAGCCAGCAGAAGAAGGCGAGACAGAAGAAGAGGGAGCAGCAACCTGATCATCCTCCATGGACACATCCAAGGGAGAGGCAGCAGATGAGCCAGCTTGGGACTCAAGCTCCAAGATTCTGGAACGGGCGGCAGCCAGCTCCTTCTTGAGAGCAGAGTTCTCGGCGACCAGGGACTCCAGCTGAGCCAAACGCTCCTCATGGCGCTCAAACTTGGCCTGAAAAGCAGCAAACCAAGCAGGAGGGGAAGGAGGGAGAGAAGAAACCGAAGGGACAGAAGAGAGCAAAGCAACATTACCTACTTCTGGTAAAGAGTCAACACCAGAGCAAGAGGGGGGAACAGACACACCAAAATCAAAGACAACGTCTTTGTCGAGATCGAGATGAGCTGATCTCGAAGGGGTGCTGACGTCATCAACTCGAGATCGAGGCAGGGTACGCGTCATGTCAGCAGGGATCAGTGATGGCGAAAGTGAACTATGCAGCCGCTTACCTGATCGGGTTAAAATTTTACCAGTAGTTTTGGTAATTGAAGAAAGAGGTTCTGACAAAGTTTGAGCTTTGTCTGGTAACTGGTTCTTGGTAGATGACGATCTAATGTCGAGATGATGTTGTTGCGATGTCGAAATGAGGGGAATCGCGGTAGTGAATGTGCTAGAGTTGTCGGACTGGGACGTTTTTGGTACCAAAATGTGCGTAGGAATTTGCAGAGTTGGAATAAAAAAAGAAAAACGCGGTTTGATAGGCCAGGTGCAGAGATTTTTTCAAAAACAGCAAGTGAATCTGAAAAAAATGATAAAAACCGGAGAAAAAGGTTATATGGGGATGTAGCTCAAATGGTAGAGCGCTCGCTTAGCATGCGAGAGGCACTGGGATCGACGCCCAGCTTCTCCAATATTTTATACTTTTTTTACTGGATTTCGTGAGACGTTTTGTAATTTAACCTTGTTCTTTCATTTTCGCCTTCATGATGTAGGGGGTTTTTTTTTGCACTATTGCTATAGGACAAAAATAGAAATCGTAGTAGCTTGTATCAATACAGAATAATATAACAATAGCCAATGATTTATATGTAATGACCACCAGGTTTTAAGTTGTTCGATTATGTAATTGAATAAAAAAGATGTAGTATAATATAACCTATAATGATTGTATATAATGCAAAATCAAAGAACTCAGATAGATAAATGATATGATAATAATCTTGTTTGAAGTAAAAAGCAATAAAGATAAGGTGCAACTGTAATTCTAAAATAGTTTAAGGATTTCTTGATCTAAGTTGAATCGATAGAGTATCTAAATCTGCAAAAGTGCAATAAGTTTGTTTTCATGCGCCATAATTCTGGCTTCTAAGCTAGTAGTTATTCTAGCACTGAATGTAGTATTATCATGTTTTAATAAATTGACATACTCACCTCGCCCATACGTTTATTAGCGCATCTTAACAACGTACACGTCATTTGAAAAACTAAACTTTTGTTTTTCTGCTGGTCTCTTTCTTCTTGAGTCAGTGCAATTGATCCTTTTCTTTCTCTTTGGTACATCTAAAAAAATTGTATCATCTTAGGTTATGCAAAAACGAATAGTGCAAAGACAGTATATATGTGATATAGAGCAATAAGAAAAACATGGCATAATTCATTTCAGGTCCGAATAAATGCAAAAACAAGTACAGAGCTGTCAAACGTAGGTTTGATGTAACCATAATTGAGAAAAAAAAGATACAACATGATATAAACGGACGACTGTGTGTCATTTGTGATAAATGCAATCTTGCATAATCTTAAACAGTACCGTCGAAAGGATCAATTTTTTTTTTTCATTTTATAGATGTTCAAGCTTGAACAAATGTGATTATAAAGGATAAATTCGAGCTTGTTGTTGTATATTACCAAAAAAGAATGTATTAGATCAATGCGTATATATGTAATTAAAATGAAGATGAAACTATATAATTGAAAATGAGTTTCTTAAGCAATACATGTACTATGTTGGGTATGGATCTTTTCAAGTTGATTGATGTTTTGTTGCAGTTTAGGATCATCCATTGGCTTTACATCGGTTGAATCAAACAGTTGAGGGTTGTTTAGTATGTATAGATCAGGCATGTGTTTCTGTTCAAATCTTCGTCTCCATTGTGTACCTCTAAAATAACAAAGAAGTACAAGCCCACCATTCAGAAATCCAACCACACCCAAGATGGTAAACATAATGCCATTGCCTAGAGCATCAACAGCTGTACTAGAAAACACAGTAGTAATAGCAGCAGCAATGCCACGAATACAAGCATTGACACCAACAGCAGTGGCCGAATAGCCTGATTTAGCAAATGAGTCACATGAACAAAAAACGTCGTTCATTACCTGGTTTGGTATCCACAAGATAGACTGAAGTAGGAGTAAATGCCCACATTTGACCTAATGCATCTATCAAATGGTGTCAATCGATATGATTAACTATGCAATTCACTTACAAAGAAACAATCCAATGATAGGTGCATATATGCCAGTGTCTTTTTCTGTTGTCCATCCATAAATCAAATAGCCAGCAGGCATACTCAAGAAGGAAGGAAAAGCTGCTTGCAATCGCATCTCAGAAACAATTTTCTGACCATCACCTCTTTTTTTGGAGAGTTTCTTCAAAATATGATCTGAATGTCGTCCACTAATAATAGAACCAACCATAAAACCGCCACCCAAAGAAAGATAGCAAAGGCCTGTTTGCCATTCATTGTAGCCGTAAATTCTTTTAAACGTTTGTGTAATAGTAGGATTCTAAAAAAAAAAAGTGAGTGATAAGGGAACCAGTTGCCTTGATTTTACCAGAATATATAGACTAGCAAAAATAATAGAGCTGTTGATAGTCAAGATAATCACATTTGGATCATGGAGCATTGTAATCATAGGTTTAAAGCTGAGCGCAAGTGTTTCTCTTACTGATAAATGTTGATTTGGTGATGGATGTACTGTCGTACTTGTGAGAGAAACAGCATCTTCAAGATTGTTCTTTTCGTTATTATTTGGTCTTGGCTTTACTTTTCTCAAGGTCTCTGGTAAAAACACTGAAGTCAAACATAATAAGACACCACACAAAATAGCAGTGAAATAGAACGTTGATCGCCAACCTAGATATTGACACAGGAAGCCTAGAATGTGATTTAGTCGTTACTGTTCGTTGTCCGCCATGCGTACGATACCTCCAATGGTAGGACCTAGGTAACACAAGTAGAAAAAAGAAAGATCCACAGTATTAGTTATCATTCGACACGTTATAAAGTTTTACCTATGACTGGACCTAATAAAGGACCTCTAGAAAGAAAATTAGATTCATATTTCAGTAGATTTCCACAAGACTTACGCATAAAAGATACCATAAGCTTTTCCTCTATTTTCTACAGGAATCATATCGGCAATTACACCAGCACCCAGCGAAGTACCGGCGTTAGATCCAAATGATTGCAGTGCTCTGAAAGCAATAAGCATACCAATGTTTGTTGAGAGAGCACTGATTACTGAGCTGACAACTGTGATCATACCACTAAACATGTACATTCGCTTTCTACCATATGTGTCACTTAATGCGGCCCAGAACAAAGGCTAGAAAATTGAAGATGAGTAACCCAAAAAAACAAATCCAATGACTTACAGAAATACCCATAAATACCACAAAAGCGGAAACACTACCATTTACAGCAGATGTTGTTGTATGTAAGTCTCGAACCACAGTCAACAAAGCAGGCATATACATCATTGAGCTCATAGGACCAGCTATACCACTGAGTGCAACAAGTAAAATAATGAAATTCTTTTTTCCTTCAGAATAATCATATGGATCATCTGTAGCATAAATGTCTCCAAACAGTCTTTTGTACCAATTGGATGTACGTTTGGTTTCATGAAGAGAAGAATCAACAGCAGTATTATTAGCATGATCAGCAGCAGTGGTGATTGATAAGCTATCACACTGGTTGTCTTTTGATGCCTTTTCTGTTAGTATATTTTGATCCATATGTATTTTTGTATCGTTATTGGCCGTCAAAACGTTCTCTTCTATGATCTCAGTCTCTGTCATCCCCAGATCGATTGATTCTTTCATTACACAAGGTTTAGTTAAAAAGAAAAAAGAGAGAAGGGCATCGTTTTTTTTTATAGTTTCCTGATCTTTCAGAATCGTCCCAGCGGAGACGATAAAATGGGTCGGATAAATGACAGTAAACCTTTATTTAACTTATTGTGACTCATTGATCTGAAAGGGAGAACCTGTTTGTAAAATCAGCTTTGTTAAATCTACTTGACCTGAAGCTAGTTTGTGCTAGAAAACTGCTTTTATCAAGAAAAATCTGGGTAAAGTATATCCCTCTATATATTTATGAAGCATTATAAGGAAGTCTTTCGCCCGTGATTCGGATACACCAAAAATATAAACCAACCGGACATTTTTTAAAGGATTTAATGCTGTAGTGCACAGGGGTCTAAGATAACTCGTCATTCTCACGACTTCTTTAATACATATGCTTATGCTAAACTTGAAATATCCAATCAACTATATACCGTGAAATTTTCTGTTTATATATACATGGCTTAATGAAAGATACTGATTGACTGGTATTTATTGCTCTAATCCATCATGACAATGACTGGAGCATCTTCATCATCTTCTTCCTCTTCTTCGTCTGGTACTTCCCAAGCAAACTTCTTAATCACAAATTTCCTCAACCGTGTATATCGCTTAACTAATTCTTCACTTGAACCAGAAGTGTTTGTTTGTAATGTCTATCTTAAAATGAGATACTTGCGTTCAATGAAATACTTCTACCTTAAGCATCACACTTGTAAAGTTGTTCTCTGATAAAATATCACGATAGAAATCTTCAGGGCATTCATCCAATTGAGACTGGAGTACATCTATATTTGAGGATTCAATAACAGTCCTCAACAAAATCTTTATCTTACCCATAAACTCTATGAACATGGTAGGTTTTTCTTCTATCAATTCCGGACAAGAACATAGCAGCTGAACAAGTTGTTTCCATTGATTGAAACCAGAGAAGTTTTGCGCCATTAAAAGACAAACAAAAGCAAGTTGTAATTCACCCAACATGACTTTGTGATCTTTTTTTTTTTAAAAAAAGAGACATAAATGCTTGTATTATATTCATATATACTTACCGTTATGATAGACTCTTGAAAGTAAATCACGAACCAGCCATGATTTATCCAAACTCCATTTCGTCACTTCATCTCCTGTAGCTCCAGGTGGAAAGGACTTTCTGAGATCAAATCGAGTAAATTCCATGCCTTCTTCTTTCTCCAAAGCCTTTCCCAATCGTTTATCTTTTATATCGTTTACCGAAGGCAGATCAGGTGATTTTTCGGGCAAATGACTTACTTTGCCATTGTTAGGCAGCACACGTCTAACAATGCCTGGTGTGATATAACGAGTCAGCTTCTTCCAACGTTCATAAAAAGTAGGTGGATCAAGAGGATAAGGGCCCATATTACGATCAAAATCACGAATGTCTATGTATAATGCGTCAGCCCAGGTATCGATTCAATTAGTATTTACTTATTCTAAGACGCTCTACTTGATTTGGATCAAGTTCTGTCTCATCACGCAAGTCTTCAATTTGTGGATTCCATTCTCTTACTAAAATCTAGTACAAGTCAACATGAGCTGCTTTTTTTTTTGTTTAATGTATACTTCTTTTGATTCAAAAAAATGAAAAAATCCAGTACGAATGCCTTGTACACCTTCGTTGTTTGTTGAGCTGTTGAAGTTAGTCGAGAAAAGATAGCAACAAAACTGACCGAGATCACTTACGAAAAATAAATAAAGTGGAGTCCTGGAGGGATAAGCTTAATACCCTTAAATAAAGGGCCAATAGTCCAAGCATTGTAGTCTACACCAAATTCTAGGTTAGGTGGTGCTTCCAGAAAGAGCAGAAAAGCACCCTTTTCAAATAGCTTATTAGCAAGATCTTGATCCATCGAGAAAAAAAAACGCGTTCAAAAGAAAAAAGATAAAAAAGACTGAGTGTCAAACATTTTATTTTGCATGCCTTTCTAAAGTTTAAATACTTCCGAAATCATGATAGTTTTATACAGAATACGATTATCACAGATAACAGTATATGGGAACAGATATACAATTAGAAAGGGCCTATGCGCTCTTTGTAAAGTGCAAAAGAAGGCGAAGAGGCATCCATAACATATGCATTTTTGACAGAGATTTTGCTAGCATAGGCTTCTTCAACCAACAATTCCTCTTCTTCAAGAATAGCAGTGGGAGAAGGAGAGCTCGAGCCACGAGAGGAGGAAGAAGAAGACAACATGTCGTTTTCAAGACCTGGAATTGTTTCCATATCCAAAGGAGATAAAATAATACCTCTTCTTCTAGAAATAGAGAAATTGGATCGTTTCATAATACGAGGTTGAACGAAACTCAAGACTTCTTGACCTGCAGAAGCTGAAGTTAATATGCGAGTGAATGAGAGGAAAGGTTGTTGACGTTTTTGTTCGGGCATAGAGAAAGGTTGAAGACTAGGAGATAAAACAAGGCCGGCTTGTTCTCTGTTAGGTAAATTGGATAAACGAAGTTTGATAGCAGACACCCAGGCCTTCAGCTCGTATTCAGACTGACAGGCAATTGTCCAGACCTTTTGCTTGTCTGTGATGGGTTCTAATCGAAAACAATGTGGATGGTTTGGAGAATTCGTGAGAGTCACCTTGGCAATGTCACGAAGACTAATGGTTCGAGATGCATTGGTTGAATGTTCGTCTTTATAGTATCGCATTTCAGAGTCCAACAAGACGAAATACCTTGATTGCCACCTTGAAGCACAAAATGTATTACTTGTTAATTTTAATAGCCAACCAGAACGAGGAGCTTTATTCATGATGAATAGTAAAGAAAGAAAAAAAAAGAAAAAGAAATGTGCTATTTATATTTTGAATTTCATGTTTTGATCTGGACCCCCTCTTTCCCTCTATCTACTTTTGATTGCATTGTAATCCAGACTCTGCCAAAACCTTGGCGTTTAAGTTATTCAAAATTTACTCTCTCGGTCTAACAAACACTCTTCTTTTTTGAACTGCAGATATAAACACTTTTTTTTGAATTAAGATATTCAAAAAGCTTCCAAAAAGATCTTGAATTGTTTTCTTATTGTCGAATCTGTTTCTCTAATTAAATTACCAATTAAAGTAATATTCAAATTTTGTGCCTTAAGAGTGAATGATATTCTTTCTGTAACACCTGAGTTAAATTAACTTGTCTAGAATGCATAATCGGCCAAGAAAGCCACTAATTGTGTCTTGTTTATCGTGTAACTTGTGATTTGTAATTGTCATAAAAAAGCTTTATTATATATATATATATATACAAGTCTAAAGTTCGGCATGCTTTAGTTTGGATGGTACATGATGATAATGTTCTAAATCCTGGTTATATTCCAATTTTCCTTCTGGTGTTAATTGAGTCAAGTGAAAAGAGGGATTATTGCTAAAAAACATAAGTCGGAATATATAACTTAAATATACAACCTTACCTATTAAGCTTTGAAGTTACTTCACTTAGATTTAAATTAAGAGCACTTGTGATAAACTCGCCAACTTGAATGTTTTCATGGCTGCCAATCAAATACTCTGCACCATGACCATACGCATATAAATTGACATCTACCCCACTGTGACCATGTGTTGCCCACTACAAGTCAAAATTTAGTTTCTGGCCAAGATATACTATATGGACTTACTCCTAATTGAGCACGGATGGAAACCATATCTGCTAAATATTCTTCAAGTGATTTAGATGAAGTTGATTTCTTTGTCAACAGCTTAATTTCATCCTCAGTTGCATCCGTAATGCCGAGCTTTTCCTTCAAAATAGTATCTATAATATATTCTCGAGTCAGACTTGCTTCAGCCTTTATCATCTTGGCCAAATTGACAGTCGAACTCTTTACTTTAGTCAGCACATCAGGATACCTATTTATAGGCATGAGTTATTATTCTACAGCTACACATATTTACCAAAGGTATTCAGGATATGCTTTAGAGACTTGTCTAGCTAAAGACAAGCCACCAGTTTCATGATCACTTGTAGAAATCATGATTGTATCGGGATGACTATCCACATATTTCATCACTAGTTCAATTGTCCTTTGATATTCCAGAATTTCATGCACGTGCGTAGGAGCGTCATTGCTAGAGTTACACAGTTTAGTTTTTTTTTCTTTTGGTCAACTCGAAAACTTACGAATGAGCAGCCATATCAATTCGACTGCCTTCAATCATTAAAAAGAAGCCTTCTTCTGTGTTGTTTGTGGCTTTGTATAAAATATCAAGTGCCTTTTTTGACATTTCCGATAAACTTGGTTCTCGAGTAGGATCTCTATCAATTTCATAGGCCATATGGTCCGAAGAAAACAAGCTGATGGCAGGTAAAACATGTGCGTCAATAGGTATCTCATCAAACATCTTTTTGTCATTATGTATCACTGTAGTCCAGTTATATGTTGATTTTGCTTCTTCCAAAAGATAACGGCCATCAAACCGACAACCGCCTTTCTCTGTCTTGGGCAGGAAATGACAGTAACCTCCTCCAAACATTAAATCCACACTACGGCCTAGAGGGTTATCACCGATCTGTTGTTTAGCAATAGCATTCTCATTGTCTCTATCTTGCACATGAGCAGAAAATGAAGCGGGCGTTGCGTGTGTGATTCGTGAAGTTGCTACAAGGCCAGTTAACATGTTTTTTGAATGTTTAGCCGATTCCAAGACGGTACCACAAGGATTTTTCTTGGGTCCCACTATCAAACTTTGATTAGAGATCTTATTTTTTTTTCGAGAAAAACCAACCACCAATAGCACCGTTGTAAGTTTTCATGTTGCAACTAAATGCGGTTGCACCAGCTGCACTATCCGTCACTAGAGTTGAGGAACTTCTTGTTCGAGATTGTCCGACGTGGATTTTGTCCAAGGGCATCTGGAAGTCATAAGGTTTGTTGTTTATGAGCTGATAATATGTTCTTGCAAAGGCAACAGAAGCGGGTCCAAGACCATCACTGATCATCATAATCACATTTTTTGGCTTTTTAGGTGCTGTGGAAATTGAAAATGCCGATTGTTGAGGATCTACAGAAAAATATAGTTAGACTAAAGATAAGAAAAAAAAAGATAGTTACTATAAACCCATGGTGTGCTAGTATTATTATCATTTGTATTGACAACCAGACTCTTAAAATTAATGGCTATAGCTAGCCCAATTACTGACAATACAGTGACAGTACATCCACCAATCACCCATTTATGATATCGCTTCTACATACATATATATTAGTAAATGGAGTATGAAAAACATATGCATATATATATATATATATAAATCATACAGTAAAGGAAGGTCTCTTTTCTTCTTGTGTCCAAGGATGATCAAGAGATACGTCTTCGCTAAAATCTTCACTAGATCCTCTTGTCAAGAGTGGCTCACTCATACTATTAAAATATAAGCAGAAGAAAAAGAAAAGATAAAAAAAGGAGAAACATGTCTTATGTATACTGTATCGGGGATTCAACACTAATAGAGATGTGCATTTACCATTGGAGTATTTGTCGATCCCTTTTTTTGTACACTTATCCCTTTTTAGGTAAGCGATGGTCCTGATAGTATAAACACACAGTGTAATTCTCTCTCTCTCTCTCTCTCTCTCTCTCTCTCTTTTTTTTTTTTCTTCTTTCTTTTGTTTGTTGACAACAATATTTATATTAGATTGCAGAAGCAGAAAGAAGATTGCATAGATATTAAATAATAGAAAAAGCTTAATTCAAATATTTAATAAAGTATTCAATCAATGAATTTTGTACAGCTGGTTAAAGATACTCAATGCTTTTTAACAACCAGCAAACAAGGACCAACTGAATTAGTTGGTACAAACTGTTTATGCTCGTATGATACATTTCATTACTTTTGTCTTTTTGGTTATTTCCCCTCATTTCGAAACAGAGAAGAAGAGGGAAAAAGAGGGAGGGTGAGGGTGAAAGGGGTTCTTTTCTTTTGTTTATATAGACTTTTTTATAATGCTTAATGCAAACTGTCTTGACAAATGATTAGCTGTGACTGTGTGTAAGCCACAATTTTAAGTTGAAGAAGTTGAGAATTAGAGAGCTTTCTGGAAACAGCTGTAACTTTTTTTTCTCTTTTTTTATTGTTGCATACACTATGTCTGAAGCTACAGAACAAAAGAACCACAAACGTTTCAGAAAAGACAAACGTAAGTATGAGCTGCGTGGCACTTTCGACGCTTCGTTTTCTGACGAGAATATGTTTAAATAGCTTGGGATACTGACGATATTGATCACTGGAAGATTGAAGAGTTCAAACCCGAACACCTTGCGCAGCCCTTTACGGAAGAGTCTTCTTTTGCAACTCTTTTTCCTAAATACAGAGAAGCCTATTTGAGAGAATGCTGGCCTCTTGTAACTAGAGCCCTTGAGAAACATGTAAGTTTTTTTTCTTATGGAATATGATATCTAATTTCTACATTTTAGGGTATTGCTTGTGTTCTTGATTTAGTTGAGGGTAGTATGACTGTCAAGACAACAAGAAAGGCATATGATCCTTATGCTATTTTGAAAGCAAGAGACCTTATCAAGTTGTTGTCTAGAAGTGTGCCTTTCCCTCAAGTAAGTCTCTTATAAACCTATCATACACACTTGCTTATTCTTTTGTATAGGCCGTTAAGATTATGGAAGATGGTATTGCTTGTGATATTATCAAGATTGGTAATATCACTCGTAACAAGGAGCGTTTTGTAAAGCGTAGACAAAGATTGATCGGCCCTAATGGATCCACATTAAAGGTAGGAATGCATATTGTAAAATTAGCATTTAACTTAATGTTATTAGGCTCTTGAATTATTGACAAAATGTTATATGATGGTACAAGGTAATACAGTCTCTGCTATGGGTCCATACAAAGGTCTCAAGGATCTTCGTCGAATCATCATTGACTGTATGAAGAATATTCATCCTATTTATCACATCAAGGAACTTATGATTAAGCGTGAGCTTGCCAAGGATCCTAAATTAGCACAGGAAAACTGGGACAGATTCTTGCCTCACTTCAAGAAGAGAAATGTCAAGTCAAAAAAGAAGGTTATCGAAAAGCCAAAGAAAGAATACACACCATTCCCACCAGCACAAACAAAATCCAAAATCGATTTACAATTGGAGAGTGGCGAGTACTTCCTCAACAAACAAAAAGAATCAAAATCAAAGAAACAGTAAATACATCATTCATTTTAACGTATAATAAATTCTGCATTTTCCTTTTTATTTTGCCTGTCTTTTTAGAGATATAATAAACTATGCTAAAGAGAACTTTAGCTTCTTTATGTTTATTACGATGAATGATATATAGGGGTTTCATCTTGATCTTAATCAGTAAACAAAAACTTAATTTTGTCAGTTTGATGTAAGATGAGGAAAAGGAAGCGAATTCACTACGGCGAAAATGTCGAATTGCTTTGAATGTTGTCTTCAAAGCTAAACTCAAGATTCATTGCATACTGCAAGTGATAGAAAATAGACCCTTTTTAGTAGATATTGACAAGTAAGTAGGTACTTATTTATACATTATTCGATGCGCAAAATATAGACGAATGTATCATACGATAACACTTGGCACTTTTGAGGTCAAGAAGAGCAGCGTTCAATAGGGTAGATACAACGAAAACCATGAATTGTCAAATCTGTATATCAAAGAAAACTCACTGAGACGCTTATTATAACTATTCTTTCAGAATTAGCATATTTATGTAGAAGTAGCTACTTGGTTTGAAGTGAGCGGAATGTTTCCCTCAAACTATTGCAACGTTTTTAGGCTACATTCGACCTTTTTTTTTTTAGAAAAAAAACACGAAAGACTATTGTTTTATAAGCTTTTTGATTTCTCTTCTATCATCGGATTCATATAATACAATCATAAAATAACTAGTTCACCATTGGTCCATCATGTGCTCAATTTCTCGAAGATGGAAATACGTTCGAGCAAAATCGGAGCAATTCACAGAGACATCCCATTCCAAATAAGTCAAAAATACCCTTTCAATATTGTTGCTATACTCTTAGTTAGTAGGCTATATATCAACCATAAACTTACATGACGTCCAAACTTAATTCAGGGAAAATCATAGCGAAATCTGCATTAAAAATAGCACAATCGTCCCATACTTTGACTGCTGTTAACAAGGAAGACATAACAATCATTCTCCAGCTAAAATCCCATAGTTTTTGTTTTGAAATATCCAGCATACGTCGAACGTAGATAAAAGTAATGATTGCATGCTCAGCAGTAAGCTATAATGAAACGAATTAAGCTACTGAAACTTGAAAAGAGAAGAAACATACCTCGCCACAATCAAATACATAGGCCAATTGATCATAAATATCATTCCATTCAGTCAATGGTTCAGTATAGTGTTGGTACTCTGAAAGATCAGAGATACTAGTATCATTCTCATCAAAGATTCCATCGCAGTAGAACTCGTTCAACTTGTGGTTATGTTTGATAATGCTATAAAATGCCCATGATACGCTATTGATGGATATTTAGCACACGCAACATATTATCTCTCTCTTTCTGCTACCTCTTTAGTGTCTTGGCCACTTTATCTCGGCTCTTTTGTTCTTCATGAAACGAAGCTTGCCATTTCAAATCATAGTCTTGAATATTAGAATAAGCAGACATAGATCTTTTATAGGCCTTGACATCTTCAATATTGACGAGTTTTTGGGAGTAGAAACTTTGGTCACCAAGCTATTAATTTCTTTACCTACACATACATAGGGAACTGCGTCTTGTAATTGATTCATATTACTCTCAGTTCGACTGGATCTTAATAGCATTTGTGGAGACCATAGTTTAGGTTGTTGTTGCTGCTGCTCCTGCTGTTGTTGTAGTTGTTGTTCAGCTGCAAAGTAATCTTGATATTCTTGTGATGTTTCCCAGATATCATCCAAAAGGCGATTGAATTGTTGTGATTGTGTTGAGTCGTCATCCCAATAAAGAGCAGGCTTGGATGCGTTATTTAGTTTCTCTTCCAATGAAACAAAGGCTGAATTCATACTGCTCGGTTCTTGAAGAGTGATGAAATCGGTATATAGATCTGATTCTGATTTTTTATGGTGTAAACTATTCAACGACCTTTCTTGTACAGGTGTCTCTATTTCGTTATTATCCTCATAACTGCTGATTTGGTAGCTCGAAGATACTTGCGAGTCTTCCTCATCAGCTTCAAGAATAAGCGAAGTACATGACTTTCTCATTTCCTGAACACATATTATAAGTATAAAAGAAATACAGTACAGGCAGGGCAATGTATTTACTTACGGCATAGAAAGGGGAAGCGTCTTCAGGTGGATGTGTAGATAAATGTTGTTGAACGGAAAATGTCTTTTTCAGTTGAGCAAATGATGTAGATCGGGTCTTTTTCTTGAATGCGTTTTTGACTGAGCTTCCAAAATGGTTAAAAATGCTTGAAAGACTACGTCGAACAGATCTAATATCCCTTGAAGAAGCAACTGTAGTGACAATGCTTTGACTCTGATTTTCTTCTGATGATAAAGATGGTGCCCTTGTTGCTTCTTGTGGTTGAAAGAACGCAGAAGAAAGGGGAGTCAGCGTCTCTTCAATCAATGAAAGTGAGCTTCCGTCCGGAATCAAAGGTGGTGTTTCTAAAAGATCAGTCATGCTTTTGAGTGAAATAGGCAACTTATTTGTTGGCTCTTGACGGTGCTCAGACAAGGACGATTCATTAGGTTGTGGTAGAGGTGCTGGTGGCAATGATGGCAACGACTTTTTTCCAGGTGAATATCGGGAATTTCAGCAGAAAGGGAGTGATGACTGATTTGGATCTGACTAAAAATGAGCGTGTGGCCCAAGACCGAATTGAGGTAGACTGGTTTGGCTTGGCATTGGATGTCGAATGTTGGTTGTCTGCAACACGGGAAGCAAAGATCCAGACTGTCATCATATCGAGCATAATTTGCTGTGCATTTTCTGGTAAAATACTTTTGACTGAAGATTCAATTGAAGGATTGAGTTTTCAAAAACCGAAATGAGATCAGTGGGTATCATTGGAAATCCTTCATGTTGATTTTCTTTAGTTTTATGGCGTTTATTGCTGATGGCCGAGCTTGTTTTCGAACGAGTCAAAAGCATATGTATAGAATAAATGACCAACCAAAAGAATTTATCTAGAAGGAACAGTATCAAGCTTACTACTGTTTTCTTTAAAATGGAAAAGGAGAGGAATGGATCTGTAGAAATGATTACAGTTTATAATAACAAAAAAAGAAAAGGGTTATAATAATCAAGAGAATGTATATAATAATAATAATAATAATAAAATACTTGGAATTTCATGCAAGGAAAAAAAATTGTCTTGTGGACTAAAGATATACATAGCGAGGTTTCTTCTCATCCGTATTTTCTTTTACCGCCTTATTTAAAGCATCAAAAGAGCGTTTCTAATAGATAGTTTAGTCTTTTTTTGTTTTCTTTTCATCATCTTTTTTTGTACCTTAGATTCTTCTTCTTCTTTGGATAAAGATTTATGGCCAATGCCTAGTTTGTCTAATGCATCATTTGAAAGTACTGTTTCTATTCAATAATTAACATAATGGTACACATAAAAAGGAAACACTTACTTGGAGAATCGTCTTGTATCCCTTTTAATTTTCGGATCATTTCAGCACCAGGATCTCTTTTGCCTTTTAAAAATTTCCTATAGGAAATTTTATGATCAGATTTTTTAAAATAGAATACTTACTCTAATTCTGCCCTTTCAGCTTCTTTTGGTTCTTTTCGAATTATTGCTTTCTTCATTAAGGTTCCGTCTGTTGCCACAAGTCCTTTGCCTTTAACAAAATAAGCTTCTCTTGACTTGACTCGTTTCGCAAATGGATCTGTAGGCTTTTTTTGATGTTTTGATTCATATGTAAATGATCCATCCGTTTGCTTGGTTTTAGTAGCCCATCGAATATCAAATCCACTATTTCTATTAATGGTTTAGTGGAAAAGTCGGCCCTGATTACTTTCTTTTACCCTGATGCTAATTCCATACGACCATTTTTTGAATAACCATAAACTCGCTCTAAATGTTTATCGCAATAATCACCAGATCGACTATAAGCAATTGAGCATTTATCCTTCCTTCTCATGAATCTTACATGTCTGTCCATTCTTGGCATTGTGTGTCTTTTCGAACATGACTTGCACATTGAACCAAATCCAAACTTTGACCAATAATCCACATTTGCTGTATTTGTTCTACATGTAATGCTATATTTTGATCTGTTTCTGTAGGCTTGAGTAAAAAAGGCCTTTTGATGGCAATAATTGATCCCAATCCAGTCGCATAATCGTATTTTTCAAATGCTTTGCCGGTAATGTAAAGATGGATATGCGTGCCTCGCATATCTGTAAGGCGAGTAACACAGAAATCAGGTTGAGGGAAACATTTGTCAATTACACCAATGGTTGACCAATGTGAAGAAGGCCTTACGCCAACATGAATTGAGTTATGAAGGCGTGTGCGTGCATGAACATCTTTAAGAGGCACATATTCTACATTTTTGAGCCCTACATGACATTTAGCATTGGATACAAGTCGTCGCCTAACAAATCAATAGACTGTTTTATAATTTCTTGAACGGCTTACTTGAGTCGAAAACCAGAGCGTGGTTCAATATCAATTGATTTCTCTTTTTTCTTGTCTTTGGGTTCTTGTTGAGGCATGGTTTCTGCTTCCTTCTTTATTTCATTTTGAAGTTCGTCCAAAAAATCAAATTCTAACCATATTTAGTGTTGTCTTTCTCTTGTAGACTCACCTTCTGTATCGGACATGGCAAACAAAAGAAAGAGGAGCTTAAGATAAAAAAAAAAAAAAGTGATTGTCTTTTTGTGACTATTTAGTAGCGCATGAATTTGCCATTCATCACTCTTCATAGTTGCAAAGGTATTGAAGCTCGAAGCAAGGCTTTTAGAACTTGCTCATGACTTTGGTTTCAAAAGTAAGAAGAAAAAATTATACGGTAAATCTTGGAAGGAGATATTGATTCTGATAAAAAGAGAAACACCTTTTCTTGACCATTGGGCGAAATACAGAGAACAAATGTTTCTTAACAATATGTGACGCGCTTATCCTTTTCATGTCATGCAACAACAATGTATACTTTGCCAAATATAGACTATTTTTTTTTTGTCTCCTTCCTTCCTCTCTGTCTCTCTCTCTCTCTCTCTCTCTTTTTTTTTCTTTTTCTCATAACGCCCTTTTTTCTCTCTTCAAGTTTCGGATATGTCATCGACACAATATGGGATGCTACCACAGACAAAAGAGTCTTTAGACCATATCCTAAGACACTATGAAGCATTTAAGCAAGATATACACGCCAAGGGTTTACCTATCCAACCCATGCTGGTGGGTGTATCTGGTTGCCAAGGCAGTGGCAAGACTACGCTTTGTGATACACTGACTCATTTATTAAAGGAAACATACCATTTAAATGCCATCAACTTCTCTTTGGATGATTTCTATCTGACGCATCAAGAGCAACTCAAACTCAGCCAGACATACCCGGATAACCCATTGTATCAACAGCGAGGACAAGCAGGTTCTCATGATTTAGAGTTACTATGCAAGACACTGTACAATGTAATCCACACAAACGATAAAGTAGCCATACCAGTCTATGATAAATCCATGTTTGGAGGAGCAGGTGACCGATCGAGTTACAAATATCCTCAGGGACCATTTGATATTGTCCTATTTGAAGGTTGGATGCTTGGGTTCAAATCCTTACCAGAACATGTATTATCCAACTTCAAAGTCAATCTAGACCATGTCAGGGTCATGAACAAGGCATTGCGTTCTTACGAGCAGCAAGTGTATCCATTTCTTGATATATTTATTCACTTGTCACCTCAACATATAAGTCAGGTTTATGAATGGCGATTACAGCAGGAGCAACACATGAAGACTACCCGGGGTGTAGATGGATTATCGGATGATGCTGTGCGGTTATTTGTCGACACTTATATGCCTGCTTATGAAATGTATCTGCCTCGATTAAATCAAGTAGGGTTTTATGGAAAGGGATTGTATGGTGAACCGATTGAGCCTTACGAAGGTATGTTTAGGCAAGATAAAGGGTACAGCCAACCTGGTAGACACTTGAAAGTGATATTGGATCAAGGTCGTCGAGTGGTTGAGAGTATAACCTTACGAGAGCCCATTGTACAACCTAAACGTACTTTACTCAATCAAATAATGTCTAAAAAATCAGTTTATCGTATGGGATTGATTGGTTTGATAGGCTTTATTGGCTATCGGTCAAGAAGATCCATTTTCCATCTTTTTCTCAAGTTTTTTGAATAAATTCAGTAGGTTTCTTATGCGCCACACCTTTTTTTTCTTACGAACAACACCCTATCGGACATGATTAAACCAAAATTCGCAAAGTGCCGGATAGAGAGGGAATGACACAAACATAGATAGAGAAGGAGCGGTCCTGAAAAATATAAAATGCATAAATGTGTTTTTGTTTCTTGATGGCAGACACTTCGTCCACTCCAAAAAGAAGCATGAATGTGTACATTTTGACAATATAGCTGCTATTAGTTTTTTGGTGTCTCTATTCTTTTTGTCTTGTTCTATAATATTCTTTGCTAACGTAAATAAATCATTTGTTTTCACATGCGCTTGACAGATTACTGGCTTCTTTATGTGATACATAGAAATTACATACTCATAAAAAAATGCTTGCTTTTTGATGTGGATAGAGTGTCCTTTAGCCATCCTCTTACTACCCGGTACTCTGCGAATCTCAGTTTGAACATGTCCGATAGGGGTGGTGCATAAAATCGTATTATCATCGGGTGCTACAGGAAATTGACCGTCTCAACTGCCAATCGTATAAAGCTATTGCAAGAGATGGTTGATCTTCTTCATAAAAGATCTCTTGCGGATAGAGTCTTTGTCTCACCCTGCAGTAGTGCAAAACAAGGTTTCTCTAAAACCTGAGCTAGCTGAGAGTGATAATTTGTCAAAAATAAATCAAGACCTTTGACAGAGAACAATGGTTAAACAATGCATCTGATCTGAAGCTATTTAACTGTCCTCCTGCTTCCAAGCAACGAACGAGGTAATGACTTGCTCATTTTATATATCTCTTACTCGCACCAATTTAAATCTTTAATCAATTGAATAAAATGAAGCGTACCTTTATTAGCTTGAAGAGTTTCCCCCATAACTGAACTATCAGAAAAAAGCAAAAATCTAAATGAAAACCGCATAAAAGCGAATCTTGACATTTCAAAAAACTATCCTTTGGGCTTTTTAATTAACCGCACCTTTTTTTTAGATTCCCGCACTTTGGCGTTGGAACGACTATATACGAGAGAATGAGAAAAAGGAAATAGAAAAAAAAATTTTTTTTCTTCTTTTTCTTTCTTTTTTTTATTCCTTTTTTTTAAACTATCAAAACCAACTTTTGTAGCGTGTCTTCATATGTCTCCAAGAGAATATATACCAGGCGATACTGTGTTTGCAAAGCTAAAGGGTTACCCTTGGTGGCCAGCAAGAGTAAGCAAATATATATATATTTCTGGTTCTGTGTATTGACTACGGTTTAGGTGGAAAACGATAAGGATATTCCTCCCAAGATTCTAAAGCAAAAAGGTAAATCAAAAGGTGTGTTGTATACCGTTTTTTTTTATGGCTCAAGAGACTAGTAAGTATGGAATTTTCATGGGTTTCTGTTTATTTATTTATTTCTTTTTTCAAAAAAAGTGGGTTTTTTGGTCCTGATTGTGTTCGTCCATTTGATCGTGCCACAGTTGAACGTGACTTGAAGGCTAAAAAGTTCAAGACAAAGGATTTGGAAACGGCTATCCATCAAGCATTAGATCCTTCTATTTTGAAAGCAGAGGAAGAGGCCGAAGCTGCAGCTGCAGCCGAAGAAAGTGAAGAGGAGGAGAACCAGATACAAGAAGAAAGCGAGGAAGAGGACAATAAAAAGAAAAAGGTGAACAGAAAGAAGCAAACAAAGAAAACAACACAAAAAAAGAGAAATGCGCCCAAGAAACGAGTGATCGAAGAAACAGAGGATGAATCAGAAGAAGAGAAAGAAAAGAAAAATACAAACGGAAAGAATAAGCGTGCTCGAACAATTGAGGAAGGGCCAGATGATAACAAAAAGAGAGTAAGTAGAAGGGACGAATGTGTGAGAGAGAGAGAGAGAGAGAGTCTATGTATGCTGATCCTTGTTGATAGCGTAAATCCTTATCGACCGAAAAAGAAGAGGAAAAGAAGGAAGAGCCAGTGCAACAGACTGAAAAAACAGACAATTTGGAACTCTTTAAAAAGACACCTGAATACAAGCGCATTTATCATATTAGACATAAACTTCAGAAATTAGTTTATGAAAAGAAGCCGGTAAGATAAATAAAAAAAGGGAGAGAAAGCGATATGCTCATCGTTTGTTTAGGGAGAAATTCAAAAAGAGGATTTTGTCAAAGTGTCACAAGTTGTCAAGGAAATTGAAGAATCCAACATGACATTTGATTTATTAAGGGTAAGTGTGTATATACAAGATACGGCAGTTGTCTAATTGGGTGATAGTATACCAAGATTGGCAAAGTAGTGAAGTTTGCTTGTTCTTATGATTATGGGGAGGATGAGCATAAGATTAATCAACGCTGCCAACAGCTCATGAGAAACTGGAAATCGCTTGTTCTTCCTGAAAGTCGTAGTGCATCTGTAGAAGAACAACAACAGCAACAGTCATAACACTGCGTTTTTCTTCATAAATGCTTATACTCAACTATATATACAACCCTACAATTTCGTTTTCTCTTTATTATACATGCACTAAAACTACACATGCAATCACACACACACACATTCAATTCAAATACATTTATATGATTTTTTCTCTTTTTTTCCTTAAAAAAGACTAAATTCAATTAGATATCATATTAAATATACATTCCAATACTAATCTTTGTTGTTCATTGTATATAAGAAAGAGAGAAAAGTAAACGTTAGTGTCAAAAAAAGAGACGAGGACATATACTCAAAAGGACTCGGATTATCAAAATTCTTGTTTATACTAACGACTTGCTGTTATTTTTATGAGCTCGCATTATTACAAGGTCATATCATCTGTCATAGTAGGGTTTCAAACTCTAAACTATTATAAAAGAAGCCTGTAAAAAAGCCTCCAATACATAGCATTGTATAAACACATGAAGGTAGCTTAAAGCACTCCAATGTATGCATAAATGCAATGGATGCTTATAAACAATGTTTACTAACATACAGGGCACCTCTGGTGTTGATTTCGACCAAAAAAGCGACATGTCCAAAAACTGCTTTCAGGGATGGACAATTACTCAAAGGAGTAGCTTAAATCTCCGACATTTTGAGCTTCTTTTGGACTTTATAGAATGAAGAATGTAACTATTGGCATGACTAAATACTAAGAATTAAGGTCTAAAATTGCTGTTACTAAAGATGGTATTTTTTACAGATTGTGTTGTAAGAATGATGCACTAGAAGCAAAAAACCTCTAAAAAAGTTTTGTACGATTGCTCAAAATTTTACTATCAAATTTAGTGTTTTTCTTATACCAATTAGTTTCTGAAACAAATACCTAAAACTTTTATTATTGCAGCAAAACGAAATAATCATGTCTTTATGCATTTTTAAAAAAGACCTCAATTTCTTAACCCATCAGATTGCCTTTTCAATCTCCGAACCAATCATGTTTTCATGCACTTCAAGAAGAGCATTTACATCAATGTGAACAGCTCTTATCAACTCTGTTTCTCAATATCATGGTATTAGTCAAGATAATTTTATTACCTCTGTTCTAAGTAATTTTCTGCTTTAGACTGTCATTACTCATTCTTGTGAACGACAGCAGGATTATATACGGTCATTCTTTGACAGCCACCGTCACAGTCACGTAAAGCAACTTTTTTTCATATTTTTTTTCATTCACTTTCTTTCGTTACGTCTATACTATGGCTGATCACCCCAACAAGTTAGCCTTTGAAGAAGGTGCTCGTTACATCTTCAACAACTGGACTGCTCTCAAACTCGCTGTTGAGCAAGACTGGGGAGGAGTTGAGTCTCCTGAAAAGAAAGAATGGTTTATTGACGTTGTTATTGACTACTTTGGCAAGCGTAAGTAGACACACAGCCAAGAAAGGATAATTCTGACCGAGATCTAGAAGGAAAAAAGTTGGATGTAGATGATATTGAAGTTGTTTTGAGTCAAATCATGTCTGATGAGTTTCATGCAACATTGGAAGATGATTCACCTTATTTGGTTGCCAAGCATTTGTACGAATTGTTTAATCAGTGTATCCATGGTAATTATGCAGAAGTAGAGCGTCTTCGTGAAAAGGCCAAGGTGCAGAACTCTTATATGGCTGCTTCAAGTAGCATGAAGCAAGGAGATGATAGTGACAATGATGATGAAGGTGTAAGTAAATAATAGCGTTTTTGCATTATTTGTTCATGCCATGTATTAGGATGGTTCATTAAATGGCAATGATGATGATAATGAAGATGACGATCAAATGGAAGAAGCTCCTCAAGAACCTCTTGTAGATGAAGATGGCTGGGAAACTGTCCGCCGTAAATAAATGTACATAATTTTATTGTTTCATTGCATTAAATTCTTTTGCAAAATTTTGTAATTCTGCTAAATCTTCTTTAGGAAGACTGATTTCTTTAGCCTTGGGGGTTTCCTTCTTGGTTACTTTCTTTTTGTCAGCTTTGTTCTTTTTATCTGTCTTTGGCTTCAATTCATTCTTTTTCTTGCTCTTGCTCTTTTGTTGAGTACCTGTCAAAACTTGTGTCATGTCCATATCTTGGGTTTCTTGATCTTCCTTTTTCTTTTCATCCTTCTTTTTCTGTTCTTCTCGTTCAGCTTCTAATTCTTCTTCTGTCTTGACGGGTTTTGATGTCTCCATCAATTGCTTCCAAGAAGCACCTGTACCTTGTTTAATCACTTTTTGGACACGAGCCTTGTCTTTTTCATTCAAAGTAGGGTATCCTCTGAATTGTTCAATAGGAACATGTGTCAAATACTCAGGCACTAATCAAGTCAGTCATCGCGGTGGAAATGTATAGTTACCTTTCCAGCATTTGAAGTGATACCATGTATGTTTTGCTAAATCCTTCTTAACTTTTTTATTTTTTCTATATATCTCGGCAACACGCAATGACTTGTGAGGAATTGTTTTACCACAATCAGCACAAGTAGATTGCTGTGTCTTTGCATGTTCAATACAATGTGTAATAATGGATTTCTCAGCTTGTTGGTCTGTCATATTGTTTTAAAGAATGAAAAAAAAAAATATGAAAAAAAAAATTGCCTTTTATTCAATGCGTGACTATGTAGTGACCTTTTTTTTTTGGTTGCATAAAGTTCATTCTTCATCCGATAACATCAATTCTTCTAATTCTCTTTCTTCTTCTTCAGTGAGGCCATTTTTATTTTTTTCTTGCTCTAGTTTCTCTTGTTCAATACGCTTCGATTTAGCTTCTCTTGTTTCATTGTATTGCTTGATAGCAGCAGCAGTCAATGGCCATGTTCTAACTGAACAGTCTAAAGATCCACTGTAAAGAGTAGATCCAGCCATTACCAAACATCCCACTTCATCAAAATGACCTTCAATTGTACAGACAAGCTTACCAGATCCGATATCCCAGACACGTATATCATCATCGCTAGTTCCAGTGACCACATAAGGGCCAGCCAATGCAATCGATTTGACACGATCAGGATGTTCCAACACCATATCCACAGCTCCTGTTTCTGTATGCCAGCGTCTGACAGTTTTGTCAGCTGAAGCAGACCAAAGGTCTTCTTCCCAGACACGTATACAGTAAATACTGGTCTCATGGCCCTCAAATGTCTTGACTACTTGCATGGTATCCAGTTGCCATTTCTTGATGGTGCTATCAGAGGAACCTGAATACAAATAGTTTTCAAAAGCCGCCAAACTTTCAATAGCGCGTTTGTGCTTCTTTTCCACAAATGTACAAGTCATCGTGCTGATTTGCCAACGACGCAAGAAGCAATCGGATGAACCCGAGTAGAGATGATCACCTACAATCAAAAGAGACTTGACAAAATCAGTATGTCCTTCTAATGTGGCAAGACATTCGCCTGTCATCAAGTCCCATTGTTTGATGGTCTTATCCCATGAGCCTGTCCAAAGGTACTTGTCATCCAAGACCATGCAAGTGACAGGACCTTGGTGGCCCTTAAACAATTTAACTGTTTTTGAAGTCTAGGTAAAGTGAGTTTCAGGATGGACATCGTCAAGACTTACAGCCAAGGATATCTTGCGAACAGAGAAACCAGATTCAGCTACATATAAATATTTCTCATCTTGACCAAGGCAGATATCTAATACCTTGGAAGGTGTCTTGATAGCATTTCCCTCTGTATAGTTATATTTAGCTGCTTTTTCTTTTTGCTTTGCAAGATCTGCGTCTGTTTGAAAAAATGCGCCTGCTTCTTGTCCAATATTGACCATGGTATAAAAAAAAAAAAACAAAGAAAAAAGAAAATTTTATTTTAGTAGAATGATTTATGTCTTTGATGCTTTTGTTGGTAAGGTTGAGTACGATCTGTAGCTGAGCTTTGACTTCGTTTGATAAACGTATTTGTTCTTGTGTATTTAGGAAATGCTGGTTTTGTAGACTGGCTTGGTACAGGAGGAGGAGGTATAGCATGTTGATTTGGTTTCTGATTGATACTAGTATGAGGATCATCAAATGGACTTGTGGTAAAAGGGTTATTATTAGGTATTTCTTGATTTCGAATAGAGGGAGACTGATAGACAAATTTCTGAGTTAATAAGAGTGTTTGACCAGTATTCAATTCATGCAAAGACAAGGAGGATTTTGATGATTGGAGTTCTTCTTCTGGTCTTTGATAAGGATTAAAGTCATCTGCTGTACCTGCAGATCTTGATCTAGAATGTGTATAAGGTTTTTCTACAGCGGGAGTAGTGGGTGCAATAGCTGTGGTTGTGACTGAGCTATTTAAGGCGGGTCGCATAGCCATGGTTTGATTCCAATCTTGAGGATAAAAGAAATCAACCGTAGGATCATGCGTTGGTATAGGTGTGTGTGTTGTAAAGGGCCCTAAATAAGAACGACGGTTTTCAGACTGTTGTTCTTTCTCTTGTCCCCACCAAGACTTCCTTGCTTGATAATGTGCTGTATTGTTTGTTTCTGGTATTGTCTTGATAAGTGCATCAAATGGATTTGTATGAAAATGAGGTATGGGTGCTACACAGATTAATTGCCATCAGCCTCAATTCAAATTTCTCTTACCTCCTAAATAGACTAATGCCCGGCTGATTTTCCGTCCATTTTGAGCATGTGCAATCAATCGAAGCATGGCAAAGAATTGAAGCTTATTCAGTCCTTCTGTTGCTGATTCAAATAGGGCCAAAATCTGTTCTAGTTTATTATCAGGTAAACTACAGCCATTCAAGAATTTAAGTAGAGTAGGGTTATTGATCACTTCTAGACCAAACGGACTCAAATCCTTCCACCAAGACTCGTAAGCTTCTCTTTCTGTTTCTGATAGTTCAGACAAGCTGATTTCCGGTGGCTCATTGAGATTAGTTGTTGGTGTAGAGTTAGTCGTCGAAAGTCTCTTTATAAACTGTTGTGGTCTTCTTTCTTCTGTCTTGAGTTTTTGTGAACGTTGAAATACATTTTTTAATTTATTCATAATAATAATAATAATAAAAAAAAGAAAGAGAGAAAATAAATAAAAAACTAAACTCATTTTTATCAACATAACAAAAAAAAAAAGAAAGCAAAGAAAGAAAAAAAGAGCTACTTGTCTCTAAAAGATACAAAAACCCATTGTTTTGATATTCAACAGGATATTTCTTTCCTTGTTTCCATTTATCTCTTTTAAATGAATGGTTGGTACAATTTAATATTTAGCACGACGTGTGCCAATTCTAAAGGAGAATCACTCGGCACATTGTAAAACCTTGATTTGAACTCAGTAATTGAAGCATTGATCATGTCTAAAGATTTTTATTTTTAAAATTCAGACAAGGATCAATGCAAAGAAAGACATCAAGAAAAGCTAAAAAATACAGTGCATAATATCAATTGTATGTTTAGAAAGGCTTTATCTTCAATCACTCTGTTATGTTACTTCATGTCAACCCTCTTTTAAATTATAAAGTTGACTCGCAAATCTATTGATAACAATAACCATTGCTTATGGGAGTACATTCATTAAATAACCAGAAAGTATGAAGGCTCATTCTAAATGTATATATATATATATATATATATATATGTGTGTGTCTCTCTCATGGATAATATTATTAGGTTTGTTAATAGAGCAGTACTCTTGTTAATCCCAAGCTAAACATGAAAGAAGAATAATGCATGATATATATATTGACTCCAGAGAAGAAAGACACGTCATGATTCTAATAAAAGAGAAATTGCTAACTTGAAGGACTGCTTCCCATAGGTAATGTGACAAAGAATGGCTGTGAACTGATCTGCAAAGATGCGTAAATTATACATACATTCACGCAAAGCCGCATAAAGTCATGGCAAGCAAGTTAGTGTAACAATAAAGTCAATGTATAGAAAAAACAAATGTAGAGGAAGAGCGCAATCATGTCTAGATAGGCACTTGGTTCAAATGGAAGTCAATAAAAAGCGACCGAAAGCATTAAATATAGCCAAAAGTACTGGACTATGAGAGCATATGGCATGTGGTTGTAGTGCAGGAGAAAAAAAAAGGGTGAGAGGGGGGGGGAAGGCAAACTCGTGCAAAAAAAGTGAGTTGACGTGTAATGCAGGTCGGGAAAATAACGCAACCATAAGCATGAATTGGCTTTTGTTACAGCTATTTGATTTAGCATACCAAGAATTACTTAGGCAAAATCATGGTGGCTAGTCTTGAGAAGACAAAGGCTCAAGTCTTGACTAATTTAAGGTGTGAAATGCCCTAGTCCTCATAGCCTCTAGCTAATTTGATTGGCTGGAATCAGCAAACATATCAGAGTTGCTTTAATGAAAGAATAGGATCTGCCAAGCCTCGCTGTGGGACAACTTTTGAGTATATATGCAACAGTGTGGCTTTTCGTATCATCTTGAAAAGATAGACCTTTATCTCTTTAGCTCTAAATGGCTGTTTAAAACACATAAATTAATCTGGAACTGAACCACTAAAAAGGAAGCTTCATGAGAGGTGCCTGAAAGAACTGCATTTCGAATTCAATATTGAATGTCTTTATGAAAAATAGAGTTAATCAGCAAACAAATGATGTTAGTGCACAATCATAAAAATATCGTCTTGATTGAAGTATACTTTATCTGTCAAACTAGAGAAGCCTATCGCAAATAGCACTTCAAGGTGAAGATCAATAAAATAAAATTCATTACCAGACGAATTTCAATTACCTTAAATACCCTTTTTTAAACTCTTTCTTATCCTTTTTCTCTTCCCTCTTTTATATTTTATTTTATATCTATATTTGTATATAATAATTATTCAAATTATTATATATATTTATACCGACAATTACTGTTGATATCCAATGACTGATAGTCCATCTAGTGTCAGAAGCAGAATGTCTTCTTTGGCGGCTGCTGGTCTTGCAGGTACAAGCAAAAAGCCCGCCACAACCTCTTCTACTGCAAGACCTACCAAAACGCCTACTGTAAAGACCGCTGTAGGAACCACGACCAAGGCCCCTGCCTCGCCTACAACCCGTACAAAGCCTGCTAGTCCTTCAACGGTGAGAGCTTCAAAAACGCCATCATCACTCGGCACAAAAACAGCCACAAGTCGAACCTCTACCCCCTCTACTACCACAACAGCTTCTCGTAAGGCTTCTGTTGCTTCTTCCACAGGATCCACTACACCCTCTTCCACACTCACTCGAAAATCCACAGTGCCTTCTGTTCGTTCTACAACGAGTACGGCCGTTAAAAAAACAACTTCACCTACCGCATCCACTACTCGTCCTACCCGAGCTGGAACCACAGCAGCAACATCCGCTACCCCTGTTCGTAGAACACCCTCGGTTGCTTCCGCTACGGGTCGTTCATCTGCTACTGCTTCTACAACAACAGCTACCAGAAGTGCAACGGCATCTACCACAAAATCAGCTGAATTAGCAGCGGAGTTAAAGGCCGTAAAAGCAAAGGTACAATGACTACTAACCAACAGATTTTTTTTTATATTAACTTGATCTATAGAATGAAGAAATGGAAGCATTGCTGGCCGAGAAGCAGGCTTTGATTGATAATAAAGAAGCTGATTTGGTTGCCTTGAAGGAAAGATTGGCAAAGATAGAGACAGGTTTAGCTACCCCTGAGGATCTAGAAGCCAATGCTCCAGAAGAAACAGAAATTAGCACTAAAAATTCAGAGTCCACTGCTGATGAGACTGCTGATCAACAAGAGAGTCAATTGGAAGAACAGCGTCAACAACAACAACAGTTGTTGGAAGAAGAGATCAAACAGCTCAAAGAACAAATTCAACTTGCTGAACAGGCCCGTGATGAAGCTCTCGAGAAATCAAAAGAAGCAGCCACGATGTTAGAAGAGGAAAAGGCCCGTTTAACAAAAGAACAAGAGGAAGCCGAAGAGATTTTAAGAAAGAACACTGAAAAGTTGAGAGAAAAGTTAGAAGCTGAAAAGCAAGACTTATCAAACCGTATTTTGGAAAAAGAGTCAGAAATGATCCGTCTTCGAAAAGAAATTGATGAATTGCGTGATGATATTCAAGTAAGGAGATTTGTCAACATGATCATAGCTAACATGTATCATAGGACATGCATAAATCGCATCAAACAAGATTAACTAGTTTCAATAACCAGTTGAATGAGCAACACGCTAGTCAAATTGCAAGCTTAAAGGACGAGCACGAAACTCAATTAGCTCAACTTCAAGAAACGCTTCAACAATTGCAAGAACCCAATGTGGATACAGAAAAAGAAATTGAGGAGCAGAAAGCAGCATTAATGGCAAAGATCGAGGAGCTTGAGACACTCTCTGCTGAATCAAAGACAGGATTTGAAAAAGAGATCAGTGAATTAAAGCAACAATCTGTTGCCCAATTGGAGGAGCTTGCTGTTTCACATCAAAAGCAATTGGAGGAAGCTACTATTGCTTTGAAGGTGAGATATTTTATGTAAAATGCAATATTGACACTCGTGTCTGTAGGAGGAAGTTGAGTTGTTAAAGTCAAGCCATCAACAAGAACTAGAAAATTTGAAGGCTCTTCATCAATCTGAATTGGAACAAGTGCAAGCAGCTATTGATGAGAACGAGATTCAAAAGCTTCGTATAGAGGCCGAGGTAAGTTTCTATCGAAACATGGATGAATACTAATGTGATTGGGGAATTAAAGCAAACATGTCGTGAACAATTTGCAAAGGAGTTAGAAGCTGCTAAAAGCGAGCATGCTGCTGTTCTTAATTCATCTCGTGAAGAACAAGATCGTATTCTAAAAGAAATGGAGTCTCTAAAATCAGCCCATCAAGAAGAAACAGCCGCTTTAAAAGAACAGCATGAAAAACTTATTTCGGAAGCAAGAGAATCTGAAAAGGTAATGAGTGCATCCTATCAAAAAAAAAAAAAAGGCTGACCTCTTGGGTTTTCCATAGACTCGTCTTGAAGCTGATTATCAACAAAAGTTATCTGAATTGGAATCTTCTCATTCTGAAGCTCTTGAACAGCATACACATCAATCTCAGAATAATCTCCAACAAGACATCGAGAATCTCAAGTCATCTCATGCTCAAGAACTCCAAGAACTCGCAGAAACTCATTCTGAGGCATTAAAAGAAGTCAAGAATAGTGCTGCTGCAACGGCTCGTTCAGAAACAGAAAAGCAAGTACGTGAAGAATTTGAGCTCAAGATGGAACAATTGTCTGCTAGCCACACCCAAGCTATTGAACAGCTACAAAGTCATCATTCAAGTCAAATGGAACGATTAGAGTCCGAGCTCAAAGCCGAAATTGAAAAACAAAGCGCACTTGCACTTGAACATCAACAGAAATTGGACGAACTCATCGCAGAGCGTGATGGTCATTTAGACACTATTCGCAAAGATGTGAAGGATGCACTTGACGCTGTTCATCAAGCTGAAATTGCTCGTCTTGAGGGCGAGCATGATTCTAAAATGAACGAGTTAAAGCGTGAGCATATCTTGCAACGTGATCGTGAGCGTGAAGCATTGGAGGAAAAGCACAAGCAAGCCCTAGATGAGCTGAATGTCAAGCATTCGGCTGCTATGGCTGCTTTAGAAGAAAAGCATGCTTCTCAATTACAGCAGGATCGTCAGCAAACTGAAACTAATTTGAGCGAAAAGTCTGGTGAAGAAGTACAAGAATTAAAGAGCCAATTTGAGGCCGAGACGAAAGAATTGAATGCCAAGCATCAAGCTGAATTAGAAGCATTGCAAAAAGATAATGAAAAGATCAAGACCGAGTTCGAAGCTGCCCTTCAGCGCGAACAAGAGCGTGAAGTCTTGGAAGAAAAGCATCAGCAGGCTCTAGATGAATTGACTGCTAAGCACTCAGCTGCCATGGCTGCGCTAGAAGAACAACATGCTACTCAATTAGAACAAGGTCGTCAACAAACTGAAGTTCATTTGACTGAAAAGTCTGGTGAAGAGTTGCAAAACTTGAAGCGCCAATTCGAGACTGAAATCGAGACATTAAAGAGCAAGCACCAAGCCGAACTTGATACATTAAAACAGGATTCGGATAAGACCAAGGCTGAATTTGAGGCTGCTCTTCAACGTGAACATGAGCGTGAAGCTTTGGAAGAAAAGCATCAGCAGATCTTGGATGAGCTATCTGCTAAGCATACCGCTGCTATTGTTGCTCTGGAAGAAAAGCATGTTGCTCAATTGCAACAAGAGCGTCAACAAGCTGAAACTCATTTGAGCGAAAAGTCTGGCGGAGAACTACAAAGTTTAAAGGATCAATACGAAGCCGAGACGAAAGAATTGAATGCCAAGCATCAAGCTGAATTAGAAGCATTGCAAAAAGATAATGAAAAGATCAAGACCGAGTTCGAAGCTGCCCTTCAGCGCGAACAAGAGCGTGAAGTCTTGGAAGAAAAGCATCAGCAGGCTCTAGATGAATTGACTGCTAAGCACTCAGCTGCCATGGCTGCGCTAGAAGAACAACATGCTACTCAATTAGAACAAGAACGTCAAAAGACAGAGTCTCAATTCAACAGCAAACATGATCAAGAAATGCAACTCTTGACAAACAAGTTTGAAGAGGAAATCAAGGAATTAATACATGAACACCAAGCCGAAACCAAAGCATTACAAAAAGAAAATGACAAGACCAAAGCTGAATTCGAGACTTCGATGGTTGCCTTGAAGGCATCCCATGAAAAGCAATTAAGCGATGTGGAGGCCCAACTAAAGGCTTTGGCTTCTAGTAACGATCAAGTGAGTGACATTACTGCACGCTTTGAGAAAGAGATAAACAGCTTGAAGGAGCAACATACGAAGGAAGTTGCTCAACTCGCTGAAGAACATAGTTCACAAAGACAAGTTCATGCTCAAGAAATCCAAGATTCTCATGCTGCTGCTCTTGAACAGCTTAGAAAACAACATCTTGCTCAAATCGAGGAACACAAGGAAGCCAATGCCAAGGACCTCCAAAATATGCTTGAAGAATTAGAGCAATCTCAAAAACAAAAGCTGGACCAAGAAATACTCGACTTAAAGTCTCAACATGAACACACCATTCATTCTTTAAAAGAAGAGCACTCTCAAATGATTCAAGACTTGGAAAAACGTCATGCTGATACACTTAGATCTATTCAAGAGCAACTGGATGCTAAGCATCAAGCGCTAAAGGAAGCTGAGCAGCTTTCCAATGAAAAAGCAGCGGCATTTGAACAGATGCAGGCCAAGCATCAACAAGTGCTTCAAGAAATGGAAAGTTTGAAATCTGGTTCTGGTGAATTATCTGAAGTTGTTACTAAATATGAAAAAGAACTGAACGCGTTGAGAGAAACACAAGCGGAAACACTTGACAAGCATCAAAAGGCTTTAGAGGCACTCAGTGCCGAACACCAAGTTACACAGAATCAGGAACTTGATTCCCACAATCGAGAATTGCAAGAGTTGAAGGAGAAGCATCGTGTTGAAGTTGAAAGTCTGATTGAAACACATAAACAAACCATTCAAACCCTTGAGCAGCAACTGCGCCAAGAATCTGAAAAATCTCTTGAATTGGCTGCCCTGGCTCACGAAAACGACATTCAGGCTCTAAAAGAGCAACACGACAAAGTGCTCGAAGAATTGTCTTTGACTCATTCAAGTTCCGTTGAAGCAATTCAAACTTCGCACTATCAAGCCATCCAACAAATCAAACAAGAAACTGAATCCAGAACAATCGGTGACACCGAAAAAATCAAGGTATATTTAAGATGGGAGCTTTTTATTTTTAGTTTTTGTGTGTGTGTGTGTGTGTGTGTGTAACGTTTGTCTGACGATGTAACTTAGAGTGAAATTGACGCAAAATACGAATCCGTCATTCAGGCGCTTAAGGCAGAACATCAAAATGCTATCGAAGCATTGTCCAATGAACACCAAGAAAGTCAAAACAAGCTTCTTGCTAAAATGAATCTACAATCAGAAGCACTTCGATCAGAATTAGAGGTACAAAAGAAAAGAATACATGATCATGTGTATTTCGTCATTTGTGCTCTAACAAACCTAAACCTAATAGGTCGAGTTCGCGGAAAGTTATGAATCACAAATAAACCAACTGGTAATGGAGCACAACAAGACAAAGAATGACTTAGAAGCAGAATTAAAGGAGGCGTTGGCATTGATTGATTTGACCAAGTCACATTCTGAACAAGAAAAACTTACGCTTGAGCAACAATACCGGGACAAATTATCAAATTTGGAAGCAGAACACCAAACACAGGTAGAAAACTTTGCAAAAAACAATGACGATGTTACAGAAAAAATGCAAAAAGAAATCGAGGCTGTTCAAATGACATGGCAAGAAGAACAACAAAAGTTGATTGCCAAGATTCATGCTGAACACGAAGCTTCTACTCGAGCCATCCAATCCGAGCATACCAACGCTTTGATCGCTATAGAAACCAAGTTGACAGCTGCTTTGAAAGAACTCGAGCAGGTAAAAGACAGAAAAAAGAAAAAAAAAAAAAACTCAACATTTATCATGTGAAATAGACTAAAGCAGAAAAGGAACAATACCTTACTGAAATGAAATCCGTGCGTGAGCAAAGTCAAACAGACAAGTCAAAAGAGGATCATATGACCGAGAAATACAATCAGCTACAAAAGGAAATTGAAACTTATAAAGCTGATGCTGAAGAATTACGTACCCTCAAGATTGCCTATGAAAAAATGATCGAAGTCAAAGACAGAGAGATTAAGGAAGTTGAAGAAAGAGTTGAGGAATTGATGAATTCTTCTACTTTTCAATTAAAGGTAAGGACAAAAACATTATACTAGCATGTCTTAGTTGTTTGATAGAATGATGAAAACCGGGTCAAATCAATTGTATCTCAGCATCAGAAAGAAATTAAAGTTTTACAAACTCAGTCCCAACAATTACTTGATCTAAAGGATAAAGAGTTAGAAGGTTTCTCTTATCGACTCAAGACAATCACTACTTCCCAACAAAAAGATATGGAGAAGTTAAATCAAGATTATCGTCAAAAGATTGCTGATTTGAATGCAGAGTGCCAAAAGAAAGAGGAAAACCTCAAATCCAAAGCACTTGAAATGAGATGGATGGCTGCTGAATTTGAAAGTTCTGAGGTACACAAAACGTTTGTTATCTACCATTTAGAGTTTGTCACCTAAAATTTTCAATAGGCTAAATTAAAGGACCAGGGCATAAAACTCCAGAATTTGGAAAATGACAATAATCAACTCCGACAAACTGTCCAGCAATACAAGGAAGAAAATGAACAAATGTTAAGGCAAGTATAGAATTTTAATTCGGTCCTAAGGACACAAGAATATATATATATATATATATATATATAGCGAGAGAGAGAGAGAGAGAGAGAGAGAAATTGCCTGTTTGTTTTTTGACGTTTTCCTAACTTTTATTCTATAGACTTATTCACCAACTTCAAAGTGAAATGCATCATATTCATTAGAATTGCCCTTAGCAACAGTGAAAGTAAAATATCGAGTACGCACGTGTCTAAAATCTATTAATAATCCAATCAAAATTATCAATTTAACAGTATAAAAAAAAATCTGCTGTAACATTTATTTTTTCTTTTTTATCTTTTTTATTTTCTGTCTTTCTATTTTCCTCCTTTCTTTCTTCCCCCTTTTTTTTTTTTTCGTCATGGATGTTTATTCAAATAAAATAAAAACACAACCTTCTGACAATAACACTCATATACCACTTAAAAGAACTAGAGCTAAACGTAGTTGTGATTTCTGTCGAAAACGCAAGGCACGATGTGATGCAGACCATGCAATACCTTGTTCTAACTGTAGAGCGGTAAAAAAAAAAAAAAAAATGATGACACAATTACATATCCTAACTTATATTTTGACATTTTTGTTTTCTATAGTGGGGCTTCAATTGTGAGTTCTTGACAGTTAGAAAGAAAAGAGGACCTCCTAGTGTGTGAGAATCAGTTTAGTCTTCATTAATAGTACAATGTAAACTGAATGTTTATTTTCTAGTTATGTGGAAAACCTCGAACTTCGATGTAAAAAAATGGAATCCCTATTAACCTCTTTGACGAATCAATCGATCAAAGACATCGAACGCAACGATTTTCGCATAGAAGCTTATGCCAACAAACAAGATCAATATCATCTTGTAAACGAACACAACGAACTGGACGATGAAGATGATGAAGAAGAAGAAGTCGAGGAAGAAGACGAATCTTCAGCTAGTGATGTTTCTTCTACACAGTCCAGCAAATGTATCAGTATTGCAAACACACTTGCCAACCTTAACCTCGATGATTATGACGCACTCAAATACACCGGGAATTCTGCTGGACTACAGTTGATTGATCAAAGTTTATTTAAATCAAAACCCTATGTTCAACTACCTGGAAGAGAAGATGTCGCCTTAAGACTCATGCCACAAAACGAACTACTTGTGGTTCGTACAGATTGTTCAGGGAAAAAAAAGTCTAATACACGACTTGACGTTGGTTTTTCCTTGAACAGTTCTATTTTTGACGAAAAAAAAAGTTACAAAACCAACCTGCTAAACCTTCTTCAGTTGATTTGCCTTCTAGTACAATCATTGAAAAAGCTTACAAAGTGTATGTCATGTTTATTCTTAAATAGACTTATTTATTTTATATAAATATAGGTATTTTAGCCATATTCATCTATTTCTTCCTCTCATCAACAAAACACGCTTTGAAACACACGATTCGAAAACTTCCAATATACTTACTCACGCTGTCTTGGCAGTCGCTTTCCGGTTTGCTTCACGACATTTTCCAAAGTTGCTAGGTCCCAAAAAATCCGCCATGTATGCCGGCGCTTATTTCCAAAAGGTGATGTACCACCTCAGAGACTCAAATCATCCTCGACTTCGCCATGTCCAAGCAGCATTATTAATGACGCTTTATTTGGACATGGATGAAGAAGACGTTGAGTCAATGCAATGGTATACACTGGGTAAAGCCATTCGAATGGCTCAAGATATCGGTCTGCATCGTTCTTGTTCAAACTGGAATCTACCTCCTTCTGAAATTGAAACAAGACACCGAGTGTTCTATGTCTGCTATGTCCTTGACAGACTCATGGGTGCTCGTGCAGGCAAGCCATTGACGATTCTTGATCGAGATTTTGATACTGATATGCCTGTTGCTCATGAAGTGTATGATGATAATCGTATTGGGCCTTCTGTGTATCATTCATTTATTGCCCTGATCAAGTTATCTGAAATCCTTGGTAGAATCTTGAAGGCTTTATATGCGCCTAAATCAAAACATTCCAATACAAACGCTGGCTTAGATGATCCAACTATTCTCGCGGTATTCGACCGTCGACTCAAAAACTGGAGAGCTACTTTAGACGAACCCAATCATGGCGCCAGTTGGAGCCAAGCCCAGAAAGGTAAATAAGACTAATTATAGACATAAAAATTATGATTGGTTCGCTTAAACTGTTATTATCGTTATTATTATAGTAAATTTGTTGTTGTTTTACCATACAGCCATGCTCTTGTTACACCGACCTTTTATTGAATATTCATCCACAGCACTTGTTGTTCAAGGCTCAGTTGATTTGGATAAACTAGCGTCTGAATCTCGTCAAGCTTGTGAAAATGCTGCCTCCAATATCTCTGTGATCATTCGTCAAAAGCAATCGCTGATGTATGACCCAGATTCATATGGCCCACTTTGTTTACCGACTTGCTTTGTTTACGCCATGTTTCAGTCATCGCTGATTCATCTTGCTGTAGCTATTAAAAATAGAGATTCATTACGTCGACTTCGATTGCTTCAAAGATCAATTACACTCCTTAAACAACATGAACAGCTGGCTTCTGCTCAACGTGCACATAATATCCTGCTCATGCTTGTCAAGATCAATAAGATCAATGTCAACAATTTGCTAGAGAATGACACAACAAAGGAATTTTCGAATCTTGAAGAAGACAGCTTGCTATCAAATCCAGCATCACCTATTCCTACTAGTAATGAAATTCAGTTGGTCAAATCAACTCAGTTACAAGACATGTTGACAGAAGAAGACACCATGCCCAAGTCTTCTTGGCATCAACGTATGATGAACACAAGTATCATTGGAGGCATTACTGCTGATTTACATCAAAACATACATGAAAACGCATCAAGTTCACAAACATTGAATCAACTTTTGCCTTATGCAACACAATATCAACCGCCCTACATCGACTATGACAATAACACAAGCCTACATAATCCAAAAAGACCTGAAGTATATCAGTCACACCCTGTACTCTATGAAGACTCAGCTCGTCTACACCCTATATTTCAAAATGAAGAACATGCAAACAACTATCGCATGAGTTCAAGTACTGGCAACAGTTCTTCATTGCTTTCACACCATCAGAGAACTGGCCTTACACCTACAGGTCTTCTCCATTTTCCAAACACGTCTACTGATACCACGTCGGCACCTTATTCAGCCCATTACACTAGCCATGCTACATATCCCACTGGTTTGACCTGGAGTGACTGGAATGTCTATGTCAATAATCCTTCTATGTCAGACCACCCTTCTTAAGCCCCTCCCCCCTTTTTTTTTCATTATACATCGCCTTTATTATATATATATATAACCTCTTCAAAATGTATTTTTATTTGTACTTTTTTTTATTTTGTTTTATGATTACATAAAAAAATTTTTGAACAGAAATTTTTCCTTTTTTGTGGTTTTCCTTTTTACCGAGAAAAAAATATGGACAAGAGATTCTAGATTAAACAAAAAAAACACAATTTATTTTTTTTTTCTTATGAGAAAGGCATTTAGTCAAAGAGACCGAAACCCATGTCATCATCTTCTTCCTCTTCTTCTTCTTCAGCAGCAGCGGCAGCAGGAGCATCAGAAGAAGCAGCAGCAGCAGCGGGAGCGGCAACAGCGAAAGCTTCAGGGTTGGCAATGAATTCCTTGATTTGTTCAGAACCAGGGAAAGTGTAGTCGGAAGCGACAGAGACAGCCAATAAGTTCTTGTAACCGTTGATGATGGAGTGAGGAACGGAAGCAACGGTGGGGTAACCAACAGCGAGAGAGACGGAGGCAATATCACGGATGGCAGCCATGAGGTTAGCAACCAATTGGGATTCTTCAACATCGAGAACATCGGCAGAGAAGAGAGAACCAGCATCGTAAACTTGAACAACACCCATACCGTAAGTGAAGGGAGAGATGTTCAACATGTTCAACAAAGTGGCTTCGGAAGGACCGACCTTTTCACCAGCAGTAACGAGCTTGACATCAGAAACGATTTCAATGGTACCACGGGCAATCTTGGTAGGGATACCCAAAGCTTGGAAGAAAGAGGTCTTACCGGGTTCCATACCAGTGTTACCACCGGGAACAACGACATCAACGGGAGCAACGGCACCAGCACGAGCAGGAGCAGCAACACGGTTGGAGACGATCTTTTCACGGATTTCCTTCAATTCACCGTTGGTGAAAACGAAACCAATGTTACCCTTAACGAAGTTAAGAAGCTTTTCGAGTTCAGGGCGTTCAGTGATCAAACCCTTCAAAGCACGACGAACCATGGTGTTCTTACCCATGAGAACGGCAGCTTCACCACGAAGGGAGTGACGAATTTGGTGCATTTGGTTGGAGCTGACATTGTCAACGTTGACAATGAAGATGGATTGGTAGGTTTCCAAGTAGTTGTTGAGCTTTTGGAAGTAAAGGGCCTTGTTTTCTCTCTTCGACATGTTGATTAACTAAACTGTTCGAGGACTTATTAAAGAACTAGAGAGGATGTCAATATATGGATGGATGGATGCATGATGGATAATTTTACCTGGCTTGTTAGAGGAGGAAACAAGACAAAACGAAGCTGCATTGCGCTTGTTATTCCATTTCCAGTCGTGACTGCCTTTTTGGGATACATAAGGTCCTTTTCAAGCTGTCTCCCTAAAGTCGAGGAGATGCCATCTATAGTAACTGTAACACAAAACGACTTCCATAAATGGACGGGGGTTTTGTGGGGGGGAAGACGAAAAAGTACTTTTAAATTTAAGGAAGGCCAAAAAAGGAAGTCATGAGTCAGTGTTCAGTGGGTTAGAAACTCTGCTTTTTGAAAAATCTCATTACTATACATAGAATTTAAGATATTTATGCTTTTTTTTTTCGGTAGGGGGAGACAGCTCGGAAAGAGTCATAAAGGTTTAGAATTCTTCAAAAAGAGAATTGAATGACCAACATCATCCTCTTCGAGTCACTTTGACAGTTCTTTGGTTAAACTGTAAGGTGCTATTTTCGTTTTTAAGTGTACAATAATAATACAAGACTAATTCTTTTTGTTATTCTGTAAACCATTAATAGCAAAATGACATTAAAAAAAAAGGAAAAGAAAGAGCTTTGTCAAAATGGTCATGAGCAAGAGAGCAATTGGAAGGTTTAGTTATCTGTTGATTAACGACATTTCTGGCTTAAGCTCAATAAACTTACTTCATAACCATACTATTGAGCAAACTATCAATATCTTTGTTTTTTTTATACCATTCGACTCGTAAACTACCACTTTTACGCATGTAGCATTTCGACATGTTGAAAGCAGTCACATGACACATATTTTTTTCCTTTATGAATGTGAATCCATTTGTTTACTTTTCATACAATCATGAGCAACAAAGAAAATAACTTACCTTTAGACTCTCCCAGTACAACCAAAAAGGTATGCAAGCTTATCATAAAACTGAAAACTAATATAGTGACAGAGAGATCCTAAAGACTTGACATTAAAAGATACAACAACAAAACACGACATGGTAAAAAATAAATAAATAAAAAAGCCGTTCAAATCGTGTCTAACATGGACTAGGCTAATTTAACCAACACAAAAGAAGATTCTATTGAATTAGCAAGACGTTCAGCAGTACATAGTTTTATTGAAACACCCTACCACTTACAAGAACATGGTGTCGAACTTCCTCGTCCTTCCAAAAAGGTCATTGAAGACAAGCCCTTACCTACAGAAAAAGATGTTGCTATTCATATTCACCATAAACGCGTATTAAAAGAGAATGATAACAAACAAGACACAATCACATCATTACAAGCCAAGATTGCTCAAGTTCAAAAAGACAATACCAACAAATCAAATCAACTATCCTCTATTCGAGATCAAATCAAACAAAGCAAGAAAGCAATCCATGCATTAGACCACACACTAACCCAAGTAACAACAGTACAATCTACGATTTACAAACTAAAAGAAGAAATTGAAGAACAAAAGACAATGTTTATTGAATTATCGAGTATGATAGCAGACGTAGATGCTTCATGGTCTAGTTATCAACAAGACATTGAACAAAAAGAACAAGTCATTGAGGAACTATTAGGCCAATTGTCTGTAGTCAAATACCAAATCATGGAGCTTGAAGAATAAAGTCACGATTTTAAGATAACGCATTCCTCTCTCTTTTTTTTTTTTTTTTTTTTTTTTTTCACACAATTCACAATGGGCAAACATAAAGGAGGCAACTTCAATTTGTTTGAGAGTTATCTTGCTTCTGGCCTGGTTGCCTCTAGTTCCGCAAGCACAGGTAGAAGAAGAACATTTTTCTTGTGTGCTTATCATTGACATAGATATTCAGCCTGTTCCTCTGCCTGACTCTATGGTATAAAGACATAGATGCCTCTATATAAAGACTAACATAAAAAAAAAAAGAGAGTCTCTACTCTTTTAGAACAAATAGGTCAGGAACGTAAATGGACTGAACAACAAATTAATCAAGATATTCAAATCATGGATAAACATCGATTGTATTATGTAATGAAATAGAGTAAATACGCATGTTTTGACATCATTGATTAGGTGAGTGATATGCGTGAATTGTCAAGCAGCAGTTGGAAGGTAAAATCTTATGACGTGTGTGGGTCTTTTTTTTTTAAAAAAAAGATATGATGTGTTATATAGGTGATTGAATTATTACCTCTTGTCAAAGATCTACTCAGAAAAGCCATTGTCCAAAAAGAAAAGAAATACAAAGACAAAAAGAAAGAGAAAAAGATGAAGAAGAAAATGAAAAAGATGGGCAAGCCAGTCACTGACACTTCCATTTTGTCTGGAGGGGTTATTTCTGAAGATCCAGAAACCATCAGAAATACAATCCAGAACTTGACTGTTGAAAATGTAGAGGATGATCAAGAAAACAAAAAGACAGGAAGAAAGAAGTCTGTTTCTTTTTCAGAACAAGATCCTATCATGCTTACTCAATATACAAATAGTACAAATACTACCATGGCCAGTGATAGTAGCAGCAGTAGTAGCAGCAGCAGCAGTAGTAGTAGTAGTAGTAGTGGTAGTAGTAGTGATTCAGAATGTGATAACAAGCAATGTAAACCAACAACTACGGTAGTTAACAATCAAAGAAAGATCTTTACAGGTCGTCCCATCAAACCTATCAGTCCTAATCGTATTCGTGTTCAAACTGCAGATGGTGATGTCTTTGAAGCAGATCGATTCTGTCCTCACAAAAAAGTCGATTTAGCTACTTGGGGACAAGTGATGGGCAGATCTGTGATTTGTACAAAGCATAACTGGAATTTCAGCATGGATGGCCTGAGTGCTACAAAAGGGAGATCATTGAATCCTTGTAAAGTCAATGATTGGTGAAAGAATAAACGTTTATTTCTTTTTGGGAACAGAAATAGCATAAGGCTCAACACCCTTTCTATATCTTTCTGACCAGCTTAAAATGTACCTATGGACATGTATTCAGTCTATATGGGGTTCGTATTTCATGTCCTTACTTTCTTTGTTTGGTGCTAATGCCCATATCGTTCTTCATGATGCGACTATTTGTAGTAAACAATTGCTCCCAAGACTAGGAAAAAAAAAAAGAGAGTCAATTTATACAGAGCATGCTTAGGTTAAACCTACTTCAAACTTTCCAGCAACTTCTTCACAGTTACGGCCGATAGCCTTCATGAAACTTTCAACGTCTTGAATGTTTCCTCTGACAGAAGGAACACTATGAGTAGCAGCTGAAGAATGAGAATATCTAACACCACGAATAAGACAAGAACGAAGCATTGACATCATATAAAAAGAAAGAGAAAGCGAAAAAAAAAAAAAAAAACTCGCCCTTGTTAAATCAATAAAAATAGTCACTTTATTCCTCTTCTAGTTTCGATCTTTCTTCTGCTTTCTCGGCTTCCTTTTTCCAATTGGAACATAGCAGCACAATGACAGTATAAAGACAAGCAACAATTAAGGCACCCGCTAAAGCAACCCATAAACCAGCAAGTTGCCATTGCTTTTTAAAACAAAGCCAAAACCCAACAGGCAAAGCAAATACATAATAAGCACCCATATTACAAACAGCACCCACATGTTGACGTCCCATACCTAAATCCATGCCTGAGTTTTCCACCTTCTTCTTCTCTCTCTTCTTTTGCACACTTACCATTCAATGCTCCATCAGCGACACCAGCAATATTATCCGCAAACACAAACACAGCCACTAAAGGCAACACACGGGTCACTAAACTGGCCACTTGTTCATCTGTTGTAAAGATATAAGGCCACTCATATCGAAAGACCATCAACATGCATGCATTCAATGCACCGACCATCACACCGACACCTAAAGCTGTGTGGGTTGCTTGACGTGCCTGTCGAGGTCTTTGAGCACCCAATAAATTACCTACCCGATTAGCAGATGCAATGCCGATACCGAAAGCCAATGTATACAACGCCGTGATGGATGTCAAGATCACACTTTGAGCACCTAAATTGATGGTATCGACCCAACTAGCTCCTAAGGCAATGATTTCATAGGCCCATGTCTCTGTACAGATCAATAGAATACCAGGGACAGCCAATTGAACCATGGGTTTCCAATGACGGGTATCAAATGCTGCTACTGTGGACCATCGAGGCCAGGCTTGGTAGCCATTCACACATTGAATGTAGACAAACAAAAGGACGACCATACACCAATACGAAATACAACTTGCTATAGCAGCACCATGAAAACCAAGCGACCATGATGAATGAACCAGCAGATAGTTGAGCCATAGATTGACAGGTGCTGTCATCAATAAGATATAGGTAGGTGCCTGAAATAAGCCTTGTGCCTGGAGTAGTTTCTTAAGAGACTCAAATAAGGCAAATGCAGGAGCTGCCAAGATCATCCAACGTACATACGTACCGGCGAATTGAGCAACCATGGGGTCTTGACGTAATAGCAAAAAGATGGATTCTGCATGCCACCAGATACCAACAAGAGGAATGTAGAGTAAAGACAGGAAGGCCAAACAACGCTGAACATGAAGACCAACGACTGTCTTGTCTTCTGAACTTGTGAATGCTTGAGAACATAAAGTATCAAGAGATAAGGTAGCACCTGTAGCAACAGATAAACCACTGATGGTCACAAACATACTCCCAAGTGTAGCAGAAGCTAATTCATGTGGGCCCTGATTGTATTTAGTATCCATTCATATGTTGTTAACTTACCAAACGGCCTGCTGTAATGATGCTGACACTTTGAAGACTGTTTTGTAATAAATAACTTAGAACCAAAGGCATTGCATTCTTAACCAGCCATGATAATTCATGTCTGTAGCCTGTGGGCTGTTTACTGTTTAAAATTGGAGTGGTTTCTGACATGTGTATTGAATTGATAATATAAAGAAATGATTAACTTTGCCATTCAATGCTGGAAACAAGATGATTTAAGCGAAAGAGAGAAAAAAAAAGGGGAGGAAAAAAAATTTTATGGCCTCTGTGTTTGAAAGAGTGAGTTTGAACTTTATGAATAAGCAATGGACATTTAAGTACACTTGGCTTGAGCATCATTTCAATGTGTGACCCTCGTTCATTGGCAGTTTACTTCGAATAAGGTGACATTTCTTTCGGATAAACAAAATGGCTTGACTCTTACATCGTACACCGCTTTTTTCTTGAGGCACAAGAAGAGAAGGTTCCCGGAAAGTTACACTAAACTAAAGTTTATTTGTCATTTGGATAAATTTGAGAATGTGAAAATAATGCAAGAATATCTGCTTTAAACATCTTTTTTATTTCATTATTTACTGCTTTGATAACAGCGATCGAGAGTACTAGTATTTTGACAAGTAATGATGACCTTAGGCATATGATAAAATATGTTAACCGCTATTTCTTCTTCCTGCACTTTATCAAATAAATTCTGGAAATTAAGCAGAGTATGAAATACACAAGTAATATTTATATTGAATTATGAGAAAGTCAAAAAATCATCGTTTTGACCTTACGATATCTGATAAAAGTTCATATTTATTTGAAAGGTTTTGAAGACTGGGCCCTATGGGGTAAATGTCTAACCATCAGTTCAAAAAAAAGAAAAGTACAAAAAAAAAAACCCATAGAGTGATAAATATAAGAAAAAAAGGGCAAGAAACATAGACGTCGATGTACTATAGTGTATACAGGTAAAAAGAGATAAGAAAGGAAAAAAAACAAAAGGAAAAGATAGGTGTATAATGAAAGTATAAACACCACAGAACAGAGGAGAAAATTAGCTGTCGATTTGTACTGAATATAGCGAGGGTATCAGCCAAAGGAGAAAAGTCAAACCAGAGGTATCTTTTTCTTCGCTTGAGCAGGTCTTGTCGGGAAGATCCATAATCTCAATTTCAAGAAGTAGTTGGCAAATGATTGGCCACCAATTTGACCATCATATGTGGCGGTCAAGTCTTTGAGCTTATAGGCTTGGAGGGTGTGATATTCTAGACAACTGATTCAAGACATAATCAATTGGATTAGGCTGTATATCAACCGGTAAGCACGAGTGTTCAGCAGCGCGCAGACAACCAAATACATGTCTTCTACTGATAGGTGATGAGCCACATGAGCAAGTAGAGGTGTACTTTGGAGTTCACTCAAGGCGCCAACGGAGGATCCTTTGATGGTCATAGATCAACATAAGCAGCAAGATAGGACCAATCCAACCGACAAAGAGCCTGTAGGTAGAGTTGAGGACAGGGGCATTTGTTTGTGCACGAAGAGGATCCAAATTACGCTGACGAAGTCCTAAGAACTGCTTCTTTGCGTTTCCACCGGCTTTGACCCAGCTGGAAAGCGTATTATAGCTATTGCTAAGGTGCAACCAGATGTAACTCTTGCTTGATGCTTGTGGCCAAAGAAAGATCTGCTGTTGTTGAGCAAAAGGATACGTACCAATGTGTGCCATTAGTTGCATTATTAGTGAGTCTTCTGGGAGCGTTTCGAAACGGATCATCGTCTTGAAGACGAGGTGCTCTTTGCGTTTGGCCATGGAAGGAAGGTTAGTCATCAGTTTAAATGATCCGGTTGTTTTCTTTGAATGACTATTGATACAGAGTCGCAGGCAAGCACCTTGTGCATGTTCTAGAGTTGCAAAATCGGATTTTCGGTAAAGACCAAGGCAAATACCATACTCTAATTTCAAACGTATAAAGGTACTGTATAGACGAGCAGCGGTCAGTTTGAAGAAACGAATTTGGTTAAAGAATCCCAGAGAAAAGAACCCAGAACGCATAGCTGTGAGAGCAGACTGTGTGCCTTATGATTCCCTTTACAAATATTCAATTTCCACTGTTTTTTGCGATTTGTAATCGATAGAGACATTGTAGACATAACATGTCTTAATACGAATTTCTTCTCTGGACCTATGAAACACATTCAAATTGTTAGGTTTGCAAAAATACTATAAAAAATCTACACTACAGTTCAATACAGAAAACACATTTTTGAGGGATAGCTCTCTATCTTTCTATTAAATGTGCTGTTTTCTTTACACCATTCAATGCGCCGTATTTCTATATAACAGTTTTATTAATACATTTTTTTGATAGCTCTTCTTTTTTTTAGGCACTTTTAGTCCATCATTTCTTCTGAATTTCCAGATCATTTTTTTATATCTCTTGAACTAGCTAGAGGCAAATCCAAGCTACGTGCTCATTGGCCATTCAATAAGGCACAATATATCCAATGATAAAACAAGTAGACACAGAAACCGTTGCATAAAAAAAAAAGGGTTCAATGACCGCCATTTTCTTTGTTTTTTTTTTCTACACTATGGAACCAACTACTGAAAAGAAATCGAATTTACCACAGTATGGATTTGTTGGCAATCAAGTATCACCTAGGCAAAGAGAACAACAGCAACTAGAACAACAACTACACCATAACAAAGGTGGTTATCCCGGTATTGTAGGAGCAACACCTTCTGAATTCAAAGGTGTCCAAGGCTACGACCCGCAAGGCAATCCTATCTTGCCTGGCTTTATTGCTCAACGACACCAAATCGAACAAAGTCTGGGACCTACCTGTCTGGATGGTGCTTATCATGATTTGCGTATGCATCTCACCACCAAATCATTATGCTTTGCTTTCTTAATCCTTCCTTATTGTTGTGGTTGGCGAGGTCAACGTGAATGCGTATGTACGAAATGCAATCAAAAGTTCCCTCAGCTTGTGCTTCCTTCACAATAAAAACACATTTATTTTAAATTTCTTTTTTGGGTTGATCTATGGTGACCATAGACAAGACAGGTTCTGTCTGAATAGATCGTAAAGCATCTACTTTTTGCATGGTTAAGCGATAAAGCCACCAAGCAACACCCACTAACATGGTAAGACTACAACCCATGGTCAACATGGTGATGCGATGAGCTGAAGGAGGTAAATGAGGGTTGGATAAATCAGCCAATTGAGACCCAATCCAGACTTCTAAAGATACTTTGATAGAAGAAAGTGCACTTGACAAGACAAATTGTTGCGTGGTAATGGTAGGCAACACAGACAATAGCATGTTGGTTATGGGCCAAGGAATAGGACTCAAACGAATTAACATCATCATCTAAAGTAGATTAGATTTTCACGCATCAACACAACCTCATACCTTAAATCCACCCTGTTCAATGGCTTCTTGGATAGCTACATATTTCTCTTGTTTCGAAGGTGATAGTCGAACCCATCGTGAGAATTCAAAAGTTCGAATCAACCCAAATGCAATGTTGGCACCCATAAATGCACCACACACAGCAGGTAAAATACCACCAGGGAATCCATAGATAAACCCAGTCAGTGTGGTCATGAATGTAAATCCAATCATGGGAGGTATTGAAGTCACTATAATCAAGCATGAAAGTAGTATGGAACTATAGGGTTGTGTGCGTAACTCAATAGCCGTGGTTTGTACAACTAACATACGATCAGACGAATAAACAGGTAGATCACAACCTTACGTTCTATAATGACATGACGATGGTTGATAAACAGATACAAGACATACAACAGTAAAGTAGCAGCAAGACAAAGCACTGCTATACGTTTCTTTTGTAACATAGGAAAAAAGAAAGAAAAAAGTAAAACGGGCCCTGAAATTTCTATACTTTCTCTCTCTCTCTTTTTATGATATAGCCAAAAAAAAAAGGGGGGAGGGACAAAAGAAAGAAACAAAAAGGGAAAAAGAATAAACCATACACACGGTTTTGCCTTGAAAATGTTTATGTATCTTGAATAGAATCCAGAATAAATCAAAACAGACTTTAACCACAATTCGAACATATATAAAAAAAGAATGGATACTAAATATCAGCGCTTGCTGGCCTAAAAATTCCTTTGATCCTTCCATTTCATGGAAATAATGATGATAACTTCCCTTGGCTTTACAACGAGCAATCTTCGAAACTATCTTGTTTTGGAGGTATGACGAAGTACGCCTCGGCCACACACCTTGTTACTTTAGGGGCGTGTATATGAAAGGTCTGAATCATTTCCAGTTTATGAATAAATAAAACGAAAAATAAACTATATCATCATGATGGGGACCATCGGCTATTCTTTTTAGCGTCTATGTTTAAATAAAAAGACCCCTTCCATAACTGAGCCATATCCATATCTTTTTCTTTCTTTCTCTGATATGCCAAACCCACAACAAACACAAGTTTTGATAGCTCCCATTAAACTCTATAGGGAAATATTACGTTCTCACCGTTCTTTACCACCTGCTATGCGAGCTATGGGCGATGACTATGTCAAGGCTGAATTCCAACGACACAAACATATTGATAACCCTGCTCATATTGTTGGTTTTGTCTCTCAATGGCAATCGTAGGTTGATCATGGTTTATGCATCACTCACACACTAGGATAGATACCTTGACCTGATCAAGACACAGACAGCGCCTCTCGATAGTGATTCACCTGCTCCTTCTCATGATCCTCTTGTCCGAAGCTTCAATAACCCTACTGAGGGTGGTTGGGGCAAGAAACTCGATGCCGAAATACTCGACAAGATGAGTGATGAACAATTAGGTCAATTGTATGAACTACGAACTGAAATGAAGCGATCATTAGGTGAAGAAGATAAATAAAATATGTTTTTTTATTTTTATTTTTCATAATCAGGCACATCACCATCAAACATCCAATGTCTTTGTTCTCCTTCTGAGAGATGATGACAATCCCCATTGGCCATGAGTTGCCATGTGTCATCATCCTGACGCACCAGATGAGAAAGGGAACAAACACCACACCGTACAGGGTAGTTCGCATCCCTCAAGAGACCACGCACAGCACAGATAGCAGAAGCAGCATGACCTGAAAGTAAAATGGTATTAGGAGGCTGGGGTTCAGCATCCAATGAAGCAAGTAGTTTATCCAGTCCTGCCTTGACACGTACATGGCAGTCATGGTTGGTTTCGATGCCTTCAGGCAAGGGAATAGAAGAGGTATGAGTGGTGATATTGAGTTTTGGAAAGAGTGCTTTGAGCTCAGGTAAGGGTGCTGGTGGAAGATAGCGTCCATGGGCTTTACCATACCATTCTGCCATACTGTAGTCTATAAAAAGTGGTATTTGACATGCTTCTACCAAGGGGTAGACAGTCTCAAGCACACGATAAAAGGGAGAAGAATAGATGCGTTCAATCGATTTATCTTTTAGGAAAGCAGCTACTTCTTGAGCTTGATGTCTTCCTATTGCTGAAAGAGGAGGATCGTTCTTGAGACCTGTTGGAAGAGGAGGGTTCTCATTCACCCAGTCTTCACGAAAACCATGACGAACAACCCATATTTCCTTTACACCCATTTTAATAATAATAATAATAATAATAATAATAATAATAAAAAGACGCGACTAATGCACTATATATATATATAATATATAGTGATTTGTTTCCCGCTCTTAATTATATATATATATATTTATAAAAGAGAAAGGTTTATTTTTTTTTTGTTTATTTTGAATAAGTGAATGGGAAGGGGGATAAAAGACACAATGAATCATCACCTAGATAAAGAAAGAAATAGAAAAAAAGAAAAGAAAAGGATGGGATTAAAAATCTTCATAAAGTCGATTCGTGTTCACTAGATGAAATGGTTTAGAAGAGGAAGAACTTTGCATTGGCTTACGTTCGTCCATTAAAGCGTGAATATCATTTGGCTTACGAATAAAACCAGTTGGATCTTCATTGTCGTTTGGATCAGGCAGAAAAGCATTATTATTGTTGTTGTTGTTGTTGTTGTTGGTATCAGGATGAAATGGTGTGTACGTTTGTTGCTGCTGTTGATGTGGGGAGCCAAGACCTGCTTTTGTTTGACTACGTAAACTACAGAATGTGATAAGTACAAGTATATACACATCATAGCGACTTACACTCTATTACTTGAAGGACCTGTAGGTGGGTGGAAGTGTGTACGTTTTACAGAGAAAAGAGGATCAGCAATGCTTGGTTCGATTGGATTGGTCTCATCCGCCAATACCCTCTTTCTCTCATACTTACCACCTAATTGTTGTTGTTGTTGTTGTTGTTGTTGCTGATTGTCTCTAACCAACATTCTTCCTCCTCCTGTACCAGAATATCCTAAATGAGATGCATATGGATCCTGATAAGCTGTAGGAGATGCCAACTGTTGTTGTTGTTGTTGTTGTGGCTGTTGTGGTGGTGGTGGTTGATTGATAGGACCAGCTGAGAAATAAGCAGGTTTATGTTGAAGCATCTTTTGTTGTTGTTGGTATTGAAGCATCACATCATCCAAACGTTTAGAAGTCTCGGGTGATTTTGTTTCTGTACGATACGTTGCTCTCAAATTAGCAGAAGGAAGGGGTGCTCCACCTCCTGCCATAGCACTAGGCATCCTTCTGTTAGCATCAAAAGGAGGGTTTGATCCCATATAGGCATTCATAGGATTCAGACCAGGTTCTGGAGGCTGATAAGCAGCCTTTTTCTCTTGCTACGAATCAGAGTATATTCAGTGAACCTAAGAAAAGAAGAATAACTTACCAATTTACGGATGGTCCAATCAAAGACATAATCATATTGGAAACCTTCACGTACAAACAAATCTCGAAACAATTTACGAAGGTAAGAGTAATCAGGCTTATCATCAAAGCGAAGTGATCGAACATAATTGAGGTATATAGCAAACTCTTGATGCAAACCGCGACATAATGCGTCTGCAGGTGTTGTCATTTTCTTTTCCATGATTTTGTCATATTTCTCTTTCTTTGTTCTGGCTCTGATGCCTTGCCAAGGTAATTGGCCTCGACAGAAATACACAAGGATATAACCGAGTGATTCAAGGTCATCACGCCGTGATTGTTCTATCATCATCATGGTCAATATAAGCTAGATAATATACTCTATCACTTACCAATGCCCAGATGCGTGTTAACACTCGCATAACGTGGAGTACCAGTCAGATTCTTGTTCTCTCTGTAGGGTATATGTACATTGCTCTTTGGGTCTCTAAATCGCTTAGCCAAGCCAAAATCAATCATGTTCACTTGATTTCCACGTTTACCAATACCCATCAAAAAATTGTCAGGTTTGATATCTCTATGAATAAAACCTAACATGGAACATTATATCAACCACTCTTTTGTTTCGTGTATGCTTTCAACATGATATACCTTTAGAATGAACATATTCTACGCGTGACAACTATAGATTAAATTGAATAAGGAGAACTTATATATGTATGTATATACCAATTGATCAGCCAACAACAAGACAGTCTTGAGTGAAAACCTTCTTTTACAGTAATTAAACAAGTCTTCCATGGAAGGGCCAAGCAAGTCCATCACAAGCACATTAAAATCACCTTCTCTGCCATACCATCGAACAAAAGGAATACCCACTCCTCCTGCCAGTGTTTTATAGACTCTTGCTTCATATTCAAGCTGAGGATGAGCTGCGCGAATACTTTCTAACTTGACAGCAATATCTTCTCCACTCATAATATTGGTACCTATTCAAGTCAATACAAGATGATAACAATGACTCTCATCTTACCCAAATAAATTTCACCAAAAGAACCTGCGCCAATCTTTCGACCCAGTTTATATTTTGTCCCAATAATAATTTCTCTTCCTTCTAAAGTTGACATTGTTTATAAAATAGTGTTTTTATATATATATATATGTATATATATATATATAACAAGATGAAAAAAAAAAAAAGAAAAGAGAGAGAGAAAAAGAATAATAATAATAATAATAATAAAAAAAAAAAGACTCGGAACATGTGTTGATGGATTCAAACAGCGCGCTTTTTTTTTCTCTGCTTCTTTACGGGATTTGAATTGATGCTATATAGAGTGTAGATCATGAAAAATTTTCATTTGTAACGCGTTTATATCGTATGCTTTCTCCCTGTTTTTTTTTTTTTTTTTTTTTTTTGGAATATAAGGAGAAAAGGTGACTTGGTTTATTTCAGTGTAACCCTATAGATAATAGAGACATTGGTATATTTTGCATGATTGGTTTAAATTTCTTTCTTTTCTTTTGGAGAGATATCCGTATCAAATCACTGCGTCATGAATGAACAAGTAGAATGATGGCTGAATAATCTAATTCTTACAAATCAAGTGCGGTATTTCAAGTATAAATTTGATAAAATTTTTTGTCTATTTTTTTTTTTCTTTTTTCTTTTGTTCTTTATGTCTGCTCACGATCAAGTAAGTCATCCTAAAAGAAAAGAAAAGAAAAGAAACTAAGATCTCGGTTTAGTTTACAGAAGACGATGATCTCGTCCAAGAAGAATATGTCCAAGAAGGAGATGTTCAAGAAGAAGAAATTCCTGATATGGTCAGTGGTGAACCTATGGACGATGATGAAGACGAAGAAGAATTTGATGCTACAGGTAAAAGAATAATAATAATAACCAATGAGACTGATGCTATCTACTACAGATGCTTTGGAAGGATTTGAAGTAAAACCAGGCCAAGATGAGGATACGATGGAAATTGTAGATGATTCAGTCCAAGGTTTCTTTGATCACCGTGAACCTGTTTATGCGATTGCCATGCACCCTACCAGCAATGGTATTATCGTCAGTGGTGGTGGTGATGACAAGAGTTATTTGTGGCGTTGTGATACAGGTGAAATGATGCTCTGTTTAGATGGCCATACTGATTCTGTCACGGATGTTGCTTTCAGTTGTGACGGTAAATATGTTGCTTCTGCTGCCATGGATGGTAAAGTGCGTGTCTGGAATGCAGAGACAGGTGAATTCTGTGTGTCGGTGGATGGTCCTGATGAAGTGATCTGGATTGATTGGCACCCTAAGGGTAACATTTTATTAGCAGGTGCTACGGATTCGACTATCTGGATGTGGGCAAGTAAGTGACTGATAGATGTCATACAGAATAACTCATGTTGGCCTGTAGTGCCAAGTGGTAAATTCATGAATATCTTTAATGGCCATGCAGGTCCTGTGACTGCTGGTTGCTTTACGCGAGATGGTAAGAAGATTGTGTCTACGGCTGAAGATGCTAGCTTTATTGTCTGGGATCCCAAGTCTGCTGCTGCTGAATTCCGTCTATCGGGCGACGATGCTCGTTTCCATGCTGATCCCATCACTTCTGTCTGCGTCAATAAGGATTCCACTTTGGCTATCACAGGAGATGCTTCTGGTAAAGCCAGACTGGTCAACATCTTGAATGGTCACATTGTTGCTTCTTTAGAAAACCATACGGATTCTGTTGAAACCTCTTCTTTTTGTGATGCGTAAGTTAATCATAACACAAATCATGTCTGATGCTTTTCTCTAGTCTTCCCTTGGCTGCTACAGGTTCTGTGGATGGTACTATCTCTATTTGGGATGTTCAAACACAACGTCTTCGTGCTACTTTACATCATGAAGATGCAGTCATCAAAGTTAAATTTGTAAAGAACTCTCCTATGCTTGTGTCATGTTCTGCTGACAAGACAGTCAAGATGTGGGATGCTCGTACCGGACAATGTGTCAAGTCTTGGTCTGGTCACCGTGATACCGTACTTGATATTGCAGTTGCAGAGTAAGTGTGTTGTGTATATGTACATGTATCTAGTTTATTCATGTCTTGGATAGTGATGGTAATGTCATTGTTACTGCTTCTGATGATGGCACTTGTCTTGTTTTCAGTATGTAAATTTTGTTATAGAATTCACAAAAATAAAAATAATAAAAAAGAGGACTTTGAATAGATGTAAAAACTTTTTTTTTGTTTTCTTTAGATCATGAGTAAAAAGGAAGAGAAGGACAAGTCTGTCCAAGTCATTGAAAAGAAGGTATGTCGTATGAGGAATGGCTGTTGTATTGATGTTATTAGAACAAGAAGGAGAAAAAGGAAAAGAAAGAGAAAAAGGAAAAAAAAGAAAAGAAAGAGAAAAAAGAAAAGAAAGAGAAAAAGAAAAGAAAGAGAAAAAGAGAAAACACAGTGAAGAAGAAGAAGAGTTCATTATCCATGAAAATATTCACGTAAAAAAGACCAAGATGGAGCCTGCCAAGAAACAAACAGAAGAGGTAAAATAAGCAATGATACATAAGCATCCATGAGCTTATACTGTTATAGTCTACAGGTGGTTGGAATGATTGGAACAAGGCTTCATTTGATGGTGATGATGCCAAAAAGAACAAATTTCTAAGATTATTAGGTGCTAAAAAGAACACACAGTCCTTTGTGCCAGCCAAGAAATCAAGTGGATTATATGGCGGCTTAAAGAGTGCGATTGATGAAGATGAAAAAGATAAGATTTCTAAGGCTTTGGAGAAACAGTTTGATCATGGTTTACAGTTTAGAAAACAAATGCAAATGGGTCGTCGTGGAGGTTTAGGCTTCAATTGATACAAAAGTACATTTTTATTTATTGCTTAAGCAGACTTGGCAACATCTAATAATAAAATAAGTCTTCTATTCACAAACATCAATCCTGACTTACTTTGAATGTCAACAATAGCTTGATCCAAGATTTCTTGTTGAACCTTGGGGTCTTGTAATTCCTTGTTCACCTTTTCAATCAAATAAGCAGCCAATTGCTTTTGTTCGCGTTCACGGATGTTGGCTTCATGACGAACCCAAGAATCCAAGGTTGTCTTGACTTCAGAAGCAACAGCAACCTTTTGCTTCAATTCAAAAGCTTCAGCTTCCAATTGAGCAGTCTCACGAGAGAGTTCAAAAAGAGCCTTTGTGACATCGACCAAATCCTTCATTTGACCAACTTCATCAATGCGTTCTTGAACAGCACTCTTGTGATCTTCACGAGCTTGAACCAAAATGTTCTTGATACGCTATAAGATCCACACGGTATGTCAGTGATCTCTCCTCCCTTTTTTTTTTTAAAAAAAAAGTCACTTACGTTGATATGTTCATTGGCCATGTTGGTGAAGGGCTCTCTGAGGTACTTGAGCAAGACGCCAAGAAGGCCAGTAGAGGCAATCAAGACCAACGTTTCTTCATTGAGGATATAGATTTCCTTGGAGATCAAGAAGGCAGCTAAACCAGTGGCACCAGTGACATAACCGGTCTTGGAGACAATGGAGTTACCGGGAAGAGCATCGAGAAGACTGTTGGCCTTTTGCTTGGGTTCTTTTATTCATGTCAACATATGTGTGTGTGTGTGTGTGTGTATGTGCTTGCATGTATCTTACCTTCAGTCTGGGTGGTGAATCCACGGATACTATCAAACATAATGAGTATCAAAACATACAACGAGTTCATATACGTACGCAGAAGCACGAACAGCTTGACGAGAAGCAATCATAGCGGGGCGAGCAGCAGCAACTAAAGTCGTGTTAATATGATCATGGGCCTATTGTTCACTTACCTGCAGCACCCTTGGTCAATAATCTAAGAGCCATGGCGAGAACTAGAAAGGTGTTAAACTCTCTCTTTTTTGTGAAGTGTTGGCTTACAATAAGTTTTGTCTCTAAACAAGAAAGGGCAAAGAAGGCTTGTTTCTCAAAAAAAAAACAAAACGATTTAGCCGGCGCTTATTGAACTGTTCATAGAGCGAATCAGAGCCAGGGGTTCATTCACACAAACTCTTCGACGTCACTTTTCATGGTATAAACCTCCTTTGGGAACAGTGTCTCATGAATGATCTTGAAAAGCAAACGCAGGATTAGCCTATTGTTGCAAGTGTTTCTTTTTTATAAAATTGCTCTTTAAACATGGAGCCTGAGATGGTTCATGAGAAAAATGTATAAGAATAAAATAAGTCATGTGTACATTCAAAAAGCTATAGAGCTTTTGTCTTTGAGAGAGTGGCAGCCTTGCATTCCTTGTGAGTTCGATGTCATCCAAGTGTTGAATTAGGTATTCAAATGGTATTGATTATCTAAAAGTCAAACTAGAAGAACTCTTTAAAAACCCAACCTTGGATGTCTCTATCCATGTAGACAGATCTGGTTTTGAACCAATGTTGACGATCAGGAATCATTGATCAGCATGTGTGTTATATGGCAAGTAGACTCAAGTTCGAATGAAGAGCAATTGGCACAAATATAGAGTACTTTAAGATAGCTTTCGTTAAGCAGTGCGAAAAAGATTCAAAAACTAAAGGCTAAAGCACTTGTAGAATGCAACAGCCATAAGTCAAGTGTAAAAAAAAATAAGCCTTTAGAATGATCCATGAGTATGACAGTCGCGTATCCAATTCATTATTTGAAAGCTTTATGCTTTAGAACCGCAACGATTTATCTAACATCGAAACAAGAAAGGAGATACCCATGTGATAAATGAGTTTCTTTCAAGTAAAGTTATCATTGATTACATTCATTCATGCGTTTTATCGCATCGATTAAAAAAAAACAGACAAATATACAGCACTAAATAAACATTATAAAGGGAGTATAAAGCCTATTTACATACGCATAAACACACTAAATAACTACAAACCATTTTTACTAACATCTATAGTGTCTTTGGAGTTGATTTGGAAAAAAAAAAGCGATTTGTAAAAAATGGCCAAAAATCTCTCAAAACCAAAGGGTGTTGCCCATGACAATATCCAACCTGACAACTCTTTGAGCTTCTTTTTGATATTATACAATGAAAAATAGAGCTGTCAACAAGCTTAAATACTAAAAATGAGCGCCAGAGGCTCTAGCTTTTAGTAAATATATTTAATTGTCAATTGTGGTATAGCAATGATGAGATATGAATGAAAAACCTCATAAACATTTTTGCAGCAGGTTTGACGCGTTTTCTACTTTAATAGACTCAGAAAGCAAAGATCCACAACTTTTGTCACTACACTAAAGCCTAAAGACTGCGTCTTTATGCAGTTCTCACCAAACGCTCAATTTTTGGATGCGACAGCAAGAAGGATTGGAGTTGACTTCCATTTTAATCTACGCATATAGTCAGCCAGCGTATTCTATGCTCATTTAATCCCACATTTACATCATAAAGTGCATATCATTCTATATTTTTATGTTATCTTGTACCCAAAATAGCTATCATGCTATAGAAAGATATGTAGCTAACATGTTTTATCTAGCATTTAGGGAAAAAAATGCTCAAATCACAGCTTAAATGCACTATTATTTGATGGACCATTATTCGACAACCAGACTATTAAGATGGCCTCCTTTTTGATTTGAAATATGCTGTTTTGAGACCAGCAATTAAATGATACCATTGGTTTGGCTGTTGGGTGAGGTTCATTTTTTTGGTCCATGGAGGATCACCCAATGTAGGTCTCATGGCTCTTCCGATTCCAACACTTTTCTCGGTCAGCAAAGTTAGAAATAGCCCCTAAGCCTAAAAACGCTAGCAAACAACGATCGTATGCTCAAGTAGCTGCAATATATATATTATTTCACCGTTTTTTTAAGTTTGGTATATAATTTGAAGCAGACATTGTTGAATGATGTTCAGCTCATCAAAAATAGTAATGTGCCTCTTAAACTTCAACAGTTTAAAAGAGCAAAATAAACTTTTACATGTTTGTTCAAAAGATCGAGTTCTCTACGACAAGTTGAAAGAATTATATAATTGAGACTTTATTGAAAATCTTCATTAATAAGCTCACTTAGACAGTTTTTATAAAGAATAGAGTATCCTGAAAAACATATTTGTTTACTGCAATTATCTTTTCGTTCATTGCTCATTGGAGCCAGTATTCTTGATATCTTGTCTTGTTGAACGCTATAGATGGTAACACCAATATCATAAGTAAAGAACACTACCCCAAAATGTCTTCAATTACTTGGCACTTGACACAATTATTAATACCAAAGAGATGCAGTCTTTTAGAAGGGATTATAGCAAAGTTCCAAGTACCATCAAGAGTGGCCAGATCAATGTACTAAAAAAAAAAAACTCTTTGGACGAAAGGGAGACGTTGATGCAGGGGGAAGAGGCTAGTTTGTCTTTGTTTCATAATGAGTTCCAATGTAAACACGATATCTTCAAGTTTCCAATGTCTGCGTCCAAAGTATTACCTACATTCAAATTGTTAATTATATCCAAGATATCATCTATATCCAGATGCTAAGTGCAAGAAACACATAACATAAGGCATGAACTGTTGCTTAGTGCAATGCTACACCAAGTCACACACTCAATATGTTTAGTATTGAGAGCTCCCCTGGGAGGTTACAAATAAACAACAGCTAGAAATTAGAGAACATCCCCAATGCAATGCTACACCAAGTCACACACTCAATATGCTTAGTATTGAGAGCTCCCCTGGGAGGTTACAAAGGACCTATCCTCAGCGTCTTCTTTCAAAATGCAAGAAATAAATTTACCATCAAAAACATGTAAAGAACCGTTACCGGAGAAGAGTAATGTCGAAATTTTCTTGGTTCTCAAGCAGTCTTGAAATAAGTACTTACTTTGATTAACAGAATTAACCACGAGAAGGTGAAAGTTCATCTGACTCCACAAAGCAATTTTCTTTAGACATCTTTAATCGGTATAGCATATTGTGCATGTCTATGTAGTAAAGTAAAGCTAATCACTAAAGCAAAGTCGATGCAATATAAGAGGCATTTAAAAAAAAAGAAAGAAAGTGTAAGTTGTTGCGAAGATAAAAAATGAAGGTTTTTCAATTGAAAAGAGAGGGTGTCGTAACACATGGGGATGGAAGCCGCAAACGGAATTTAAATATTGTTCAATAAGGCAGTAACGTACGCTTTCTGATTCCTTTTGCACTGTATTCCATCTACCTTGATCTTTTAATATATTGACCAGCAATGAATGACTCGAAAGAAAGCCACTTTAGAACTCAAATTCCTAGAGATACTATTACAGAGAGTTCTGACATTAAGCTATGTAATAGAGAAGAAAGGACAGTCATAAAATGGAATTTTGACATTTGTTGGCTTCTTGCACAAGGCAAGTGAGTGTTGCCCTCATTTCAATAAAGATGCAAGATCTAGCCACAATAGAGGATAATTGAAATGCAAAAAGTGTTGCAGTCTAAAGCGTAAGCGGTGTCATGTCACAACCAAGTCTTTGTTTGATGTCCTATGCCTTGAGAAACATGACTAGCTAAAATGTTGAGTGTGGAGGTTATCGTTCCCATGGCTCTTTTAGAAGATTACATTTTTTTCTAGAGGGAAACGACGTCCTGATTTACGATCAATCCAGTGAGGGTTGTTCTATTTCAAATCCCGCTACTGCCACTCTATACATCTTTGTACTGGGAAATGCTTATATTTCTATTTTTCCTATGATTCTAGCACTCTAATAGCACAAATTATCTTTTAAAAGCTCATAGTTAACATGTTTTATATGAAATCGAGAGCAAAAGTGCTTAAAACACTGCTTAAATGCATCATTACTCGACAACTATATTATCAAAACAGCCCGTTTTTTATTTATTGAAAGCATGTTCTTTGGAGTCCAGTAATCAAATGGTATCATTACTTTGGCAGTTTTGTAAAATTTGTGTTTTTGACCTGGAGGATCACAGAATGACCCAATGTAGGCCTGATCCAACTAAAATCAGTTAAGACCATGTCTAAATACTTCTCGCAAAAAAGAAAGCGAGTTTACTAAGACAAAAAAAGGCGACTTCATTTCAGTATTGCCTTCAAATCTTCATTCAAATTTTCATTCAAACTTTGTTGTACATTGTGAACAACACGAAAGAGGCCTTTTTCAGTGGATATTTACTAGTAAATAGGTACTTTTATTAATATCATTTGATTGGTATAGTATAGGAGAGCAAATGGCATTATCATACTTGGTGCTTATGAGGTTTAAAGAGAATAGCTTTGGATACAACAAATGATGAATGCCACGCACAAAGGCACATTCTGTGTTGATAAAATATCATTCGCAGTGCAAGCCAATCTCAATTGAAATTCCCTTTCTTGAAATGTAGCTATTTACTAGATACATTCAATTTATTGATAATACAAGTGTTATTTCTTTTCATCACAAATCAAGACTGTGCCAAACACATAATCCCAAAACTTGGATGTAATACCAAATCCGCTTTCGAAATTCTTGTAATGATGAGCAACATGATATCTCTTTAGCTCCTTAAAGTAGATCTCAATCACTTTTGCATGGTGAATATAATAATGAATCATGTCGTAGCATACGTAGCCAAAGAATGCACCACCAACAAACGCATAAGCAAAAGCAGGAAGAAACAAGGTATGTGCTAATTTAAAGACAGGTACGCTCAGAATCACTGTTAAAGCAGGTGGCATCACTAATCTTAGTCTATCAAAAAAAAAAAGAGGAATGATCAGCAGTTTTATAGAACGAGTCGCACTTACCTATCCATAGGCATATGATGATGAATACCATGCAGTGTAAAATGAACTAATAAAGCAAGAGAATGATCAGGTAAAAGAGCGTCCAAATGAAACAAGAAGCGGTGCAAGACATACTCAAATAATGTCCAGAATGCAATGCCTAGACCAAATCCTTGAAGGGTTGTCTCTATCGTATGGTAATTAGGTGCATGCATTGATTTCCATACTTGGAAGCAGACAAATGGTAACCATATCATTGGTACTGTATACCAATGTGTTCTGGAAAGTACATCCATCCAAGGGTTCTCGAAATAAGATACATAGTATGGGGTATAGCGAGGTCGATGCACTTGTTCCAAGTAATAAGCCTTTGACCAAGTGGCATGCCATAGTTGAGGGAAAAGAGGCTTCCGGAGATCTAAAAATTGTCGGTCGCGATCAGATTTGCCACCCCTCTCAAGCTTTATTTTCTTTTTGTCTGCTGTTACTTCCGTATCCTTCAGGTCCCCAACATAATACTCTGTCAGTAAGTCATAGGCAGCTTCTGAGTGAGGGTGATAGTTGGCATCACTCAGGACAGTTGTGATGTCGGTCCCTGCAAATTCCAACAGGATCCCGTCACCTCCAGGATGATCTGCCAAGAATTTAGTAATATCATAAACCTTCTTGTTGACAATAACCCAACAAGAGTCTTCAGTATTGTTCTTTGCAACTTGAATCCTTGTTATTTGATTGGTCATAATAACAAGAAAATGAGGGAACAATAAGAGAAGAAAGAGTTACAGAAAAAAAAACCAACTGATTTTATTGGTGACAAGCTTTTTTTTAAAAAAGAAATCTAAGGTTGTAATTGTCTAAGAAGATAATTAAACTTTCTTGCATGATTAATATTGACATTTACCTTCTTTCAGATATGCGTGAATGAGGATAGTAGTTACTCCAAGTAAAATCAGAAGTTGGGAAACTACCAGGATTTATACAGTGAGTACCTTCATAAGTAATACCATAGTTTTCACATTTATCCGCTATGATGAGCTAACAAGTAATATGAGTATAGAAATAAGCTATAGTATGACTTACTGCATGAGGTAAAGGAAATAGTCGTAATGCATTATCAAATGACCAAGAAATTGGCTTTACAGATAAAGGTAAGGGACTTAGATGCCCTTGATCCACAATGGAACGTATAAACTATAAATAAGCTTTTAGAAAAAAAAAAAAGGAGGCTGAAGTAAGGGAGCTTACATGTCGATTAAGTTGAGAATCTTCTGCTAAATTCACTGGTAACAATGCATTTCTCCACATCTTTTGTAACCAATCTTCTCTAAAAACCACAATATCTTGTGTACAATATCGAATTCGACATGGATTTGTAGTGAAATGGGCTTTTCTTACTTTTTGTTTCATACGTGTAACAAAGCTTGGTAAAATGGGTCTTTGTGGTAATGATTTACCAGCCCAAGGGTCTTTTGGTCCAGGCACAAACACAAAATTGGTATGTGTTGATAATTCATCAAATTCACTAATCAAGTCAGCCAATGCTGAGAAATTATCCTTGTATTCATCTGATTCTGATCCAGCATAGACAAAGGGTTTACTTGAGAAATTGCCCATCATAATAAATGCCAATGGAATCTGGCCACTTGAATAACCTTCAAATATACGCCTCAAAGATTGCATGACCTTAAGAAATTAAGTCAAACGAAACAGTAGGTTGATTTCCCCTCCCCTTTACCTTGGGTTGATCTAGATGTACATCGGATACAATGACAAAAAATACATTATCTGCTCTATCTTCTTCTTCTTTCAATAGTTTCTATATAGAAGTAAATACAAATTCACAAAAGATCAACTTACTTCATCTACTAGTGATTTTGGTAGTCCTAAGAAATCAAGATGTCCAAATATATGACTATGTTCAATGTTAATCTATGTGCATTTCTCTCTCAGCATTTACTCTGTCATTTCTCGAGATTCAGCAGGCGGTAAATAGATATTTTTGACATGAAATTTGTGATCAATACCATATTGTCCTTCAATAAGCAAAAAAGATCCATCTGTAAACAGACCGTAATCATATTCCTACAATTTGATAAGAAACCCTCTTTTTCTGTTATTTTCTGGCTATTTACAGCATTGTTCACCACTAATTCTATATATGCATCCTCATCTTCCAAGTGTATCTTTCCTTCTTCCATTTGTGTCAACATCCCAAACAATACAAATTCTTCTTCATCATGACCAATCAATGATTTAATAGGAGTAATCTAACCCATAAGTACTCACATAGACTTTCTTTTTATATATATTTACCTTGATAAACTCTTTTTCATTAGCACCACTCATTGCAGTAGGGCAAAATAGATCATTTCTTAGCAATCTTTGCTTTACTAGCTTGTACCGTTCTCTATACATATCACCTTTTTCACTTGCCTCTGGTAATAACGAAGGTTTTTCATGGTTTCTGATATATAAAATCAGTGTCAACTGTCAACATCTGATGGCTTACTTGATAAATGTTCTTGTTTGTTCGTCGTATTTAAATCGAGGTAAATCAAATGCACTTACAACATGAAAATGCTGCGCTACATTGACTGCTTGTTCTGGGGGTTCATCAATTGTCATTTCTTGTAATGAATCATTGATAGCTTCGTCTTCTCGCTGAAAAGGTGTCAAGGAAGCTGCCACTGCTGCAGAGTGTCGTATTGAAGAAATGACTTCTCGTATGGTGGCTTCGTCTACAATAACCTGTCTTTCATCTATTTACCCCAAGTCAATATCATACGTTTTGTGCTGTCTCTATTACCGCTATAACGCTTTCTATATGCTTTTATGATCTTCTCGATCGCCTCTGGTAGATCGGGTTCAGACTCTAATAAACTCTCGAGGTATTTGGCCGCGTCTGTCTGTACGTGAAGACCATATTTTTTTGTAAATAAGTTATATATGCTTCGCTTTATTTTTATTTTAGAGTGAGGTGCCATTACTGACAAGGAAAAGGAAAGAGGAGGGAATTCAGCGCGTATCTAAACGCGTAAAAAAAAAGGTTTACTTGCAAGACGCGTTGGTACTCCGATAATGATCTCCAAACAATGCTTTGGTCTTTTCTTGGTTATCATTAATTTGGCGCTTTTTGTGTTGCTTCGTATAAGTCTCAAGTAAACCATTGTCTGTGTTTATCAAGTCTTTTTCTATCCATTGAGATCCTACATTATCTTCTTCAGGATCAATGGAATACATGGATTTTATCTCATCCTCTTCACCTTCCGTCGTAGGATAAGATGTTTTTGAACTAGGCTGACGGACACTTTCATTGTCACTAGAGGCAAAGGAGTCATGCATGAAAGCAATGGCAGGCATATTCACCTGTTCGTTCTCGGATAAGACAGGAGAAACAAGATTTTGTTTCTTATGACCTGTCAAAAGCTTTTTCTTGATCAATGCACCACTGTGTCTCAAAATAGCACGGACAAATTCTATAGAGACAGGTTAGAACCAAGCCTGTTATTTTATCTTACAATATGCTATTTACGTTTCTGTATTTCCTCCATCATTTCAGCCAGAGACCATGTCTTGTTTCTATATTCAAGCTTGGGTTGTTTGAATTCAAAATGGCGTAAATTATAAAAGGTACTTTGACTGGGACCTTGAAGCGTGATGCAATGTTTGGTGGCTGGTATACGCACATAGATAAACGTTCGATTGGTAGAAGAACGTAACTTCATGATGGTCAATTCATCTTGTTTGATTTTTTGCTTGCCTATCACTGTTTCTTTTAATCTTCTTGTAAACGAATCAAAGCTAGTGAAGCTGCCTTCTCTTTTGTTAATGGTTGTCTTGTTAATTGACCGGGAGGATTTAGTGATCGATAGTCTATCTACTTCTTCTTCTTCTTCTTCTTCTTCTTCTTCTGAGGATGAAGATACATAGTCTATCTCTTTAGTTGTCTCTGCACGATTGACTCTTGGAAAAAAATAGTCTTTCATGGCTGATCCAAACGCTGTATGGATCTGAAGATGAAGCGGCAATACATTGATCTCCAAATGCTGAATAATGGGAATACCTCCTACAGGTGGCAATGAGTCCAGAATACCACTGAGCATTTTGTGCCGAGAATAGTCAATGGGTTGTGAATCATCTTCATGGGCACTCAACACATCTGTAAATACAGGTGATGCTGTTGTGTCTTTTAGATGAATGCGATCAATATCAATGGTGTTCTTGGTCGATCCGTTTACTTTGGAGAGAAAGACGAATTTAGTATGTGTGAAGGTCCATTGACAGAGTGAGCTCTTTGGATCGTCGTTCATCAATGCTTTCCAAACAATGTTATTCGAAGTAAATATAAATCGCATGGCATGAGCTGTTTCTTCTAAATGAATATCTCGGCGAAACGTCTGAATGGAGCGAATGGCTTCAACGACGAGGCACAAATCTTGTAGTTTTTCACTTAATAGTTTCTTGTTCTTGTTGAATTCACGCATGCCCATGGTGTCTAAATGAGCAAGTTGGTCAATAAAACAATGGTGCATCTTATACAGAAAGCGAGCACGATGTTGAAGCACGGCTACTTGTTTTACAGTCTCTGCTAAATCACTCCGTTCAGCAGCCAACATGACATCTTTAAATCGATCTAGTCTTTCTTTTTTTCGACGAGAAAGACGATCCTTCCCAAGCATCAAGTTGGTAACCGTATAGTACAGCACATGGGCTTGTAAAGAATCTAACGATAACTCGAATTGAGGAAAGTGAAGTTGCATGGTGTTCGTTTGGTCTTCAAAGGGATTTTTGCGCGATATGTTGCCTTTGTTGCTCTTGATTCGTAAATGATTGTATCTGTCCAGTTGAATGGTGCCTGACAATTGGTTGGCTATACGTTCAAAATTCTCAAAGTGTCTCATATCACGGTAGTACCAGAGTTGCTCAGGTTGCGTCCATGCTGCCCAATGATGGCCTTGAGATTGACCATAGCCATTCTGTATCAAGTCTTCGTAAGCAGGCAGGTCTTTTATTGGACTGGCTACTAGTAATTGAGCATGATCAAGGTTGACAATAATGCGATCCTTGACCAAGCGAGCATCTTTATCTGCTGTACTACCATTGTCCAAAATATTGAATGATTTGACATGCACACGTTCGTTGGTAAACAACAAGACATGATCAAGTCCCTTTTCGCTTTGAAAGTTCACTTGGGGATTGATCATATCGATCAAATACTTGCTCTTCATTTCATAAGATTCTGGAATGTTCTTGTACTGATAGTCTGGATCGTCCATGTTGTCTGTACTATCCTCCAGGACGTAAATACCTTCGTGAATCTTTTCATGTTCGTTCTTCTTGTCTTCTTCAGCTTCATTAAAGGCAACAAATCGTTGAGGAAGCTCTGACATTAATTTGTCAATCAAACTATCCGCTGTATCTTGACGTATTGTTTCGTTTAAACTGGGTTGTTCCAAAACAGGAGCATCTGGTCTCCATTGTTCTTCTACTGTCTTGACCAAACCCTGAAGAAATTGGAGACATCGAGAAGACAGATTGTAATCAAGAATAGACCAATTGTTCTTGACATCCTGCCAGTAATAGAGTGTATCTCGAACAGGATTATTCCATATGAATTGTGGATTATGCACAAAAAATCGATCCTTAAAAGGGCCCATCAATACTTCCCACCGGGAAAGTTGTTCATTTCGATAGCCACTAAAGGTTGAATTGGAATCTTTTTGATCATTCATGTTGAGTTCTGTTTCGAGAATAAGTTGGCCAATGTAATTATGAAGTGTGTATCGCTTGATACGCAAATATTCCATCTTCTTTGTCAAGGCATGGTACTAGAAGATATAAAGTAAGTAATTTACTCTAAGTGAAAGATAGCATTACTTCTTTAATCAAATTGGCTTCATTCTTATATACTTCTAATGCGCGCAATATGATATCCAGCTGTTGATCCAATGTTTCAATCACTTTATCCAGTTCATGAGCACGTCGATACAAGTGTTCTTTTTGAAATTGATGTGATTCTAAAGAAAAAATGTATACATGAATATCTATACTTTTATCCAGTTATTTTTGTTTTGTTTTTACCTATACGCTTGCCCATGATACAATCATGCGTTTGTCTTAAATAATATCTGTTTTTAACACCATGTTCATCTTCTTCTTGTCGAACAAAATAAAACAAGGGTGAGAACACAAAAGGATAGATATCGATTTTGTGTTGTTGACTCTCTGGCAATACAGCATCCAAAATAACATAATCTGCTCGATCTGTCCATGGAAACTCACCCTCCCATGACATGGTGGTATTGCAGCTCCCTACACCTGGTTTGTTACGATCCTCTCGAATAGGTCTAGCCATAATGGCACGTAAATCAATATCAGTAATTTTGACTTGGATCTCATGAAAATTGTTCGCTGTCTTGACTTTCTGATCTTGCACTACTTTTTCTTTGCGTTGATGTAAATCTGCACTAAATGTACGGATACTTGCTTTCAGGCCTGCTGTTTTGCTATTCGGTTTTACGCCCAAATAAGTGTCGTGGCCTGTACAAAAAAAGCCAACAGCTAATGGATCAATCACCATTTTGAATTTAATGGTGTCTAAAATCTCCCCAAACGATTTCGACTTGCGTTCACCAAAACTAAAGAGTTTGCCTTGACGTATAGGAATAGATACAGGACTACCAAATAGACTATACCAACAAGTAAAATGCTGCATCAAACAAGGGCTTAGATGCAATGTGTTGTGATGAAACGTGTCTTGATCGATATCTTGTTCTAGTTCTTGAGAGTCTAGTTTCACTATACTAAACGACAAATGTGCAAAATCAGACCGAAATCCTCGAAACGAATCATAATCCGCCTAGGTCAATACGTTGGCTTTTCTTTTTTCTTTTATATATCATATTTGTGATTTACCTGGTGATAGTGGTGCTTTACATATGCAGGAGATCTATAAAGAACCTTGTAATGGGGCATAAACACTTGAGTTCGACACCGATCAAGTACATGTCGTGCTGGGTCCTGACATGAATAGCATAACAATTGACCTGTTCCACACGATAACCGTTCATACTGTAGTCCAATACCCATTCGAAACCCATTTGAGAGTTTGAGAATGACCTTTAAGAACTTGTGTTCTGTTTCTGTAGTTCCTTTGGTAGGCAAAGCATCAGGAAATACAGGCACATAACCGCCCCGCATGAGATCAGGTACCGCCAATATATACTGCATACTCTTGATCTGCATGAATTCTTGCTGATGGTTTTGATACCCCAAGTACCAAACAACGCGGTCACTCCAAATCTTGGCCATCCCAGCACCTCGCCTTTGCAGATCATAAGGGTCCCGCGTGCCCTTAACAATCATACCCAAGTCGCCCATGAACTCAAACTTGACTTGGGTATGGATCATAAACCTAACTTTATCCCAAAACCGAAGTGGTAAAGATGGATCGATTTGGTTGGGCGTGATGGAATCAAGTACCCGTAGTATATCTTGTATGGCAGGACTTGAAGAGACAGACCAACAGATCATGGAGAGATGTGGCGTCAAGATACGATAGTCAATGACAGAATAGAACTTAAGTGGTGTGGTTGTTCGAACAGCCAAAAGGATATAATTGTCCCACACAGGCACTGATATCAGACGACTTCCTTGCAAATTACCGAGTTCGTCGGCAAAGACAAGGTTGCCTTCCAGCATCCAAGATTGTTTCTCTCCTGGTTTTGAAGGTATGTAGAGTAAAGGAAGTGGATAGTCCCGTATCTTGATCCATGTCTTGCCTGCCCTGATAGATAAATGAAATGGAATCAAGATGGAAAAATCAAAGTCAAGAGGCACACCACTGCCTGATTGATGAATGAAAGCTCTTGTTTGCTCTAAAGGAAAATCAGCAGGCTGAAATTGAACACGCACATATTGAGCAGAGAAATTAGCCAAGGGTGCGTAACATGGTCGAGGTGCAATTGTAATCACAAATCGCTCAACGTGCTGATGGGGATCAAACAAAGCGTATCGGCCATCCAAGGCATGATCCATCTCAGTTGATGTGGTAGGTTTGCGATAGTTCTCAGCACAATAATACGCATGATAAAAATCAGATTCTTCTTGATGTGTTTGGTCAATGTGTTTACGCCAATTTCGAGAAAAGAATTGCAGCAAGCTTTGTTGAGCTTCTTGGATATGTTCAGCAGATGGTTGTAAGCTTTTTTGATCAAATGTTTCTTGATATGCTAATCTTCTTTGTTGCTCCATGAGGCCTGTTTTGAATATCTTGCGCAACTTGACTTCAAAAGGATCATCATCAAATTGAATAGAAAACAGTCTGGTTCTGATCTTGACAGTGGATATCAAGACAGGCTCGTTTTTAACAGAAGGTCCAAAATAAGTAAACGTATATCCCTTCTGACTTAAAAGACGAGTATGCAAGTCCTTGACTGCCTTCACTACTCCAATGGCATGATGAATGACTGTTGCCAATACATACTGGTAAGGTATGGTGATCATGATCTTCTTGGCTTTTAGATCCATGATACCTTGAGGCATGGTTAACGCAAGTCTGTCTATTTCAACCAATTGTTCCCAAGTGTTGTCAAGCGTGGGTGATGTACCAAGTACCATGGTGTTGCCAATCTGAATACTCCATGCATCTTTCTTTTGAATGCCCATGCGATCCATTCTAAGATACAGCCTTGTGTCTTGTGCTAATTGAATCTCTATATCGCCTCTGTTGATTTGAACTGAAGCATCTAGTAAAAAGAGCCTTTTCTTTTGTTGCTGTTGTTGTAGGTTCTGAACTGTCTTGACCAACAATAAAAATACATAATGATGCCCTACTGAATAACATAGGCCATATTTCTCCACTTGTAAATCCAGTTTGACCGTCTTTTCTAGACAATGCATTGTCAAATCTAATTTAGGCATCCATGAAATAAGCTTAAGCTTGTCTGTATCGCCACCAGCTTGTAAAGAAGCTTGTTCTAAATAAAGGCGGGTTTTTGTACGCTGATGAACACAAGTGAATTTCTTTAAAAAGAGTACAACGGATACATCCATCGACTTCTTGGGTGTATTATTAATGTATCCAGAAGGAACAGGTGTTGATTCACCCTTGTCTGTACACCACATTGTCATGGTTCCTTGAGTAATATCCAAAGTAAACACTGCATGATCCAGCCATGAAAGACGTGTTTGTTGAGATGATCTAAATATGTCTGTGTAATAACGAATGGCTTGAGGTACCATCTGCAGCCATACAACACTAGATGATAGGGTTGTGTCTTGATATGTGTTCCATACACATATATTAGGTTTTTCTATGTTGAGTTCCACTTGTACAGTAGATTTAGGTTGACAATCAACAATCGTATTCTCTACTGGCAACTGTGTCTTGATCATCAACGTCAATGCTTTGCCACCTATAAACGTATGTTGTGTCGCTTTTTGTTCATCCCCTACATGAAGACCTTGGACGATCATCTTAGCTGATACATGATAGGTTGACTGTATCTTATGTAACGTTTGATGTTGTAGGGCATGAGTCCATGCCTTTTGTGCCATGGTTGTTTCTGTATGCCTTTTTATAGGCGTATGGTTTAACCACTTGTATTCTTCCTGAGCGAAAAGTGTATCCAGTAACGAAGTTTCGTGTGTATCATAGCCATATTCTCCAGAGAATCGCATGATCCATGCCTCGGTGGATACAAAAGCAATGGTATCCGTTTTGTCTATGTGATGCAAAGATAATTGAGGCGCATAAGCAACAAGCGCTACAGCCATGTTGGGTAACTTTCTTTGTTTTTTTGAGGCACTGGAAGACTTGGGTAGGCTCTTGAGCACATCTAAAAAAGCAGGCTGATGACAAGGTAAGCTGACAATGGGTGTATGTAGCATCCAGGTGACACTCAACAAGTCGGTATGGGGTGACATCCATGTGTGTTGTGAGTACTGCATGCTGTTCATTGACATAAAGAAATGGTCTTGTAGGTTGCATTTTATTGCTTTTGTAGTGATGTCTAGTTTACCCTGAGCCCAAGATGCTTGTGTTTCCTGCGCTTGAAGCGATAATGTCGCTGTTTGAATAAGGTCGTACCTGAAACACATTGTTTGTACGGATAGGCGCACTGCTTTCCATACAGACGCATGGGTGTTTGATGTCTGTCTTTGAAGTAAAGCATGAAGAGAGACATAGCATAGGCCTAATTGAATATCCAATGCCATTTTATCGCCAGATAATAGGACACGACTTGGTGTAGATGTTGTCAACACTGTATGGTTATTGATACTGTATTGAATAGAGCCCATTTTGATTTGTATTTGCCATTGTCTATCGCCCATCAAGTTGACAGTGACTGTATGTACATGAATAGCATCTAGTTGAATAGAATAATCACTCGTTACCATGTGAATGTGGTCAATAGAGATAGCAACATACTGAAACAGGACTGCTAATAGCCACCCTATACGACTTAAATTCAAGTCTCTATTGGATGTTGATGCTCTGTTTAGCTGAACACCGCTTAGATGGACAGTCAATCCAGCTTTGTATTGAATGCTAAACTGTTGAATGACCAATCCAAATCGTTGATTTATACAAGATAGAATAAAGAGGGTGATTCTTTGTCTGTTCAAATAGAATATTGTTATACAAATCAATACGAGCAACCACATATATATATCTATAAAAACAGAAAAAGAAAAGAAGAGAGAAAAACAAAACAAAACAAAACAAAGAGGTGATGCATAACAAACCAAATTCGGAATTCAAAATAAACATACACATCAATGAGGGTATTGCCATACACTTTACTTTGAAATAAGGTACACTGAAGAAAGTAAAATGTGGTAGTGCTTAACAAGAGCATAAGCATTTGATTCATTTGGAGAGTGTCTTTGGTCAAAGCGCACTGTGCTCATCTATGCGTGGTCATCCAACACAGCAGGTGTATGGAAAGTTGTATGGTCAAAGCCAAATAACCTGAAGGTATTGCTCAATATTTCTTCTTTGCTTGTCGATTATAAGAAGTCTTTCGAGTTCAAAAGCTAGTCCTTCTACTCTTTTCAGCATGTAGAGTGTGCCCTTGTTCTAGTAAGGAAACTTCTTCATTCATTCAGGTTCAAAGTGGTACTGAGAGAATGAATGGTCTTTCATTTATTTCTAACTGTATTGTAGGCTACTTCTTTAGACAAGTACATGTTCTCCATTGTAGTCTCTGACTGAGTTTTTTTATATACGGTCGTACAATATCGGCATGTATTGCTCAAACAATGCCGTAGATTCAGAGTTACTCAAATCAATGGACATGTCTCTTTTCTTGATTGAGAACTTGACATTGACTATAAAGCTTTACAATTCAATTATATATATATAAAAACAGTATTTAAAGTAACTTTCAAGCAACTGTACTTCCCGAGTATATACATGGCCCGATTGAAACCTGTTTAGGCCTTTTCCTGTACTCGTTCCTATAAGCCAATCCGAGGTATTCATTCTGAATTTTAAGCGCAAATCAATGTATTTGAATCTAAATAATGTCTAACTGATATGAATAATAATAATAATAATGATAATAATAATGATGATGATGATAGTAACATGCTTTAAAGAGGATAAGGAGAAGGCATCCAATAGTCTTTTGTGGGTGTAGAGAGAGGCAAACTTTGGTGCCTCCAACTCTGGTTATTGTTGATCAAAAGAGCCTGCTCAATTGATATATCTACGGAAGGGAATCGAGTGATTTGACAAAGACGTTCATCCATACCGGCAATCGCAAGCAATTCTTGTCGAAGATCAGAGGCTAAGCCACGAACTGTATGACGCAAAATGACAGAAGCTTGCATGCCTTCCGTGAAATCACTGCATTGAACCCATTGAGCATTGTTTTCCATAAAGAAAATAGGAGGTTCAAGCAGATCCATGTCAATCTGAGCCGAGATATGATCATCAAGCACATGAAGTTCAATAGACGCAATACTGTCAAATGAGATCATCATCTTGAAATGATAGCTGCTGTCTCGAATATGCCATGAAAAGGCACGTTCGTTTAGTTTGTAAAAGCATATTAAATCTTGTTGACTGATCTTCATACGGTGCCATGATCCTACTGTCACTGCTGTAGCTGTAATAAGACCAGTTTGTTGGTCTAATGAAGACAAGGCAGGTGTGGGTTGCAATGGTTCACTTTCTATAGAATCATAAGTTATCTAGATTGTGTATTCGATTATTTATTTTACCCATTCTACGAGGCAAAGAGAATGGTTGCGGAGTAGGTGAAGGTGAGACTGTCAATTGATAGATATCTTCTTCAATATCATTAGGACCAGTGATAGAGATCGAAGGAGTATCATACTGTTGTTGTGTATGAAACATATGAGAAAGACTGGGTGGAGGAGGAGGAGGAGGGGGGATAAAAGCATCAGTAGACATTATATCTGTACTCCAGGCACGATGAATAGGCAATTTTGTCTGCATGTGTCGAACTTGTTGTTGTTGAAGATACCAATAAGGAGAAGAAGAAGGATAAGCATGTTGCCCTGTGGCTTCAGCACATAATCTAGCTCTTGCTGCTTCTTGTTCTTGGCGTAACAGGACTCTTCTTTGCAGCATTTTTACTTTTGCTCTTCTGTTTTGAAACCATATTTGAATAGATCGTTCTGGCATCTGAAGTTTATAAGCTAATTGCTTTCTCATCTTACTGTCGGGTGTTGCGCTGACACTAAAGGTCTCTTCCAACACACTGAGCTGTGATGGAGTAACACGAGTACGTTTTTTGGATTCATCTGAATGAGCAGGAGGAGGAGTAGGAGTAGAAGAAGAAGACATAGGTATGAAAAAGGAATGAATAAGATAAAGGAATGTAGAGAATAAACGAAAGGGGCGGGATGTGTTTTCTTTATAGGAGAGAAAAGGAGAGGAGAGAAAGAAAGAGTATGCGTTTCTTTATGTGTCTAAAGAAGTACAATTTATTGGCCAACTTTTATTTTTTTTAATACAAATTGGCTGACCTCAAAAATAAGTAATTTAGCGCATGTAAACACTGTTATTTTGATATATACACTTTCCTTCTTTGTCAAGTCAATACGATACTGAGTGCCATAAGAACACAATGAAGTCAGATAAAAAGCAGTGATAGACACTCTAGAGACAAAAGCTGGCTTATGTCAATGCATGTTTGATTCGACTATGGCTGCGTTTCAATTGGTATATATTGCATTGCCTTTTTTGTGCAAAGGTATTCCTGTTTATATTCCAGTATAATGATAATAATGAATAAAGCGATGCATATCTTCTTACAAAAGAAAGTCTTTGTCTGAGTTGTAAATAAACCCTATAGATCTATATGGGTATGCTGTCAAGTTAAATGCCAGCCATAAAAGAAAAAAAAAAAGAAGGCTTCTTTCTGTTATGTCAGATTATCATGCTCAGTTACAGAACATCAATGATGAGATACAGTCAATAGATACATCCATAGCTATTCTACAATCAGACAGGGAACGCCTTATTCAAACAAGGACTCAGTTATTAGACACGATGGCACAAAGTGCGATCCAACAAGACAAAGATCGCAAGTACGATTCAACTGATTTCCCTTGGTCTCATGATCTTGTTAAGCATGCCAAGACTTACTTTAGTATTCACTCGTTTCGTTCACTTCAGTTACCTGTATTGAATGCTGCACTTGATAAGAAGACAGACGTGTTTGTCGTGTTACCTACAGGAAGTGGTAAATCACTCTGCTATCAATTGCCTGCTTTATTAGAAGATGGGTTCACCTTGGTCATTTCTCCCTTAGTCTCTTTGATTAAGGATCAAGTATACCATCTACAAGAAGCAAACATTCCTGCTGCTTATTTGACAGGCACATCCACAAAAGAACAAATCAATCAGATCCAACAGGACATGGTACCTGCCAAATCAGCCAAAACAACGTCCTTTAAGCTACTCTATGTGACACCAGAAAAGGTTGCCAAAAGCAAGCGATTCATGGCTAGACTAAATAAGGCGTATGATGCTGGTATGTTGACACGTATTGTGGTAGATGAAGCCCATTGTTGTTCTCAGCAAGGACATGATTTTAGGCAAGTAGTTGATGTTATGATCTAAGGGGCTTATACAATATAGACCTGATTACAAGCAATTGAATGTATTGAGAACTGTGTTTCCCAAGACAAAGATCATGGCATTAACAGCAACCTGTCCTTGGTCAGTGATGAAGGACGTGATGCGTATTCTTCATATGAAGCAACCTCATGTACCCAATGGTACACTTGTATTTAGTGCTCCTCTTTACCGTAATAAGTGAATTGCGTTGTTCGTCTATTCACTTTTGTTTTTATTAGGCCCTAATCTTGCTTATAAAGTAGTACAAAGACCTAGTTCAGCAGAAGAAACCATTCAACATATCACTGATTGGATAAGCACTTGTTATCCAAATCAATCTGGCATTATTTACTGTCTCAGTAAAAAAGATACCGAAGTAGTGGCACATAGCATTTACAAGGAAAGCAAAGGCAAGATCAAATGTGGTTCGTATCATGCAGACATGGATGAACAAGACAAAGAATTAGTGCATCAACAATGGAGAGAAGGTAAATTACAAGTGATTATTGCGACCATTGCGTTTGGTATGGGTATCAATCATCTCAAGACACGCTTCATTATCCACCATTGTATGTCCAAGTCTATGGAGGGTTATTATCAAGAAAGTGGAAGAGCTGGGCGTGATGGTGAACCAGCTGAATGTATCATCTATTACCGTGGTACAGATGGTAAACTAGTTTTCTATCTTTTTTTTTTTTCTAAGGAGCTTATCTCTTGTATAGCGATGCGATTATCTTCATTGGTTGTAGGTGAAGTCAGTGGACAGACAGGATGTAACTATATATTCATACAATAGAGACGCTTGTATTAACTATGGGTAGTGTATGAAATGGTAAAATATGCTCAAGATTACGTGACATGTCGCAAGATCCTATTCGAGAAATACTTCTCATTGGATGCTGCCAAAACATCAGAAGGCTTGGTTAACAAAGTAACGCCTGATCAGCCTTGTGGCATTTGTGATAACTGTACTCGTCCTCAAGAGAGTGTCCACATCAAAAATATTCGTCCAGTAGCAGAAGCCATTGTTCGGTTATGCATGCTATTAAAGGATTTAAATGAAAGGGTCACTATGGCTAAACTGGTTCAAATGGTGCAGGGACGAGGCTTGGGGATAGCAAAGACGCGTGTGCAACAAGACGATCGTATACAGATTCCTATTGACAAAACATACACTGAATATGTAAGTTTTTGATAAACCGTGTTTATAATTGATCGACATAGGATATTGAACGCATCTTAAACCACTTGATATCTGAGGGCTATTTAAGAGAAGACTTTTTATTTACGCCTTACAGCACCATCACGTAAGAGGAACATGTTTGTTGATAGCCAACTAAACTCAATTCAAATAGCTATATTGTCATAGGCCAATTTGCAAAAGATGCGTTGCGTAATTCAGGTCGAGCCATTGAGTTAGCTTTCTTGTCTACTGAAGACAAACCTACGAACAAGAAGCGAAAGGTAGAATACATTTGCTTGGATTAGACTGTTGCACAATAAAGGTTTAAGGATAAATGTCTATGAACACAGTGTTTAGATGCAATTTTTCTTTAGTAAATGCTGTATGAGAACGTCCTTTTTTCATCTTCACGGAGGTCCGTGATCCTCCAGGTCAAAAACACAAATTTTACAAAACTGCCAAAGTAATGATACCATTTGATTACTGGACTCCAAAGAACATGCTTTCAATAAATAAAAAACGGGCTGTTTTGATAATGTAGTTGTCGAGTAATGATGCATTTAAGCAGTGTTTTAAGCACTTTTGCTCTCGATTTCATATAAAACATGTTAACTATGAGCTTTTAAAAGATAATTTGTGCTATTAGAGTGCTAGAATCATAGGAAAAATAGAAATATAAGCATTTCCCAGTACAAAGATGTATAGAGTGGCAGTAGCGGGATTTGAAATAGAACAACCCTCACTGGATTGATCGTAAATCAGGACGTCGTTTCCCTCTAGAAAAAAATGTAATCTTCTAAAAGAGCCATGGGAACGATAACCTCCACACTCAACATTTTAGCTAGTCATGTTTCTCAAGGCATAGGACATCAAACAAAGACTTGGTTGTGACATGACACCGCTTACGCTTTAGACTGCAACACTTTTTGCATTTCAATTATCCTCTATTGTGGCTAGATCTTGCATCTTTATTGAAATGAGGGCAACACTCACTTGCCTTGTGCAAGAAGCCAACAAATGTCAAAATTCCATTTTATGACTGTCCTTTCTTCTCTATTACATAGCTTAATGTCAGAACTCTCTGTAATAGTATCTCTAGGAATTTGAGTTCTAAAGTGGCTTTCTTTCGAGTCATTCATTGCTGGTCAATATATTAAAAGATCAAGGTAGATGGAATACAGTGCAAAAGGAATCAGAAAGCGTACGTTACTGCCTTATTGAACAATATTTAAATTCCGTTTGCGGCTTCCATCCCCATGTGTTACGACACCCTCTCTTTTCAATTGAAAAACCTTCATTTTTTATCTTCGCAACAACTTACACTTTCTTTCTTTTTTTTTAAATGCCTCTTATATTGCATCGACTTTGCTTTAGTGATTAGCTTTACTTTACTACATAGACATGCACAATATGCTATACCGATTAAAGATGTCTAAAGAAAATTGCTTTGTGGAGTCAGATGAACTTTCACCTTCTCGTGGTTAATTCTGTTAATCAAAGTAAGTACTTATTTCAAGACTGCTTGAGAACCAAGAAAATTTCGACATTACTCTTCTCCGGTAACGGTTCTTTACATGTTTTTGATGGTAAATTTATTTCTTGCATTTTGAAAGAAGACGCTGAGGATAGGTCCTTTGTAACCTCCCAGGGGAGCTCTCAATACTAAGCATATTGAGTGTGTGACTTGGTGTAGCATTGCATTGGGGATGTTCTCTAATTTCTAGCTGTTGTTTATTTGTAACCTCCCAGGGGAGCTCTCAATACTAAACATATTGAGTGTGTGACTTGGTGTAGCATTGCACTAAGCAACAGTTCATGCCTTATGTTATGTGTTTCTTGCACTTTGAAAGAAGACGCTGAGGATAGGTCCTTTGTAACCTCCCAGGGGAGCTCTCAATACTAAGCATATTGAGTGTGTGACTTGGTGTAGCATTGCATTGGGGATGTTCTCTAATTTCTAGCTGTTGTTTATTTGTAACCTCCCAGGGGAGCTCTCAATACTAAACATATTGAGTGTGTGACTTGGTGTAGCATTGCACTAAGCAACAGTTCATGCCTTATGTTATGTGTTTCTTGCACTTAGCATCTGGATATAGATGATATCTTAGATATAATTAACAATTTGAATGTAGGTAATACTTTGGACGCAGACATTGGAAACTTGAAGATATCGTGTTTACATTGGAACTCATTATGAAACAAAGACAAACTAGCCTCTTCCCCCTGCATCAACGTCTCCCTTTCGTCCAAAGAGTTTTTTTTTTTTAGTACATTGGTCTGGCCACTCTTGATGGTACTTGGAACTTTGCTATAATCCCTTCTAAAAGACTGCATCTCTTTGGTATTAATAATTGTGTCAAGTGCCAAGTAATTGAAGACATTTTGGGGTAGTGTTCTTTACTTATGATATTGGTGTTACCATCTATAGCGTTCAACAAGACAAGATATCAAGAATACTGGCTCCAATGAGCAATGAACGAAAAGATAATTGCAGTAAACAAATATGTTTTTCAGGATACTCTATTCTTTATAAAAACTGTCTAAGTGAGCTTATTAATGAAGATTTTCAATAAAGTCTCAATTATATAATTCTTTCAACTTGTCGTAGAGAACTCGATCTTTTGAACAAACATGTAAAAGTTTATTTTGCTCTTTTAAACTGTTGAAGTTTAAGAGGCACATTACTATTTTTGATGAGCTGAACATCATTCAACAATGTCTGCTTCAAATTATATACCAAACTTATAATTGGCAGCATTTCTGCTCCAAAGTTTTCAATATGTTCGGGAAACTTGTAACGTACAGTTTTCACGACACGAAAAACGGAACCACGGCAACAGTCAACAAATATTGCTTGACAATGCAAACCTACATATATATAGTGGTAAAAGAATATCAGTACCCATCAATTAAAGTACTGTGTTGTCTTACGAGGCAAGCTCAAGGCAACAGTCGTTATGCTTCTTTTTAAGGCTGGCTTTTCAGCCATCAGTTGATTAAATTGATACTTGAGCATCAGAGGCATCTTATATGCTGTCTCAATCAACTCTTTTGTGCTATTTGAGCCCTTGTCGTATCTTGCTGCTTCTGTTGTTCCAAGCTCGATGGTTCCAAAAAGGAAGTTCATGTCACCTGCCAATGCAGCTTCTTGTTTTTGCATTGCCTTGACACCAGAGATTGCTCTTTTTTGATTCCTTTGGCTTGAACATGACGAACTTGAGCTTCTAAATATATTAATAGGTATTAGCATTCATATCTTCATTTCTCTTGTTTGTTTCATACATACGAAGTCACATCAATGTCGGTGTAAGCAAACATTTTAGGGATAACCTCCCAAAGCATACGCTTGATGTCTTCTTCGGTGTGATTGGTGTTAATGTTTAGCTTTCCATTCTTGTAGAGAAGTAAAGCTTGTATAAGGCTATTTTTCAGCCAGAAAACATCATAATCATCAAAGGGGCTGGCGTCGATTTTGTTCAGTTCTTCAAATATCTTCTTTGCTTCCTTCTATTTATTGTCAGTTAAGAGTAACATGCATTCATAGTCATTCTGCTTACCAAATTGATTATTTTGTCAAAGATGTTTTGAAGGCGTTTAGGCAGTGGGCCGAAGTATTTTTCACTATCATTGCTTTCTATTTCATCCAATTCATCATTTGTAAATATATTGTCATAGTGGGCATCACTGGTATCTAAGATGAGATGATGACAAGGACTTTAACAAAGAATAGAGGCATTATAAGTGGATCTGTCTCAATTATTATTTTTTGATGACTTACTGTTCGAACTGGCATTCTGATACTAGCTGCGCCATCTTATCTTCGACTGTAGCTCCACTTTTTAGGAGCCACTTGTCTTCTGCTTTCAAAGACGCGTAGTATTTTAGCACGGCAAGTTTCTCTTCTTTGGAAATCTTCTTCTGATAACTAAGACTGCTTGTATTCTTTTCTATGTTTGAGTGGAACTAGTGATTATCTAGTACTTACATTAGATTTTTTTGAATTAACTGTCATGTCACTAGGTGTTTCTTCTTCCTTCTCATCAATTTTCTTGCTATTCTTCTCCTTTTCATTGTCTTTTACTTCTTCTTTATCTCGATCTCTGTAAGCTTCTTCATCCTCGCACCAAACTACATCCATCATATCCTATAGGATAAAATGGTTAGAATTAAATTAGAAAAACAAATAAGAGAAGGATACCTACAGTATTTATAACAAGCTCACTTGCTATTCTTTTGAAGTCTCTTTTTAAGGTTTGCCTCTCGTCATTAGAGAAATTAGATATATTGAGGTGAACAAAATGTTCTGCAACAAACTTCTTAAAGGGAGCAACTAAACCACTACGTTTATATTTTCTAAGAAAATCATTTATAACTACATAAGTCGGTTACAATTGTAGTTATCACTTGTAATTAGTTGAAAGCATACTTACTTTGTTCTTGATCTGACATTATTACTATTATTATTTCTTGAGTCAGTCGTAAAATAAAGTGTTGCAAACAGGAGAGAATATGTTGATTTTCTGGAAACGGGTACTAATTGGTTTTAGATAATCAAGGCGTCCTGGGATTTCAAAAAGTGTCAGAGAAAAGTGGTACATGTTCTGATTGAATGCCATTAAATACCCGCAGCCACTCAGAGAGTATTATCAACTATGAAACAGTTAGAGATGCTTAGTGTTAGAAACTTATCGCCACTCACCATCCGTTTCAAATCTTCTTCATTGATATTGTCCAAGGCTCATCAAATTGTTTCGAAGACAGCAGAGTAGCCTAGAGAAGTAACATCGTATTAGATAATGCGATCGAAAGTTCAATGATATTAAATTTTACCAAAGAAACGATTTTCTTATGTACCATTATAGCCTACCACATCCATCTTTGATATCAAAGAGGCTCTTCTGTCCCTGGACTTCTCGTATATCTGGTACTGCCAATGGAAAGGAATCAAACCATACAGAATCCTCATAATAACTTTTTCCAAATCTGGCTTGCTCATATGAGATTTATCTTTGACAAGACCTCCCATTGTACCCACAGCAATATTGGCAAGCATCCGATCCTATGTTCGTCAGACCATTGAAGAAGATCAATGTCATTCACTCCTATAACCTCTACATTTTTTATTTTATTTTAAATCTTTGTTTTCTTTTATCGTGCTTTTATTTAGTTATTATATTTTATATCAGTTCTTAGCATTATCTCAATTGCACCCGCCTCTTTACATTCGCCATTACTCTTAGTGTACGCGGCTCAATCAATAAACACAACTTTAAAAAAAATTATGCACCACTCCCTTTTTTTTGGGACCACCCCTTAGGGGCATTCATTTCGGACAGTGAATGCAAGTTTTTGTCGCTCCAAATCACCCAATTTTCGACTATCTTTGTGTTTGCCTCCTTTGATACATTTAAAATGTAATCTATTCTTGTCGGCTTGTTGATGACAATAGTGAAATTATTGTTGGTTGCGAATTACTCGAGAATTGCTTTGACTGTTTGCTTGTCAGCTTTTTTTCGGAATTTTAGGAAGAGGATTTGCTACTACATACAGTTTGTTGTGACCTACAGGATTATGCATGTTATGTTTGGCAGCAATAAAAGTGGAAGTTTTATTAAGAAGCGAATTCTTTCGGGCCACCGTTTTTTTTTGGAAGATATAATTGTCGGGGATCTAAAAAAAACGGTGAAATAATATATATATTGCAGCTACTTGAGCATACGATCGTTGTTTGCTAGCGTTTTTAGGCTTAGGGGCTATTTCTAACTTTGCTGACCGAGAAAAGTGTTGGAATCGGAAGAGCCATGAGACCTACATTGGGTGATCCTCCATGGACCAAAAAAATGAACCTCACCCAACAGCCAAACCAATGGTATCATTTGATTGCTGGTCTCAAAACAGCATATTTCAAATTAAAAAGGAGGCCATCTTAATAGTCTGGTTGTCGAATAATGGTCCATCAAATAATAGTGCATTTAAGCTGTGATTTGAGCATTTTTTTCCCTAAATGCTAGATAAAACATGTTAGCTACATATCTTTCTATAGCATGATAGCTATTTTGGGTACAAGATAACATAAAAATATAGAATGATATGCACTTTATGATGTAAATGTGGGATTAAATGAGCATAGAATACGCTGGCTGACTATATGCGTAGATTAAAATGGAAGTCAACTCCAATCCTTCTTGCTGTCGCATCCAAAAATTGAGCGTTTGGTGAGAACTGCATAAAGACGCAGTCTTTAGGCTTTAGTGTAGTGACAAAAGTTGTAGATCGTTGCTTTCTGAGTCTATTAAAGTAAAAAACGCATCAAACCTGCTGCCAAAATCTTGAGGAAACAGGCAAAAATGTTTATGAGGTTTTTCATTCATATCTCATCATTGCTATACCACAATTGACAATTAAATATATTTACTAAAAGCTAGAGCCTCTGGCGCTCATTTTCAGTATTTAAGCTTGTTGACAGCTCTATTTTTCATTGTATAATATCAAAAAGAAGCTTAAAGAGTTGTCAGGTTGGATATTGTCATGGGCAACACCCTTTGGTTTTGAGAGATTTTTGGCCATTTTATTTCCCTCTGCCCTACCAAGTATGCTGTTTGGTCTCATGTCTTCTCCAAGTACATTAATTCCAACATTCGTGCACCTTCGGTCAATCTCCTACGTCAAGTCCTCCTCCTTCGGGTTGTTATCCCTCGTGTTTCTCTCTTCCATTTTCCTTCCTTAAGTAACTTCCAAATCTTTGTATGCACTGCTCTAGCCCTCTGGCAAGTTCACTGGCAATCTGTTTTTTCTAAAAGCCCATTCCTCTCCAAAACTATAGCCAAGACGGTTTCCCGCTTAGCAAATAAGCTGCATGATGAATTCCGCCTTGATTATGAACCGTAAATTCTCTCCTCCGCTTTCCTTTCCAGTTCCTCTCTAACTACTCATGATGTTCTCTCCGTTTCAAGTATCTATTAAGCTCTCTTAAACTCTTGTTCTTTTCTCAATTCCTCTATACAGAACGTTGAAAAGAAGAGAGAGGACTGGTGACTTACTCGTTGTGGACATTGATGAATATTTGACGTCCTAAATATGCTCCAAATGTGAAAGTAGGATTTTGGGTGGTTTAAGTGGTGCCCGCGGTAATAGTGTTCTCGTTTGCAAGACATGCAGAACATTATAGCAGCGTGACATCAACGCTAGTTTGAATATGATGAACATTGCCAAGTCAATTTGGAAGGGTAAAGGCCGTCCACAACGATTCAAGAGAAACTAAAGAAAAAGCAATAATCACCGTAATGAACACGGTACTTCTTTTGGGAATTAAGATTGTTATAGGTAAAATCATCTAACATACTATTGCACCTTCTCTAATAACTCTTCTCTTTCTGTTTAATTTCCATTTTTATTTCGTCCAAAATAGGTAAGTAGAATACTGTAAACAAATGGAGTAATCAACTGAGCTTTAAAAGAAAGTGACCAATCGAGACTCCATGTTTTGTAAGAATTCAAGCTGTCATTTTGAAACCTATGGCCGAAACAAAAAAAAATAATATGGCTGTCATTATTTCTTTTTCCCTTTTTTTTTCTCTCTCTCTCTCTCTCTGCTATTTCTCTGCTACTCTCTATCACTATGGCTTCTCAAAATATTCCTATTAGTTTTAAGCGTAAGCAGTCCATGTAAGTGAATTAGAAGTATAAGTAAGAAAATCACTGATGATTATCCGCAGTAGTGCCAGTGGTAGTTCTGCCTTATCTTATTCACCTTCCTCACATACGATGCCAGCTTTATTTCAGCACCGAGATAGTTTTGTTCATCAAAGAGAACTGGAGTCACAATTTTGTTCCGATTTGGTCTGTTGTGGCACTCAAGTGAAGGATCTCCATGAACTTCTACATCACTATGAAGAACACCATCACGCACCTATTGAAGAAGAACCCGAGCCTACTATTAAAGAAGAAGACGATGACGAAAAGGACGAAAAGGAGGAAGAGGACGATATTATGATGGAAGATGTCAGTACACCTTTTCCAGCTCCTTTGCCTACTCAACCACATGAACTGGCTGCCTTGACAAGCAGTCCTTTATTACGACACAAACCCACATCTTCTGTCTCTACTCCTCTGAATTTAAGCCCAACCATGAGTGTTAATCCAGCACCTTCACTACCACAACATACAGATGATATTTTACAAAAAGTATTGGCGAGCAGTCAACATGCTGATCTCAGTTACTTTCCTGCTGAAGCATTATATCAGACCTGCGGTAAGTCTTATTCTTATGATGCAAGAGTAGCTTATAATACGTGATTAGATGATGGAACTGACAAGCCTTATAAATGTCCCATTGCTGGTTGTGATAAAGCCTACAAGAATCCGAACGGTCTCAAATACCATCAAATGCATGGTCATTCAGAAGAAGACCCATTGAGTGAAGCAGAAAGAGATGCACAAAAGCCTTATATGTGTACTATTGGCTATTGTAATAAGCGATACAAGAACCTAAATGGTCTGAAGTATCATATTGAACATTCACACTTGGCTAAACTGAAGCAATTTCAACCTGATAATACATTTATAGATCAACAACCGTTATGGTCTTCTAAACCATAAAAACTTGTACAACATGTAAATACTGTTTCCTCTCTTTAGCTAAATAAATATATTCTGTATACTATTCAACAAGCAAACAAACAGAAAGAAACACAAATTCTATTTCTCCGTAAGAAAAAAAACAGCATTTTTCTTATTCTTCTTTTTTTTCATTTAAAGTCATGACAATTGCATTTGATCAAGAGAGTCTTATTAAACATGCTTCTTCTGTGTCTTTAGTTGATTCACGGCATTCAATCACAACTTCACTCTGTACATATCAACGTCGAGTTTCTTTCGACAATGTCACCAATATCTCGCCCAATTATCACTCGTATACACTTAAACAGTCAAGTCAAGGATTTGAAAGAACAAGACGCTCTCGTATTTTTATGGTTGTCATTGATTTACTAAGAACAAGTGCAAAAGAGAACATCAAAATAAAAGATCCATTGATATTTACTTTAATGGTAACTATCTATTGAACGAACAATATGACTTATAGCTTGAAGAATTTGATAGATGAAGGTGATGAAATTGTGGTGATAGGTGTACAGTCTTCTTTGCATGATACTGGTAAATGAATCCAACTGTTTCATCATGACTCATATGATATCAGAACAACAGACTAGTTTATCTAAAAGAAAAGCACAAGAAATAATGGATTGGATAGTTGAATTTCATCAAGGAGACCATGTAAGTCAATGTGGCTATAAACTGATAAGATTGACATGGATAGATAAACATGATTGTTGAATTGACATTTGGTAGACCAGAGATTATATTAGAAGAAATGGCAAGTAACAATCGTCTTGTCTCTATTGCTAACTCGTATAAATCTAGACGAGAATGTATCAACCCTCCATGGTCATTGTGGGTGCATGTAACAAGACTAAATATAAGCATGCATATTCTGGTGCAGGCATATTTAAATATCGATTGAAGCATACACATACGCCTATTGTGGTTGTTAGAGATAAACAAGCAGTGACCATGAAACCCCTTGTTCATCCTAAGCATACTTTATCTGAAAGAATTAGAGAAAAACTAGCCAAATTGAATTGTACCAAATAGAGCCTTTCCCCCTCTCTTCTCTCCGCTTGTTTTTTCCCGAACACATCTATTTTTTCTTTTATTTTTTTTTTTTTTTTTTTTTTTTTTTTTTTTTTAGTTGTGTGTAGTTTTTCGCTTTTATATATAAATCCTTCTTTTTTTTTTCACTTTTTCCTTTTTTTTTTTTTTTTTATTTTTGTTAAACCAAAAAAGAAAAAGCAAGTGTGTGTGTGTTGTGGCCATGACAGATGACCAAGTGACAGAAGCTGTTGAGTTGGCTATTGAGCTGGAAGAAAGAGGTCAATACAAGGCAAGTAAATACACACATACAGTTTAAGCGAAAATATATGTGTATATATATATATATTTAACAATAGGTTAGGAAGCCTATTTTGCTTTTACAGCAGCAAGTCAAAAAGCCATGACAGCATTAAACGATATTAAATTTGTACATTCTTGTAAGCACATATATATATATACACACATACATACACATAGACACAATACAGAAATATTCATAGAACAATAGCCATTATATCCAGTCCAAAGCACTACCATCAATTGATTTTATCTATAAAGACATGTTTATCACACATTGAAGATATGATTGAGCATCATTCACCCTCTGCAGTTCAACAACACGATGCCAAGATACCTCGGCCTCCATTACCGCCAAAACCCTCTAGGATACAAAAACCTCTTGTGCCACCTAAACCTGTTCATGTCAATTCCCGACCTTCATCACCTACACTTAAAGAGAATGAATTGCTGGGTAAAGTAAACTACACGTCATATATATATATATGGATACTCATCATGTAAAGCAGACAATTCATCCGATAATATCATTAGACCACGTGTTCCCGAGAATAGTCGGCCAACTAGTTTGCCACCTCTCCAACACCCAGCCACAACGCTACACAAGAATAGGCCACATACTGAATTTGTCACTCATGGTGAATTATCCGTCAATATTGTTGCTGAAGGGGAAATTGACCCGAATTACCTTGTGCCTGCACAAACCAATGCTGGGGATAGTCTAGCACCTTCCTCATCCGTCATGAATGTGGACCACGTCCCACTCATTCCTGCCCCACCACTCCTGACCACACACCGAAACTTACAGGCTAAAGTAGACGAACTCGAGGACAAAATACGCCACTGTAGAACGCGAAAACAAGCCATTGCTCAGGGTCAGCCCCTTCAAGGGGAAACCATGACAGAGGACGCTCTTGATCAGACCATTGCACAGTACCTTCGTGTCCTTGCTGAACTCAAGGTCACTTTGAATGGAGTGCGTACCATCTACATGAGTGCTGCCACTATCCCCAGCATTCTTCAGTTTGGTGCCCATGTGATTGCCTACCAAATTACGCTGATTGAATCCGCTATCTTTAGTGCTATTCCACCACTTGCATTACTTGAACATTCATCCAAGCATCCTCATCCACGCATTGTGGCCTCAACTGACTTCTTTAACTATATCACTCGGTGTATCGAGCATGCGGTATTACTACCTCAGGAAGCATCTTCGCGTGCTCAACTGATTCATTATTGGATCAAGGTAGCCTCTCGTTGCTTTGACATCAATAACTATCAGACACTAAAAGCGATTATTTCGGCACTCAATACTCCGCCTGTACAACGCTTGAAGCGAACATGGGCTTATATTCCCAAAAAGAGCTCCACCAAATTAGAGGCTCTAAACGAACTCATGTCTGAAGCCAACAATTATGGCCATTATCGTGAACATATGGGTATGGTCAATACAGCAGTAGTGAATGGTAAGAGTGTTCAGTCGATTCGGGACGAACATTTCTCTCGTCCCACAGTGCCCTTTTTGGGTACATTTATTCATGACATTACTTATCTGTTGGCTGCATTCAAGTCAAATCCACAAGGCGGTCAACCCGAGAATGAGCCTCGTATTCGTGAAGTGTTACAGACAATCCATCGATTCCAGACAGGACCACGTTATACGCCTAATTTACCGAGTTCGTTCTTGAAGTCCTCTCAAAAGCATCATTTTAGACCTGCATTAAGTAATGCATTGCATCGTGGTGCTTCTCGTATTCAAAGGTTTAGCGGCAGTACATTGTTTGGCTTTGATTCTTCGGGTAACAGCACATCAAATAATAGTAGCTCTACCAATCTTAGCCATCTAAATGTGGATTCAACAGTGGATGATGACGATAACAATCTAGAAGAACAACAAAAGATGGCGACGCAGTATATTTTGATGCGTTCTTGGGTGAGTCAGAATACCGTGGATGAACTCAGTCATTTAAGAGAACCATCAGCACCAAAGAACAATACTAGTTTATACAACACAAGAAGCAGTAGTAGTAATGCAGCGAGTATGCATCGTACAAGTTCTGTCTTGAGTAATACAAGTCGATTTAGTACAGGCAGCACGTCGCTCAACACGGGCGAGAATAATAGCCGACCTACAAGTATGGATGAAGAGGAAGAAGAGAAGCGAAAGAATGGATTCTTTGCCCAATTTAGAGGACGTCCAGTCACAATTCATGAAGGACTTGAAAGAATGTCGCATACTTCTGATTCTTCAAGTCTATCCAGAGATGACTCAGATCCATACCAAATGGACAGTAAACGAACAACATGGAATGGTGGTCCTCCTTCCAACCAAGCACCCGTTGTACCTCCTCGTCCTCTACCTAAACCTCCTTCAACGCCCTCACAAAATGACGAATTCAAAGCAGCTTTGGCTCAGAGATTAGCGCAAGTGTCTGAGAGATAGACTTTTAATTATACCATTTTATTAAAGTTTCTTGTCTAAAAACGACTTCCAAAATAAGAATGTAAGATTGGGTGAGCATACACATAGTGTTTTATATATGGTTGCATGAATGTGATAGGATTATCAAACTGAAATCCCCAAGACAAGAATCCATGCGCAATGTAATAAAACGACACATAACCCACCGCTGCAGTCCAGACATGTCCTGACAATTGCATCCAACTAGACCGTTTGAGTTGGCTGGGTATCAACATGGTCTTGATGAACTGTTCAATGATGACAGCAATACCATGTCCTATAAAGAAAATGCACTGTTCTCCTTTGAATACACGGCTATAAAGACGCCATCCCAAATTAGCAGCCACTGCATATTCATGCATAAATGCAGATGCTACAAAGACTGAAAGAGAAGCTGCCATAAAGGCGATGGGTTTGGGGTTCTTGATACGCTTGGTTAATAGTCGCATTAGAAGAAGACGAACGGGTCGAAAAGGAAGAGTAAGCCAAGTGGTTTTGAATAGTTGATGCCAGCGATGAGACCAAAGATCATTCAGTGAATTGGCGAGAATTGGATTTTTCATCAAGGGACGCCATTGCTCTGAAGACCAAGAACCATGTTCGAAACAAAGACAATAAAATAATTGAAGGCTATAACCAATGACATTAAATGCACTATTGAGAACGACAATACAAGTCAAGACATAAATAAAGTAAGTGACAGGTCGCTCTTGTTCCATAATGACAATCTCTTGGCCTGTAAATGAAGTAGCCCAGTTTGCAAGCAAGTCAGTGATGAAGAGATGGATAAGCAAATAAAATAAAATATGATAGAATTTCTGTCCAATGCATTAGTTTCATCTACGAACTTCTTTTCTTTTTTTTTTCTTTCTTTCTTACTTTGTCTTTAGCATATGCCTTTGCCTTATCTTGTTTGTTTTTTTCGGGGAATGTGCACAAACAACTCCAAAATTCAATCCAGAGTGATTCAAGGGAAGCATATACAGGCTTGCCTTGAATAAGAGGACCTATCCAATATAATTCAAGGTGTCTAAGAAATAAGTTGTAGCTGGTTACGCTTGCCGTCAAGTCAAATACTGTCAAAGATGGTAAGTACAACAAACAAATGAGATATAAATACCTTTATTGCCGTTCGTAAAGCCAAAAGGTATAAGAAAGACTGCCAAGAGTAAAGGGACTGACAAGCATTGCTTAACCCAACTTGGTAGTTTGTTGTTTGGTATAGCTACGATCGCGGCTAATAAAATACTAGGTGCTACTAAAAGTAGTGGGTAGACATAGCTGGGTAGAATTATTCTATTTTCTCCACCTGCAAAAATGTCGAACATTGACAGAAGAAAAAAAAATAATAAAGAAAAAAAAAGGAGCAGAAGGAAGTTGAAATTATGAAATCATGTACACAGAAAAAAAAAAAAAAAAAAAAAAAGATCCGTGCACGCCTAGTAAACAGACTTTTTTAAAAAAAAAATAATAATGAAATCATTCGAGTTTTTTCTTGTAAACAGCTCTATGACTGTCATTGTCGATTGAAAAAAGGAAGCTATGACTGTTTGAGTTTCGTCACTCATGTTCTTTTTTGGAGAAACAACACATTTAAAACCAAATTCATATGAACATGATGCTCATCGTCACACTATAGAATGAACATAAAAGAAGACATAAATATAATAGAAATGCAGAATGTTGTTTTCTATACAAACAGACATGGTTTCCATTGTATTTGCAGTTATAATGATCAATTACAAGTGTATCTACAAACCAAAAAAAGTGAGTCAGAATATAAAAAAAAATTGACTGTCGTGCAAGCGCTACACAAAATAATTTTGGCTTTAATTACCTTTTCTTTTTTTCTGCCCTGGTCTTTCTTCTTTCTTTCTCTCTTTGTTTGCATTAAATGACACCATCTTCACCTATTTCGCCTTCTCCGCTTCCTCCTCGGAGACCTAATAAAAGTAAATTGAGAACACTATCGACAACGAATCATGCTTCCTCAACAAATTCTTCTAATTCATCCCTCAATTCAACAGATATGCTCACAGAATCACCAGTAGAACAACGTCCTATCTATACAAGTCGATTCAAAGAACACTTCGACGATATTTCAACACAGCAAATTGATCTGATCAGCGACATTGTCCTGCCTCCTAAGCCATCCGCAAAACGCCCTTCTGCATTAACACTATCGAAAAGTACAACGTCTGTCATTTCACCTCTGTCTTCGCCTTCTTTTTCAAACATCAAAATGCCTCGAATGACTCGAGCCTCTGCCTCTACAACACAATTGCTTACACTGAAAGATGAATTGGATTTACCGCCCGACCATCTTTTTACAACGACCACAAAACGTGTCCCAATGGGTGCATCTTTGTCGACGCCACATGCATCTAGTCAACATGTTTCATCACGAAAATTCGGAAGTAATGGCTCCGTTTTGAGCATTAATACCAATTCATTCAAGAGCAATCACAGCAACCATAGTCGATCTACTTTAAGCATTAGTTACAATCGTGCTGATATTCTGATTACTCGTCTTGAGGGATGGTATCAGTTCCTGAAATCAGTCACAAATTGGATTCAAGATGTCTCTAAAATTAGTTTACAAAGCAGCCGTGGCTTCTTTCAACGCGCCTATCCGCATTTGGATGGATCTGCTGCATTTACAACAACAACAACAACAACAACCACTGCATCTCCCCAAGTAACACAGAATGTAAATCAAGCTATTTTGACTGTCCAAGCTGGATTTCAAGTATTGACTATGCAAATTGCTGCTGGACAACAAGAATTCAGTAAATGTTTAGAACGTGATCATTTAGCTGCACTCATGAAGTTGCGTAAAGAAGTCAAGGAAAAGATACAAACATTAAGAAATGATCCAGCATTGGCTATGGATGAATTGTTGAGGCGTGCTGAGGTGACACGAAGTAAAATGATGTATTTAAATCAATGTTGTAAACAAGCAGACAAGACAAAAGGGCCTATTGAAATGGATCCTTGGCTAGCCAACATGCGTAAGTACAATGGAATATATGGGAGAGATTTTGCTTATGCGTCTATACGTGTAGTGGTTTTGAGACAGTTGAAAAGAGAGATCGATGAAGAAAATCGTTTGAGACTTCTTATGATTCCAATTCAACAAGATGTCAAAGCATTTGAGACACGACTGATAAATACAGTAAAACCAGCTATTCGTTACTGTTATCAAAAGCTGGCACCAGGAGCATGGGATGGTTCGGCTGACAAAGATACAACTCCTTTTCGACATTTACTCGAAAAAATTGTACCTGATCATGAATGGGAACAGTTTGTCAAAGCGCATAAGAAAGAACTTGTGGATGAAAAGCAGCCATCCAAAAACTACCTTAGGATTAATTATCCCAACAAACTGCATCCTTCCGTTATGACATTGTGGAAAGGAAAGATGGAAAGAAAGTTTGGTGTTCGAAAGCAATTTACAGAAAGAACATTTGTCTTGAGCCAAGGTAATAGTTCCTAGAGATAAAAGTGTATTCAGCAATTATTATAGGTGGCTATTTGCATCAATTTAGTTTGGACAACAAAGTCATGCCTGAGAAAACGTTTTATATTCCTACATGTACAGTAATTCCTTCTATTGACATAAATAGTTTTCAAGGAAAGAAAAGTGTGTTTGCAGAATATGGATTACACGATACCAGCAATACATTTGAAATTTGTCGACCTGCTAACAACGTATTGCAGCGAGACAAGATTTCAGTGTTTCGTACGTCTACTCGAGAGGAATTGATTACTTGGTGTCGTATGCTGATTCATATTGCTAGTGGTCTCAATATATCCTCTTTGAATACTCAAACCGCTTCGACTGACGATTCCTTATTATTAGACTCTGACACTAAAAGCAGCATCACAAAGTCAGATTCATCTACTACCAAAGAATACACATACACTTCACCTGCTCGTAGCTTCAAGTCAAGCATGACAGAGGAATCATTCAGTGATCTCATTGTCCCAAACAAGATACATTATGAAATTATACCAGAATCTTTAGCACAGTCAGCAGTCATTGAAGAGGAGGAAGAAGAGAAAGAAGAAATGCATACAGATGCTGAATCATTTGTCACTGCTCAATTTGATCGCCTGAATTTTTATCATAGTGATAGTGACGAACATAATGAAGCTGTAAATGATTATTTTTTACATCAAAAAAGTCAACAAGGCATTTTAGATGATGCAGATGCTATCAGTATTGCTTCTACTTCGACTGCTAAAGGCCCTAGTGCAGCCAATTCAGCTGTAAATAGATCGCCTTCGCTTGCCAGCACTCAATTTGATGATGCTCAATCTTCGCTTTACTTTTCATCAGCATCTGTACCACCTTCGCCTTCATTATCAAGCCAATCATCTGTAGTGTCAATACCAGACTTTCATTTGATACCTGAAGCTAGTCATACACCAAGAGATGATACGTCTCTAATTTCTCTAGCCTAGAGATATAGAGCTACTTTAAGCGTAAACAGAGAATAAAAAAAATAGCTTTATTTCGATAGCTGTTTTTAAAGTCGATAGATAAAGGATTCATCTTGTTTGTCAGTCATATCAAGTTGTTCATCATCGTCTTTTTGCAATTGATGAAGCAAGCGAGTCTTATTCTTTTTGAACATATCACGCCTTGCCACAAGCAGGAGTACAATGGATAATAGATCAGCCACTATATAGGTTACAAGACCCCCTATATAGAGAGGCTTTTGATCTTCTCGCATCAGATGTGGGCCTGTAAAACTGCCTAGAGTGGCAAAGATGACGATAGAGATGTTATAAAAGATCTTCTTTGTGTATCCTGACACATTGTTTGTGACCGAAGCAGTGATCATGATCACTGCCACGACAGAAGCGTAGCATAAATAAAGCCCCGCAAGTTTCGCTTGAGGTAATGGGATCACTAACAAAAGAACGAGACCTAGAGCCGAAATGAATAATGAAGCACAAGCAGAGTAATGGAGCGCAGAATTTTTCAAGCGTTGCTGACTTAACAAAGCAATAAAGATACAGCATGAATTTACAAACCCGCTAGGCATACTTAGTAAAATAGCATTCAAATCCTACATCAATAATCAGGGATTCGTATGTATGTGCGCGGAACATGACTTACAGAGAACCCGAACCCTTTTGTGATGATAGAACTAAAGACACCTAATGCCCCACTTTGGAGCGAGACCAAGAATGAAAAGAACATATAACAATAATATCTCCATTCGGTCAATGCTTCTAGAATATGCTCCAGTTTTATCTTTTGAGTGACAAACACATAATTGTCGTTACTACGTGATTCAATCACGATAAACTCGTTTGGTGTTGTTGCAATACAAACAGGATCGCTTATCATGAAAAAGAAACAGGTCGCACCAAACACTACCGTAATACAACCTAAAATTATCATCACCCTAATTTGTTTTTATGAGTAACCAAGGCTTTATTTTTTTTTTTCTTTTACCATTGCCAAGATTTCAAACCCATTACGCCGTTCATGTGTCCAATTCCAAAAGTTAAAATACCTCCAGTTGACATGGCAATTCCTGCAAACACATAAATGAATCCAATACGAGCTGCTTGTTCTTGACGTCGATAAAATCGACTGATTAGCATCACTGTACATGGAAAAACGCCTGCTTCAAATACACCTAAAAAGAAACGAAACGCAAGCAGCTGTGCAAAGTTCTTACCCATTGCTGTGAAACCGAGTACAATGCCCCAAATGACAATTAAAATACCCAAGTATTGATGAATAGGTAATTTCTGTATCAAATAGGCGCTTGGTCCCTATGATCCACAGAGATTAATAAAAAGCCTTCGACTCTGTAAATCTTACTTGAAAGCATAGATAGCCAATGTAAAAGATGGACCCTAGCCAAGCAAACTCTGTATCGCTTAAAGAAGCATCTTGTTTGATTCCCAGAACGGCCGAAAAATTAAGGGCAGTTTTATCAAAGGACTGAGTATTAAACACTGGATTTGTAAACCTTCCTCATGCAATTCATATGGACTTTCTGTGTGTGAGAAAACAATTACCTGTATTAAGTTCAAAGCACATAAAAAAGGCATCAAATATACGTAATCAAACTTCTTCACGAGTCGGTTCTCTATTTGTATCAGTTTGTCACTCTGGTCGCTTGCTGACGATAAATTTCTGACATAAAATTGATCTGTCTGTTCTTTGACCATTGTTTTGAATTAAAAAGCAAAGAAAAGAAAGACAACATACAGATATAAATATCAATAGAAAATGAAGGTTCATAGTTTGGTATCTATCGAAACCCTTGGTTCAAAAACTAAAAACCAAACCTTATTGCTGTCATCAACAAAAAAAAAGGGTATGCTTTTAAAAAAAAACTACTTTTGCAAAATTTGTCATCATGCATTACTTGAGCAAAGCGTTTGCCAATAATAAAGGCTAACTCGATATGTCTCCTATGCACAAGCGGCTAAACAGAATTTCCTTTCAAGAATAGTTTATTTCCTTTATACAAATGCGCGCTTCTTTTTTATTATTATTAATGCTATATGAAAGGTAATGTAAAATATAATAACAATGATGGACAAAAAAATTAAAGACATATGAGTATATATATAAAAGCCAAAGCGGAATGTGTTTTTTATATGTAAATCTTAAAGACGGTATAAGAAGTTTTTGTCTTGGATATCACTAAGGTCGTCTTCCACATGTGTCATGACAACCGTATTAGTTGACAGTCGTTCTCTATTGATCTTGACCATTTGATGTCTAGCAATTAAGAGTAGAAAAATAACAACTACATCAGCTGCGACGTAGACTGCCATGCCTGTAGTATAACTAGGTGCTTCTCCTTCAATCATCAAGAACGGACCACAAAAATTACCAATTGTATAAAAGATCATTGTAGCACCATTGTAAAAGATTTTTTTTGTATATCCAGACACGTTGTTGGAAATAATGGTACATAGCAAGACATAGACAGCAGGATAAGCCCAAGAAAGATAGTACCCTACCAAGCGAGAGTGCAAGTTAGGGAGCGAGAATAGTAACACAAGGCCAATAATGTCTACAATCATTAAGCCAATGGCCGTATAGACTGTCTGCTTGTATCTGTTGACACAGAAGACAGCTATTATGATGAAGACAATATCAGCTACGCCAGTGCCAATACTCAAAAGTACTGCATTCAGCCTCTATTAAAAAATGCGATGTTACATGATGTACAGACAATATAAATAAATACTTACACTAAAACCAAGTCCTACAGCAATCTGAGAATTGTACGTTGTCATAGCGCCGTTCTGCATATTAATAAAAAGGCATGCAAAGCACAAGGCCCAGAACCGAACTTCCTTAAGTGCTTCAATGATTTGTTCTTTTTTGATCATGGTTGTACGAAAAACAGCATTGTCTCTTGTACGTTCTTCTACAAGAATCTCCTGTTCAGCATTAAGAGAAAGTGATGCAGCTTTAGGATTATCGATTAAGAAGAAAAAGCTAAAGATACCAACGAACGTTGTAGTTGAACCAAGAATAATCATCACCCTACAATATTAAATTTAGCACAAATAAATATATATAAAATAAATTTACCATTTCCAACGAGCCAAACCATAAGTGTTGGGCATCTCTTGAATACCGTAAGAAATCAGGCCACCCAAAAACAGAGCGATACCATTACATAACCAAAAGGCGCCTAGTCGTGCGGCCTGTTCTGAACGACGGTAGAAAGTACTGACAAGCAAAGTCAATGAAGGATAGACGCCTGCTTCAAAAAATCCAAGTAGGAAACGCATAGCAGCTACTTGTGAAAAGTTGTTGGCGGCAGCAGTGCATGTCAGAACAACGCCCCAAAGGGTGACAATAATACCTATATATCGTCCCACAGGCATCCGTTGAAGGAGGTAATTATTAGGTAACTATAAGGTTACGATCATGGTTACAAAAACGATCAAAACAGTTAGATAAATTTTAATATTATTTTACCTGATACAAGAGATACCCCAAATAGAAAATAGAGCCAATAAAACTATAATGAAAGCCATCAAGTTGAAGGTCTTCTCTAAAATCCATAGTAGCAGCATAACTGATGGTAGATTTATCCAAAAACTAGGTCAGAATAAAATAAGCATCGTGGTATATATGCTAATTTGTTATATACCTGTAGAAAATCAATTGTACAGATAATTGGTAATAAACAAAGGTCTATTTTTCTAACAAGTTGCTTTTCTTCTGGGGACATTGGAGGTTCTTCCTCATGGTATGTGTCAAAAGTATCTGATCCATATTGATTGCTATTGTATCCATACAACGAATTGTCAGATTGCTTTTCGTAAGAGTCCATGTTCGTATCTGACGCAGGATACGACGTCGATTGTATAGATTTTGTGTCAAAAATGTTGGGCAAATTCAAAAAATAAGCTTTTTTTAGGTAATTATGTATATGTATGTATACAAGTACTGCTACGAATAGATGAAAAAAGAAAAAAGGAAGAAGGGAAAAGGCAAAAATAAAAAAACATACATATATATATGTGATAACTGGTTTGTGACGGAGAGCGTTTTTTTTCGAGTGTAACTGACTTTGGGGTGGAGTAAGAAATATAAGAAGCTTTATTTTTTTTAGGAGTCAATTGAAACTTTGTGTTCTATAAAGCAGAATGCATCAGAGTTTATCCGAATGGAAAAGAGTGACAGAACAAACAATATACATGCATATCTTGGTCTAATTGTTTGCTTCTCTTCTTTCTTGTTTCTTCTCTAGAAGAATCTACTGCTGAATGTTGAAAGTGATCAAGAAGAAAAATAAAAAGAAATGAGACCCTTTTTCTTTTCGTTCTCCGTTTGGATAACACGAATTGCATTTTTCTAAAGAATTTAACCAAAAAGAAAAAGACAATTGAGAAGAAAAGTTTATTGTTCATTTTGACAGTTGAATTGATCTAAATAGCTTCTGTTTCATAAAGCTCTTCTTATCCTCACATACACAGAATAAAAAAGAGAGAGAAAGAAAAAAAACATCAGCTGATCGTCGGCGCCTTGGCTCATTTACTGCAATTACAGACAACGTTTTCATAACATATTATATGTGTGTATCTTTCCAGATACGATTAAGGTTTCTGCCATCTTTCCCATGACCTTTCCCTTATATATCACAAAATAGAGCGTGCCATCTTCAAGAAAGCCAAGAAAGTAAATTTTTTAATGAGCAATATATATTTGTTTGTTGCTCAAGGACTTCATTCATATACAAATACATTACTGAGAACAAATTCACATGCATGCGCAAAGCAAGGACTTACTCCGTTGAAATAGAAAGCCACATAGCTCAGAGAAAGAGTACAATGTACGACTGTTCTCTTTCCGATTTCCTTGCAAATCAGTTATACTCGTACATAATTTCATTGGTCAAGTCGGCTTCTTTCCTCCGATTTTTACATAATCGACCAAAATGGTTATTACACATTATTATTTTATATTATAAAAAAAAAAGATATAACCCTCAGGCAGAGTGTGTTTTTTTTGTGAAAGGGGGTATGTGATAGATGATTACAGAATTATAAAAATTAAAAAGAAAAAAGAAATTAGAGTCTATAAATGAAGTGAGGGTTTTCACGATCTGTCAAATCAACATCAGGATCAACCTTTTGGCTTGAAGGATTGGTCAAACGCTCCTTGTTAGACTTCAACATGATGTAACGAGCAATTTGGAGAAGAACGATAGCAAGGAAATCGGCAACGATGAAACCAATCATACCACCAAGATACAAAGGACCAGCAGAAGCAGACATCATTTGAGGACCAACAAAGTTACCAATGGTGTAGAGAACCATGACAGAACTACTGTAGAAAATCTTCTTGGTATAACCAATCACATTGTTGGCCAAAGCAGTCAAGAACAAAACATAGGCAGCAGCAAATGACCAGCACATGTAAAGACCAATCAACTTGACTTGAGCAACAGGAATGACAAGAAGTAAAATAAGACCAAGGAGAGAGATACCCATCATAACACAAGCAAGGTGAATGGTATTACCGTACTTACGGTTGTACCAGATAGCAAAGACAATGTAAAGACAATCAGTAACACCACTAGGAACAGTAAGCAAGATGGAATTCAAACCCTACAATCAAAATTGGTTAGCATCAATCAATCACGAACGTGTACTATGTCTAACAGTGAAGATACATACCGAGAAACCAAAGCCAGCGGTAATAACAGAACTGAAAGTACCAAGAGCACCATTTTGCATGTTGATAAGAGCAGAGGCAATAATGAAGCAATAGTAACGAGGTTCTTTAAGAGCTTCAACAATTTGACTAAAATTAATCTGTCTTGTGACAACAGTAGCATTGTCAAGACGACGGATATCAACCACCTTTTCTTGTTCAGGAGTAAGACGAAGAAATTTGGATTTGGGCTTGTCAATCAATAAGAAGAAACAGAAGCAACCAAAGAGGACGGTGACACTACCGAGAATAATCATAATCCTATTATCTGTTGTTAATAATCTAACTATACTTGTTCTAACTAAACAAACCATTGCCAAGCAGCCTTGCCACCCACATTTGCCATGTGACCAATACCGTAGCCAACGAGACCACCGACAGCCATAGCAAGACCATTACAGATATAAACAGTACCAATACGACCTGTTTGTTCAGCACGACGATACATTGTACTGATCAACATGATACAACATGGGTAAATGCCTGCTTCAAAGAAACCGAGCAAGACACGCAAAGCAGCCAAATGAGAAAAGTCCTTAGCTTCACTGGTAACAGCAAGAATAATACCCCAGATGGCAATAAGAGAACCGACGTATTTACCAATAGGAAGTTTTTGCAACAAGTAAGTGTTAGGAACCTATATCAGCGTTAAAAAAGATTTTTTCAATATTGAATTGATGTTCTTACTTGATAAACCAAATAACCAAGATAAAAGATAGAACCTAACCAACCGAATTGGGCTTTATCGATATGGGTATCCTCCATAATACCAAGAACAGCGGAATAATTAAGAGCTGACTTGTCAAAGAACTATTTAACAGGATGAGTATATTGAAAATCATGCAGTGTTTAAAAATAATCTCACCTGCAAGAAATTGAGAATAGCAATACATGGCATAACATAGAGGTAATCAAGCTTTCTGACAAGAGACTTTTCAGCAGCTTGCAATTCAGGTGTCATTTCAGTAGAAGTGGCAACAGCTGTTTTCTCGATGTCTTGAGTATCATAGACAACAGTTTGGACATCGTCTAATACTTTTTCTTCATAAGAAAATGTTTCTTCATGCGTATGTTCTTCTTGGTGAGGCATAATAGACAAGAAGATTTAAAAAATAAAGAAAAAAAAGGTAATGTAAAAGGAGAAGTAAAAGAAAAACAAGAGACACCTTGTGTCCTTCTTATTTTATACTTTTTTTTCTATCGTTTCTCGTACAAAAAGATTGAATTGGGAACTTTTTTGCACTACTAAACCTTAAATAAAGGCATTAGGACTGTGCTCTTCCGGAGCTTACAGAGTGAATATTGTTACTGTGTTACTCTTGCAGAAAAAAAAAATTTGGATCGCAAGTGGACTTTGAATCCGACTGTTCTGGATAATGAGAATCTGCTGCATAGAGTAGCATACATCCTAATGTTGGGAATCATACGACTTGAGGAGCGATTTCGGTTATCAAGTTACCTCTTTCATTTTATAGCCGTATAGTTTCAGTTGACCATAAAAAAGTGCCTATAATAACGGCAATAAGAGAATCAAAATAAGGTATGCGCTTTGTCCACACTGATTTGTTTGCTTCAATTGATACGATGCTTTTTTTTGTGTAAACAAGTTTTCAACTCCAAATAAGCGGACTTGAAACGAGCTTTATAACGTGAAAGTACATATTAACCAACCTGTGTTTGATTTACAAATAAAAAACCCTTATTTTCAAAAAAGAAAGGGTTACTGCCAAGCAATTTATGTGTATTAGTAAGAGTAATCAAAGGATACTAACTCCCTTTTTATATAAATGTCAAATCAATTGATTTCGTCAAGTCGGATCGTATGTTTTTTTTATATGTACACAATTTATTAGTTATATATTTATATTGAATATCGGCTGACAATGCTAACTTGAATCTTAATAATCTCGAATGTCGTAAACGCTCTCCATGTAAATAAGTAGCACTTTTTTCAGCTAATGTTGTGTTACCAACATTTCATCCAGTGAATTTAACTCAGTCCTCTTTTTATATGCAAACTAGTCTCGAACTATAACTTTTTTATAAATATTGCTGCAGAACATGTGCTCAGGTGGAACCAAGTAACGTACAATGTAATACGTTAAGAGAGAGAGAGTAACACTTTTTTTTTAAGTCTGAATGATATAAAGAGTGGCTATGGAACAAGACACGCAAACTACTTTCATCTTATATCTCTTCAGTTATGGTTTGATAAATACAAAAGGTCTCTTTAACTTTATATCATCTATGATTGATGTGCACAAAATCAGACAAGATCGGTTGTTTATTTTGACAAGGAAGTTTCAAATCCTTCCATATCACGAACAGAGAAAAAGTAGTTTTTTGATGTCAGTGTTCAAAGATTCATTGTTCTGTCTGCTTAAACAGATATTTTACCAAACAAAACTTAGTAACGTTGCAACAAATTCAATATAGGTCTCAAATCCCAAAATATAGCCTACTCCATCTTTAATCCTTTTTCTATTGCATTCTCTGATTTTTTTGTCAATTGTGTGACCTGACACAAAACCTTGAAGATATTCTTAAGTCCGCCTGAGCCCAATTGCTAAAAGTTTTGAATAGCCGTCAAGCATGTAAAGAATCAAAAGTATCATTTTGATACAGGTGAACGTAAACGGAAAGGACTACAAGCATAAATTAATTAAATTGCTTTGACTTGTTTAGCATTGGCAACCGACTAACATCAAGAGACTTGTATTGTGCTTTGCTGTTTGAATGTGTATCATGTCTAGAAAAAAAAGAGAGATTTCTGGTTTTTCATTATTTACGGAATAGTTTAACAGATTTTAGTAATTATTATTGTTTAATTGTATTAACGTTAATTTGTAGAATGTATATTAAATTGTGAAGCTTAAGATATTATTTTTATACCTGATTATCAGGTAATTTCTTTCTAGGAATATATCAACGTGCTGAGACAATTATCAGTGATCAAGATAAGATTTTATTTCCTGATGATAGATAAGTCACTAGAACGCTTGTAAGCATTGATGCTATGTAAAATAAACTTTTGGGTGTCAACAGGTTTCCCATAGAAACAGTATTATCAATCATAATATGCTCAGTAGGAGATAAGCTAGTTTTATGAATGATGGCCATGCCTTCGCTCTTTGTATCTTGTTTCGATGTCAACTGTTGCGCAGACACACCATTTAATTCAGCTACTACCGATAGACTATCACCTATGGAATAAAAATCGACTTCGATAAAATTCGGTTTCTTTTCGAATTGACTTGTACAGTTTTGAATATGGTCTGCTAAAGATACATGGGCGTTTGTTACATTGGCTTTGGCTTTTGAAGGCATTTCAATTTTGGTAGCACCCACCTCAAAAGAAGCATACAGAAAATGGTTTACGACATACATGAGATCTTTTGGGTTCAAATCTTGGCCTATTCTATCTACTTCGCAATTAAAGGTATCTATATTTTCATAAGGTGTTTCAAACACTTGAGAGAATTGGTCCATCAGCCTGAATATGTCAGTACAATATAAATGTATTCGTATGTCCTACCATGGAACTTGTGTAACATCAGCTTCAGCATCTACGAAATTAACAAGGCGCTGGTTTGCATCAATCATGGTCTGTAAATTAGGCCATGCGTCTGACAAGTTCTGTCGTGTGTAGACAAAAGGCATAATATCACTTGCTTCATAAGCACTTGCAAACTGAGTTGCTTTCATGTTGTATAGATTGTTCCACATGATAGTCACTATCTCCTTAGGGTTTTCTTTTAGCCAACCCGAAATGACATTGAGTGTATCTGTTGCTGGGCCTGCATCTAACATACCACAGATAGTATGGCAAAGCTGGATGATGTTTGGATCAGAAGAAAAAGGCACTGCAGATAATTTAATTCCCCGAACACCATCATTGAGTTGATCTAGAATAGAGTAATCTTGTGTTGCACCCAGACGAGGCGTCAAGGCATACGAGTCATGTGTAACCAAATAAGTTATGTCGCTATAAGGCTTTTGGCAGAGTTCAGGACCACCGTTGCACTCAGACATGACATGATGAATAAGAAATAAAAAAGGCAGAAAATACATAGTTTTTTTCTCGAGAAAGAAAGAAAGAGGAAGAATTTATAATCATCACTCGAGATGATAATTCCGAATTTCTCTAAAGGCAAGAAACACTTTAAGGAGGTTCTTACATATTAAATAAACTTAAACAAAGTATAGGCTTCGACTTGAGCTTTTTTTTTTCCTCGAGAAATAAAAAAAATCATTTGTATAAACATCTCAATAAAGTAAGTTGCAATAAACCCTTCAGTTTTCAATAACAATATATAGAAGGATTGGTCAGTATTTGTCCTATTTGACACTATTGTTCATATGCATGTAGCCAATAATTACGCTTGCCAATGATTTGCACCTGGTGTCAATAAGTAGGGATCAACATCCATACATTTCATATTCAGACCAAGGGACCATTGTAGCACCAAAACCTTGGATCAAGAGAAAAAAAAGGGAGAGCATTGACTAAGCAATTCTATAAAGCATGGAATTACATGAATAACTATGCTATTTAATACACAACACTACTCTGCCTTAAAAATAAAAACAAAAAGAAATAGGCTTTTCTAGTTTACCAGTAGTAATTATGACTGAGTTTTTCTTATCACGTGAGCGCGTGACATTGTTCTATAGCAAATCAAAAGCACACAATGAAAAAAAGTGATTCAACATTCATCAATACATTTTTCTCCTTTTCTTTATCTCTTTTTCTTTCTTTTTCCACTTTTTTTCTTTTCGTATTTTCTTTGACTTGTAAGTATAGAATAACAACAAGAACAATAAAAAAACTAACTTATGAAAAAAGACTTTCCAGAACATCATGGGACAAACGCTTTCTGAACCGATTACTGAAAAAACAACAACTCAAGAAGCCAATAGCAAGTACTTTTATGGTTGTTCTCATATGCAAGGCTGGAGACTTAGTAAATAAAAAGAGATGAGCGTTATGTTCTGGATAGTGTATAGTAATCTGTCTTGACTATTTTAGCTATGGAAGACGCACACACGACTTTATTGAAGCTAGGTGATACGAACGCAAGTTTCTTTGGTGTCTTTGATGGTCATGGAGGTAAGAGAAAGAAAAAAAAGTGAAGCGAGAAACAAACCAAGGTACTTATGTCTATCTTTTTTTTTGTATGAAAGGATCCACTATTGCACAATACACAGGACAAACATTGTATAAAAAGGTACTTGAAAGCAAACATTTTGAAAAAAAGGAGTACGCATTGGCCTTGAAAGATGCGTTTTTGGCCCTCGATAAAAGCTTAATTGAAGGTAAAGCGTACGTGTCATTTACGTGTTTCTTAGTTTTATTGACGTCATGATTATAGATAATAATTTTGCCTATGACCCTTCTGGATGTACTGCTGTTGCTGCCCTTGTCACTGAAGATGAACGTATCATTGTGGTAAAGGGAAAAGGCTTGCAAAAGAAAGAAAAAAGACTAAGAAAAAAATGTAGGCTAATGCAGGTGACTCAAGAGGCATATTGAGCATTGATGGCAAAGTAAAGCCACTCTCTTATGATCATAAGCCTACAGATGAAGCTGAAATGGAAAGAATTGTCAAGGCTGGTGGCTTTGTTGAATTTGGTCGCGTCAATGGTACGTAGATAATCATCATTTTCAGTCTATTTTATTTACATGCTCCAAAATAGGTAATTTGGCTTTATCACGCGCTATAGGTGATTTTGAATTCAAACAAAACGATTCTCTCCCAGCAGAAAAACAAGTTGTTACATGTAAGTGTGTACCTGAATTTCTGAACATGTTTACCATGGCAACGGAAACCATGGTAACCGTATCTTGTTTCGGTACTTAACACTTCATTAGGTGATCCTGATATTATTGACCATAAGATCACAAAGGATGATGAGTTCTTTGTTTTGGCGTGTGATGGTAAGTCATTAGAAAAGTATGCCATTGTCTTAATCTACAAATAAGGTATTTGGGACTGCATGTCGAACCAAGATGTGGTTGATTTTATACGTTCAGGCATAGCAGAAGACAAAACACTTGAAGAACTTTGTGAAAGTATCATGGATAATTGTTTGGCAGACGATCAGACATCCAGTGGACTCGGTTACGACAACATGTCAGTGATGATCATTGCCATCCTTAATGGCAAAACAAAAGAAGAATGGTACCAATCCATCAAAGAGAAAGTGTTAAAAAGTAAAGCAAGCACAAATCATACCAACAACAACATTCAGACAAAAGAAAATGATTTGACAACATCTACAACAGCAAAATAAATTTAATATGTACTTTTTTCTTTTCTTTTTTTTTATTTTGTCTTTCGCTTTCGAATAATAAATTAAAATATACATTTAAACTTTTTTGTGATACGGTTTCATTCTTTGCTTACATTCTTTAATTAAAACAAGTTGTTTGAGTATGCATGCTGCTAGAGAGAATTCAAGCCACGTTGTTTTAGAGAAAAAAATTTTTTTAACTTGTACCCCCATTAAACTATTTTTCGAATTCTCCTTTTTTTCATCTTGACTGCACAAATAAAAATAAAGATTAAAAACCCAACTACACAAAGGAATTCTTAAATAAACATAAAGAACAAAAAAAAGCTTATTGTCGTAAGCATGTGAGTTTATTGTTCTAAAGAGTTCTATCTGAATAGAATCGGAGTTGTCGTTTGCGTTGAATGCGATCCAAAAAAGTAAATAAATCTGTCATATAGAATTATCAAGGGTCTTTTTTAAGTTTTAAATAAATATAGAATTTAAAGTTAACAAATTAAAATTTAGTATACGTGTATTTTCAGGTACAAAAATTCTACACGGATTGAAAAGCAGTAATTTAAAAAAAGAAAAAAGAAAGCATGTATCTTGTGATGATTTCATTCTGATGGCATCATCATTTCACGTATTTTATTTTTGCCGAATTCTATTAAAACTCGTTATTAATTATATGATTTTTCGGAGATAACTTTAAATTATGATGAGTAAATGATTCTAACAATGTTATTTGTTCTCTGGATTGACATGATAACGAAGAACACAAAAGCAGCAATCTCGAATTCTGACGATAGTATTAAAATGAAGCCATTCCAGTACGTTTAGACAAATTGCCAATTCATGTATAAAGGGGTTATTCCCGCCAAAAGAGTGAATTTCAAGGGAAAACATGGTCCAGACTTTATACAATAACATTAGAAGTTTAAAGAAACTCAATCATTTTTTTAGTGTATTACAAAAATAAATAGGTCGTATGTAATGACATCAAGAGAAGGCAAGAATCGCGATAAAATTGAATTTCCCGATCCAGGCTTATTTGTCCCCTTTTTTCTATCTTGTCTCCCCCAAGAATGTCTACTTTCTCCCCTAAAATTTTGCATGAAACACTTTTTTTCGCGGTTTTCATGACATAAAGTGCTGATCATGAAAATAAAAAAAAAAAGTTTAAAAAAAATTCTTATTTCTATTATAAATACCCACTTGTTTTTTAGTAGAAAAAAATAATTTTCTTTTCCCTTCTATTTCTACTATATATACACACACACACATTATGGAGACATATCATGGATACATTAAGACATCTCAAGATGCTTTAATCATATTCGAAGCATGCAGAAAATCACAACTCATCCGTGTACAACGTAGACTTTCATCTAAAGAACGAGTTCAAATTCGGTCTGGCTCTGTTTTTGCCTGGGATGAACGAGAGGCTGGTATGCGTCGTTGGACAGACGGTCGCACTTGGTCTCCTAGCCGTGTCTTAGGTAGCTTCTTGACCTATCGAGAATTAGATAGCAAACGCAGACCACGCAGACTTTCTAGCCTTAATTACAGCAAAGCATCTTCCTCATGCTCATATAAACAAGATGGTCTCATTAAACAAAGTTTTTCTATCTGCACAGCCAATAACCAAAAATTGCACCTCATTTCCTATTATTCTAAATCAGACGTTCTAGCTGGCCGCTTAACACAACCTACTCAAGACCCTCTTTTGAGCGATATCCATGTACCCAAGGGCCTCTATCCTGAACTCAATCCTTTAGACACAAGTGGTGGCCATTCTGCTACACTTCACAACATGAGACAACAACAACATGAATTAATATCGCCTGTTCTATCTTATAAAGACGACGACGATTCCTTACCACCTTCACTCTCTTCTTCCCCAAGCACACTACAAGAAGACATTATTATGACAGATTTATTACCCTCCCCTCAATCAATGTGCTCCTCTGTTTCTTCTTTATCATCCTACCATTTCCAACAAAAACATGTTGGCTCTCCTTTTCTCACACCCAGTTCTATTCAGTTGCTGCCTGCTCAGGACATTGCCTGGGAAAGGCTGCCTTCTACAGAAGATCAACGTCAACTTAGAGCGCTTTATGGTTTATTAAAACTTTAAATTTTACTCCTTTTTCATTCTCATTCCCTTTTTTATACATATATGATTTTCATAACCTATAGACTTTTAAAACACCTGTACACACACGCACACATATAAACACACCACATAGATGATACACATTAATGCACACGCATATATGTTTATGTAAACAACATTCATTATTATTATTATTATTATTATTATTATTATTATTATTATTATTATTATTGTTTTCTGTATTAAAAATAAAGAAAAAAAGTGCCTAAAAACACTTTTAATATCGCTTAAAAATTTTTTTTTGGTAGAAAGTTATGACCCCCCTTAAAAAACAGTGCACAAGAATGCGTTGTACTTGTCCCCCCCCATCTCTCCTTATTTTGGACTGATGTTTAAAATACCCATACATACCCATGAACTCTATAGACATTGTCATCATGGTGTCATTACTTTGTAACAGAGAAAAAGTCTGAGTTTATTATTATATATACAATCTAGAGCTTAGGACCAGCAGCCAAGGTTTCAGGAGCAGCTTCATCTTCATATGTCTTGAAGTTTTCAACAAACATTTGACCAACATTGCGAAGAGAAGCATCGAATTCTTCAGGAGTACCTTGCCAAGCAGTCTTAGGATTCAATAGTTCGGAAGGAACACCTGTGACAGCCTTGGGAATTCTCAAACCAAAGATAGCAAGATCTTCATATTCAGCTTGAGCTAATTCACCACTATGGATAGCGTCCAGAATGGCACGGGTATACTTGAGAGGGCAACGCTTAGCAGTAGCAGCAGAACCACCGATCCAGCCAGTGTTAATCAACCAAGCATCTGCCTTGTGTTCAGACATCTTTTGAGCCAACATGGTGGCATAACGTTGAGGATGGAGGACAAGGAAAGGAGCACCGAAACAGGCAGAGAAGGTAGCTTGAGGTTCAAGAATACCGTCTTCAGTACCGGGCACTTTGGTCGTGTAACCTGAAATAAAGTGGTACATGGCTTGTTCGGCCGTCAATTTGGAAACAGGAGGCAAGACACCAAAGGCATCACATGTCAACAAGATGATGTTTTTAGGATGACTACCCATGCAAGGGATCTTGGCATTGGGGATGTGGTAGATGGGGTAAGCACAACGTGTGTTTTCAGTCAAAAAGTCATCAGAGTAGTCTACTTGGCGGGTCTCTTCATCAAGCACGACGTTTTCGAGAATAGCACCGAAACGAATAGCGTTGAAAATATCAGGTTCCTTTTCAGCAGACAAGTCAATGCACTTGGCATAACAACCGCCTTCGATGTTGAAGATACCATCGTCTGACCAACAGTGTTCATCATCACCAATCAATAAACGCTTAGGATCAGCAGAAAGTGTGGTCTTACCAGTACCAGAGAGACCAAAGAAGAGAGAAACATCACCATCAGGACCTTCATTAGCAGAAGAGTGAAGAGAGAGGACGCCAGCCTTGGGCATCAAGTAATGCATGACAGTAAAGATCTATATATGTTTTAGTATCCTCGTCAACATAGTGGATGAGATTGACTTACACCTTTCTTCATTTCACCGGCATATTCTGAACCGAGAATGACCATTTCATTGCGCTTGAAGTTGACCGAGACAGATGTGGTTGAAGTCATGCCTGTGGTATAACGATTGGCAGGGAATTCACCAGCATTGAAGATCGTGAAATCAGGAGTACCAAAGTTTTCAAGTTCTTCTTCAGTAGGACGAATCAACATGTTGCGCATAAACAAAAGATGGTAAGCACGAGAAGCAACAATGCGGACCTTGATACGGTACTTGGGATCCCAACCGGCAAAACCATCAAACACATACAAACGAGGACGAGTGTTCAAGTAATCAATGGCACGTTCACGGTTAATCAAGAAGACCTTTTCAGAAATGGGTGTGTTGACTGGACCCCACCAGATATCCTTTTGAGACGTTTCTTCTTCAACAATACGCTTGTCCTTGGGAGAACGACCTGTCTTCTTACCCGAGTAAGCACAGAGTGCACCAGCTGATGAAATGACAGTGCCTTGTTCATAAGTCAATGCTTGTTCGTAAAGAACAGCGACCGAGGGATTACGCATGATAGTGACCTAAACTTACTGTCAACACCATGGCTTCCTTTTTTTTTGCAGAAGGCGCTTACCTTATCATAGTCAATACCAGCATATTCATGAAGATCTTCTTCCACTTTTGTATGAACAGAATTTGAACTAGAAGGTCTATAACCAGTGTAAGGAGAACCAGGTCTTGAAGTAGCTACCATTTTATTGAATTGAATTGAACAATAATAAAAAAGAAAAAAAGAGGATAAAGAACAAAGGCTATTTATATGTTGTTTTTCATGCAACCATTTTCACAAGCTTGTGAAGATCCTTGATTCCGGAACAGTGTCAAACTGTCCATGTTTGTGGAGAAAGTTCGGAAAATGCCGGAAAGCCACAAGGGCTTGTTGAATATGATTTCTTCCCTTATTTGCCCGTCTTGAGCAAGACGCATGTGACAATATGTTTCCAACACCATTTTTTTTTTATGCAATCATGGTATTATACCCAAAACAAAGCTTTATTAATATACGTTATCAAGCGCCAATTTCGGCTTGATTTCTCTGCCATAAGCCATAAGGTTTAGTAGGGTCTGTTTGCCATAATCGAATTGTGCCGTCCTCTAATAAATTCATCAATGTTTATTCTTATTGTTTTTATTTGTATTACCTGAACCAGTTGCATAGATTTCACCATCAGGACTATAACTCACGGTATGAATAGGGCCATGGTGACCCTTATAGACCTCTAACATAGACTATGAATAGGCTGCTTGATAATGATGATTTTACCTGACACATCGCCTGTATGAAAATCATAAATTCTGACCCATAAATCCTCGTCACTACCAGCCACGAATTTCTCATGATTTGGGTGAAGGGAAATAGACGATGTCTTTTCTTGAGTGACAATGGTCTTCACATCTTCCACTGGACTAAGCATCACAATGTCAAACACATCTCAAGACAGCTTTGGCTTACCTGTCTGGTTGCCAAAAGTTGGCTGTCTTTCCAGCTGCCCAGGTTAAATATTGACCATCAGCAGAGAGTGTCATGGTAGAAATAGCATCTGAACATGTCTGAATTGTACCACTTTGACGCATGGTACGCAAGTCCCAAATACGCACTGTAGCATCTTCACCAGCACTCAAGACAGCATGACGGCTTTCATCCCATACAACTGCCTTGATCGTGCCTTCATGACCCAATAATTCCATGGCAGGTGCATCTGGTCGATAGAGATCAAAAATACGTAATTTTTGTTCTTTGCCACCTGTCAAAATCTTGGTGTTGTCTGCATTAAAGTCGGCTGCACGTACAATATGATCATGGACAAAGGAATGAAGAACTTGACCTTGACGTGTATCCCATACTTTGGCACTAAAATCAGCCGATCCTGTTACTGCTCTTTCTGAATCTCTGGATAATCGAGCACTCCAAACAGCGCCTTTGTGGCCTTGAAAAGTGCCTATCCAATCCCCTGTAGCACCATCACGAAGCATAGGGTTACCGTCTTTTTGTGTTAGTTGGATGCATGACTTTTATATTTTACCTTTGCAAGCAGATATTAAGTAATAGTTGCCATCAGGCGTAACAGGCGAGAATTGAATATCGACAACAGGACGCGTATGACCTGAACAGGTCAAGGGGATAATTCGGTTGTTGTCTTTGGTATTTGAAGATGTGCTCATTATATATTCACAAAGTCGTTATTGTTTCGTTATTATCGTATAAAAAAAAAGAAAAAAAAGAAGAGATATATATATATATATATATAAAGAGAAAAAGAAAGACTCGTATTTGCCTTCAATAATACAATATCTTTTTTCTCGTTTTATAAGGAACAAGAGTATCTCTCTTTTATATTAAAAAAAGGATAAAAAAGCTGATACCTTTTGCCCCTTCTTTTTTTGTTATTTGGCTTACATACACGAAAAAACGCGTCATATTTTTTTCTTTCTTTCTTTTTTGTTATTGATGCATATCCATCATGATGAAACGCTGTTAAAAGAGTTGCAAGCCAAGATTGACCAAATACTCAATGATGAGTTATTAGACGACGTACCTACCTTTCCTACAATCGAGGAAATTGAAGCGTTAATTGCAGTTGAAAAAGGTCAAGCCTATAATATTAAAATTGAACGAGACCCTTTACCTCCTCTTTGTAACTTTCGTGTTATCTAAAGCACTAACTCTAACTTCTAAATGTAGATATCATTGTACGACAGTCTTCTACAGTGAGTGATATCAAAGGCTTGATAAAGACTCAAGTAGAACGAATGGAAAAAGAACAAACAGGACGTATAAGAAAGATTAGTTGGTAAAAGAGAGCAGTATGGTATAAGTCACAGGTAATTCATTATTCATAGGAAATCAATATGGCATTCACATTGTCTTTTGTTTGAGCAACACTTATTGCTTCAAGATCATGTTGCTGTAAGCCAATTGGGCATAAAGCAGAACAGTGTCCTTAAATTCTCTCGTTTGGCCCATGAAAAGGGACATCATCGTAAAGCAAGACGCCATTAAGCTAGAAATTGAGATGATTGTGTATTTTCTTTATATATATATACAAGAGGCTATGTTTAAAAAAAACATGTATTAAAGACCATGTTTATGCAAAAATTATATTTTATTTATATGGTTATGAAGACTGGGCCCTATAGGGTAAATGTCTAACCATCAGTTCAGAGAAAGGGGAGTGCAAAAAAAAAACTATAGAAAAAAGGACAGGAAACATAGACGATGAAGTACTAAAGTGTAAAAGATAAAAAAAGAAAAAATAGAGGTGCATAATAGGCGTAGAAACATGACCGGACGAAGGAGAGAATCAGCTGCTTATCTGTACTGGATAAAGCGAGGGTATTAGCCAAAGGAGGAAAGTCATACCAGAGGTATCTTTTTTTTTTCGTTTGAGAAAGTCTTGTCGGGAAGATCCACGAGTTCAATTTCAAGCAAGAGTCAACAAATGGTTGACCACCAATTTGACCACCGTGTGTAGCGGTCAAGTCTTTGAGCTTGTAGGCATGGTGGGCGTGGTATTCTAGGCAATTGATTCAGGACATAATCAATTGGGTTAGGCTGTATATCCGCTGGTAATCGCAAGCGTTCAGCAGCGCGCATGCAACGGAGTACATGTCTTCGGCTGATAGGTGATGTGCCACTTGTGATACAGTCATACCTGTGAAAATTGTCGGTTTTTAAAAAACATTGTCGATTACTAAAAAGAGATTGTCGATTATAAAAAAGGTAATTGTCAAAAACTAAAATATAATTGGCGGTAACTTAGAAATTCATTGTCGGCAACTAAAATAAAAATGTCGAAAAAATAAAATCTATTTGTCGGTTCTACACTGAGATAATTGTCGGTTTTTTCGACCAACTTGTCGACGTAAGGACATGTTATTTTTTTTTAAAAGGTGGTTTTATTGTTAAGAACTCCATTACAAGCGTCAGCAATTCTAGACGATAGATTCTCTTCATTCATCAATCGGTGGCGTTTCAATTTGCCCTTCACGATTGCCCAAAACTGCTCAATAGAATTTAGTTCAGGAGAGTACGGGGGAAGGTACATCACATGGTAACCTTTGCTTTCAATCTTTCTTTTCATTGGATTCGATTTATGTATGGAAGCATTGTCCATAACAATATAACTTCCCTTTAAGCTCTGAACAAGGTCCATTACATCTAGCAGTTCATTCATAAACTTGATGAAGTGGGCGGTAGTTGTGCTTTTTGATGCAGGTTTAGCATTGTCGACAATATTCTCATCCTCTTCTACATTTGTTTCTTCATTAACAATCTCGGAGGCTGCTCGTTTCTTGCCATTGTTGATCCTTTTAATCTTTTTATTCTGAGAGCTTCTATCGGATTTAGGTGGTGGCTTTTTCAATACTACATGAAGTATACTAGAGACATGAATTGCGCCAACTATTGTATGGGATGGTGACCTTGATTTTGGCACATGGACAATGGCAGGAGTTCCTCTCACTGATCTTACCCAACTGTTTCGCATGTTAATACTGAAGCCTGCCTCGTCTATAAACACACAGTTCTTTGTGTAATCTAGATTTGTATCTTTTCCATTCCATAAACCACTGATACCTTGTATTCAAGTTCTCAATAGAATTTCTTTTTTCGGCCTCAAATGTAGGTCTCTTTACACTGATATGCATGTTGTTCTTCAAATAGTGATTTAGTCGGGATACAGAGATCGAAAAGCCTTCAAACTGCGTAGTCAAGTCATCTATGATATCTTCAGTAACGTTTTTTTCAGAGTCTTTAGCCACAGGACGACAAGTGATCCGCTTGACTGTCAAGTTATATTGATCTTTTATGAAAGTGCCTACGTACCTGAGACTCTTTCAAACTGAAGTCCTCGAATGTTGCGGTAAGGCTATCAACGGCATTCGTTCTTGTTGCTTGAGGTTGCTCATCGAAAAGATGAATCAGGGAATACTTATGCTCTTCCTGTAGTTGAGATTCATCACGATTGACTTTGTTCATAAGCTTGCCGTATATATCTCATTCTGGATCATTGTCCATTCGCTTTACCCATCCCTGAGCTGTTCTTGCGTTGATTCCCGCTCGTTCTGAAGCAGGATTGAAAAGCAACATGGCTCGCTCAAGAAAAACGTACAGCTTTTATATATTTGCTCAGATTCAAGTTTTTGAAGGCAAAACCTGTCATGATAACATCTACTTTTTCTGGATCATGAGCACTTTGTTCAAAAATAAACTGTTGTGTACGCCATATAATTATTTATTATCAAAGGTATAGCAGCGTTTTATTACCACATAAATGAGTGTTGTAAATATTTACAACTATTTAAAAGCAATTGATGAACGTAACTTTTTTGGTTTCTTTATATTCAAAATATTATGAGTATTTTGTTGTTGAATAGACATTCTCTTCCTCGATTCCTTGTGAATGTCATTTGCCAAGACACAGTTTTCTTCGTAACAAACCATTATTTTTTTGATTTCATCAAAATGCATGACGAACTGGGGTAATTCAGATATAGATTTCGGGACATTAAAAGAGTATAGTTCTGTAAGCAAATAGAGTCCAGTGGCTTCAAGAGAGAACAGATAAATTGTAACATAATATCCTTTATCATAAAAAAAAAAAAGAAGAGTAAACAAAATTGTAGAAAAATTGGTATTTAATTTCAAGCTTACCTACTGCTTGCACAGCAATCATCGACTTCACATCTTTTTTGTCAAGAGTGTCTTTACAGAAATTTACTAATCTCGAAAGGTCCTCATGTGTCTTCAATGTGTCAGAACGACTTCTATCAGGCTTCACCTCAACATATCCAGTAGAAAACTTTATCCTCCGTTGTTCTAATTCAAATACATTACCATCAGGCCTTAGAGATTCAGTATCGTCAACACCGGTGTTAAGCCTAATTTGGGAAATAAATCGTCAATAAATGGTATGTATAAAAAGCATCGGATTTTCAATTACCATCGAAACAATCTGTTCTTCTCGGGATCATGAAATATAGGATTTAGAATTGGATCGAGAAAAGTACCAGTAAGCTCTGCTTCTCTTATATCGTCTTCAAGTCGTTCCTGATTTGGTAGTTTATTTAGGCTATTAGATGTAATAATTGAGTATATCAAACGAATTCTAAGGATTAGATCAGTTACCAATTGATTAAAATATCGATCATTTTGTAATCTTTATTGTTGGCGAATTTGGCAATATCATTTATTCGTTCTTTAAATGATCTTCTTTCGGAATTACTGTTTAATCCCTAAAAAACAGATTCTTGTCAATTCTAGAGTGTACACGCAAATGTATCATTTAGCATTGACTTACCCGTAATACCGATACAATACTGCTGAATGTTGTTGCTTCCATTACTGAATTTTTATCAACGTATTTTTGAAGCAAATTTTTGTGTAGAGTATTTAAGTTTTCAAGTCCAAAACTTTTTACTACACTTTCGTCATGCTCATTCTCTTTAAGTAATAATACGTGAGACAAGGACCTAAATAATTGTTGTTAGAAGTATATCTTTATGCTGTTATGAAAGTAATTGAGCTTACAATATTTGATGTAAATCTCCATCGATGTAGAACCCTGACTCTTTTGATTTTTTGTTTGATTCTAAATTGAACTGTCTGAAATGTGTTGATATGTTGAATCCATTTTCAAGAATACAATCGTCGGGTTGTGCTTGCTGTGTCATAATATTTGTTGTTGAATTTTCCTCATTTAAGTCTTCTTCTGACATGGCTTCTTCCGCTGTCGCATTCTCAGGTTCCATATTATCAGGTTGTATATTATTCTATTCAACACAATCAGCACTTGAAAACTTAGTAGTACTGAATTAAAATATGTAATTACTTCTGATCTTTCTCTCAATTGACGACTAATAGTTGTTACTGATGCACCCAACATATTCCAGCTCTCAGTTACTATAGTGTCCTCGGCCTTGGGTGCTGCAAAAAGACTACCCAAGTTCACATCTAAGCCTGGTCCTCTCTTTTTTTTTGCCCTTAACGTTTTGAAACTCCACTTTCATTTTGTGTTGTAGATTTTTTTTCGCGTCCTTTTCAGTATTAAAATGCTTGATATAATTTTACTGAACTTGATAAGATTTGGATACCTGGTTACTTCAATGAATTGTTCCAAAGCTATAATTTTAAATAAGCTTTTTAGTATAGCTATCAAGAAAAAGTTCAAAAACAGGTAAAATCAATTACATTCTACAATGTCTGACATCTTTATCGATTATTTGGTATAACTGAGATGCAAGAAGAAACGTTTCAAAGTAGATAAATAGTTTTCCTAAATTTGGTGACATAAAAGACTACATTCATGGTCCGCCTTAACAGCAATACGTCATAAAATATTATATACTCTATTTTTTTGACCTCTGTTGATAGCATGTAAGTTTCTTTTTTTTTTTTTTTTTTAAGAGAAGGAATCCAACATTGTGCGGTGTACAACTCCTCTGTTGGTAGCATGTAAGCGTCCGTTTCTGCGTCCTTCTTCTTATTTTATTTTATTTTATTTTCTTTTAAGAGAAGGAATCCAACATTGTGCAGTGTACAACTCCTTTGTTGGTAGCATGTAAGCATCCGTTTCTGCGTCCTTTTTCTTATTTTATTTTATTTTATTTTTCGCATACTTGTGGCAATTAGGGAATAGTCCAGTGCTCAACTCCTACTTTGGTACCATGTAAGCGTTTATTTCTGGGTCCTTGTTAAAACCAGCGATGAAGGTATCTGTCAAAATTATTATTCCTACATGTATGATATTGCTCCTAAATTACTAAATCGTGTTCATCACTTTAGAAGCATGATCATGTACAGCCAATTTTGAAAATGGGACAGCTTATTTTCTTCAACTGTATATCTGAAAGCATATTGTTCCTTGTACATTCTGAAGTTGCTGCTTTGGTTCACCTTTCTCTTAAATAACAAATCGATATATCACCACCATAGCGCTTTAAATAATATACTGTTAAACATAATAAATAGATTATATATTCTTATCTGTATTCTTTCTTATGGAACATTTCTATAGTTTATATAGCGGAGAAAACCATATCTATTGATATTTAGCGCTTTTGAGCAATCCCAAATGGCGTACACAACAGTTTATTTTTGAACAAAGTGCTCATGATCCAGAAAAAGTAGATGTTATCATGACAGGTTTTGCCTTCAAAAACTTGAATCTGAGCAAATATATAAAAGCTGTACGTTTTTCTTGAGCGAGCCATGTTGCTTTTCAATCCTGCTTCAGAACGAGCGGGAATCAACGCAAGAACAGCTCAGGGATGGGTAAAGCGAATGGACAATGATCCAGAATGAGATATATACGGCAAGCTTATGAACAAAGTCAATCGTGATGAATCTCAACTACAGGAAGAGCATAAGTATTCCCTGATTCATCTTTTCGATGAGCAACCTCAAGCAACAAGAACGAATGCCGTTGATAGCCTTACCGCAACATTCGAGGACTTCAGTTTGAAAGAGTCTCAGGTACGTAGGCACTTTCATAAAAGATCAATATAACTTGACAGTCAAGCGGATCACTTGTCGTCCTGTGGCTAAAGACTCTGAAAAAAACGTTACTGAAGATATCATAGATGACTTGACTACGCAGTTTGAAGGCTTTTCGATCTCTGTATCCCGACTAAATCACTATTTGAAGAACAACATGCATATCAGTGTAAAGAGACCTACATTTGAGGCCGAAAAAAGAAATTCTATTGAGAACTTGAATACAAGGTATCAGTGGTTTATGGAATGGAAAAGATACAAATCTAGATTACACAAAGAACTGTGTGTTTATAGACGAGGCAGGCTTCAGTATTAACATGCGAAACAGTTGGGTAAGATCAGTGAGAGGAACTCCTGCCATTGTCCATGTGCCAAAATCAAGGTCACCATCCCATACAATAGTTGGCGCAATTCATGTCTCTAGTATACTTCATGTAGTATTGAAAAAGCCACCACCTAAATCCGATAGAAGCTCTCAGAATAAAAAGATTAAAAGGATCAACAATGGCAAGAAACGAGCAGCCTCCGAGATTGTTAATGAAGAAACAAATGTAGAAGAGGATGAGAATATTGTCGACAATGCTAAACCTGCATCAAAAAGCACAACTACCGCCCACTTCATCAAGTTTATGAATGAACTGCTAGATGTAATGGACCTTGTTCAGAGCTTAAAGGGAAGTTATATTGTTATGGACAATGCTTCCATACATAAATCGAATCCAATGAAAAGAAAGATTGAAAGCAAAGGTTACCATGTGATGTACCTTCCCCCGTACTCTCCTGAACTAAATTCTATTGAGCAGTTTTGGGCAATCGTGAAGGGCAAATTGAAACGCCACCGATTGATGAATGAAGAGAATCTATCGTCTAGAATTGCTGACGCTTGTAATGGAGTTCTTAACAATAAAACCACCTTTTAAAAAAAAATAACATGTCCTTACGTCGACAAGTTGGTCGAAAAAACCGACAATTATCTCAGTGTAGAACCGACAAATAGATTTTATTTTTTCGACATTTTTATTTTAGTTGCCGACAATGAATTTCTAAGTTACCGCCAATTATATTTTAGTTTTTGACAATTACCTTTTTTATAATCGACAATCTCTTTTTTAGTAATCGACAATGTTTTTTAAAAACCGACAATTTTCACAGGTATGACTGTGAAAAAAAGAAAAAGCAGATGGCATATAAGATTATAAAACACTTTTTTTTTTTTTTTTTTTTTTGCTTTCAACTGCTCCTTCATAATCTTAGTTGAGTTGCTAGCTTGTTAGTATTGTTCTCTTTTTTCTTTGGTGGTGGCCCTGTATTGTTGTGTTCTGATGCCGTGTTCTAACTTGATGCTTTTGAGGTAAGTTTTCCCTTTATGTATATAAGTATATGCACTGGATCCTGTGTGCTTGTTACAATTAAAGACTACGCTTTTTTGTCAGATGTTATGGCATTTCGATGAGGAATTGTATAGATGTTGTCGCCAGTTAGCAATGACAATGACTGTTCGTTTTTGTAACGGGAATGTCTCTGGAGATCTGACAAAACTGTCAAATTGCAGAAGTTTGATAGGGTATAGAAGTGCAATTCGATTGCCTTCACACAACTGTTCCTGAGAATAACTTCTAAATGAAGTGAAATCAAAGATCGGCACTATTTATTTTTTAGAATGAATACAACGGTACTCTCTTTTTTAAATAAGTATCGTATTTAATATTAACAATATGCAGAACGCAATAACGAGAAACTGCTGTAAATATATGCATATGCTAGGATAGATGAGTTGAATAAATATTATAACTATAAACTCAAACTCTGTGTGGTTAGATATGCCTTAAATGGACTACATAATCTCATGATAAAAGACATCCACAGACAGTGATGCTTAAAGATACCCTCTTTAGCCTCAGAAGTATTATGTACTATTGTGAATCTTACTCGTGCACATTTTGTGCATCAAATAATGTAAGAAGAGGTACCATTTTACTAGTCGATATTCACTGAAAAGGCCGTTTTTCTACCAATTACAGTGTGCAACGAACTTTGAATGCAGATTTGTAAATTGATTTCAAACTGCACTTAAATTCAGCTGAGCAAAGCTGCTGATGAAGATGTATATTTTGGGTATCAATGTTCGTTTATTTCTCTCAAAAGATGTATTTCCGAATAACAAGAGTAACAACAAACGAAAGCAACCCAGCAATCAAAGCATCTAGCCACAAAGGAGGAGCAATAGTTGTACTGGTTCCCATGTTCGTATCCATGGCTATTGGTTCAGGTACGATTTGGGCTCCTTGTACTTGAACATATTGAATGGACGAACTGTTCTCAACTTGATCCAAATTATTCAGTAAACTACTGCATGGGCTACTCTTTGGAGCATGAGTGTTAATTGTATGAGGATTAAAAGAGTAATGTAACAAGTCATACCTGTTATTCGAAATCTTAGAAATTCTTGTTCTAAAACACTTATTGATGTGTTTGATTGAAAAAATCGACTTAGATGAGCTTGTACTAGTTGCTACAATAAGTTTATTATAAATATGATGATGGGTAGACAATGGGCAGGCAATAGACGGCCAAACAGGTAAAGAATAGACCCATAAAAAACATTTGGTCTGCAGTATATACGCCTGTCCTTTTTGTTTGTTCCTATACTCACAGTCGACCTCTAAAGCTGAAATTCTCAAACCATTTTAGGCGGTACCGATAGAGTTAATCTGATAGCCAAATAGTGCCTCATATGGCTCGTATTTAATTTGTCCTCTTCCATATTTGCCTTTCATGTATATTCCCTTGCACCAATCTGTTTTTATCTCGAGCTCAACGATCAATGGCCTCCTGTCCTGATCTCTCCATAGATAAACTAATTTGTTCATACTTTTTTTTTTTCATTGCGCTGCTACGGCGATGACTCTTATTAAAGCTTCCAACCAACCTCTATGCTTCTGAAGTCATGTTTTATAGTTATCATATTAATCAAGCTTTTGTAGGAGGTTTCCTACACTTAGTGTGTGGCCATTGCATTATAAAAAGCGCTTCGTTCTCTAAATTTTCTATCGACATAGTTTCGATTTAAGATCCTGCGTGAGCCATTCAATTAAGTGGTCAAAGAGCTATCAAATTGAACTATGCTGATAGATTTTAATTTGAGTTGTATATTAAACATAGATCACCTACTATATACAGTATACATACTTTTCATGCCGATAAATAGTATTTGAACTTTGATTTCTCAATCAATACTGATCTAAATTTATTTATATTGACAGAAACTTCTAAAACGAGGTTGTCAAATACAGTGTTATCAGTATTTATGCTTTTGACTGGAGCAAAAGATTTTGCTATTTGGGGAAAATAAATCATTTCGACATCTCAAAAGCTATGGGTTTAATCTTTGAAATGACAATCGTACATTGTAAGTTTGATGCAAAAACCGCATGCCACCATAAGGTATAATGTGCTTCATTTTTAATAGCCCAGACAGGTCTTTTAATGTTTGCTGATACTACAAGACATAAATTGTGGACTAGTGCTAGCTTGATTCTTTCAAAAATGAATTTTATAGTCTTTTATCTCTAATTACGCCGGTAACGTATGGTGATGTCTTGAATTTATAGCAGCTATTGATTATGTTGATTGAGATTTATTGAAAATGTTTACAAGACAATTATTTCTAGTATGCTGTGAACTGTGAAGAGGTTTATTAACTTGTTGCATTAAGAGACTTGGTTCAGTAAAGTAACAATAGTAGTTTTGTGGTAATAGTTATGCTTTTGATATCAAATATCAGTTGATATACAGTAGACAGTAGACAGTAAGCAGTAAGCAGTAAGCAGTAAGCAGTAAAGAGAGCAAATTCGTATATAGCGCAAGCAACTTTGTGGTAGAATTCAGAGGATAAGCCTTATTGCTAAAGCTTAGTTCTGTTGGCTCTTTCCTCACAACAAACCTATCAGTGTTGACAAAGGGAAGCACAGGTAATGTTTGTGAACCCTTCTACCAATAATCCCTACAGGTCTACTATGTATCCTTCAAGACAATGCATAGTGCGTTTCCCTCTTTCGGTACTTTGCCTATCAGGAGTAGACGTTCGCGGAAGTTGGCCAACAACAGATACCCTTGTTTTACGCGATTCAATAAGCGGCATCAGTCTTCCTTCTACCAGCCAGTTACTCACAGAGATAAAATCAGAGAGAAGGTTCTTGTCAATAAGGACGTTCTTTTTTTTTCTTTTTTGCTTGTGTGTTCTTGTAGAGTACCCAGAAGACAGATAGACAAAAGAGAATCAGATGAATCAAGTATTGAAATGTATGCTAAATAGTCTCAGCCTTTTGATTTGTAAAGAAGAGACACCATAGTATTGCTTGATTTGAAGAGAGGTGGAGACAGAGACTAACAATATTAGCTACATAAATTTAATGCTACATAATACCTTTTTTTTTTGTTTTGCATTTAAGTCTTGAGAATGAAAAATAAGATGAAAGAAAGACCAAAAAAAAAAAGGTTTTTTTCTAGACTCGCTTTTTATCATTTACACTTGCTTTGTTCCCATGCTTTAGAGATGAGATCTTTTTGTTTATATTGGCTTCATTATGATGAAAAGAACTTTCGATGGCATAAACAACTTTGTTGATTTGTGTAACTTTCAAAGATCAATTTGCTCACAAGTATGTAAAAACTATACAAGTCTATATGCTTATTGACAATGTATTATGGCACACAGACAAGATAGAATCTATCATTTATCACTATCTGAAAATATTGTTCTAAAGAGAACATAGCGGATACTTTGTTCTTACTTGTATCACAAAGTAAATCGTTTGTTTACATTATGTTGATTACTAAACTGATAGTCGAAAGTAACGCCTAGGACCAGTCTATGATCTGTTTACATCAATGAATACGAGTTTTGTTACAAAAGAAAGTTTTTAGGGAAAAGCTACTAATTGTCATGCAATAAGCGCATGGATTTATGGTAATACTTTTCAAGCTCATGCTAAACGTAATAAGAGAGACGAAAAGAGATATTTAATCATCAAAAATCAATAATAATCAATTATGATTTGTGTGAGAAATAAGCCTCCTTTTTGTGCTCTTTTCATTGTTGGCGTTATTTTTATCTTCACATGAAAGAAAAAAGTGAAGAATTATTATAGTTTAAAGTCCTCTGTCCCAGAATGAATTCTGTATCAATTGAGTTTTATTATTATTATTATTATTATTATTATTATTATCAAACATAAAGAGAGAAGCATTTAGTTCAATCATAGATGATCAGCTCATGTTATAGAAGAGAAAGGAGAGAAAAAGGGATATTTTTACGTCTAAAAAACTGAAAAGTGCAGTGTCAATTGCATTGTTTATGCAAACAAACAGCTTTTGTTGTAGTATAGAATCAGATGCTCTTTCTTTCCTCTCACCATAAACTGATCCTTATCAAAAGAAAAAAAAAAGGAGATGAGTGTACCCTTTAGGTTTTTTCAATTTTCAGAAAATAACGATTTGTGAACGATACAACCACTTTTTTCTATGCTATGTATTAGTAGAATTTGCTTATCTAATGCTATAAAATGTTTGAAAAAGCATTATAAAAGTTGTACGCTAGACTTGAAAACCTTAAAAACGTGTTCCCAGAGGATATCTAGAGAGCTAAACAGCAAACATACAGCTTTCTTTATACCATTTGATGCGCCTTTCTAACATCTATAAACTTCATTCATACGGTTTTTTTATAGCTCTCTGTTTTTGTAAATTTCTAAGCCCTTTTTGATCAGAAATTTCATATTTTTTTAAAGGTTTTTATTTTTTTGCTCCACGTAGACTATGACTAAAGTCTTTCAAGGGGTGGTCGCAATTTTAAGAAGTACAAAGGGAGAATACATAGGATAATTAATTATAAACATTTGTGCAAGTGTTTCTCGTCAATCAGAGAATTGAGAGAAGCACAAGTGGATGAAAGAAGTAAAATTGGATTAAACGGAATTTCATTGAAGATATTATTCCAATGGGCTTTCCAAATTTGACCCATGCCTTGGAATACTATTTCTTGAGCAGCTAACTCACTATTCAGAAATTTCATATTGATTTCAAGATAAAATTACAAGTAATTTCGAATCCCGATATTTTTTTGACATGCAAAAAAGGATAATCATTTTACAGTTACGTAGAAAAAATATTGAATATCTTTTCATTATTTTTGAAACCAAATAGAAATTGTATGCTTCCCGTCCTTAAACAAGTTATCCAAAGTATAATAAGCTAACACTGTAGAATGTTTAGGAGAAAAGCTTAGGTTGTTTACTTAACAGAAATGATATTTGATGTATCTTGAGATTGGTTGGCCATATTGTGTAGTGGTATGAATGTAATGAGTTAAAGCAATTATGCAATTGACAAGATTATTGAACTACCCCCTCGTATTCGTGTAAGTATTTACATAGACTGTTTCATTTCTGTTACCCTTCTATTCTCTCCTCCTCCTTATAATCTAATGTAAGTAATGATATAAATATTATTTGTGTATCTCATATTTTGCTTATTTTTTAGAATTTTTTTCGACAATAAAGTATAGTATATATCACTATAAATGTGTTTCAATAAAATGATATTACTTTGATTACCACAAAGAAAAGACAGTTTAGTCAATATGATTAATTATTTGCAAAATTCACGAAAACATTTGAACTGTCAAAAGGGTTTATGTCGAGTATGCAAAAGAACCTTAATTGAATTTGGCGTACAAAAGATATGGCGTATATCCACCATTCAAGCTACACTTTTGACCTGTCTTTTAATTTTCTTAATATGAAAAACAAACATGTTGTTTTTTTCTCATCATTTAGCTTGAAATCGTCAAAGTATTAAAATTAACTATGCTTGTGTTAGTTCGAAATTTTTTTCTTGTTTATTTGTTTTAAACATTGTACCTGAAACCTTTAAAAGGGCCCGATTACGTTATCTTTCTTTTTTCTTTTATTGATTTCTGCCTTATTTCTGCTAAATTGAAATGACAGAATCACAGCTGATATTGAGTAATGTATGAGAATTTTTTTAAAGCAATCTAAGCCCAATCGTCTATTGACCTAGTCCTCTGTTCAAGAATGACGGAATCTTGTTGCCTCGCACAGACCTCTTGAAACAGTTGAACATGAAATTCTGCTTACCATAAAAGCAATTTTTAGGCAGAGGCAAAATACATAAACCTGCACGTCGTCTTGGTTCATTCTGTGCAACACAGGGTTAAAATGTCAAATAATAATAAAAAAAAAAAGCGTTTGAAACACAGCTAATGGATTTCATCATTTTGTGAACCCCGTGACAAACTTTAACTAAATCATTTGATGGGTTAATCATAGAAGCAATTTATGTCACTCAATAAATTCATTGTGTATAAAAAGGAAGTGTACCTTTTTGTACTTTTTTTTTTCTTCTATATTTCTCAAACTCTCTTATGAATCCATCCCAAGAAGCATTGAATGAAAGATCTTCCCTGTTAGATAGGCGTAGGTCTTCTTCACAACAAAAGTACAATACAACTCCATTGTCTATACCACTACCATCATCTCCTTACCGAGAACAAGACCCTCTAGTTTATCCTCCTACTTCGCATTCTCAACAGTCATTCAACAACCGATTTAAATGGTTTAATAAGCGCACAGGATCATATGATGAAGACAGACAAGGACTAGTCAAAGAAAACACAGGTGTCCGTGTTTGGAGTGAATCTTATTCCAGTATAGGTAAGAAACTATTTGATTTGTTTGTTTTGCTTATTGTACTACCTAGATTGGATTCATGACAGAATCAAAGAAGGTGTGCGGAAACGAAAGTTTCGAGATATACCCGGGCCAAGAGGTCAACTGTTAAAAGCGAGTGATGCATCACAAGCCTGGATTTTAGTTATTCTTATAGGTTCTGTTGTTGCTGCTATTGCGTGGTTTATTGATGTTGTTCAAGAATGGATGTCTGACCTCAAACAAGGCTATTGTACAACCAATTGGAGGTTGAACAGCAATTTCTGTTGCTGGGAAAACAAAGGTATACATAACCAATTAAATCACCTTATCAAGTAATTTATGTGAAATAGAAGAGGCATGCGATGCATGGCGAACATGGCCAGAAGTATTTGGCGTAAAAGGAGAAAGTGCTACTTATTATACTGCCATGTTGATGTATACTGCATTTGGGGTATGTAGATTTGACTATATGACTCTCAAAGTTTACTAACATTTCAAAAGCTATTGTTCTCACTCATTGCTGCTACGATGGTGAAATATACTGCCGAGAAAGTTAAGGTTCGCTCTCCGTCTAAACCAGCTCCATTTTCGAAATCACCTTCTATGGTCTCCATTCCTGCTTCTATCGATAGTACAACCAACAAAGTAGAAGGATTAGAAATACCTGAATATGAAACAAAGAATGTCTACTATAGTGCAGGTTCCGGTATTCCTGAGGTCAAGGTGATTTTAGGCGGTTTTGTTATCAAGGGGTTTCTCGGTATCAAGACATTGATCGTCAAAAGTATCGGCATGGTAAAAGAAAATACATGCACCATAAACATGACTTGCTCATCTTCATGTTAGATCTTTTCTACATCAGCTGGTCTCACTGCAGGCAAAGAAGGTCCTTTTGTGCACTTGGCATGTTCAGCAGGCAACATTGCATGTCGATTATTTCCTAAATTTAATAAGAATGAAAGTAAGGTGTATTGTTTTAAAAGGAGACTTGTGTCTCATTAGTATATAGGCAAGAAAAGAGAGATTTTGTCTGCAGCAGCTGCATCCGGTGTAGCAGTTGCATTTGGTGCTCCTATTGGTGGTGTTCTTTTTAGTCTTGAAGAAGTAAGCTATTATTTCCCCATGAAGACAATGATAAGAAGTTATTGTTGTGCTATGGTAGCTGCTATTGTCCTAAAAGTAAGTTGGATTCTATATGAATTTGTATACTAAACGCAGGTGGCGATAGATCACAGATCCATTTGGTACTGGAAAAATCGTCTTATTCCAAGTTTCATATGACAAAGATTATCATTTATTTGAATTAGTGCCTTTGATTATTTGTGGTGCATTTGCTGTAAGTTATGAAAGTTGATATCCGAATTCGATTTACTTAGTGAATCTCCAGGGCTTTTTTGGTGCATTCGTGACTTATTTCAATATCAAATATCAACATATGAGAAAGTCCACTTTTATCTCTAAATATCCCATAACAGAAGTATTATGTATCATGCTCTTTACAGCTCTTGTTAGTTTCTGGAATCCCTTCTCAAGGTAAAAACGAACATTGTATACGTATGTTTCTTATGGTCTATATAGAATGGGCTTGAGTGAATTTGCTGCTCAATTATTTTCAGAGTGTTCACCTACAAACGACAATGGCGGTCTTTGTGCGTAAGTACAAGATTTCAACTAGACATGCATGCTTAATTTTATTTATAGTCGTACTGTACAAGAAATCCCTCAATTGCTTTATTTACTTATAACTACACTGATTATCAAGATGGGCTTGACCATGATCACCTTTGGCTGTACTGTGCCTGGCGGTATTTTCTTGCCTAGCCTGATCATTGGTGCTGTCACAGGAAGAATCATTGGCCTTATTATGCAATATATGACACTAACATACCCAGATGCATGGCCATTTACAGCATGTGCTCATGACTTTGCCACACGTGGAGAATGTGTCATTCCTGGGGTATACGCCATTGTTGGAGCAGCTGCGGGTTTGGCTGGTGTAACAAGAACTACAATTTCTTTAGTGGTCATTATGTTTGAATTGACGTATTCCCTTACTTACGCCTTGGTAAGAATGTGACAGCACATAAATCAGTATACTCATTTATTTTTGAATAGCCTATTATGGTCGCTGTCATGGTAAATTGGTGGATTGACATAGTTCTGTTTCTCATGTCTTGCTTAGGTTGCTAAATGGATTGCAGATGCTATGTTTGTGGAAGGCATTTATGATTTATTGATTGACTTGAAGCAATATCCTTACTTGGAAGCTCGTCGAGAATACATTCATACGATGACCATCATGAATATCACTGAATATCTCGCTACGATTGATGTGGATGAGCCTATCACAATTGGAAGACTGAAGCACAAACTTGCCATTGTAAGATCCATGGGCTATGCTGAAGATGGTGGTTTCCCTATCCTAAGTGATGGTGATGTTCTAGAAGGGTATATTGCCACAAGCGAAGTCATTCATGGTCTCGAACAACTTGAAGCCATCTTATCTGCTACCATGTCTGAAAACGAAATCAACCAAGTTCCTTGTTATTTTAATCGACTCAGGACTCATCATGATTCAAGCATGTATCTCTCTGTTAATCATGACTTGAAAACACCTTTAAGAAGTCTACTGGAAGTGAACCATGCAGACGACAATGAGTTTATTGAAACAGGCAAATTGAGTCAACCATCCAATGATTTTTCACAGTATATTGATCATGTAAGTTCAAACGTGATGTTGATTTCATTGTCCAACTCTTTTTTTTTTTTTTTTTTTTTTTTTTTTTTTGTACATAGGCTCCTCTTACTATCAATCAAAACGCTTCTATGACTTTATTGATGGATATGTTTACTAAACTTGGGGCAAGATATGTCTGTGTCACACATTCAAATGGCAGATATTTGGGTATTATTCATAAGCGTAGACTTTTAGCCTACCTTAAAGAATTGGATGAAGAAGATGATTAAGTTAAAATACACATACATAAATATTCCCCCCTTTCACTCATGTAAAACTTCATTTTTATATTAAACACTTTGAATGATACAGTTTATTCAGATTTATTGGGAAGTTGAACTTTGGGAATAGACTAAAATAAGACAAGGTGAGTCGTGTTGATCTCATTTTGTTTATAGTTACCATGTCAGGCTTCATGACCTATGCAATGAGCATGTCAGTGTGTTGTGTTATATCAACGAGATATGCTTACCTTATTAACAGCTGTGCTACCAGCAGCCATACCAGTACACATAATGACAAATGTGTAAAACTTGTTAACTCGAGCCATAATGATTGAAATATGCTAAAGAAAAAGAAGAAAAGAAAAAAAGAAATCAAATCGGCATTTAAATCTCTTGACATCTCGAGAATGCGTTGTCAAGGAACTTAGTGGTATCATAACAACCAGAATTTTACAGCTTGTTCCTTTTTAAACCTTCAAATTGCAGGAAATCAAATGCCATATATGGGAAGCAAAGCTAGAGATGATGTTGATATAAAAAATAGGCCTTTGTTCTACATTTTATCTATAACAATAGTAAGCTAAATATCTATCGTATCAAACTAACATTGTCCTGTCTTTTAAACGTTTCTTGTATTACGAATAATATACATAAAGTCCATTGATGATTGCAAAATGTGTTATTGATCTGATACTTTTTTTTTTGATGACGTATTTTTAAATTTACTGAAATGAAAAATACTCGAATTTTTTTTTTTTTTTTTTTTTTCGTTTGTCAATCAGCCTCCAAGGTAATTATCTCATAACACGCATCGCTTTACTAAACGCGTCTGATTCTATAGCACATATACATCATGGGAAAGACAACTACACCAGAATTGAAAAAGTAAGCAACTTGTTAATTTGAAAGCGATCTTGACGATCTTGTAGATATATGGACAAGCGTCTCTCTCTTCAATTAAACGGCAACCGTAAAGTTACAGGTGTTCTTCGTGGTTTTGATCCCTTCATGAACATCGTTTTGGACGAAACTGTTGAAGAAATCAGTGCTACAGAGAAGCACAATATTGGCATGGTGGTAATATATATATATATATACATAAAAATAAGGGGAGGACGTAGTATTGATCTTTTATCATAGGTTATTCGTGGTAACAGCATTTCTATTATGGAAGCTCTTGAACGTATTTAAACAAGCCATTGAATAAAGAAAGAAGTTCTTGTTTTATTGTACACAGCACCTATTATTTATCTTTTTTTGATTCTTTCTTTTCTTCTTCAGCAGCAGCAGATTCACCTACTTGACCATATTCATTGGCTCTTGTGTGATCCACTTTATAAGCATGTCTTTGGTAAAGATATACAAAGAACACAAAATCATCACGAAGACAAGCAAGACGATGTAATGTAGGCATCTTAATGACAAAAGCAAACAAATCATCTAAAAACAAGTGAGTCAAATAAACAGTCTTGTTTTAACTTACCAATGAATGTATTGAGTGACTTGTACATCAATGTCTTCCAAGGCATATGAGCAACACTCTTGAGTCTATAGTTGATATACAATTGGGGCAACATGGTAATGAAGCCAAACATGTAGACAAACTCAACAAGTGTCTTGAGGACATAAGAATACCAGCTCTTGTGTTCTTCATAGTAAAGTGAATAAATAGCATAACCACCCAACAAGGGATAAGAAGCCCAAGTCAAGTACTTGAAGGCAATAGCATCGTATTTAGCAGTCTCGTCTTCTTCTTCTGTCTGTTGAGTTTCTTGGTGACCTAACTTGGGCAACAAAGAGCCAGGCACCCAAACCAATTCATACTTGAGAGCCTTAAACACTTTCCATAACTCAATCAACAGACCAAACCCTTGACTGATCAAGACCATATAAGACGTTTCTTGGTTATTATCGAGCAAGTATAAAAAGATAACAATTTGGAAAAAGATGTTGACAATCAACGTACGAACAGAGATACCCGTACTGTTTTCTTTCTTTTTCCAGAATTGGATGTCGTTCTTGAAAGCCAACATTTCAAAGAGGGAATGGAGAAGACTGACAAGAATAGTTGTGCCCAACAAGACAGGATTGGTTTCCATAAACATACGTTTGACTTCATCTAAATCACTTGAAGTCATACCACCCATTGGACTATTGGCCTGTTGTTTCATGGATTCATCCAAAGTAGCGTAGATATTGAACTTCCACATCGAAATGGGTTCAAGGCGAATAAGTAGAGGAAGTGAATTTACAGTGTCATTCACAGGAAAAGCATTTTGTTGTAAAGCCCAGAAATCATTAGGGAACAAGATGGGTCGATAGAAGCCTTGCTTTCCATTAGGTGTACGAGCAAGAGCATGATCGAATTGAACATCTACAGGCAACAATAAGAAACAGAAAACACCTGCATTTACTTACATTTGATGACAGGAGGTTGTAAACCATTCTTGGGAAGCACTGACTTCTTGTCTGTAATCAATGCAAGCGTTACATTCTCTTGCCAATGAGCAACCATAGGGCCACGACGGGTCAAGTCGCCTAAAATGCCAGCACCCAAATCAACAATACTAGCAGCAGAACCAGCCTCCACTTCTTCTACTGGTTGCTTTTCTTCCTTCTTTTGTACTTGTTCCTCCTCTTCTTCTTCTTCGCCTTTCTTCAACAGGTTTTTTTGTTTAACAATGGCCTTTTGAGGATAAAACTTTGTCAGAACTAGAATATGAATCAGTATATCTTCTAATTTGGATATTTTCTCTTTTACCATGTCGATAATATACAACTGCATTAGGATGAAAAGTTTTATCGTTTGGATCAATAGGCATCTCATTTTGTGTAATAAAGATATGAGCATACACAGTACCATTGTGTTGAATTGTCTAAAGATATAAGTAAAAAACGCCATGAGGAGGGGATTTCCTTATTACCTTGGTAGCAGGTATTTCAATACGATGTTCTCTGGCTTCAAAAGACTCTTGATAATAAATGTCGTTTGTCTTCCAATCAGGTTGTCTATGATAATCTGTAAAATATTCATCTTCACTGACATAAACAGACACTTCCATGGGTGTGGCAGGTTGCCAGAGAGGAACCAAGGCATCAGGTAGACTAGAGATAGGCACAGAAGGATTAGGAAAGTAAAATACATCATTAGGAACACCGACAGCATAGTCGCGAAGAGTAACTGCTCCGGGAGTAAAGGCGGGTTGGTTCGCTGTCGTGCTAGTCGTAGCACCAGGTGAACTAGGCACATGTGTGTTCACTTCAGGAGTGGACTTGTTAAATCCTGCAAAGTATCAATAAACATGAAAGCTGTGAGAGTCCTTTACCTCCAGTCACAGTTTTCATAATCAACCAAAAGAAGATCATCTGAACAATCTGTCCACCATATTTCTTGAAGAAGCCTTGTTCTTCTGGCTTAGGAGTAGCAGCAGTGTTAGCTACTGCTGGTCCTTCTTTTGTATTTTCTGCCATGAGATAGAAATAAAAAGGAAAATCAATTTTTAGACTTTTCCCAGGTATCGTTTTCAAAGCAATACAAGCTCCGCATTGTTTCTGGAGACAATAAGCCATTGAGGAAGGGAAGCACCCTTCAGCAAGGACTCTATCGTAGCATATATACAGAAGATATCAGACAAATGCAATCTAAGCAATTTTTATCAAAGAAAACAAGCAAGACAAACACAGATACAATAGAAATACATTCCTATTATTCAGGATGTAAGCAAGTGATTGTATTTAAACATGTACATAATGTTGCATTGATTTTGATATTAGAAATGGAATAAAAAAACTGCTTGGCACTTTATCTTTTTTTTTTTTGCGTAGACAATTAATAAAGGCATACAAACATATTTTTTTTTCTGTGGAGCATCGACGGAGTGTTGTCCAGACAAAATGCATAGAGCAAAGACATTTGTTTTGTAGGCTTCAATTCAAACAAGTGTATTACTTATCCTAGCAAAAACAAAAGCACTTGCTAAAATGAGTGGATATAAAGCTATGGCTATTGTCTTTTTTTTTAAAGCAATTTTTTATATACCGGAAGCATTGTGGCAAATAATTCTCGGGACGCAATAATTCACAGAAAAAAAAGGCACCTCCCTTTCTGTTTTTCTTTTCCTTTTTTTCCCATCTTTACACCATCCCTAAATACAATGTCCAATACTGACTTTCTCACGGTAAGGAAACAAGTGAGCGATAAGCAGTAACTTATAACTTGTCTACAGAAAGCAATAGATATTGCAAAAAGAGCCACCGAGGAAGATCGAAACGAAAACTATAAAGATGCATATAACTTGTATCAGAACTGCCTTGAATACTTTATGACCGCTATACGTTGTAAATAACAAGAAATACATGGTCTCTTTGATATATTAATATAAGTAAAAAGACGAAAAAAATGATAGGTTAAAGGAACGTATTCGAGAAAAGTTGGTAGAGTATCTCGATAGAGCAGAAACGCTCAAGTCCTTTTTGAACGCGCAAGAACAAACTTCAAGTCCAAAAAACGGCGGTGCTGCTACGAGCAGTAAAACAAAAAAAGTGTAAGAAAGAAAGCAAAAAAAAAAAAAAAAAAAAAAAAAAAAAAAAAAAAAAGTTTCATGTATCTCATTCTTTTGAATGATAGTGGATCCTCTGATAAATCGGACGAAGAAGATGATGCTGACTTGAAGAAACTACGTGCAAATTTATCTGGCGCCATTTTGACAGAAAAACCCAATGTGAGCTGGAACGATGTAGCTGGCCTTGAGGGTGCCAAGGAAGCGCTCAAGGAAGCTGTGATTTTGCCCATCAAATTCCCTCATCTTTTCACAGGTCAACGTAAACCATGGCGAGGTATTTTGCTCTACGGGCCTCCTGGTACAGGTAAATCTTACCTTGCTAAGGCTGTTGCCACAGAATCAAATGCTACTTTCTTTTCTGTTTCATCTTCTGATCTAGTCTCCAAATGGCTCGGTGAAAGTGAACGTCTTGTAAAGCAATTGTTTCAATTGGCTCGAGAAAGCAAACCAGCCATTGTATTTATTGATGAAGTAGACTCTCTTTGTGGTTCCAGAGGAGAAGGCGAATCCGAAGCTTCTCGTCGTATCAAGACTGAGTTCCTAGTGCAGATGAATGGTGTAGGTAATGATATGGATGGTGTACTTGTGTTGGGTGCTACAAATATACCTTGGCAGTTGGATTCTGCTATTAGAAGAAGGTAACATATCTATATGATAGTTTGTTGTGTTTATTTTGTTTGCAGATTTGAAAGACGTATTTATATCCCTCTTCCCGATGTCAATGCTCGTGCCAACATGTTTGCCTTGAATGTTGGCAATACTCCCTGTACCTTATCGCAACAGGAATATAAGCAACTAGCAGAAATGACAGAAGGCTATTCTGGTTCTGATATTGCTGTCTTAGTAAGAGATGCTTTAATGCAACCTATTCGTAAAGTACAAAGTGCTACACATTTCAAACAGGTAAAGACAAATTTCCCTCTTTTTTTTATGCATGTCATTCTCATTTTTGTCAATAGGTTACTGCTCCTTCCCGTACAAATCCCAATACAGCAAGTCAATACTTTACACCTTGTTCTCCTGGTGATCCTCAAGCTCAAGTCATGAATTGGATGAACATTGAAGGTGAACAATTAATGGAACCTGAGCTCACTATTCAAGACTTCTTGAAGGCTGTTAAGAATTCTCGTCCTACAGTCAATGATGCAGATATTAAGCAACATGTTAGCTTTACACAAGACTTTGGTCAAGAAGGATAATTAAATAAATAGAATACTCCTCTTTTTTTATTGTTCATTTGTAAAGTGACTTGAATCCATTTTGTATGCTACAAATGTGTCTACCTTATGTACCAGTGTGTTGAATGATTTTAATCGTACATGTTCTCCGCCACCAGCAATCAAATTAGGCCCACTATCTCCCCATGTTAAGGGTACTTCGACATCTTTGTTTGCATACACCAATACATTAAATGTGCCTATTCGAAAATCAATTTCCCTTTTTTTTTCTATAAAATATGCGTCTTACAATCATCAGTTTCTAATTCTGGTAAGAAGGAGACACTAGCTGTGATTTGGCGTAAAATGGTTCTGATCTGTTTTACTGTGTTTTGCTGAATGATTACTGCTCTTTACATTTTTCAATCATCTCTTGTCTTTTTTTTTTACACTTACTGTTCAGGTGGTATGTTTTCTGTCATAGGAATTCCATCTTCTCCATTGATATGTACGTCAAAATTCCATCGCTCCAAGACTTCCAGTGTGTCTTTTGACTTGATAACTACTACTAGTTTACTGATCGTATTGCTTTTCAGCCAAACTAAAAAAAAGCATGAACATGTGATCTATTCTTGTTGTTATTGATAGCTTACTTTGTAATTGCTGTATGATCTTGTCAATATAGGCTGTTAACTCGGGATTGATCGACGCGTAAATCTTCATGCCGTATTTACTAACAAGTTTGAAGTCGTCAGTTGGGTATAAACCACGTTGGTACAAAATATTGTTCAAACCACATTCTTTGCAGAATTGATTAGTACTGTCGAAACTTTCAAGCATGTTTTAGCTTACCAAAGAACTTAACGACGAGGGAAGAAGAGCCTTCAAGTGTGATTGGCGAGCTCGAGTCCATATGATGTAGCTATATTGTTGAGAAGTAAACCTCTTTTTTTTTTAATGCTGAATTTACTCAAATTGATTAGCAGTCATGTGGCATTGATTATTGCCGGTTTAAGTGGCGAATACAAAACCAAAGAACCAAGGCTTATAAATATATTTGATGCCATAAGGGATCCACTAAAAGCGACGTTTGGACCCATTGGCTTCAAGAAACACAAAATATTACGTAATCAGAAAAAACAAAAAAGTGGAGGTCTCACCGAGACTCGAACTCGGATGTCAGGATTCAGAGTCCTACATGCTAACCAATTACATCATGAGACCTTCCATTTTTTCGCAATTTTACAGTTTTTTACGTTTGCCTACAATTATTAAAAAGTCACATGACTAAGGAATATTTCTTTGGCTTGTTTTTGGACACTTGATTCTAGAGAAGTACGCCAAAAGAGGAAATTATTTAAACTAATTAGTTTTTTTATCACTAATCAAAATTATGAATACTCTTTATTCTTTAGATTATGTGGGTTATTTATATGTTTTCTAGTTACTTGTACTAGTACGTAATTAGTAATTGAAGACATGAAATATAAAATAATATGCTAAATATAATTGCTAATAAGTGACTAATATCAATGTTCTGCTAAGTATCCTTTTTGGTTCTTTTTCTTCGTTCTTTGCTTCGTTTTATGTTAGGTGAGAACCTTCTTCTTTTCTTTGCGTTTGCTTCTTTTCGGAATTTCATTTCTAGTTCTAGCGGCAGTTCTTGCATGAGTTGTGTATTACTTGCAATGTGCTTCGTAACCAAATTCGGCTCGACATTTGTATTGATAGTTTAAATGATTTAAATCACGTGACCTTTCTTTTTTCTACTAAGGCTTTTGATTGGCTAATAAAAGCCTAAGCCAAATCAATATGTTACTAATGTTTTTTTGATTTACAAGGAATATAATTGCTACGCATGATATAGTTAGAACAAGAAATACAATGCCTTTTCTTGACTTCAACGATGATGCTTAAAAAAACGGTTTTGAGAAAGAGTTTCACACAATGGTCTTCATTTAAAGTCTTTTCGACAAATTCATATATATACTAACATGCTATTGCCTTCTAGACATGTAAAAAAAAAAAGAAATATTATTATTATATATACACAGTTATTAAAATAAATATACACATGATTAACGCAAGTCGTCATCATTATCGCTTCCACCGATATCAATTTCATCACCTTCATCATTTTCATCCACCAAGGTATGTGTAATGACTGCTTGTATGGCTTTATGCTTAGAAGTGGAAGGCTTTTGTATGATTGCAGTCGTATTTTGTTTCAGCGTCGTTTCTGTCTTTTGCTGCTTCTTGTGATTTGACGTTGGAGTCATCTTACCATGCCAAGTAGCTGATCGTTTGATTTTTGAAGATTTAAATGTGTTATTATTGCCTGTGCTTGCAGACCATTTACCTCCTCCACTAATAAAGCCCACAGGCCTCTTCCTTTGAAAATCAAACGCACGATAAGGTATGCTATGATCTTCATCGTCTTCTGTTTCTGAAAAAACCTTTCTTTTTTTCTTTGGTCGATCATTCCTGACTTGGCCATCGCTTTTTCTTCTATGTTCAGCATAATTCATTTTGAGGATATCGTCTAATTCCATAGCAGCAATAGCGGCATCTCTCACTCTACGCATTTCTTTACGCACTTGCTCAATGTCATTGTCTGTGTCTGTATCGCCTTCATGCTCAAATTCTTCCATTGTTTCAATATCTACATCGCTGCTATCATTCTCATCTTGTTTAATGAAATTCAAGTCGACTGTTGTTGAGACAGACTTGTCAATCACAACAACATGTTTCCCGTTGTCATCGTATGTGTTTTCGAAATAGCCCAAATGAGGTGCTTTTAGGGTATATTCTGTGGTTGACTTTAGCGTTCGACTGGGATGTGTCAAGGGCATGTTTTTGTCAATGGTTGTAGTCATGCGGTCAATCTCTGTCTTGTGTGGATCTGATATGACCACAGGGTTTTTTAAAGCAGCCAAGGTGAGTGCTGCTAAATGATGGTTTCGAGTGGCTGCCGCTGTATCCTCAGTCGCCGTCAAGCTGTTTTTTCTCGACCTTCTCTTGTTGTTAGCGATAAAAGAGGGTAAGGGCGAAGGAAACAAATGCTCCACATCATCTCCTAGAAAAGAAGTTAGCATGTGTTGTATAGAGCATGTAGCTGCCAGTTCTTGTGCTCGACGATTGGGAATCCATGTTCCAAACAATACGCTTTGTCTGTTTGGCATACGCACACGATTCATTTCAAAACTGAGAATCATGCTACGTTCACTTTCGGTATCAATACCACCGGCAATCAAAAGTTGTGTGCCATTGATAAAACTGTTGTCCAGTCGACGCATGATGCGATATTCAATGTCGTCTTTCACAAGAAAAGCAATGCATACAGCAATATTGTCAATCACTGTGATTTCCATACGGGGCTTTGTAGGCTGAATGGTATGTAGAACAGATGTGTCTGCATTTAGCATGTTATCAACAGGTTCTTTGATGGGTGAGTTATTGGAGCTATTTGTACTAGGCGAAGGAGGCAGAGCATTCATAGATGATGAGGATGATGCAATGGCTGAGGAATTAAGTGTTGTTAGATACTGAATATAAGTAGCCAGGACTTTAGAGAGTATTGAGGATTGAGTTGAGTTCTGTACTAAATGGGGTATTGCCATGATGATTTGCTGTATGGCTGTCATGTTCAAGCTTTGAAGGGGTTCATTAGCGATATTGACTGGTTTTTCTGTAGAAGGCGCAATTCGAATATGTCTTTTTGTATTGGAAGATGATTCGACTTGTTTCTGTATTGGAAACAGTTCGACGCTTGTGTTATCATATTGAGTTTTACCCTGTAATAAAGGATCTAAAAAAAGGAGGGGAGTTAACTATAGACAGAAACACAACATAAAAAAAACAATACCTTTGTTAAAAGGTTGATCACTCAATAGTTTTGTCAAACCAGGTGAACTCTCAATCTCGAATTCTTCTACCAATTCTCTTGCTCTATCCAGAGGAACCCTAATGACAATTGTAAATAAAGATATGCAAACTAATAAATCACTTGCCATGCGCCTTGCGTATCAAAAGGTCCTTTTGAGACAACAAGTACATCTCTTCCCTCTTGCTTTTCATCTTCGGAATCAAACGTACCTTCTCCAAGTACAGGAATAGCTGCTTTCCTTAATTGTGTAGCATTGACATAACTATAGCTTGGTTTTGAATTGGATGAAAACCTTGATACTTTGGTATTTGGAATATCACTGGGTGAATCTAGCTCATAAAATTCCAAATCCCCCAGCCATTTTCTTGTAAGTGTGAATGTATGCCCTTTGATGGTCCAAGTCATTGTTTCTTGTTTGTTCTCCACGTTTGTATTGGTTGGTTCGCTTGATAAAATATCAGTTGAATAGACTACATTTGCCTTTGAATCGGTATGTTCCTGTTTCCAATGGATTTCTTGTTCTATTGTTGTTGGATGTATAGGTTGTTGAGCCAATTTAGTGATTGCTATTGCTGCTGCAATGTCTTGTTCATCGTTTTCATCCGCCTCTAAAGATGAATTAGAGGTCCGCGTAAGAATTTCATGCTCTTTGTTCATCGGACTTTCTTCCTCTTGATCTATGGTTGCTATAGAATAACTGATCTTTCTGATATTGCTCTGGTGTACATGCTTCACTAATAATGGTTTCCTTGGTGGGTTATGACTAGCAGCTCGTTTAAAATGCTGTGAGATCCGAGAAGATACTGTTGCAAATGGTGTTTGACCACTTGTTACATTAAAAAAAAAGGGAGGTTAAACCAAGTAGTATTTGCAAGTATACTTACCCAAGTATTGTATAATTATGCTGAATAATTGTGTTTGCCAACTCTTTGGGAGAGCTAGGAACGTTTTTGAGTTTTAAAAGGGCTCTCAAGATAGCCATAAACACTTTGTCTTTTGCATCGTCGGGATGGACTTGGAAAGGAATCACATCGTCTTTCAACGTTTCCTTCACCTTTCTTTCTGCCATATCCAACTTGTTTTATTGACTTAAAAAGTAATAAAAGTCGCTTTCTTTTAGTGTTGGTTGAATATGTAAGTTAAGAAATAGAGCAGTAGGGTAATGGAGCACACTGTTCATGAATCAGTGTGCAGATCTGGAAAGAGACAATAGAGAAAAAAAGTTATGTTTGTTGACAAAGAAAGAAGGAAAGAAAAAGAAAAAGAAAAAGAAGGACAACTCAAACTGTGTTTACATAGCAAAGCGGACTTTTTTTTTATTGATTATAAGGTGATGAGCAAAGTAAAATCAAAGATGAAAATGCAGAAGAGGGTTTATCTGCGACTATGTGAATGTGAACATCGCTCGCCTGTTCATATCAGGTTAGTAAACAGGTATTTTCTTAAACATGGTATATACTTACAAATAACAATATCGTCCTTTGAACTAGAATGTGCGAGCTTTTTCCAGCGAGCACCATCTTCGGATCCACAATTTCTGCAGCGGAATGCTCGAAAGTCGCGTTTACGAACAACTTTGATATTACCATCACTTTGAGTGAGAAGTAAGCGTTTCTTTTTGGTTGTTTTCTCACTATAGATCAAAAAGAAAAAGTTAAATAAATATGATTACAATATCTAACTTACTAAAGGCCACAAGCATTGCAGACAAGGTTTCCTTTTGTAGATGGTTCAATGCTTCGTCTCCAAGAAGGAGTTTTGATGGTATGGCAGTTGCTACAGCGCTTCTTGTCCTTACGACAAGGATGTTTCTTGTTACCCGGGTTTCTTTTCTCGGGATGGTAAGTCTCTTGACTGTTTGATTGGTCAGACAATGAATGGTTCTTGTAAGTTACAGAATTTAAAGGAGAAATTATGTGCTTGTTATTTTTGTTTGTACATGGTGAGCTATGTGTGCTTTCTTGAATGTCAACTGGGGGAATAGGATAACAAGATTGTATTCTGTAAGGCATGCAAGCCTCTCTTGAATAGACGTGGCTATTGGTATACTGGTCTGCATGATTTGGATGAGCTTCATGGGTATTATAGTAACTAGAACAGCCTCTCATTGTAGTAGGCATCATCATATTGCTCATAGCAAAATGAATATTAGCTCCAGTGGGACTAGGGGAGGGAGTAGAGCAAGCAAAGCCATCCGAAGTAGCAGGAATAACCGACTGTTCACATGAAGAAGGTGAGGAGTCATAGCTAATCAAAGGTTGAGGATATTGTTCATAAAGAGCATCTGAATCGTTCATCATATGAGCTGCATCTGAAGCAGTGGAAACAAACCAATTGTCTTTCTGAGGACCAGAAGGAAGAGACAATGTTTCTTCCATGGGGGAAAAGGAATCAGGTGAATGTTGGTCATCTCCCATAGAAAGGTCTTGAGGAATATCGGCTACTACGTCGCAATAATCTATACAGATTTGCATAAATGGTTACACGACATCACCTTATTGTTTTTAATTTTACCTGTCATCTTATTTGTGAAAAAATAAAAAAAAAGAGAGGAAGAAAGATAAAAAAAAAAGAAAACGAAACGGATTCAGTTTTTATTCATGACATTTCTATTCATCAGCTTTTTATTTCTACAGACAATGTGTGTGTGTATAATTTCTCCAGTAGAATAAACGAAGAAAAAAAATTTTACATCAATTTATCAACTGTATTTTGCTGCGACTATTGTATATAAATAACATGAACTGACAAGTGGCAAAAAAAGGAGCCTTTTCTTAATTTAAATGAGGCTTTTTTCTTTTTTTTTCTCTCCTTTTGATCCTTCTTTTTTGTGTTGAATAAAGCGGTATACTTTATATTTTGGTTATTTTAAACACCTCCTGATCAATAGTAAGATAAAAGGAGGCTTTCATATGGACATGTCATACTGTCCGGTGCGTGAATTTTTATCTTTTGCTGAAGAAAAAAAAAACAATTGCATGATTCAATTTATGCCACAGCATAATTCTCTTTTTTTTTGAATAGATTCTAGACTTTTGGAAGGCCTTAAAGTCCATAAGGAAATGAGTGTCTAGTTTCTTAAATACAATACCATACCAACCGTTTAAACTCTTGAAGTATTAGTGACAATAATGGTGTGTAATACAATGATTATCACTACTGGGAATAACATTTGAAAATAAGCATGGCTACACAACAAAGGAGTTATCCTGCATAAAGTTCCCGCTTAATTTCTGTACATGGCGTTCAGGGTCTATTGTTTTATCCTAATTGGAGAATGTATGTTTTAGGATGAAAGACTTCTCTCTTTGTTGCCTGCTGTTGATAAATCCTATTTCGTAAAATGCTTTTTTTTTAGTCAACTATTATGCAACAAGCTTCCTAAATGTACAAGCATAAATGGTTTATGATAAATTTATTGCTTTTAAGATTCATGGATGTTTACTATTCTAAAATAAGGTATAAAATATGTATATACAAAATAAAAAGAATTTTCATTCTATTTGCCTATTCTTGTCAAACCACGTAAACTCTCTTGGACAATCAATCCTGGTCGGCCAGTAAACACGTATTTTTCTTTCAATATGGTAACAACATCATAAGACGTGCCTTCTTCCATAGCATCCTCTTCTTTTTTTCTTTTATAAATAACTGCATATGGCTTAGGAAGCTTTGCTTTTTTACCAACAAGCCGGTGATGACCAATGACGAGAACAGCAGAGTCATCTTCTAGCGTGAGATCACCAATTTCCATATTGTCAAGTTCGGTAGCATCACCCGAGTCAAAGCTCCCTTGAAAATCAAGACATATTAATTCTTGCTTTTTTTCAGAGTTGATATAAGGATAAATGCTGATATTAACCATTCTATGAAGCACAAAAAAAAAGAAAAAAATTACGCGTGTGCATGGACGCGTTGCTGAGTTTTGTCGCGTGAGTGCACTGGCGGACCTTTTAAAACAAAATCAGTATTCACTCGCATGGTTTCAAGGAACAAATGCAGGCTTTGTAGTACATATTAGCATAGAACAGACTATCGTACATTGGTATTACTCAGGATACCATTGCCCTGAGAGAAACATGTCATTCTGTTGATTTGTAGCCAGAATTTAATCAAAAAAGAGATAGAACATAATACGCTATATCATTCAATAAAATCAGAAACAATCTTAATCCCCCCCTCCCTTCATTTTGTTTGTGCAACTCTTCATATAGGAACTGAAACCTTTTATATTTGCAAAACCCTTAGAACAATCTGGCTCTCGAAATAAATTTCCTCCTTCCTTCCCTTTTATACTGAATTCTATGAACTAACAGATTGTAAACGAGTCAAGTTTATTTAAAAGAAATAGATAGAATAAGTGATAAGAAGAGGCAGAGATAAAAAAAGTACATAAAAATATTAAATTAAATTAGATTTTTTTTCTTAAATTAACTTCTTGTTTTCTTTGCCAGTTTGAATTTGATATTCATGTGGAACATCTTCATTGTGCTCAATGGCCTTGGCCATAAAGCCCATGAAACGATTACCGTAGATTCTAGGCTTAACAGCAGAGATTTCATTTCTGTCTTGAGTGATAGATTTGAAGAAATGTTCTGACTTCTTCTTCATATCATAAGGTGTCAAGATATCAATGATACCCATAAAGTAAAGAGCGGGTGCTTTTCTATTTCTTTCGTCAGTGGCTTGGAAGCCACCATTATCAGAATAGAATACACAGTTACGACGACTACATGAGAAAAAAAATGAGTTTCAGGTATTGACTTTGTCTTTAAAACTTACTCATCAAATGGAGTATCAGGCAAGTCAGAAGCATTCAAGCGGTCAGGATTAGCTTCAGCAATGACCTTACGATAAACCATAGCTTTACTTTCACGACGCTTCATCATAGAAGCACGACGTTCAGCAAGTTTGGTGTTGGGCTATTTAAAAAAAAAATGAGTGAATCATTTATTTGGACAACGTCTTACCTGGAAGAATTGAAGTGTGGAGTTACGGACATTATCCTTATTACCGCGAACAATGTCATGAACACCAACCATCAAACTATAGTCCATGATGTTCATTCTCACAAGGAGCTTAACATCACGAAGTAATTGAGTGATGAAGAGTTTTCTCTTTTGAGGACCGAGTTGCAGCTTTTTGCCACTCTTTTCCCAATTCAAATCTTTCATGACAGCATATGGATTCTTGCGGATTTCCTCTTCGGGCAAGAAACGACCCAATGTTGAACCCTATCATGTATGAGCAAATAGATAGGATGAGGTGACTAAATTACCTTCAAATCATAGGTTTCGTGAATATCCTTATCAGGTGGCAAGACATTACCCATCACAACAAAGTGAATTTTACGGCCATGAGGGAGCTTGACACGATGGAGACCATAATAGCGACAAAGAAGTGTATCAGGGTTTGAGGAAACGTGCTAATAACAATAAGAAGGTAAATAGGCAAAATTACAAACCAAATGCATATTTACATCATAATATTCTTTCAGAATCTTGAGCATAAACTTTTGCTCTGTATGATGAATTGTCTTGATAATGAAACGATAATCTCTTGAATAATAAAAGAAACTACCACTTTTACCAGGTGAACCTAATTCAGACAAGATATATTTACTTGTAAGCGAAATCTACACAGAAAAGAACCATGAATTTCGACAGTTGTATAATCATTGATTGTTCTTACCAAATAATCGGCAGGATCAATGCCAAATCTTTCACGTAAACCTCGAAAGACCCAAGGAGCATAATCTTTGAATTTAAAGTCATATTTAGCACCTGGAGTTAATTCATCACCAGTACTAAAAATAGTAATTGAGTATTGTATATTCACATGTATGTATGTGCACACACTTACACATCAAAAGCAAGTTTATGTGCAGCAGTAAAATCTTGTTCAACCAAAGGTCGGTCTGGTTTAGCCGAGACTCGTCCGACTGCGATACGAATACCAGTCAACATGTTGTACATCAAAATATAATTTTGATGTCCTTCTGAAATACGTGTACCCATTAACACACGATCTTCTTCTTCTGGCTGCGGCCTGCGTCGAGAAAGACGTCTGAAAGCCTTTTGTCTTGCAGTCAATTCTTTAGCAAAATCATCAGATAATTCGCCACCGTCAACAGCGGTATTGTTTCGAGTGAGACGTCTCTTTTGTTTTGCATCAGCCTTGTTTTTAAAAGAAGAAGCAGGTGCTAAATTGAAGCTGATTGAGTAACGTTTGGGACCTGCTGTAGGTCGAGCTTCTTGTAAAATTGGTGTTGGATCAGTCTCGGCGCTTTGGATGCCTAATGATTTCTGAGACTGAGATAGGCTACCACGTCGAGTAGAGGCTTTCATGTTGCTCGATTGCTCTTCTTCAGGGTATTCGTAAATGGGGGTATTGTGAACAGAGGAGAAAGAGTTGTTCTTTTGAATTGAGCGAGGTTTTTCGTTAGAGGCTGGAGTAAGTGAGATCATTTCGGGAGAGTGCTGATTCCCGAGACGATATTCTTCTGATTCTGATTTAAAGAAATAATCATTGTTTTGCTGTTGAAAATTTTGGGCTGCCAGAGCCATTGTTATTGTCTATGATAGCTTAAATAAAGGAAAGAATGAAATGGGCTCTTTTTTAATTTTTTTCTTAGTTGCTAAAGGAAAGTATAAGTATGAATGTAAATAATTAAATATAAAGAAAAAAAGAGAAAGAGAAAAAGACAGGAGAAGAAGAAAGCAGGGATTTATTTTTTTTAATAACCACACGTGTGACATGAACAAACAAAGCAACTTATTCATTGCACCAAGTCTGTAACTTCTCTATTTCTGGTAACTAGTACAACTACACAGATCATTTAGTTCAACCCAGTCAACATTGAATTTATATACTCCGCATTTCCTCAACATAAGAAACTGGGCCCAAACAAGTGTCTCGGCCTTGATCTTCATTAATAACGCCTACACGAGTCACTGTAACAATGTTCAAAACTAAGATAGGAAAGGAGACTATGGCTATATTATTCAAGTCTTTCTTAAAACTTTGTTGTATGAATTGACAGCTACGTAACATATCAATCTGCTATGATCTTTCCGTAAAACCTTTAGGCCCTAATTGTTACCGAATTTATGTACAGTGGGTTTTACCGTCACTTGAATACTTTTTGGAATAAGATACTATATTTACATACGAATAACCATCATAATCGAAGCAAAACTTGTATTAGATTGAAAATAAACTTACAAGTTGACTTTTTACAGTAAATTTATTTTTTGTCTTGAAGACAACGGTCTTTTTTCTTTCAAGAAGGAAAAGGATCAATTGTTTCACTCAATAGTTTTATCTAAACAAGTGTTTGAGGCTGATTTGTATCATTCTGAAAGTGCTTGCCAAAATTCATCTGCGGCGTTCAAAAGAGCTTGCGCCTCTTCTCCCAATTCATCATTTAGTACACCACAAGAGAAACGTGGATATGGCCGAGCATCACGGTTGCGCCATTTTTATTGAAAGAAATCCTTGGCAGTGTTAATTAGAGCCATGAACAAGATTTTGCTTTTTATGATTTCTAAAAATATATCTTTCAAGAGAATTTGTGTTGGCAGGAACTTGTGTAAATGTTACCAGAAAAAAAGCTTTTATGTACCACTTGTTGAGAAACAGAATAGTTGTGATGGCTATAAAATAAATACACGATTCGCTTACTTTCTCAATGTCTAACAAGAAGCATTCCTTTTTTTTTTATTGAGAACTAAAGCTGATGAGATATCAAATTAAACGAATTGTTTTTCTAAAGCTCTGGCAAATTCATACAAACTGAGAAGACATTGCTCAACATATCAGTCATTTTTGAAAGAAAGAAGTTTCTTTCGTAAAGCAAAAACTATGTTTCATTGTCACAGAATAACCGCAGTGCTTTTTTTTTTTGGAGAATAAAGAAGCGAACCCAAGAGTTTTGCATGCCACATTGATTGTTGCAATGGCTACAGCGAGGAACCAGCGAGTTATCTATTTGTGAGCTATATAATATGAACACGGTGTTTTACGGACATCTACGTTGCATTAACATTTTCTTTTTCTTTTTTCAGTAGTTTACTAATCTCAAGCTGCTGGGAGCCATTTGGATGATCAATAAGATTCATATATCCCAAAAAGAGTTGTATATATGATTCACTAGTTGAATTGTCTGCATTACAATCAATAGTATCTGGCGGATGGCCCTTTCCTACATTTACAAATCGGGTCGCTCTTATGTTAAATGGGCTACACACCTCCGTTAAAAAGAAGAATGCATAGTGTTCAACCACCAGCAGTTAAACACTAGCAGAGTTTGAATCAGACAGAGTCCAAAAGTCGTGATGGAAGAAGGTCATGTACAGTGACCTTCTTTCTTACTGCATCTTTTCAACACGAAACAAATTTACATGTGTTGATCCGAAACGACACATACAGCACTCGGTCGTACTGACATACAATATCCTAGAGCACTGTTTACACACTAGCAGAGCATAAACGCACAACAGGTACGCAGACTTTTTTTTTTCCAAGCAGGCGCTGATTGTTGCAAAACAAAAAACAGCTTTTCCCAAGAGCGCAAAATTTATTCAGAACATCTTTGAAAATGATGACGCAAATACTACATTTCGATTTTATGCAGTTCTAAGCAAAAGCTTGATTTTTTATGCGGCTGGATGAAGAAGTGGAATTGTTTTACTTATATCATCCCATTCTACCACATAACCACTTTGCTCTTTCACGAAACTCTTCATGCTTTCTCCTCAAATGCCAGTCACTCCAATAATGAAAACGGCAGCCTCCTGTACATACAAAAGGTAATAATATGTTAGACAAATGCATTTACCCACAAATCATAATGTTGTTTTTTTCCAGAGAATACTATACAATCTTGGGAACTAAGATACATCAGTTATTTATTTATACTCGAACACAATTTTCGCTTTGAATTTGATCTTGATTTCAACACGAAAACTGAAACAATACTAAATATGAAAAAACTGACCGACGAGATCAAAGTAAGATCTCCAAGTTTATGAAAGCGTGGTTCAACTAATTGATATTTCATCACTTAGGCATCATTGAAAAAGAATTCTCTAATATCAGAACAATTGAAGAAAGAACATTTCCTTACGCTGGAAGAAAAGGAATTTGAAGATATTCAGATTGACTCGAGTAAGAACTTAAAAAACATCATAACCCTACGATACACAAAATGACAGAAGCAAATGATTCTCCTAGCTTGTTTTCCAAAGACCCTATCTCATTCATCAAATAAGCTGTATTGACTCGAAAAAAAATTATGAACTGCATCTCGTATTAATAAAAGTTTTTTGATCTACTACATTTTCATATCTTTTTAAGTCTGTAGCATCTTCAACTATTAATTCAATTGTTTTTTCGGGCGGGTTATTTTTGAAAGTATCTTCTATACCAGGGCTGGGTATGTATCACCTTATTTGCCTTCTCTTCACCAACTGAGAGATTAGTTGTCGTTCCTAAACCAATCTCAATTGGTTTTGATTCGGCTTCTAAGGTGATACCATATTCAGAGCTAACAATTGAATTTGCAATGGCTGTACTGATGGCTTCTTGTACTGTTGACTTGTAATAATATCTTTAAAATGTATCATGATTCAAACTCCAATTTCTATATTCGTTTAATTGCTGTATAGAAAAAAAAACCGTTTTGTACCGCTTTTATGCTTGAAGCCGATCTTGTGAGTATGCTTTGAAGATGCTTGTATCAATTCATGTCTTGGTCACTTCTTGTTTTATCCAGTTTGCAATTATTGATAGACTGGGAGAAATCGGTTGATTCTCCTTGTGATTGATATACTCAAGGGATAAACTGTACTTTTGTTGCATTTAACTATTGAAATCAAACAAGAAAAAAAGTGAAAAAGCACAACATAAACAAGATCCAATCAAATCTTTAAACTGAAACTAAACACTTCTGACCTATAAAAAACGGAAATTCCGATTCGTAATAACCATTCTTTTCTTTTGTTCAACCATGTCTACAGATACTATCGACGAAGCAAAAACATCGAACGAGAAGCAAGTGACTACGAAGGACATTGCCAATCTGTATTCTCATCTCCAGACTATGATTGACAACGTTCCTAAATCACCACGTTACAATCAGACATCTCCAGATCTTCCTTTAACACCCACGACTTCTTCTTCCTCTAACCTCAACTCGAGTTCACATTTAGCGAACAAACCATTGCCTCCACGTACACCTAAAGAACCTGACTGTCCTTGCCACCACATTCTTGTCTCAAAAGACTCTCAACACTGTGCTTTGTGTGACGATATTATTCCCATTTTGGCTGAGATTCAGGATGACCGAGAAAAGAAACGTGACAAAATTAACGAAACAAAGCAGTTGCTTAGCAACGAACAGTCAAAATTAAAACAACAGCAGCAAGATATCGAGGCATTGAACAAAAAATGCATCGAGCTGACGGACAAATTAAAAAATACAACAGAACAGTATCAATCTTTACAAAATGATTTGGTTGTTTTGGAAAAGAAATACGAGACAGAAAAGATTGAAGCAGAGCAAGCAAAAAAAGACAAGACAGCTGTGGAAAACGAACTGGAAGATCTATCACAGCGACTCTTTGAAGAAGCAAATGATATGGTAGCCAATGAGAAGAGAGAAAAGCATCAACTAGAGATACAATACAATCATTTACAAGATGAACTTAAACTCTGTCGAGAACAAATAGAAGCAGAGGAATTACAGCTCAAAGAACTCAAGCAAAAATTTGGTAGCATGGAAGAGAATCGTGAAAAGCGTTTTAGTGACAACAACAGCAGCACAACTTCTCTTAGGGATTCAGCATCTGTAGAAGATGAGAATGTTCCTACTGAGCGTGCTTCTCGTGATATGGCCGGTTTATTTACACACAAAGACAACAATCTGGAAATACAAGAGACTACAGATCCCACAATTTTAAATGAATTTAAAGAATTTGTACAGTTAGATGAATCTGTGCCTATTCGAAAGTTACACAATGCAACTCTTTTTATGAGACACAGCTTGGCAGAAGATGTAGAGCCTTGCTTGCGTTTTGGTCCCAATGCACGACTCTCACCCAAAAAACTTTATGAAGCCATTTTACTTAATACTTGTTTTATTGAAGAAGCCCCTTATGAATATGCTCAAGAGCAGGCCAAAAGACCATATGATGTACCCCTTAGAATATCAGCTGCAAAAAGTATGATCTGGGAACGGCTTTCAAATGCTCCAATGGCCCTCTTTACAGGGTGTCAAGCATGTGGTAGAGTCACGAAAGATTTACCATATCGCTTTCGAATCTCCATGTTAGATGACTGGGCCTGCGTTGATAGATATTGTCGCGATCGATTAGTGGCTGTATGTGAGTTCTATACGTTTATAAGAAACATTCGCCAAGGCTATTACAATGGACGTACAGTCTCTGATCTGTATGGTGAAAGTATACGCTTAAAATTACAGATGTTCTATGCAAGGTAAGTCAAGTAGGGATATATTTATCACAAATTAACCTTTTTGAGCAGAATGGGAACATTATCTCAAACACTTCATAATATGGGAATTAAAGGAGACATGGTTGGACAAGCATCCCCACCCAACATGGTGATACCATCCCCTACTATTGAAAATGAAGACAAGGCATCTTTGGCTGATAGCACAGCAGAATCCAACATTTCTCAACGTATATCAGAAGATGAAGAAGAAAAGCCTTCTGTTCATCCAGGCAATTCGGTATGGATTGAGCTTTAAATACCCCGTTCTTATTGTGGTAAATACAAAGAAGAAAGAACGTTGTACAAAACCTGTCTCCCTTTTTTGTATAAATCAAAGAAGACTCTTATTTGATGTCATCGGAATAAGAATTAACAAATTAGTAAAGCACAAGAAAATTTTGGCTTGTTCTCTTTTCTTCTTTTTCTTTCTCTGTTTTTTTTCTCTTGAATATTGGGTTTCGTTCTATATAGTACTAAAATACACACTATAGTAGGCATATAAAAATACAAACAAACTAAACATTCATCTCTTCTTTTCTTTAGTTTATGATTTTCTTGAATTGAGATGAATCGACAAGAAATTCCACCGCCTCTAAAGTTATTAAGGCCCAGTCAATCAAGCGTTCGATATTCATTGAGTATTATATGAAAAAAAAAATACATAGAATGAATTTGGTGTGGTGGAAAGGGCCCTCCTTTGTTTTTCTAATCATATTTTTTTTTTTGATACAGAAGTTGTACAAAATCCTTTAAGGGCAAGATGTTGTGGATTTGGTCAGAAAGATCGTAGACCTATTGATCCTCCACCTATTGTTCAACTATGTGCAAAGAATGAATATGGCCTAGACATTAATCTTAAGTGAGTAAACGATATATATATACATATTGACATGCATGTTTACTCTTTATAGACCTGAGGACTCCATTTTATTTTTAGCTCAATGTGAACTTTATGACGCTGATATGAAAGAGAACAGAACCATGGTAGTCAAACCAAGCTCTCTTTCAAAAAATACCAACAAAAAACCTGAAATTATGCGAAACTTGATAGGTTCTTCAGTCTCAAATGCTTATCATCTGTATAATGATCAGGGCAAACCTGGGACATATTTTGTATTTCATGATTTAAGTGTTCGTACAGAAGGTATTTTTAGACTAAAATTTGTTTTTGTCAACCTTGCAGCGGGGTAAGATAAGGATAAGAACTAGCGTAGTAACTAAGAGCTTGTATTTGAGTGAACCATTGACTATGAGCACATATGTTCAAGAAGAAGTTTTTTCAGCTTGCTTTACGGTATATCCAGTGAAAAAGGTAATTTTTTTTATCTCTTCTTTTTTGGCTCATCTCACATACGGCATCTAGTTCCCTGGTTTGACTGGTACTGAAATGCAACCCCATTAAAAAGAAATCTAACCAATTTTACAAATATGTACAGAATCGACACGTCTTTCTCGTTGTTTCTCAAAGCAAGGTATTAAAATACCGATTAGAAGTGAAACTCCAAGCAAGCGATCATTATCACTCAATACTTCTGAGGAAGCTTCCGGCAGCAATAGCAATGACACAAAAGAGCAACAAGTAGCAGAAGGGGAGGGTAGACAAGAAGAGAAGGAAGAAGAGACAGAAAGAACACCTAGTTTTACTCGTCTGTCTATTTCGGATTTCCTGTTACCAAATTGAAAAATACTGGTTCTTTTGCACCACAATAAAAAAAATATGTCTTTAGCCCTATATAGTAATGATTGATGCATAGTTGACAAAAATGATCAGAAACAAAGGGCACCGTTGGGCAAAAAAAGGAGGTACACGCAGATACAATGGCTTCACTCCTAAAGTTCACTTTTTTTTATTGACCAAAGTTCGTTTTGGCAATAGCATTTGCATTGTTGAAAGTTCATTTTGGCTTCAACAATTTTTTTTCTTACATACCACTCAAATAAACAGCAGCTTCTCCTATGAAAATAGTAGAGAGTGTTGTGGATGGACAGGGAGACAAGGCTACAGAATTGGAAGAGGGAGTAAATCCTTAGAACCTTGGCACTTTGTTTTCTTAATCTCTATACCAAGCTTTTCAAAGTCGCAATCATATTAAGGATATAGACGAACCTGATGAAGAGTTATCATAACAAATGCCGAGTAATAAAAGTTGCAATGCGTATCATGACAAGACAGATGTTCGTTTTATTCTTGTTTCAATAGAATCAAGCTGTTATGGGAAAATCTGAGTTCTATTACAGAAACAACCCAAGTAAACCTTAATTTATCCAAGAAGCATGCACACATCACACTTGTGCAATTTGAATAAAACTAAACAACAAGTAAAAGAAGAACAAGAAGACAGCGAAACAAGTCAGATGAATAAGTTGGCATCCTGTAAGTAAAAGTAAACATATCCGTAAAAGCTATGCAAGCTAGTTTTTATTATTTCATGTACGGAAACTTGAACAATGCAAGACTTCACTCACAGAAATAATCACTAGAAACCAAGGCATTTGTATAGTTCTGTATGTTGATTCTACTAAAGAAGACGTTAAGATTTGTAAAGAACAACTATTACTATTATAGAAAAAAAGGAGTGTAATGCTCCAAACTTGGTGTTGAATGCACCAAGTTAGATATGTGGTTACTTGATGCATCTGAGACAGGGATTCCCAAGTTTGGCACCAAGCACCAAGTTAAATGTGAGACGAAAGAACATTTATAGGAGTATAGTGTCAGATCATATTACGACTACTTTTCTTTCAGAATACAAGTACAGTCGTTCCAACGCCAAAAGGCGGTTAATAAATATTTCCAAAGGGCGCCTAATACAGTATGAGATACAGCTCTAGTGGTTGGAGTGGTCGTAATAGCGGGTGTTCCTTTTACAGACCATCCGCTAGGAGGTCTCATGTTTATATCAAATGCAGACTCGTCTACGAATACACAGTTTTCTAAGTAATTCATATCAGTAGCAGACCACTTGATGACTCAATCTTTACAAACTTGGATCTTATCTGAATTATTTCTAGCAACCGGCAAGCGCGTTAACTTCTTAAAAGAAAGGTTGCACTCATCCTTAAGGAAGTTGTAAACAGTACTTTTCTTCACATTCAGATCAGAGAATTTTTGAGTGAGTGATTCCATTGCATCAAGCACTCGTGCTTGTGGCCAATTATCGTAAAACTCTAACAGATGAACCTTATGTCTTTCATCCAATTGTGGTTTTGGTCTATTGACCAAATTGGTTTGTTTCTCAAACATGTTCCAATCCTTATCCTCTTTGAGTTTCTTGGACCATTTCTGTGCTGTTCTCTCGGCTATGCCACCTGCTAAGCGCCCGGACTTAGCTGCGTTAAATAATTTAATTCGGTTATAATACACAAAAGCGAGCTTTTACTCGTTTGAGTATTTGTGGTGAACTCTTTTCTGCTTCTTAACTGTAGCTATGACTTCCTCCATATCAGCATCAAGATTTCTCAAGGAATCTTCGGAGAAAACCCCTTCTTCCTCTTGCTTTCTACAATACTCTGTAATACGAGTCAGAGTTCTTATGTGAAAAGGAGTAGCTTCCTCAACCCAGTCCATCGCATCGTTTCCTTCCTCATCAACCAATTCTCCTTGGCCGTCTTCATAATAAAAGCGAGTAGTCATCATATTTATTTGAAAAAAAAAACGAAGTTTAACAAAATGATTGGCCCAACCTAGTTTCGTCGGCTGTAAATACCTTGCATAAACATATAAATACTTTTTTTCTATTTCGTTTTTATTTAACATTCAATTATCATACAAACTCTATTACAGCCCCTCCCAGGTATGTATTGCAAATCCATCATTCCATTTTTGAGTAAAAGATAATGCAACTTGGCACTTACAGAACCCAATGTAGGTGTTCGGACACCAACTAGCACTAAAAACTACTCAGTGCTTTACATCATATTGCGATACACCAAGTATGTATCGGAATTGAAGTCTACTTGGTATCCTGTGCACCATTCTTGGAACATTACACCAATTTTATTAGTATCTATACGTCTATATTGGAGTAATGCTTCAAAATTTGACGGCAGTGCCTAAGACAATTTAAAAAGTCTTATCAATGACAATTTTGAGCTTGTGGGCTATGCCTTCAAGTCTCCAACAGACGATGTGACTGATAATGTAACTTGATGGTTACAGCTGATGGTCAAAAAGCTGAATAAATGTTCATTTGCTTCCAGAATTTGCGTATCGACGTCAAGTCGAGCGTCTTCGCCTTTTCCGAAGCGAGATTTGATGCCAAACAATGGAATAATATTCAGCTTGAAAAACGTCAATGACAACATGCAAGGCTTGCTTGTCTCCCTCAAGCCTGTTGATCATGGTATATTTTTGTCTTCAATTGACTTTGCTGGTCTTACCACAAGAAGTAGTAATTTATTGAGGTTGATAGAAGACAATCATGCCATCATGAGAATTGAGATTAAGACTTTTGCTATCAATAATGAACTGCAACAAAGCAAATGCTATTACCAAAATGGGCTTTGTTCAATAAAAAAAAAGCGAACTTTAGGAGTGAAGCCAATGTATACCAAGACAATCCAAGAAAAAAGTATTACTTGTTTAGTGCATTCTAGAATTTTCATAATTGCTTCTTTAGGCAGAATGGCATTACACAAAAGGAGAAATTTATCATTTCTTGTACTACTTTGTTAATCATTCAACTTTTAAACAGGAATAGTAATTTTATTGGCATATGCATATATGATATGAATAGAGAGTGTGTAGGTGCAAATGATTAACTATAATACAATTTTTTTCTATTTTTTTTTTCGAAGGACCTTAACGGCGACGAATAATCTTTAAAGGATCCTTGCGTTTCTAAATAAAATATAAATACGCATATACAGCCAAATATATCCTATTTACCTTATTAGCTCCTTTCTTAAAGGAACCACGCTTACGTTTCTGACTTTGAAATGGAACATCAATAGGTTCAGTATTAGCCATGGCAGTAGGAACAGCAATACGAGGCATTAAATAAGAAGGAATATGCTTTAAATGGTCTTGAACACGTGCAGGCTGAAGGGCATGATCATGGCGCAAAAACTCTAAGTCCTTTGGCTTATCTTCAAAGTGTGCTTTAAGCTTTTCACTATTCATGATTTCACGCTTGATTTCTTTGATACGTGCTTCTTTAATGGCTACTTTGTTGACATTCTTCAAGGCATCTTCTACACGATATTTAAAACCAGCTACATTCTTCTTTTCAAAACTGTAAGGCTTTAATTCAGCTCCCTTGGCTTCTTGTTGCTTTTGGACACGCTTATAGACAGCTTCATCTGTTACGTTTTTGCCTCGAGCAACTTCCTTTTTCTCTTCAACAAGTTCCTTTGTAACTACAAATGATAAACTCATACCGCGTTGTCCACCACGAGCAGTACGTCCAATACGATGTGTGTAGGCTTTTGAAGAAGTAGGGAAATCAAAGTTGAGAACAGCAGTAACACCTTGAAAATCAACACCTCGAGAAACACCATATTCTTTGTCTTTTTGCACTTTTTTGCCCTTCTTGTCTTGTTTTTGAGCTATTTAATAAATTAGACATATATTTCTTCTTTTTTGTCTTAGTAACCTACATTTCTTGTTTTCATCTTCTTCCTCTTCCTTTTCGCTTTCTTCATCTTCACTATCGAGCTCTCCTTTGAGTTCTGACTCATCAGTGGCAATCAAGTAATCGTAAATGCCACGGTTAAATTCTTCTACAATATGGTATCTAGAGTTCAATGGTAGTTCTGAGTTGAGAACACAAGACTTGATCGAAAATTGTTCCAAAAAGAGCTTAAGCTTGTAACAACGATCAATGTCATTTACAAACAGTAAGATCTTGCCCTTGATCAAGCGAAGTTTGATAATAACAAATGTAAACAAGAACTTCTCGAATTCTGTGCATTTGACAACATATTGAGTAAGCAAATCTGTTTCTTCTTTTGTGTCATCTAAAGCTAAAATAGCAGGCTTTCTCAAGACAAGTGCTGTCAATTGTTCGATTTCCTGTATCCTGTTATAAATTCGTTTTTAAGGGGTTGATATTCTCTTACCTTGGTAAAAGTAGCAGACATCAAGAAACTTTGGTAAATCTTGGGTAAATGGGTCAAGATCTTTCTAACATCCTCTTCATAACCAAAAGATAGAACTAAATCAGCTTCGTCAATAACAAGGTTCTCAAGTGAATCTTTGAGGGTCATGTTGTTTGCTTCAAGGTGTGTTAAAGCTCTACTAGGTGTTGAGACAATAATGTCGGGCTGTTCTGCTAAAAGAGGTCTGTATATACAGTTGTAAGTTGACTGATTCATTCTGGTTGTAATCTTTTACCTCTGAAGTTGTGCAGACATTTGTCCTGCTAAATTAACTACTTTGACTAGTTGGTTGGCATACACTAGAAGCTTGTTTAAGTGGTTGGTTACTTGTTCAGCAAGTTCTCTTGTTGGAACTAAGATCAGAGCTCTAATAGCAGGTTTTGCTTCGAGATCCTAGTTTTGTATTAGCACCTACATACTTTTGATCAGTCATACTCACTTGTTTTGTAGCAAGAATCTTTTGTACAATAGGCATAGCATAAGCGGCAGTTTTGCCACTACCTGTACGAGCACGAGCAAGAATATCTTTACCAGCAAGGGCAAGAGGAATACCTTGAGACTGAATAGGCGTTGGTCGGGTAAAGTCAAGTTGAGCAATGGCTCTTGCTAAACGAGGGTCAAAATCAAAGGCTGCAAAGGTTTGTTCTGTCATAGTTTGCGAGAAAAGAAAAGGTTTTTTTTTTTCTGCTTTCTTTAACTTTTTTATTCACAGTCACAAACAGTCATGTAGACCTCTAAATAAGAGAGGAAAAGGATTTCTTTAATGCGAAAGACACACACAACAAATTATAATAGATCAAACAATTTTCGTCTTTTTTTCTTTTAATTGAAAATAAACATAAGATATTCCAACATTTTTTTTACTTGAGGGGAACAAACTTAGAAGAGTGAGTGGCACCAATACCGGGGCGACCGTGCTTAACAGGCTTGTAGGTGATGGAGAATTCACCAAGGTAGTGACCAGTCATTTCAGGCTTGATTTCAACTTGGTTGAAAACTTTACCGTTGTAGATACCAACAACGGAACCAATCATTTCAGGAACAATGATCATGTTACGAAGGTGAGTCTTGACAACTTCGGGCTTTTCACCAGCAGGAGCGTTCTTCTTGGCAGCACGGAGCTTCTTGATAAGACCCATGGGCTTACGCTTAAGACCACGTTGGAATCTTCTGCGGGCACGGCAGTGGACGAGTTCCATGAATTGTTCAGAGGACAAGTCCAAGAGTTGTTCGAGGTCAATACCACGGTAGGTGAACTTACGGAAGGTTCTCTTTCTGGGAGTTTGCTCGTCAGCCTACAGTTGTATGTTAATGTTATCTTTGTCTATGCACAAGTTCGCTTATGTATCCATAATTCCACTAGTATCAAGGCATATAGAGAAACGGTTTCTATTTACTATCAAATAGTCGACGTGTTTGATTTTATGCGTGTGTTCATGACAATCAAGTAACTGCGTATTGTAAGTTGACTCTCTCCATACGTTATCCATATCTGTTCATCTTTTTTTTCTTCCTGTTGCTTCTTTGCTGTAGAAACCGCTTCTGTGCCCTGATACATTATCGATGGATGGATGGATTGCGTATATACATACCATACTTAAAAGATGCAAAAAGGAAGGATTCAAGGGAGCAGCAGACCTTCAAGCAGATAGGGTCGGCTGTGATTGCCCGGTTCGGGCTATTTTTGAGACTCAGCGTATATACAGACGAACAAGGTTCAATACTCCGACTCTACTATTTCTTCTGTCACTCCCTTTGATGCCATTGTGAAAGAAATAAACATTATTTCGATCTGTCAAACATATAGATGATATGGCCATTTTCGATTCACCTGTATCTTATAACTCCTTGTTTAGTTCGCAATTAGCATAACTAGAAAAGCAATACATCTTTGATAATATGTATTAACCCAATAAAAGCTACTTTTCTACAATAAAGATACTAAAGAATAATAATTAGATTTTATCTATTCCTTCAAGAAAATCATCTAAATCTAAAGACTAAAAAAGTCTAAATGAATTGGCAATGCTTTCTCAGAAGAATTATTACTGAACTCTATTACAGGGCCATAGAAGACTACCATGATTAGCAATTCACTACGGCACAAGCAATGGAAGAAATCTTCCCTTAGATGCAGAAGTTTTTTTTTTTATCAATAATGGAAGCTTTTGGCCAAATCTTCACTCATATATAAAAGAGAAATGCTGTGGTGATTGATGAATTAGCAAGTGTGAATAAAAAATCTAAATTATCTTAAAATGAACATATCTCCTCACTATCCAGGCATATCAAAAATCGCTTGTTTGTAAATGAATCCTATTAAAAATATTGGAACGCCTTTGATTATTTAGCAATACAATGTCTGTAGAGTTTGAAAAAACAAGAGAAATATATAAAAAAAAAAAAAAAAAAGGTAATAGAAAGTATTTTGCAAAAAAAAAAAAAAAAAAAAAAAAAAAAACGAGACAAGATGTAAGCAATATATATATATATATATGAACTGCAATGGGCATAACAGTCAAAGCAGAGATATCAGTCAAAGAAATAGTCTTAAAAGGCTTGTAGTAACAAGAAAGAAACAGCTTGAACTGGGTACATAAAGGTACGCTAATGAGTGGTTTTTTCTTAGACATATAAAGGTAGCATAAAACCTATTCATTCATGTGTAGATGCTCCTAATACTCACAAACAGTGTTTACTAACCTCTATGATGCTTTTGGGGTTGATTTGGAAAAAAAAAAGCGACTTGCAAAAGATAACCAAAACAGCCTATGACCTAAAGGGAACTACTCGTGAAAATCATCTGACAGCTCTTTAAGCTTTTTTTTATGCTACAAGACGAAAATTAAGGCTATCGACAAGCTTGAAAACTCAAAATGAGTGCCAGGCGCTCTAGTTTTTGATGAATGCGTTTGCTTTTGAGTTGTACTATAAATATAATGTGATATAGATGAAAAACCTCATAAATATTTTTGCGTATTTTCTCAATATTTTAGCAGCAAATCTGATGGATTATCTGCATCAGAAGACTCTTCACTGAACGAAAGAAAAATAACTGCGTCTTTATGCAGTTTTCAGCAAAAGCTCGATTCTTGATGCAGCGGGAGAAGAATTGGAGTTGTCTTCCATTCCAATCTTCGCAATTTAGCCATCTGGTATGTCCTATGTCCATTTACTCCACACTTAAATTATAAAGTGCATCTTTTTTATTTCTCCATGTTTTTTGCCACTCAAAATAACATAAATTCTTTAGAAACATCAATTGCTAGGACGTTTTACATGACATCCAGAACAGAAATGGTCAAAACACAACTTAAACAAACCAATCTTGATGGGCCAGTGCTTCACAACCAGACTATCAAAACAGTCCATTTTTTATTTAAAACATGTTCTTTCAAGCTCAGGAATCAAATGGTACCATTGGTTTGGCTGTTTTGTGAAATTCATTTTTTTTTTTATCATGGAGGATCACGGAGGTCCGTGAAAATGAAAAAAAAAACAAAACTCGATCAGGAATTTTTGGAGTGACCAATGTAGGCCTAATCCAACCAAAATCAGGTAAGACCATTTCTATGTACTTCAGAAGAAAAGAAAGTGAGTTTACTAAGACGAAAACGTCGATTTAATATGAGCATCGCCTTCAAATCTGCATTCAAACTTTATTGCTCAAAGTACTTTTGGTTAAAAGGTATTTCTTAACGCATATGTTAACGAATGGTTTTTTCTTCTCTGATGCTCAAGCAATCAAAACCTTGTTGAGCGACCTTTCGTGTTGCTAATTGACAACCAAAGTTAAGTGCATGTTCTAAAGTACCAAAGCAAGTCAAGTGATAAATGATACCAGCTATGAAAGTATCACCTGCTCCTACAGTATCTACTACTTTCTCAATAGCTGGAGGTGTTGCGCGATATGTTTGTTTTGTTTTGTTGTCAAACACAACAGCACCTTCAGCACCCCAAGTGCAAAATGCAAATGCACTATTATGTCATTACCATCTATCATTTAATTCTTTTTTCTCTCACCTTGGTTTCAATTCTTGAGCAATCAAGAACTGAGAAGGGTCTTGATACCCATGATGTTGAGCATAAATCTTTGAGAAGAACACAACATCACCCTAGACAAAATAAATATTAAAAATAGACCATATATACTTACTTTTTGTGCAAGCAAATGAATATCTGGTCTTTCAGGCTTCTCTAGTTCAACAGAAATAGTCAGTTTAGATCTCCAATATTCTCGGGCAGCTTTTTCATTCAACCATTCAATCTGACGTATTGTTTCATGTATATTGCGACCTTCAAAATGAACCCATACATTTTCTTTTCTTGGAAATGTATCAAACGTTTGAATAAATTCATTCAAGTCTATTTCTTTTAAACTTGAACAATAAGCTATCACAAACACAAACAGTTTTTTTCTTCCTTTACTTGTTGTTGGATATAATAGTTCTTGAGCTTGTACTTTGATTATGAATAATTACAGAAGAAGGCGTAAGTTGTTCTTCTCGATATAACATGGTGTCCTTGATATGTTTTAACGAATCCATGATGTAACTAAGTCAAATGGTCATTGTCTCGGTGAATAATAATATTTTGATCAAACCTTGATGTCTCATGGGATCCAACTGCAGACATGTAACACACATCAAGTTGATGATGAAATTGAGCTAACACTTGAGCTGTATTGCAGGTATTCCCTCCTACTCTTTGTTCAGCATATGTTGCTCTTATTTTTGTGTCTTCTTCAGGAAATTTGTTAACATGTAAAATGGTGTCTAAATAGACTTGCCCAACAAGCAACACAAAAGGTTTATTTTCCATGATAAAAAAGCAGAAAAAAAAAGAGAGAGAGAGAGAGAAAAAAGACACCACACGTGTGATGCATATCATAAAGTCACAGGGTTAAAAAAGTACATTAATGTACATCAGTTAATTTATCCATTTCCCTTGTTTTTTCTTCTTCTTTTCTTCTTTTTTATTTTCTATTTACTGCTAAAGATGGACAATCCTTTCCATGATGCTTTGGAGGAAACGAAGAGTGGGTTTTATACAGTTGATGCTGTATCACTCTACCGATCATCCAAGAAGCCTTTTCATTTAGAAGAGAGATTCAAGCGGGATCTAAATATACAGCAACAAAAAAAGAAAAAGAGCATTCACCAAGTCGAGTCAAAACGAGAAGCTATTCTGCAAGAAAGAAGAAACAGACTGAACCAGAATTTCCAAAAAGTACAACAGATTGTCAAAGAAACCAAAGACAAGCGACAAGACATGATTAACTTGTTATCAAAAACAATGGCCATGGCTGAATTCAATCGAAACCTCTATATCGAACAGAGAAGGAACAATTCGAAAAAGATTGTTGAGAGAGCAAAGCGTGTGGCACTTCAAAACCAGGAAAGGTCTGAGCAGGAGCAAGGTAAAAGAAAGGCATGGAAAATGAAAGAACGTTGGTTGACTAATAGCTTTTATTTATAGAGAGACGTAGAGCTGAACTTGAAAGCAGATTAGTAAAGACTGAAGAAAGACGATTGGCTCACTTAAACAGATATAAACAGCAGAAAAAGAAAAAATCCATTTCTTCCTCTTCTTCATCTGAATCTGATATGCCTAGTATGTCTACTACAACAAAGAAAATTGCGACACCTCCTTTATCTCCATCCTTATCAGCACCTAAAAAGAAGCCTTCCTCTTGGTCTATCATATTAAAAGCTTTCAAAGAGTTGGGTTTGCCTTTGCCTTCTTCACCTGATACATGGCTTGAATTCAATGCACTTGTCCAATTACTTCATCAGCCCAAAGTCATTGTAATCACAACCAAAGTACTCAATACAGCCCTCAAAATCACAGACGAAGAAAGCAGACACCGTGCTCGTGTGCTCTTAACTTCTTACATGACACTTATGTGCCCTAAAGAAGTAATACAAAACGTCGATGGTCCAGAAGAAAAGCGTCTACATGCAGCCGCTCAAGAGATGCTTCAATTATTTGAGACTTGGTTGCGAGCGCATGGACGTCCTGGTGCTACGGCTGCTCGCCTAGCTTTTGTGAATGCCTGGAATGATTACAACTTGCTTTTTGAGTCTTGGAAGTCAAGAGACTGCGACCAACTTGTCAAGAATATGATTAATTATTATGTAGAACTCTCTACTCTTCGTCAGACAATGATTGCACAAAGCTATGGGGATCAATCTGTGGGTGAGCAATTACAACAGCAACTGGAACAAGTCAAGATAAAATTGAAGAAAATCGGTGGAAATGATGCACTTTCCAGTCTGCAAAGAGCGTTAGAATTGGCTGCTTCATCCACTTCAACTGGTAGAAGAAAGCAACAGCAGATCAACACACCCCGTTCCTCAGATAGTTTTGAGCAAAAGCAGCCCACTACATCAGCTCATCCTAAACAAATGAATCAGTTGCTTGATGGATTTGTTCAGCCTTCGCTTGGTTTGACAAATGAACAATTGGCGCATGAATTAATTCTGGATCCCGAATTCAAGTTGGAAAAGCACGAGCCTACTGATGAATTAGAAAAGCGGGTTAGGACAATAGCTGAAAAGGCATTCTTCGACAAACTGGAACAAGATATTGAACATCATCAGTCCTATGAAGCGCTACTTTCCTTGATTCAAGATGTTAAGATGGTAAGTTGAAAACCAAGCAAACAACCAAAGCTAACTATTTTGAAGCGATTACTTTCACTTGTTCGACCTCATACTTCAATGCATCGACAAATCAACGAAGCTATTGACTTGAATCTAATTGAGCAACAAATAAAGCAGCGGTCGTTTGATATGCAAGCTATGATTGATTATGTTCTCCAGACCATGTCCAACATGTGTGCTCCTGTTCGAGACAGTGAAATTCAAGACACCAAATCTATGAGCATTATAGACCAAATGAAATCGATACTTGCCATACTTGACAACATGAATCTTGACCTTGCTAATTTTAGACTACGTTCCTTACGCCCACACCTCATGAGCATGGCTGTCGAATACGAACGTGAGAAATTTGCCACTATGATTAACCAAGGCACAATTCAATTGGTCCGTACAAAAGCATGGCTGACAGAGTCTACAGAAAGATTATGTCAAGCAGTTGCCCAACGTAACCCCGAAAATGTATTGCCAGAAAAGAACAACAAACCTTCGCATGATGCTGTGTTTGAGGATGCATTTGTCTCTCTTTTGACGAAAGCACAACCTGTGATCCGTACACTACATGATTTACCAGAGACTTTGGCGTTGGACTTGCAGCGTATGGCCAAATATCAAAATGAAGTCCAGGCAATTACGATGGTGGCTGCCTTATTGATGCTTGCCAGGAATTTCGGATCCGCTCAACCTCAACAGTTATCAGAATTGGCTATCAAGTTATTTACAATGTTGGAAGACAGCACAACATCCATTGACCATCTTTCTACAGAAATCGAACGATCAGTGAATGTGCGACCTGAACGACGAGTCATGGTTCGTACCATGGTTGACAAGACAGTTAGTCATTCAGACACAGTGTATTCTCTACTTTCTCGACGAGTTGCTTCTGTGATCAAGTACACAATTCAGAATAACAAATTTGTTTCTGACGCAGTTCTCTCAAGCAATGGATTAGAACCAGTACGTAGTCATTTGCAGTCTATCTCTCTTAAGGTCCAAAGACTGGCAAGTCATCATAGAAAAGTGTACTCAGAATGGTATGATGAGATCATTGCTGAAGTATTGAATAGTCAATAAACTCCTGAATTCAATTATTCGTTGTCTATACTTTGGACAAAGAAAATTCATCGTATAAAACTGCTTTTCAGTGTAACGTGAAATATATGTAGCGTCTCCTTTTTTTTTTTTCTCCCTGTAAATAAAAGCGCCATAAAATAAGGGGGAGCAATCATATGAAAATAAATGTGCATATACAAGATTTTTATACAAAGAAAAAAGAGATTACATAAATTACATACAAGTTGGTTGTTCCAATAAAAGATCAGGTCCTTTCCATAGATTGATAAAGATGGCAGCAGTCAAAATGATGGCAAACCGACACCAACGAAATAACGAACGAAATAAATAACGAATGTGAAATAAGATATGATTCACCAATCCCTTTTTAGGTGATTCGGGGTTCACTGTCTCGACTTGTTTTGAAAGGATCGGATAGAGATTGAGTTCTGCGTAGACAGTGCCGTTGCCTTCTGGCCCAAATAGACTAATATCACCCTCTGAACGTTTGGTGAGGTAGTGTTCGGCTTCATCCAACATGGCACGGTCTTCAATACCCAATGTCGACAGGAGTGTGTCTACTGCATAATCAGCTGGTGCATTATAAAATGAGGTGAGATTGCGCTCAGTCATTTCATATAATTTACTCGATAGACTACTGGTATCGCTCAGTTGAGACAAGCTGGTATCAGATCGACTTTTTGTTAGGCCATTCCCTTTCCATACATGTTCCAATTCACCTAATAAGCTTTTTTGTTGGTATAATAAGGATGTTGAAATTGTAGAGGAAGTAGATCGTTTTGATGTCATGCTTGGCGTATGAGGAGACCATAGACCGCGGTCACGTAATTTACTTAAAATGAGACGATGGTCTTCTAAACTATCATTCAATTCTCTGATATGCACTCGCTGTTGCTCGAAGGCTTCTTGTAATGCTAAGTAGTTTTGCTGCGTTAATTCAAATTGTTCAAATTCCTTTTTCAGTGTATCCAGATCTTGTAAAGAAGTCATGAGTTTGGCTTCTACTGATTTTTTGGATAGTTGCAAATGTTTGTTTTCAATAAACAGCTCTTCTAATTTGACGGTCAATTCTTCTAGTAATTCTAAATCTTCTGATTGTCTTTGTTCAAAATCCCTTCGTTCATCCAGTTGACCCACATGCTGTTGCTTCTTTAGTTCTTCAAGTTCTTGTACTTTTTGTGCTGCCAAGTCCAAGTCGTGCCTGAGTATTTCAATTTCTGATTCCAGTTTTCTTTGTTTCTTTTGATAAGCTTCATTTGTGAATTCAGATTCTTGTTGTGTTTGTTCCAACATCTGCTGAATTTCTGCATTTTTTCGTTCAAGTGACTCAATGATGGAATCATATGCTTTTTTACTTGATATGAGTCTCATGGTCTCTTCTTCTTCCTGTTGTTGCTTTGCTTCAATTTCACAATGCTTCACATTTTGTAGTAGCTTATCGTAGTCTGATTTGAGCGCTTGGTTGTGTTCTAGTAAGGATTTACCAATCTCTGCTGCCAACAATAAATCTAAATTGCTGTAAGTATTTCTGTAATCGATGTGAAAATGATCTTACTTTTTTCTTTTTCTCTAAGTGACTTGTATGCATTTTTCAATAAAGAACCAAGTTCAGATGCAGATTTTTCGGCTATACCAGCAACAACGGAAGATATAAATGAAGTGGTAGAATCAGCAGGTGAATAAGGCGGTTCTTCTTCCTGATAAAATTTATTGGTAGGAGTAGACTGAGACATTTTACTGACTGGCACAACCTGAAGTCTTGGTTTTGACCTTTTATGAGAAGCAAGCATATGAAAAAAGAAATTAAAGGAGAAAAAAGAGAAAGAAAACGAAAACATGATGTTAGTATTTATACAAAAGCGGAGTTATGATGATTATTGTTGCCTTCCCCCTCTCTTTCTTACAATGCTTGAACATTCCATCTGCTGACCTACGGAATTAAAAAAAAATGTTGGGGACTAAGGTACGAGGTCGTACAAATAAGAGACAATAGGCACCCTTTTACATACACTCCTTTATCATAGTCCTTCTATTACACTGCGTCGTACAAAGCATGAGAGAGAGAGACAATAGAAAACCTTATTAACAGGCATTATGCATGTACTATAAAAAGATATTGTATGGCCAATGCCCTTGAAAAAAGAGCCTTTATGACTATATTGTGCTACCTACGGTTTGTTTCTGAAAATGGCAATGTAAACAAATGTACGCTCCTTGTTCGTAGGTTTGTCTTCAGTAGACAAGAAAGCTAACTCAATGGCTCGACCTGAATTACGCAATGCATCTTTTGCAAATTGGCCTGTGACAATATAGCTATTTGAATTGAGTTTACCAACAAACATGTTCCTCTTACGTGATGGTGCTGTAAGGCGTAAATAAAAAGTCTTCTCTTAAATAGCCCTCAGATATCAAGCGGTTCAAGATGTGTTCAATATCCTATGTCGATCAATTATAAACACGGTTTATCATAGACTTACGTATTCAGTGTATGTTTTGTCAATAGGAATCTGTATACGATCGTCTTGTTGCACACGCGTCTTTGCTATTCCCAAGCCTCGTCCCTGCACCATTTGAACCAGTTTAGCCATAGTAACCCTTTCATTTAAATCCTTTAATAGCATGCATAACCGAATAATGGCTTCTGCTACTGGACGAATATTTTTGATGTGGACACTCTCTTGAGGACGAGTACAGTTATCACAAATGCCACAAGACTGATCAGGTGTTATCTTGCGACATGTAACATAACCTTGGGCACATTTTGCCATTTCATACACTATCAACAACAATCAATATAAGGCAATATTTGTCTTGATTCTTTCTTTTGTCCTTTACTTCTTACTTATCTATCCATTTTTTCTACTACTTATGAAGACAGCTACGACCAATGTATCGGAATGTTTATTCCGTTAAATCCGGCCTTTGTACAACGCTAAATTGACTTAACAGAGTTTGCAATCTCATAAAGGTACTACATCATTGGATAATAAAGGCTGCTTCATGTTTATACGTGTGAGTCAACACAGTGGTAATGAGAGATATTTACATGCTCTAGCTATTCTTTATGGATTGTACTACATTCTTTTCTCTTTTTGTTTTAAAACTATGAGTATGAGAACAAGGAATACTGTTTTATTATTAAAGCCAGATCCTACAGCTGCTTACTATACAGTTTGATTTTTCCTCTCATAGCTAACCTTGCTTAATATTTTATTTTCAATATGAAGGCATAAGGATGATGCATTATTTAGACAACATTTGCATTTTATCACAAGACCCTCAATACTTACAACAAACGGCTCAAAGGGTAATTACAGATTTAGAATCACTAGGTTTCATTATAAACCAAAGGAAGAGTTTATTAACACCATCTCACATTCAGGAATATTTGGGGTTCGAGTTCGACACCAAAAAAATGACTATCAGAGTTCCAACTTTAAAAGTCAACAAACTGATGCAACGGATCAAGCAAGCAATGACACCAACAGTAAGGACACGACGATGGATAGCGGGTCTACTAGGCAAGATCACAGCGACGATACTAGCGATAAGAGAAGCGCCATTGCATATACGTCATATCCAAAGAAGTCCATCGAGAAGTTTGTCAACACAAGCGTACAATTGGGAAGGCTCATATCACCTGGAGCAACAAGCGATGGAAGAACTAAAATTGTGGAAGAAATTTTTAACCAAAAAGAATGGACTACCAATACAGAGGATTGCCTTGAAAAAACCTCAAATAAATATCGCAACAGACAGTTCCGACACGAGTTGGGAGAGTACACTGTCCAATAATACAGGCATACGGGTTCTGGACAAAGGAAGAAGCACAAATGTCAATAAATGTAAGAGAACTGCAAAGCATTTTGTTTGCACTGAAGTTGCACACAGAAGAATTCAGAAACTCAACCATAAAAATTCTGACCAACAACAAGATCTCAATAAAATATACGACCAAGGTGGGCGACACAGCGTCAATACACTTACAGAATATAGCAGTACAAGTACAGGATGTATGCAACAGATACAATCTCCAAGTAATATACCAATACATAAAGGGAATAAACAATGTGGAAGCGGACAGGTGATCCCGTATAAAGAAGCCTCTATACGAAAGCACGATTCCAAGAAAGTTTTTCAAGACCATCATGAAAAAATGGGGACCGTTGACCATCGATAAGTTTTCCACTAGACAGAATGCACAACTATCAACTTACTGGAGCCTGAGACCAGACCCGCAAGCAGCAACAACAGATGTGTTCCAGCAACACTGGCGGATGACAGGATTATATGCTTACCCTCCTTGGAAGTTGATTTCACCAGTACTGCAGATGATAAAAATGAAGGAAATCAAGAGAATGGTATTGGTAACTCTGTGGTGGCCAACACAATTTTGGTACCCAATGATACTAGGGATGAAAAAGTTGAGCAAACCAATATTTTACCAGAGATCTCAGAAGAAGCGATGAAATTCTTAGAAGCTCAAAGGGCAAGCACGAGGAAGATGTATGACAATGGTTGGAGAATTTGGTTAACTTGGTGCCAGAAGAAAGACTTGGACTGTAAAGAATACAACATTAACAATATTGTGGAGTTTTTGAATGTTAACAAGCAATTCAGCACTCGACATTTGAATACTATTCGATCGTCTATTGCGTCAGTTTTTAAGCATATCCATATTAGCAAGGATCCTATTGCTTACCAACCATTAATCCAAGAATTTTCAGCTCAAAAAGAAATCAACCATTACCTGTACCAGCAGATCATAAACTGAAAGTATGGAATATTGACGTGGTCATTCAGTATATCAAGGTCAACTTGAGCAATAACCAAACCATCACTCTTACAAATTTTCAACAAAAGACCATTGTTCTACTATGCATTAATATCATGGCTAGACCAAGATCAGACATAGGGAATATACAATATAGGGATGCAAGATTAGAATATGACAGTCAAGGTACTTTAATAAGCGCCAGAATCCATTTCCGACTTCCTAAAGAATCTCAATTGAAATCATGTAAAATTGGTGTTGTTGAAGATACAAGTATTTGTCCTGTTGTAACACTACACATATTCCTTGAAAGAACGTTTTCTTTGAGAATCAACTTACCGTTGGAACATAAGCTATTCCTAGCCTACATTAAAGATACTCACAAGATTTTTTCTCAACCAAGGAAGCAACTGTTGCAAAGTGGGTCAAAGAAATTATGAAACAAGCTGGTATTGACACTGAAAAATATGGTCCACATTCAATCCGTTCCGCAGCTAGTACCAAAGCATTCGAGAAGGGCAACTTAATTGAAAATGCCAAACAACATGCAAACTGGAGTAGAAATACTCAGACTTTCGAACGCTTTTACTACAAACCAACGACGACATTCACTCTGGGGTCACAAATCACAAATTCAATTTTTCTGCGGAAAACCTTACCACGTTGGAAGCAACTGAGATTGTTCTAGGAACAACCAACAATCAAAATGTTGCCGAAGCGAAGACTGGAAATGTGATAAATGCCCACCCTAAGTCTTGGTTCTACAATATTCGAAATTTGTTTAGATAGATAACCCTTCTAAAAAAATTGAATGTTATTATTATTTGCTACTTTGAAAGATATAAGGAAGAAAGGAGTTTTAAGGTTTATTACCATATTTATATGAAAATAAAGCAATATTTCGATTTTACAGCTTTCTAACTTTTTCTCTATAAAGCAGCCACTAGTCTTCGGTCATGGTCAACTTTATGCTGCTTTTTCGTGAATTAAGCAGCTCGTCAGTTTGAAAATCTTACTGGATGGTGAAAAGTCAAAAATCTTGAGCGTTCAAGGCCGTCACACAAATAATATGGTATATAAGGAAATCCTTTAGACATAATCCTTTCACTTCACTTATGCCCATTTTGTCTTTCGTTCCAACTAACATACAAATGTAGGAAAAATAAATTCAACGAGTGGGACTTGTATCAAAGCAATGATGAAAATGATAAAGAACAAAGCAATGGATTAACCAGCAATCCTACGTTCGCATCTGTTAAGAATTTGATGGGTAGGCGTAGTGATTTAATTGCTTGCAACAACAAGAAAATTCCGCTTTGCCTTTGTGAGGTTAAGAACGGCCAATCCAGCTCTGCCTTATTGAAACAAGAATCCAAGAGTATTCGTTGCACTAAATCTCTTCAAGTTTTCAATGCAATGACTAGTGGCTCTGAAAGCATCTGGTCTTTGGATTGAAATGGCGAGTGTACTGAATACAATCAGATCATTATTTAACAAAATGGATAACAGGACACAAAAGTTATGTGTATTATTTGACCAAGCACCAAGGAACCGATATTGTATTGTCAGGGCAAAGATTGTTTGTCCCTGTTGTGGAAGAAGAATTAGACATCTTAGAGTCAACGCTTATAGCTTTTTACGAACTAAAGGTAAGATAGCTTCAAACCTGAGAATAGATGTGACCGAAGGCAGAACTAATGTATACGAAATAGAGCTGTCTCGAGGATTACGATGAAGCATTAGGCAACAGCTTCAATAATGACTCAAGCAATACTCAAATACACCACAGTACTTAATAAAAAAGCTTCTCTTCAACTTACTTTTTTTTTTGCATCAATTTAGCTCTTGCGACAATTGTACAAGGACAATAATAAGAAAGCGTTGAATCTAACTAAGTGTATAGAAAGGCCCATTATAATTTGCTTTCAGGTATCAACTTAATTGGTGATGCCATTGCTTTTAGAGCCTGAAAAGCATCTATAGTTTAAGGTCTAAGAGGCTTAAGTTTAAATCATTCCTCAAACTGACAATACAGATAAATCAAAAGCTTGGATCATTCTCTCTTGTTTTGACGATCTACACTAGTAAGCCGTACACTTGATTTTGTAGTAAGAGCTGAATTAAACAGCAACATTGGTGATATATATAACAATACAAAGTGTTAATAAATACTTCAATTCAGATTTGCTTTAAATATGATATCGACATTCAATCATTACACACACATAAATGTAAAAAATAGATACTGCGTTTATTGATATCAGACAATTAATCCGCACGGTACTTTGTTTCACGAAGAAGCTTATCATTCGTATTTACAACATTCAACCTGGCTCTTGCTAAAGGAGCAATCATCTGATCTAGTTTTTCCATCATATTCCCATTCAGAACCATATTCTTTACAGGTACTTGCACCAGTGACAAGAAAGCCAGTACAGTAAGACCACTTACAAGTCTTCTTCTTGATACCGCAACATTTGTAAGAGTAAAGAGCAAAACCATCACAGGCTTTTTTACCACCAGCGACAGGGTAACTGTACTTGTAGTCATGATTACAAGCATAATTGCTACCGTAAGCAATACCAAAGCAAGTGTGGGTTTGCTGGCAACTTTGGTCTTGGTAGGAGACAGGTTCAACATTGGCCATTTCAACAATACGAGCTGAATGAATTATAAGACTTTGATTTATGCATTGCTAGCAACTTACTATCACTTTCAGAAGCCTTCTTGTCATCAACAGAGACAGCTTGAACAACCAAGAGCATAGCCAAGACAGAAGAGATAGATTGGAGTAATTGAACCATTGTAGTTTTTGTTTGAAATAAAGAAAAAAAGTGTAAAACCAAAAGAGTTTATATACCTTTTTCATTTTTTGAGAACGTCTGGTTTCGAGACCCAGTTTCTCAATAGTTACTCTCACCAAACTAAACTTTAGTCTTCCAAATGCGTTGATTTGCGTCAAAAAAGAAAATAAATTCGTAAATATACACCATATCATAACACTAATGCATGATTGTTTACCTATAGCTACCTCTCTCAACTTACTTCATTTAAACCGATATCGCTTAAAATCAAATAGGATATCAAGTGTAGACCCAATACTCATAATCATTGAATAAAGGCTTTGCTCATAATCTTTTGACCATATTCAAGATAAAATAACCCTGAAAGTTTATTCAAAAAGGAAGAAACGTATGCAGCTTGTAAATCATGAGTTTTCTTCTTAATGCAAATATTTGCCTCAATTAGGTTTTGCAGAAATTAGTAAAGAGATATGTAGAGAATAGATTTGCTTATACATGATCTTGGAATACAAACATTGAGTTCCACTATTTGCTTCCATCAAACCAATTGATCGACTGAGAAGTATTTTTCTTGAAAATACACAGGTAAAACCAAATATGGGTTTCTTATTTTCTCTCTTTCTCTAATTACATACCTTTTACTAAAATAAAATAGAAATATGTCTAGGAGACCATTTTAGAGGCGTTAGAGTATTAGATATAGCAAAATTGAAGATCCTTGTGAAACGCAATTAAACTCCATTGCCCCTAAAAACATGCATATTTATTTGTTTGACTGCTTCAGGTAGAAAAAGAAGGTTTCCCTTAGAACGTTATGTTAAACTCAATGCAAAAGAGAGTATCCCATCTAGTTCTAAATGCGTCAAAAGCGTTAGTTCTCATATCCCTCTTTCCCCCCTTTTTTGAGCTCTAGCAAAGTATTTTTAACTTTGGAAGGGCTTCAATGCAAAAATTGTACATACATAGTTCTCCCAATATGACGAAATTGTTTATAAGTTTTTTAATGAACGTATTTGAAATAAAGAATTTAGAAATGTTTAAATGAGACGGAAGATAATAGTAACAATGACATTGGTGTACTTGAGCAAGAACCAGTCTTTCGCAAAAGATTAATCATGCCTTTTGTTTATCAAATAAACTGTAAAGAAAACAAATAACAAAAGGAAACCCGAATTGAAATTGAGAAGAGTAGCAGCAGACGTAGATTTACTAGCAATAGAAGAAGAAGAGCTAGCAACAGTGGCGGAAGATGTTGCAGAAGACATGGCACTGTCGAGGACCTTGTTGAAAATATCTTTGACACATTGCTGATCCGTACATTTAGCAGCTTCATTACAAACACTAGTACATGTATCTTTTCCAAGCCCACCAGGTTGTGAGCAACTGCTGATGCACTGATTGATAGCGTCTTGAAGGCTTTGCATTTTAAACTATTTGAAGCATTTTAGTCCATCATGCCTCTTAACAAGAGCCCAAATTATTACCTGATAGTCAGCAAATAATATGAGAGAAAAAGAGATACTTTATTAACGCTTTTATATACTTTAGAGACAATAGTGATTTAAGAACTAATTATACTTGATTTTGTATTACCTTGAAAGAAAAGCTTGATCTTCCCATTTATACGAGCACAATGGATATATATTGCATGTTCTATAGCACTAATAACACTATAAAATATGTTAGAGGTATATTTTCATATAAGCAAAAGAGTAAAGTCATTTATTCTCTTAGAGAGTATTTGTAAAGTACTTTTGCTATGTCTAAAAAGGAAAGGGTTCACACAATGATCATTTACAACTTTTTTGATCTGTTAAAATCAGGTTACAATCTATTCTATTGAACAAATCAAAAAACGAATACACTCGCGCTTCTACTAAATCGAATATATCGACATAATAGTAAAATTAAGAACAGTTTACTGCGCCCCACTTTTATATTAAGTGTGGAACATTGATCCAAAGAAACTTTTTTTCCAGGCCAAGTATATATAATACCCATTGTCCAAAACAACACGGCAATAAATTGGTCTTAATTAAGCATGGCTATTGTAGAAATCACAAGAATAGACAGTGTTATAGACTATTCAGTTTCTAAAACAAAATTAGACGTATCAACTCAGCATAATCTACTATAGTGGTGTAACATAGTGATGTATGAATAGAGAAATAACAATAGGAATGCGCGTAAAAAACGAACGAAAACCGTATAAATTCAATTGAATAGCATCAGATAAGGAAAGAAGTTGAGTAAAGATAAAGTTATCTTCACGTGATGTTTTTTGAATGTCAACCCCCCCTCCAATTCTCCCCGCATTATGAAAAATTTTATTTCCTTTTTTCCTTTACGACTATGTTCCGTTCACAACTTGCTCGACTTTCTTATGCCTCAGGTAAAAGAAACCTATACGCGAAAAAGTGTACAAACGCTAAATAGTAACTTCAGTTCAAAGAATATCCTTGAATACTCGCCATATTACTCCTCGAGTTATTCGTCCTGTATGCCAAAGACTCTATTCAGATCTTGTTCCTGAGACACACAAAAGGTCCTTTGGCCAGCCTACACCTATAACACATCCTAACATAATGAAAAAGGGCGAGGGTAAAGACAAGAAAACATCCTACAGTATTAATCAGAATATATAGTAACACCAGGTCTTCCTGCTGATGAATTTGAAAGAAGACGATCCAATTTGATGAAATCATTACCCAAAGGTAGCACCGTTGTTAGTTTAGGCTATAGTACTCGATACATGACAAACAATATCTTTTATCCTTTTCATCAAAACACTGATTTTTGGTATTTGTGTGGATTCAATGAACCTGACGCTGCGATGATATTAGGTTAGCATTACAGACATTATGTGAATAAGTTATAACACATTTATAGAAAAGGACGACTCATTGGACCGCGGATACAAACAAACCATGTTTGTTTTACCCAAAAATGCTAATGCCGAATTATGGGATGGACCACGCACAGGCATTGAAGCTGTCAAGGAACTTTTCGGCGCTGATGAAGCTTATGAAAACTCGAAATTTCAGCATCACTTAAAGAATGTATTAGGATCTTCAAAGCATATATTTATGGATAAACCAGGCAATATTCCTACGCTAATTACTAACGAAAATACCAAGAAGTTAATAGAAACTGGTATGTTGAATTCATTTTTGACTCTAGCTTCTTTTAAAAAAAAGCGTTTGATTATCTCTAAAAAGGGTGTGTGTGGGGAAGAGGAAATGGATGGAAGTTTAGAGGGTAAAAGTGATAGTCTTGAGCTGACATTGTTTTTTTAGGACTAAAAATACAGACTATTTTACCATTAAGCAAGGTGGTACAAGAGTTGAGAATGATCAAGAGCTCTAATGAATTGGAAATTATGAAGCAATCAGGCATGATTTCTTCCAAAGCATTTATTGAGGCAATGAAGTGGACGAAACCTGGAATTACTGAAGCCCAATTATGGGCAAAATTTGACTTTGAAACTCGTGTAAGAGGATCAAGTATTTTAGCCTATGTTCCTGTCATTGCGGGAGGACCCAATGCCTTGTCTATGCATTATGTGCGAAATGATATGGAACTCAAGTAAGCATGGATTGTTCTGATGCGTATCCATGATATTGACCAAATGCATTTTTAGGAATGGGGATTTAGTGTTAGTGGATTGTGGTGGCGAATATAATGGCTATGCAAGTGACATTACTCGTACATGGCCTGTCAATGGCAAGTTTACTGAACCACAAAAGGAGTTATATCAAGCAGTTTTGAATGTAAACAAGGCGTGTATTAAGATGTGCACAGAAGTGAACAACCTTTCTTTACATGGTATTCACTCTCAGTCTGTCAAATTGATGAAACAAGAATTAGACAAAATTGGATTTGCAGTGTCTTCTTGGGTAAGTAGCAACCAATGCTAGTTCGTTGTTAATCAATCAAAATAGGATCTTGAACGCATTCTTTATCCTCACCATGTTGGCCATTATTTGGGACTGGATGTCCATGACTTGCATGATTTGGATAGATCACGTAAATTGAAAGAGAATATGGTTGTTACTATTGAACCAGGCATTTACGTTCCTTTCGATAACAAATTCCCTAAAAAATACCAAGGTATTGGTATTCGAATTGAAGACAATGTTGTCATTGGCAAACAAGAACCTTATGTCCTTACAGCTACTTCACCAAAAGAAATTGTAGATATTGAATTTTGTTGCAGTAATCACTAATTTATTTAATACTTTTTTTTTTAAATGTGTATTTAATTTGTTTATAAGACTTTATCCCTAGAAGGTTGTTAATAATAAGAATAAAACAAATGTACACACATACCTCAATCTTTTCAAAAGAATTAGCCTTATGCTTGGGCAAAAAGACAAAGTCGTCAGGAGCAGGGCCCAATAATAATTCACTGATCTTGACCCAATCAGATGCTAAAGGACTTGCCATCAAAGTCTCAAGGTCATTACGACCAATATAAGGTGGAGGGCGTTCATTCATGCTTTGAGGAAGTCGCTCTAAGATACCAACAGGAATATATCTATACAAAAAGGATTGCCATTCGCAAAGGAAACGACGTGTAGTATTGACACCTTGACTATCAGAACCCCAATGCTCCAAACCATAGTTACAGAAACGCTTTAACATATCAAGACGTTCATTAGCTGAAATATCCCAATGACGTTGAGCCTTAATTTCTTCAAAGATCCAAGGCTTGATTAATGCACCACGACCAATCATCACACCATCTACACCGGACATTTGCTTGTTCTGGTTATACTCTTCATAGCTCATAATATCACCATTACCAAAAAGAGGCATTGAATGTGTCAAGTTCTTCATTTTGCCAATGTATTCCCAGTCAGCTCTCTTAGTGTATCTTTGTGCACGAGAACGACCGTGAATCTAGTATTATGTTACAAAAAAAATAGCTAATATTTGTACTTACAGTACTCAATGCAATGCCCTATAATAAAAGAAAGCATGAATTACTCAGACAATGTTTAGAAGTATGCTTACCATTTCGTCGAGTTTTGGAACAATACGATCAGCAATAGGTTGATTGTCTTTAATACCCATTCTGTACTTGGCAGTAATAGGAATATCTGTCACTGTTTGCATACCCTTCAACATTTTAACCATACGACCTCTAGCGTCTAACAATGCTGAGCCAGCACCCTGTGTTATTTTTTTTTAAAAAAAAAAGTAAGCATATCTTTTTGCGTTAATCTCTTTCTATCTTACCTGCTTAAATACGAGATCAATAGGACAACCCATATTCAGATCAATAAAGTCAACATCCACTTCGTTATTTAAAACTTCACAGGCCTTTACAATTTGTTCTACTTTGGATCCACAAATTTGAATACCAAAGATATCTTCAGATTTATGACGTTTGGTAAGCGCCCATTCAGATTGTTGACCTCTCAATAAATTGGGTGCCAATGCCATTTCACCACAAGTAATGTCGACACCAAACTCTTTACAAATTACTCTAAAAGGTAAGTTGCTGTTTCAATCGTGTTAATAATCGATATTTCTTTCACTGCTTGACTTACCCAACTGTAGTAAGAGGTGCAAGATATGTTTTGTTTCTGAAATCAATAAGCTACCATAACTTGATTAGATTTCTCGGAATAAACATGTTGTTACTAATACCTTTTTGTAGCCAGTATCAATAGGACCCATAGGCTTTTCTTCTATGATGCTTGGACCAGCAGATTCCACACTAACGTTCTCAAACTCATTGGCAGCATCGAAGAACTCATCATGATCACTATCGCTTTGTTCTTCTTCTTTTGGTTCAAGCTTGGACTTTTTAAGATCAGCAGGTGCAGCGAATAAAGAAGTATTCTCGATGGCCTTTCTCTTTAGTGTATTGGCATCCTTCATGCTTTGTTCTGCAGCAATTTCCTTTTGAACCTCCACCATGTATTCTTCAGATCTAGGGAATTCGTACTAATACAAACAATGTCAATATGTATAAAAGAAGCAAACAATGACTGAAAAAAACCTTGTTTTTGTGAAGCTTCATTTGTGTTTCGCTGCTGATACCGTTGATTGTATAAACTGGGTTCTCTGCCTTTTTCTTTTCGTCTACGATCAACTTATTATCCTTATCAATATGTGCTCCAAGGAATCGGCACTTGTAGCCATAACGGCAGCTATAAAACGAATGAGTCACTATATTTTTGCTTGTCATACTTTGTATAACATACTAGCCAAAAAGATCGAATTGAATACACTTGTCACCAAGATCTGCTGGTTTGATATTCAAATAACCTTCCAAATCATGAGAAAACTTGCAGCTACGCATTAATGTCAGTTTACTGTTGGAATTCTAATTTTTTCTGTTTCTTACTTTTCTGCAAATGTACATTCATCTCCTCGAGCAAGCAATTTACAAAGCTAGAAAATAACTAAATACATATGTAACATATTAACTCAGGTACCTTAATTGAATCCTCAATGCGCTTTTTCCCTCTTTGGCCAGTGTTGGCACCTCTGGCATTCTATATACCATATATGAATTCGTTGCACATATAAATCATACAATATAAACCTTGGATTTCTTTCCACTCTTCTTTTCATTAGGTCCACTTTCAGCTGCATCGTCATTAATTACTACTTGTTCAGCTTTGTCACCATCAATCCATTTTTCCTTTCGGTATCTATAGAGAAAAATTTAACTGAAATCCAAATTGATTTTATCAGATGCAACATACTCTGGCTTAATGCGAGCTTCACCAGCTTTATAATCGGCTACAACCATATTGTTGTTTTTCTTTTTAAAAAGGGGAAAGAGAGCAAAAAAAAAGATATCTTAAAAAAATGCAATGAAACAAGACCAGTATGACTGTTAAGTGACTTTTTTCCAGAATGGTGGATTCTAATAAGATGTTCTACAAGGCTTTTTATGGTAATTTTCTAATAAGAAAGAAAACTTTGGTCGCTTTTTAAATTTCAATTGGTCACTTTTCGGAACTTCAATTGGCTGTTGGTAGAATAAGTGCAGCTGATCATTATACCCTCTAGGGAGTGGTTGACCAGGAAGAAATGCTGCTAATGCATTGACCGAAATTGTCACTGATCGCCAATGGCATGATGGTGAAGGGAATACATTGAACAGCCTTGGTAAAGAAAGTCTTCTAACGTCAAACGCTTTATGGGATTGATGTTCCCTTTCAAAGACAGCCAGTATATGAAACAACAGAGGAACAAAAAAGCCAGAGTTATCAGCTAATGATTTTATACTAACTCTAGCATTGAGTTTGTTTTTAAGTGGCAGGCATAGTTCATCAATTCTTCGTTTGATCATAGGGTCTTCAAGTGATTTCTGTTCAGGCCACACCGCTTCACCTTAGCATACATATTGATATCCATATTCTATAACAATGTCATCGACGTCCTTCGGAGCCATGGACTATATGCATAATATTTAAGTATTTAGAGTAAATGGATGTGATTATTAGCTCTTACAACAAACATAATTTGAATTTGATATTGCAAAAATCTTCTCAATATATTTTCAAGTCTTTCTACAACTGCATTCTCGTAGGTGATTGCCAGCTCCTTGCAGGCCTCAGCGATGCACTGGCTAGCTCCTCCAATCAAATATTCATTAAAAGTGGCATTAGGATTTCCAGCTTTAAAATTATCTCATTCTTGTAAAAAAATTGTGACAGAAGCTTAGTGTTTTTAGGTTCTCTATTGTTCACCAGTTGGCAAACAGGATACCAAAACTGTTGCCGAAAGATACCATCAGATACGGATTCATTTGGGGTTTTTGAAAGATACCAGTTCACAAAAAGTTTGGCTCTAAACACTATCTCTCACACAGCGCTACAACACGAGGTTATTTTCTGCTTCAATATGTTTTGTTACTCTTCCTTGACACAATTTTGAAAAGGTAATTTACGAGCGTAAAAAGTGTAATTTGGCCCAAGATTCTGAAGCATAGTATTTGACTTACTCGTAATGTAAAATGAGCAGAGAGGTGAACGTGCAGAAGAGTGGCCGGAAAGTTCACACCTCTTGCATATTACCCCCGGATTAACTTCAGCTTGATTCCTCTGACGTTTTGCTGCTCTTTTTATTTTTTTCAGTATTTCGGGCTGCTTTCTCTTTCTTTTTCTGGTACCAACTATTAGATAGGTTTAGTGACCAATATGGCCATATCAATTGAACACTTAATGATCATACCTTCGTGGCCAGTTTCTTGTGTATATAATTGACATTTGTAGATTTTTTTTTGACCAGTGGCCTTTTTTTTACCACAGTCCAAACATGCTGCATCTAAATTGAATGATATTGTCAGTTAGACTTTTACTGCACGAAAAGCTACTTGCATGCCTTCAGATTCGTTTTTTTCTATTCGATTTGTATAAACTGATTGTTTTTTTTTGGAATATAGTTGTACGATGTATGATAGGTTCGACATGTCAAAATAAAGAAAAAGGAAAGCTCATAAAAATCAAACTGTCCCATATCATTGACACGGGTGTTGACAGCATTTTTTTAAACTTATTATATCAGTCCCTCCTATCCATACCAAGAGTTGTTGTCCGTATTCTGTCGTTTAAAAATGAGCCAGACGTATTGCTAAGGGTTGGAGCAGATGGAGAACTTAATTTTTCTTTAAATAAGATAAACCTTGTTAAAAAAACATTATAACAGACAAGTCGATCTAACTGTGATGATCTGGTATAAATAACTTTAAATAAAAAAAAAAGTATAACATCATAAACCATACTATCACAAATAAGTCTTTTCTCATAACAAGAACAATTGTCATATATTATTATTATTATTATTATTATTATTATGCCAGCTAGTCATAGTTTGATAGCAATAAAACGGAGTTCATTCTAAACAATGATATAGCTGAATCAACATTTACACTCCTATAGAATAAAGTCATATAATCCAGGAACCAGTAAACAGATCTCATCTTGAATGATAAATAACTGTAAAGATGGTTAGCAAAGTATATTTTATTGAAAAAGTCAATACTCTTGTTCCATCTAATATAACCTTCAGCTCATCAAGTCCTATCTCAGGTTACATCTAAGGACATAATCCAAGTCATATATAAACCTAGAATATAAAAAATCTCTCTTGAACTTTTACCTTAATGAACATTTATAAACGGTCTCAAAGTACTTTCTACACGTCTCTTTATTTTTTTATAATTTCTATATTCAATCTTTTTATTTAAAAAGTCCCAAAACACCACAATAACCAGTCATTTTGATATTGCTTTTCTAACAATTGATTTCCCTTTATAGATAAATGTCTAAATGTAAACTCTCATTCATCCAAAAAGCTAATTCTCTTTCTGTTTAATTTTCATTTTTATTTCGTCCAAAATAGGTAAGAAGAGCATCTGAAAACTAATTTTGATTCGTCTAGAAAAAAACTAACATCGTCTGGATTTAAAGTAGAAATACTGTATTCATACAATAAAAGTCAGGTATGAAAAATGGCCGCAAAAAAAAAAACTCCTAACAAAAAAAAAAAAAAAAACTTGGCAAAATGACTAACAATAGCATCTCCTAGTTTCATCTTGACAGATATTTAAAAAATATGCAGCATTTATAATTAGTACTGGGATAGACGAATCAAATATGCATGATTATGCCTCTTTTCTTTTTCCCTTTTTCACAAGAATACAATAAAGGCAAGAAAATAGATCAAGACAAGCTTCTTTTATCTTATTGAGTCGTAAGATCTAATATGAATATAAAAGGAATCAATCTTATCTTGTATTCAAAAAGCACAGCAAACTCTTTTTGTTTATTAGCTCTGAATGATCAGACCAATTAAATTGAGTAGATTTACCTATCAATTTGCATACCGCCTTATCAGCTACTTCTTTTTATGGAGCTTGTCTTATCTTACCTTTCATTTTTTACACTCTTATTGTTTGTACAACCCGAGATTTTTCGATACAATATAAATAGAGACACGAAATCGCGTTGACAGGAACTCAATCTTTTTTTTCTTTTTTTTTTTTTTTTTTTTTTTTTTATTATCATTTAATATCTGTATATATATAACATAATGGCCGATAATTCAACATTAGCCGCATCTGATGGTGCAAATCAAGGTGTTTCATACACAATCAATGCTGGTGATACTGCCTGGGTGATGATTTGTGCATGTTTAGTCTTCATTATGGTATAGATTTGTCTATGATTAAAAGTCCCTATACCAATCTTCTTTATTTTTCTTTCAGTCCCCAGCTTTAGGTTTATTTTATGCTGGCCTTGCAAGAGCAAAAAATGCTCTCTCTTTAATGTACTTGACTGTGCTTTCCGTTGCTGTCGTTTCTTTCCAGGTAATATATCATAGTCTGGCTTTGAACGCTGTTCTTATCGAATCTATTTAGTGGTACTTAATTGGGTATTCCTTAACATTTTCCCAAACGGGTAGCAGATTTATAGGAGATTCTGGTAAATTTCATGATTTCACGTTCTAAATTCATTCCTAATTCCTCCTAATTAGCTCATTTCTTATTACGCGGTGTGGGCATCCAACCTGCTGCTGAAGGACAGAGTATTCCTGCATCGGCATTTATGATCTTTCAAGCCATGTTTGCAGCTATCACACCAGGTAGAAAAAAAAAAGATAATGAAAAAAAAAACTTTTATACTTACTAGTTTCTCCTTACATAGCTTTGGCTTTCGGTTCTGCAGCTGAACGTATGTCAGTAAGTAATTGCATCTTTAATTGCTTATCACATGCCATTGTAACACTTTCCATTAGCTTGGTCCTGCAATTTTGTTTATCTTTGTTTGGACTACATTAGTATATGGTAAGCACTAATAACAAAAATGCTGTAATAAATATTAACACCTATGATAGATGTCATTACAAATTGGGTCTGGGCAAGCAATGGCTGGTTATTACAACTTGGTGTTATGGACTATGCTGGGTATATTCAATCTATCTAAAATCATTTGTTTAATCATGTTTCTTTTTAGTGGTATTCCTGTCCATATCTCTAGTGGTTTAGGGGCTTGTATGTTAAATTCTTTCCTTTTTTTTTGTCGGTAACTAATTCGTTCTATAGTTGCTTATGCTCTTGTCCTCGGAAAACGTCGTGACTATCATGAAAATGTCAACGCTCCTCATAACGTAACCTTTGTTTTTCTTGGTTTAGCACTCATGTGGTTTGGTAAGCCAAAAAAAAAATACAATTTATCTAACATATCATAGGTTGGTTTGCCTTCAATGCCGGTAGTGCATTGGCTGCTAATGCACGCAGTGTCAATTCATTAGTAGCTACCCATATCTCTGCTTGTACTGCAGCTATTGTTTGGGTCTTGTTAGATTATATCAAAACACGTAAATGGAGTATCATCGGCTTATGTACTGGTGCTGTCGCTGGTCTAGCTACTATTACACCAGGCTCTGGTTTTATTACACCTTCTAGTTCTCTCGCTTTTGGTGCTATTGGCTCCTTTGTTTGTTATATCGCCATTCATTACAAGCACAAGATGGGCATTGATGATTGTCTTGATGTGTTTGGTGGTAAGTTCCAGAAAAAAAAATGCATGACTATGATAATAACTTCTTTTTTTTTAGTTCATTATGTTGGCGGTCTTGTTGGTTTAATCTTGACCGGTATTTTTGCCCAACGCTCTGTGATCGCCCTCAGTTACCCTGAAGGTACTCCTTGGGATACTATTCCTATTGGTGGCTGGCTCGATGGTAACTGGAAGCAAGTGCCTATTCAATTAGCTGGTATTGCTGCTGTCTCTGCTTGGTCCTTTGTAGTGACTTATATTATTCTTATGGTCATCAACCAAGTGCCCTCTCTTTACTTGCGTCTTGCTGATGAAGATGAAGTTGTGGGTACTGACTGGGCCGAAATGGGTGAGCGTGCTTATGGTTATCTTCCATTTGAAGAAGCTGGTACTTCTATGTCTGCTCAAACGGCACCAGCAAATCTTAATGGTTCTATCCGAAAACAAAATATCCATATGACACGCTTAAGAAAGCTCTTTATGGTCGATCGTAGTGCTGTCATTCGAGGCGTCCCTAACCTGATTGAAGAACCTGTATTAGACTACAGTCAACAAAAGGATTTAGGTGTCTATCACTTAAACACATTACAGCAACCTACTATGGACCATAAGCCTTCAGCACAATTAAAAGAAGTCAACGAGCTGGTTACAAACCAACCTCATGTGCTTCAACATACAAGTAGTAATGACGATACTATTCAAGTCATCAGCGCTAGTCAAACACCCGTAGGTTCTAGTAGCAACTCTCAACAATCACGAGAAAACGCATAATTCTCTTACAACTTGTAGATTTCTTTATTTATAACATGTATTCATACCTAAACATCTTATTCAATTTGACACAATAAAACAAAAAGGAAAATAAACATTATCCATGCATGAATTATAAATTTGCAAAGAAAAAAAAAGTAAAGAATGTGGTCTAGTTAATTTTCTTATTCTACAAGTAAACAATGGTATAAAAGGTATGTATAGTAATAAAACTGACTTTATTACTGTCTTTTTTTTAGTAGCGATAACCAGGCAATTAAGATTGCATTCTCTTTTTTTTTCTCTTTTTTTTTTGACGCATTGTTGTTTAAATATCTGGACATAATCTCAATATGAATGTTATTCAGGCCTTGTTTCTTAGATCTATCATGGTCCAGTGTAGAATTTGTTCATATCCTTGCTTACTTGAAACGGTTTTATACTTTCTTTCTTCTATCTTTTTCTTTCTTTCTATAGATTATAAATGTCAACTAATACAGTTGCATTAACCAATACACTCCTTTCAAAATCAACACCCACTGTACGTATTATTACACAGACAGACTATATCTATTCTACTATATTTGCACCCAATGAACCTACTTTATCAGAACAAATACCATCGGTGGATAATGACGAGTGGGAGCATCATATGCGTTCTTTTTTTCCTGTCGTATTAGCATTTGCTATTATAGGTGTATTAGTTGTGATAGGCTGTCTGATCTACTTGGCTTATCGATTTTGCCAAGCAAGTCGAACCACAGATCCAGGCGATACCGAATTCAACTTTGACGATGAGCATAAAAAGACCATAATTAGTCCTATTTCAGCTACTCTGTCTCATATCATTCCTTGGTTAGCTATTCCTTCACCTAAACCAAAAGACAATACCCTCTTTCACCCATATCAACAAGAACCCATTCGATTTGACAAGTCGGATATGAGGCATGTCACAAGTCATCGCAGCAGCATCACTTCTTCTACCACTCGACGCCCCTCACTCGCACCTTCATGGTTGACCAAGATACTTCCCAACAAGTTTGGTACGCATGCCTATCCTAGACCTTCGCGACACATGTCATTACCTATTATTTTCTCAAATAACGATAGTCCTATTGATAATCTCAATATTCCTATTTCGTCTACTTTTGTACCTATCGATAAGTCTTCATTGACACTGGTGCCTCGTTCTGAAATCTGGCTTGATCCTCATCGTCGACGAGGCGTGGATGAATTAGAAATGTGGGAGAAAAGGCATCATAGTACAACAGGAACTGAAGTGCAGACCATTGTTGCTCCTGAACCTCAGCAACCACTTATGTGGCGATTTCCCTCTCAAAATGCCTATCCAGACTCACCAGAATCGTTTGGAAGAAGATTTTCATTGCCTTTGAATTATATGGATCAAGATATGAGCCCTAGATCTTCAGCAACAGTACATGATATAGGCCCTTCTTATGCCACTAGGGCACAGGTAAAAAAAAAAAAAATTAGAGCTAATGATGATTGATACACTCTCCCCATAGACGGCTCAACCTCATTATGATAATGAACCCTCTTCAAGCCAAGGTCCTTTTGAATTCAGTGGTCAACCAGAACAACACTTTACAATCACAGTCAGACTTCCAAAATCATCCAGACAGAGACAGGAAGAAAAGGCTTCACGTGACATACAAATGGTTCGAGAAGCTCTTGAAACAAGTCGATTGCACAACAGTAGTAGTCAATGGCTACGTTCTTCTGGTAGTAAAAGTCTTTAAATTTACTCATTTTTTCTAAATAATATAAAAAAAAGAATTGTAGCATATACAAAGGGTATTTTAAAAGAGAATACTATTTACAACCTTCTCTACTGCTCGAAAGACACCCATTTCTTTAAGCATAAACATAAATCCTTCATTGAGTCTGTTTAGTGTGCGAAGTTGATCTTTTCCAATGGCTGTAGTTTTGAAAGTGAGTTTCTTTGTGACATAGAATGGCATGTATATAGATATATATTACCTTCTGATTGAGGAATAGCTTCTAAACTCAAAAGAGGCTTAACATGATTTTCTACATTAGCATCAAGTACTTCCAAATCAACATCAAAAGCATCCATTTTCCATGTAAACACTAAGCTAATACCGCATTGTCTACCATAAACGTAAATACATACACATCTAAATACTCAATACATTACAAACTGCCTTCAAACTGTAGTTTCGAATTCGACAATACTTCAATATTGATCATTGAATCTTCGAAATGCTTATTGAGTCTTTCAAAGACGAGTTGACGCTGATGATCCAGTTCTTTATAATGAGCAAGTAGTCTAAAGAAACCCATAATATTGTTCTCTTCTTTGATTCTGTCAAGTCATAAGTAAGTCGTTTTGTGGAGAACATGGCTTACTGTTGCAATACACTGCCAACATCTAATTGCATTTCAAATCCAACATCAAAGTCCAAATTGGCTATCATCATGTCAGGCTCAATCACATCAAAAGAAACACTGAATGCTTGATCATACAGAGAACCCGTCAATTGACAGTGACGAATGTCTATCAAGTATTTATACAACACTGTCTTCAATCAGCTTATATACATACCTCCATCTTTTGTATCAAACTCCAGTGTGTTCTTTGCACTTGTGAATTTGATAGAGGAATAGTCTGTCTGTCTCAATACCTAAACAGGTTTATTTAGTCTTTGTTTAGCTACAATGATACTTGCCTCTTGATGTTGAAATGCTTTCTGCTTCAATTCTTCATTGACTTCCAATATACTTGAGCCAATCAGAGTATCAGGCTCTTCTGCTGCGTCACTTAAGAGCAACATGTATTCACTTGAACAACATGAGTACATGAATGACAATAAACAATGATATTTACTATACAGTATCCCAATTAGGTTTACGGTATTCTTCTTCATCCATATCTTCTTCTTCTTCAGGCTCCTTGTTTGTGCTGTCTATCTTCCTTGGTCTTCCTCGCTTTCCTGTACGTATTTCATGATCGCTTTCGTCTTCACTACTATTCAGGACTTCTTGAATACGTTCTTCTATATCACTTTTCGCTTTTGCTGCCTCTATCTTTTTTCTCTTTGCTGCTATTCGCTTTTGTTCTTCTTCATAATAAGCTGCCCGCTGTTCAGGTGTCATATTGGTAATACCCGCTTCTCTATCCCTTCTTTGTTTAGAGCGGGCTAATTTGGCTTCCATCTCTTCCACTTGGTTCTCTACTTGTTCTATTTCAGATTTGAGATCGTCCAGTTGTTTTCTAAGATCCTTTGGGTCTTGACTCTGAAACAGATCATCGAATCGCTATAAACATGAGCATGGTGTTGTACATTGTGTGTAGCTTACAATGGTTGTGTCTTTTGTATTGGATTGTTGTGTTTGGGCATCTAGCAATCGTTCTTGAAAATCAACAGTCGTTGTTCTGTTATCAAATCCAAGATCATCATCGCTGCTACTGGTCAGTGGATCAGACATGATGAAAAGTTACGCGTGATCTTTTGGAAATAAACGCGTTGAAAGCCATGGTCTGATTCAGCCAATCAATAGCGTATATGACGTGTGACCGCTTATAGCATGTAGGTTTTAATATCCGTCAGCATACTTCTTCTCTTTCTTTCTCTTTTTTTTAGAAACAGTACATTCAAGATGGATTTCCAAAATCGTGTTGGCAGTAAACACAGAGGTGGCGGTATGGCCAGTTTCTCAGAATCCAATGTCGATCGTCGAGAAAGACTTCGTAAATTAGCCATGGAAACGATCGATATCACCAAAGATCCTTATTTTATGAAAAACCATCTGGGTTCTTATGAATGTAAGCTCTGTCTAACACTTCACACAAGCGAAGGCTCCTATCTGGCACATACGCAAGGTAAAAAGCATCAAAACAACTTGGCTCGTCGTGCTGCCAAAGAAGCCAAAGAAAACGGCATTATTCAACCACCTGTTGGACCTGCTAAACCCATGGTCGTGCCTCGTCGCAACTTGATCAAGATTGGCCGTCCTGGTTATCGCGTAACCAAAGTACGTGACCCAGTGACACGCCAACTTGGGTTTCTCTTCCAGATCCAGTACCCTCAAATTGCACCCGATACCATTCCTCGTCATCGATTTATGGGTGCTTATGAACAAAAGATTGAACCACCCAATAATGCATATCAGTACTTGATTGTAGCAGCAGAACCTTATGAATCAATTGCGTTCAAGATTCAGAGTACAAAAGTGGATGAGACACCAGGCAAGTTTTGGACACATTGGGATCATGATGCAAAGCAATTTTCATTACAATTCTTTTTCAAGAATGAGAAGCAAGCCATGTTTGAAGGGATGGCGCCTCATGCTAACACGGCGCCACCTGTCGCTACTGTTTAATAAAATAATTTGTTTATTCTAAACTACATATATAAACGTTTAAAGACGTCTAGCTTTCTTGGGTCTACAACCACCAAAAGGAGTAGGTGTAGCATCTGTAATACGCTTCACGTTCCATGAGGTACCACTGACCAATGCCTTAAAGGCAGCATCACGACCAGGACCAAATCCCTTCAATACAATATGCACATTGGAGACCTGTACATTTTTAGCATTCATCTTATCCAACAATTGAATAGCAGCTTGATGAGCAGCTTCATAGCCACTACGAGCTGCTTTTTTGAAACCTGCAGATCCACCTGAGGTAGTCACAAGTGGTGCACCGTTGGGTCGAGTCAAGGTAATGATGGTGTTGTTAAAAGTAGCATTGATATGAAGTTGGAAAGGAGGTTGGTTCATGGTAGATAATGTGGCAGAAATACTTTCGAGTCCAATTGGGAATCCTTTGTCGTTCTTGTTAGGTAATAAACTAGAGGCACTGCTGCTGCTTTCAGCATCTGTTTTGCTTTGACCTAATACACTTAGAATGCCATCGTATTGAGTCGTGTTGGAGTTCTTTTCGTCTGATGATTGAGGAGTTGTTGAGATCCAGCGACGTGAAAGAAGAGTGGGTCGTGCAATTTGTGTGCACACCTTGGGAATAGTGTGTTTAATGGCCAACATGAGGATAGGAAGAAAGAAAGAAAAAAAAAATTGGACTGTCAATCCAGGGTCATGGCTGAATAACTCAACCCTCGAATTTGATTGGCTGAGAAAGTGACTTTGGTTAGTTGTCATTGTAAAGAGTATAGAGTATCAGCATAGACTCTTTTGAATCCATATACACTGTATCATGATGAACAAGACGGTGTCTCTTCACTTGTATGTAAGATAATTTTGATAGTCTGATTTTTTTTTTTTTGAAAAGCAACAAGTCCGCATTGATTTTGACTCTTTTAGTTTCAAGGTGTCAAGATAGTCTCATTCAATATACATTGTCCATTCTTGGTGTCAATGACAAGAAAGAGAGAACTTATTATGTGTAACTTCGGATGCTTCCGTACGTATAAACTTTTTAGATCTCATGATGTGTCTTCATTATTGAGTAACAACATGATTATTGTACAGGACAAGAACCTTACTGGTGAGTACATATATATTATGTTTGTCTTATTTTGAGAATCACACAAAAGTACATGGTATGCATATTTGTTTTTCTTTCTTTCTTTACTTATCATGATATGCTTCTAAAGTATGGTGAATATACTCGAGTTAAATCAAATGAGTGATAATGAAGGTAACTAAAGTATATCAAGCAACAGATCATTAAGAATAAACAGGGCCTATCTGGAATCGTTTTTGGGATAGTTTTGATGAACTAGAGACAATCGATAGTGCTTCTCAACCATCAGACATCTCTTCTTTCTCCTCTGACCCTAATTATTTACCTCAACTCTCGCCTTGTATCTACATTTCCCCTCAACCTTCTACTTCACTGTCTCAACTCAAGCATCTTCCTGATATTTCACCTCATGAATCTGCCAGTATGGTAAACCAAACCCGTTCAACGTTTGCTTTCAAATTTACTTTAAAGGGTAACAAGACTTACCGAGTTGTATGTCCACCTGTATTTCATATCCTTTTAGAAGCAGTGCACACAAAGACTTTGTCAAATCAAAACTTGAGTCTGTTTTATGTGGATGATGAGAATGATACAGTGTTTATTTCATGTGATGCTGATGTACTAGATGCCGTTTACTTGGCTCGTAAGAAAGGACAATCTCGGGTCAAATTGATTGTACATTCACAAAGGCAAGACACCAAGCAACAAAAAGTCAATACTCAACCAAAACAACAAAAGATAGAGCAGCCAACCACACATCACTTCTTCTTTTTACCTGCTGCTATCACCTTCTTTAGTGTGATGATTGTGAGTGTATCTATCTACTCAAGAAAATAGAAATAAAAATAAAAAAGAGAGTTTATTATATCGATACAAAGTTGATATTGCCTTCTTCTTCATCGCTCATAAAAATAGTGGCAGATTCAGTCTCAGGTTTTGTGGGTTCTATTGAATGGCTGGGTGTGTTGTCTAATGCGATGTCTGTGGGTTCAAGGGCAATATCATCAGCAAGAATATCCTCTTCTAATGTATCATCAACAGGTTCTAAAGCAATGTCATCTCGCAAAAGAGCTTCTTCTTCCTGATTTGCCATTTTCTCCTTTTCCCTTTGTCCTTGAGCAAAGATAAGGTCTACCATAGCATCGTCAATAATGTTCTTATTTGTTGGAACAGGCGATGGTGATTGCTCTCGAGTAGGTTCTTCATGAGTCTCTAAAGGCCTTGTATCTGTCCACATGGCTCTGTCTGATCGAATGGAAGGCACAAGTGCTTCTACATACAAAAGTGGGTATTGAGCAGCAGATTTAAAGAATTGGCGAGTAGAGTAAATGATAAATTGTCGCAATTGACTCAATGGTTCTGATTTTGGAAGACGAGGATAGTCCATTAAGATACGATTAAAGAGCTCCATGACAGGTAACTATGGAATCAACATTAATAACCATATACTATCAAAAACACTTGTTTACCTTCCAGAATACATAGTCTACATTTCGCTTGACCATCATACGATGAAACATATGTGTAATACAAGTAAAGTAGTCAGGCTGTAATTCATGATAACATTCTAATAGAGAACAATAGGCATTGACTACTTCTGTTGTCATGTATTTCTTTGATAGTGTCAGTATCAACTCAACTCCAACAGGATCTTACCTTTTCAAACAAGGAGAAGTTAAAGACCGAATCTTGGTAGGATTGGTATGTCATATCCTCCTCTTCTTCTTCCTCCTCTTCTTCTTCCTTTTCTGCTTTTTTCTTTTGTGCCTTTTTTCTTACAAACAGTACTTTTTTGCCCTTTTGATATTGATCTAGTAACTTGAGCAAGACATGCGTAAACATAATGACTGATTTCAAATAACCATAAGACTGTGATTTATAGCATTTGATGATATCCACAAACAAATCAAGCGATGTTTGTTCATAATACAAGTTACTCTGAATATGTTCTGCAATAGTTCTGTGTTCTTCCAGTTCAGATTGATACATGACACCTATACTAATCAGAATCTGACGCACACAATCTACAATCATCTGTAGATCAAACCATGATTTCTCTTCAAGTTTGATACGCATATGTCTTAGGCAAAACAAGACTGCCTTAAGATCCAGCATGGTAGCCACCAGTGCAAAATCAAAGTTTTTGTCTTCATGTTCAAATACATGCCCTTGGTCTCTTTTACGCTCTACAGTAGCCCGTTGTTCATAACTGTGGTATTCTAAAAACCAACGTATGGTATAAAAGAAACGAGCATAATCTTGGTTCATGATCTTTTGGTCTTCTCGCTGAATGTCTTTGACTAATGAACCACAAAAGGCTATTGTTCATGAGTAAACATACACACATTCTATTGAATGACATACCATTAAAACAAGAGATCAAAAAGGACTGAGCCATCAAACGAAGATACATCAACGCTCTTGTGTCTTGATATACTTTTTTGACTCCCATTTTATCTTCTAGTTTTCTTTTACCAATACGATATTTCTTCTTTTCTGCTTCCAACAAGTATTCATAATCAGCATAACCACCTTCTTGTCTATGTGTCACTCGTTGTTTGCCATTCTAGATAGTGATCAGCAAACATACATGTACATGTATATATGTATATATAACTAATTTACCCAAGTCATCACATAGGTTCCACCAAATCGATTATGTCTTGTAGGAACATGTTTTGTCTTGAGTCTTTTGTTAGATGTTTCTTCACTCAGTAAATTAGATAGTTTTTTGGATACTTCATGTAAATCTCCTTTTGACTATAGAGTGTGTTACAAAATAGACAGATACACTTAGACTTACACTAAGATCTGTAAATTGATAAGAAAAAGTATCTCTAGGATCAATGTGCTTAAGCAAGTTATAAAGCGACTCTAATACGAGTACATTCCATTCAGATGTCCCTTCTTGTCGATCACTGTTGGATGCAATAGTCAATAAAAACTCAATAATGTCTGCTTCATAGTATCGAATCATCAACATTTCTTGCATATGTGACATTCTGATTTGATCCATTGTACCTGATTGTGATATATTCAAATCTGGAATGGCTGTCAAATTACGAAATAGATAAAGACCAAGTCGAATGGTGGTATGGTCTATAATAGAACGATCTCTTCATGTCAATGTTAAACCATGATCTCATAGGTTTTGTACGTTTTACCTTGGGGCGACATGAAGGGATTTAAGGACAAGTTGAAGGATGATCTCAAAGACACCTTCTGTTAATAATCCTGCTTTATATTTTTGATAGCATTGTAATGTATTAGGATCTTCTTTTTGTTCTTCGTCCTCTGTATCTAAGTTTTGTTCCATAGGCCAAGTCATAGGCACTAACAATTCAACTAAGGGGAATTATCAATAAGTCATTCATTCATGATCACTACTTACGGCAGGCAAGAACAAACCGGTTCCCAATCTCACTGGTGTCATTATGAAAAGACAAGATCAAAGGTACAATATCTGTCTCAACCACGTTACACTCTACAAGTGTGCTTAATACTGTCTTTTCACTGTTTTGACTATCAATACGAATAGCCTTTTTCAGATCACGTAAACACGCTAAACAAAAGTTAAGTCTTTCACTTTCTTTTTTTTTTTTTTTGACAGATAGGCTTAAACTTACCCAGTGCTTCGTCACCGGGACAATACACTTGAGCAATAGTTCCGTCTGCTTGTTTGATTTCTTCTAAACCGCCAATAGCAGAACATAAACTGAGAATATAAGACTTTGTTTCTTCGATTTCACTATCCATTGTCTTTACAGGTATAAAAAAAAAAAAAAGGGAACGCGTTCATTTTTTTTATATATATAACGCGTCTGTCTGAATTTAAAGTAGGCCAACTTATGGGAGAGTCATGACGATAGGAAAGTGGATGGCGTTGTTACACGAATCAAGCATGCATCTTGATCTACTCCCTTCTTTCGAGTTCTCCTTTATATAAGGATATATGTTTACTGAGTCTTTTCTTTTTTTTTCTTGGTTTCTTATTCACACTGCCTTTATTATCAACATGTATTCACCAGATCAATGGGAGATCCTTGCTGAAGTGAATAGTGTCACTTGCATTACCATTGTATCTTTAATATTTGGCCGAAAAGTAGCTAGTATTGAAGGACCTATACATTACGTTCGAGGTCTCTTGCTTTTAATGTATACTTTATCATGGGCATATAATCTCATTGCTTGTATGTTGACCAGCACAAACAATGGCAACTATATCTCTTGTGTAATGACAAACTTCAATTGTACTGTGCTATACACAGTGACTAAAGTTGTGTTGTATCTATACTTTATCGAAAAGGCAAGTTGGTCATGATATTTTCATGTTTACTTAAACATGGATGTAGATTCATATCATTTCAGTGCCCAAGACAACTCGTTTTAAATCACCTTTATACATAATTAACCTTGTCTTGTTATTGCCTAATATTGCTGTTGTTCTGCTACAGATTATGTATCGTGTCAATCTGGTGGCTGATACGTATCCTTATCATTGCACTGTTGGATTTGATATCCCTGCTTCTGCTCTTTCGTTGTGTTACGATACGCTCTTGTCTGCCTTGTACATTGGTATCTTTATCAAGTTTTATTGTTTCCCTAATACAGCACAACAGACAGCACATCAATCTTCTTCATTGCATATGATGGCTAAACGAAACGCTATTGCTGCTATCACTACCTTGATTACTTCTTGTGCTAATTTTATTATTCTAATCAGTTTAAAAGGACATGAAAGAGGCCTTGTTGCTTCTAGTATCTGTGCTTTGGTAAGAAGGAGAAGGCGTATTTTTAATTTATTTATACTGATATCTTGTACTACTTAGTCTGTCACCATTGTGTGTTGTGTTATTCATTGGGGTAAACTACATACATACATACATACATACATACATTGCTTACATACTTTATAGTGACAACACATCCTGCTGAAATCCAACTGAATGAGAAAGCACTTCAAAGAGTTAATGGTGATAAACCTGTCAAGTTAGAAATTAAACAACACCAAGAAGTCGTTATTTTGACAGAACTTAATACTCGTATTTAAAACACTCTCCTTAATAAACCTTGTCTCCCTCCCCCCCCCTCTTATATATATAATTATTCAGAAGAAAATAGATAGTTTATTACAGAAATATAAGACATGACAATATGCAAAAAAAAAAAAAAATGATTATTTCTTCTTTAAAGAAGCACCTTTACCCTTAAAGATAGGTTTACCCTTCATCTTGTTATAACCACCCAAACTAGATGTGGATTCTAAAGTATTTGATTTATGATGCTTGCCTCTCTTTCCACCAAAACCATATTTAGCATCCTTGTTTAATCTCTTTTGGTTCTTGGTAGGTTTATCTTTCTTTTGTCTCTTGGTATCTGCCTTGTCTAAAGCAATATCGAAATCATCATTTGTTGTTAAATCTTCACCGTCCTTTCTCTCTGTTAAATAACAAGTCAGTTATCTGAGGCTTTTTTTTTTTTGAGAACTACAATCAACTTACTTCTCTTTAACAGTTTGATCTTTTCGAGCATGTCGGTCTTTTGCTTTTGTCTTTCTAATTGCTTTTCTACTTGCACCTTCTTACCAAACTTCTTGAGTTGACGTTGATGCTTAGCTTCTTCAGAAGCCTTGATGGCAGCACTTTCATCCAACAATTTTTGACGAATCTAATTCGATATCAATACGGTGTGGGCCATTCAGTGCTAGCTTACCTTAGCCATGTGTTCATCGCTCTTGAGCATTTCTGCAAAATAATCATCAGGTCGAGAGAATTCAACATTTGCTTTCTTGACAAGATCTCTACCAAGTTTAGCTGCTTCAAGGGCTTGTTGGTAAAAGGCCAATTCACGCTGCATATCGTTTTGTGGATCTTCAAGCTCAATAGGCTTTGTGGAAGTAATGGTCATGGTTTCAATCCAAGGCAAGTTCTTGAGCTTAAAAGA